CTTTTATAGCTTTTTAAATTGTTTTAGCTTTTTTTAGAGTAAATAGTATAAATAGAGAATTGGATATTATTTAAGGGTAAACTTTAAAAATAAAAAGTATAAGTATAAATTTATTTAGGTTAGCTATATTATTAATAGCTTTAAAAGCTATTTAAAATATAAACTTTATAAAGAATATATTTAAAAGCTTAATATATAGAATTTTATATGTTTATTAAATAAGAGTATAATATTGCTTAACTTTTTTAATAAATTAATAAGCTTTAATAAGCACTTATTTATAAGTAATTCCTATAATTCTAATAGTATTTTTAAATTTTATAAAAGTAAAGTTAGTGCTAATATTATAAATAATATAGTTAAAAGGTTTAAGGTAAATATTAATTTATATTAAATGTAAAGCTTTTTATATATTTTTTACTAATAAAAATAAAAAGAAATATTTAGTTTAAAATAAAATTGTTAAATTAATTATATATAAGATTAGCTTATTATTTAAATATATAATATTAATAATAAGCTTATAATTAAAGTTTAAATTATCCTTAAAGTTAAACTTAAACCTTTTTAAAGCTAAATTATAAAGTTAATAATAATAATAAAATTTAAAAATTGTTTTTAAAGTAAAAGGTTTAATAATATACTTAATATTAGTTAATAGATAAGTTAATTGTTTAATAAATAAATATTTAAAATAATAGTATAGTTATTTAAGCTTAAGTTTAGTTAAGAATATATTTTTAGTTTAGTTTTTAATAGAAATAAAAAACTATAAATATTTTTATTTTTATATAATAGGAAAGGTTTTTTTTTGCTATTTTAGCTTATATTAAATTATTTTGTTTGTAGTGTTTTAAAAGAAGATAAAAAGTTAGCTTATATTTTAAATATAAAATAGGAAAAGGGTAAATGTATTAATTATATAAAAAGTAATTATTTTAATAAGTGTAAAAAGAGAAATTATATTAAGTAATGTAAGCTATAAGTTTTATTTAAATTTAATAAAAGTTTTATTGGTTTAGGAAGTATTTATTGTTATAGATAGGTTTTTTTGCTAAAAAGTAAAAAGTTGCTTATATTTAATAATAGAAAATATTATTACTTTAATATTTAAAATAATACTTTAGAATTTTATTATTAAGTATTATTCTTTTAAAATAAAAATATTAGTAAATTTTAAAATATTCTTATTTATAAAAATATTTATATTAAGGAATATTAAGTATAAAAAGGTTTAATTAGTAAAAAAATAAATTATTTACTTTTTATTTTTATTATTTTTAATATTATAATTCTTAAAGTTTAAACTTTTAAAGTTAATTAAAAATATTATAAAGTTAGTATTAATAACTTTTTTATTATTATTTTTGTAAATAATAAAATAAGTTATTTTTATTTAATAGTATTTTTTAAGACTATTATCACAAACATAATAGAAATAAAACTAGGGGAGCACTATTAGTCCCTTAAAGGTGCAGATAAACTCTATAGGCTAGCAGGGTAGGCCTAAAAGGATTTACTATATAATAAAAGCAGGTTATATAATAAAGTAAAAGAATAACTAAAATAACTAAAGCAACGCTTTACTCTAGATAATCTAAATAATCTAACGCTTCTATTGCTTTAGGTAAGTAATGCTTTAAGTAAGCTGCTAAAAGCAATGCTTTTATTGCTCCAGCTAAAGAAATAAACTATATAGATTATGCTTATTATTAGTAAATAATATTAGCTTAAAATAGCTTTTTAGTAATTAATTTAAATATTTACCTAGAATAGCTATAATGCTTTTAATCTACTATTATTATATATTACTTAAAATATTACTACCTTAAATATTTCCTAAATATAAACCTACTTACTAGGTTTATTAGCTAGGAATTAGCTATAATTATTACAATTATATTAAGTTAATTAGCACCCTTTTTTATTATATATAAAGTATTTCTTTTTTTTATTATTATTATTTTAATAACTATTTTATTATAAAGTTTAATAGCTATTATAGCTATAAAAGTTATCTTAGCTATTATAATAATTATTATAGAAATTACTTTAAAAGTTGCTATATTAAAAGTAATTACTATAATAATTAAAGTTATTATACTATTAATTAAAGTATAATTAGTTATTAGCTTTTTTTATATTTTTATTACTTATATTAAAAAATTAAGTATTAATACTTATATTAGTATTAAGTAATGTTTATAAGCTAGAAAATAGAGTTTTAATTAAAGTTAAAGTAATATATAAAGTAAAGTTAAATTTTAGTATACTTTTAATAGCTTAAAATATATTATTTCTTAAAGGTTAATTACTATACTTATTATACTTAAATACTTAAAAATATAAAGTTATTTTATTAATTAATATTTATAAAATTTCAGTATAGCCTTTATTTAAATATTTTTATTAAAAACTAAAAAAAGTTATAATATTTTAGTTTATATAATAATTTTAATAATTTATATTAGTATTAAACTAAAATTTAACTTTATAATAAGCTTTAATAAAGTTATTTAATTTATTAATATTATATAAATAAAAAGTTTTAATATTACTTTTAAATATAAATAAAAAAGCTACTTTAAACTAGTTAGGCTTAATTCCTAAATTCTTATAAATACTAAAAAAAATTAAAACTTTATTATTAAAAATATTATATAGCTATTTAATATATATCTTATTATTTTAATAAATCTTATTAAAATTTGCTATTATAATAAAATTTAATAGTTTATTAGTAATTAAAGCTAATAAAAATATTAAATAAAAGTTAAAACTTTTAAATATATTTATAAATTTAATAAAATTATTAAAAAAAAATAAATTATTATAATTATTATTATTTAAAAAGTTATTATTACTATTTAATAGTAATAAAGAATTATTATTATTACTAAATTTATTATCCTTTTTCTTTTTTTTTTTTTACTTTTTTTTTTTTTTTTTTTTTTTTATCCTTTTTTTTTTCTTTTTTTTATTCCTTTTTTTCTTCTCATTTTTATTTATTTTAAAATCAAAAAAGGAAGATAATTTATTATTAAGATTACTATTAGTTTTCTTTTTTTTTTTTTTAAACTTATTCTTAAAAGACTTTTTATTAATAAGCTTTATTATTTTTTTTTTTTTCTTTTTTTTCTTCTTTTTCTAATTAAGTTTATTTAAATTAAAATTATTTATATTAAAGTAATTTTCTATATTAAAATAATTATTAATAGCTAAATTCTTATTTTTCTTTAACTTTAAATTATAGTTAAATATAACTTTATTTAAACCTTAATATTTTTAAAAAGTTATTATTAGCTATATTAGGAAATTTATTAATTTAAAAATAATTATTAAAACCTTTAAATATCTAATTTCCTTATTAAAACTTATAAAAATACCTTTAGTATATAGAGTTCTTTTAAGCTTAAAAGCATAATTAAATACAATACTCTTAAAAGTATTTTTTAATTATTTAATAAAGTTATCCTAAAAGTACTTAAAAATTATTTTTAATTATAAATATTTATAATTATTAATATAAAATATAATAAAAATATTAAAATAAATTAATTTATTATTAAAAGTAATAAACTATTTTTATAAAAAAGAGTTAAATTATTTTACCTAATAGCGTTTAAAATAAATATTATCTTATATAACATTAAAAAATAAACTATACTTTAATAATTTATCCTTTAATAATAAAATAAATTTAGTTTTACTATTTATTATAATATTAATAAGAGTTATTAATAATAAAGTATTAAAATAAAATAAGTAAATAAAGAGTAAATATTATATTATATAAAAAAGTTAAAGTTTTTATAATTAATAAAAAGGTTATAAGTAAAAGAAATTAGGTATAGCTATATTTAAAATTACTTATTAAATATATAGTAAATATATATAAATAATAGCTTCTTTTTTGTATACTATAGTATTGCTAAAATACAGTAAATTTGCTTATTAATAAAAATAAATAAAAAGTTTAAAGTTTAATAAAAGTTAATATTTAATTTAAAGTATAATAAATACTTAAAATAATTAAATTAAAAAGTATATTTATTATATTTAAATTCTTTTAATTATATAATAATTTATTAATATTTATAGAGAATACTTATAATAAATATAAGTTTATAAATATAAATAAATATTAGTATAGCTATTTTATAAAAAGTATATATAAATAATATATAAATTCTAAAATAATAAACTATTTTTTTTTATATCTAACTATTTATAATTGCTTTTATAACTATTAATTAGTATTAGCTAAGTTATATATTCAAATATAATGCATATTTAGGGATATTAGTATTTATTTAAGTATAAGTTGCTTACTTAGTTATAAGAAGCAGCTAAAAGCTATATCCCTCTAAGGCCTACTTATAGCCATAAACCCAACAAACTAATCAGCTTACTACAAACGCTAACGCTACAATTTACACAATAATGATAATAAGATGCATTTACCTGTAATCTAACTAAGGACTTTTCCTAAATTTCAGATTGACGAGAAAGTAAAGGTGGTATTTTCAAACAGGGAACACCCTCGTTTCGGTCCTTGCAACATCACAGATAGAAACGTTTGGAAATTGGGAGCCGAAATCCGAGCGGATGGTGTATTCCGATATAAGCTTCAGGTGTTCCTTAGGAATCTATGACAGGTTGATTTCTACACGGTTTGTCAAAATTAACGTGGATATCCCCGAGGCTGAATCTCTCTCATGGGCTTACCTAGTAGAAATGTACCCTAATCTCCAAATTAACATATCACGGTCACCTTATGGTGAAATTAAGCCCTTCGGCTTAGCTCAAAACGATGGGTGAGTGCCAACTTACTAAGATACTGGCAGACAACCCCCCCCCCCCCGGATTATTCTCTGGATGTCATTTCCCGTCTATCACTGAGATGGAGACTAGAATTGATTGAATTTGTTCTATGTATGTGCGTCGAGTGTTCAATGAAACGAAGCTTCCTCAGTTCTTCTCTTTTGACACTTGCAACTCTAATTACAAGCGGCAGTATCTGTCTGCTTCTCATGGTTCGGCACCTTTACTGGCTTCCATCCGATTTTAAAGATTAGACTTTCCTTGATCGCCTTGGAATTGCTTGCCTGGCGAGCTTGCTCAAGCGACAAGTGTACTTCCCTTGAGCCTCTGGGTTTCATCTCGTTCTCATAAGCGTCGATTGCATCTTTCAATGTATGCTGCTGGGTAATCTGAACTGACTTGATTGCGTCGACGAGATGTGCGGCGTCTTGCATGGCATTGTTAAGCCCCTGGCCACGCTCTGCAATCAGTCAGTCCTTCTTTTGATCACTCTGAAATGGGATAAGGCCTCGCGTGATAGACACGGCGTCTTGACTTACGAGGTACCATTGAGTGAGCCGCATCGCCTGCGAGAGTGACCCGTCCACCGCGATTGTCCCAAGGCATGTTAGGCGCCCATTGCTGCCCTGGATAGACAGGAATGGTGTCTTCTTCACCTAATTTAAGTCCTGCTGTGCGGAATGGCTCGCAAAAAGACGAAATGAATGATTTATAGTACTTCACGCGTGTCTTCATATCTTGAAGGTCTTTAGCATATGGTGGGCCCCACCAACCGATATAATTCTGGAATTTCCACGAGGTCGCATCTTCTGGATCAGCGATATCTAGTGCTGCTCGTGTGATCACAGTTAGTTAAGGTGCTCCCGCAAGTATGTTTCGGCTGTAAGAACATACCTGCAAGGATGGCATTTCCGGGACGCTCTGGGTGTGCAGCTATCTTGAAGATAGGGTGCAGAGTCTGGAGAAGATGAGCCTCATCGACTGTGTAGCCACCAAGTGGGAAATTGATCATGGTGAGGTCGACTGGCTGGAGCTTAGCGGCCTCAGCACCCACGAGGAACTCGCGGACTATAGAATGAGACCCGTCACATCCAACAACAAGGTCACCTGACTCCGAGGTCCCATCGCGAAACTTAGCCGTGACATTTCCTTGGGGACAAACGCTTAAGTGCGAGATGGTCTTCCCAAACTATCCAATCGTATTAGATGAATTCGAATTTTCACATTGTGTGGGAAGTGTACCTCTATGTTCAGGTTTTGGCCTTCGGTCAGAAAACGCCGTAATTTCATGCGGGAAACACGATTTACTCCTTGCATGGGAATTTCGGCTATCACATCACCAGTGAAGGCATCGACGAATGGTACCCCCTTCAAAGACGCATCATGATCATTGAGCCTTGGGTCACATCGCACCTCTTTCAGATGGGTTACGAGATGATCAGGGAGTAGCTTCATGAGGTACTCTTGCCCCCAGTGCAACAACATTCCCCAGTCTCGAGGCCTGTTGTAAAAGTCATACCGACTTTCCCTCTCAAAAATAGTGTACTTTATACCAGCCTAGGTCAAAACTCGGGTGTAAGTTGAGCTTGGGCTAACTTCAAGTCCGCAGAATAGACATTGGCCAGCAATGAACGTACCTGTTCAAGACCGGTAGCAATAGCCAAGCCACAGTTTCCTAGTCCAGAATGTTAAGACTTGAAACATGTGATACTCGTATGCTGCAGATTTTGTCACTTACCACCTCCTATTATGAGGACTTTGAAATCACTCATCGCAATGCCTATAAGTAAGTGGTTATGTTTGGGGATTGAAAAAAAAGGGGGGGGGGTTGTTTTGCAATGCGTGTGTATTGTGTGTGGGTTGCACTGGAAAGACCGCAGAGAGCATCAGCATCAACGAGCTTGGAGATATGAGTTAGTGGGCTTACTTGACATGTTACATGTATTACTCAGATTCCCTGCCTTTAGTCGCGTTCAATCAGAAGGCAAAAGGATCTGCGCGAGGCTCTCGTACCAGACTTGATCATCAATGAACAAAGCCCGAGATCAAGAAAAAGAGACTGCTTGACTTTCCAGCGGTGTTCTGGGTGAAGTTGCATGGCCCGGACAGGATATGTGGGGTATGATCCGTGTAAGCTGAATGGTCAGCCTCAATTGATCGCTTATCGGCAGCCGACTTGCAAGGTGTATTTTCTGCCCAGCAAGCGGGCGTCGGAAGCCGATGATGGGAAGACCCAGGTCGGTCACGAATAATAGAGAACGAAGAAAATGGTCGAGGCAAATTTAGGAAATTTAAAGCTACTGAACTTGAATGCTCATAAGCCTCGTTCAACTGTTTGAATCACTGACTGTTATGGACTCCCCAATTATGTCCAGTGCAGCCTAAGCTTGAGGCTATGTACACTGCTTCTTTTGCATACGCACCGCCACCCTCATCTAAAAACTCGTCCTGCACTGTAAGAATCAAGTTGAACTCAGCGCATAAGAATGGGCAGACCGCCGCGCCTATTCAGCGTGACAATCTGCGCCACGCGCAAGCCAGGAATGGGCGAGGACGAGTACCATCAGTACATAAGCGAGACTCATGCGCCGCTCCTCAAGAAACTCCTGGTTGAAAAGAAAATCATTGATTATACAATGGTATGTATTTTGATAACTTCAACTGGCCACCGGGCGTAAGGCTCAAAGCGCCAAAATAGCTAAGTCCTTGTTCTAGCAACACAATACGTCAGCCCTGATGAAGGATCTACCCAAACTATATCCCAATCTTCCAGTAGTCAACCACTCGCCTTATGATGCACTAGTCACCATTGTTTTCCGGGACCCTCAGGATTACATTGACGTCAAGAATGATCCACATTTTGTGAATGTGGTTAATCCTGACCATAAAAACTTTTCCGGCCCGGAAGGGACACACATGGCGTATGGCTGGTTTGAGAAGCATGTGGCTGAGGGAAGGTTGATTGAGGAAGCCCCAAGAGACTCAGGCTTTCTTTCATGGGATAGAACGTAACTGAAACTGGTAAATCACAGTATGGTTGCTTGGCAAAGAATTCATGTGCTCCTAGACCTTTATATACATTCAGCGGATGTCATTTTGATTCAAGGACTTCACACGTTTGCGAGTTGACTTGGAGTCAGCTTGCTTGAATGCATGTCATGTCATAGCACCACACCCTTTTGACTTCTGCCATATTGTTCGTTCCGTTCCCGGCTCAGGGAGGTGCCTAGGTTGTTCTCATGTGCTATTTTTCGCTAAGCACTCCACCCAGGTCCCAGACGCTGGATTGGACTCGAAGAATTGCTAACGGTCTGAAAAGCACAGCCAGGCTGAACCGTAATGAGACCAAAATGGCACACAAAGCGTCCAGAAATCTCACGTAGTACAGCTTTCGAGACACATTTCTCCTTTCTCTGGCAGACTCCTTTGATACTCATACGTGACCCAAGAGAGCGGGAGTAAATCTGATTGTGATGAGATGAGCAAAGATACATTGTAATTAATGCCAACCGTATGGACTATGCCATGTCCTGCCGAATCAATTTTTCGCTGGGCTATGTGATGTTCAAATGCAATTATGACTACATAATCATGTTACTTATTCAGATATATCATACGCAGCTCGTTCGACTGAGGCTGCACTCGGGTAAGCAGTTCGTCGATCCAATCAGGCCATATCAAACTCGACCCTGACAACCAACGAAGATAACCGAGATAACCAGAGGACGCGGGGCCGTCCCACGCCTGCTCGGCGCCCGGACAGCGCAAAAATATGAGCTGAGAAATCTACCTCCGAACCATTGTGCATCTACCAGTTTCCATGATTTGCAGCTGAAAGCAAGTCGACTACTTGCAAATAGTAATACTTTCTTACTCATTGACGATGATAATCAAGCGGCGGACTCATCAGGTATCGAGTCTTTGCATTATTCACTATGGCTGTTCTCCACACCGTTTGGGCCGAGGGATTTGCGCGATGTTCCAGGAAGACTCACACAATCTGGCTCAAATACAACCTTAAAGCAGCAGGTCGGCATCACTTTTCACACCTGTCAACACCAGCTGTATCAGAAGCAGCGAGCGCGGGTGCACGATACCGACCCGAAGATATCCGATTTCCTGCATACAGAGGGCACTGCGCCAAGATCTCGGTAATCAATGGCGCAACAACACAAATGCTGTCTAGCTTGCTCGTTCACCCTGCACCGACTTCAGCCGCTCAGAAATACACGCGTCTAGCCAGCTACAGCTTCTTAATAGAGTCGCGACATCGGCTGCAGAAGGTCTTGTTCGATCTCGCTTTCATGAAAGACTTGTTCACTCGCATGCCTCCCGCACTTAAGGCCATGCTTGGTGGGGGGCCTAATGCCGTGGATCCCGTCATGAAGATAGAAAACCTCTGTGACATACCGGACACGCTCCGAGCACATGGGCACGACCTTGCCGAAATCAGTAGCATCATTTGGTCGCATGCTCACATAGACCATGTCGGAGACCCATCGGTCTTCCCACCAAGCACAGAATTGGTTGTCGGCCCCGGGTTCAAGTCTAATTACATTCCCGGCTACCCTGCGAATCCTGATGGCATGGTCCTGGACAGTGCCTTCCTGGGTCGCTCTGTTAGAGAGCTGGAATTTGGAACAGAAAACCCCGCCATGGAGAATATTGGCGGGTTTCGCGCCGTGGACTTCTGGGGCGACGGATCGTTTTGGGTCCTTGAGTGCCCTGGCCACACCGGACATCACATTGGAGCCCTTTGCCGCACAACTCCGAGCTCTTGGGTATTCATGGGGGCTGACTGTTGCCGTAAGTATTATACTAGGCATAATGCAATCCTCCAGCCTTGGATTCTACTTTTGTCACTTACCCGAGTCGCTGACACGAAGAATTGAAGACAGCGTAGCACAGTTGAGGCCAAGCCAGTTCAGGCGACTGCCACCAACTCTTCCTAGCACCATGCTGAGCCAAGCAGGATCGCACCATGCGAAGCCGTGTCCGTGTGCACAATTATTGCGTCTTCTACGTACTGGTGATAAGAGTGACAAGGCAATTTATGAGCTAGCACCGTTGCTTCAAGAAGACACTGTTGAAGCTCAGAAAACGCTTCAGAAGCTGAAAGCTTTCGACGGTCGAGAAGACGTTATGGTGATTCTCGCACATGATGCGTCTTTCCTAGATATTATAGACTTTTTTCCACGCAGTATCAATGACTGGATGGTCAAGGGCTGGGCAGATCAGGCGAGATGGCTATTTTTGCAAGATGTGGCTCGATCGTGACAGCCTTCGGACAGGCAGGTAGTAGAGACATGCACTGAAACCTTGAACATACACACTCGTCAGAGTAAATGGGAATCCTCGATATATTCAATTGCTCTTCAACTATTTCTTCTACACCACCTCTCATTGAGAACTTATATGCAGTGTCCATAGCAGCAATGCGCCAGGTGTATCCAGGTCTTTTACTGTGGATACTTGCTGACTGATGGCCGTATTAGGACTTCAGAGTAGCCAGCTGTGCGTACTCATGCCCACGGCTGATCACTACCTGCTGCCATCAAATAAATGTCATGATCTACAGGGGTATAATTGAACAGACTTCATGGTCTTCGTTGGATTGGGCCATAGGTTGTTTAGGAACTCGGATTTTCAATCAGCGTCGTGCCCAGGCGCTTGAACCTTGGACGTGGCGGCCGGACACCGGCATCCGACCGTCAATGTCAGTCGCCGCACGGCCGGAACGCGATTTCTGTTAAGTCGGCTGTCCAGAAGGGTAAATGGCTCGGAAAGTGCCAGCACAATATATTTCCACGCCTCTAACGCAGCTTCGCTACCTCAAGTTCCAGAGGTTGGCGAGGTACATCTGTCGGGGCCACGTGAGCAATTTGAGAAAGGAATATATCACAGCCACACCTGAATTGTTGGCTTGGAAATTTCCTCCAGCAACACGGAGTCAATTCGAACCAAGAGTCACAATGGCCACCATTCAAGAACTTGGTGAGAGAATCGCGCGGAACTCAGCTCTGGTCAACAAGTGGCTGGCCAGCAAAAAATGCAAAACTCCATCCTTCGATCGCGATGCAGACCAAGAATTCCCTTCGACGGCAGATTCGCTCGAAATAGAAGCTGCACGTCTCGCAATCATAGATGATACGAGTGCTCTGCATGATTTGACCATTGGTCCTGGTGAGGTCCTACGTCGACTCTGCTGGGGTGTAAGTCATCTTTATTTCACCAATAATTACAAGTAGTCTTTACTAAAAGGAAGCCGGACATGACAACAGTCCATTGACAACTCAGTGCTTCAATGTATCTACCATTTTGGAATCCTCGACACTGTCCCCATCAATGGCAGTGCAACCTATAAAGATATCTCGTCCCAAATCGGTCTCGCGGAACCTCAAATCAAGGCCATCATACGCCAGGCGGCTGTCAATCGTGTGATGCGCGAAGTGGACGGCAGCAATGGAACTCGAGTAGAGCACACAGCCTCGTCCGCACTTCTCCTTCGCAATCATGTCATGAGAGATTGGTACGGGCATTGTGTGGAAGAGATGTTTCCCGCCGGAGCCAAGCTCGCCGAGGCTCTTGAGAGATACCAGGGTAGCAAGGCCCCTGAGGACAGCGCATTCAACTTGGCTTTCAACACGAGAGATCCGATCTACAAATTTCTTGAACAGCACCCGGAGCGTCAAGCTCGTTTCTTTGGTGCGATGGAAGGAGTGGGCAAAGACCCGGGTCATGATCTCAGACACGTCGTCACTGGCTATCCCTGGGCCAAGCTAGGCAATAATGCTACTGTCGTGGATGTAAGTCCAACGGATAACCCAAAACCTATGATCTCAGCTACTGCTTGAGAGTACAAGTGAGACTCGAGCTGCTGACAAAAGCCGGGATCCAGGTTGGTGGCTCTTCCGGCTTCCTCAGCATCGCCCTGGCTGAAAGCCACCCAAATCTTACAAAATTGGTAGTCCAAGACTACAAGCATACGGTTGAAGAGGGAGCCTCTCGGCTACCCTCACACTTGTCTGAACGGGTACAATTTGTGCCACATGACTTTTTTCAGCCGCAACCCACACCCAGGGCGGACGTGTATGTGCTGCGTCATATTTGTCACAATTGGTCGGTAGAAAATTGCGCCGGCATTCTGCGCCAGATTGTCCCAGCTTTGAAGCCCGACAGCAAAATATTGCTTGTTGAGGTTGTCGTTACGCCCTCCAACGTGGAAGAATCCAAGGTAGCCGAAAGATACATGAGGTACGTCGCGCTTTCTTTGCTGGGTATTTGTCTCTTACGGCCGTGAACGGCTGCATCAATAATTAGAATGCTTCTTGGTTGACTCAGTACGCTTAGGAACGTGGACGTCACAATGCTCCAGATGCTGAACACCCAGGAGCGGAGCCGAGAGGAGTGGCAGGATGTTGTAAACGCAACTGACCCAGCGTTGGAGATTACTGGTATCTACAAGCCAAAAGGCAGCTGGGATTCCATTATTGAGATTTCACCGAAGACCTTGCCGAATTAGAGCAATCGTCGATCCATAGATTATGACTTGCAATAGGAATGTTCTCAACTATCTGAACTTTCCTCATCTCTTCCACCACGGTGAAACAAAATATAGATAGGGTCAATTGGCTTTAACAACGGCCCTTTTTCTTTCTCTTTCTTTTTTCTAAAGGAACAATGGAAGCTGGACTCCCAGTTTTGGTACTACGTCCCTAGAAAACAAGAGTACGGGCAATTGGCAGCAAGAATATCTGCACAAGGGCATAGTCATATGGGACGGTAACATATTAAGTGATCTGTATCACACTTGGAGCCGTAAACCACGAGACTTCGTCTAACACCGTAGGTTCAGACGGATTATACGAGTTTGCCAGCTCGCCAATCCGCAGTACCATCATCTAACATCGTACCAAGTCTGTAGTCATGACCACTAGAGTGGCACTCAAGTGAAGTGCAAGGATTTAATACTACTGAAAAATGTTTGAATTAGACGATGGCTCGCCTTCGTGCCTGTCCTGCCTCTACAAAGGCGTCATCTCAAACACAAATCTCGTCACCACGGAAATATGGACTCATCCTCGAGTGTTCAGACGCATTTGCACAATATTTCATAATAAGCAACTAGTGACCCTTTTGCTTTCTCGGCTTGGACACTCCTACCAGCAGGGACCCCTGATGCCTGCTAGGTCGACCCATTAGCTCACGCTATCCCGCATTTACCGATGCTCTACTCTTTCTATTCCTTTGAGCTCGAAAAGCTTCTCTCAGCCAACACTTAAGCGAGGGAAGTGAGCTCGTTTGTGCATATTACCCTCTGCCTCATTGGACTTAGAGGCTCCACCGCGGGCCGAGGTGGCTCGATGTCACGGTTTGATTCCGGACTTATTCTCCGTGCGACTAAGTGAAGTCAATGGCACAAGCCCAAAGAAGGTAGCAGAATGCGAGCTCGTAGATAGAAATTCACCCTGCACGGCACCAATCATTACTAGGTATCCTACATTCTGGCTCGATAATCTCAAGCCAGACTCGGAGCTGGAGAAGCTTAGCAGTCTTCGCCGAAAGCCGTGCTTCAAATCTGCCTGCTTTCTAATAATATTGACGGCCTGTTCCTGTACTTTATCCATATCCGCGGCAACGCGGCACGGATCCTCAGCCAAGGCTAGCATTCATGCGTTCAGCAATCCGGCCTCCGGCGACATCTAGAGATCAAGGGATAGGGGTCAATTGGGCACAGAGAGCGCACAGATGTTCGAGCTCTCACTATCAAGTCGAATAGTCAAAGCAAGAGCAGCAGCGACCAGCGCGCATGGCGCTGGCAAGCCCGGAAAATGAGTATGTCTTTTGAAACACTGGGTCGCTACGGAGCAGACGGCGCAACTACGACTTTCAAATTTCGGCATGGGTAGGCCAGGCTACATATTGATGTCTTATATCTCGAATGTAAACTTGTTCGAGATGGAGAGTACCAGTCCTGTCTACTCACACCTCATCTTTCCCAAAACACCTCATCCGCATGCAATATGTCTCGTCCAGATGATGGTCCAATGAGAACTGAAGTGGAAGACGCTTTCAGGCATGCTGGGGCGAGACCTCCACCCCTCAACCTTGTGAAGGACTCGGCCCAGGAGCCCAAGAGCCAGTCTACAGATCTCACACCAGCAACTGCCATCGATTCTTCGATTAAGAAAACAAGTAGTGGAGAATACGACAGTGGCGAATCTTCTCCTGATATCCCGATCCGTGGTGTTTCGACTTTAACATACCTTGCCACGTTTGCCTGCAACCTGATTTACCTGGCTCAGACTTGGTGCCTCGTTGGAGTCGGTTTAGTGAGTGTTCGGTACCTCCTTGCCGTTCTCATACAGCATTGATTCCGGCTTGTAATGCACGCAATGGCTGACATTCTTTTCCGTGCTTGCGCAGCTGGGGATCACTATCACAACCCAATTTAATGCAGCTGCGCAAACTTCCTGGCTGACAACAAGCATTGCCATTTGCCTTGCTGTATTAGGCCCCATCTTCTGCCATATTGCCGACTACTGGGGCCGTAAATGGCTCTTGGTACTAATGGGTTCTTTTCTTGGGACTGCGGGTGCACTCATCCTTGCTCGAGCTACGAACATAGGCATGGCTCTAAGTGGAACATGCCTCATCGGAATCTCTTTTGGTGGTCAGCCCGTCCTACATGCCGTGGCCTCAGAAGTGTTGCCTAGGCGCTGGCGTGGCTGGTCTCAGGGCGCACTTATGTGTTTCAGCTGTGTTGGTGCGTTCGTGGCTCTCGTTGTCGGCGGTCTTTTTAGCCGATCTGGTGGTCCTGATGGATTTCGATCTTACTTTTACATTGGCGCAGCACTTTATTTCATCGCCGGTACACTGCTCCTCTTCGTTTACCGGCCAAGCCCCAGAGATCTACAAACTCTCCCTTTGCGAGAGAAATTGTCGAAGTTAGACTGGGTAGGATATGGGCTTCTAATGGGCGGTCTCGTGTTATTTTGCGTTGGACTTTCTTTCTCACAGAATCCTTATCCTTGGTCAAGTCCAGTGGTCTATGTACCATTCGCGGTTGGTATATTTTTAATGGCCTGCCTCGGATTTTACGAGTGGAAAGTGAAAACGGATGGCATTTTGCACCATGGCCTCTTTGAGAAGTCCCGCAACTTTCCGCTGACCCTTGTATGTCTCTTCTGCGAGGGTCTTGCTTTCATGAGTGCCAATGCCTATCTTGCTAGCGAGGTTCGTCTTCGGTCCTTCACATGTTTGTCTGATAATGATAGCCAGTAACTGACATTCTTCCAGATATCAACACTATTTGCAGCGGACCCAGTTATGACTGGCATCAACTATGGCGGTGAGTATTGTCTGCAGAAATCGACGTCTGTTTAATTTTCTGAATGACTTGTGGCTTGGAACAAGGTAATTACTCACAGGTATCCAGTTGCATGGCTTTCTGCTGCCGCATCTTCAGTCGTGGCCGGCGCAATATGCACCGCGACGAAGAAAGTCCGCGTAAGCCCACATCCAAGAAAAGAAAAACTCCTCAATACGGTCTAGACCAGCTGATAATTGTACAAAAGAGTATAACTCTGACTGGATTCATAATGTTCACAATCTTTTTCGCGTTGATGGCTTCCGCCGGTGCACAGTCCAGGGAGGAGGTCTGGGCATATCCGATTTTCCTCGGACTAGGGCTTGGTGTAGTCACCAGCACACGTGAGTCCGTTCCGGGAGAAGAAAAGAACGTCACAGATTCAAAAAAGAGAGCTCTCTGGATCATAGGCTGATAATCTGGTAAAGTTGTGACAACCGCACAGTTATCGACTCCTCCTGAGCTCATCGCTAGCGCAACGGGTATCATCATAGGCATTCGAGCCTTGGGAGGTAGTGTTGGTATTCCGATTTGTAAGTCAAATCTTGAACTGAGCAATTTCATACCAAAACTCTGATCGATCTCGTGCTTTGCTATCATTAGACACAGCCGTATACAACAATCAATACTCGCGCGGTTTTGTTGCTGTGGCAGAAGCAGCCACCAAGGCCGGCCTCTCTGCGGAGACTGCTCAGCAATTTGCTATGGTTCTAATGCAAACGTCCGGAAATAGCAGTGCCGTGGCTTCCCTTCCGGGAATGACATCAGAGATCATTGATGTTGGTTCCATAGCGAGACTTGATTCTATTGCCCTAGCGTATCGATATATTTGGATTACTGGTATACCTTTCATGCTGATGGCCACCACAGGTATGTGTTATAGATCGTCAGCTCTCCACACATTGTTCGTAGTATTGACACTTACCAAGCCTCCTACTTCATCATCGACCATAGAGAGGAATTCAACCACCGTGTTGACACACCTCTTCCTCACTAACAGTGGAGCAAAGCCGGAGGTTGACAGAGCAAGACTTTCACAACCGTGCTTTTGCGGCTCAAATCATTTTACAAGCCAAGGAATACTGAGTTTATTTCAATTCACGTGAATGCGAGGAGCATCTGATGTATGCACTATATTATGTTCCATGCTATGGTCAACAGCGAGGAAGAATTCCCTTTTATCCTGTCTTCGAAACGTATGCTGAAAGCGAGCTTAACTAGTTTCCAGGCGCATTTCAAGCTGCTAAGAGCAGGTTTTGGTTATACTCATTCTCAGATTGATCGGCAAGAGTATTAGTAACGGCAGTGCATGGCAGCATAGACCTAAATGTGTTCTGTATTACACGACAATTCCATTCCCTGTCACTTTCCCGGTTCTTATACTTTGTAGATGAGAATTCTAGAGTGTGGAGTCTTGCATTCGATGTTTGGAGCAGGCGAAGCTGAAGCCTCTGCGCGATGTGTGATGGACTTACCACTTTGGTATTCCAGCCTGAAGTGAGGCAGGCCGAATCAGCAGAGGCTGAGGCCGAAGCGACTGAAGTTATGTGCTTTTCGGTGCCCATTAAGTATAAAAACATCTTCGTTCTCTGTGTGTCTTTCATTCTTTCTATGGAAGAGAAGTGTTGCTGTAGATAACTTACTGCTTGGACCTCGGGGCAGCATGTTTAAACTTCAGATACTAATTGACTCCGGATGCTGATCTTTGAAACGCTTCCTGCATCTGATAATTACCTAGTTATTTATCTCCAATTACCAATCGCCACTTGCCTCATTTAGTAGCCCATATCTATTGTCCTTGAAAAAAGTACAAAGGTAAGCGCAATACAATTTGATTCCGATCTTCCGAAGATACACCCACTAGACTAATCTACCTAAACCCCATCATCATGGTGGAGTTCTATACGCGGTTGCAGCCGAGGATGAAAGACACGCCACCTCCCAACGAACTTTGACCAGCCTCTAAACCTAGAATAATTTCAAATATAACTCTCCTCTTATGTTCAAAATTGTGTGCGCGCAATAATCTAAGCTCGGCGCTCCTCGGCGTCCGAACTCCAGCATTTGATCCATGTTGGTGTTATTCCTGCGAGTTCCCCACGGCAAGCCTTACATTGCAAGGGCCTTTACAATTCGGCCAACGTAATTCTGGCTCTGTAAAGACGACTTTTTTTTCTTAGGAGCACGGCATCAGGCAAAGCGCTAGAGCTTTACAATCACACATCTGCTTACAACGTGCAGTAACCTTCGGGAAACCTTAGTCTAGGATCATTACAGACGCACCATACAACTGTGCGGGGATCGGCTGCCGTGCTCCCAGCCTTCACCGGCTCCTGCTGGCATTAGGTAAAATTGCTTCTTGGTTACCTTTTTGAGTACATGCCAAACCAATGTACTCTGAAGTTTTCGATGATACCATATTCTCGTCTACATATTTCCTACCATCTTCTTCGCCAGAGCGTCATTCCAGTCCGAGCCTTCCCACATCATCCCATAGAGCCAGCGATAATGAATGGGTACAATAATTTAGACCAGCTCACTGAGCAGTTTCAGGCTCTTTGCAACCAAGTCCATGCTGCATTTCAGAATGATTCACAGGACCAACGTTCTCTGGAGAAGCATCGCTTGGCGGCCATCAAAGCTGCTGAAAACACTGTTAAGCTTCTACAGACACACGACGAACTAGCCACACAGCAAACGTGGGTTGTAAGTGGCATGGGCTTCCATCAAGTTCCAAACCCGGAACGATAGAGTGCGATGGGGATCTCCCCTTTTTATCAGCTTGGAAGAGCTTGACATGGAAGTGAAGAAATCCTTGAGGCTAACATACGCATGTTGAGATTACAGCCTCTAGAAATTGTTGGCACAGCAATTGCCTGTGACCTAGGGCTTTTCGCCATCTTGTCGGAGTCAAACGGGCCTTTTACTACTGAGAATGTCGTTAAAAGAGGAGCAAAAGGTGACCCACTTCTCGTTGAGCGAATCCTCCGCTTCTTGGCTGCCCACGGTTTCGTTGATCAGCTGGACTCCGGCGCATACGTCGCCAACGACAAAACCAGGGACTACGCCACAGAGGAACGAGTGGCCAATGTTTGGACAATGTAAGTTTGCCGAAGTAAGGCAGTAACTCAACGGTTCTCCGATTTCTTCAATTCCAAGTCGCCGTCTGTGTCGCTGTGCTAACAATCATGAGGCTCTTTTGCATGAGATCTTACTCAGCCCTGCCGTTCTTCCTCAGAGACATAGACCTCGGGGACTCGACAGATCCGGAAAATTGCTCCTGGCAGTACGGATGGCACACCAAGGAAACATTTTGGCAATGGCTGGAGTCTCACCCAGAAATGTCGCGCCATTTCAACGTCTACATGACGATGACGGCAGCACGAAGTCGCTTTGATGACGACAATTTGTGCGAGCTCTACCCGTTCGATAAGCTATTCAAAGGTTCCCTCACTGAAGACATACTCTTCGTTGACGTGTAAGTCTATTATCTTTGTAGCTGGGTTCTTCTTCGGAGCGTGACTCTATTTTGGGAGTTTCATCTCTCCTATTAATCTCATTCTCCATCACCACCCATCTCATTGCTGACTTGAGAATATTGCCAACGTCAGCGGTGGGGGCTTCGGACAGCAATGTATCAGTCTGCGAAAGTCATTTCCTAGAAGCACTGGACGGGTCATCCTACAAGACCGCCCTAGCGTCGTTGCAAACAGGCGAATTCCTGATGTTGAGGTCATGGAAATTGACATGTTGAAGGAGCAGCCAGTTAGAGGTACGTAAATTTGAAAGCAGCCAGCCTCGAAGGACCCTGGTCCCTCGAATATTCAAGGATTATAACACTTACAACCAATCTTATGAAAACAGATGCCAAAGTATACTACTTCCGTGGAGTGTTGCACGATCACAGTGACGTCGTTTGTCGCAAGTTTCTTGCCAACATCAAGAATGCCATGGGACCATGTTCTAGGTTGTTGATCCATGAGAAACTGGTTGCTGATGTGAATCCAACTACCATGGCTACAAAGTCTGATTTGCTGATGATGTCTGTCTACGCGGCCATGGAGCGCTCTGCTGCTCAAATGAAGCGTCTACTGGAATCTGTAGGTTTCAAAGTTATCGGCAAGCACTCTGGGGTCGGTTCGAGTGAGTGGCACATCATGGAGGCTGTATTGAATTAGCTAGGGATACAAAAACGCTATCTTGATGACTTGAAAGTGTTTATTCTGTTCAAGTCTTTTACTAGGAAACAATATAGGAACTTTTATCATTATACAGTTTAAAGGAAGAGTCATGGATAGCATAGTAGACGCTGATGCTGAATCGTTTTACTCTTTCACGAAGAATAATAGCAACTTTTGTTTGACGAAAGTTTGGTGATACATCGCCATGAATTCACCGTTACTCAGCCTATACAAAAGTGCTACCATCTCCGACTCCACACAGGCAGTGTTCACGCATCAATGATTCAATGTATACTGAATGCGATGCATACACTCGTTCAAGTAAACCATTGCTAGAATCTCGAGTAATCTTAAACGCGAAGAATCGTGAACGTTTCATAGTTACGACAAAACAGAGGTGTTGTAACGCGTTATTCTCTATATTTGAAGCCTTGTCACAGACTCTCACAAATCTAAGGGTAGCCGCCAGTGATAGTGAGAACTTGACCTGTTGAGAACAATTGTGAGTGATATGAGCCATTTCAAATGGATGATGTCTGCGAAGTCGAAATGCTTACCATTTATCCAGCCTCCATCTTCTGACATTAGAAAAGCAACAACTCTGGCAATATCCTCTGGCACACCACAGCGACCAAGAGGCGTGCGGTTGGCGACCATCGTCTCGATAGTCCTGAAAGGCCAATCGGCGGTTGCACCAGGTATGTACCGCCAGGCATTCTCATAGAACATATCAGACACGACACCTCCAGGAGCAATTCCATTCACAGTTATACGACGAGGCCCGAAGTCCGTCGCAAATGCCTTGACCATACCGACAACAGCCAACTTCGATGAGTTGTACAGGGCGTGATCCTTAATTCCAAGCGCACCTGCTGCCAGGGAACTCATAAGAACGACGCGGCCGCCGTCTTGCAGATACTTCCAGGCAGTTTTAGCAACGAAGAACTGGGACTTGGTGTTCAGCGAGAAAACGTAATCGTACTGTGCCTCGGTGATCTCTTCAGTCTTGTCGAAGGACTCGGCACCGCTATTGCTGAAGACAAAATCAATCCTTCCATAGTGACTTGCCGCCTCCTGGAACAGTCTCTCGATCTCAGTCACCTTGGTCACATCGGCTTGTATCGATATCGCAGCATCCTTGGAGCCTGTGACATCCACAATGGCCTTGACTGCATCATCTGCGGCTTGTTTGCTCTTCGCATAATTGATGACGACTTTGCAGCCGCGTCTGGCAAGCTCAAGAGCACAACCACGGCCAATACCTCGGCTTGCCCCTGTGATCAGGGCCACTTTTCCATGCAAAGAGGCTGTCGGAACCAAAACTGGCTGGGAAGACATGATCGAGGACAGAACGAGCCAATGCAGACCTGGTTGAGTCGAGTACGATATGCAATAGAACCCATGTAATGACAGCTATCTCAGAAATGGTGATAATACGGGTGGGTTTTCGGAACTCAACAAAATTATAGTAAATTGAGTTCTTCAACATCACCGCGTTGGGAAAGCTTAAGGTGTACGTGTGGCATGCCTTCGCGATTCGCGCGACGCTTGCTGCCCGGGGCCGTTGTGTGTCCAGACCGGGACCCGGCTGCCGAGTTCAGCAAGCTCCACCGCCGCTCCTTCACGGCTTACAGCATCCCCTCGCGAGCTCGGCATTATCGTGCTTATACCCTCTGGTGTTGGTTTACGTTTCCTTGCTGCTGATTTATAAGCATTTGGATACAGCTGAAAAGATCCTTGCACCCGGGTTCATCAACACACATGTTCACTCCTGGTAAATGATTCTTTTACTCTCTTTCTTTTTCTTTTGAAAGTTTCATCGAGACAACGCATGGGCAGTTTGTTCATCAGCATGTCGGACACATGACAAGACTAATCGATTCTGAATGCCCCTCCTTTGACTTTGTATTATTTATTGGAATGAGAACTCCCCTGACTTTTCACAAACTCTGAAGGCAGACTGTTTATCGGACACTCGGTCCGAATGTTATCTTAGCAAACTACTTTGACTGGCTAAGTCAAATATCGCCAACAGCTGTTAAAGCCTTTACTCCCGAGGACATCTACATCGGCTCCCTAGAAGGTTACCTGGAAGGACTCAATGCCGGTGTCACTTCATATGTGGAACATGCTCACAACAACTGGGACGGTGCCGTGGTGAAGCCGGGTTATCAAGCCGCTGTTGATAGCAAAACCAGAGTCTGGTGGTGTTACGATATTGCTTCACGGCCCGACTTCCCAGTGGAAGAGCAGTGGGGGATAATCAGCGAGATAGCCGCCAAAATCAGTCTAGCAAAAGCCACTGAAGCGGCTACGGAAAGAGTCTGTCTCGGATTATCACTTGATGGTCTCTCTGGTAGCTCATTCGGCGACGCCATCCAGGAAATAGGTGTAAAGGCGAAGCAGCTCGGTGTCCAAGCCTTTACTATGCACCATATGGGAGGCCCCTGGCCGCAAGGCAATAGCTCGGCGGCAAATATGGGGAAGCAAGGCTTACCAGATGCTGGAATCCCTATAATCTTCTCCCATGCTCCATTTCTGACTGATGAAGATATGAGCGCGCTCCGAGAGCACGACATGTTCGTCTCGATTACACCGGAATCAGAATGTCACTTCGGTCACGGACAGGTCACCGGGAAGCTGATATCTGACCATGCTTCTCTTGGCTTTGACACAAGTTGGACCTTCTCCGGGGACATGATCGGCCAAGCACGGTTGTGGCTACAGACAGTCCGCAACAACAGTTACACGAAGACCTTGGTGGAGAAGGAGAAGCTCCCTAACATGAATCCCATGACAGTCGAACAGGCCTTTTTGTTAGCCACTCGTCAGGGTGCGAGAGCGCTGAAGCGTGACGACATCGGTGTTCTGCAAGTCGGGGCCAAGGCAGACCTGGTCGTCTTCTACGGAGACTCCCCAAATATGCTCGGCTGGAGCGATCCTGTCGCGGCTGTGATATTGCATGCTAATCCAGGGGACGTGCAGCACGTTCTCGTCAGCGGAGAGTTCCGCAAGCGAGACTTTGAGCTAGTAGTAGACGTGCCTGGGGGCTGGTCTGGCGTGCGAGATCGATTCGTAGAGGCAGCGCAGCGGATTCAGGTACAGGTGAAAACGCCTCCCTCGCTCCCGGGCAAGTTATGGGGCATCGGTGAATTGGGAGATGTCGAGATCTCAACCACAGCTCGAATCATTGACGGCTAGATTGTTTCCTTGTCCAATTTTGTGCGGTACTATGCATCTGACCAAAGTCTTGCTTCAATCTACTTGGTATCACGTTATGATCCAAATCCATCTTCATACTTGACCAAAATCACAAGCCAGGAGAATTGGCGGAGAAAGGGTTACAATGGTTGGGCAGACCCTCTTCTGTAAAAAGTACGAAGTGGTCTCGCGGAGAAAAAGCGACTGGTCTTTCAAGAGGCTTTGCTATCCCTAGATACTTCCACATGTCTGCACACACCGTATGGCCGTTGTGGTGTTCCCTCTTCTGAGGGCCGGGAAGGAGGAGGAAGGCATCAAAGTCTAAGCTCCCTCGCGTGGGCTGAGGCCCAACAATTGGCATCAAATCAGGACTAGAAGGCCTCAAAGTGTGGCCGGTACATATTTCACAGCTTGTCTGCTCTGAAATTGTGGAGTAATGTTTTTGAATTTTTGGGGAGGAGGAGGCGGGGCGCAGTCGTCTTCCGGAGTGGTTCCCAACCGAAGGCCACAAGGTTGAAATACCTAGCAGATGTCAAACTTATCATTGTATGACATCTGAAGACCAATCTGAGCGCAGATAGTAATTGAGGAAATATGCACTGTTGAAGTCAAGGGACGGTTGTTGGGACGAAATCAAACCAGACAGGCAACTTCCTCAGCATCCACGCCTCGGGGAGCGAGAACGACCACGGCAAGTGTGATATTGAGAGGTTATTTGATGAAATGTAATTGGCAGTAGCGTGAAGGTTTTGTGTTACCCTTGGCCCGCAATACATGATGGCCCCGGGTCAACAGCTTCTCCTTCTCTCTACAAAGCGGTTCGTTCTTCGTGGATGCAGGTTTGGCACCTGGTCAACCTGCTTTGGACGTGGCAGGTGAATTTTGGTGTTTCCAGTGTAAATTGTGCATCAGGATACACAAGCACACGTTCACTCGTGCCGGATTCCCATCTTCTTACTCAAAGTCAACTTCTCTGAAGTGAATGTTCTTGGATTTGTAATTCTGCACGAAGTGAAGCGAAGGTTCGAGGTGAGGCAGTGCTGAGTAATCACGGCCACGGCCGCCAAGGGGTCCGGCCTAGACTGGACTGGCTTGACTCAGCCTCTTGCCAGCCAGGCAGTCAGGCAGGCAGTTCCGTCAGTCACCAGTCACCGGTCACAGCCATCAGTCAGCAAGTCAGCCGCTAGGCTCGGTCCCTCTGAAACCCATCAGTTAACTCTCTGACGCTCCACTCCCAAAGCCTGCCTGACCGGATCCAAACATCATCTTTCCTTCTTACCCATCGTCAGTCGTTCTTTCACTTGCGAACCCGCAACTCTCACCATCGTCTGCCACTTTGGTGCCGTCGATCTTTGAGAACGGTTGACTTGGTTTCTGACCTGCTTTTCTTTCTCGACGGGGACAAAGCGCATCGACTCAGATCGCATTGTTGTTCGTGGAGGACACCTTCACTGGTTGCAGTCAAGGGGGTCGGCGACAAAGCAACAACACACGCGTTTACGCAGTGAACCGACTTCCTCTGCCTTATCTCGAGCAAACACGCTAGCGCTACACGGTTACGTTTCGACTTGCGGAGCGTCAACCTACGGTGGTCGTCGAGTTATCGGCATTCCTCACGAACCTTCCTGTGTTCGACCGTGTTATCTCCATTCAGCACACCGCGGCGCTTCCATCTCGGCGACGGCAACACACGAGGGTGGAGGGTCAAGGCGATAGAGGCTCATAATCAGCAACAACCAGTTGACAGGGCCGTCGCTACCGACGTCCCTGCAAGACCGCCAAGACGCATTCACCACTCTTCCGTTCAGTTGCTACGAACATTCTCTCGAGAAATTCAGAAGACATCCCCGATACCCACATCGTGCAGGTGATCAAGTCGCACAGGGCAGGGCTCAGGAAAGAGAAGAGAGCGAGAAAGAATATATACGTCGCCCAGAAGAGACAGCCCAAGACCTTGCGGTCTCAGCAGACCATCAGCCAGTCCTTCTCGAGTTCGAAGCCGATTAAACAGACTGCGCGAAAGCAAACGGCCAGAACATTGGGAAGAGACCGTGGGGTACTCGGCGAGGTGGTTAACGACTCCTTGTCAGTCACCTTGGGCACCAACACCATGGCGTCTGCAACTTCGGCCACGATGGGTGCCGGAGGCTCCGACGATGACTACAAGGAGAATGACCAAGTCTCTCACATCATGATGTGCCCTGATTGCAAGGAGTTCCCGCCCAATTTGGCCGAGGAGTTTAGTAGCGGTGACATGGTGTGCGCAACTTGTGGGCTCGTGGTGAGTTGGCATCTTGGCTTTGCAGCATACTGATACTGACCGGAGTCGGCACAGGTCGGAGACAAAATCGTTGACACGCGATCTGAGTGGCGTACGTTTGCCAACGATGACACAAACAACGATGATCCTTCGCGTGTCGGTGACGTTGGCAACCCTCTCTTCGAGGATACCGTCGCGACGTTGCAGACCTCAATTGGCAGCGAGGGTAGCAACTCGTTTCATTTGATGAAGACGCAGCAGAAGACAGTTGAGAAGGGAGCGAAGAACCTCAAGGAAGGTTTCTCGCAGATCAAGACCCTCACCGATGCTCTCCAAGTTGGCAACAACGTCCGCGACACCGCCATGCACATCTTCAAGCGTATGTACACCAATCCTTGATTTTAGAAAATTTTGAAAAGCTTTACTCACATCCAACAAAAGTCGCCGATGAGAAGAAATTCTTGAAGGGCAAGCCCCAGGAAGCTGTCATTGCAGGATGCATCTTCGTCGCGTGCCGTCAAGGCGGTGTCGCCAGAACCTTCCGAGAGATTTTCAACCTGACCCGCGTTTCCAAGAAGGAGATCGGCAGGGTCTTCAAGCTCCTAGAGAAGTTCTTGGTCGACATTCAAAACGAGGGCGACAAAATTGGCCATAGCGCTGTATCCACCGTCCACAGCTTTGAGCAGCGAGGTTCGACTAATGCGGAGGATCTCGTCCGCCGATACGTTTCTCAGTTGGGCGTCCGCAATCAGTCCGAAGTCGAATCTGTCGGCATGCTTATCGCGAAGAAGACTGGACAGGTTAGCACCCTGGCCGGACGCTCTCCTCTGTCGGTTGCTGCGGCCTGCATCTTCATGGCTACCCACTACTTGGGTGAGGCCAAGACATCCAAGGACATCGCCGTGGTGGCTGGTGTGAGTGACGGTACTATCAAGACCGCCTACAAATACCTTTACGCCGAGAAGGAGTCCTTGCTCGACGCGGAGGCTTTTCAGAAGAGCCGTGGCCGGGGTAAGATCGAGAAGTTGCCTGCTGCATAGGTTGACGAGGCAACTCGATCCCTTTGTGTCAAGGCTCCAACGCCTGAGCCTTCCTTCGTCGCGAGTCACATCCCGCTTGTGAGCTCGAATCTGAGGTGTCAGTACCTTGTTGATCCGTCGAACCAGTCACCCACAACTGGGCTGACTGGACGCACTCGTTACATCACGAATATTCAATCGTCCGCCGCCCGCCGACGTGAATGATCCAGTGAAAGAGAGGGGCATCAGTACGGTCATGATACGTCTGAGTTTCATCGCACTGAATTCGCTCGCCGGTTTCATTTGGAAGGGTGTTTGCCTAGCCTGCATGGTCATCGGTTGGTATTGCGAGGAATGATCAAGATTGGGCCAAAGAAGAGGTCAGCTACACATCAGGCATTAGGTACAGCAGATGAATTACTCATTTAGCAACACCTTTGCTCCTGCTTGTGACTAACTTATCCTGGACCTTTTTGGCTTGATGTGAGAGCCAAGATAACACATGTCGTCCTGCTAATGTGTCCTACAGAAAGTAAATTCTTATCGAAATGCCCACAGTAAGGTAGGTACCTTTTTGCTCATTTCTGGCGCCCTAGATATATAAACCCCCCTGTAAATGCTACACTTGAATACAAAACACACAAACATCAATATCTCATAAAAACGGTCCGAGTGACTGCCGTATAAATGTTTTTACAGTAACCGCTGCGCCCTGACTGAGTAAGTGACATCTACACCAAAAAAACAATAAGGAAGAACATAGATTTGTTTGTGTAAGACTTGAGCATTACTTTAAAAGGCATGTTGCCTCAAATCCAAGCAATCCGCTTTTAATTGTGTATTCGCCGTCGTCCCTTGATTGATAACGCACCTGATAAGCCAAAGTGGGTCCGACCGCTTCAATGATTGGGCCAGGCTAGACAGCCTAGCTCCAAAATTCCTAGGCACGTATGTCGCGTCCAACCTCGTCTTGCGCTTCCGTTGCACTCAGCCCAAGGATTTGACTTCGAACCCTCAATTCCCTTATCACCTCCAGTAAACTCTCACCTATCTCAATCGAGGCTCCATTCATACCAGCTCAGATCTGGGACAGTCTATCAGGATGTCGGGTCGGAGGTCAGGTAGAGCTGCTGCTAAGCGCGCAGCCGCAGCCCTGGGTAAGTCTTTCATGGGAGCATCCCGACCAACCCTAGCCACTGGCTCCTCTTTTCCCCTTCCTAGGGTACAGTGGTGTCGGGCTTCGCATCTGCCATCATTCTCCTCTGTCCCCAGTCTTTCTTGCTTCGACTTGGGGACAGCTGCATCTCTTTGCTATCGGGGGCACTTGATCAGCTGCAATCTGCCTGCCAAGGACAATGTCTAACCCTGTCTCAGAGAACACCCCCAAGACATGGAAGGAACTCGAGGACGATGATGAACACATGCCCGATGTCGAACAAGATGACGATAAGAAGACGGATGGAGACGGAGACGGAGATGGAGATGGAGACGCCACGGATGGCGAGGCTTCCGCCGTTGCTGAGAATGCTGAAGAGGAGGTCGAAGATGCGCCAGAAGACAAATCACCCAGTCCTCCACCTCAACCAGTCGTACGACGTAAGCGACTCGGTCGCCCGCCCAAGGTGAAGCCTCCAGGGTGGGATGAGGGCATCGAAGTGCCGCGAGACGATGCGACTCCACGACGACGTGGCCGTGGAGGCTGGCGCGGCCGAGGTGGACGCAAGGGCCAGCCAGCTCCCGTCACACAGCAAGCCATCGAGAAGGACGGCCCGGTATATGATATCATCGAAGACGAACTCGCTCTACCAGAGGATCCTGAAGGCGAGACCAGAGTGGATAAAATGGGCTATCTGCAAGGGGGTCGCGAGTATCGCTGTCGGACTTTCACCATTCAAGGCCGCGGTGACCGCTTGTACATGCTGTCCACAGAGCCTGCTCGCTGCGTTGGCTTTCGAGACTCTTACCTGTTCTTCACCAAGCACCGCCGTCTGTACAAGAGCATCGTGACCGATGAAGAAAAGCGCGACATGATTGATCGCGAGCTGATACCTCATTCCTACAAGGGTCGATCCATCGGCGTGGTCACAGCGCGATCTGTGTATCGCGAGTTCGGTGCATTGATCCTGGTCGGTGGTCGCTGGATTGTCGACGATTACGATATTCAACGCTCAAGAGACGAGGGTCACGTTGAAGGAGCGCTTGCAGACCCCAACGACAAGTATAACCCCACCGAGCCGTACAACAAGAACCAATACGTCGCATGGTTCGGTGCCAGTCAAGTGTACCACACCAGCGCCCCTATCGCGACTACTCAGGTGGCAGAGCTTAAGAAACGTCGAGTTGCTGTCAACGACGTCAACTGGATGTTTGAGCATGTTCGAGAAGCTTCGTCAGTAGGATGTCCCTTTAGTCAACGCACTTCAGTGCTAACATTCACTACAGGAACTTTAACGCCCAAATCAACGCAATACGTCGGCGCAACAACAAGGGAGTCTACGACGTCCATACCAACACCATCCAGTACCCTGCCATCATGCAGCCTACACAAGCGCGCATCGAACCGGTCGGTCCGTCAGACGATGACAACCTCAATGTTGGGTCCCAAATTTTCCCACCTCTGAGTCCCAACATTCCGCGCAATTTCATGGTCACGGACACCTACTTCGAGACCCCGCCCGCAGGGATCGCCGCCGTCACCTACGATAATGCGCCAAAGGGTATGGCCAACGGCGAACAGGGCTCTGACTTCCTTGCACCATTTCGCGGGCTCAGCGCAATCAGCGATGAGATCAAGGACTGCCTGCCTCCAGAATGTCGTGAGGCTTTTGACAAGGCGGTTGCACAAGAACAGAACTGGCATGCTAAGTGGGGAGTGGAGGCGAGCGCCAAATCCAGGCGAAATCCTGTAATTGACAAGGCCATTGTGCCGTACAGCGCTCGGTAGACCATGCCTCATGGAAAGTCGTGTATAATCGTGCCTCAAGCTGATCACCAGGCTCCAATCTATTCGAGGCAGGTATAGGACCGGCTTGCAAAGCATAGTAAAGCCCTGTTGAAGTGATCGCATGCTGGAAGGGGCCCTTAGCGATTCCATTGCTCTGACTGTGCAGGAGACTGTTCTACAGCCGACACCATGAAGCACCTGGGAATATTGTCGAGGGCCCGAATCGATGGCGCGGTGAAAAGACCTAGCCTTTGGGCCGCATTACATGTACATTAGATACCCTTCACCCATTATTGCCAGAGAGGCATGCACGACAGATACTACTGGGGTAAGGAGTTTAGGAATTATGATACCGACGAAGACGTGTTTAATGAAATTTGGGTGCAAGTTGGCATATTTCGGTTTCTTTTTCGGTCTATTCTCACTGCCGATGCTTAACACTGCGGCTTTCACATTAATAAGATGCTGATATAATAAACCAAAACATTGAAAGGCTTGAACTTTGGCGGTGACATGTTGTGACCTGTGGCATAAATCGGACTGTAGATTAATGGACTGAAGAATGCGTGCCGGTGGCTTGCAAGACTGGTAGACTAGCTCATCTGTGTTCACCTTGCCATGAGGTTCAGACTCACTGCCCATTTGACATCACTTGTATGATGCCATTTTGTGGACTACGAGAACCATTTCCATCACTCTCGGTGTTGTCGCCAGCGACTTGCAGCTGCCTGGTCCCGGACCAAGTTATGTATTCTTATTACTGCCTTCCAATGATGCCAGAGGAAACCCGCCATATTGTGCGTCTTGTCCGTCATGCCCGTACACTCTCATATAGTTGTTGTTGACCGTGGGCAGTGACGCCGCGTTGATTTCCATTGAGATTCTGTCCAACATGGCACAGCAACCAGAGACACTTGTCAAGTCCACGCCGGTATCAACAAGCATTCGGCAGACCAATATATTCGTCAAACTTGGTACTTCATATTGTTACTAGACTGGCTCAGTAACATCAATGGTCTATCAAAACAGTATCGCTCTTCAGGCGCTTGTCTGCTGAAAGTGGCCATTCATGCGCGATAAGAATCTTCATTAACGCTCCGAATTCACATCGGTGTGGTGGAATTGTTCACGAACAAGTCCGGTCTGAATTTAGCTTGTTACGCCTCGAATCGCTGCCGAATGTGCCTGTGTGTTGTATTACTGTCGGTCAACACCAGCGAGGTTCCCAGCCCCTTCTCGTCGCCGTTCGGTCCCTTGTCCTGTGTCGACCGAATATTCCACATGGTTCGGGCTCGAGGTGGATATTCTGCATCGCCTAATGTTACTGAGAGGTCGATCACACCTCAGTATCCACTTTGACAGCGGCCCAACTGGGCGGTTGCGGCAAATTTGAGCTGGCTACCTGATTACATCGTATCTGAGGCTGGGAGGGAATACGCCGCTGTCGTCAGGTCCTGGTGGTTATCCCGGATGTCAAAACCACGGTGGACATCTCACGTGCTACGTACGGACTAGACCACAGAGCCTCATCGTCAAGGCTCCTGCCACAGTATTCCATCACCTGGCTGATGACGCCCGAGTGGCAAAGGCCCACATGCTCCTCCAGTGGCTGGCGGCAACCATTTTGCAAGAAGGCCGCAGGCTTGGCCGTGGCCATTCCTTTGGACCTACTGTACTGTATTGGGAGATGACACAACCTTGACGCCGTTGATGCTCGTCACAACCCCTCTAGCCTTTGTGTAATGAGCTCTGCGAATGCACGCATGTACACATTCCAAGGGGGGATAAACTTCTGAATTATTCCGAAGCAAACCAAGGGTCCAGTGACGTCAAGCCGTCCGAAAGGACCGTCCCCGACTCCCCGGGGTTTGGGAGCATTTTGAGCCTATTGCAGACCACGGAAGTTCAGCTCGATGCGTCAGGGATGCAGAATGTACTTTTTATGCAGTGCGTCGAAGCACCTCGAGCTGCCAGTGCTTGCGGAGAGGAACGTACCGTGTTCGGCCTCTCCCTCTCCTCCTCGTCGGATCAGCAAGATCAGCAGCAAAGCCGCCCGCGCCGCGGCGTCATCACCCGCTGCCCGCCTGGGCCGACTGGGCGAGGGACAGGCCGAGCGGGCTGACAGGTTTTGGCCTGCGACGAATCGATGGCGGCTACCTTGACACAGGGCGCCGATCAGAAGAGGCACAGAGGGAAAGGGAGCATCACCCCTTAGACAGAGCAGGACCGCGTGGGAAGATTAGACCACGGCTCAGCCGGATGTTACCTTGGCTGCTGTAGGGGGTGGACAGGCAGCAGACAGACATCATCGTCCACGAATGTTTCTCTTGGAGTAACCTGAATGACTGACTGTAGTGGTAGTCGTTGGCCCTCATTTCAGTCTAATCCAAGCAAGCAAACTGCAGGATGGGCTGATCGCCCACGCATGGGACACGGAATAAATCAAGAGCCCTGCGTATTTCCCTTCCGTGATGGGGTGAGCAGGTGCGACAACAACCACATCCTCCGTTACAGCCCCCGGTCTTACGCCACGCTTCAGGTGATGTGAGCGTCCTGACGCCCTGCCACACACACGGGGGGCAAACTCCAGCCCAGAGTGGCCTGGGCAACTCTGCCTTTGCTCCGGGACGAGAGCCACCAGAAAGGGGGATGACGACGAATATTATTTCTGGCCGTCCAACGGCGAGAGCAGGAAAAGACGCGCTACTGCAGCTACTTTAAACTCTCCAGCCCCGCCTGGGCAGGTCGCTGGCGCGGCGTGCGGGCTTAGGATCCCATCTCAACGGTCAGATACCCGCGTCTAGCCAGCGAGTCGACTCTTCGTCACATGGTTTCTGCGGCATCCTTCTTCGCTGACACTGGCTCCTGCAGACCCGTGCAGCTTACCAGGACGCCATCTTGATGCCAACGACATGTCCTCCCATGTTGGATCACGCCAGCAGGCAACTTCCGTAAGCTTCACTGGGTTGAATGTGGCCAAGGTTTGCCCAGTTTACCCGATAGGTTGTGACCGGTACAAATTTGGCCACGAAACTAGAGCGCGCCAATGCCAATAATCTCACATCTGACCAAGATCAGTCAATCAGTCATGACTCTTTAGATTCGGAGTAGTTGACTGGTTCGGCAGCTGCCATGACTGTTGTGGTAGCCTGTCTGCCTGCAGAGAGAGGGGAACCTCGCTCCAGGACTGACGTGGTGGTGGTGCAAAAGCTGGGCCCGCCGCCGCCGAAGTGACGAGGGGGAAAATTCCCTCGTCATGATTTGGGTGACGGATGTCATTCTACGCCCTGCCTCTCCTTAGCGAGGCGGGTTGCCTGTCGTCTGCCTGTCTGCGTGATCGTCCCCTCTCACATCATGGGGACAGGGTTAGCAGAGAAGAGAAAAAAAACTCTAACGTCTTAGATCTGCATATACCGAGCGCGCGGGTCCACCGCAGGAGTCTAGAATTGGTCGGAACGGGGTAGGACGGGATTTGTCGTGTGGTCTTTCTGAAGCCTAGAGACGCAGCAACTCCTCATCGGTGCTGTGGCCAGGCAAGTTGTCAACCAACCGCACCTGCCACGCCTGCGAGGGGGCCTGCATTTCCACCCCACACAGGATCCGTGGGGTGTTCAGTTCGCCATTCGCTGTCATGCATCGACAGGATAGCAGTCATGCCTGAGTCTCTGCGGGGCGACGGGGGGCGACTGCTTATTCACCACGGCGCGGAATGGCTGCGGGCGCCTGCAGGTTGCTGTTTCCATGCATGCGACAAAAATTCAAATATTCGGGTCTCTTGACAGATGCGCGGCAATGTTGAGCCGCTCGAGGTGCCTGTTTCAATCAACCGACGACGCAGGCGGCGCGACACTCGCCCCAGCCAGAGTGAAGACCCTGTTTGTACACGAGAGGCGAATCAGCGGCACCTCGTGATGTCAAGAACCATGTCAACGTGCGTTCTAAAGATGGAACGCCCGAATTTTCCTGGTTGGGCACTCAGTTGCAATTTCGAATCTTCCGGACTAAGTCGGGACGGAACATCGTGGCTTTCAAAGATCCTGCACAAGATCTGCCGAGGCGGGAAACGCTTTGGCAGTGGATATCGATCACAACCACTGTTCTGGGTCCGGTACCAGCACCCGGAGTTGCAAGTATCAGATACTAACGGCACGCATGGAGGCACAGATGATCCAGGTCGCGACTCGCTTTCCGGGTGCGGTTAATCCGGACGACTGAGACCCTGAGTGTAGTCTGTGGATGGACAGTTTAGGTCCGGGCCTTGGACGAGTTGGAGGGTGCACTAGGGAAAAGCACGGAAACTTTGCTTCTCGGCGATGGAGATGCGCTTCTCCGATATCCTTGGTCATCGCCCGGCCGGCTGGTAGACGACTCCGACAAGCCAGGAAACCCTCGGTACTGCTTAATCTACGTGAGGTCGAAATGCGCTCGCGGACCTCATGCCAGGTTGCGGTGAGGCAGACGAGAAGAAAGGCGGTGGAAGGAGGAGAGGTAATTTGGCTACCAAAGCCTAGCCCCGCACTGACATCCGCATCGTCGGGCTCCTAGGGCAGTGGAGGTGTCGTGACAGTGACAAAGCCAGCTGGGCCGGCTTCACTAAAAATTCTCACGAGGGGTACTCCAGTCTTTCCTGCACCGCCATGCTCGTGTCCTGCTTGCCGTTGACTCTTGAGAGGTGAGGCAGTGAGGGGGGGGGGTGGACGAGCCGGGAACGGTCCGCATTCTCGTTCCTCACCAATCATCCGGCTCTAGCTCGGAGACCCGTTTTACTGCTAGCGAGAATTCTCTGTCTGTGTGAGTGGAGAGACCACCGACGCTTGGAAGGCTGGCTCAAAAAAGGCAGGCACCCAGTTGGGAGATTCTTGCAGTAAGGATCGACAGGTCGAGACGGGCCGTTTCTGTCGTGCGGGCAGCTCGTGATTCGATTGAGCTTGCGCTTGGCCTGCCATCTTTGACAGGAAAACCAGACCGACGTAGGGCACTATGGCACGTCAGGTAGTAGAAGTGCGTAATGGGCGGGGATGGTGTAAAGGAACATTGATGAAAGCCCGGCCGAGTCGAGACTACGGGATTGAGATTGGCACCTGTCCCTGACAGCCAGGCTCGATGTGTCTTTGTTCGCAGTTTATTTTCAGGCACAGAACCCTCCGCCCGGAGCCCTGGCTCCATCAGGTCCGCATCAGGTCAACACGGAGCAGGCCAGTAGCCGGTCTTCGAATGCTCGAACCAGGCTCGGTGGTGCGTCCCTGTTGGTAAATGAGACTCACGTTCGACGTGGAGGTGTGCCAGAAATGGATTAGACGAACATCCGAACAACGGTGCCCATTGCCGGACCGCTGAAGAGAGCAGGTTGGCTTTACGACTCGGATCAAAAAATCCGATAGGCTGGTACACCGGAATTCGTCTGATGGTTCATTTGTTTCTCGATGATTTCTTCCTCTCAGCTGCTCGTCGGAGTTGCCAAATGTGACGCTGACTCGTGTCGGAGGTTCACCGTTCGCTTGAACTTTTACAGCCAAGCGCAGGGGTGGCCCCCATCGAGAGCATCCGTCCACAAGGCGTTCGAGAAGGCAAGCAACATGTCGACGTAAATTACAGCAGGCAGATGGTGCATGACAACCACAAGGTGATCAATCGATCACAACCAGACCACTAACTTCCAACAGATGCTGAGGCCCAGCCCGGACTTACGTGGACTCCGGTCAGTGTGGCCTGGTCTGCCTGGTGGCCCCGCGGCCATGGCGTGTGCAGACATCAGTACCGCAGCCCTGGGCCATGTCGGGGTTTCGTCAGTAGTTCCTGTCAAGGCGCGGACTGTAACAGCCTCGCCAGCCTCCCCTGCCACCGGACAGGGCACGTTTCTGGGTGACAGGCGGTGCCATCCATTGCAGACTGCTTCAGACGTCCTGCGGCCCAGCGGCAAATGTGAGTGTGTCGACCTGAGACGTCTGCAATTGCCGCTTGGTGGCTGGCGGAGCGTGTTTGTGTGTATGTGTGTGACTGTGTCCAGGCCGCGGATGACAGCAGCCAGGATCGTGCTGAATAAACAGGCACGGGATCAGGCCTTGATGCAGTTGATGTTACGCGTGAATGGCCATGCTTGTTGGCTTTGTTGTGAGAGATCGAAGGGAAGCTGCCCTGCCGCCTCGGTGTTCCAGAATTCCCAGGGTTGCCATGGAAGCAATTTGATTGTTGGCAGTGCCCCTGATGAAATTGCGAGTAAATTGTCTGCCCGTCCAGCCGCCGTTGATGAGACCCTGATTTTTTTTTACGAGCGTAAGAGCGGGCCAAAATAAACTCCTCCTCCACCCACTCGCCTTGCAGCCACTTCCTTACCAGTTGATCAGCGGATGAGTCTGTCCTGCAAGACGATGGGCATTCTCATCCATCAGCTGATGCAAGCGGGTGGCACGCGATGCTAAATAATGTGTAGCACCGATCAGGGCAAAGGAGCCTGAAGGGAGGCTGGAGCTGCCTGGAGGTCGATGGTCGCACCGACTTCATGCAACTGGAGCAGCAGATGGGATACGCGATCGAAGTACACTCACTCGCGGGCGACTTGGATCACATTTCTGGCCGTTTAGGGGGAGCCGATCGTTCCGCGGCCAGCAAACAACAGGGACCCTCAGACAAAACATCGACCAGTGTCATCAGATGCTTCAACAACCCAACTGTGATGAAGATGATGGTGAGGGTCATGTATGTACATGCTGCCCAGACTGCATGATGCTGTCTGGTTTGGTTTCCTTGGAGCCAATCAACCAGGGGCTGGGACTGGAGCGGGCTGATCAGGATGCAAAGGGTCGATGCTCCGAACGGGAGCGCGATTATTGGCTCGACAGGCGGTGAGGTTGACGTCGCATCCCCTGCTGGCGAGAGTCGAGCGAAAACGACAGTGCCCATGAGGTGGACTGCAATTGGGCGCCGGATGGGGTTCTCGAGCAGGGCCCATCCGGCTGCCACGGTTGGGATCTCGACCCCTGCCTGGCTCTGCAGGTGGAGGAGGAGGAGGAGGAGGAGGAGGAAGAACCTCGGGCTGGGACCAGGGCCCATGACCAGGACCAGGACCAGGACCAGGACCAGGACCAGGACCAGGGCGGGCGGCGCTTCATCACGACCTCAGAGTGACCTGTGCTCCATTGCCCGTGTGCCCGTTTGCTGACAAAAGCCAGCCTCTGGCCAGAGCTCCAGATGTCCAGATGCCCAGCCAGCCCAGGTGCCCACATGCCCAGCGCCAGATGCTCCTCATCAGAGTGGTCTGTGCTTTGCTGCGCGGTGCTGGGCTCTGCATTCTCTCGCGCCGGCATGGAGACGATCTCGTCCCTCGTCCCTCGTCTCTCGTCTCACACACATGTCTACTTTGCCGTGGCTCAAGCGGCGGGACATAGCAGAGGCTAGTGAAGCAAGTTCGGTCTTTTCTCCGAGCCTTGACTCTCTGATGACCTTCAGGAAATGAAGCTCCCAAGTTTGGCTGCTTGGGCATTGTGATGAAGAGGGCTGAGGAAAAACAAGGGGCCCTCGGGACAGTGGAATCGAATCATCAATCCAGGAACTGGGACCAGGACTGGGACCGGGACTGGGACGGGGATTGAGACTGGGCCTGGGGCTGGGACTGGGAGGCAGGTAGGGAAGGGCGGCGAGAGGAGGCAGAGAGTCGCTCGCTGGCCGGCTCGCGTGGCACTCCACATCCACATCCACATCCACACCCTGTGGCCGTTGGTTTCCCTGCCATTCCCATTCGCATTCCCCACTGGCCGGGGGATGCCTTGGCCATTCCCAGATTAGCAAATTTGGCTAGCAGGACCTGAACTTTCCTGAACCTGAACTTTTGGAGTTGAAGGAGACGGCCCTGCAGCAGCCCTTAGTGGCCCCAAATCATGGCCGTTTTCCGTGCTGAGACAGACGCGATGGTGGCTCATATGGCAGTTAATTGGAGGTACCTAGTGTACTCGAGACGACGAGATTGGTACCGTGTACAGAGCGCAGTCTACCATCTACACACACACATACGCACATACAGACCACCAAGTTCTGTACTGCTTGATGCCCAGGTGACTTCATCTGCTGTACTTCAACAGCTTTTTTTCCTTCCTTCTCGTGCAATGGCCCATAAATCTGCACAGGGTTGGTTTCCTTAGCCTGACCTGGCCAGCCCAGTCCAGGTCGGTGCCCGTGGCCCTGATGTCCCGTCTTGTCGTGTCTGGCTGCGCGTGTGGGTGGGTGTCAGGGTGGGTGTCTGGGTGTCAAGTGTCTGACCTGTACCAGCCTGTGTGCCGACGGCCCAGCACCCAGGTCCTACCAGGTGCGGGTGCGGGTGCAGGTGCAGGTGTGCGGGTGTGCGGGTGCGGTGGCCCTTGCCCCCCCTTCATTCAGACACTCGTCATCAAGCACCCGCACCATTCTTTGCTCGCTTCGCCTCCTCCAACCCTGCGTGCCCGCCAGCCCGCCTCAACCGTCAAACCATCAATCTCTTTTTCCTTGTCCCCATCCCACCACATCCTCCACTTTCATCCGCCCAGATCATTACTTCTCCTCTCCCCCATCTCCGTCTAACCTCCTCTCTCTCTCTCGCCTTTGACTTGACTTGTCACGCAGCGGAATCCTCTCACGTCCACCTTCGACCCAACCTCGACCACGGCCAAATTGACTTTTGTGTCGTCCAAGTCAGGGATTCCGGTGCTTGCACAATCATCGACGCTTTTCTCTTTTCATTCTGCGGTTTGGTCAGTCATTCAGTCAGTCAGGAACAGGTGAACGAAACCACGGCAGTCGGTCGAAAACAGCCAGAGCCCATCTGGCCCCCCCCCCGGTCCGATTCCTGCAAGACGAGTGCAGCGCAGCGCAGCGCAGCGCAGTGCATGGGTAGCCCGTTGCCCAGTGCACAACTCACCAGCACCACTGCTTCCAGCATCTCCCTCGCGCTCGCCCCCTCGCCCTTGTTGGTAGGCATTTTCTACACCCGACCATCACCACCCGATCGGTCTGCTCAAGACAGCAGAGCAAGCAAGCAAGACAACAAAGCAATCATAGCCGATTTGCAAATCGTCGACACTCTTGCCAAATCCTCATTCCTCATAGTCTTGTCTAGCAGGTCAGTTGTCTCCCTTCTCCCTCTCTCCTTTCAAGGCTCTCTGCATTCACTCGCGTACACCCTCATCCATGCACCCTCTGCATCGTCGAGAATCACTTGTCACACGTCTTCATTTCCATTCCTGCGCTTGACACACCAGGCGACTGGGTGAGGCGTGGCTGCGGCTGCTGGCGCTGGTGCTGGTGCTGGGGCAATTTCAATCCTCGGCACAATTTGGCGACGCGGGCCCACACCACCCATTTGTTTTGGTCCCTTCCACCCTCGCTCCAGCACTCCTGTTGGCCGCACCCACTCCCCAAGCACCCACCCTCGCCTGGCCACCCTGGCTCGTCTCAACACTGCCCGCTACAAATCTCCCACTCGAGACTCGGCACACCTGTACTTCCGGTTCAGCCTTCTCTCATCTGGGCACTGCTCGCGATCCTCGACTCGTTCCTGACACCTGCACCCGTCGCGACACAGAGATCACTGCAAAACTCAGGCTGCCCTCCAGAGTTTTCCGCCGGTCTTCTGCGCCCCTCGAGTCGTGTCTCAAACTCAACCCTTTCATCCCTCTCAAACCCGCCCTTTACCCTTCCTTTCTCCAAAACCTCTGCACCGCACCGCACACCCTCGCGGCCTGCCCTCCTCCGACCACATCACCCCCCGTCAAACCTTGTGCTTGACGCATACCGTGACCCAAGTTTTTTGGTGTGTCAGACCTAAGGCACGGACTGATCACTCTTGTTTCCGCGTTTGACCTGGGTTGGACAGACTCACTGACTCTCAAATCACTTCAGGCCCTGCATAGAGTTTCTCTGTCCTTCGTCTTTCACGTCTTTGACCTTCGCGCGGCGGCTTCCTACTCTTGTGGTTGAAGCCTTCAACAACAAACCCGATCCTTTTAACGGATCTACACCTCCCAGGCTCCGATTCAATTCGACAGTCTCCATCTCCGATTTACGACAGACTACTTTGCATCCTTACGGTTCGCAGGGTATCGATTCGATCAGTCTTCGTTCGATTACGACCTTTTCACCCTCGGAAAGGACATAACAACCTCTTATGGCGCGAGCATCTCAGTAACTTCTCACCACCTCCTCATCAGCCTCACGACTCTTCAGCCTTGGACCTTTTCGCTGGCCTGCAGTGACCACTCCGCATTGCTATCCTCGACAAATCCACGCGCTCGAAGCAGATCGCTCTCTTAATCCATCCAAGGCACCCCTCCTCATCCGTACCAGAATCTCGAACCGCCAACATGCCTGGCGGAGGTGTCTGTGCTGTCCTCGACTATGAGGTCGACATGATGGCCGAATACGTCGCCGAGATGGCCATCGAGCTGGTCCTTCCTCAGTCACCGGTCTCCCCATCTTTCCGAAAGTTCGTCTCTCAGATTCTGTCGTCCACGCGCCTGCCCAAGGCTACCATCCTCCTCGGCATGAACTACCTCTCCAAGCGGGTGAATGGCCTGAAGGCTATCGGAACCTTCCATCCCATCGAGGGACAGGTCTGGCGAATGTTGACCATCGCCTTGCTACTTGGCAGCAAGTTTCTCGACGACAACACCTTCCAAAACCGATCTTGGTCCGAGGTCTCTGGCATCTCGGTTGCCGAGCTGAACAAGCTCGAGGCCGAATGGCTCGTGGGCATTGGCTGGAACCTCTACGTCAATCTCGAGAGGAGCGAGGACTACAACGCATGGCTAGACAACTGGAGCCAGTGGATGGGTCGCAAGAAGATGGCCCAGACCCTGGCTAGTCGTGAGAGGCTCGCTGCTCTTGTGCCTCCCATCGATACCGACTTCGCTCGCCCCCGCAACCAGGCATACACCCTCTGGCACCAGCAACAGGTTGCTGAGTACGAGCGTCTTTCTAGCATGAAGCGCACCGAGCAATCTCAGCAGCAGGCAGGATACCGCCCACAGGAGATGGCTTGGAACCAGTACTCGGCCGGTCCTTGGTCGAGCGCTCCCCTCACCCCGCCAGACTCTGGCTATGGTACTCCCGAGTACCCGGCCTCTGCGACGTCCGGCAACGGTCAATTCTACGGCGACTGGTTCAATCGGGCCTTTGCCAACGATGCCCAGGCTCAGCGATACTCTCGACAGAACTCGGCCCACAATATTTACCATCACGGTCGTCACTCTCAGTACACTGGCTACTACAACTACGGCCAAAACATCTGGGATAACAACGTCGCAGAGTGCCCCTGCGCTAACTGCACCGGTCCTGTCGGCTTGAAGAATCAACCTTACTTCATGCCAACTGCTGCCTACGGTCAAGCTGTCCTTGGCTGATCGGGTTAGCAATGATCTCAGCCCTCGAGGCATGACAAGATTGAATGCCGGCTACGGCATCCACACGCCGGCATGGACACATGGACGGAGTTTACTTTTTCGCATTGCAAACGGTCACGGATTTCAGACAAAAAACGATACACTTGCATTCAGATACCCCTTTCGAGTCCCAGCACACGTTTTACCAGGGTCTTCCACGACGAGTCGCCTATTCTGCAACGGCGTAATGGGTCGGCTTTCGCATGCATCCTTGGGCTTCGTACTCAGGGTTGGCTTCGAGCACGTTGGATTATACCCCATCGCCACTGCGGGCAACTTTGGCCCGTAGTCCGGCGAACATGCTGCGGACTCATTTAATGACTTGATTTGCTTTTTCTTCATTTTCTCTTTGGTTTTGTTACGGTATATGGCTTGGTTGGCCATCTCACCCTGCGGCGTTTTCGGATTCGATACCAGGCGGTCTCGGCGGTGTTCTCGCACATAGATCGCGACCTTGATTATCCGATCAACGGTTGGGCGGCACTTTTCGCTGTGCTAGGGCTTATGGAGATGAACAAGGAGGCAACGGGGAAGCGCAGACCGAATGTCCTGCAATCTGCTCGGTGTACCGTCGCAGTGCAGGCATGAAAAATTGAGGATTGGACAACACATCGACAACCACCGCATGGCGATCCTGTTTCTGCTACGGCGACAATCCTACTCGGCACCGGTCAGTCGCGACTAGTCGGGCCGATCCTTTCGAGACAACGTCTTGAAGGCAGACCTTCCGATATTCAACGATGGTCTTTAGTCTACTCGCTAGGGCGTTTTTATAGCAGCATGGTCGGAACGGAAAGGAAATGTTGCCCATGTTTAAAAGTACTGGCTGGTCTGTTCTGTTTTTCTCATCCGCATTCAATTGTGCTTCACCCAGCAGCCTCCGCCCCTTCGGCAAGGTTGTTATTTGGAGGAGCTTGTCTGGTTTTCTTTCCCATCTTTCACCCGAGCCTGAAGAGATTTCGGTTTGGCTTGTACTGCTGTCGACATGACTTTTCAGATTTTCCATTCGTCCTTTCTTTTCGCTGGAGGCATTTGATCAAGCTGGGATAGGAGCGGTGATGACCTGCCCCTCGTTTTTGAGTGAGGTTTGGACAACTGCGTCCAGTGCCGAAAGCATTCCCTTTTCGTTGGTCCTCTTACTCACACCTACCTTTCTTGTCTCAATACTGCATGGCACGTTTGTTTAGAGGATATCCTTTGATCGGCATTCATAGAGGGCTTTCACGGCTGGCGGTCTTCCCTACACACTTTCTTATAATGCTTGTTGATTTCTTTTTTATACCTACAGAGGTGGACCACATTTACAGCGTCCACGCTCACGATGCGATGAAAGAGAGGCTCTTGGGATGGTTTCAAGAAGGAATGAAAATCAAAAGGGGCCCTTGCACAAAAAGAATGATATTTCGCTGCACACCTTGGGTCAGGAAGGCCGAGGCTGAAGGAGGAAAAGAAACACAAAAGTCTTTCATGTGTCTGATACCCGCCTGTTATTACTCGCAACTGGAGCACGCAACTAATTGACCGTTTGCTGCCCGTCTTCGAGGAGCAGCTTCTCCAGTACGTCGGGAATCACTGGCGGTGTTCTCAATGAGTACGAGGAAATAGGTGCCAAGTACTCCAACACTACACAATACCATAACAAAAATAACAATAAAACAAACCCACAAACACTCTCAGCAACTTTTAAGTCCGCTTTCGAAATGTGACACTCAAATTGAGATTTCTCAGCACCATGATTCGAATGACTTGCAAGACAGTTGTCTCTTCCTTGTCTTTCTAGCCTTGTAGGGTGAGGTTTACATAGTCTAATCTAGGTACCTAGACAAGTAATCGCCAATGACAGCTTGGCGTTCGGCCCCACTTGTTGGCATCGATGTTCACTTTGCTCACTTTGCTCACTGCACTCACTTCAAGCTGCCCATCTTTAGAGGCTGCTTCCTTGTCCGCGTATCTGCACAGGCTCACCACGCCCTGCAACGCAACCACAATTGCCGGGCAATCTTTATCTGCAGGAAAGATGTCTTCCCGGTTTGTATCAGGCGGTATAACTGACACCAAGACTGGCGACATCGCGCCCGCGGACCCATCAGTGCCGTCCGACACCACCAACACTAGCAGCAGCAGCAGCAGCAAGAAATCAGAGGAGTGGGCGGCGGTGCAGGCGCAGCTGGAGGAGGAGCGGCGGCGGCGGCAGCAGCAGAGGGAGGCGGCGCAGACGGGGACGGCCGGCGAGGAGAAGTCACTGTACGAGGTGCTGCAGGCCAACAAGGCGGCCAAGCAGGCGGCGTTCGAGGAGGCCAACAAGATCAAGAACCAGTTCCGGCCGCTGGACGACGACGAGGTCGAGTTTCTGGACGGCGTGCGGGAGCGGAAGCGCCTCGAGGAGGAGAGGCTGCGGAGGGAGACCGAGGAGGGCCTCCGGGGGTTCCGCGAGCTGCAGCAGAAGGCCTCTGCTCCTGGCGAGGGGCCCGAGGATGAGGGTGCTGCTGCCGAAGCGGGGGATATCGGGGGGTGGAGCGTTGGGAGGAAGAGGAAGAGGAGGAAGGACGAGCCTGAGAGCGTCTTGAAGGGGTTGAAGAGGCGGGGCAGCAGCGCCGCCGATGGGGGCGAGGGCGCGAAGGTGGAGGAAAAGGGCAGAGACGCGGCTGCTGATGCGGCAGCCGGTCAGAAAGGCTCTGCGGCTGCTCCGAAGGGCGCACAAGATACTCAGGCGCCTTTGGCGAAGCCCGCTACTCCTGCGGCGGCGAAACCGAAGGCTGGTCTTGTTGACTATGGCTCTGATGACGACAGTGACTGAGTGAGATCGCATGAAGGGGCTGTTTAGGACACATGCATTGCCAGTCTCCTCTTGCTAGAGCATTGCAAATGCTTCATTCACAACGCATCAGATGGGCACGAAACATGCACTCTGAGCGAAGTGAATGCTTATACTCGCAATCGGCAGCCGGACGAAGCATGAACTCCAAGTGCGGCCTTGCGAGGACAGCAACGGGATCAATATCTCGTCTATGGATTGGACGTTGAATCATCAAACATGCCGACAGATCTCACAGGGCTGGAAGCAGCACCATATATGAAGAACGGCAGAACTGCCTTCAATTCATTGATACATGAGTAGTGAGGCTCTAAGAGTTTCTATCCTATACGATAGCTACCTCAAACTGGCTCGCACATGACCACCTATTTCTATGGCCATTATGCACAAGATGCCGAAACCAATATAATACAATCCCTCACAACTCCCGTTTACAGTCGCCTCCCCAACTCCAGAAATGCGATTGAGTGTAGTCAGGAGTCTCCAGTTGAAGATACCTGGGCCAAAGGTGCTCGTGCCCCGTGACAGAGACACGGGAATTACTCATCATCAAAGCTCGTGGGAACCTTTCGCTCCTCCTTCTGAAAGTTGCTCACAGTCCACCTCCAGAGGGATCTCAAATTGCTCTTTGTCCATCCCTCGACCTCTTCCTCAGGGACAACGATACCCCTCGCGTGCTCCTCATCCTCGGGCAGCAGCTCGAATCTCCTCATCCGCATACCGATCCGCTGGTCGATGACCATGGGCCTGGGCCAGATCTTCTCTTTGGCGGCAGCTGCGGGCTTGGACCCATCAACAAGCTCACTTCCTGACGCGAGCGGGCTGGCGTCGTCGTCCTTTTTGGCAGTGGTCTTCTCCTCCTTGTCCGCCTTCCACACGGACTTGACCCAGTCCTTCTCTTCGTGCGCTAGGACCCTTTGCTGCTCCCATCGACAGTCTGGGCTGTCATCCCCGCCAGCCTCCTCGCGATACTCGCGGCATGCGGCCAGGCACACCGCGGCGACATCGCGTCCGACCTCGTCCGCAAGCTTACGCCGCGTCAGGAAGCGCACAAAGCGCTTCGGCGTGTTCAGGAAGCCGAGGATGTGCGGGAATGAGATTGGGGCCGAGGGCGCGAACTCGGAAGGTATCAGAAGGGGCAGGTGGGCTGTCGCGTAGTCGTCGGGGGAGTTGTAAGGTTTTATTTGCGGCGGCCGCTTGGCCTTTTCCGTGTCTGGCTCATCCGTCTCCGGCTCTGGGTCGGGCTGCGCGTGCGGCGGTGCCGTCAGCGGGCCGAGCCAGCCCTCGTGCAGGCCGCGGGTGTACTCCTTCCACGTGTGCCGGCCGACCACGATATCGCCGCGTACGCCGTCGTAGAGCGGCACGCCGTGCGCCTGGCGCCAGGCATCGATCCGGTCCTCCTCGGTGGCAAGCTCACCGGAGGCGGCGGCGGCATCATCCTTGGCGGCTACGTCCTTCTCTTGGGTCCTCCGCTTCCGGCGCACCCTCTCCGCCACCGCGGCGCGGATGTCGCCCTGCTGCCGGCCCTGCACAAAGTCCCAGTCCAGCCCGCTGGCCGCCAGCACGGGCTTGATGTACTCGCTGTAGTGGTCCTGGGCGACGCGCAGGCCGTCTCCTGGAGGAGCTTCGAGGTATACTGTCACCTTGCGTGGCATCTGGCTCGGGTTGGCCAGAGGCCGCTTGGCGAGGTGCTCGACAGCGTGGGCCCATCGGGCGGTCGCGCGCTTCTTCTCGCGGCGGTCGTAGATTATGGTGGCAGCCAGCGTGGTGGAGAGGGTCCAAAAGATCATCCAATTGCGGGAAGGCAGCTTTCGTGGAAGCGCGGGCAGGCCCATCATTCGGAGGGCTGGGTTTTGTACGGGTGGTTTCGCCGGTGGTTTCGGTGGTGCTGCTGCCGCGGGCGCAGCTGGTGCAGCCGGAGGGTTGGGCTCAGCCATCTTTGCTGATAGCTGCAGATACGCAACGCAGGCTAATCAGACCGAGGCTGGAGCGATCAGATGGGCAGCAGCCTGGACGAGAACAAGCTCAGTGGGTATGTTGTTGTCGGAACAGCCGTCACTCGGTCATCTGAGGTAAAACGGCGGAAGACCTACAAAAAAAAATCAAGGCTCCCGATAAGACTGCTCTTATCGGAGCTTATCGGAGCCTTGCCTCGAGGAAGCTCCCAACCAGCTGGGCGATCCATCATGAAATCCTGCCCTCTTCGGATTTATTCATTACTAGTGGACAGACAGCATTCTAAAAAGGATCTAGTATAGCATTCAAGCAGTTGACTTGGACCTGTAGTTCGATACCATATAGAATTATATTTATATCTATGGTTGTGTATATACTTGCCACTCATTTGCCACTCCTTGGTGTTCGAAAGTGTCAGGCAACGCGGACAGGGCATTTACGAAGTAACCGTTAGCGAATTCCCGTGGAATAAGGTCCTGGCATCCATAACCGCTCAGATAAGTGCAGAATGAGGTTACTCATTTTGTAAGCTGATGCAGGCATATGGTCTTCAGAAAAGAGCATCCTTGGGTCGTCCTGTTCCCTTACTTGTGGACTCTAGGTACAAGCCAATTCAAGATCTCGGGTAGCTGTAGAAATGGGACCAGTCACATTGGAAGCTCCGAATTAAGAGCTATCCAATATGTGATATAATCTGTATAGCAAGGCATGAAAGCACAGTATTAAGGTGGGTTTAGAGGAGTTTCCGTACCAGTCCACACTCCGGAAATCTCAAGATTATCTGGAAGCCACGAGTTTTCAGCTGGGAGTTGAGAGCCTTCCCTAGCAAGGAGCCTCTAAGGATATGAACTTGCTTGCTGTGAGCGGAATTCTGCCCCGAACGGGAGACTCTAACATTGGAAGCCCCGCTGCGAAACAGATGCAGTTCTAGCGTGCCGAAGTACCAAGATGCTGGGCACGCAATCGGAACATGACAACATTGGGAGCTATTTCAGCCTCGAGAGGGCCCAGCCAAAGGTACCTGCCAGCTTACCTGCCTACCTAGGCATGTTGAGCCCCTTTTCAGGGGTGCATGCCTACAAACCTTGGTTGCTTGGGAGAGGAGAAGGGAGGGGTGAGAGAGAGGGGAAAGGATGAGAAGCCCAAACCTTGGAATCGAGCACCTCCTCGAAACACACAATCACTCGAGAATTTTTTATTTTTTTTAAGGTGCTGGCTGATGGTAGTACTACTATTAGAGTTATTAGAATCTGAAGTGCCTGTTTCTGCCACTCTCTCTTTCTCCCTCTGGAAGTCTGCATGTGATCCGAAGTGAGTGGTACTTCATCCGCCATCCTGTCTAGGCCTGACATGTTTTGAGTTGTGTGGAATGCCCCTCCAAAGTAATTTGAGGCACATCAAGCTAATTGACTTTTTCTCCAGGACACCGAGCTCATACTATACAAGACCACACCACACCACACCAGGCCAAGCTACAGCGCACTATAGCACACTATCCATCATCAGAAACACAGCCATTCCTGCCTGTCTGTCCCACTGACGGACTGACTGACTCGGAGGCTCAGCGTCTGATCAACCTTAATCGCGCTTCGTCTTTGGCAGTAGAGACAGCAGGGTTGTGGAGAAAGAGAGCGAGAGGGACAGGCAGAGCCAGGGCGTTTGCACATCTCCATCTCCATCTTGACCTTGGTCCTGGCAGGGCACGGCACCCAAGGACAGCGCACCTCAACCTTGAAGCTGAGGCCCCGTCGTCCAGTCGCCGTCCGGTCGAATCCCTCTGCTGCGTTGGGCATCGTCGCCTGCCTCACCGCTGCAACCTGCGACCATTGCAGGTCCACACTCCACACCTCAATCAACGTGAACCCACGTCCCTGACGGGCATTTGCTAGCGCTTGCGGCAGCCGATCCACCCTGAAAGCCACTCCCCCCTTTCCCCTCCATCCTCGAAGTGGAAAGACCCTCCCTTTTCCGACCACACTGACTCCCTTGGCCACACGCGACCAATACCAGCCAAGAGTCCCGAGGTCCCTGCGGCCGGATCAATTTCACAGTAATACAATACGTTGCAGCATACAATACCATGGACAACCAGGGGAACCGGCTGTACCTCAACATTGCCAGCAGCGGCGGGAACAGCAACTCCAACAACAACGTCAGCCGCCTAGGTCCTGGTCTCGACCGAGCAGCATATCCAACCACTCCGTCCACATTCCCACAACCCGTGTATCCCCCCACGGCAAACCAGCAGGCCGCTTCAAGTGCCACTGGCATGCAACAGCAGCAGCAACAGCAGCCATACGGTTACGCTCCCCAGGGCTACTTCAACCCCAACCAACAGCAGTACCAGGCTGGTTACTCGGGTCAACCAATGCCTACCCATCATCAAGACTTTGCCCAGGCCTACGGCCAAGGACGATCCAACACTCCGGGTGCCAGCAACGACCCAAACACCGGTCTTGCCCACCAGTTCTCCCACCAGAACCTCGGCGGCGCTGCTCGGTCAGGCGGTTATGGCTCACGAGGACCCTCTCCGGCCGGCGCTCAGAGGCCTCGCACTGCTGGTGGCTCCGGACAGGCGCAGAACTACAGCTACCTGAACGCCCCCATGCCCTCCCAGCCCGGCTCCAAGGGTGGCTCACCCGACTTCGAAACCGCTCCTGAGCGCAATCCCGACAAGTTTGGCTCGAATGCGAACAACAACCAGAAGAAATGCTCCCAGCTCGCCGCGGATTTCTTCAAGGATAGCGTCAAGCGGGCCCGGGAGCGCAACCAAAGGCAAGTTCATAGTCGCACCAGCTATCTATCCCTCGCCTTTCCCTTCCATTGCCCCTGCCAACCCGTTCTAGACGGAGCTCAGCTGACCTTTGATTGCTTGCACTTACAGGCAAAGCGAAATGGAACAAAAGTTGTCCGAGCCGAACCAGTCGCCAGCCCGCAGGGAACAGATATGGGCCACCGGTGGCCGTCGCGAGGGTTCCTACCTGCGTTTCCTGCGAACCAAGGACAAGCCCGAGAACTACAACACGATTAAGATCATTGGCAAGGGAGCTTTCGGTGAGGTCAAGCTGGTGCAAAAGAAGGCCGACGGCAAGGTCTACGCCATGAAGTCCTTGATCAAGACGGAAATGTTTAAGAAGGACCAGCTGGCGCACGTCCGAGCCGAAAGGGACATTCTTGCCGAGAGCGACAGCCCTTGGGTGGTGAAACTGTTCACGACTTTCCAGGATGCCCACTTTTTGTACATGCTGATGGAGTTCTTGCCCGGTGGTGATTTGATGACCATGTTGATCAAGTACGAGATCTTCTCGGAGGATATTACGCGGTTCTACATTGCCGAAATCGTCCTTGCCATCGATGCCGTCCACAAATTGGGCTTCATTCACAGGTGGGCTTTCGTCTGATCCTCTAGAACTCCAGCATTATGGACACTAATACCCGTGGCAGAGATATCAAACCCGACAACATCCTCCTCGATCGCGGTGGTCACGTCAAGTTGACTGACTTTGGCCTATCGACTGGTTTCCACAAGCTCCATGATAACAACTACTACCAACAGCTGCTGCAGGGCAAGTCGAATCGACCTCGCGACCGCAACTCCATTGCCATCGACCAGATCAATCTGACCGTGTCTAACCGTGCGCAAATCAACGACTGGCGACGAAGTCGAAGGTTAATGGCGTACTCCACTGTCGGAACGCCTGACTATATCGCCCCTGAAATCTTCACTGGCCACGGTTACAGCTTTGACTGCGATTGGTGGAGCTTGGGGACTATCATGTTCGAGTGCTTGGTCGGCTGGCCGCCATTCTGTGCCGAGGACAGTCACGACACGTACCGCAAGATTGTCAATTGGAGGCAAAGCTTGTACTTCCCCGATGATATCACCCTGGGCGCGGAGGCGGAGAATCTGATTCGAAGGTAAGGAATCGAAGAATAATATGAACTGCAGTGGAGGAAGAGAGACGCTGACCATTCAACAGCCTGATCTGCAACACCGAAAACCGTTTAGGCCGCAGCGGTGCTCATGAGATCAAGGGCCACGCCTTCTTCCGTGGCGTCGAATTCGACTCGCTCAGACGTATCCGAGCTCCGTTCGAGCCACGCCTCACCAGCAATATCGACACGACATACTTCCCCACGGACGAGATCGATCAGACCGATAACGCGACTCTGCTTAAGGCGCAGCAAGTGCAGGCGGCGAAGGCCGTAGGTGTTGTAGAGGAGAGTCCTGAGATGAGCCTGCCCTTCATTGGATATACCTTTAAGAGGTTCGACAACAACTTCCGATAGATCGCGACCAACGTGATACTGCATGCAGCAGCGCAGCTGTCTGCCCCACATATTCGGGTCTGTCGCAGCGCCACAGACACTGCGAAGCTACTGTCATCATCTGCGACTTCATGTGCTTTGATTGTAGATGCATCTCGTTCTCTCGACTCGAGGCATGCATGAGAGGGAACGAGCGGGCTGCAGGCGATTGCCCAAGTTAAAACTTGATGGGGTCAAAATCGACCTCTTGATGCGAGGGATGCGACAGTTCTTAGCTCAGGGACCATCGATCGGACTGGCTCCGGACCAGCCTTCCACAGGCCTGGGTGAGAACTGAAGATTTGGAATGGTGAGCATCATCAACCAGCATGATAATGCGAAAGAGAAAAAGACAAATACGCAAGGCCAGGCGTTGTTGGTTCAGTCGTTTGTGAGAGGTTGTTGTACGTCAGGCTATGCTAGACAACATATCACAAGGATAGATGGGCGGATCGTCTGATGCCCGAATAAAAATCTGCATAAGAAGGGTATCTTGATTTCTCCAGTGTCTTCAGTCTGGATTTGTGAATACTAGTAGTGCCAGCCCCTAATTAATCCTCCGTGGGCGTCTTCAACTCCGGTCTGCTGGAGCTGCTCCTACCTTGTGCGGCAGCTGCTGTATGACGGCTACCAGGGAGGAGACCCATAACAGACTATGGAGGACCTATTTCATGTCAGCGAGGCTGATCTATGTCGTGGTCTCGAATTCCCTTACGCTTTCTGCCCCTTGTGCCTAGCCTCTTGGCTAACGTTTTCCCGGGCCAACGCCTCTATTTCTTTACTTTTTTTTTCTTCAGCATAAATGCGTGTGGCAACACTCAGCGCAGATGCATCGGTCGTCCGCATCATGTCTATTGCGTTCCATGATCTGCCACCAGTGTCCCTCGCCGTTTCTTCTATCCCCTACCGCCGCCCTCCGAGGCCTGGCGCGGCATTAAACCTCTCTTCACGCTCCGTCATGAACATAATCTGGACCCAGTACTCCTTGGAGTCGGGGTCCCAGAAGTCGAACTGCTTGTCGTCGCGCTTGTCGAGCTCGCGGGCGGGGATCTTGAAGCCGCAGGTCTCGTAGGGCTCGGCGGCGACGCACAGGTACTGGAAGTTCTTGTCGGGCTCCTCGACGCGCTGGGAAAAGGCGCTCATGATCTGCCACTTGGGGGTGACGCCCTGGCCGATGTCCGGGTACTGCAGCTGGAACAGCAGGCCCTGCTGCCGCGTGACCGGGTCGCGCACCTTTGTGATCTTGTAGCCCGGCCGCCCGATCTTGACGACGTTGCGCCGCGGGCCGCCGCCCGCCGAGCCCAGCCCCAGCGCGCCGAACCCCGCGCCCACGACGCCCACCGGCAGCCCCGTCTGCGGGTCCACCTGCGCCTTGCCCTCCTTCTGCTCCTTGGCCGCGCGCCGCGCGAGGTTCGTCTGGTGCTTCTTGCCCTGCGTGTGCGCCAGGTAGCTGCCGTCGTTCTGATGCACCGTCAGGCAGAGCCGGCATTCGAAGCTGCCGACGTGGTTCTTGAAGAAGTACGGGTCCTTGTCGAGGTCGATGGTCTCCAGGGCGAGCTTCCGGAGCCGCTCGCGTCGGTCGGCGTTGGTGGCGCTGTGGGAGGCGACGCCGCCGCCGCCGAACTTGGAGCCTGCGCGGTTCTGGTAGTCCATCTTGCGGTCGGTGTATGGAGACAAAGGATGGGGTCGGTTGGGTTGAAAGTTGGCCTGGGACCGGTCAAGTTTATCAAGCAGCGTCCTGTTTCCACAAGGTGTGAAGTCCAGATTGGGCTTTCGGCAGGCATATTTAAAGTTGACACCCTTGCGCGGCTGGACCAATCAGTTATGCATTTGGACCTAGCCTCGACCCACCAAGAGCCGCAATAGATTCGAGATCAGCACCGTACCAGATTCTCTTTCTATCACACCCATGGTATGGACGATAGCTTGGTTGGCTGGGCTTGTGCGGCCAAAACCCAGCATCTCAATGCCATCGTCAAAATTCTCGAGGCATTACTGTGCGCGGTGGAACGGTTTCCTATTCAACCTACAGCACCGCTAAGAGGCAACACACCTAGATACGCGGTGTTAGAAAAGTTGATCCTCATGCTTGGTAGATCAGCTGATGTGTATAGAAATATTTCAACATTTGAGTTCTTTTTCATTTTGACTGCCATAACCTGCTTTCTCTCGCTCCAAGACTTGACTATCAGCGCCACTTCCTGTATCTCGGAGATTATAGCTCAAGGGCTCGTGGGAAGCGGCTTGGGTATTGAATTCCAGCTGAATGCATAGTCTATGTGTATCCTCGATAGTATGTCTTCTGTATAGAATGGATTAAACCTGAAGTTTGAAGGATCGATTTATAATTTAGATAATTGGTCTTCAACAAGTCACAAATGGGATGTCAGCTGCTGACCTGGGTATGAGCAAAAGATTATAGTGTGTCGGAGAATTTGTCTTATCTTTGGATTCTCTGTTTCTTTTCCTTGGTGCCCTGTCCTGTTGTTTCATTCCTGGCCTCGCTCGATTACGGAATCTAATAAATTAGTTTGAGATTGGAGGATAGCCATTTGGTAGTGGAGGAGCGAAGGTCTCAACACTTCCTATGGGTCTTTCGGGATGGAGAAAACATCATCTCATCGCCTGTACTCCGTTGATCATTATCAAATACGTACAGTAGGCCGCAAAGCCACTATCAATGAAAACTCAATCCGTCTCAAAGTCATCACTCTACAGCCTCACCAAGACATCCCAGCAAGTCGCCTCTGTTGGCATGCTGGTGTGTGAAAAGCATTCCAAATGTTGTAATATTTAATGTCGCTCATCCTCGTGAAATCAGATTTTGCGATGTCAGTAGCTGGCTCATGTAAATCTCACCCGCCCCCATAAAGCTTAATCAGTTCGGACATCTTCGAAGACCCAATGCCCTTTGACCGGCCTTCCACCCTTCAGTGAAGTCCTCGCGAAGCCATCCGCCGCCATAGCGAATAATGGCAGCCCGCATTGATCTTTACCATATGATTTGATGAGATCCTGAGCCCGATCCGTGAGGAGGTATTCGAGGAAGTCAAGAGTCTCACGCGACGCCGTCGGCGAACACACTGCATAACAGCTGTTCATTAAAAAATCGTTTTCTGATGTTGGCTCGAAGAAAACAGTCGTGTTCGAGATGGTACCTGTAGATACTTGGCGCAAAAGTGTCGACCGGTCTGTCAGAAGATACGCCCCAGCAGCATCTGCCTTCTTCAACGCTTCTGAAGGTGAGAGCAAGCTGGTTTGATACCACTGCCTATCCGAAATCCCGCCTCCATATTCCCATGGAAGTAAGTTGCATGTTGACCAGAGGCCCCGCTCCTTCCACATCGTTGCCGATGTGTCGGCTCGGCTGTGAAATAGACTCCTAGATTTCGCGACTCGTTGTAGGCCATCCGATAAGGAAATCGCATTTCTGACATTGGCCGGATCCTCCAGAGGCCCCGCAATACAAAAGTGGTCGTGAAATGCACATCCCTTGGTCACTGACCAGCCCTCAGCCTTCGCGAGCTCCTCCTGATCACGCTCGTACGTCAAGGCGATGTCAACATACCCATGCAGGAGGGCCAGCTGGCTGTTCCTAGAATGGTTGCAGATCCAGACAATAGATCTTTCTTCGGGAAGTGTACTGAGATAGTCATTGGCCAGAGCTCCTATCAGCCCAGTGGCGCCTATAAAATGTCAGATCCTGCTCCGCATTGGCTGGATACTATTTTGGCGGGACATACCTGCTCCTCCGTTCCTTCGGATAGTGGTGAGCATAAATGTGATATCCGAGGCACAGGGGTGCTTACCCTATGCGAATGAGAACTGGACCTCTCCCATATACTTCTGTCGGATCTTTGACCAATTCTCCATGAGAGATTATAGCAGATTGCCGAGAGGGCGACACCGCCCCGATGGGGTGGGTGTCGCCGGCGGAGGTCTTTTCTGCTGCACTTGAGTGTCGACTAGCGCTCATGTTTCCTTTCATAGCCTCCACAGATATTATGAAGGACGCTCTGGAGCGTTGAAGGTCGGACATACTTTGAGTCGGGCTTAAAAGCACACTCGTTCTCGGGTCATGAGGGGTCAAGCGGAGGATGTGGGGCCTTCCGCCTTTCTCCCTAGCTCATGCACCCTCGCATATTGTCTGACTCTTTCAACAGCTTCTGATAACTCCACAGTTGGTACAGTATCACTGGGTTGAAACTGAATTAAAATCGGGACCTCACATGGCTTTGAGATTCCCTGACTAAGATCGAGAATCACAAACGATATTCCAGCATCGACAAGAGTCTCGCGTATGGTCCAGCTCTGATGTTGTTTCTTACACATTTTACAATCGAGATTTTGGTTCTAAGTGTGACCTTTTATGTTTTGAGACATCCACCATCCTCAATTCTCTTTGTTCTTCACGGAAAATTCTCCGAGGTGCGCCTCACTCTATATCTAACACCTAGCTGCTTGAAACAAACGGGGTATGTTTTAGCAATACATGGCCCAGAATTCGGGAGAAACTGCTCAAATCAATATGTCCTTTCATTTGAGCTGGGCCTACAATATGTTGTGTTAGGAGCCGCGGTACCTCGTTCAAGGTAGATCAAATATTAATTCATGGAGGTCAATACTCGTGTCTAGCAAAAGATGCTAATAGGCAGAATAAGCTTCGACCTGCAACTGGTATTCAATAGTGCCTTTAAGTAGGAAAAATGGCAGAGTCAATACTACTATATCATGTCCTTTCTTTATCTTGATTCCCTCGGTGTGTTAAGACAGTTAGACCTGTCCCTGTCCCTGCCCCTGTCCCATGGCTTAGGTGCCGCTCACCTGCCGAATTGGGAGACTTTCTACCGTCAACGTGGGGGCCTGATTGGCCGGGCATTCAAGTCAAAATGCTTGTTCCTCCGCCGCGTTCGCTCATCGATCTATCTCAGATTTCTTTTGGGGCTTCCGGTTCGCTAGTTCTGACAAGCGGGACATTTGCGTCGGCCGAGCCAAACCAGGGACGGAAGGACGTCAGCGTGGGCTTCTGTCGAGCCGCGGTGGCATGGAGCCGTAGTGTCATGCGCCAGATTTGGTAGGAGATGGACCATGTATATATGTATTCAGGAGACCCAGGTGTTTCTTTCGATTCTCAGTACATAAGTGACCGTCAAAGTCTTCAACTGAAAGTTCTTCCCAAGTGCATACCTCCCTACGAGCCAAGATGATGCCCAGCACAGCTCACGTCTTGACTTTGGTCCTCGGCGCAGTTGGCTTCTTGCCCGCAGGCGCACAAGCATGGGGTGCTTTTGGCCATGAGACAGTCGCATACGTCGCGACCAACTTTGTGTCGGCCTCGACCAAGACGTACTTTCAATCGCTCCTGGGCGATACATCTGCGGACTACCTCGCGACGGTCTCCACCTGGGCCGACTCTTATCGGACCACGACGGCTGGCAAGTTCTCCGCGCCGTTCCACTACATCGATGCGCAGGACAACCCGCCCAGCTCTTGCGGCGTGGACTATGACCGGGACTGCGGAAGTGGAGGGTGTGTAGTCAGTGCAATCAACAACTACGTGAGTGCAGATTCATCCCCAAGAAGGAACGAGGTGATTTGTGCTGGATTCGACGCTGAATTGGTGAATGATAGACTTCTATCTTGCTTGACACAAGTGCGAGCAAGGCCAATAGACAGGTTGCAGCCAAGGTATGTACATATTCTGCAAGGCTGAGCATCTCGAATGGCGCTGAATGTCACTGACACTTGTGCTAGATGATCATCCATGTAAGACGCCCGAAGAGAAGATTAACTATACGTTCGTGAAAAACTGACTAGGCCGTTCAGTTTCTTGGTGACATTGGCCAGCCGCTACACTGTGAGAATCTCGATGTTGGCGGCAATGACATTGATGTTACCTATGATGGAGACAGCACAAACCTGCACGCTATCTGGGACACTCAGATCCCAGAGTCCATCGCTGGCAGCTCGTCTCTGAGCGGGGCCAAGACCTGGGCCAGCACACTCACAACAGGCAAGTTACCGATCAACCAGTTGATACTGTGAGGGGGACTAAACGCTCAGAGACTGACTTCACCAATGTGACAGCTATCCAATCCGGCACATACAAGTCCAGCGCAGCCAGCTGGGTGAGCGGTCTGAACATTAATGACGCGGTTACCAGCTCCTTGAAGTGGGCAACTGAGAGCAATGCTGCAGTATGTAGCACAGTTTTGGCCAAAGGAATCTCATACGTCGAGAGCAATGACCTAAGTGGCTCTTACACGACCACCGCGAGCCCTGTGGTGAAGTTGCAGATCGCGAAGCAGGGTTACAGGTGCGTGTCTAGAAATTCCCTCCGCAATCAGATTGAGCAAAGGCTAATACTCAAATGTAGACTGGCGAAATGGCTGGATGCGATTGTGGCGGCTGTCTGAGACTGTCCAGAACAGTGCGAGGTTTCAAATAGATCGACTGACAGGTTGGAAGGAATTTTGTCGTGTTACTTTCTGATTGTAGTGTGTTTGGAAGGACACAGCCCGCTTCGCAACTCAAAAAGTTTGGAGGCGTGCTGCCACGCATCAGTATAACCGTCCATATCGCTGAAAAACCTCATAGCCAATTCGAACTTGGCATTCGATGTCTCTCTCGATATCAGCCTCTAAGTGATAGAAAATAGACTTTCCCTCCGCAGTGATGATTCTTATTCGGCTAAGACCGTGCCTCTGCATTGGCTGCAGCTGATATTTGGCGGTCATCAAGGCTCAAGTAGGTAGCCGTCCGTTTAAGGCTTACAAAACTCAGGTCTGTGACATCTAGTCAGATCCACGTCTAGAACATGTACATCTCAAGGAAATCGTGGGTCTATTTTCCCAGCGCAAAAGGGTATCATTCAACAATCAGAGCTTCGCTGCTTCCGCCATGGCAGATCTCAACATCGGGGCCAACTGCTTCCGGCTGTTTCCGGTCTGGTGTTGAATCCAGCAGTACCGTTTCTCGTGCTGGCCATCTCCGCCGCTTAGATCGGAGTGGTGGAATGGCTCAAGCCCAAGGTTGTCCTTCTGCACCTCGACGAACTTCTCCACGGCCCTGACAGCTTTCTCATTGAAAGCCCATACAAGCAAGTTCCTCTTGAAGATACCATCGTCCTTGGCTGAGGAAGTCATTATGCTCCCAATGTCTAGTCCCTTTTCCCGCGCAAAGGTGCGGAACTCGTGCAGGAGTGTCTCCTTGTCTCCGATGTTCTCGAGCATATATTTGAAACCTTGAGGAATGCTGGACGTCCCCAGAACCAAGCCAGCCTCGGTCCAAGACTTGAAGTCCTTGCGAAAGTTGTCGCGGAAGGAAAACTGCGAGATGTCCTCCTTGAGCTTACTAAGCTTCTTGTAATACTTCTTCCTGTCGAAGTCCTCCTTAACATCTTTAATCTTACCCTCCAACATTTCAGCGACCTTGACATCCGTGGGTGTTGTCTTGGCCTTTGACTTGAGGTTGTTTGTGTCTATTATTATGGGAGCCAGCGCGACGCGAGCAAGGTGGGAATCCAGATCGCCGTCACCATCCTCGCGGCTGTTGGCCTTGGAGAGCGCGTCCCAGGCGTCCTGGCAGTGTTCTACCACAAGGCTCATGCAGCTACCCGTCTTCCGTAGCACACGCGGCTCATCGCCTGTGTCCTGGGCGACTGCACCCTCGTCCTCGTGGTGATCAACGCACCCGACCACCCGCGAGCCGAAGCGCTCTGCAAGCGTGCCGGTCAGGGCATTGTGGTCCACCAGCAGCCAGCGAGTATCTTGCGGCTCCAGGCCGTGGCTCTTCACCACCTCCTCGAGGTCTGATAGCGTGAGCAGATCCTCCGTCTTGACGCCAGCATAACTGAGGGCTTTGGCGAGCTCGGGCCGCAGCGGCAGATCTTCGCGGGGGATATTGGCCAGCGGGATATGCAATGTGTACTTGGGCTGAGCGTGGCTGCGGAGGTAGGCGAAGACGACGGCCGAGCAGAGGGAGTCGAGGTCTGGGAGGGGGCGTGGGCCAGGTCAGCAATGCTCACGGGTGGATGAGGGCAAGCATATGTTCAGGAGCTCAGGGCCTACCAGCAGATTCATTGCCAACGACAAACGTCAAAGGCGCCTGACGTTGGGCTGCCGGCGCTGTCAAGCTCTTCCGAGCAAGCGCCAGAAAGGCTCGCAGATTCCGAGGGGGAGGCATGGCCGTCGACGCTAGAGTGTTTGACACAATGGTGGGGTGAAGCTACAACGGCCCGCGGAGGGGTTTTGTTTATGAATGTTGACTTGAGAACATACGTCACTTCACGACTCATACTGAAGACCATTGGACCACTGATTTTGGACTCGGGCATCGCAGGCATTCCCTTGCATGTTATGTCTTGCACGAAGCATTTTAATGCCCGAGATACACCAGAGACTCCTATGTTAGAAACTGCTCCTTCAACTTCGACTGCTCAAAGACGTCCAGAGACCCATCAGAAACATCGATAATATCCACGACGACCGTGAGGGTTGAACCCTGGGACCTGCGCAAGCACTGCACGATGGCAATACACTCCCGCTCTAGAAGCGTTTATAGCAGCTGAGACCATACATAGCAGTCTGTCTACCCGTGATCAGGTGTCGATGATGCTGTCAAATCTGCCGCACATCCGGAACCAGTGGGAGCAGATTCTTCACTACTACTGTGCTCTACAACGCCATCTCATCGGACCCTCATCAATCTGCATGGAGATCCGGCACGCACCAACACCAAACGAAAAGATGTAGACTAGTGGGGCAAGCTTCCCAAGCTTATCTTTGACTAGGTTTTGCTGCCGAGGTGCTCTGCTCTCCTTGCCCGTCCCCACGACCACGGCTTGAGCAAAGATGGGGTCTCAAGGATCTGCAGACCACCGAATTGCTTTCGAAAACGGGGCATGCCGCTTCTCGTGGCTGGGTCTGCAACAAGGATTTCCGGGGAGGGGAAACAAGGGATTTATCTAAGCAGAGGTTTATCTAAGAAGTGACACAGGGAAACTTCAGGAAGAAAGAGCTCAACCCATCCCCCCTCTCGGAGATGCATGCAGAGCCGGCTGGGCACTACGCAGACCCACACATGCAGACGATGCAACCGAACAATACGTGCTGCATTGCTACCCACCACGGCCATGTATCAACGGCCATAGACCTCTAATCCGGCAGACCACACAGGTAGGTGGTCACCTTCACTCGCTTCTAGCCTGCTTCTTGACAGGTCTGGCCGGTGGATGGTATTCTCATTGGCGCCACTATCCTCCATCTGGGCAAGAGCAATCCAGCATTCCCGTTCATCGGAGATGCTTGTTTTCTTTACTTCCAGGCCTGCCAGGCCACACTCTTAACCCCTCCTCTTCCTCCTTCCCTTTTCCTCTTGTCACAGTTGTGCTCTTGTAGAACTCACTGAGTCACAATCTGACGCCTGCATTTGTTGAGCAATCTGTCCTGGGGCAACTTAAGAAAAACATGGCGATCAAGCCCATCATTGCCCTCCTCTCCCTGCTGCCGGGAGAGGCCCTGACTGAGACCGTCCTGGGGGCCTACATATTCCATCGCCACGGGGACAGGACGTCAAAGTCATGGCCGCCGACTTCTCTGACAGCTCTGGGTGCGGACCAGGTCTACGTCTCCGGCCAATGGTACCGTAATCGCTACATTGCGAGCAACAGCACACACACCATCTTGAACATTGCCTCAGACATCGCGTTACTATCACAGATGTCCATAACTGCTCCAGTGGACAACGTGCTTCAGTCATCGGCCGAGGTCTTCACCCAGGCCATCTATCCCCCGGCCGGCACAGCTGCAACCCAGACTCTCGCCAATGGAGAGGAGGTGCAGGCTCCTCTAAACGGATATCAGTACATTCCCGTCAATATTGTCAGCTCTGCTGCTAGCAGCTCCGGCGCTGAGGATAACCCGTGGCTCCAGGGTAGCTCGGGATGTGCAAAGGCTGTCGTCAGCAGCAACGACTATTTCCAGAGTTCGGAGTACCTCGAGCTCCTGAACAGCACCCGTCAATTCTACCAGGATTTGCTTCCCGTGTACAACACAACATTTGACTCTTCCGAGGCAACTTTCAAGAACGCCTACGCAAGTATGTATGCCTTGTTGGAGCCTCCTTAACCAGTTGCTGACAATTGCAGTTTTTGACTATGTCCACGTCTCGCAAATCCACAACGCGAGCATTCCCTCCGATGGTCTGCTCACGAACGACACCGTGGTCCAGCTGCAGACTCTGGCTAATGCTCACGAGTTGGGCCTTGCTTTCAACCAATCCGAGCCTGTCCGGGCTATTGCCGGCTCAGTCCTCGCCGCTCAAATTATAGACGCCCTCAACGACACAATAGAGTCCTCTCTGAAGAAGAAGTCAGCAGAGCGCTTTAACGTGCAGTTCGGCGCTTACGCAACGTTCATGTCCTTCTTCGGGCTGTCAAATCTCACCTCTGTGAATGAAGATTTCAAAGGGATCGTCGACTACGCCAGCTCCATGACGTTCGAGTTGGTCACAAATGCCACCGTCAATGGAACCGACGCCCCTACCACTGTGAGCCCGGATGACGTCTCCGTGCGCTTCCTCTTTTCGAATGGATCTGCTTCGGACTCGGCCCCAGCCCAGGAGTACCCGCTTTTCGGGCAAACCGAGACGACAATTCCTTGGAGTGACTTTGTCACGAACATGCAGAAGTTCTCCATCGGAGACACTCCATCTTGGTGCACAGCCTGTGGAAACAGCACTGGGGTCTGTGCTTCATCGTCATCATCTTCTGGATCTGGCTCCGCTTCGGCATCTGGATCGTCTTCCGGCTCAGGTTCCGGTCTCAGTGCAGGTGCCGCAGCCGCTGTTGGAGTTTGCTCATTGCTCGGGCTCGTCCTGCTCCTGATACTGGGAGCAGCACTCGCAGGTTTCAGAGTCGTGAAGAAGGGCAAGCGAGCTGTGCAAGAGCCCACTGCATCAGCGGCCGAGGCCGGCACGAAAGCTTAGTTGGTACTTGTCCGTGACGGGTGTGGGATGAATCTGAGTGAGCAGCCACGGCTGTGGCTTGTAGATCCACACGCAAAGGCAGAATGCGATTTAGGCACTTTGAGGGATAGTACACCTCTGCTTAAAGTCAGGAAAATTACGGGTCATGACATTTCTCTGTCTTCCCTTTATACCTGAATCATCCAGTATAACCTACATAGTATATTTTCTGGATATAATACGATACCAAATACCATGGGCATGCCAGTAGCTCAGTCTTGAGGAGGTAAAACCAATATTCTTACAAGTGAGCAATTCGAACTCAGTTAGAGCTGTGTTGTACCCGTCGTATGTGCGCCCGAGCGGACATCAATTCATGTGTCTCGATCCCACCAAATTGAGTTTCTATGGACAAATGCATTCTAAGAGTCCACACATTTTTCTATGTATACAGGCCAATCATGTGGCACGCAGGTGAACCAAGCACCCCACGTCCACTCTGCCTTTGGATCAACCTGCCTGATGTTATAATCTCGCACGACAGTAGCAGCGATCTTGGATAGTTGAAGGCGAGCCGCATGCTGCCCTGGGCACGAAGCATAGCCGGCGCCCCACTGTTTCAAATGTCAGTCCACCGTCGATTTGCGCATGCCCGCGGAGATGAAATCTGCAAGCTTACCGGAATGAAGCACTTCTCCTTCTCCGCGGCGTCCGGCCGCAGCCACCGGTCTGGGTTGAACTCCCGCGCATCCGGCCCCCATATCTCCTTGGAGGTGTGGATCACGGAAGGATTCACAGTCAGAGTCACGCCTTGAGGGAAGTGGGTGCCGCCGATTGTGACGCCTCCCTTTGGCGCTACTCGGGGTAAGCCCGCTACTTTTGCTCAGTTGCAGCCCCACAAGTAATGGTGACTAGATATTTCACGTACCTGATATCGGTGAGTGGACTCGCATGGCCTCTTTGATACTGGCCTGCAGGTATGGCAGTTGAGCGGCATCGTTGAAGGAGACGACCTCTCCTCCACAGCGGCCTTGCCTCTGAGCCTCGCGGATCTCGTCCCGCACGCGCTGCCACCCACTCGGAAGACGTAACAAGTGGTATACGAAGCTCTGCAGTCCAGCGGAGACGGTGTCAGAGCCCGCACCGACGTTGGCGGTGGCGAAAGACTCGAGGCAGCGCTGGTTAAACAGCCGGCTTTTGTCCTTCTTCGCCTTCTCGAGACCCTTGAACCAGTGACTGACGAGGTCGGGCCTGGCGTCAGGATTCTTCTGTCGCTCCTTCAGGGCTTTCATCGTCGTGTCGAACAGGTGGCCCATAGGCAAAACGCCAAGCCAGGTGACGAATGGGTTTGCGAATATAACATGGAGCCATTGTAGGTATCCGACGAATGAAATGTACATTTCTAATCCTGTGTTCATGGCGATGGAGTTGTTGAGATCCTTTCCCTGGTCAATGAAGCCTGTTTGACACACCGTCAGTCTAATCGATATTCGGACGGTACCGACATGCTCATAAACATTTTGATCCATTCGAGGCACATCCTTATCACACTCGTACTTACCAAAGGGCTTGGAAAAGACAATGTCACCGGTAATATCGAAGGAGACATAAGTGAAAAATTTGTCCAAATCCATGGGCTTCTTTTCTTCAGCAAACTTATCCATCCAGCCGATGAGCTTTGAGATATTTGTATCCATCGCTGGCTCAGACTTGCTGACATTGTGCTGCAGGTAGCCTGTCGAAAGGTACTTGGAGCATTCATTTTTGTCCTTCGGGTCCAATAGACTGAAAGGCGTGAAGAAACGATAATCTGGAAACGCAACGATCTTGTACCAGTCGCCCTATGCGGGGCCTCAGTGTCTGCATTTGCGCATTTATGGTTGACGCAGGATTGAACAGCTTACTTTTGGGAGAGTGGTCAAAAGTAAAGACTTGACAGCATCTGGATGTCTGACGCTGACTTCGTTGGGTGCCATCCGCACGAAGCACCCTGGCCGACAAACTTTAGGTCAGTCCAGACTGTCCAGAGATATGGAAACAAGTCCCATGCTGGATCTGAAGGGGCCACACCATGCTTGTCATGCTGCTCTATGAGCCTCAAATTCTGCTTCCCACTAGCAACCTGCTTGAGATGCCAAAGTCGTGTGATAGATGCCAAGAATGGCCCAGGAATTGAGTTGATTGGGGAGAAGAAGAGGCGTCGAAGAACAGTCAAGACGAGGACTGTAGCTCCTAACAGGACGGCTTGGCTCAGCAGCCCAGCATTGACCAGACCACGATCCCACGAGCTGTCCATGATCGAGCAGATCCTACCGGATAATTGGGCCCGTCAGAGGCTTTCTTCAGTACGGAAACGAAATAACACTCAGACGAAGTTGTTGCAATAGAATGAGAAATGAAAAGATCCAAATTGCCTGGTATATGCTCAGTATGAAGCCCATGGCGTGGTTGGATACACGCGTACCCCTCAAGTCCCACGACAGAAAGATATGTGGCTGCATATCTGGGCCCATTAAACCACAAGGCCCTGATCCTTTGGGTCCTAGGTCACGGTGACAGGGCAAATTTCGGCCACTCATGTTTGAGGTATTCAAGCATTATGCATTCACTTGGCGCACTAGAGTCCCAGAAACTACCAACTGCAGGAAAGCCATGTATCAGAGAATCTACATAGGCAAAGATTAGCAGGGTAGATTCAGAAGAGCCATCCCATTTGGTATGAGTATCTGAAATATCATAATATTCCTTCAACAGTCCCATTTGTCCCTTGTCAACAACCACCCCCCCCCCCCCCGCCCTCAGGGGGCCTGTACCGAGAGTGGATAGTTCGCATTGTCCATTGTGCTGTACCACGTAGCAGCGAGCTTCGACCCTACCTGCAGGCGCGGCCAACGTAGGTATGCCCTGAGTTCCACTGTTGAACAAGGAGTGAATACTCCGCTGGCGACGCTGTCACATTCTTTGAGGGAGGCTAGCTAGTCATCTATACCTCTAGAACTAGGCTTGTCTCGTGTTTGTCCAAGCCAAGAGGACTGTGGCTTGCCGCTGTCGGAGATGGTCCCCGTCCCGGTGAGACTTCTGGCAAACCATTGCTCGGTTCCGGACTTCTATCACCGGGCAATGATCACCGCGAGAACTCCACAATTTCTGCAGCCAGGTGCGCTGGTCACACTCGCGGGAATACGCAGGGTTGTCCCGCGTATTTCCCCTGACAGACAGAGGGATATCATCAAAACTATTAGGCCTCCTCGTGAATGACAGGGCAACTTTCCCTTCTGAGTGCTACTAAATGTCCATCTGTAAAGCAATTTGTAGGTCACGATGTAGGACTTCTACTCAGAGTGTAAAGTGGAGTGAGTATTACTAGTCAGCCTGCAGTAAACGTTGCTAGTTTCGGGTCAGATCACAGTAAATGCCATTGTCGATTGTCGATTTTGAGGAAGGGGATGATCTCGCAGAAAGATTTTGTGACAGTTCCATGCCCAGTGAGTGATTACAAGCTCTTGCAGATGTTTTGAGCGGTCAGGGTCTTCAAGCCTGCTGGTTACGATCATCCACCGGTGAATGCAATTCCCTTGTCAAGTATGCAACAAGCCTATGGACGAGCAATCCTTCGGGGTCAATATCAGAATGAACCTCAATATTTGGCCTGACGTCCCCGAAATACAGGTCATATTATACAGCCTTGATCCCTTCACACAATCAGGGATGATACTTATGGCTGTTCTGGGACCCCGGTACCAGTTCAACGGCGCGGACAATGAGATTTTGTGCTTTGGTTCCTCTCTACAAGAGCTGAGATAAATGAAGGTTGTCTCCCATCGTTTCATCCTGGCGAAGGGTTCAACTCCTTGAATAAAGATTTGAACCGCTATTTCCGCATTATTACTGACCCCAAGTTACTCTCTAATCTCGTTCTCAGCCTCTCACTACCAAGCAGCTTCTCATTGCTCCTGATGTAGATGCCGTACTTGCTAGTCATTCAATTTCAACCTGCCTAACATGATATTCCCAGTAGAGCGGCCTGACCAGAGGGCTCTGATCTCATGCGCGGTCATTTTCAGTATCCTTCCCACCATCGCAGTCGGGCTGCGGCTCTTGGCCAAACGTATGTCCAACAGGAAGAGGGACTTGAGTGATTATCTCATGATTGCTGCTTGCGTGAGTTTCTGACCCTCCTACCATCAACCCCATCTGAATTAACTTTTTCTCCCGCAGATCAATGTCGTTGCTTATCAGGCCCTCAACATTTCCAGTAAGTCTGACACGCCTCACTCAATTTTGCAACTGAGTAGATGGCGGTGCAATGCATGTTCTAATATGTTGAAAGCATGCTAAAGTTGTTTGGGGCTATCAGGTGTTCTTGCCGCAGGAGGCGGTTATCACGTGGCAGAGTTGCAGGATCGGTTCCATTTTGAGTCAGGTCCGAAAGTATTCTTGCAGGTAAGGTTGACACAATTAGAACCAGACTTAATTTCAAGTTCTCTGAGGACATCCTCTGACATGAAATATTGCCTACAGATGATACTTGCCCAACAGATAGTCTGGGCCACAAGTCTTACATTGTCCAAAACGTCAATACTCACTCTTTACTCGAAGATATTCACCGTCAGCTATTTTATTGTAGCAGCTCAAATTACCGCAGTCGTGATTTTTCTTTGGTGAGTAATAGTTCGTCGACTTTCTCTCAGTTGCCAAAGTTCTCGTCTAATTTGACTGTTTTGCCTCATGTAGGATGTTAGTGGTCATCTTGGGATCGTTTCTCATCTGCCAGCCTCTGGCATATAATTGGGATCAGACAATCGATGGACACTGCGGCAGCTCTATCACATTGTGGATGTGCCATGGGGTCCTCAATATTGTGACGGACCTCATTGTCCTGCTGCTCCCTATGCCATACATTTACAGCCTCGAGCTGGCGCTGTACAAGAAGTTGGTGTTGATGTTCACGTTTAGCTTGGGACTATTGTGAGTATCTCATATTTGTATTTCATCTTTTGCCTTTCTTTTGTATGCTGGATTCGTGGCTAATCAGATATCCCCACAGTGTTGCCATCATCAGCGCTATCCGCCTATATTCCATCCTGCACGTAGACATGACCGACGTTACCTATACAATTTTGATGCCTATTTTGTGGAGCGCCCTGGAGCCATGCTTAGCCATCACGCTCGCATGTATCCCTCTTCTTCGTCCGCTGCTAGGAGGAAGGTACACACCAACAGGAACGGCCAAGTTGGGACCACCAACCATGAAATCTCGAAACGTCACTCAGAAACAGAAGCGACGCTTCAGTCGTTTGGAACACGAGGACGAGCATTGCATCACAGGGCTGGCTGACGACGGATCGCAGCTGAGACCCGAGTCTATCCGCTATGCTGTCATTAGTCGTCACAGCACAATCGACACGAAAACGGACTCTGACATTGAGTTGGGCGCCATTTCTATCAAAAGGGACTGGAGAGTAGAGAAGACCGAGAGTTGATTTCCAGGTGATTGACCGAAACACGGGACATATTTGTCGGTCCTGCCTTGGCCGGGGCCTATTGTCCAATATGAACTCGAGACTATGGGTTGTATGAGCATTAGGTCTGTAGGAAATGTCAACGTGAGTAGGAATTGCTACAATCAAAGGAGCAATCGTAAATAAACCTGTGCGTTCGTAAAATAGTGACATTGTACCGTTATCATTTACCCATGTATATATCTTTTGTGTACGCGCTCAGCCGCGGACAGTACATAATTCGTCCGGGTATCAATCAATGCCGTAACCTGACTACTGGCGCAGCTCCTGTAACTCCAAGTGAAGAAATATGATCTCTTCGACTCCAACGCCGTGGCTGCCGTCCTGTATACATGAACACGTGTTGTGCGTCCCAAACGCTTTGAGTAGAGAAGTTACTGAAATCACTGCCAACACACCCCGTTCCAAACGTACACTGTACTGCAAGCTTCGTAGCCTTGAACCCAACAAAAGCGCGGTGTTGAATTGTGAAGAGAGGCTGAGCCGAGCTGCTCGGTTCCAAATAAACATCGCTTCTGCCAAGATGCCCTTTGTTAATTGGTGTAGCATCGTTATCCCATAGGGTGAGCATCGCGCGTGGCTACCTGTCATGAAAAAATCCGATAGGCTACCAGCCAACCACACGTCGCTCTCAAGGACCATGCAATCTATCGAGAATTGGATTGCCCAGTCGTGTTTCAAGTAATCAGATCGCCCGCAACACCCACAAGTAAAGCCTGAAGTGCGACGCTGACTGCCCAGAAGCCGACCTTTTTGAGTCTCTTCACACGTGAGTGCTGGTCTTCGACGTCACGGGCGAACGCGGTGTACACTTCCGCGGACATATCGTCCATAAGACCACAGTCGAATATCGTCCAAGACCCGTCGAAGTCAGGATGACGCTTCACAATGCGACAGTTGATCGGGATATATGTGTGCTTGGCGTTGATGTAGGCCACGATGGGGCGAACCAAATTCTGGTTGACGTAGGAGATGTCCGGGGTGGCATGGAACATTGGCACCGAGGCCCGAACGTCGTTGAGGTGGATGCGAAGATCCATGACCAGATAACGGGGCACCTCCTCCTGTTGAGCTGGATCCGACGACGTCTCTGTATTTGATGCATTGGTCCATGATTCATCTCGGTGGTATTCGGTACTCTCTGAGAGATGGCCCTTCGTTGGGCTACTTGCTTCGTTGTTGATGTTATAAAAGCTGGCATTTGTTCCGATATCTTTGTCCAGAATTCTCAGGTACCGATTGCTGGTCACCGCATCCTCCATTCTGTCGTAGAAGTCGCTCATGACCTTGCCAATGCTGTCGTCGGGATCCGCTGGAAACATGACGTCTGCCACTATGTCGACATTTCCTTCATAAATCCATCCGAAAGTGCCTTTAACGCCGCGATTCAGATGGTCAATCCTGAGCCCGTCAATGCGGAGCCGGCTGAATTTCTTCCAAGCACTCGGTTCCCCAAGGTTGTCAGCGGCGTATTTCTCCTCACCAGCAGCGGCGCCGTGGATCTGCTTTGGATGTATCGTGAATAATGATCCGTCAAAAGACCCCGACATGTGGGAGGCGGAGAGAAAGTCGTAGAAAAGCCATTGCTTTCGTAGCTGAGGTAGCTCGCAGCTGTATATGCTCACGGAAAATGGCCGAAAGCCACCGGGTTGATGAACCGTGACCAGTAAATCTTCCAGTTTGAAGTGTTCAATCTCGAAATCCCCCGGCTGGCTGATGTGGCGATAGGACAGAGGATCTCTTTGCTCCCCTGACCAGAAAACAGATGTGCGGTCGACAACGCCGCGGACCCCCTTCACCTCGACATCCCGGAGAGGACCCTTGCTGTTCCACCATTTGGCGAAAGACAGCGTGACGTTCACCTCACTAATCGTCACGTCAAACTGGGTGTAGTTCCCATCATCATCATTGGCCTGCGAGTCTGGGTGAGGAGCTGCCGCTGCCGCTGCCGCTGCATCGGTAGGAGATCCTTTCGAGACAGACGACTTGATCTGGCCAGGACGACGGGACACGAAAACGTTCCGGAAGGTGATGACACCATCTCTCCATTTTGGCACAATGGCTGATTCGAAGACGACGGTTACTCCGGCTGCTTGGGTTAGGTAGTCACCAACCCATCGAGCGAGTGTTTCTTTTGGCAATTGTCAGCGTCTGTGGTAGAGAAGGGCTCAAGCGTAAGTAGGACTGACCTTGCGCGACGACGGTGTTCACCAAGAGAATGAGGAGCGAGCAGAACGTAGTTGTTCCCACGAGGATCCAGACAAAGTGCCCGAATAATATCCAGGACACAAAAGCACCCCACTCATCGGCATTGAAAGGTCTTGCACTTCGTATAGAGAACCATTTGAAGCGAACCTTGAGCCTCTGCCAGAATCCGGTTGCCGCAGACAGAAGCTCTTCTTTGGTAGGTCGATGAGGCATCTTGGGCAGATGCGGAAGATGCAAGTATTTCGAGACTGAATCTGTGAGGCTGTCATGCCCTTCTTCGACCTTCTTCCCTGCGGCCTCGTGGCCCTTTCCCTGTGTCGTTGCATGTTGTGGGCTCTGCTTTGTACCAGTCGCCTTCTCTCCATCCCCTGCCTGTGAGCTCTTGTTCCGCCGCCCTTGTACCTGGCCGGCCGAGCCATATGTATGAATGCTTCTTGCCCATGCCTGCCTTGCCATTCGAATGACTGCAGTATTGCTGGAACTAGTCCCCGTCATGGATTCGGATGCGGTTGCGCAACTGGCAAGCATGTTCTGCGTTGGCTGCGGGCCATCGAGAGCGAGCAGGAGGAGCCCGCCGGAGCAGTTCCGTCGCACATTATGCTGAGATAGCGATCGGGTCTGCGTCGGGAATGGCGAGAAATTGAAGGCGGACGGCCTCTGGGCCGCTCTTGGAGTGAAGCTTCGGGCGATGCTTTCCCAGACGATGCGCCCGAACCTTGTCGAGCTGCTAGACATTCTTTTGGTAGTACCAGCCGTTCATGGTGAAGCGAGTGTAGAATCCCTCCAAGTGGTCCTGGTCGAGGTTGCTGGCTGGGCGAGTGGTGTGTCGTCTGGTCGAGGAGATGGCAGTGATGTGTGCAGCACTGACGTCGGTCTGATGGTGGTTGGGAGTGTGCCGCTAGCGACTGCTACCATTTACTACGGTACTGCCTAGGCACCTAGTGCAGATAGTCTACCCGTTGGCAAAATGGCTTGTTCTTCTCTGGATGGTGTTGGGATTGCGCCTAGTTGTTTGCGCCAGTTGTGTCTTGTTGCAGAGGGTTGTCACGCTTTTTTCATGGCCGTACTCTTTCGGTCGGTCCAATGTGGGTGGGTTGTCACCGGATTTTTCGACGGCAAAGTGGTGTGTCGCGACTGCGCCTGCACGCAGAAACAGGTCGCGCTCTTCAGATAGAAAGGAAAACTCTCAGCATGTCAACAGCCTGTGAGTCACCAAATGAGGAATTATGCTGCCGCGACAGCTTGAGGAGTCGTCTCGTGTGATTGGTATACGTCTATTGTTCTGCCGGAGAACCTTGAGGTCGGGAGGGAGCTCGCATGAAGAGAACTTCGGAGCGATGACGCGCTAATCAGCATGGATCCCCGGCTGCAACGGGAGCAGGGAATATTCGATATTCACACTTCACACCTGCCACTCCATGTAGACTACCGTGACTACCTAGCCACGCCTAGGTACCTAGTCTGGGCCGATAAGAGCTGATTGTCGATCTGCAGCCCCACTCTGGACCACAACTTTTGCATCCCACCGCCCTGGCCAGAAACTTTTCAAGGGTACTGCGCTGCGCCAGTCGACAAACGACCAGTCTCAGACTCGCGACAACAGGAATACACAGTCAGCGCCCAACACACTTCCAATAGACAAGGACTCCAGATAGAAATTATTATCAATCACCTGTGACAGCAGACTTTACCATACACAACCTCAGGCCAGATCCGAATCGCTGTCCGGCTCCCCACCTTATCGACACGGCCGTTATCCTCCTTCCTACCTACCATCTACGCACCACTTGCGCACACATTGTCATCATGCCTGCGCCAACAGCCCTCAAGGCTGCCTCTCAGGAGCCAGCAGCCAACATCCCCCTCCCAGCCGAATCCCAAGACGAAGACATCCTCCTCGACGCCCCAGACGCAGCACCAGCAGAGGCAGAGGAGCCCCAACAACCCGCCGAGACAGACATGCAGCTCGACGACGCCGTGGACGAGGAGGGCCGCCCGCGCTTCGCCCCGTCCTCGGCGCGGGGCGACGCCGTGCGCGTCGAGCACCGCAAGGTGCCCATCCCGCCCCACCGCATGACGCCGCTCAAGGCCTCGTGGCCCAAGATCTACCCGCCGCTGGTCGAGCACCTCAAGCTGCAGTGCCGCATGAACATGAAGAGCAAGGCCGTCGAGCTGCGCACCTCCAAGGCCACCACCGACAACGGCGCGATCCAGAAGGGCGCCGACTTCGTGCGCGCCTTCGCCCTGGGCTTCGACGTCGACGACGCCATCGCCCTGCTGCGCATGGACGACCTCTACATTGAGACCTTTGAGATAAAAGTAGGCTGGCAACCGCCCCCCTCCTTATGCTGTCAGCTATGTAACAAGATACTGACATACCTGCCCTCTCTTTTTAGGATGTCAAGACCCTTCAGGGCGACCATCTCGCCCGTGCCATCGGCCGTATCGCAGGCAAGGACGGCAAGACTAGGTACGCTATCGAGAACGCGTCGCGGACAAGAGTCGTGCTGGCCGACTCCAAGATCCACATCCTCGGGGCCTTCAAGAACACGAGGATCGCCCGGGAGTCTATCGTCAGTCTGATCCTTGGAAAGCCGCCTGGAAAGGTCTACAACGGCCTGAGGACTGTGTCGGCGCGGATGAAGGAGAGGTTCTGAGCGATTGTGGTGAGCGAGATTTTCACGACTATACATGGCATAACGGCGAATCGGCGTTTTTTTGGTGGTCTAGATGTGGCCGAAAAGTTTGCATTTGGGAAGGAGATCTTGGGAACCTGGAGGAGATGAGATGCCTCGTTCGAGCAGGTGGAAATACTCCCAAAACATATTGAATGACTAAATGCCTCCAATAATCATTGCTTCTGTGCCTAAGTCTGATTTTCCGAGGACGCAAAACGCCTGCCTAGAATGGGGTATCTGTTCCAAAAGCAAGATCCCACCGCGCTGCCCCCAAAAACCCTAAAAGTTTGCGTCTCATCGTTGCTCGTTCCTGTGCCTGCGTAGCAGCACGCGGATCACCTCAAGTACATCTCGACGGTACAGAAGTCCTCAATGTCGGCCTCTCCAACCGTTATGTTCCCCTCTAGCCACTCTCCCTCGTACCTCAGCTTGATCTCCCGGTCGTTGGGGATCTTCTTGATTTTTCGAATCGCAGGGACGAGGAGACGAATCTCCATGTCCTTGTCCACCGACAAATTGAACGGCTTCTGATCTTTCTCCTTTATGGAAATTCGGACCTTTGCATCGTCGACCTGCTCCTCAACGGGCTCATCATCGGGGACGTCCTCGACCAAATCGCCTCGCTGCATCATCCTCTCCCTTTCCTCTTCGGCAATCCACTCGTCAAAGTCCTCCTGCGTCCAAGCCTCCAGCAGGACACCCCCCCTTACAAAGCCGGATGTCGAGGAGGACGAACTCGGGTCTTCAGCCACCGATGGATTCCACCCCAGACTGACGCCCGTGGATACGTCGTAGATCTTGCGGCGCTTCCAGGTGAGGAATATAGCCGCCTCATCCTCCCCCGAGACCGACCGTCCCATTTTCCTGAGCCACAACAAGAATGTCCTGCGAATGACTCCTAGATTCTGGTTCATACCTCGCTTCGCGCCGAAGGGACCGAGTTCGGGGAACCTTGCCATGCGTGACTGGACGAAAACCTTGACCTCGATCATGGGCTCCCGCCTCTTATACGGTGCACCTTCCGGGGTCGAGGGTTGGATCTCAGGCCTGGACGCTGACGCCGCCGCCGCCGCCTCAGCCTTGGCGGCAGCTTCGCGCTCGCGAGCTCGCTCAATGAAATGGGCAAATGGGTCGTCATCTTCGGGCTCGGTAGGGTTTTCAAACACATCATCGTCACTGTCGTCGATTGTGATCGGGCCAGGACTCGGCGTCTCTTCTTCTAGGGGCGCCGGTACATCGTTACTAGTCCTTGTGCCGGTCCTTCTGGCAACCGCAGATTTCTCTGTAGGAACTTCTTTGAAAACATCCTCCTCGTCGTCATCATCCAGAGCAATCACCTTATTTGCAGGTGGCTGATTGGAATTTGAGCGGGTCGGCGTAGGAAGAGTATCACGCTGCACCGACGGCATCCTCTCTTTGCCCTTGCCTTTGGCTGGCGACGGCGTCGACTGTTTGAGATGTGGTTTCCGTAAAGAGGGCGAAGGAGACTTTGTGACACGGCGGGGAGGTGTTGGTGGCCCGTATAGGTCTTCTTCGGTGTCCCTCGAGTACTCTACATGCGCAGGCGACGACAGCTTTCGGCGTTTTGACGATGGCGGGGACGGTGATTGGGTGCTTTGTTGGGAAAAGCGCTTGTACTCCTCTCTTTTCTCTTCTGGTGTCGCCTGTCGATTCTCCTGCTCCTTGACCACGACAGGGAAGAAGTCCCGTGACCGCCTGAACAAATCGAGCCCATCATCGTCCTCGTCTGCTTCCTTGTTGAAGCGGCCGTCTTCCAAGTCAAGGCTCGGAGCTGGCTTGGTAGCTGACTTAAGGAATGCGAAAGCCTTCTTTTTCTTGAAGGCCTTCGCAGGGGCGCCCATTGTATCGGCCATGGTGGGACTTCAGCCTTGAGTTGCTTGTGCAGGATGACCGAAATATTGTAAAGGGCGGATGCGCTTCGACGTCGTCAGAGTCGTGCTCCAGATCGATACGTTGGCGTGACTATGACTGGTGGGGCAGTGCGCTTTGTTGCGACAGCAAGCGCGGCCAGAGAATGCGCACGCGCAGGTCGCTTTGCTCCGGTCACTGTCCACTGGAGTCAAACTTGGGTTGGAGCGGCTTGGAAGTAGTGTTGACGAGGGCGAAAGCGCGTATAATAAGAAGGAAAGAATGGGTGCGCCTGGTAATTGACGTTTTGTATGCCGCGACGGACGCGAAGCCAGACGAAGCGCGTGTCGAACGGCCGTGTTTAATGAGAATCGCAAGAACAAGACGATTTTCAATGCAGCTGCCGGGGCAACGAGTGGGGAGAGCTCAACAGTGCGAAAGCTTAGTCTGAACCGCAGTCCCGTGTTAGTATGCGACAGACAGAGTCTTGCTTACCTAGGTCCCCCTAACGTGGGGGTGAGTAGAGAAGTTCCTGCCTGAGGGGTAAGGCCATCGCTAGCCGTGCTGAAGGCTCTCCTCTGTGCGTGTGTGTCTGTGTGGAGAGCCGAGGCCCAGCAGCTTCCCGAGGCCTACTCCACTCCAACGTCGCAGAACCAGCCCAGCAAACTTCGGACCGGGGATCGCTGTAGCTGCCCTGTGCGGTCCCGTCCCAAGCCCCCGGGGTCCAAACGACACGACAGAGGAATAAACGATGAATAGCATTACCTGGTATATCTTCTACGAATCCTGCACGTACCTCTTCGTCGGCAGTCTTGTCTTCCTCCTCGCAGTGGCATACGACCAAGAGCTTGCAAAGACGAGGAGCCCTTTCTACACAGCCTTCCTTGACCCCTTAAATACCTGGGTATCTGCCTGGCGTTGACTATAAGTCGCCTCGACATATCAGACATCATGGCTGTCGACCGCTCCGAGTTCTTGAGCAGTATATATAGGGAGGGAATATTCAGTAAGCATGCTCATTTGAAACCACTTCGGATACACCGGAAACTGACCTGGCTACTTTCCCAGACGACAGGGTCGTCTTCGTCACTGGAGGCGCAGGTACCATCTGCAAGGTACAAACAAAGGCTCTCGTCTATCTCGGCGCAAACGCTTGCATCCTCGGCCGTAATGTCGAAAAGACAGAGGCTGGAGCTAAAGAGATAGCCGCCGTCCGCAAGGGCGCCAGGGTTATCGGTATCGGGGGAGTCGACGTCAGAAACGTATGTCACAATCATTGTCGCCTTCACTGCCACTGCAAATACCTGCCATGTGACCGCGGATACACTAACCGAGACTTGCAGTTCGACAGCCTTAAGGCTGCCGCCGATCGTTGTGTAAAGGAGCTGGGTGCTATCGACTTTGTAATGTCTGTCTCCCACAAGCCATCCCGTGCAATCGCAGACTTCTGTTGTGCTGACTGTCCTTGATATCAAGCGCCGGCGCAGCGGGCAACTTTGTCGCTCCCATATCCGGCCTGTCCCCCAACGGCTTCAGGTCCGTCATTGAGATCGACACCATCGGCACGTTCAACACCGTCAAAGCCACGGCGCAACACCTGGTAGAGTCGGCCGGGCGGAACCCCAACCCACCACCCGCCGGCCAGGTCGGGACAGGAGGACGGATCCTGGCCGTCTCGGCCACCTTTCACTACACCGGCCTCCCTCTGCAGTCCCATGTTAGCGCCGCTAAGGCCGGAGTGGACAGCATCATGGCGAGCGTCGCCCTGGAGTACGGCCCCATGGGCGTCTGCGCCAACGTTATCTCTCCAGGCGGCATCGATGGCACTGAGGGCCTAGAGCGGCTCGCGAGCAGTACAGCTGCCCAGAGTGAGGCGGCCACCCTTGCCATCCCGAGTGGCAGGTGGGGCACTGTCCGCGACATTGCGGATGCTACGGTGTGGTTGTTCAGTGACGCTGCCAACTATGTGAACGGACACGTCCTCGTTGTCGACGGGGCATCCTGGAGGAGCCCTGGTTCTATGGCCGTTGGTCTTGATGAGGGCATGCAGTATCCCGGTTTCTTAAAGACTGGGCACTCTAAGAACATAAAGACTGGGAAGAAGACAGATAGTAAACTGTAGTCTTGCTCCCCAGAATAGATGGCGGCGGTTGAGATCGGTCACTTCCGAGGGAGAGGGGTTCTCTGGGGCAGCTGCGGTATTAAATGTTCTGTTGTCAAAGTAGCGCCCGTAATCTATGCCGCTCTCATTGCCATGCCAGTCTGTAAAAGTCTCTCCCAATGTCTTCTGCCTAAACCTGCTCTGTACCATCCACAACAACGCGGGCCCCACCCCTTGACGCTATCGCCGTCTCTTTGCCAGAGTCTAGGGCGCGCATGTCCACCGACCTTGAACGATGCTCCCGGGGTTGGAGCTGGCACTGCTCCCGAGCAGTGACGGCCCGACGAGCGAGATTCGCTATCTGGCGCCCATCTGGGTGGTATCTAGCTGGACAGCAGCCTGTGCCGGTGCTGAACCGGCGACAAAAGCTGTATCGTGTTGATTGCCTCACATAAAGTCATCATCGCCAAATTCATTGTCGTCGTAGGCAGTGGTGTCGGTAGCGGAAGGCCGAGCTATAGCCAGGGTGGTCTTGGTCTTAGCGGCCTTGGTCTTCTTGCCGCCCTTCTCCTGTGCCTTCTCCTCCTTCAGCTTCTCGTTGCTGAGCGTCGTCAAGGCGCTGGAGACCTTCTTGATCTGGTCGCTGGGCAAGTCCTTGGCCAGCTGCTTTGCAAACTCGACAAGAAACAGCGTGTAGTGAGCCTTCTTGGAGTTGTTAGAGATGATTGGTCCCATTACCTCGCGGAGCTGTTCGAATTGCGTCTTCGTCTTGGGGTCGAAAATGGCCATCTTGGACAAGTCGATCAGGTTGCTGGGGTCCTTGGGATCAGACACGGTAGACCCCTTGATGACTGCCTTGCGAGAAGAAGGGACACCACCAACGTCGCCCCCGAAGAGATCCTCGGCGTGCTTGAGGTCGGCTTCCTTCTGAGCCTGAGCGAGGCGGGCCCTCTTGGTGGCTTCGTCCTCGTCAGACTCGTAGTCCGAGTCCTCCTCCTGTCGCTTTTGACGCTCCGCAATCTTCTCCTGCAGGCGCTGTGTCTTGGACTTCTTGCTGGCCTTCGCTTCGGCTTCAGCCTTGGCCTTGGCCTCTGCGGCCTTCTTTGCCTTCTCGCGCTCAACTTCCGAATCCTCGGCCGCGTCCCACGAGTCTAGCACCTGTGGGTAGAATGATTAGTTGGACATTCATTAGGGAGGTTGATCTGGGCGATGGGAAGCCTACATCGTCATCATCTTCCTCGTCATCGAACTTGCGCCGTCCAGCTGCGGTCGTCTCTTCGGGGGAGCTGGAGGCATCGGAAGCCTCTTCGTCATCTGTCAACAGGAAACACTGTCAGCTTGATGCGAGAGAGAGGCGATAAATCGGCGGGTCGTATATCCTAGGTGCAGTCGAGCCCCAACGTCCCATAAGCTGGCCGTTTGGAGCACTATCGGCAGAACAACAAGGCTGCAACCAGACTGGAGGCTCAAGGGCATCGTGCGCGAGGGGAGGATGAGTCTGACTCACCCCACTTTCCAGCCATGTTGAAGATGGATCAAATAGTCGCAGATAGAGATGCTTTGACAATTTTGGGTGTGGTGGATCAGTTGGTACAAGAGAATCGCGGAACTCGGGGTTTGGAAGGTCAACAGGGACAATGTCAACTGCTCGGTTGGGTTGGTATTGTGGCACTGTTTGGGCACAAGCCAGAAAAAAAGACAGACCGATTTAGGCGCGGGACCAAGGATTTGGAGGGGTACGTTGTAGAGTTTTGGCGGGGTGCGTTGATGACTGTTTACATAAGCACCCACCGGGTCGTCCTCTCTTGGCCCCTGAAAGCGAGGCTCGTCATCCCTTGCTTCACTCCGGTCCAGATCCCTCTATGGATACAGCCATTCAACCTCAACCTCATGCAGGTTGGTTTTGGTTATAATCACTGATCCGATATGGTATAAAGCTGAGGGCAATCAGATAGCTTTGAAGAAGCAAGACGATTGTTCTCATTTTCATTACCGGCCTCTAATCACAGTATCCGGCCAAAATTGAGGTGAGCAGCCGGGATGGTGTCGCCTGGACAGCTTGGGGGCATCACGAGGTTGTGATGGCGTTCTAGGCTGGTTTGTGGTCACAGTACTTTTGGAGGGTAGGGAACACAAAAAGGGGCTTCAAAAATGATCCCTCAACCCTGAGAGACTCTCTTATAGAATGACCTTCCATAGAGGATAACCTCCTATGGGATAAGTTCCTCTTTGAAAGTAAGTAAGCCACTGGGGTTTCCGTAATAACGTGTTGCAAATTTTGAGAGCGTGGTAGTGTTGTTCCAATGGTTTATTGATTTCAAGATAGTCGTTGTCTCTGCTTTCTCTTGAATGGACGAGTCCTGAACTCGTCTACCGGGTTCATTAAATGCGTGTAGGTTGCGTTTACTTCCGTTTATTCCCTGTATCGGCCCTCCTGGGCCTTTAGGAGACAATGAGAACCAGCAAACGAGTTCAGCTGACCAGTGTTTGAGTGTTTCCAGCCCCTGGTGTGTCTACCATCTCCACTTGCGAGCCTGCTCTAGCCTAGCAGCACATGCCTTCACGACTGCGACCTCCTGATTTCGACTGTGCTTGCACTCTGCAGACTTTTTCCTACCTAATCATAAAAGCCGCAACAGATGGGAAGCGACATGGATCTCCCTCATGTTAGTGATACAGAGTGATGTCCACAGTTCCAGGAGCCTTGATTTTCAATAAACCCCTCCCACACACTCATATATGTGTGCAATGATATCGCGGCGTGGATGGTAGATCATGGGTCAGAGGTCAAACGCACCTTCAAGCAAGGTTCCTTCTAGGCTGCCAAAAACATTGTCAAATTATGTTCGTCTTCCCTGAGGCGAAAACTTCTATCATCAAGTCGGGCGGAGTTAAGACCAGTTGTCCGCTCCAGAGAAATCATCATATTTTTATTTCATGTGCTCAACAATTGTCTCTACGTGTCACCGTCTATCATTTTGGCTCACCTGGCGGCTGAGACCGTGCCTGTCTGTGCTTGGCCAGATTTCGTCGTTCTCATCTACCTTTAGATGCTAACAGAGCCCCATAGCGACGGAGCTAATTCTCGTACCTGGTGAAATGTCTTTCCAAAAATTTTAGCGAAACAAGAGCCGCCAACATTACTTATATTCTTGAAGGACTCCACCTCGGGGACAACAGCAGCAGGGGCATGGCGATGCGAGTCATCAAATAGCCGCGCTTGCGGACCACGCAAGTCGCCTATTCGGCTACAGGATCAAGCTCGTTCGAAGTTTGCACGTCAGTTCTACACTGCAAAGAGCCCGTACTCCGGGATCTCCGAAGTCTTCAAACGCCTTAACGGACGGAGGCGTCGGCCAGCGAGGTTGAAGGTGGGTCTGCGGCAGGGGAAGTCGGTGTAATTCGATTGGCCAGATCCCGACAACAATGCGTCGGAGGACTCAGCCGCTTGCAGCTCACAGCTTGTCCCGGCGTCTTCCGAGCGGCCCCCAAGGCCAGAGAATTTCCAGGCTCCATTCGTCTAAGCTGACAAAAACGACGGCCAGCTGACCACGAAAACCCATCGACTTGTCAAAGACTCATCTCAAACTTCTCACATACTCCACCGTATCGGGATTTGCTCATCGATTTTGGTGGAGGTGAGCTTGCTTCGGGCGACAGCGGGTTGGCTCGAGCCAGTGGATGCTGGTTTACTTACTCACTGCCAGGCCGGGAATGTGAGAGCTTGGGACCGGGCGGGCTTGTGCTTACTACGGGTCGCCGTCTACTCGTCCCCTTTGTGATGGGTGAAGCCGGCCTGAATACGTGGTCATGGCGTTCTTGTTTCTTTTCTGGGATACGCTGCTATTCCTTCAGCATAATCTTCCTTTCCGGTCTTCCCCTTGCTAATCATGAATGGAATTCCCTGCCGGCAACCGCCCCGAGATATTATTCACTTGCACCTGCCTTCCTTTCATATAAAACCCGGCTTAGACCAAGTTTGCCTGAGGACTTACAACTTCCTATAACCCAACCCAAAGCAGACTGAACAAATAGTCATCCTATATTGAAGACAATCTCTACTCTCACCTATAAACCACACCATCAACTTCGATGTTCGCCCCACGGGTCAACACCAAACTCTGCTCCCCTAAGCAGGCCAGCCAGCTCAGCCGAGCTGTAACTCCCTTGCTCCAGTCCTATGTATCCTCCAGCTCTACCTCCTCGGTGGTAGGCCTGCGGCTTTCTGCAACCAGCGCCTTATCCTCCAACCAGTATCGACATTTCTCATCAACCCCCAAAAATTCCCTTCGCGACTTCTTCCCCGCCAAAGAGACAGAGAACATCCGGGTAACACCTCCAGCCTGGCCTCACCATGGCTCCACCGAAGCCGAGATGCTGGCGGTAGAACCCGGCCACCGCCCACCTGTTACTTTGGGGGATAAATTTGCGTGGTACCTGATGAGGGTCTGCAGGTGGGGGATGGACGCTGTGAACGGGCTGAGCAAGGATCAAAAGACGGACAAGAAGAGCCCTACCACAGCAGTGGTGGCCGAGCAGCCTCTCACCGAGGCGCAGTGGCTCGTTCGCTTCATCTTTCTCGAGTCCATCGCGGGCGTGCCCGGCATGGTTGCTGGGATGCTCCGACACCTTCACTCGATCCGGCGCCTGAAGCGGGACAACGGCTGGATCGAGACGCTGCTCGAAGAATCATATAACGAGCGCATGCACCTTTTGGTATGTACTACTCTGTGCCCGCCCTTCTCATTCGTTGTTTATCTACAAACATGCTGACCCATTTCCTGTAGACCTTTATGAAGATGTGCGAACCAGGGTGGTTCATGAAGTTCCTCATCCTGGGAGCGCAAGGTGTCTACTTCAACGCCATGTTCCTCAGCTATCTCATCTCGCCCCGCATCTGCCACAGGTTTGTCGGGTACCTCGAGGAGGAGGCTGTCCACACCTACACGCGATGCCTCCACGAACTCGACGCCGGGTGCCTGCCAAAGTGGACAGACCCAGAATTCAAAGTTCCAGACATTGCTGTAACGTACTGGAACATGCCGGAGGGCAAACGGACGATGAAGGACCTGCTTCTGTACATCCGTGCGGATGAGGCCACCCACCGCGGAGTCAACCACACGCTCGGCAATCTGAATCAGACGGAGGATCCGAACCCCTTTGTCAGCACCTACAGGGACGGCCACAAGCTCATGCCCATGACCAAGGCTGAGGGGTGGGAGAGGGAGGAGGTTTTGTAAACAACGACGGCACACACGTGCAGGGACAGCAAAACAGCGATCGGGTGGCAGGCGTTGATTAATTTTTATTTGCATACTGGCCAGGAGCGACGGCGTCCTGGAAAATTCTCTACTCTGAAGATACCCTCAATAGACCCATAGATTCTCTGTCAAGGAGACAAGAAATGCACTCAATCTCCTCAAAACCCGCCAAGAATCTTCCGTACCACTCACCGTGGGTACCCGAACACGCGTATTCGTCCCTTGGCTGAGCCACGAGATGGGCATTTGCCTATACCGGTCGATCGGTCTCTCGAAATAGAGAGACAAGGCTGACAGGGCCGGCTGATCTGCAGGCAGACGTTACGCCTACTGTCATGGTGCGTTCCGGCAGCCGCACGTGTACGACCCTTCTCGATGGGCATCAAGAGCAGGTCACCTGGGAGTGGGTAGTGACTAGGCAGGCAAAAGACCGATCCCTAACGGATAGCGCTGGGACACATGCCATCAAGACTGGCCACGATCCGAGCCCTGTGCTCGCTACACCTTTTCGTCAGGCTAGGAATGGCCCTGCCTGTCAGCTGATGCGCATACTGCCTTACAGTTTCGGCACTCGGTCAAGCCAGCATCCATGTCAAATCCCTCATGTAAGCATAGTTGTGCGCATCGCGGAGGTGGTCGTTAATCGATTGGCATGTGAAGACGTGATAATTCTCGGTCTATACACCTCGGCCACGCGAAGACAACCAAGGTCTGACGGGAGAGAGGCGAATCAGAGAGGAGCATATTCAATCCAGCCAGGAGGCGTTCGAAAAGGCAACAGGAATATCTAGACAGGCGCGTGACGGTGTGGAAAGCAGGTGCAAAATGGCCGTGACACCTGTAGAATCCGTCTGTTCGTCCCGGTGGGCTGCGAGGTGGACACCGTGGGACAATAAGCGCTGGAGGAGCCCGCCACCGGGAATCCTTCGAAGCCTTTCATCCTTTCTAGAAGGGTATGAATCAGCCCTACCGATCTCACCTGCAGAATCTGGGACTCGAAGGGGTGTTCATAGTGGCAAGATCGGGTGGGCGTTTGTCTCGCCAGCTGCCGTTGCAGTGCGACATATCATCCCGTGGCTACGATGTTGATGTGTCTGAAGCCAACAGATCAAGCGTCAGGACGAAGAACAATATCGAAACCGCGTAAGGAATCCTCAAGGGAGACAGCGAGTTGCGAGTGCCCCTGGCCCTAGCCCTGGCCCTTCTGCTTTGCCCCTTAATTCGCAAAACCTCGGACGAAGAAAAAAATAAGCTCAAGGAGACGATCCCGTAAGCAGAGCCAGTGAGACGCAGGTTCGGACGAATGTCGATGGGTGTGATGAGATCATTCAGGAGGTGTCGTCGTTCTCGGTTTGTTGACCAGTGCTGTGCTTCCCGAATGCCGCTGGAAAGTCAGGCCTTGGCCAATGAGTCTAGACCTGGGAGGGGTCGAAAATAGAATCGAAGTCCACTCTGCCACCATCAAGCCAGCTGGACAGGGAAGGGCTCACCTGTCGATCGCCGTCCAAGAATGGTCAGGGGTGGGGGGCAAGGTTGAAACAGGCTCGTGGGCGAGCTGTCTTTTAGGCGGACTGGCTGCTGTGAACGGCGAGTGTTGCGTATCCTCTTGCACTTGGTTGGTGAGAATCCGGCGATGAGGTCGGGGATTGAAGCTGACATATCGGAGAAATAATTTTCTGATCTCTTGTGTCGACGGCTGTTGTGCCCGGAGTCTTACCTATGGCTGATGATGTTATCGTTGCTGCTGCTGCTGCCGCCGCCGCCGCTGTCCCTGGTGGAGGGCCCCCATCTGATTGTTTCGAAAACAGCAATTGCCCTTTCCCATGGAATCCACGTATGCCGGGGCAGCCCTGTTGAGATGGGAGGTGGTTCAGGTAGATTGGGTACAGCCTCAATCGTCATATGGCCTGATGGCATATGCCATGAGATTAGGTTCATCTGCATGGGAGCCCGAGCGCCTGGGAAGGTTGACAGTGACAGAGACATGTCATTATTACCGCCCGTGGTCAGTGGGCAGTGCAGCGGCAGCAAGCCAGCTGGGCACATTTGTTAGTGGTGCCCAGGGGTATCTCGGGGTTGGTGGGCTCGAGGTGGACTTGGGCTAACTGCCAGTCTGCCATCCAACCTGCATGTCTAAGACACGGGCGATCAAGATGATACTGTGGTACCTACAGTAGGTGATTCTCGACATGGCATGACGCCTCGGATCAGATAGGGCTGGGCTTGCGGCAATGAGAGGGGGGGAAAGAAAGTTCAATATCAAGCTTGTGCTGGTGCCGGTGTGCTGCTCCGCCCCACGCAAGCCTGCGCCGCGCCCGTGTCGCCCTAGATAGTACGCGTCCTGGAAACTCTGAAGGCTGCGATCGTGTAGTGCGACCACGCCAAGGTCCCATTGGAGGAGCATAGCGTCGTCTCTGTACGCAGAAGGCTGCGTGAATGAGGGCTCTCTCACGCCAACTGTTATTGCTCGTCGTGATCGAGTCATGAGAAGCAGGGCGCCCATTCCTAACGCGATCTCTCCCCCTTGACGCCCGACAGATCGGTACCAAAATGCTGGAAATTTGGCAGAACACACACACAAACGCTGTCTGACGGTGGTTGGGCAATGAGCACTGACTGACTTTGTGTGTAGTCACAGACGGTGGGGCTGTCTCATCAGCAGCGGGAGCTCTCCGATCCGGACGACATCCTGTCGCCATTTGGCTAGGCATTATAGTTGGCCACGACCTGGACTCGAGTCGAGCCGAGACTCAAAGTGATACCACCTGCTGTCATGAGAAAATCCTTGACAGCTCCTGAATCGCCTTGTCGGGTGGGCTGTCATTTAGAGTACTGTATAACTACGTAAAAGGGGACAGAGTCGCGAGGCCAGGCGCACTCAACCATTCATCACGTAAAGTGCTGGGTGGTAGCCCTAGTCAGCATTGTTACCATCCGTACCCCTGTACATCGACCCGGTCTTTAACGGGTGGAATAGGAAATACGAAAGCGAGATGTCAATGGTTAGCGTTGTTCTGTTCTGCGTTGAGCTGTGCTGTGCTGTGCTGTGCTGTGCGGTGTTGTGTCGCATTGTCTTTGTGTTGTGCTGTCATAGAGAATGGAGAGAGCCCCTCCAAGCTGTACCTTCTGTTGCCATGCGCGGGTGGATGGGCCCATCAGTTAATTGCTGTAGCTTCCTCTTGTCCCCGACTCCGGTTTCCGGTCTGCCTGAGGGCCCTGTTTGCGACTCCATCATAGCTTCCCTGCACTGTGCTTAGAAGCAGTTGAGGCTGACAGCGGGCCTCAACATCCTGGCTGTGGCCTGTTAGGCAGCACAGTGCGTAGGAGACCGGCCAAGCGCCCACCCGGACGAGAATCCCATTCTATAGCAATCTCTTGGGGGCTCTTGGGTGTGGAGATGGAGGGGTTCTTGGGTCGCACAGTAAACCTACAGTAGCCTCCAGCAGCCTCAGTCCTGGGCAGTCTAGTAGACTAGGTGACTAGGTAGTCCGTCAACGGGCCCCAGTGCAGCACCAGTCCCCCGGCTCGGGGTTTCCTCCACTCGGTGGTCTCAGTTCAGCTGTCATCCTGCCACCAGTTCGCGACTCTTCACCACTCTCCCCAGCATCCAATGCTGCCTTGCACTGTACACGATAAACCAGGCCTCGATGAGATAACGTGCCCGTACGACCCATCACGTCTACAGACTTGTGGCTCTTGGAACGACACGACCGCCCTCAGTCTCGCCAGACCAATCCGACCCGGCCAACTTGGGCGTCAGTCCCCCTCGATCTAAGCGCCAGCCTTCCCACCGACAACCTCTCTGTCGCATCGTCGCATCGTCGCATCGTCGCATCGTCGCATCGTCGCATCGTCGCGCGCAACCTGTTCCCTCGTCATTCCTTCCAAATTCCGACCGTATTGACCTTCGAGGTCCTCGTTCGTATCAGTCCTTGCGTCGACAGTCGGTATCAGGCCTCCTCTCGAGTCTCGCGCGACACATTGAGGGGCAGAATTGAAAGGCCGTTCAATACGAGACCGCGCCGGGCTGTGGACCAACTCCCAGCTCCAAAACCCATCGCGGGCGTCGCGTCATCGTTTTCTGGACAGTCAAGGGGGTAGATCCTGTGTCCGAAACTAGTACTGGAAGATCAAAAGAGGTCAGTTTCGATCCGATGGTCCTGAGTCCGGGGCAATCTACCCTAGGTTCCTGCACAGCCTTCCCGCTGTCGCTGGATTACGCGAGTGGGGGACACGGCCGTGAGACACCAGCCTCATACCCGCCTACAAGACACCACTGAGCGCATTCCACCTCCGAGGCCAGCTTGAAAAGGCTGGCAAGACGTGCTCGAGATTCTGACTGCAGACCAAGACCATAGATCGCAGAGTAAGCCGCAGGAACCACGTCGCGACCAGTGACACAGCACTGCAGCATCATAGACAAAGAAGGCGCATACCCCCAGATCAAAGGCTCGCAGACATTCACTGTCTGCAATATTCCTTTCCTCCGAGTACTCATTACGGTTTGGGAAAACCCCGGGTTCTCTGGCAGGACGACGAGACTTGCACCGAGAGGGCATTTGCTGTGTACGGCACGGGCTGCGTACGCCCAACAGGCACTAGGACACATCACCAGGGCACGACATCCAGGCACCAACCCCTAGTGCTCCAAGGTTCGGCAGAGAGCAGCAGCATTTACCGCTTTGTTTTTTTGTGTGGTGGCCCCTTACGTTGCTGAAAGCCAATAACTGTCTCATTATCCTGAGGCGGTAGGGCCTGATAGGACCGTTTCCTGGTGGGTTGTCAGCTCTTGCGTCCAGCACAGCCCCAATACTCTGCTCCGCCACCGAGTCTCGCAGGCTGACCCGGAAACTGCCTTGCCAGATACCTGTTGTTCTAAAGACGGAAACAACAAGCAACCTGACCTAACCTAACCTACTTTCCACTCTTTTACCCCAAGCTTTCCAGTGCCACAGGGCTCTGGGGTTCAAGTTCCCCTGGTGGACCGGGAGCCGTGTCCCGAAGTACATATCATACACATACATCACCATGGACCAACAGCAGGGAAGGGGTCGTTCCCCTTCTGCTGCCGCACATCAGCAACAGCCTCATATAAATCAAAGCCACTCTCCTTCACCCGCCCGACCATACCCTGCTGAAGCCTCAAACATCGGCCTAGGTATTGATTTGGAATCTCAAGCACAGCCCTTTGCCGCCGGCACCTCGGACTACTCCACCTATAACGGCAGCAACTTCCTTGACCCTCAACAGGGCCAGTCCTTCTCGGGTGACCCGTCGTTTCAGAGCTTCACAGCACAGCTGGAGGGAACCAACGACCTCTCCTCGTTTGCACAGCAGCAGCAGCAACAGCAACAACAAGTACCCCAGCACACTCTATCAAACAACTTTCAGGACGACTTCACCATCTTCCCCTCTACAACAGGAGAGCAACAGTACGGTACTTCCCTATTCGCCGGCGACCCGGGACTTAACCCGGCCCTTGGCGGTCCGGACAACAGCATGGCATCGGCGCAACCACACCACAGCCCCACACCACCTCACCTACTGAACCAGGAACCAACGTCAGCTCATCACTCTCCCAACTTCAACCAGAATCAATTTGCGCAGCGTCCGAGGGGTCATTCGCGCAACGCATCCCTTGGCGTTGAGGCTGCCTTGCTTCCCGGCCAGGACTGGAGCAACGTTCCTCAATTTCAATCACACAGGAGAAGCCCTTCTGAATACTCCGACGTGTCGTCTGTCGGCCACTCGCCGAACCTGATCGCCAACGACAGCTTCGAGCATATGGACCCGAGTCATTCCCCTATGCAACGCCCTCAGGACCCCGCCGTACTTCAGGAGCTCCACGGTATTGGTAGCTTCACCATTTCTGACAGGGGCCGTAGTCCGTCTCATAGTCCTGCCATCTCCCCTAGAATACTGCCTCAGCAGCAAATGGCCGACGTCACTCAACACAACTTCACCCTGGGAAGCAATGGCTTCGTCGGTGCTCCGCCCCCTCAGTACGGCCTGCAGGCCCCTGAGGCTTTCCCCCAACTCCAACAGACCAGTGCCCCGAGCGAGGCAGCTCAAAGTATGCCTCAGCTAGCCGCTCCTACCATCAACATCGATTATGCCCCACCACCAGTGCGGAGCAACTTTGACGGCAGGTCGTCAATGGATACGGATGCTCTGACACCCCCAGAACGAGGTAAGTCTTGCGGTACTACCCTTTGCGGAACTCTAGTGCTCACACGGACACAGGTCGCCAGCGTGCCAGACCCAGGGCTGTCACTGATCCCTACAACAGTGGTGCTTACCGGCAGACACAAGGGGGCTCAGCATCTCCTCATCTCAGTGCTACACTGTCCCCTAACAGGGATGATTCATCTCGGTCTCTCTCGCCTCTTGACCGTCAGCAGTCTGCTTCTCCTAGTAGAAGACGTCAATCAACATCTGCTGTGCCTAACAACGTGATTGCGCTTCGCCTTGTGGAGGGTGAGAGCAACGCAGACACGTCAGGGGGACCCAAGCGCGTGCAGAAACACCCTGCAACATTCCAATGCTCACTTTGTCCCAAACGTTTCACCCGTGCCTACAATCTGCGCTCTCATCTTCGCACTCACACAGACGAGCGGCCTTTCGTGTGCACCGTCTGTGGCAAAGCTTTCGCACGACAACATGACCGGAAGCGCCACGAAGGTCTCCATTCCGGGGAGAAGAAATTCGTATGCAAGGGTGACCTCAAGGCTGGCGGACAGTGGGGCTGTGGTAGGCGCTTTGCCCGTGCTGACGCGCTTGGACGACATTTCCGCTCCGAAGCTGGTCGCATCTGCATCAAACCACTCCTTGACGAGGAAATGATTGAGCGACAACGACAATGGGGCGAGCAGCGACTCGCGGCGCAACAAGCTGCCGCAGCGCAACAGCAGCAGATGGCTATGGGCGGTCTCATGGCACCGCCTGCCCTTGACAATCAAGGTTACCCAGCTTCAGGAGGATACATGCTTCCACAGGCGCTGTTGGCGCAATACCCAGCGCTTGCAAACATGGACTGGGGAGCAGCAAACATGCAGGGCGACGTGAGCGACATGGGAGATGATCTGAGCGGTCGGTCGAGCTTTGATGCTTCTGACCTTGAGAATGAGAATGATGACGGCTATGTTTCTGGACCAGGGACTGGATTCGGCCCTGGGGGGATGACTGAGGGCTTTGGCGAAATTGGTTATGCTAGTGACTATGGTGGCCGTTAAGCTCTTCTATGGCTTTGGGTGAGCTTGTTCCTGGCGTTCTGCAGCTTTCTTTGTTGTTCTTGTTCGATTCATCCCGGCTATGCCATTGATTAGGTTCGAGGTCTGGAAGAACTTCTTCGACAGCGGCGTTTCATCGTTTCATGATTCCCACATTGAAAAACATTGAAGACGGGTTTTCACGGGCTGGAAATATCCCTGACACTTTTCTGGAGAACGCGAGCTTGCGGGTTCGGTTGGATAGACCACTTTTTTGGGTTCATTTTAGATACCAGTGCAATTCATTTCTCAAAAGAACTCTCCGACTGCTTTTTGCAGGACGTGCCATTCTCAAATTCCGCAGCAGCCGACCGAAGACCACGCTCACCTACATTTAACCAACCTTGGCTGATTTTTGTTCAGACCAACTCTCGCTCAGACTGCGTCTTCAATATGAAATCCTCAGGGCCAACTTCACAAATTTGCAACTTTTTAAAACAGTAGCCCGTTCTTACAGTAATTCAAGCATGGGCAGAGCACCCGAAGACAAAGTTTTTGCTCATTACACGCATATCTCGTCTCAGATGTGCATTGCTGACATTACTAATTTAGATTTGATTTTTACATTGCAGACTCAGCATCTAGTGGTCCGCTGCGCCGACGTTCAAATCCCTAAACTCGCCACGGAACTCGTCCGGACCTCCCTTCTTCCACTCCCCGACAAAACCGGCGACCCGCGACGCGATCAGCTCCGGGTCGTAGCCAAAGTACTTGTAGGCGGCGGCGCCGGGCAGCGAGTGGCCGAAGGAGCTCATCGAGTAGCCAGCGTCGGCGTAGCGCTCCCAGCCGTTGGCGGCGTACGCCTCGACGACGACGCGCGGCGGGGCGGCGGCGCCGCGGTACCGCAGCACCTCGGCCCGGTACTCGCGCGGCTGGGCGTCGAACAGGCGCTGGCACGGGAAGCTGACGACGCGGGCGCGCAGGCCGTGCTTCTCGCGGAGCACGTCGCGCGCGCGGACGGCGAAGACCATCTCGGCGCCGACGCCGATCAGCGTGACGTCGGCGGCGTCGTCCTCGATGAACGCGTAGGCGCCGCGCTGGACGCCGTCGCGCGACGAGTGCTGCGGGTACTGCTCGAGGTTCTGGCGCGAGAGCGAGATGATGGAGGGCGTGTCGCGCGCCGACAGCGCCGCCACGAAGGCGCCCGCCACCTCCTCGCTGTCGCACGGCCGGATGTACAGCAGGTTCGGCATCGCGCGGTACAGCGCCGCCAGCTCGACGGGCTGGTGCGTCGGCCCGTCCTCGCCCGTGCCGATGCTGTCGTGCGTCGCGATGTGGATCTCCTGCAGGCGCTGCAGCGCGCCCATGCGGATCCCTGGCGCCGCGTAGATGTAGAAGATGAAGAAGGACGATGTCACCGGGAGGATGGTGCCCTTGTTGTAAGCGGCTAGGCCGTTGGAGATGGCTGCCATGGCGTGCTCGCGGACGCCCCAGTGGATGTAACGGCCCGAGTAGTCGCCGGTGATGCCGCATGTAGGCCGGAGGTCAGGCTGAAGAGAGCGAGGTTAGTGGAGCAAGGGAGATTGGAGAACTGGGGTGCTTACATGTTGGAAGTCTGTCTTGCCCTTCCAGATCATGTTGACTGAAGGGCTCAAGTCTGCTGTTCCCACCATGAAGTTGTTCAACTTCGCAGCCAATGGGTTGCAAACAAGTCCTGCCGACTTTCTTGACGCTGTCGGTGTCGTTGGGAAATCTTCTTTCTTGGGAATGAGCTTCGTCCAATCCTCTGGGAACTCTCCGCGAACACGGAACCCGAACTCCTTGGCCAAGTCTGGATATGAACCTCCGTATGATGAGACGAGATCGTTCCACTCTTTCTCAAAGTTCTGACCCCTGGTTCTGATCTCCCCGAAATAGTCGTACACCTCTTGTGAGATCTGAAAATGTTTCTCCGGGTCGAAACCCGAGCTCTTCTTGATGTTGGCAACATCTTCAGCGCCGAAAGCGGCACCGTGCGCCTTTGCGTCGCCGGCTACTTTACTCCCGATTCCGATGACTGTGCGGATGTTGATGAAGACGGGCTTGTCTGTGCTTGCGCGTGCCTCGACCAGGGCGGAGACAATGCCCTCGACGTCGTGGTTGCCGTCCAAGACGTCGATCACCTTCCAGCCACATGCCACCATCTTGGCATTGACGTCCTCTGTGTTGGTCAGGTCAACCGAGCCGTCACAGGTGATCTGGTTGTTGTCGTAGATCACGACGAGGTTGTTCAGCCTAAAGTGGCCGGCTAGCGAGATGGCCTCCAGCCCGACGCCCTCCTGCAGGCATGCGTCGCCGATCATACACCATGTCGTGTTGTCTACGACGGGGAAGCCGGGCTTGTTGTATGTGGCTGCCAGCTGCTTGGTGGCTATAGCCATCCCCACAGCGTTCGCGATGCCCTGGCCAAGCGGTCCTGTCGTCACCTCGATGCCTTCGTGTTCGATCTCGGGGTGTCCTGGGCAGATGGAGTCGGTCCGATCTGAGTGGTAGGACTTGAGCTGGTCAAGAGTCATGTTCTTGAAGCCGACAAGATGCAGGAAGGTATACTGCCACAAACAACAGTGACCTGGGGGAAGATGTCATTAGAATCTATTTTCTGCAATCAAGACATGGTCAAGAGACCAAGGGACTCACCGTTTGAGAGAACGAATCTGTCCCGGTTGAAGAAGTTTGGGTTCTCGGGTGAGTAGCGCATTACATATTTCCACAATGCGACGCCAATGGCTGCCATTCCCATGGCACTCCTGTGGTGCGCAACTGCTCATCAGTGAGAACTCATAAAAAGGCGGAGACGCAACAGATACATACCCAGGGTGGCCGCCCTTGAATTGCTCGCAAAGGTCGGCAATGAGACATCTGAAGGTTCTGAGGACGAAATCGGTCTTAGTGACATCTTTGAGCTCAAGCGTCGAAATGCTGGCATAGTCTCCCTTTGTGTTCTCACCGTTTGGTGAGAGTTTCAACGGCAGATGGGAGACCGTGTCTGTGGGGACTGCTACTGCTGAAGGAGCCATTGTGGAGATGTTGGAGCACGAGGGATATGGACTTTGTCCGTGACAAGAGCGGGATCACTTGGTCGGCCATGGTAAAGACCATCGTTCATATATCATGCTCTATATTCCCCCTCGTCTATTCTCTGTTTCTTTTGGGAGTGGCCAAGTGGTGTTGGAGAAGAACCATGACGATGCCTCGTCGGATGTCTCAGACTGCCTAGTCTTCATTTTAGGAAAGCCGAAGCGCCACTGGAAGCGCTACGAACTTCCTCAATCGCCTAGTATGCTCTCGAGTGGAGGAGAGTCATGACCCCGGGCACCCCACCAACCCCATAGTCTTTCCATTGCGACCCCATCCATGGCAACGTAGAGCGGTTCTGTCATGCGGCCCCAACATCGAATCAACCCGACGGAACAGGCAAGCCGGGCGGGATATTTTCCGACCATCTTGATCCTTTCCGAGACTTCTATCTTAAGCAAATATACGGCCGTTGACCAGGTGGCTCACCAAGCTGGCCAGCTGGCGGGAACGTTGGCGATTCATCGTGACAGTGCAAAGCCCACTGTAACGTACCTTACTCGACGTCACGGGTCGGGCACCTTCGTTGCACACGATGGGAGGCTTTCGAAGCCACTCCCGTCTTGAAAGTCACTCCGTAGACTGCATTCAAGCAGATCGATCCCGCAGGCGACAATGACCGACGACAGCGCCTCGGCCTCCCCCCGAGAGGGAAGCCGACGGACCCGCGATCTTCGTCCGGCCCAGACTGCTCGTCGCAATCCAAGGACTAAACACATCCGAACGCGAACCGGGTGCTGGAACTGCAGGCGCAAGCGCAAGAAATGTGAGTAGCCCATCGCGGCCAGGTTATCACCACTCTAAGGTGCTGGGTTGCTGGCATAGAGTGGACGTACCAGACCGATACCTATACGCCGTGGTAATTTTCTCTAATCATGTACCATGGCGAATAGGCGATGAGCAAAGACCGGCTTGTAAGGAGTGCTCGCTGAGGGGGCTACCGTGTGAATGGGGTGTGCGGTTGGTGTTTCGTCCTGAGCATGTCGAATCTATTCCCGCCACCCATCCGTCCATGCTGGAGACGGCGAAGACCCAAGGTTGCGGGGATGTTGAAGTAAGACGTCGTCGAAACGTACTCATGATGTTCTGTATTCTAATTGTGCTAGATTATTGACGTGACGAGCGAGGTCATCCGAGACTACTGGAACGAGCCCAATGTGTCCACAAACGGCGGTACTGTCGCAGGCCAATCTCACAAGGCGCCAGACCAGCAGGACCTGAAAGATCAACAACCGCGTGGATCCCCAAAATCTTCAAAAGACAGTACGGCTTCCACAATTTCAGGTCAGCGAGACGACGTGGTCTCGCTGACCGCTGCTGGTAGCTCCGGGCCGGCTACCGATCCTGCATCAGCTCCTGTCACACCGGCCCCAGGTTATCTTCCAAACCTCGAGAGATCAGGGAGTATTTTGTCGCCGCATTCGTACGATATGATTCAGTCCGCAGCTGCCCAACTGCTCGACCTAGGATGCTCAGCCTCAGGGGTGCCTCCTGATGTCCATGCTTCTCAAAGTGCGTTGTTGCACCCGACAAACCACAGCAGCAATCCGAGCATTGCTAGTCCAGGTTCCGAGGGCATGTCGCACGATGGTATATTCTTGCCTGGTTCAGCATACCTGGAATTCCACTCTGCTTTGAGGAGTCATACCTTCAACGCAGCGCGCTCTGCTTTCCCAAGTCGATGTGGAACACCAGAGTCCCCAGAGACTGCGCACACGACGATCCGAGCTGAAGGCCAGTCCGTCGAGGAAAATTTATCGCTGAACGTTCATACGTCGGAGACGGTATCACCGTTAGAGGATGTAGCTTTATCCCGACCAACGCCTAGACTCAGCGAGCTGTCACAACAAGAAGAATTTGAGTTGTGGAAGAACTGGGTAGATGAAATCGGTCCGTGGGTAAGTATGCCTTGCATACCAACCATTGGCCCCAGCGGACGAATCGTTTTCTTGGCTGACATCCTGCTTAGCTTGACAAGTTTGACAACCATCGCCGATTTGTTCGCGTCTTGCCACCATTGGCACGTGAACACCCTCACTTGAGGTTCTCCATGCTTGCACTCTCTGCTCGGCAGTTGGAACGCAAATTTCCGAACCGGCCTGCAACGAGTCTAGGACTGTACCAGGAAGCTATCCATCAGCTCGTTCCGCAGCTGCAGACAAGGACGACTACGGTCGTGGCGTCGTGTGTTGTGCTTTGTGTTCTTGAGATGATGAGCTGTAAGTTGCAGAGGCGCCAGTCCACTTTTTCTTCCCGATCTCAGAGCTGATTTGATCCCAGGCTCTCCAAAAATGTGGCGTCGACATCTCGATGGTTCCGCCAGTCTGATTCTATCACTGGGCATCAATGGCTTTTCTGGGGGATTGGAGCAAGCCCTTTTCTGGTGCTTTGCACGCATGGGTAAGTCTCCCCGATTTCCTACCCCCAACATGTTCCATCGCAAGTCGGGCTGCTCACCAACTTGTCTCGGTGTGAAGATTTATGCGGTGCACTGATCTCAGATGAGCGGACAATCATTCCAATCGAGAGTTGGTTGCCAAAGCCAGCTGCCGATGACAGCATACGGATTGCTTACAGCGCTGCCGGCTTCGACATGTATGCCAATTATATCGTCCACCTCTGTGCCGAAGCCATGGACCTATTTGTCAGCAGCACAGGGAGCCGCGAAGATTTCAGTAGGCGCTGGAGCAGTCTTTTTTCGCGTCTCAGCGACTGGTACCATTTCCGGCCGCCAGAGATGCGACCTGTTCTCGATCTGCCACAATTAGAGACTGAGCCTGAACGCCCCTTTCCTATCCTCTTGTTCTCCAACCCCTCCGCTATTTCTGGCAACCAAATGTATCACACGGCGGCGCTTCTCATGCTGCAAAGGATCCCTCGAGGCATAAAGCTACCACATGGAACTCGGTCCATGCTCTGGCATGCCCGTAGGATCTGTGCCATCTCGATATCGAACACCGATCACGCCTGCTGGACCAACTGCATACAGCCCCTGTGGATTGCAGGCCGCATCATGTCCAACCCATCCGAGCACCGTGCAATCCTCAAGACGTATGAGCTCATCGAGAAAGAGACTGGCTGGGGCGCTAAGTGGCGAGCTGATGACCTCAGAACATTCTGGGGAGACCTCGATGGAGGGTGAAATGTTCACAAAATTGGTTTGGTATTTTCCTGATACCCTACCTATGCTGAGGCACAGTGACCTCCATCTACTCTGAGGTCAGCTCCAGTCATAAACGAACTTCCCGGCGACAAGAGAAACACAGCAGGGGCCTTGAAGTCTTCAGGAGCTCCAAGCCTTCCGAGCAGCGCACCGGCCATCCAGATCTTCTCCAAGTCTGGGTTCGTGGCTAAAAGCGCGTCTGTCATGGCAGTTCTTATGTACCCTGGCGACAAAGTGTTCACCCTGATGCCATATTGGCCCCATTCTTGCGCCACTGACCGGCACAATTGCTGTACTGCTGCTTTGCTGCTGTTGTAGGCAGAACATGTCAATCCCTGGAGGAAGACGTCAGTCTTGTGTCAGAACATAATCAGGCCTAAAAAGGTGGACAAAGGGTCCGGTTGAATATGATAAGTGCGCGCAAGACTTACGCGGTTTGCAATGTCACCAGACATGGAGGCAATCATTACAATGCTGCCCTTTATGCCGTTCTTGATCAATATCCTCGCCGTGTGTTTCGCAGTGAGGAAGGTGCCGGTGACATTGACGTTGAGCATGCGCTCAAAATCGGCCTTGGGATAGTCGACAGCCGGGGTTTTTTGTTGGATACCGGCACACGCAATCGTGCCATAAAATGGAGCACCCGATTCCTCGCCCTCCTTCTCTATCTCACTGAGGATCTGCGAGAGGTTCTCCTCGTCCGTGATGTCGACCCGACGGTAGGAGAGCTTGAGCCCAGATTCTTTGGCTGTCTTCTCGATCGCGGCCCACTCTTCCGCGGCCGGGGCTTCGAGGATGTCTAGGCAAGCGACATTACCGCCGGCCTCAAGAACAGCTGCAGCAAGTGTAATCCCCACGCCGCGACCGCCACCGGTGATGGCGATTGTCTTATTGCTCAGCGAGAACAAAGCTGAGTGTGAGACGTTTGCCGGCGTCACTCTGGACTCTGGGACGTCCGCTGGAAGCTTGAGGTCGGCAATCTGTTCACCCATGGTCTACGAATCTATGAGGTTCAACGAGACTTGTGAATTTTGAAAGGTGAATTAAAGTGATGAGAGGAATTATGATTCGAAGATTTGAAGGTGACGGGATCTAAAACGAAAATGGAGTGACGGCAATCTAAGTTGGACCAAAGGACGATGGGGGAAAAGAGAATAGATTATCATAAGAAAGGACAGCAGGAGGCAAGCGTTTTTCTAGAAGCAATCGTCAAGTCAGAGTCAACCACGGCTTTCGCCACGAAGGTTGGGGCACTCGGACTCTGTCCGTTCCTAAAATCGTAGGTCTAACCATTTGCTCCGTCTGAATACATTTTGACATGCTTAGCAGTGGGACTCAACAATGGATCATTGTCGCTTCACGCTGCCTCTCAAAAATCTCTCAAGAGCCGCATATCGGCAACCGCATGGGCTTCAGGGATTCGTGTCTAATGAAGTCAATCAATGCAAGCACGTGGGAAAAGATTCTGCCTCTCTCAAAACGGGAACGAGTATGCTCCCCGCTCGGTGACGGCCATACCCCAATGGTCAACTAGGAAAGTCGAAGCGCGCCTTGCATGACTCTGCCCGGTGGGCATGGGCCTCCTCTTCCCCAGAAAACTTTTTACGGGGACCCCAGGAAAACCGGCAGTGGACCTTGCGGCAGCGGATCAAACACCCATGCCTCCCTTGGATTCAAGGTTGCACCGAGACAGAAAATCTGCCCAACATGATGGATACACCGTCGTCATCAAACATAGGGTGCAGCTTTTTCCCCCGGGCATTTCAGGAACCTAATTAGAATTCGGAGCCAAGTGTTGAGGGAAACAATTTGGTTCGCGTTATCCCCCACGATCCCCAGGTTATTTACGCACAGCTGGGGTATCCAGGAGGTGCATATGGTTGCGTGGTAATGACACAGGCTAAGCTGTGGGCTGACCAGAAAAGTATATAACTACAATCGTATCCTTGACTCCGACATTGTTATCGCCTTCATTTCTTGTGCATCAACTCTATCAACATGACAATCCTCACAGGCCGCCCGTTGCATTGGGCAATCACTGCCGCAGCCGGCTCCGGCTTCCTTCTGTGTATGTGAAGTTATCCTTGATGTCTTGTCATCTCACCTCCCTCTGGTTGGTCCAGTCATAAGTACAAGCACAAGGAGATCGAGACAATTTTGTCACATGAGGCTGTCAGGTACTTCACGGACGAGCAATTGCTGACTTCAACTATGTGTGCAAATAGTCGGATATGACCAGGGTGTTATGTCAGGGCTGTTGACGGGCTCAGCCTTCACAGCCCAGTTCCCCGAGATCGACACCAACGAAGGCTCTCATGGCAGTGCATCCCTCCAGGGCACCGTCGTCGCCATCTACGAGATCGGTTGCTTCTTCGGCTCCATCCTCGCACTCGTTTTCGGAGAGAAGCTCGGTCGCCGGATGACAATATTGATTGGGTGTTTGATACTCTGCGTCGGTGGAGCTCTGCAGGCCTCGGCATACTCGATCCCGCATCTCATTGTTGGGCGCATTGTGGCCGGTCTCGGAAATGGCATGAACACCAGTACTATTCGTAAGTCCATTCCACGTTGAGGTGGCTTCTACTTTTCCTATCATCTTTACTGTGCATAGCTGAGTAGGCTAACACTCTGGGAAGCTGTGTGGCATTCTGAGTTGATGCAAGCGGACAAGCGTGGTAAAGGGGTAAGTTATATAACCAGCATGTATATCGATTATCCATGAGTATTCATCTAACACAATGTAGCTTAGCATAGAGCTTGCCATCAATATCTTTGGTGTTATGACGGCGTACTGGGTGGACTGCAAGTTTTTTACCCTTTGTCCCAATAGTTGAATCTTGCTTTGTACATCGCTGACCGTGGTCTCCGAATAGATGGAATGTCATACGTTGACAACCACTCGCAGTTCCGCTTCCCATTGGCTTTGCAATGCCTGTTCGCTGTTCTCACAATTGCCTTGATGCTGGTCCTACCCGAGTCTCCACGATGGGTGCGTACTCGACCTGGTTTTTCGACTCTGGAATACTTCAAGCTAATCAATACCCTGGGAAATTACAGCTTATCGCTCAAGACCGCCACGATGACGCACGCAACATTCTCTTAGCCCTTCTCCCCAACAAGAAGCCAGACGAAGACTTTGTCAACAGAGAAATGGCGGAAATTCAACACGCAATTGACGAGGAGAGGGAAGCCGCTCACGGTAGCTCGTACAAAGCGCTGCTCAAGAATGGGCCACAGAAGTTTTTTTACCGAACGATGTTGGGTATCGGCGGTCAATTCATGCAACAATTATCGTATGTCAATGACCTCCACCTTTCGATTTCTTTGTGCCCGCCCCAGGGTTCCCAGGCAACATGGCACGAAGCCATGAGCGCTCCTGATACTTTGCCTCGGAGGTCTTGTGGCGGGCCTAGCTTTCGCAAAATTTACACACTCGCTAATTTTGTTACTCAGCGGAATCAACTTGATCACATACTATGCCCCTGTAATCTGTAAGAAAACCGCGCCCTCTAATGTTTCTATGTATTTGCCACATATACTCGTACACTGAGAGCTTGTACGATGCTCAGTGGCTATGTACCGTCGTACCATGGCTATGAACGCATGCTTTACCCAAGACATATTTGCTAACAGACGCGAACAGTTCAGCAGTCCGTCGGACTCACTCACAACATGTCTATGTTGCTGGCAGGATTTAACGGTGTTGCCTACTTCCTCAGTTCGCTGATACCGATCTGGGTCATTGACAGGCTGGGCCGGCGGAAGCTGATGCTGTTCGCAGCTGCTGGACAAGGCTGCTGTATGGCAATACTAGCCGGGACCGTGTCTGACGGCTCAGCTTCCGCGGGTATAGTAGCGTCAGTGATGCTGTTCGCATTCAACTTCTTTTTCGCGATCGGTTTACTGGCTATTCCCTGGTTGCGTAAGTCCTTCCTCGGGTCTCTCGTCCTACGCCACCCTGATGTCCCCAAAATCTAACTCTTCAACACAGTTCCTGCCGAATATGCACCCCTAGCAATCCGTCAGAGAGCTGCCGCCCTTGCGTCAGCATCCAATTGGATCTTCACCTTCCTTGTTGTTGAAATCACCCCAGTCAGTATCGGCAACATCGGTTACCGCACGTATATCTACTTCTGCGGTATGTATATTCATGTCCGAAGGGGCAAGCCCGCCTTTACAGGAACCACAACTGACCATCTTCTAGTCTTTAACTTCTGCTTCTTGCCCTTAATCTACTTCTTCTATCCAGAAACACAAAACCTGACCTTGGAGCAAATTGACAAGTTATTCACCGGCGACAAGATCATGCTCCATTGGACACCGTCCATGGGCGAGATTGGTGAGATGGGCGAGATCAAGGAGGGTGTAGTTGAACAGCGCCTCGAGAAGCAGGTTGCCTAAGAATGCTATTCAATGAAGTTTGGGTGCCTTGTTCTCCCTGCACTTATTTGCAATCTAAGCTTGTAATGTCTCAAATTTTGTATGTCGATTATTCAGATATCAGCAGCAGATATTATGGTCATCATCTCACACTTTTGAGCATCGAGGGCAATGTGCACATCCGTTCTCGCTTGAGCGCTTGCTGAGCTTGCTCCACATGCACGTTGAACAACTTTTTGAATTGCTGTCTATGGTCTCTCTATTTACAACCCGATTTCGGCGTTGTTAAGGGGGGGTGGGCTGCTGAGGTAAGCCTGACAAAGTGGCCCTTGGCCGTGCTTGAGATAAGATAAGCCTCCTCCCTGCGAGTACAGCTTTCCACACGGTATCAAGCTGGAATTCGCGGGCCTGGTTTTCGAGAACAAAGGCTACTCTCTCACTGGAGGGCATCATGACAGACGCGGCTTCTAAGCCCTTTCGTTTCCTCGACCTGCCAATTGAAGTGAGGAACGCAATCTATCATGTCATCCTCTGCGAACCTCCACCTGCGAAGCTGCGCCGTGTCGAGCAGGCCGACCTTCTATGGCTACCTGAAGGCATGGCGGTAATTACACATCCAAGCGAGATGCAAATTCTACAGACCAGCCGCCAAGTCCATGCAGAAGCCAAAGATGTGATGCTTCGAGGAAACCAATTCATTCGGATTCGCGCTCGAGGGGTTGGGCAAGTGGTTAAGGGTTTCTTGCTCGCCAGACAAATCCCGATCATCCGCACTTCTGCACTATCAAGGAATACATTTCAGGGCTTTGTAATGACCCATTCGATTGAATTGAAAGGCGGCCGTCCTGAGGACTTCCCAGGGCCTAAACACGAGACCGATGTGGACCTTGTCATCCTCCATCGTGACCTCAGTCTGTTCTGCGAAGCCCTGGCTATCAGGGGTACTCTCATGGTCAGGGGTTTTGGAAACCTCACCAAACACGATTTGACCATCCACAACCCCTTTGACTCAACCCTCAGCCCGGGCTTTATGAGTGAGAAGAACCAGGAACGGCTTCTCCAGCCTTACCGCCACTATTTACGTGGGTTCTCCCACTTTTCGGTCGATGGTAATGTGTCCGCCTCATTGGCCGAGTCTGTGAAAGAGGCCGTTGCCGAAGAGCACCTTCCTGAGCCCGGTGAAATCATAGCCGAATTCAAGCGCAACAAAGATCTAGGCAACCGCTACTTCAGGCAGAAAGAGTTCCACAGAGCCGCGGAAGCGTACACTACTGGTTACATCAAGGTCGCGCTCATCAGAAACGGCAATCTTTGGCCACAGATCACGGCCAAAGGAGGACAGGGCTTCCTCCACGCCATTTCCGAGACGTATTACCAAGTCTGTCTCAATTGCGCGCAGAACATCCTAGTCTTCCTTCGAGAGACGTCTGAGTCCAACCGAACTAAGATTCGCTACTACTGCGGCAAGGCAGACTATCACGTAAAGTCGGCAATGGCCGCCGGGGATAACTTCACGACGGATTGGCGGCCGAATCTGCAGCAAATGGCGAAGCTTTCTTTCCGAGCTGCCTCGATAGAGCGCGTCTTGGGCAACATGGAGGCTGCCAAGTCGCTCATAGATATCGCTCGTCAGCAAGCCCCCAGCGATCCGGTGATCAGGCGAGAGGCTGAGGAGATTGAGGCCTTGTTGCGCTCTCAAGCGGGTCTCGGTCGTTTGTTGCTCTGAGTGGGCTAGGGTTGATGAGGGCGACAAGTCTTTGTTTCAATAATCGCGAGCGAGGCCAATAAATTGGTTATCCAAATTTTGGAATCCAACCAGTTGCGGACCTGAGGTCAGAGCAGGCATCTCAAAGCCCTTGCTACTTTCTGCATCATATTCTGAAGATGGCTTTGGCGGTATGGGAATAGATTTCTAGAGCACCAACAAATATTGTTGTGTCATGTTGAGTATTGAAGACAACTCCTAAAACTGAGGTCCATCTATCATAACGAATCGTATAGCGGACATTAAAAAAAGATAATAGAACTTCAGAAGAGTAAGCCCTGGAAGCATGCATCTCAGCCGGTTGATCTGGCTGTCTGCTGCCCTCATAAGATTGATTGCACTTGAGACAAGGCACATCCCTTGGCCAGAATCTCATGTAATACAACCTTGTCGTCATACAATGACTAATAAATCGGACCTTGTTCTTGGCCAGCCTCTTCAATAAAAGCATCCCATGAAGCCTGTCATCGTCAGTCAAGCCAAATCTCAATATCAGGCATGAATGACGAACCCAGTCAAAGTCCATAGTGGACAAGTTGTCTTCGAATGAAAATCCCAAATCAGCTGCACTAGACCACGGGCTAAGTCTTTGAGATCGTAGTTGTGCTTCTGGCAGAATTTCAGGACATCCAGGCTCAGTGCCCCTCCCAGGTTTAAAGCTCGACAGCATGTGCTCTAGGAACTCGTGAATTCTCCGGGTGTCATCGCAGGCGCTCACCGCTTCTGCCCAGTGGGCACATGACTGCTCCAAGACATGGAAAAGAAGGCCACTGTCAGGAGACGCCTCTAAATTGGGGCTCTTCCGTCTCAGCTCCAGTTCCAGGAACAAGATCATCGCAGCAAGGGTCAGCATCTGTCGTGTCTGCGAAATTTTGTAGAAGGACGGCTGCAGTTCTATCTGTAAGTCGAGTAGCGCCAACGCAGACGAGATACATCGATCTCGCGAGACCTTGAACCGGTCGTTGCCTCTGTCCTTGGCTAAGAACTTGCGATGCAGTACGCACATGCCTTTGTGATACATGCATAGCAAGCCGAGGTGGGAAAATTGGGTCCTTCCTCGGATGGGTCCGCTGTTATCGCCGCTTATAGAAAATTCTTTCATATGCGGAGGGACATTCTGATATGCACTATGCACGGCGCGGTCAACGTCGAGGACGGTCTCGTACGAGGCCAGACTTGGAATACTATTCAGATCAGCGACTCGACCCAGAGCGTAGAACAAGCGCCCCTTGACAATGAGATATGTTGCTGCAGTAGGCTCAGTGAGCGGTCGAGATGGGGGAAGAATCATAGTCTTCTCGGATAGCTCCCAGTCATGTAAGTTGAGAGGCTCCCGCGTGGTCGAGGGGATTGCCGACCCCAGACGAGGGAAGCCGCCCAGAAAAGAGGCCATGTCGTCCATTCGGATAATGGATAACCATGTGCGACGACGATACTCTGCTTGCAGCAACGAGAACTCTGGGGAATCTGATGGGTCAAGATGGTAGCCCATATTAATGGCAGCACGAACAACGACGCCTGTCATTATCCACAGCCCACGACGGTTGTCGTCCTTTCGGTTCAGCTCGGCGGTTGCGTTGAATCGCAATGTCTCCACTGTGTAAGGCAGACACTTTGAAATGTCACCGCTTAGTAGGCATTGCGCTGTTCGCATCCTGTAGAGTTGAAAGAGCGATTCCGAGATGCCTTCGTACTCCGGGGGTCCTCCATATTGGTAATGTGCCAACACGGTGATGCCGAGGATGGAGAAGAGAAGACCCAGCCATATCAAATTAGTTTTAGATGGGTCCTTCCAGTGATCTTCGTACTATTTAAACATACATGTGAGCCAGGGGGGAGCGTAGAAAGAATATACCCTGTCATTTAACGTACTTCGCGCATGAAAGTTGGTTTATGGAGAATGGCTAACATTTCATCAGCAATCCACATCCCTGCATAGATCGAGTGACTTACGAGGAACCGTGATCGGGAAGGTTTGCCGATCAAAGAACGTATGTACAAGCCGATCGACCTCAAGCTTGGGTGGCAAAGTGGATAGGATCTCCATGTGGTCGATTTGTCCGACCTGATGAAAGAGCAGGCTTGATCCATCGACCGTGTGAGAGAAAGCGGGAGGTAGGCTGTAGTCAATGCTGTCATCCAGCCATGTCCGTTTTAGCTCGTTTATCTAATGGTTAGAATTAGCCAAAAGCACCTATGTACTTGTGAGACGTAGTGGGCGATGCTCAGACCTCAAGAAATTGAAATGGGTGAGGGTGAAAAAGAAGGAGCAGCGACTGGGGATCAATTCGCGCAGGTATTCGGCAAAATCCAACACCGAAAAGTACAGAGTAAATAGAACTAGAGTACCTCTTGAAGTACGATGTGCCAGTCGTCTCCACTCAGATACATAGAACGGATTCCGTCCACGACCGTCTTCCCGTCACCAGCAACTTCGTGGGCATCGGACGGTTCGGCCTCGGCTTTGAAGTCTTCAGTCCTGTCGGCTGAGTTCTTTCTGAGTGAAGAGGCTTGTTGTCGCTCAGATATTAGTCTCTTCACCAATGCTTCCAAATGATCAAGTCGTTGGCGCATCTCGTCGCTGTTGTCGCCACGACGGGCATTCGGTTTTGCACCGTCCTTGGATCCGCGGAATTTACAAGAAGCTTGCTCGTCACGGGCCAGGCAATTCTGACAGGGTTTCTCCCGATTACACTTCAGTCTACATTTTGTCAGTAATTGTCTTTTTTAGAAGCGAGCCGCTCACAACAATGGATCAACATTGGTCTGCGTACTTTCTTGCTCGACAGGGGTCACACGACAGTGGGATGCGGGAACGCCGGTGACGCCTGCGGGTTTGGTCAACGACCCGGGTAGGTAACATTCTTCCTTCGGCATCCATAGTGATCTTAGTGATGAGTGGGTGCAGATGGTTGAGGTTTGGATTCAGGTCAAAGAGAGAACCAGAGGCGGCAGGAAGTTCGGTGTGTCAGACTTTAAGTCCGCGGAGACAACGGCTTGTCGCGCCGAGCCAGTGGCCGACTAAGTCCGTGGACTTACACACGTAGATCGCCGATTGGCTCCTTTCACCAAAAATGTTTGAATTGGGAGATATATAGAGAGATAGGTCGAATTCATGATCGAGAGCAAATATTAGAAGGATACTCATCATCATCATCATCTTTCACACCACAATGCCTTCCCTGGGCGACTTTCTTCACACCCAATTCGTGCTTAAGATACCCAAGCCGTCCGCCTCCTTCGCGTCCCAAACTGTCATCATCACCGGCGCCAACAGAGGTCTTGGAAAGGAGATCGCCAAACATGTCATACGCCTCGGTGCCAAAAAGGTTATTTTTGCTTGTCGTAGCTTGGCCAGGGGTCATGAGGCCAAGTCGGAGATAGAAACCCTCTTGAAATGCTCCTCGGAAGTCATCCAAGTGTGGGAACTCGATCTCGAGTCAACTTCCTCAATCAAGAGTTTTGTTGATCAGGCCAACATCCTGCCCCGCTTAGATGTCTTCATCAGCAATGCTGGCATCAGCTCCGGCAGTTTCAAGGTCATTTATGGCACCGAGCGCACCCTTGCCGTCAATGACATTGGAACTTTCTTGCTTGCGCTGCAGCTAATTCCAAAGCTCAAGAAGACAGCCCGAGACTACAAGACTACGCCTCATATGACTATCGTAACATCAGCCCTGTACGATGTGGCCAAGTATCCCGAGGAGCATGGAGAAGACATTTTTGCCTGGTACAAAGACGAGTCGCACGTAGATAAAATGAACCAGTAAGGTGGCCCCCCCCCGTTATTTCGCTCAAAATTTCAACTGACCAAAAAACGCGGCCATGAAGATATAACCTCTCAAAGTTACTGCAGTTGTATATAATCATAAAGCTTTGTGCTATAGTCGATCCGGCCAACACCGACGAACCGAACCCCATCGTCATCAACTCTCTCGACCCATGTTTCTGCAAGACGGGCCTGACAGGAGACCTCAAGGGCTTAATGAAGGTCCTGTTTAAAGTCTTCGAGTTGATCACGGCTCGCACTGCTGAGGAGGGCTCCCGCTTGGTAGTGCAGGCCGCATCGGCGGGAAGAAAGACGCATGGACTATACTTACGAGCTGGCGCGGTGCAAAGCTATGCTCCGATCGCTCTGGATGATAAAAAAGCCACATATGTCTGGGAGCTACTCCGCAGGAAGCTTGAGGATCTGGAACCAGGAATTATGCAGAACCTAGAGTGGTCGGAAGTTGTCTTAGAGTCATCTTAGATTTGAGTGTCGTGTTTAGTCCAATACAAGCTCGTTGTCCGGACTTCTGGCTCGCCGCGAATTGCTGCGACTCTGTATCTTCCAAGTCATAACGCGTAAATCCACGCTTGCATGTACATATAGGCAGTTCATTTGTACCCGGCAAGCGGCAACAAGACATGATCTCGTGTGGCAGTAATCAACCTCCATTGGTTTCGAAGGAACCTCGGATCGTTAAGCACTCCTATATCATAGAACGTTTGATCTGTCATCTGATAGGGAAGGCTAGCTTTGGGTCTACTCAGCCAGAATCAATATGAACCATGAATGTCTAACTGCGAAAGTAAAGCTCCGTGTGATGCAAGAAAATCTCCCCGTGATGAAAATAGAGAGACTGGGAACGAGGATTGATGAAGAGCTACTAGATGAGGCGATGCACATGTTGATCAACATAGCTGACAATAGAGCATTTCCCGACAGGATGACTACGAGTGGTTTAACGCGGCTCCACTTAGCGCTTTCATCATGAAGTGCTGTTCAAAGGCAATGTCTCAATTGTGAACGGTGGCAGATGAGCGGCGTACTTGACTTCGACCCCTAATATCAGTTACCCTAACCCTTCACAAACCAAAGTCCACATAATGATCTCTGAGGAAATCGGTCTATTGTCTTTTCGCAGGGCTGCAGGCAGGAATGGCAAGCGGTTGCTGATGTGGGGAGGGGAACTTCTTACGGAGCACAGGGACTGGATTTGTAATCGAACTGCATAGTGTCTGGAAAATAAAAGGTTTGTAATCGCCGTAACGTTTGAAACGGTGTAGATTTTTTGGATGATGAATTGCGTCACATCCAGCGGAGGTGCCCCAAGTAGTCCGGTATTCCTAGTGATCCCGTCTCTTGGTCGTCAACATTGAATACTTGATCAGCTGTTCAACTTCTCGTACATACACAATGGCGTCCACAAGCAGAGCTATCATATGCATCGGTGAGGGCGAAGCTGTCGTTAAGGAAGTGCCCACTCCCAGTGTCCGCGAGGGACATGTTTTGATCAAGGCTAAGGCGTTGGCACTGAATCCTACGGACTGGAAATCAATCCACAGCGGTGAAGCTGCTGGCACGAAGATTGGCGTATGTTGAAGCTCATACAGCCTACGGTCCCTTGAACTCCAAGGCTTGTAGAAATATCAGGCGGCTGACGTATAGCAGTGCGATTATGCAGGAGTAATTGAGGAGGTCGGTCCGGGTGTGACGAAGTCGTTGAAGAAGGGCGACCGGGTCTGTGGATTCGCCTTTGGAGCGTGAGTGTAAAGCCCCTATTCTCGATCAGAGCGCCAAATCCCACCAGATGCCTCGGTGGTCGCTCTGGGTACGCACTTCGAGGTAGAGCCTCATCAGGCCACAAGAATGGATAGACCTGGAAAAGCACGAGGAGCCAAGCGAGATTCCAGTAGTGTCGGTAAGGTATGACTTGGAAAAAGGGGTCTGACATTCTTCGCCACAGGAACGATGCTGAAAGCGGCGCTTTCGGGGACCATGTCCTCACGCGACCTGAGATACAGTTGAAGATCCCTGACGGCGTCAGCTTTGAGGAGGCTGCTACGCTCGGGGTCGGCATCACCACTGTTGGCCAAGGGCTGTACCAGTATCTGAAGCTTCCCCTTCCAAATAATCCATTGGCCACGCCCAAGCCTATTTTGATTTATGGAGGAAGCACTGCGACCGGAATCTTGGGCATCCAGTTCGCCAAACTCTCGGGGCTCACGGTTCTCACCACTGCCTCGTCTCACAACTTCGAGTACTTGAAGTCCCTGGGTGCAGACGCTGTATTTGACTATCACACTCCAGTCGAAGAGCTCGCAAAGGAGATCAAGGCCCACACCAACAACAACCTCACACTCTCGTGGGACTGCTCGCCGACCCCCGAATCCGCCCGGCTATCGGCCCTCGCCATGAGCGACTCCCAGCCAGGCGTCTACGGCTCGCTCCTGCCCATCAAGGATGAGGTGCTGAAATCAGCAAACCCAAACGTCTCTAGCGGATTTACCATGGGCTATACAGCCTTTGGCGAGGCGTTTAAGCGCCACGGTCGGGAATACCCTCAGAAGCCCGAGGATGCCAAGTTTGGAAAGGCCTTTTGGGAACTGACTGAGGACTTGCTGTCGAAGGGCAAGTTCAAAGCCGCACGGATGTCGGTTAACCGGGGAGGAGAGGGCCTGGAGGGCGTACTGAAGGGCTTGGACGATCTCAAAGAGGGGAAGGTGAGTGGCACAAAGTTGGTCTATACCCTCTAGGCGCGCTGTTTGCTTCGGCACTTGAGAAATCTACTGGTTGGGAGATTTACTTATTATACTCGGCTTGAAGCATGTCATTGCTATGCGTAGCTAGCAACAGACTGCCAGTACGTAGCAGTCGCTGAATGCACCTATGTTTGTGTGTTTTCTTTTTGATCACATTTGGGCTCTTGGCTGTGTTACACCATAACGTTTCACAATAATAGTAAGATACAGGCAACCCTCTCCAGCCTCTAGGCAATTGCGACTCGGTCAAGCCATGTTGCTTTTTCCAGTGGTAAGCCATATCGGGTGACACAAAGACCTCAGAGAAATCCCGCGACTCTCCACTCTGTCGACGCAGCTGAGCCGGGACGTTCCTGAGCAAATACCCACAGTCCGGATGTCAGGAGCTACTAGGAATTCGACGGTGTGGCTGGATGCTGTTAGTATAAGGTCACAACTCGAACCAGATGTTTCAAGATCGGGGAAAATGCACCTACATCTGGGAGTCATTGTGAAGGAGACGGGGTGTGGTCGCCTGAGATCACCTTTCAATGTCTAAATCATGGACTGTTACAGTGCTTGAAAGAGAAAGGCACATGCAAAAGACGATCCCTCGTGAATATTTACCCAGGTCACATAAATGTACATATTCAGACACGTATTTAGACAACCATTTACATATGAGTGAAATCCACAACCAATACAAAACAGCGGGTATTGGCCAATGTGCAACAGGCTTCACTACCCTCGTCAACGCTCCAAACGCCCAACAAGACCAAAGAGAGCCTTCCTCCACTATCCTACATAATCCTTCGATCTAAGCCATCACACCTGAAGCAGGCACCACGACAGGCGTCCGCTGAGCTTGTGAAAGGTGCTCCTTGCTCGTCGTCCTCTTCAGACCATCAATGACCTTCTGGCAAAGGTCCCTATGCGCTGCTTCGAAGCTCTTGACCACGAATGGTTTGACGATTGCGTTGCACTCTACCCTCGCGTACTCTACCAGTTCCCATTCTCCAGCCCCGGGGGAACTTAGTCCTGCGCCGTCGACGATATCATGAAGGTCGTCCCTTGCAACACCGTCCGAGTCCGCCCGGCCCGCCCTCTCGAATTCGGCGCCGAGGTCGCGCCGTTGCACCTCATAGGTCGACCACACTCGTACACCACCTTGGGCGTCGGCTCGACACCGGACGCCGGCAGGGAAGGACTGGAACGTGGCTGGGATTTTGATATCCTTGGACAGGCCTAAGAGGGGAATGATGACGACACGCTCGATGACTTCGTAGCACTCGATATTTGCGCCGTCTTCTGTGAAGAATGGGTCTGCGATGACGTCCTTTTCATCCACTGGCCGGCGGTTGTATCGCAGCAGGTATGGGTGAGGTATTATGAGCGGCTCGTAAGTCTGCAGGTGCTGCACGACGAGGTCTGGGGACAGATAGGCCGGCAAAGGGAAATGAAGTTCTATCGTGTGAGATGCCGGCATCTTGATAGTGGCACAGCCTTAAGAACGCGAGGCAGTATGGTAACGAGACAGCCGATAATGACTGAGCCTGGAGTAACTGTGCGATAGATATGATTCTTTTGATCTTGACTTAATGGTGTCACTTCTCACAGCGTGTATTGATCTGAGCCTCGCTGTGGCTAGACCGCTCGCGAAAGCTGTATCGGCGAGGGAGGAAAGCGAAGACGTCTTTGGTGCAGACGAAGTTTCGTTATGTTGGCGACGGCTTCAATAAGTGGCCAAGCTGGCTTGGCTCGATGTGACGTGACGAATTCTACCGCAGATGCCTTTGATGAAACAGATCCTCCTGTGAGCTCCCTACAGGGCTGAAAATTGTACGAATAAGAGATGTGATACAGAATTGAGAGGGCAGGTCGATGCGACGATGGTAAACTTGGTTTAAACTTGAGATTCAGCAACCAGTTGGCGGCTGTGTTGCTACTGCGGCTGACTTTGCGACCGGGGTTGTCGGGCGGCGCAGCTGGCGAGTTTGCTCGTGGGTCCGTCCCTCTCGCTCCTCTCAATGTCACCTGGACAGTGAGTTGTCAGAAGCGAGTAGTTCTAGGTGCACTCTGTTGCTTCCCTCGGCCGCTATGACCTCGAAGCAATAGTTATGGTGACAGCGCTAGCAATGTCAGCTCCGGACCCTGAAACAGGCCTGAAGTGCTATATTTGGCCGTGTCCGCCAGTGCTGCGCCCCCACACCGGACGAACAAGCTGCGGATTGAGATGTTCTAGCTCTGCTGAAGCCGCTCTAGTGCCCGGTCTTGCATCAAGTGAATGGCGATGAGTGAAGACGCGTATGCATCCGCTCTGGTAGGCCAACTAACAGATGAAGCTGTAAGGGAGTGTCCGGAGCCGAGGTCGGCCGTGAAGGTCTTGAGGCGAGGAAACCTTGACCTTGACCTCGCCCACGTTGTCGGGTTTCTTCTCGCGGAGAAGGGACAGCGTCGGCAATAAGGCGGCCGGAAGGCTTCACAGACACCACAACCCCGAGGCGCATACAATGTGCTTAAGTCAAGGAATTTACGAGAAATCGCTGCAACTCATTGAAGCCAGTCAACACATCATTACTTGCATGTGAAGCTCGCCCACTTCATGACCTGGGAGATTAACTGGCTATGGAGTGTCGGAGGACTTTTGATAAGTGGACCCTCTCTGACGTGGAAAGGCGAGGGAGCTCGTGTGTGAGGAACCTGATGGGAGCGTGGTGAAGCTGACGATGCCAGTTGGCGGCGAAAGATTCATCTGGCCTCAAACATGCCTAGCATGCACCAATGCTGCATTGATACCTCACGGGTGAGCCATCTGGCCATCTTCGAACCCAAACATGGTGTCGTTGCCTGACGACCACTTCACCGCCGATGGCAGCCATGACACGACAGGACGCGCAGAGCGTGTCTAGCTATGAACTCAGCAGCAGCTGCATCAGAGCGACAGATCTCGCGCAGTAGGCCCAAAAGCAGACCAAAAAGAATTTTCTCCTAGCTTTCCTCTTGTTCTGCCAGCGCGACAAGCGGCGCGGAAGTAGATGGCGGTGAAGACGAAGCGATGCCATTTCCAGCAGTTGGGCTGCATCTCCGGGCGACTGATTCAATGCAAGTCAATGCTAGCTCCCGCGCGACCACTGCAGGAGACGGTGGCAGTGGTTTGCAAGTCTCGACGTCGCATGGTGCCCATGCAAGATTAGCTCAGTGAAGGGTTCATCTGGCGTTTTGTCTGGGATTTAAACCACCAAATCTCGAGTCCAGTGGTAGTCGAGATGAGTTTCGGAAGGCAACAGGCCGGTTGCCGTGATGATGGGACCAACGGGTGGGTTCGGCAAGCGAGCTACACAATATCCACAAGGGTCTCTCTACAGTATGCATGCTCGTAGATGCAAGTCCATACTGAGCGAGGAGTTGATCGGAAAAAAAAAGCCCCTCACTGGACCATCCCGCAATGTGACCACGATGCTAGGGTAGATATTCCATTAGAATCCCTGTCGAACCCACCTCGCCGCATCCACTTTGGAGGGGTAGACATGGTGCGGTGACTGCTGTCCAGTAACGAGTGGTTGAATGAGTGAACGAGTGAGTGGGTTCTGGGCACAAGGGCTATGAGAAAAGAGACGGTCAACTTCTGGATAGACTGTCAGGCCTATTTGCGTGTTTGCCTCTGAAACTGCCATACTGGCTGTGGAGGTGATCATGTTCCCACATCCCCATGATCAAACCCGGGCCCGGCGGGAGCACAGACAGCGGGACTGCTATACCACAGCAGGCCGGCTCAACGTGGAGCTAGGGGTCCGTTGTGCACGGCGTTTCGTTTCGCGAGCAGCGGTAGGGGCATGGAAAAGCGTTGGTCGACGGAGCCAGATGTTTCACAGGGTTTGGCCGTGCAGAAAGAGAAGCGTGACGAGTATTGGTCATTCCCTGTACATCGTCATGGTGGCACGCTAGGCTGGCCCCGGCTGTTCAGCAGTACTTAGGGGATAAGGTGCTGTACCAATGGGTACTCAATTTATTTGCGGGTGGTAGTGGTTGCGTCCATGTCGAGTGTGTTCTGCCGAAGGAAGAGGGCCCGTTTGAAAAGGTTGTAGTGACGGGAAGAAATAAACAGACGCATTGTCTCAACACCCAACTCTAGGCACAGTAGTGTGCTATGCACCTACGCACGCATGCATGCACACTGCTGATTATGATTAGCCACATCGGGTGATCAGAGGGAAGGGAAATGATGGGAATGATTGTAATTGTGGATGGTTGGAGAAGATGGTGTGGTCGATGTACTTTCACAGCAGGATAGGCGAGCTACTCTGCAGTACGGTACGGTACGGTACGGAGTGGGCTGCGTGAACCTCCGGTTCTTGATGGGTCCGTCTTCTGCGCGACGGACCAGGGTTCCAAGGATTGTCTGGCAGGTGCGACACCCGGAAGCCAATGAAGCTTCTCCCCAGCCATCCAAATCAAAAAACCCGTCCTGCCCTGCCGCGGCCTGCAGCAGCAGCAGCTGGAAGTCGCCCATTCTTTTTGATGGTGTCTCCATTTCACCCATCATGCGCTCGCTCTTGGGGGACCGACTGCAATATAACATGATGTCTGCTCCTGTTGTCATTTTTTCCCATTTGTGTCTCGTTGTCCCATTCCGATCGCCGTGAGAGGAGTAGAGGGAGGGAAGAGAAGAGAAGAGAAGACAAGAAAGTATGCATTGCATTGCAGTCTCGAGATTTGCAGCCACAAGAATCTTATTGTGCATCTTTTGAGACTGTTTACAATTAAATCTGTGTGTCGGTCTGTCCGTCACACATGCTGAGGTTGAGACATCCCTACCTGCCACCCATTACCGCCAATCCCTACAAACCTCAGGGATTAGGGTCCGGCGCATTTTCTCGTCCTTTGCCCTCTGCTGGACGCATGAACTCGTCACTCTCGACTTTTTGCCGTCTTTCGACTCTCCACGACTCCTGACCCTTTCTGCGAACAGTATCCCACGCAGTCATTTCTCGACAATCTCAGGACGGGCAAGCTGAGCTGCACAGCAGGACGACATGCAAAAATAACAGCTGGTTGGGTTACACAACTTCGCCCGCACGCCCAATCCCGAGCAAGAGAGACCGCCCCTCGCGATCGCAACGACTCATTGGCCCCCTTACTTACATTCTTCCTCGACCTCCTTGCATGAACCGACCACTCGGGATCCAACGAGAATCCTCACACAGGCAGAGATATTAGAACACCGTCTTTTTCACGTCTCACAGAAGGAGAATTCTGAGAGCACTGCCGAAACAACAAGCAGCGCACAAAACTCTCTTTATCCTATACTCTCCGACCCGTCCCTACGACTCGAGCTCTTTACAACTGTCCCGCCTTTGCGCAGCAAGCCTCATGAGTTTTACAACCCAAGGATACCGTGCGCCCAGTTCCTCAGACATCCAGAATGGCCGCGGCCGAGGTCCTAGCTTTCGCCGCAAGCGATAGTTGGCATCCGGCCCAACATTTCACGAAGGCAACATGGTGGGATGGAACAACCCGAGGCAGAAGGAATAATCAGGTTGACGCATTATTACAATGGAGACTGGGCCTCATCTCCGAGGCGTGGATTGAGTTGCGGAGCGCACACGTGAGTCCCGTTATTATGTCAGGTCTTCCTTGGATATGTGCAATTTCTGGTCTTGTCTTGTCGCGAGCACGGCCAAAACCGTTCACCGATTCAGTGTCCCGACCATCTGGTCCGCGTTGAGACGGTGGCTGCATGGTGCTGGTGCGAAAGTTGGAGCACACCTCTGCTAAGCCGGTGCCAACGTCAGCGCTTCCCCATGGACTAGCCTGCGGCTGCTCAAAGTTTATCTATGCAACTGGTTCTCTCCGGCTTTTGTACTGATTGATACTGTCTGCAGCAGTCCACGAGCTTGAGGAATTGCCCGGCCAAACCGCTTATCATCCCGCAATTCTGCTCGCCGAAATGTTCGCGCGCCCGACGACAACCAGGCCCCTCTACTGATCATCCGGCATCAACTGCGGATGTACGTGACCTTACCGACACGGATTCAGCCGCGCAACTGCGCCTCCTCGCTCCCGAGGATCGTGACGTGCCCCCACCAAGCTCCTCAGCAGGTAGACGACAGCAGCGCGATGACCGTGATATCGATCTGCTAGCCGACCCAAACATGGATCTGATAGATTTTGATTCAGAAGACGGCTTCCTTCAAGCCGCGGGAAAGAAGAAGAAGAAACAAACAACTTCTTTCAACTGGCTTGAGGACGAGAACGACAAGAAGGATGGAGACGGGACTGAGGAGGGCGGCGACGGCAACAAAGACCCCAACGGTGGCGATGCAGGCGCCGGCGACGGCGCCGGCGGAGATGGCGGAGGAGATGACAGCGGCAAGAAAGAAGATGACAAGGCAGGCGCCGATGCCGATGCCGATGATATCTGGGGTGATTTCGCCACTGTCGGCAGCAAGAAGAAGAAAAACAAGGACAAGACCGCTGATGCATTTGGTCTGCCGGAGATACCACCGACGTCTACTGACTTTCATGAGATCAAGTTGGACGATTCTGGGGGAGGAACCGGGCTAGATTTTGGTTTAGGCTCAAAAACCGAAAAACCGAAAACGGGACTCAGCGCGTGGACATCTAGCTGGGGTGGTGGGGGCTGGGGCTGGGGAGGTCTCAGTGGCTCACAAACGGAAGCCAGCAAGCCTGCCGAAGAAGAGAAAACGGAGTACCCGGTCGACGATAGCCCGTGGGGCATCAATCGCCCAAAGCCCAAGAAGAAGACAACTTCTACCTTTTCTTTCGGGGCCATCGGCGAGGACGACGGGACTAAAGATTCGAACAGCTTCGACTTCCTAGGAGGCAGCAAGCCATCTGACAAGAAAGACACCGGCGTATTTTCTTGGGGTGCGGCCACACAGAAGACAGGGGATGACGACTTCTGGGGCAGCATAAACAACAAGAAGGACGAACCGCCGAAAGAGCCCGAGAAGCCAGCTGAGGAGGCTTCTGACGATATCTGGGGGTGGTCTTCGACAAAAAAGGAGGCAAGTCTCATCGCGTTCAATTTTAATTTCGATGAAAATAGTCCTTGTTGAACACGTCCTAACATGTGCATTTTACAGAAGAAGAAGAAGGGCAAGGCCGTCATAGATGAATTCCCAGCAGCAGATATAACCCAGGAGGAAACCCCACCAGAAGCACCTGATGCTCCTCAGTCCAGCGAGAATGCACCAGAACCTGCTTTGACTCCGGATGAGGAGGCCGAGCTCCTGAAGTTACAGACCAAGAAGGACATTGGCAGCAAATTGACCAAAAAGCAGACGGACAGGTATAAATTCCTCACGGACAAAGTCGAAGAAGCGTCCAAGGCAGCAGAGGCAGCGAGTGGCGATGCTGTTGATCTGCTTGATGATGCGGCGCCGGCGCCGGCGGCCGACGACCCAGCGAATGGCTCTGATCCTTTTGATGCTGCACAAGCTGAGGCGGACGAAAATGCGCGGGTCATCCAAGAAGAGGAGGAAGAAATGGCTCAGCTAAGGGGGAAGAAGAAGCTCAAAAAGGCCGAAAAAGACCGTTTGCGAGTTCTAGAAGACCGTGCCGATGAGCGCTCTCGTGAGGCTGAAGAAAAAGCAGCAGCCGCCGAGAGTAACGGTCAGGAGGAGGCCGCCCCCGAAATTGGCGATGTGCCAGCCGAAGATACGCCCCCAGCAGATGATCCCGCCCCTGAAATCGACGCCGCGCAGGCCGAGGCAGATGAGCAGGCCAGAATCGTTCAGGAGGAGGAGGAAGAGATGGCCCAGCTAAGGGCCAAAAAGAAGCTGAAAAGAGCTGACAAAGACAGGCTTCAGGAACTCGAGGACCGGGCCGAAAGTCGAGCTCGCGAGGCTGAGGAATCAGCTGCCGCGGCACAAGCCGAAGTTGAAGCCGCCGAAGCCGCAGCCGCACAGGCTGATGCCGATGAAAAGGCCAGGATCATCCAGGAGGAAGAGGAGGAGATGGCCCAACTTCGAGCGAAAAAGAAGTTGAAAAGCGCAGACAAGGAACGACTTCGAATCCTCGAAGAAAATGCGGACACGCGTGCCCGCGAGGCTCAAGCCGCAGAAACTATCGCTCCGCCGGAAGAAACAAGTCCAGAGAGTGGCGCAGGCAGCAACGAATCCAAGAGCGATGAAACGGCCCCGACAACCGCAGACGATGCTGGCATCGACAGCGCCGCACAAGCTGAAACGGACGAGGCCGCGCGGCTCATCGAGGAAGAAGAAAACGAACTCGAAATGTTGTTGTCTAAGTTGAAGCTCAAGAAGGCTGATAAGACCAGGCTTAAGGAGCTTCAAGATAACAAGGAGAGACGCGAGCAAGAAGCTGCAGCCAAGGCAGACGTTGCAGCCGCCCCGGATAGCAGTGAACCCCCAGTTGATGGAACTTTGGCCCCTGCTGAAGATGCAGCTGCTAGTGGCGATGGTGTGGAGCCAATTCCGAGCGAGGAGGATGAGTTGGCCAAAAGGCTGATCGAGGAAGAGGAGCTCGAACTCGACTTATTGCTGTCCAAATCCAAACTCAAAAAGAACGAAAAGGCACGCCTGAAGGTTCTTCAAGACAATAAAGAGCAGCGAGAGTACGAAGCCGCCGCTAAAGCCGAAGCCGCGTCTGATCCAGCTCCTGACAGTGCCGAGCCACCGACCGACGGCGCCATTGACAGTGCCCCAGTCTTGGACGACGCTCCCGTCGACGAGACTGCGGCACAAGAAGCATTAATCGCTGCCGAAGAGAGCGAGCTCACGGACCTCTTGTCGAAAGCCAAGCTCAAAAAGGTAGAAAAGGCACGGCTCAAAGAACTCCAGGACCGAAAGGATCAGCGCGATGAGGAAGCCAAGATGGCGGCAGAAAGGGCTGAGGAAGAAGAGCGCGTGGCCCGCGAGAAGGCTGAGCAAGACGCCCGGGAGCTCGAGGAGCAAAAGCGTCGCGAGGAAATCGAGGCCGAGGAGGCCGAGATAGCCTCGCTCAAGTCCAAGAAGAAGCTCAAGAGGTCTGAGAAGGATCGGCTTTCTGAGTTGGAATTCCGAGCTCAAGAGCGCGCATCAGCTGAAGCCGAGAAGTTAGCCGAAGAGCTACTCAAGGAAGACGCCCAGAACGACGTCAAAGAAGAATCTAAGGCTTCTAAAGGGTTTTCTTGGGCTGATGACGACCCAGCCGCTGACGAAAATGGTGCAGGCGACGACTGGATGGATTGGGGTCTGAGCAGCTCAAAAAAGCTGAAGAAGAAGGACAAGTCGAGCCCTCTGATTGAGTTTGGCGGCACCAGTGACCCCATAGCTATCCCGGATGCCCCGACCGCTATCGCGGACGCAGACTCCTTCGACTTTGGCTGGGGTAAGCCGAAAAAGAAGGACGTTCAGACGCCTGCTGATGACCTTTGGAGTTTCGGGGGCAGTTCCAAGAAGAAGTCGAAGAATCAGCCCGTGGAGGTGGTTGATGACCCGATCAAGCCTGACACCTTAGGCGAGCCTAAGGACAAGATTGGCGGAGACGACTTCTGGTCGACATTTGGCGTTGACAAGAAGGACAAGAGTTCTCGTAAGAACGCCCTGGCCATGGAGCCACCACCACCAGTACCTACACCTCCAAATATGGATCTGACAGAAACAGAAGTCGACGTACATGACGCCGGAGATGGCTGGGACGACCCTAGCGGCTCTACCGAACTGAGCAGGAGCAAGTCCAAATCGTCCGACAAAGACTCCAAAAAGGTCTCCAAGGAGCCTAAGCTCAGCAAGAAGGAGCTCGAGAAGCTGGAGAAGGAGAAGAAAAAGGCCGAGAAAGAGCAAAAAGAGCGCGAGAAGCGAGAGGCCGAGGAAGCGGCCGAGAGAGACAGGATCGCAGAGGAAGAGCGACTCGTGGCTGAAGCCAAGGCTGAAGAAGAGAGGCTGGTACGCGAGGCTGAAGAGCTGGCCAAGCAAGAGGAAGAAGCCAAGCAAGCAGCCATCGATGCCATCGCCCAGGAGGAGGCTGACCTGGCCATCTTGCAGGCCAAGAAGGACTCGGGCAAGAAACTTACCAAAAAGGACAAGGAAAAGTTTGACAAGCTTTCTGCCAGCTGTCAGGCACGTGCGGACGAGAAAGCTGCCCAGGAGGCGGCTGAACAAGCAGCCCGAGAAGAGGAAGAAAGGCTGGCACGCGAGGCTGAAGAACTGGCCCGCCGGCAGGAGATCGAAAAGGAGGAGGCCGAGCTCCAAGAGCTGCAAAAAAAGAAGGACTCGGGTCGAAAGCTGCTTAAGAAGGACAAGGAGAAGTACGACATGCTACGCGCGAATAAGAAAGCCCGAGACAAGGCTGCCGAAGAGGCCGCTGCTCCCAAAGATGAAGCCGCGCCAGCAGGCGACCTCAAGGCGGAGGACGATCTCGACAAGGACCTCGCCAATCTCGACGCCAACCAGCTGGACGAACTAGACCAGTTCCTGTCCTCCCCCACAAAACCTTCAGCAAGGGCAGCGGAGGTGGACCCCTTCGACTTCTGGGGTGCGTCCAAAAAGTCGCCTAAACCCAAAAAGGGCAAGAGTCCTGGGGCTGAACCTGTAAGTCCATGTCAATTGCAACCCCCCCTACAATCCACCCCAGCACTCCCAATTTCCACATCACCAACGCCCGTTGCTGGCGTCCTGGTGCTCATCTCAGTTTCCCATGTTCAAATCTGTCGGTCCCAGCCGAGATTGCACATGCTGAGTCATACAAGCTTCTCGAAGCTACCACGAGCCATCGCGCCACGGTCGAGAACTCGGCGTCCAAGGATGTCGTGGTAGATGCCTGGTCTGCCTGGCAGGACACGTACCCGTTGTCTCGATCCAGGCCCGAGACACATTTCGGAGGCGATTTCCATCATCATGACCTTGACAACGGGCCCAGCGTGCCAGCCTCTCCGCCATCACCAACACTCATGAAGGGCCGAAAGTCCGTGGGTGGCAAGATTGCTGACAGATTAAAGGCATTTGAGGCTACCATACCGCCGCCACCTCCAGCTCCAGTTGCTGTAGATTTCCCCCCGCCCCCTCCACCTCCACCAGTGGAACCAGTAGCGCCACCAGCCGAGGACGGCAAAAAGAAGAAAAAGTCCAAGAGCAAGGCTGCTGAGATTCCTGGAAGTTTTCCTGTCGAGGAGGATGAGCAGCTTCCGGACGACATAGTGGAGGTCATCGACATGTCTCCTCCCAAGAGCAAGAAGGGAAAGAAGGCAAAGTCCAAGACTGAGGACGCGATTGCCGTCCCACCCCCGCCTCCGCCTCCGCCCGCTGTGCCAGATGCACCTCTGTCCCCACCACCCGAGACCGCAGCCGAGCTCAAGAGAGAGGGCAAGAAGGAGCGGGCCAAGATCAACCGCGACGGTGGCTCGAGCTGGGGCATGTGGTCTGCGTCAACGCCAAGCAAGGAAAAGAAGCCTTCCAAGTCGAAAGCCCCCGAGGAGCCCAAACGGGAGAAGAAGTCGCGTTCACCAGAGAAGGAGGAAAGGTTGTCGGCCCCAGGCTCGTCATCCGACAAGGCAGAGCGCAGCGAGCGCGTCAAGGACATGGCCAAGGAGACCCCAGTGCGGCCCAAGCTCATGAGCGTATTCAATAGCACACCCCCGATTTCTCGCTCCATGTCAACGCGCGAAAAACGCCACAAGGAGGGCAAGTCGTCACGTCGCAGCTCGTTCGACACGCCAAGCGGGATTGTTTCACCACCACCCGAGGACGAGGTGCCGACAATGAGCTCCAAGGCTGCTAAAATTCTCGGCGTGGGTATCGGCGACGCTCTCGGCAGGTCCAGCAGTAAGCGCAAGAAGAGCTCGAAACCATTTGAAGAGGATGACATCGTCATGGTTGGGGCCAACGATGCTGCGGAGCCAAGTCCCGAAAAATCCTCGCGCCGGAGGCACAAGGTAAGCCGCCACCAGCTAGCATATTTGTGATGCGCTCAGTATACTGACAGGAATGATACAGCAGTACCCACGTGATGATGACGACATTGTCATGGTCGACGTAGCCGACGCAACCCCGCCACCAGGCCTTCGACGGTCAAACACCAGCGGATCTACCAAGAAAGGCTTTGGAGGCTTGTTTGGCGGGATGCTGTCGACCCCCAAAACTGATCCAAGACCCGAGCCTCGTCGACGGAACACGCATCATGGCACGGATATTGAGGACGGAGCCGCAGCGACAGATGTCGATGCGGAGGCGAAGAAGGCTGCTCGTCGCTTACGCAGGGCCGAGAGAGAAGCCGCTGAGAAGGAGGAAGAGGACTCTCGCCGCGCCAAGGATGAAGCCCGCCGCGAGAAGCGTCGAAAACAGGAGGAAGAAGAGCATGAAGCGCGGCGTGCTGAGCGACGCGCGGCCAAGTTGCGTCAAGAGGAGGAGCGTAAGGCCGCTGAGGATAAGGAAGCTGCCCGGGAGGAGCGCCGGAGGCAGAAGCGACTGGAGCGTCAACAAGAGCGAGAAGCTACTGCGGCCAATGGCGAGACTACTGTCGAAGACGATGAAGCCAGACGGGCTGCACGACGAGAAAGACGCAAGGGCCGTGCGGCCGAGAGCGATCGTGAGCAGGAGCGACGGCATCCCGATGAGGATGAGGAGCGTCGCCGGCGACGGGCTGAGCGGCGCGCTGCTCGTGAGTCGGCCGAGGGCAAGTCGTCATCGCGGCGACGTGCCGAACGCGCTGATGACGGCTTTGGTCGCCCGTCCAAGATATCACGTCGGCACACTGACGGCTTGGACAAGTCATTCAAAAAGTCAGAATCAAATCCCAACCCGTGGCCACATTCGGGGACGTCAAGCTGGGTCAAGGACCACAGTGACGCGGGCCCACCGCCCGAAGACGGAGTGCCCCCTATCGAAGCCATGGAGGACATGGATGATGCCGCAGCGCGCCACGAACGAAGGAGGCGGAGAAAGTACGGCGATGGTGTCGTTGATGTAGAGGTCGGCGACGAGGATGGAGAGCGCAGGCGTAGGAAGAGGAGGGAAGAGAGAGCAGGAGGGAGCGACGGCAGCGGGGAGAGGAAGAGGCATAGCATAATTGGCGACGCGTACGCCACCGCGACCCCCAGGAGCAGCGCAAGCAGCTGGTGGAAGAAGCTGAAGGGCACATAAACTGATGAGCTTATGATGGTATTGAAATCAGGACATGACTGGATGGACACGAAAGAGACGAAACGGGTATGATGGACATGGCAATATTGAAATGGAACGGATAAGGATGACGTGCCGGCGTGACTTGGGCCTGAAATGAAGCGAGCAAGTGAACCGAGCGAGCGAGCACATTGGGATCTGTTAGCATGTTGCCCTTCGAATACCCCTACCTTTGAAAGCATTTTTGTAGTTTGTTAGGAATAGGACTTGTGTCTGTTTGATGTATCATCGTCTGGCGCGGCTTCCTCAGAGCATGTGAACAATCTTATTGTAGATCACCGTCTGTCAACATTCACAAGGCGGCCATCGACAAGTCTCCTCTCCTGATCAACTCGACTTAGCAGTGTAGCCCGAGATGAAGAAATCAGTTGTTTCGTACGGTACCAAAATGGACAAAGTTTACTACAATTACGCGATACATTGGTTCGGTATCTCGTTGATAAATAAGCAATCAACACATCTGGGATTCTCATTTCTTCTTGTCAGTGGACCGCCCACCACGCCAGTACGGCCTTATTTCCCCAAGAGATGTCACCACTAACAGTCTGGCTGGAGTGTTCAAGATCTCCATTCTTGTCCGTCATCGCGGCCATTCCAGTGAGAGACGGCTGGAACATAGCCCAGGTGTATGATGAACCTATAGAGAGAAGAGGCAGTAGGCTCAGGTGAGATCACGAAGCTAGGTATCCTAGATGTCAACGTCCAGGGCGTAAGGACCTCGGACAATGAGCGGGAAAACTTTGACCAGACGCCGGGCGAGGTCATCCAGGTCCGCTGGACTCGACTATACTCAACGGGAACTTGGACGATAATACTCAGGATAGCAGCCTGAGTAGCCAAGCAGCCACCTGCCGATAATGACGCCCCCAATGTAGTTGAGCAGCAGCCCCAATGGTCTCGAGATACTCTCAGGTCCGGGCAAAGCCATCACCACGCCGCCATGCTGCATGAACAGCAAAGCCCGGAAGAGACTCCGCGTCACACCGGCCGTGCTGCAGTCGTCCCGATACCCCCAGACGTTGCCTGCTCGGGGAAGTTAGAAGTCACCCCGAGAAAGGAATTTCGCATGCGGGGGAAGGCACCGTCGCACTCACGAAAGTAAGCCTCGTCCGTCTCCCTAGACGCCGGGTCCAGCACGAACTCCACCTCCAGTTCCGCGTCCTCGCTCGCGTTGCAGAACGTGTGGGCCTCCCGCCTGGGAATGACGACCACCTGGCCGGCAGAGGCCAGCTGCTCCCCCGCGTCGCGGCCAGCGCCAAGCGTGAACCTCGCCGTCCCGCTGATGATGTGGAACGTCTCCCCCTGCCAGTAATGTCGGTGCAGCGGGGGTGCCAGCGACGAGTTGGCGCCCCTGTGCGGGAGCCCGAGCCGCGCTGCCTCCGAGGCCGAGGCTGCCGGCGGGAGGCGGTTGGTCACGAGGTAGCGGTCTGTTGGTGGCCTGAATTCGGCTATGGAGCGGCCGCCGTCGAGGGTGAGGACGTCAAGGTGTGAGATGTTGGTCCTGGGGACACGGCGGGCTAGGAAGGAGAGCATCGTGCTGGAAGAGTGGGGGGTGGGATGTGTGACATCACTACTGGACTCCTTTCAGCTACTTGTAATAATGTCGTCTCTCTGTGTAGTCTATGTATGCCCGAATTTCGATGTCGTGGCCACGGCAGAGGTATTAGAGTTGGAATGTGGCAGAAGAGTGATGTAGAGAACTATCCTGTCACGTACTGGGATTAGAGGTGTGGTGGAGTGGAGCAGCGCCAAATCCACCTCACTCAATTATTTACCACCTCGAGGCGCAATCAGCCTCCAGCCTGGAATTCAGTGCCTTTCAGCCTGCGAAGATTATAGCGTTAAATTCAATGAAGTAATATTTGACAGAAAAGGTTGTATACTATTCCTGATCATATCTAGCCGAGTGTTCACTATCATGACAGCGAGCTTTCGAACGGATGTTTTCGGCTGTTCAAGAAATGTCATGCTGGGACGAGTACTACCGTTACGATGGGGCTCATCGATCTACAGAGTTCGTTCCGAGACATCTTATGGATATGTGTAAGTCTCGTTCAATGACAAGACACTGTCCGAGGCGTGGCTGGGAAGAAGTCAAAACCGTGCTTGATGCTGTGGGCTGCCATGGCCAACTGGGCTGATCACGGTCCAGCGCAGAGATACCACTAGTAAAGCACAGCTGTAATTCGCGCATTGCTATGACTTGGACCTCTTCGTCTGAGCAAATCGAGACGCATTGTTATCCGTACTGATATGGGTGGGAGCCTGGAGCCAGAATGGTCCCGTAGAGAGCACCGTTTCCGAACCGTTGATTCATTCTTTGTTATCACTTTCTGGTACAGTTTCACCTACAGCAAGCAGCCTACCGAGGACAGCTAGCACAGCACCCCCCCCCCCCCCGACCAAGATTAGACTGAACCACATCAGAGCCTCTCAACCCCTGTAAGTACACATTGGTGACGGTAGAGTAGTGGTTCAACTCACCTCCCTCCCACTTGAGATATTCCATCCTCAGCTGCAAAGGGTCAGGAGGAGACCCGGGTTCAAACCCCGGCCGTCGCACTCTTTTTTTCGTCTCAAATCCCCCCGAACGACCCATGTAAGTGGCAGCTGAGAGGGATACCGTCAAGCGTGGGCTTCTGTTTGTTCCAACGGTTCTCATATTCCAGAACACTACTGGGAAACGGAGATAAAACAAGGGCAACAAGAACGGTAAACACAGAAGCGTTCGTCCAAAGTCATTTCATTGATATCGTAAGCATGTCTGTTGGAGGCTGAATGGAGAGGAGTGAAAATATAAGAGAGGACACACGCTCGACCCTGGCCCGAAAGAAACCCTCTTGGTCGAGGTCCCCACAGCCATCAGCAGAAGCTGTTCTTTTGGGTGCGTGTATAATTTTCCAACAAAGTCACCCCAGCGAAAAACACCAAACTTGGGTGCACGCCTTCCACCAATCCCACGTCTCGTCAACTGGCGTGTTCCCTCAAAACTCGACAACATTGACAACCGTCTCGCTGACGTAGCTCACGGCGCCATCGCCCCAAATGCCAACGACGGCCATGAGGAAGCCCAGGCCGGCTGTCGCAGTAGAGACCTGCTGCTTCTTCAGGAAGGTCTCTACCTCGCCGCGGACTTCTTCGCCGTTGACATTGCTGTCGGCGGCGGCGCTGTCGTCCTCGATGCTTCTATCGCTTGCTGAGTCGAGCGTGGCTTCGCTGTGGGCATCGGAGCCGATCACATCGTAGCTCGCCTCCATGCGACGAGTGGCCGATCGGTCCTTGCGTGCGGCAGATGATGACCGCCTTTGCGAGGACGCCGGGGTGTGAGGGTGGGCGAACAGGTATGGGGCGACGAAGTCGGACACGGACAGGCGGGAGATGGCGACGAGGGCCGATGTGTACAGCAGGTAGGGGTGGCGAGCGGATCGGGGGGACAGGGCGAAGGCGAGGAAGAAGGCGGTGCTCGAGATGCCGGCAAGGGTGCGCAGTTGCGTCCTCGCGGTTGTGGTCAGCGTCCGGAAGGCCTTGGCGGCGGTGCTGGCCGAGGGCAGGGTCAGGAGCGTTGGGACGGTGAGGGTTGACAGGGTGTAGGATAGGCCCTGCGTAGATGCATAGTCAGCGGAGGTGCTCTTGAGATGGACGGGGCTAAGGACAGCGCAATGGAGTGGCGAAGTCATCAACACAGGATCGACTGGGCTGCCCAAATGCGGGGGATGGTGAGGTGTCGGGCGGCTCGATGATGATACTATGCCAATGCTGATGATGAGTTCAAGGACAAAAGACTCACCGTCAACAGACCGAGCGACACGGTGCCGACGAACTTGAGAGTAGAAACTCCCCGTGAAGCCATAATGATGGGTGGATACGCCTTGGGGTCTAGAGCATCTGGTGGTGAAAGGTTGAAATTCTTCGGCTGGCCGAGGTGGTTGCAACCGCCGCGGCTAGATGTAAGAAAGGTGCCCGCTGCTGCTAGTGGTCCAGTAGGTTCTAGTAGAGGGGTCAAACCGCTACTAGCAATGACATGATTGGATGTCTGCCATATACGCGGAACTGGAGAGCAGAGACGTCATTCCGCTCCCCCACTGCTGCTGTGGCCCACTGCTGAGCTCCAGGGTGGCCCGTGCTGTAGTGACTGTGACGGTGCACGGCAGGGATCCCTTCTCCAGCTCTGCCTTTGTGCTTGGCGTGCATCGCGGCAGGTACTGTACACAGGGGTATGTAGAGGATATCCCTTCGTAATAAGCCAGTCCCTACAAGACTATGAGATTTTATAGCCTTTGAATGGCACCCGGTAGTATAGTATTTGCTCGAATTCCTCTTAAATTCTGACGCATGGGCACTGATCTGTCGTCTATGGCTCACTCGGATATCCACTCGTCCTCACCCTTGTTGTTGTAAGCCTCCAAGAAATCGTACTTTTTAACCCATTCACCGAAGAGTGAGAGGCAAGATGATGGACGACTGGACATGGTAACAAATCTGGTGAGGCAGACAGAAGTGCTGGTGCTGTGCCGTACGGGCTTCTTATTTGTACTGACGGCTGTATGCGGTCAAGCTTGTCGTGCATTCTGAAATATCACTTTTGCAAGAGTTGCGAGAGGCCACACTGTAGGATCCAATATCTCAGTCATGACCATGATGTTTGTCGCACGACATGATACCTAGACTTACCGCGATGACTTAGTTGCTCAGTTGTGCTTGAGATTTGCCGCCTCTTGAGTCTGCACATTGTCCTTGTTTACTAATGTAACAGTCCAGCAAAACTGTGTTGTCAGAAAATCACTGCGGAATCTTGGTTCTTCTACTCCGAGTGTCTGTTCAATCTCAGGGACGAAGAGCTCGCTTGTTATTCAACACAACGCTCATGTGCTTGGGGTTCTAGACGAGGCACGGCTACATGATAGCCTGCAAACCAATTTCGTCGTTGTTCTATCTCAGGGACGCAGGGCTCGCTCGCACTGTTGTGTGTCTCGGACTCTTGACGGGACACGGCCATGTGAGGGCCTGAAAACGTATTCCATTTATTTTCAGCCCAGTAGGTAGCCTGGTTGGCCTTTGAATACCGATCGATGATTTGGGCCAATCCAGGCATAGACACCAAGAACTGTGGGAAAGGCAGGCTCGGGATTCCTAGAGCTGCCTTTGCAAGACTGTCGAAGTCGCTCCACGCCTTAGGATCCAAGTCCCGTGGAAACGTACGGAACAGTGACATGAGATTTCTGTACGAGCTCGTTGGGGTATCTGAATTAAACAGATCGTATCCTTTGAGGCTCTGCCACCACAAAAAGTATCGGTACTGGAACTGTTCGTAGGACCCAAAAGAAGCAGCCATTCGCTGCCATGAAAGACAACCCGTGATCTTGTATACTTCATCGTGAAGTTGGAAAGACATTTCGTCTGGGTCCAACTCCAGTGCTCGAAATAGCACAGCTCGGAAACGTGACCAAGATTCATGCGTGGCAAGGTAAGGCGAGTATCTCAGGTGAGAAAGAACGCGATAGTAAAGCTGTTCCCCAGAAATAGTGTAGTCCGGCAGAAGAAGTCTAGAGTTATGCGGTCTTCGGTGTCGGTCCAGAGACAACAGAGCATAAATGCGATCGCGCGGATCGCTGCACTGTGCGTAATTGAAGGCGAACAGAAGCTCATCGAGGGAATTCACTCTTGTCAATGCTGACGTCGTGCCTGTGTCGAGTCTCTGATCCACAGCACCACTCAGACCGTGATCGACGGCCTCACCGACGTGGCCATGATGGGAATTAGAGTGCTGCCACCGGCCTCGGGCCTCCCACAATTTCAACCAGCCCGATTGCAGCAGCATCATCTCCCTGATCGCAGGTTTGGACGCGAGAAGGTCCTCCCACCAGGCACCATGCTCTCCGCAAAGCAGTAGGAGGTTCTTCGGTGAAATGAACTCTTGCACAATCCACATCCGATTCCAATACGACCGAGATAATAAGCAGTGGAATGCCGAGCGCAAGAGCCGATTGCTCGGGCGGGTCTGATGTCCTCCTCCGAGTGCAGCTCTTCCTGCATAGCTCCGAAAGTGGGACCGCAATGCATCGATAGCCACTTTGGAATTGTCGGCTTCAAGGCCTAGCCACGCGATGACACACGTCGCGCCAGTGAAAATGGACTCCATCAAGTTGACCTGGTGGCCGCGCTCAAGAATGTCATCCTGGTTTATACAGATTGCATCAACCCAGAAATGGCGGCAGATGAGCTTACGCTCTCGCAACGGATCATGCGACACCTGTGTACCTGGCATTGTTCGTAGCACCGACATTGCCAAGTAGAGATTCTCCCGGATGCGGAGTGGTTTGCCATTGACGCTGATCTCGCGACACAGACCTGGATGTCCCCAAGTATAGGAAAGCGCGATGAATGGTGGGCATCGGGTCAACTCGAAGGTCTCCATCAGGCAGGACAGGCTTGGACCTCTGGTGTTGTGACTTTCGTCTTTGAAGCTCAGAAGGCGAATGCTCCTAGTCTGCCGATTGAGCGGCGTGTACTCGAAATAGGCCATCGCGACAATGTTGTGGATCTTGCCCGTTCAGGAGTATAGGCATGTTCTATTTTGTTCATGAACAGAAACAGGTGGAAGGTTGTATCGCCGTCTGTAGGACTATGACGATACACGATACAAAAAGAATAAGCCCCAATAAGCCCCCGCCCCGGGTGACACAGCCCCTCTCATATCCTCCTATGATCTACAATACAGCAAATCAGACTGAGGTTACATGCATGTGTAATAAGTACTCAGTGAGAGGGCTCCTCACTCATAGAATACACAACACTTATGCACAAAATTGAGGCCCCTTTGACACCGAAAATGCTCAGTACTGTTTTGCAAGCGTTGGAGTGAGCAACAGCATCATATTTAGAAGAATAAATTATTATGTTGAATAGCCATTGCTAAAATGCGAAGATGCAAAATGCAGGGCCGTACACTAGCAATCAGCGGGAATCCACTTGCAATACAACCAATTTTGGACAGTCATGTGTTAGCTGTGGTTTTTATCTTTCTTCTAATTCTTATCTCATCCTTATTTTGGTTTTATTTTTCTTCCCTGCCAACACTTACAGATGCTTTCCCTTTAGGAGTTGCTCTCGCAATATTTGGTCTCCCTCGAGAGGCCTGTAAGTTCTACATCCATCATACACTATCTTTCAAAAGCTAATCAGAATGAACACAGCACGCAGTATTCCGATCCAAATACCGCAGCCAGTCCGTCCTGGACGAGCTTTTCGGTCTCAACGCTGGCACTAGACTCAATCTGAAACCAAAATTGTCTCTCCCCCTCGAGGGTAAGAAAGATACACATGATGTCGACAAGGCATCTTTGGCTACATCAGCCCTACGCCGTGAGCATGTGCGCGAGTGGGTGCAGAAACAGGTGGGCCGGCAGGTGTGGAGTGGTCACAACATATTGAACCGGGGATGAAGGATCGATTTAATTGGTATACGACCATGGATACCCTAAAATAAAGTCTATAGGTTATACTTTAGCCCTCAATTCTCTCGAACCAAATCAAACCCTCCATATCGTCCTCAAAATCAACACCAATAGCTACAACCTTGCCCTTTCCATTCACCTTTACCTCGGCCTTCTTCTTGAAATGATAGTCATCCCACACGTCGTGCATGTCAGCCACGAACTTTTCCCCCGAAAGGTGCCCAAAGGTAATCACAAACGGAAAGCATCGGTCAGAGCAATCCGCGACCACCTTGCCCTCCCTCACCTCCAGCCTAATCTCCTTATATCCTTTGTTGAAGTACCTCCCCACCAGCCCTTCGACAGCCACCCCCAACGGCTCCGGGCTCTCGGGCACACTGTATTCAGGCTTCTCCTTCTCTTTTTTGTCTTCTTCCAGATATTTGGACCTCTTCTCCCTAAACACCTTCTCCCAATCCACCCTTTCCTCATCCCTCACCTCCAGCACCTCATCCATAAGCACATGCTTCAAAATGTTATTGACATACCTTCCCGAGTTCGAATTCGTACAAATGACCACCCCCCACTCCTTCCCCGGCAAAAACGACATGGCCGCCTTAAACCCCGGCACCGCCCCGTCATGCATCATGAGCGTGCTCCCGCGATACGAATCCCGATACAGCCCCAGGGCGTACAGCGACACATCCGAGTAGCCCGGCGCCAGATCGTCCGGGTCGCTCACTTCGATGGTGCGGGGCTCGACGAGCGCCTTGTGCGACTCTGCAGACAGTGGGGACGCCCGCTTGATCAGGCAGCGCACGAACTTTGCATAGTCGCCCGCGGAGGTGAGGACGCACCCCGCGCCGCGGCCCTCCGGTGACGCGAGGATGGGGACGGGGACGTACTTCTCGGCGTCCTCGTCCCAGCGGTAGCCCTGGGCTTCGTGCGCGGAGGGGCTCACATCGGGCCGGTCCTGGAAGGTGTTGTGCATATCGAGCGGGTCCCAGATGCGGGAGCGCAGGAACGACGTGTAGTCCTCGCCGGATAGAGACTCAACGACGTGAGTGGCGACGCTGAACATGATGTTGGAGTACTGCAGCTTTGTGCGCACTAATATGTGTTAATCACCTGCTACGGAGCCTAAAGTAGTGCATTCTGGAACATTCCAAAACACGATAGATGGGGAACCGTAAGAGGAGAAGATTCATGCTTACGGGCTGCGGAGAAGGGGAGGTTGCGCAGGTTGCGGGTCAGGGAGCGGGCGTCGTCCGGGTGGGCGGCTGTCACGCCCAGGTAGGACTCGTCGTGCGTGGGGATGCCGGAGCGGTGGCTGAGGATGTCCTCGAGAGTTACCTGGTCGGTGAGGGACTGGGTGGGCAGGACGAAGTCTGAGGGGATGAGCTTGGAAACTGGAGTTTGCCACTGCATGTCTGGGTAGTTGGTGTCGTCGACGAGGAGGGAGGCCGCGGCTGCCGTGGTGCACTTGGAGACGCTGGCGAGGTCGAAGATGGTTTCTGTGGTGCATTTTTCGTCTGGGAATTTGGCGAAACCGTAGGCCTAGGGGGTGATCAGTGACTTTGTTTGTAGGCGGATGTAGGCATTTACCTTTGCGTCGAATTGGTCGCCTTGGACAACTGCAATTGACAGGCCCGGTACATGCCACTCCTCCATGAGCCTCTCCACCATTTTATCGAATTCAGCTGTCTTGTGCGCCATATTGAAGCTGAAGGCAGGTTATCTGAATACTTCAATCTACTTCTAAATTTCGAGGACGGCACTCAATTATTTATGAAGTCGAGAGGCCCCAGCACGAAAAGAAATTCTCAGTCATCAATGATATGTAGTGTAAACACTCGTCTTAGTCAGACCAAAAGGCCTTATTTCAAGTATCTCAAGCTTAACCAGATCTAGCACGCCGAACTCCAAAGTGTATAGCTGAACCCCGCGCCTGCGGTCATCCCACCAGAATATGGAGCCGTATTGGCAGTTCTGATGCGTCAAGCAATATTGTTCAGTTGGCGGGGCGCGTGTCCACATTCAGGATCTACCTGCCTGGGAGGCGTGCATCGCATCGCTATCATGTGCTGTGGAGGGCCAGCTCCCGGTCGCCGTATTACGAGCGTCGGCTGCCACAGCAGATTCGGCGGCACGACGGATTGCGTTCTTGGCGCGTTGAGTTTTGCGGGCTGAAGGAATGTTGTAGCGAGCGCATTCCGCGACGATTAGTGCCGTGCTCTCAGCGGCGGTAGTAGCAGCGACAAAGGCTGTGTAGGAGCGTGAGGTCGAGACGGCGACGGCAATAGCGTGAGCAGTGTGGGCGGCGATGACCAGTCCTGGAATCTTGAGATCAAGGACAATCAATTTCATCTTTTCATCCCTTTTCTGCTTCTTACTCTTCTCAGCTGAGAATTATCTGTCCTGGTGCAGAAGAGAAAAGATTCCTGCTCCTCTGACTGTAGGTGGTTTGCCTGGTGCCTTTATTCACTTTCCATCACCCTTGTCTGGGATGACGCTTCCCTTTTCATTGTCCGGACTCACGAGCTCAACAATCCCATCTTCTCCGGAATAATCTTCAGACTCGAGCTTGTTCCTACTCTCGCGCAAGACAAGTAAGCGTATAATAATTACGGCGATGATGGCAGCAATGACAAAGCCAAAGGTTGCTGGGAAGCCACGGCCTGGATGTCCGAGTCAGTTTCTAGTGCTTCATTTGTTAATCCTGGCTTTTAGACCTGGAAGGACTTACGGAAAGTAGGGGCCATTGTCTGTGGGAAAATCACGATGGGGATCCACGCATTAAAAGCATACTGCATCCCGTTCATGCTGCTGATAACTAGGGCGCGCTCTTCGTTGTCTCCAGCACACACTTCGTTTGCCCATGTGTAACTATTCGGTCGTCAGTGAAATTCAGACAACTGTCGTAGTGTGCTCGGTAGACATACAACACAGCAGTCATGAGATGTATACTACTGGTCAGAAATGCAAACTCCTTCAACGCAACACTAGGAGGCCAAACAGCAAGGATACCATTCGGTACCAATCCAAGTAGCTAATCACAATGTTAGCAGGAAAGCCTTCGAGGCTAGACTAGACATTCTCACCAATGGACCTAATATCAAGGCGAATCTGCTGCCTGTGTAATCAGACAGAAAGCCCCACAAGATAATGCACGCCGCGGTGATCAGTTTTGATCCAGTTGGAATGATATTCCGATCAACGACGGAGAAATGTTCCGACTTGAGCCAGATGCCAAAATAATCTCCAGACTGACAGGACAGGCCGTACAGCTACACCGAGTCATCGGTAACTATTCAAAGTGTCTTCAGGTGGTGGCCAGCACTTACCACGTAGCCCAGAACGAAAGCATACCATCTCCATTTGGAAAGGACCCTCTTAAATGTCTGAAGATCTACTGCTTTGGGAGGCGCTTTTCCAGCTTTCTGGACGCGGGAAATTGCCAATTCACATTCTTCAGGTGTTAGGAACTTTGCCTTCGTCGTGTACGGAGTATCAGGAAGAACGAAGTAGGTTGCGATTCCGACAGGAATAGTCATACACTGAGAATCTTGGTATTAGCACAAAATCCCCTTGTAGCTTAGAGAAAATGCGGCAACCTACCCCACATATGATATACAGCCATCGCCAGCCGGCAAGGCCATGCCGTCCATTCAAGCTCTCATAGACGGCTGCTTGCAAGTAGCCACCGAAGGCAGATCCCAAGGGCGCTGTCACGTGGAACAATGCAACTCGCTTCGCCAGTTCTGTCTTTGTGTACCAGCTCCCCAGCACGTAGAGCAGGACTGGGAAGAAGGAGCTTTCAAAGAACCCAACCAAGAACCTGAAGGCGTATAGTTCGCCAACGTTGTGCATTCCCGCTTGCGCAAATGTCCACACGCCCTACATTCACACCAAAAATGTCAGATCATACTGGATTCAGCTTTCAAAATCTCCCTGAGCGCGCCGTGCTCAGGGGAAGGGGACTGGGGACCGAGACGCATACCCATCCGACTTCCATGAGCACAAGCCACACGCTCGGTCGAATCTTCTGGACAATAAGCGTGCTCGGCACTTGCATGACCGCATACGCGCAGGTATAGGCCGTCTGTGCATACGTGTACTCGTTGCCGTACATAGCCAGGTCCTCCTGCATGCCCGAGACATAGGCGTTAGCCAGATTCCCCTGGTCGAGGTACTTCATAAAGAAGCCGAGGCAGCCGATGGTGAGGATCGACCAGTCCAACTTCCGGAGCAGCTTGCGTTCCTCCGGGCTCTTCAGGTGCGTGTCGGTGTCCCATATGAAGGAGCGGAACGACCGCGATGGCGACTTTTGCGGCTCGGTGTCGGCCATGGCTCCCGGCTCAAGTCTCAACAGCAGCGGCGGTGGACCGGTTGGACCGAATGCTGCGGGCAAGAATTCCTGCGTAGACGTACTGCGAGGGCAGTCAGCAGGCTTTTTATTGAGTCAAAAATAAAGCACCGGCACACGCCGTGATAAACCCCATGTCGCACCCGTAGCCGATTGCATCAGATATCCACGGCAGAAGATCATCGCGGGGTGCGGCCCAGAACGAGGTAAGCCCACCACACCAAACCCGCATGCGCCAGATCCTCTTATCAACCAACCTCTTTCTCAGCTTCGCACATTCCGCGATAGAAGCGGAGCGGTCGATGCAACATCTCACCGGCAATTGGACCAATCGAAGTCAACATCGTTGGGGGTTGGGGTCGGGGCTGTCCCAAGACGCAAAGGATCGGATTATGGCGAGCTCGCCCGGTACAGTACGAACACGGTACGTTGCTAAGGTCGATTGGCAAGTGGCTCGCTTTTGAGCACAGTACGTCGTGAATGCAACAGCCTGGGCTATCACGTCAAATTCGTGCTGTGGGTAGATGCAGGTTCGGGCCAAGAATTAGTATTGTTCGCGAATCATCTTCTCTTGTTCTGTGTTTCCTTCCGCTAGCCGTAGCATGCTCAGACAAGAATCATATATAGACACCTCTATTAGCAAACGATTTACGTATCGAATACCTATCCCCCGAATACCTATAATGCTTCCCTCCTACTCCGGTTTGACGTTGGCATTCTAAATTGGCGCGAAGTCCGTCCAGTAAACCTCATTGCCACTTTCAAACATCTAGCAACAGACCAGTCGTCCGATCCACGTAGACAACCGAGTTCTTGTGCAACTCCGACTCCCACAGGGTATTCATGTCGACTGAGTTAATGCAGGCCCAGACTGGTTGGCACGTGAAGAGGATGGTCTGGCGCGCCTCTCCACGCTCAACAACCCTCAGCAGGTCACCGTAGGCCAGTCTAGGGTCCGATCTACCTGGATTGCAGATTTCAAGGCTTACGTCTTGCCAACAGCCGCAGTTGAACTCGGAATCCGTGACGGCTTCCGGGAGGAACCAAGCATGGACGAAATCAAGGCCCCAGCTAGGAAAATGAAGCGCATGTCGGAGTGCGTCGCGCCATTCGCGATAAGTTGAGTGATTTCGTGGATCAGCTCCGCATGAAGTCTCGATGGGATTTGTTGCGAAGAAAGGTTTCTCAATCCGCAAACTGAGATGATCCCGAAGAAAAGTGCTCTCCCACAAGTCCTCGCAATCTAGGGCCAGATTCGTGTTGCGTACGTTGAATACATCAACCCAAATTAATTGGAAAGTGATTTCATCCCAAGGTCTGACCAAGGCTCGAGACCTTCTCAAAGATTGGTAGAAATCGTCATTGACTGTTTCCATACATCCTCGGTCATTCACATGTATCCGCTGAGTGGGCATTGTCGCATGCACTACAGCGTTGTTGTGCTCCAGGTTGCTGACTTCCTGCGAGATGAGATGAGTACGGCCTTTATAGTCATCATCTGTTTCCATTAAGAGATGAAAGCTGTCAGGTCGGACCACTAAACCGCCACGTATCTGAGAATGCCCTAGGTCATTGCCATTCCGCAAGAGAAGGTCACGTATGGATTTGATGAATGACATGGCCGCCAGACTTTCCGAAGCCAGTGGACAATCGGTCTTGAAGCACCACGCTCCGTGCTTGTCGCAGACCGCCATAGAGAAGCCCGGCGTTACCCACCGGATGCTGAGGCGCTCAACCGGAGGTAAAATATGTAGCTCGTCAATCTCTGGATGCATAGCCCATGAAAGGAGATAGTTGCCGGGCCCCCGATATTCCTCTTCCTCTGATAGACACCCAGCGATGTGAAGACTGACGCGCTGAAGCTTCATGCTCAATTTGATAATTCTGGCCATCTCACGCCACATCTTGATGTTTGGCTCGAGGAAGCGCACACCCTCGTCAACCCAGGGTACAACTCCAATCACCACCTCCTAGTGCAGGACGTGGAGCTCAATGTGCTTGATCTCTTTAAGTATCTGGGGTGAACGATCCTTGAAGAAAGACCACGCCGCATGTGCCGCACTGATGTCTCGCGCGGCGTTATAATCGTGGTTCTGGTTGCACGTGCAGAAGACGAAACAATTTTCCGAGTAGAAGACAGCTTCAGTCTCGTCGCGGATCAGGCGGCAGGTACGGAAGATATCGAGGTTCGGTCGTGGGTGGTACGAGTCTCGGAACTTCTTGGGCTTTTGCAGGGCCGTGGACCGCATAGCGTAATCGGCCCAGTCGTCGTGGCATCGGCGAGGACTAAAATACGTGCCTATGTCTGCCTCCTCGCCGAAGTCCTGATCGTCACCCAGGACTCCGTAGTACTCGACGTGCTTCTCATCGAAACCCGACACTTTGATTGAGGTCCTCAGCTTCCTCTTTGCACCGCGTTGAGCGAGGAGGAGCCGACAGTTTGTGAAAGACACGTAGATTTTAGTTTTGACCAACAAGACACGCCATATCATCCTACGAACCTCCGCGGGCAGGCTACAGAGTGGAGATTGTCCTTGGTCCAAAGCCGGCAAAGCTGGAAGGTTTTCCGCGGGACAGTCGGTGGAGGGTACGGGCCAGGGGTTAGCAATAGGGCTGTTCGGGGGTGTCCTGGAAATCATTTTTGGATGGAAGAATGAATCACTTGGGTTATTTTCGGTGGAGAGATATTTTGGATGTTCGTGGCAGATGCTTCCCTAACCTCGAAGTCTGTCTACTAAGGTCAAAAATACGTAATGAAGATCTCATTGTTGTTTCTTAGTTCACTTGAAACATCAGCTGAGATGGTCTTGCTAGGTTCAGGAAAGTAGTTAAGTGCAAGGAGACGGAAGTTGCACCTCTGTGAGCCGACATTCGAGCCGATTGCACGTTATGTTTCATGGTGGATCTGAGGTATCTGAGCAGGTCGAACAGCGTGGCAAAAAAACTATAAAAAGTGGTATCATGAAAACTCGTCCTAAGAACCGATGCTCCTGGTCACCTCAATCTTGAACCCAGCATCTTGATGAGCTTTGGGCAGATGTCGACCATCCCTCCTAGAATACACCGCTCAGCTGCCCAGTATAGTACACAAAGTTCAGCTGAGAAGTTACTTGAGCACATATTGCCTCAAACAATCTGGTTGACCTTCTTCTCCCTATTCCTCGACGCCTCCTCAATGCGCTTCACCTCAGCAGCATCAGCCAGATCTTCGTCACTCAAGCCCATACCCATCCTCTCCCGGCGGTGAATCGCCTGCTCGATCGTTTCCTCGCCCGCAATTTCCCTCACGTCCGCGTCGTGCTCAACCTCGAACTTGCGGCGCAGGTGCTCGGGACCGAGGAATGCCAGCAGGATCACGTAGGCGTAGACACATCCCATGAAGATGCAAATGACCTTGCCGTAGCCGTAGCGCTTCGTCTCGCCTTTTGGTGGGAGCGGGAATCGCTCGCCGATCGTGGCCTCGATAGTCGAGCTCGCTGAGCTGACCAGGTTTCCCAGCTGGTAGGAGGTTCCCACCACGAAGGTCCTGAACGCACCGGGAGACAGCTCCATCAGGTGGATCGGAATGACACCCCAAGCACCCTGCACGCAGAACTGCTCGAAGAACGCAGCCGCAATGACCCGCTCATTTTCGACGAAGCTATAGGGATATAACAGCGCTCCTCCAATTATGCAAATCACAATGATGCTGAGGCGTCGACCAAACGACTGCGAGAGGAAACCGACAACTGTTCCGCCAGTCATAGCGCCGAGATTTGCTACGACTTGTGTGACTGTTACCTGGTCCTCATTGAACTCGAACTGGTTCTTCAGCATCGTTGGGTACAGGTCCTGGCTACCGTGGCTCATGAAGTTGAACCCGGCCATCAGGAGGACAAGGTATGTGAGCAGTAACCAATGCCGCTTCAGAGCGACCTTACCCTCCTGGATGAAGGTCTTTGAGACACTGCTGCCGCTGGCCTGCGCCGTGCGACGCACAGACTCTCGCTGCTGGTGCACATTGGTCTCGGGCAACATCAGGCGAAAGACGATGATCAGAACCGGCGGGCATGCGCCGAACCAGTACAAGGGTCTCCAGGCGTGCGGGGTGGTGCCGACTAGGCCCCGTGCAAAAGCGGTGGCAAGGAGGTATCCGAATGCGTAGCCTTGCTGCAAGATACCAGACATCAAGCCACGGGTCTCCTCGGGGAGGTCCTCAAGCGCAGTAGCTGCCGCATTGCCGTACAAACCCCCCATGGCTATACCGAACAGAGCCCTGCAAGCGAGGAACTGGTTGTAGGTGTTGCAGAAGCCAGTGCCCTAAGTGCTGATGTTAGCACGAGAACTCTTTAATGCTTTCGTCATTTTCACTGAAGGCGTGCGAGCCCTAGGGCCGTGCAGCCGACTATTGTATGTGTCGCCGGATACCAAAGTGGTGAACCACTCGGCTGGGTCATCCGGGAAAGTGGGCAGCCAAGGCTGGGGGCGCATCTTGGCGATGGCAGTTTAAGCTTCGCCAAGTTGTATCGATCCACACCCCAAGAAATGTGCAATACGGCTGTGGCTTTCCCCAGAAAGCTTATTTTTGCGGAGTGAATACTGTGTTCAGAGAGCACTCACCAATTCGAGAATGATGAACAGGACATTGTTGACAACAAATGGCCACTTGCGACCATATCGATCTGCTGCGATACCAAAGAGGATCGAACCAACTGACCGGAACATCAGCACAAGAGTGATACCCCAGGTAATCTCGGTGTTGGTCTTGCTACTCGATATTAGCCCTCAAGAACCTTAGATGAAAGTTTGAGATGAGTCAGTGGGGAGACTGATCATATGCATACTACCCTTATGCCAGTCGTTTGTTGTTGGAAAGACTTGCATCGAGGCAAGACAGGCAGTCTGCATGTGATGACAGACATGCAGACAGCTGGTCATGAACGGAGTGAGCGTGACAATTCTTAGGCAGACACTTACTCGAAAGTTTCAGCGAGGTCGCTAACGGTGAGCGAGACTGTGAAGAAGTCGAAGGCGTCCCAGGTCTATACAGAACTAGTCAGTATTTCTGTCTGAAGGCGCACAATCGCGAATCAGGGAGTGACGGAGTCTATCTTGAATCATACCCAAGCGAAAAAGGCGACCATGAAGAAGGCCCAATGGTGGCCGTTGAGCATCATGATCAAAGAAAATGGATTGGGCAGCTTGGACATCGGCGGCTTCAAGCTGCTGAAGCGGGATGTGATATATTGGCCAGCCGACATGCCGTGATGAGGAGGCTCATCGCCCATATGATCCTCGACCGGACCACTAGGAGGTACATGCTCGGTGGTGGCCTTCTCGTTATCCGACATCTTGAGTAGAGGATGCTGATGATGTGCTCTTGAGATTGAATGAGAGGTGCTGGATCGGTCTCTCAGCAGCTCAGGAAGTGAGGAAGAGAGACTTGTGTGTCTTTGTTATTCAACAAAGAACTTGGACACCAGCGCCTGATATAGAAACCCGACACGCTGGGATTCACTTCCAACCTGCGGCTGACTGAGATTGGATGGCGTGCGGGGTTGCACACCAGGAAGCCTGGGGCGAAAGCCGAATTGGTCTAATGGTGCAGTCCCGCTCATGAAGGATTAATCGTGTGCCGCATCGGCGACGACTTAGTTGGTTTCGGCTAAGCAAAGCGAATGACGTTGAGGCGTAGGGGCGGAAAACGTGCAGGGATTTCGAGTCATCGTCGTTTGTACTCCGGCGGCAGCACGGAGTTCACTAAATTCACTTGAGAATATGGGCTTATGGCCATCGTCTGCATGGCAGTCTCGGTCCTCCGGGGGTTGGACGTCTAAGCTTCAGAAAACGTCTCTAGAGATAATCTAACCGAGCCCATCCTTGGCCACAGTTCAGGACCCAGACAATCCGGTCGAAAGCAACTTTGCCGGGCGCGGTCGGTAGGCCGCGCCGGCCTGACGCCCTTGATTTCCAATGTTGGAGTTTGTTGTTTCCACGCTTCCTGGAGAGAGACAAGACACACAATCCGCTGTTGGCTGTTGCGTGCCCTCGATCACCTCCTATCTGGAGTCCCCGCCGAAAGTCCAATGCCTACTTGTCACCGCCAGATAGCTGGCATGCTTTGCAAACGAAGAGCAACGGCAAAATTCGATTTGTCAAGACGATGGCGGGCGTGCCAGGGGTGGTGGTTGTTGAGTGCCGGCTTGGCCAATCCCTCGTTTCCCCCACACGCGAGACCCCAGACACTCCCCACAAACGCCTCTCACGCGAGCCAAGCCTCGACGGGGCGGATGATAAAAAACGGCGGGCGTCAATGGCTAGACTTGTCAAGGATGCCACTCCACCGTTGGCATTCGTCCCAGGAGCTCTGCTTGGACGAGTGACTGGTCAGCCCCGATACAGGCCGCTGCAAAGTCATTATCAAATCCTCGCGAAGCAGCCGTGCCTTTTGAGAGACGCGCGACATGCTCCTCTGTCTAGAGAGGCCGAGGGCAGTCAGAAGAGGATACGTCATTCCAGGCTGGTTCGGTATCCAAACTGTCAGCCTGTCTCGCTTGTCTGCCTGTCTGGTGCAACAGTTGCTGAGACCGCCTCTCAGTTGAGGACCTGGGGATTGCCAGGTCGCATCAAGGATTGGATCTCTGGATGGGATCTGCCAAGCCAGCAGATTGCCATCGAAAGCATCCTTGGTCGCTTTTCCCCCTTCTTTTTTGGAGCACAGGTTGCCAGGGTGGTGGAGTCGACGTTGCGCTTGGTGGTCGGCGGGACATCCGACCGGACTTACAAAAGCCCTAGTTCCTTAGGCCCGGTCGCCTAGCCTCGGTGCAGCTTGTGTCTTAGCAGACTGATATCTTCAGGGGTGGGGCATACGATCCATATCTGCAGATGGTGTTGCTGCAGTGCAACATATGCCATGCCCTGCAGGTTCGGGGACGCTACCGTAGCTTGCAAGGTGCAAGCATTGACAATGCGCCAGATTCCGCGCGAGTCCCGTCCTCTATTGGTGTGGGCCAATCTCTGCAGAGCAGAGCACTGGAGAGTGCAATGGTCATCATCTTGTCGTGAGAGTGACATCGTCGTTTTGGTGGGGCGTCGAAGTCTTGCTCCAGACGTGGTGTCGCACCCACCTGGGCCCCCAGGCACGACCAAGAAAAAGAAGAGAGGGGGGAAACTGAAACACAGAGACTCAGAGCAGAAAGGCTATCTGCTTGTGTTACGTGGGTTTGCGGTTGGCGCTGCGGGTGCTGTAGTAATGCCATGCAGGCGGCGTTGCCTCGGGGAAGCAAGAGCTTACTCACTGCTGCGATGTTCCAAGGCGCTGCTCTAGGGCGGCTGGACTGTCGAGATTAAGCTCCCGGTGAGGCCTTCCGCCGCAGCACATGCTGTGCCTGCGTGCCAGCGTGCCTGGGCCTTTTCTGCCCTGCGCTGTCACGGTTTCAGCCAGGCCCAGGCCGACCAACACGAGCGCTGATAGGCTGGTGCGACCCTCACTCTGACGACACGACTTTGAGATGCGCAGCAGGGAACCCCTATCAAAGTATCCTGCTTTGCACTGTCGATACGTCCAACATGGTAAGGGTGGACCTGCTCAACCCGATCCATGGATCCACGATCTGTTTGTCTGTGCTGTGACGAGCGATTGCATGGTTGCCATACAGGGACAGCCATAGGTCCACGCATAGGTTGCATTCCAGTGCGCCATATTTGTAACCATGAAAATCGTATCAGGAAAGAAGAGCAAGCACATAAGAGGGGAGAGAGGCCCAGACCGCCATCCAGCGACGCTTGTCTCCTGCCTACCGCTCCTATCTCTACAGCTGTGGTATTTATATTGTTACTGCAACAAACATGGCACCAGCTGAACCTAACGCCATCCCCTTCCACATAAAGGGGCAAGAGCCCAGCTTCCCCGAGGAGCTTGACGGCTGGAAAGGATATATCGAGTGGGAGAAATACCCTGAAAAGAAAAAGCAGGCCGAGGCCATTCTTGAACAATATGACTTCCCTGATGTGAGCAGATCCCACCAGTCTTGATTCTCGGCTCAACTGTGTTGACTGACAACTCCATAGCCACCTGAATTCCAGCTGCAGTATGTCCCGCCAAACAATCCCTTGTTGACAGGGGAGAGGTTCAAGCAATACCACTATGCCCTAGGGCGTACAGTTGCGTCAATCCCTGACGTCAGCTGGAAGTATGTCCTCGAGGAGAAGTCAAAGGACATGATCCACGTTCTCCAGTTCCCCTACAACGGAGAACCACCCCGGGAGCGCCTTGTTGAGAACCCAATCACTTCCAACGCCGACTTCTTCGTCCGCAACCACGGGGGTGTGCCCGAGATTGACGCCGAAAGGTACCACCTCGACATCGGCGGTTTCGTCAAGGAACCCAAAACCATCACTCTGGCTGACCTCCAGGATGAGAACCTCTTCCCCCGTAAGACGATGACTGTGTCTCTGCAATGTTCGGGGACCCGCCGCATTGAGCAGATTCACGAGTACCCGGGCGATGGTGACGAGCTGATCAACGCTCCCTGGGGCGAAGGGGCTATCGGAACCGCCACCTGGACCGGTGTGTCACTCAAGAAGGTGATCAAGTACTGCGGCGGGTTAACGCCAGAGGCCAAGGCAGGCCACCTCGAATTCTACGGCGCGGACACCTATTTCAAAAAGGGCAAGGTTATGAACTACCGGGTCAGCGTTCCGTGGCGCAAGGTCAAATCCAACGAGGTCCTCCTCGCCTGGGAGATGAACGGCAAGCCGCTGCCTCGTATCCACGGCTACCCCCTGCGGACCGTTGTGTGCGGCTACATCGGCGCGCGGAGCTGCAAATGGCTGTACCGCATCGACGCCATGGCCGAGCCTTCTCTCGCGCCCGTACAGAGGAAAGAGTACCTCTACTACACCACGCAGGTGGGCAAGCAGAACTCGCTGTACTCGAACGGGTTCAGCATTCAGGACATGCCGGTCAGCAGTGCCATCATGTCGCCCGTCGACAAGGCCCAGATCGTGCACGACGGCAAGATCAAGCTCAGGGGCTGGGCCTACAGTGGGGGTGGCCGCTGGCCCATCCGCGTCGAGGTCAGTGGGGACGGTGGGAGTGTTTGGTATGAGGTTCCCTACGACAAGATGAGCAAGAAATACTTCCACGCGTGGAGAATCTGGGAAATCGAGCTGCCTGTGGACCCTGAAGGGTGGCTAGAGCTCGTTGTGAGGACCTGGGACAACGCACTGAACACGCAGCCTACCTTCGTCAGGTCGGCCTGGTGGGTGCCTCCAGAACTCTCGGATTTCGGACTCTACTGACTGTTCAATAGGAACTGGGATCTCCACGTGACTTCGTCCTGTCATCGCATCAAGATTTATAGCATCAACCGGTCGCGTCCCGCCACTGCGAAGAGATTGAAGATGCTGGAGGAGAAGGGCCTTTCGATCACGCCTATCACGAAGCCGCTGGAGTTTGACCTCGAGTCTGACGAGGAATGGCGCGCCAACATGCTCGCGCGGGACGGCAGAGATCCGGAGGAGTAGCGTGAAGATTGTTGACTCCTCATAGCGGTTGGGGTGAATCTGGGTGGGAGGACTAATGATGAATTTACAGCACATAATGGTCATATTGACAACCGATTGCAACTTGCTCTCAAATCTTTGAGTCCTACATCAATAAATCAGCACTTCACGGATTCCTTTCTTGGAAGCACAGGGAATTGTTGCTCGAGATTTGTAGGCTTCAAAGCTTCACCTTGCGTCTCGTGAACCCAAACTCTGGCATCGCGGCCCATGATGTTGCGCACCGCCCCAAGCCAAGTGCCTGGCGCGACTGCAAAGAGGTGGTTCCTAGGTTTGACCCAAGCGTGATATCCCTAGCCGCAAGGCTGTTTGGAACACTGCATCGTCGGCTGATGGCGAGGAAACGGTCCAAAACCTATTTGCTCGGCCTTCACATTTGCAGGTACAAAGGTACTTGACTTACACCATGAAGACTGCTATATTTGGACTAGCGTCCCCTGGTCCAAGTGGCCCGCTCGTGGCCCGCCCGGACGTTAGTAACGCACGGGCCAACTCAGCCAGCACCCAGACTGCGCATCTCCACAGCACAACACCAACACGAGCTCAGTCATTCTCTCCAGCTCACACACTCAGGATCATGATTTTCAAAATTTCCACAAATTCACAAGCGGGCTTGGCTCAGTTGGGAGAGCGTCAGACTGTTTTCTGGGATCCTCGCCCTTCTTCCTCTACACATGATGTGATGGTATGTTACCATACAGGGCAGTGTTGAAAAAAAAAGACAACAGAACAAGCTGGACAGTGCCACTTCCCCGGTAGGCGGTTCAGTCAACCTCAGCAGTCTCTGTCAGGACAGATAGACTCTTAAGGTCTGGAAGGTAATCTCTCTGGCCAACGTTGTCCGGTTAGGGGTTGGTGCTTTATATCGAGACGCAATATTATCATTTGTCCCCCGAGGCTGCACTGATGTAAAGGAACAACCTTCCGTAAGGAACAACCGAAAGGTTCGGCGTCTCGGATACAAGTAATTGAATTTCTATCTTCGCTGTCTTTCAAGCGTCTACATAGTCTGACCACAATCGTATTTGCTGCTCGGATGAGGCTGATTTGTGTGGGCTATTGATGGAGGGACGGCTTTAACAAATCTTTAGCTTTTCCAGGTTTCTAATTACCTAGGACACTAGACCATCTATAATTTTGGGCGAACGCGCAGTTGGGAATTTGTGACTGGTGGCCTAAGGAGGTGAAGCTAATGATGCCGTCACATTGAAGCTTGGTTGACTCGCGTCACCTTTTCTTTTTCTTCTTTCTTTTACTGGGCATTATAGCATTTCATGGTCCGAGATCCGCCATGAGTATGTTATTGGAGGAGTTCAATGAGATAACGATGGGTTAATTCATCATACCTCTTATGGTTGCTAAGATCGCGAGAAAGTATCACTAAGACAGCTCAATACTGAAGACATTTCGGTAAACATGCCCTCCAGAGGGCGGTTGGGCTGGCTATGGGGTTGTGAATTGAGATTTGGGGGAACCAGCTGTTATTTCTATGCTTCTATGTTACGTGCACCAGGTGGGCTATTGCTACATGTAATTGATGTTCGTTTTTCCATGTGTTCAAGCAGGTCTATTCCTTACCTGCAAGGCTGAACCTTTCCAGTATCACCTACCGCTTCTCAGCCTCGCGGAGCATGTCGTCTTCTGTCATCACGCTCTCTGTTGGCGTAGACTTCTTCTTGTTGATACTGGAAACCTGACTGCCCATCCACTCCATCGCCTTAGCCGCCTTGCTCTTCTGTTCAACCTCCTTCTCCATCTCGTCAGCCTCCTCTTCTGCGGACTTGCCCTCGGCTGCCTTCCTCTCGCGCTCTTCCTTGTCCTCTTTCTCCTGGCGTTTGAGATTCTTCAACTGCTTTTCAACAACCTCGCCATCGATATTCTCGAGGTCCAGTTTCTGTAAGATCGATCCGACTAGAAAGCGGTACTGTGTGTGCCCGTCGACAAGCTCGGAGACATCCACGTTTTCAATCCCCTGGACTTCCTGAATCGCTTGCAGGCCGGCAATACCGTACTGGAAGCTGTTGGCGCGGTAAAGAAAAGCAAGTAGGTAGTCTTGGGTGGAAAAGACGTTGATCACGCGACCTGCGACGACAGAGCGTATTTTGCGCCAGGCAATAGGATCGGACGGGGCAGCCGCGCCGATGAGGCAAACCGATTCCACCAAGCCGAATGCTTTTCGGTTTGCAAGCTCAGCAAGGCACGTGTAGATGACCCTTGCGCCTAGCGAATAGCCTATCAGCGTCACTGGCCGCTCTCCCTGGACTTTGTTGATGAGTGCATCAGCAAGGACCTTGCCTGCCTTCTCACTCCGAGCCACCGCGACGCTGAAGGGGTTGTCGATCACACGCGAGGCTTTCGCAAGACCGTAGGGTAAGGTGAGAGCCGACGCAAGAGTAGCAAATATGGTGCGGCTGAGGATCTCCTTCTTGGCAAAGCCCCAGGCGTAGCTCTTGATGTATGTATTCAATGCACACCCAAGTCGAAGTAATGCCTCTAGCTCCCATCGGAGAGCGAATGCCTCGGTGCTCCGACCACTGATTGCCTGCCATGGCAAAACGACCTCAGGCTCCTCAACAAGCCAGCCTGCAATACCCACAGCGACACGGAGGTGTCTCGAATCCTTGTCGTCTTGCTTTCCCCGGTGGAACAGCGATGGCTTGTTGACAGGCAGGAAGGCGAAATCCTCAACCTCTTTGGCATACTCATCGACCATCTTCGATGTCATCCTGCCGCCGTAGGCACCGAAGAGGACACCTACAAGCGGAGCGGAGCCTGCCAGTGCGCCGAGGTATCCAGCGGTGGCGGTGGCGCCGAGTCCTAGACCACCCATCACTGTTCCTACTCCGGCCGCAAGCAGAGGAGCTGCAAGGCCGCCCGTTACTCCAATAAGAACAGCTCCGGCAACTGCACCGAGACCAACTTTCCACTTCCTCGCAGTTGACCCCTCCTCTGCCTTTTTCTTGGTCTCTTCGTCCGCGTTCATCTGCTGCTTCGCGACCTCCAGTAGCCCTTTGGCGACTGAAATCTCGTCCTGCGCCAGAAGGTCCATGGATAGTCCCAGTGAACTTGCGAGCCGAAGCATGAGCACGCGGGATTCTGCCGGATACGACTCCAGTCCGAGCAGGATCAGTAAGATTGAGTGCATGATGAGAACTCGCCGTGCATCACTCAGCGAGATCAGTGGGGTCTCAAGTGGTGGGAAAATATTCTGCAAGGTCTCTCCGGCCGCGTCTGGTTTCTGCTGGCTTGAGGGGCGGGATTGTTGACCCTGGTTAGCTGCCTCCTCCCCAGCATCGCGCTGATTGACGGCCTCGCCAATTCGTTGCATAACTTTGTCTCGCCAGTCATCGAAATGGGTCAGCGCAGCCTTCTTCAAGGCCTCGTTCTCTGGTCTGGCAAGCTCCTTGGTCCTTTTCTCCAAGGCCTTCTTCGCCTTTTCGGCCGCATCACTGCCCTTTCCTTCAACTGCCTTGACTTCTTCTGTTTGACTTCCAGTTTCGGGCTTGGCTGTGCCCTCTGCAGCCTGGTCGAGTCCACTCTGTTCTGCTGCCTCGGGCTGGATTTCCAGGGCAGTATCGTCTTCTTCGGGCTGGTCGAGTGAGCGGCCAATCTTGAGCGGTGTGGCAGTCTCGGATTTGCTTGCGTCAAAAGTGTCGACAAGCTGAACTCGCATCACCTCGATCAGATCCGCAATCAGGAGCAGGAGATTCACCCGGTCCTCTCGAGTGGGAAGGATGGTTGTGAGCGACTCTCCCTGGTCATCGTCGGATTTCGACCCTTGCCCCTTGTCGGCGAGGTTCTTGAGCTTGGAAAACATGTTTACGACTGTCTCGTGGTTGCAATGACCCAGCGTTGCATCAAAAGGCGCAACCAGAAGCAACCAGGAGTTGTTGTGATCATGTACCCCCCTCAAACATAACACGCGTCACTTTTGCGAGTGAGACATGTCGTTGTGCACACGTCGCTGGTGGCTTGGTGTGATGTCATTCATGGCTCAGCAGGAGCTCTTTTAGGGGACGACTGAAAGGAGGTAGCTTCCGGTGGCACCTCAGGGTTGGACCCTAGGCTGTGAGGTAACATTCCAGACTCGATTGAACATTGGAGAAAGCATTGGCCTTCCATTCCCTGGCCATTGTAGGCGGCCGCTGGACCTACTGTAGTCTAATAATTTCGAGTCTCCAATTGACCAATGCTTGTCTTTACCCCGCGATCACGATGCTTGGAAGTTCCTGGTAGTGCGATCAGGAACCTGGTGGCCAGAAACCGACCGCATGCAACGGCACTGTCCAGCCGTCCATGGCCCTGCGACGGTGCGTCATAAAACGTCATGAAATCTTGGATGGTAATTGCCATCGCTCGAGGCAGCCTGGCAGCGTGAATTGCATCCTCGGAGAATGCAGCTCATGAGATCATGGTTCCCTGCCCTAAACCCTGACAAGACCCTGTTTTCCATGATCGTCCTGGGGTGCCGTCGCAGGTGATGTCAGTGCCGCGATGCTGGTTGCACAGAGTTTCTGAATGGACCTCAGCAGGATTCGGTGGGCGACTGTGCGTCTGGTGAACGCCAGTAATGCTTATAAAGGAGTAACACACCGTCCAGAGATCTGGGCAGTATAACACTTTTACCTTGATATATCCCACAGGTGCAACTTCAAACACCAAACACATCCACTCAAATAAACCATAATTAATAGCACCACCCAAACTCAAATCTATTTACATCATGGGTCTAGGATCAAAGATCAAGGAGGCACTTCATAGTGACCATCATGACAAGGCCACGTCCGATGTGAAGCCGCCGGGAGCGTTTCCTCAAGACGACATCCCTCAGAAACATGCCGATGGTGGAAACTATATTGCACCACACGGCAGTCTCGTCGACAAGAACAGGAACACCACTGGCCAAACCGCTGGACTATCCGGAACCACAGCCTCAGGGACAGCTGGCCCAGGTAGGTCATGACGGTCCAAGTACGTTGCGCAGCAATATACAATGCTAACGAATCATGTCGGCGTAGACTCGTTGGGTTCATCTGGCACTCAACGCCATAAGCTGCACAAGGAGGGGGAGGGTTATATACCTTCAGACACGAGCCAGACCACTCACGGTCACAAGACTGCCGACTCTGGTATTGGTCTTGGTCAGACCTCAGGCAAGGACCGTACCAGCGAAGGCGCCTACTGGGGTGATCTTTCTTCGGGCGGCCACCCGAGCAAGACCGGCAGCGCCCAGCACAACCCCCTCCATGGCGACCAAGTTGTAGGGGGTGGCGTGTACAACACTGTTGCCGGCGCTGGCAGCCCAGATTACGACCGCTCACACGGCAGCGGCAAGCCTCACGCCTCAGGCGGTGCTGTCCACGATCCGCTCACATCAAGCACGAAGGGCACAAGCGTTCCATCCGGATCCAACGAGTATGACTACAAGACCAGCCTCGGAGGATCCGGTGCGCCGACTTCCCGTGACGATCGCACAGGCCCAGCTCTGGCGAGCGCCGGTGGCATCGGCGCAGGATACGGTGCAGACGAGCTGGCCCACCGCGGCCACGGAAATACGCACAGCCAACATAGCGATATCCGAGGCACTGGCGCTCCCGGTTATGGCAATGACCATTCTGGTGTTGGCGCATCTGAACGTGGACTGTCTCAAGGAGGCCTGAACCACCAAGGAGGTCTGTCCCAAGGCGGGTTGTCCCAAGGTGGTTTGTCTCAAGGCAGCTCGTCCCGTGGCCTGACGGGAGGCGGTCTCAGCAGCGGGGGCGGATTGTCTGGCAACGGTCTTTCAGGATCAAACGTCGGCAGGTCTGCAGGATATGGTGATAATGACTTCACTCACCATGATCAGTCTACCGGCCACGGCCACGGCCATGCTGGGGCAGGTTTAGCTGGGGCAGGTGTTGGCGCTGCTGCAGGATATGGCGCAACTGAACTTGCTCACCGGGGGCAAGGCAACACTGGCCACAGCGGTACATACGAATCAACGTCGAGCCAACACGTTCCAGGAGTGCCGCGGAGCAGCATGCTAGACGTCGAGCCGTCTGCAGGTGTCACCGGCTCGCATCCCGGTCACACCACCCAAGCATCTGGAGTTCCACACAACGCCTCGTTGGGTTCCGAGCGAGGCGTCACAGGTTCACCAACACACAACACCTCGTTGGGTTCCGATCGAGGCGTCTCAGGTTCACCGACGAACGTGAGCTCAGGCTTGGGCCAATCGTCACCCACCAGCAGCAGCACTCACTACGGCCCAGGCCATCCTGGAGCCAAGGTGATGCATCGGTGCCAGCACTGCGGTAACGACAACGACATCAGCCATTATTTCAAGTCAGACGTTGTCTACCGCCTAGGACAGTAAATTGTACAGCGTTGAGAGGCTCTATAGAATTTGTAATGAAATAATTTAATGCGTATCAAATACGATGATGAGGGTGTTCAAAGCTGTTTTGTGGTGAATGCTTGTGACGGTGTGTGTGAGATACGTCCTAGGACCAATGAGCCCAGTCCCTGGTTGGGGATCATCAGTGGCTGGGACGCCGTAGTGGCCCCCTTGGCTGAACTCCAGCAATCTCCAGAGCTTCCGGTCCATCCTGGATAACCAGTTGCGACGATATTTTTCGACAACCCAAGATTGACCTACTTTCTTACTCTAACCAGAATTCTAAACTTGCTACCAGGCCAAACAACCTTTTTCAAAGAGATTGCCAGAAGCGTTTGAATTCTCGCTGCGGGCCGTTCCAAAACTCTCGCCGTAAGGCCTTTCACTTGCGCTTGCAGATTTTTGCCATTCGCTCAAGCTGCACCAGCCAACGACCGCGTACAGCCCGAGCAGAATGTCGACCGGGGAAACAAACCACACTGCTTCACGAAGCGGCAAAGAAACAACTGCGCAGGCTGCCCCCAGCAAGCCAACGCTGCCCCCGAACGTCTCAATCTTCTCCCCGGCGGACCCCAGCGCGTCCAAAGCCGTGCTGAACGGCCGTGTCTTCTCACGCCTGACGACCAGCTCGCAGACCGAGCCGTCACAGCTCGCCACAGCCCTGAAGACCAGCGCCGGGGTCAGCGAGACCTTCTGCCTCAGCCACGGGGCCGCGGTACTAGTGTTCGACGCGGAGCAGCCCGGCGTGGACCTCAAAGACAGCCACCACGACCACGTACGGGCTGTTTGCTTGGCGCTCAAGGACGCCGACATCAGCCTCAGCATCTCGGGCTGCGTCTTTGATGCGACCGACGTACTAAAGGCGGGCTTCCAGCTTGATGAACTGAGCCGCGGTGCCGTGATGGTTGTCGACTTGATGCATGAGGACGATGACGACTCGGGGTCGGATTCAGGCGATGACGAGGATGCTGAAGCGATCTTGATGGGTGGTGACTCTGGGGAGGTGGTTTCCTAGGCGAAGTCCTCTGCACGTATGAGATAAGCACAAAGACGTCGTCGAGGAAGCGAAGACGCGTTCATGTCTCAATTGGAGCTCAGTCGCGGGTCAGCCGCAACCTCTGAGAAGCCAGCGAAGTCACCAGTGAAGTCGAGTGCGAGCCACCATTGCAAGAGAATCTCGATTGTGAGGGAAGGTTGCACTTGGTGCAGCCTGATTGGTGATAATTGGGCGACATGCAAGAATCACGGGCAAAGAAATACCAGGACAGGACCAGTCTTCCTGTTCGCAATACGCCGCTGTTTACGCCTCACGAGAACTTCCAGCTCTCTTGAGGGCTTTTCGGTGATTAAATAGCGAGCTACTCCTTCCTTGCGGCAAGTACATGAACGATTTCCTTCATGAGACGCACATGGCGGGAGGCAACATCACAGGTCATCATCCCACCACAGCTCTGATCGTACGAGTGGTGCGAGCTACGCAGAATTCAAAGCCGGAGACCGTACTACCAGCCTTGACATTGTGGCAAGATGGATAATATCTGTGCCACAAATATCCTCGTCAGAAACTTAATGTGCAGTCCGTGATCAAGGGTCAGCTGTATGTCAATGTTGCTGGGCTGAACAAGCCATTGCACTGCGGTGTCTGAGAATGACTCCCTGTTTTATCGATGAATCTCTGTGAACATCGCCTCGGACGGCTTTAAAGCGTGATGTGATGAGAGATGGGCCATTCGGAACTTCAAGGACGAGCCCTATTGGCTGCCCAAGACAGATCTTACTTCCTAAAGGGTTTTTGACGTCTTACGCACGTGGTCTTCATGTACTAGAGCGGCACGAACAGGCATGCATGCCCTCCAAAAATAGTACAGCATCATCCAATTGTATGCACATGCAGGTTTGGGCATTCGCTCTCGTACACCCTCACATATCAACCTTTTCCAGCAGGTTTTGGTGGCTGGCCTTTAATTATATTTAAATACCCATCGTTGCCCCGACCATTTCGGCTCCGAAGACCGGTGTTTAGCATCGGCAATGCCATGGCTACATTTATCAGCATGTGGAGAATCGTTCCCGGTGCATTTCTTCGCCCAGGATTACTAATGTCGTTCTTTGTGTGCATGATTTCTAGGCCCACAGAGCGTGTGTACTTTCAACAGCCATGGAATGATTTCTGTCTCAGTCATCTGTCCATGCCGAGGCTCAGGCGGATGCGTCCTGTCGAATTGCTGTAGAGCTCTGTCATCGTTGCGGTGTGCCTACCGAGGTTGGCACCGCAAACTATGGGAAGAGGACCCGGAGGAGTGGAGCCCGCACATACATCATGCCCGCTATGCCGGCCTGTGGAATGGTGATAGCGGGTGGGGTACGAAAGGGACGCATTGAACTTTAAAATCCATTATAAATACCACGCACCGGCCCTCCAAGGTCAAAAGCTCTCTACCAGTCCGTCAACCCAGACAGATATCTCAGACATACGCAACCACGTGAACATCTAAAACTCATTGCATTCTTCCAACACACCCACAACAATCATAACAACAACAACAACAATCACAAGACACAATGGCTGGCGCTCTCATCTCCGTCGTTTATCCCTCAGCGCCGGACGCCAAGTTCGACCTCGAATACTACAACACGAAGCACATGGGCCTGGTCACTGAGAAGTGGGGCAACAAAGGTCTCCAGCAGTACTGGGTCGCAGACCTGCGACCATCAAATGGCCCTTACGCTATCCAAGCTACAATGCTGTGGGACTCGGTCGAGAGCTTCCAGAAGGCGGCAGCTTCGGAGGACTCGGCGGCGGTGTTTGCCGATGTCGCTAACTTCACCAACTTGAAGGCAGTCGTTCTGTCTGGAGCGATTGTGAAGTCGTCCAACTAGAGAGTTGGGTCAAGACTTGGATTGAGATAGTGGGTTTGGCCCAAGGACGTTCTGGAAATGGCGCCTTGCCACAAGCTCACCGTACTTATTTCGACGGAACTGACATGTCTGGGACGAGCAGAAGCCGAAATGGATGTGTTGTGCTAGCCAAGAAGGACTTTTTGATGACAGAATCCAGGCACGGCTGCAGGTCTGACGAAGGTTCGGGTCGATTTGTATGTCCCAATGACCCAGCGTCAAAGATGTTGACACCTTCGATTCCGTACCTAGCCACTCTATAGTCGTGAATGAGAATGCTTCTCAAGACCGTTCATCGGGTTCTTTTCAAGTCACTCCATAAAATTCTACAACCAGGATGTAGCGTTCATTTTCAGAGTGACCTATAGGGCTAAGTAGTTAGTAGTCCTTTAATCAACGTCGTTCCAGAAAGACTTAACACATTCATCTGACTCTGTTGAGCAATTCTGATCGATAGTTTAAGGTCGCATTTAGAGAAACAAACAGTCATTCAGGTTCATACCCGAGGTCAACAGATACCGTTAGCGACCTCTCTTTCTGCATTGATCAGACATGACACGGCCTAACTTGTAGGACATACAAGCAAGCAGGGATATAGTAGAGGTGTATTGTATGAAGCCAAATGAATATGGTATATCTTGACCTCTTAGTAGAATATTTCACGAAATACTTCCTCATGAGCACCAGAGATCGGAAAGACAATCTCTGCTGACTCTTAATTGGAACCTGCCTAGTGACCTCAAGTTTGATTTAAATGTACCAAAGACAGAGCATGAGTATTTCTAGCAAGCATCTCCCATAGTTATACGGCCAGTTGAGGAAAAACATGAATAAATCTTGGTGCCCAAGTGGTAAGGTGATCGTCATGGGTTGCATGAAATAGCCATCTTAATGGAGGAGAGTCCATAGCATTCTATGAAATCACACGCAACAAAAATGTGTAGAAGCATCTGTAAAAAATGCCTGATACCATCGTGTAGGGATGGATGATTGTTCCAAGGTGACAATGTCATCAATGAGCCATATGCGTAAAGGGGATGCCCCCCCTGTTATCGCCAGGGTTAATAACCCTCTTTCCCAAATCTGCTTGACCCAGCCCAACACATCTCATGTCCGAACAACCCGGATCACCTTTGAGTACACCGAACGCAATTGGTGATTGCTCGTGCGGGACTCACAAAGCCAAGATGGCGACCTCAACCAAGAACAAGCGCGACAAGGTCTGGCTCACTTGGTTCATCATCCAGATCGTCATCATATTCCGTACGCCTCACAGCTCCTCAACTCTCACCCGAATATTGCGCCGCTAACTTTTTTCAGTCATCGACGCCGTGCAATTCTACCCGCCGCAGTTGTACAAGACACCGGAAAGCCCGCTATACTTCCTGCAGCAGATAAAGGACTTCTATGTTGCGACTTACAATGACCCGCTCGTCCAGCCCGAGACGGAGCCGAACTGGATGCACATGGTCTCAGTCGTCGAGATCGGCTTCCAACTGCCCGTCGCCCTCTACGCTGCCTGGAAGCTGAGCGGTAAGAAGGGCACATCGGGCCCGTTTGAGCTGCTGCTGCTGGTGTATGCTTTTGAGACCGCGTTCAGCACGCTGCTGTGCATCAATGATGTGTTCTATTGGGACCCGGCTGTGTACTCGCGGGAGCAGAAGAATGTATTCCTGTTCCAGCTGTACGGCGCGTGGCTTGTCATTCGTAAGTCTCACCTGTTAGTATCAGGGTGGTGGGAGGAATTCGGCTAACTTATTCGCAGCTGCGGTGATGTTCGTGGACATGTACTGGAGGCTGTACAGCCGGCTCTCGGTGACGGACACTATCAAGAAGACGCAGTAGAGCTTAGTGGTGTTTTATCCCCAAGAACCACTGGAGCTCTGATGAGGAATTTTCGTGTTGCCGGTCCTCATAAAGCTCTGGTATTGATCGTAGCATCGACGTGTCGACGCGGTCCATGCAGAGACCCTAGTATTTACAATAGAATCCTGAACATACTGGTCACTTGCCGCAAATTTAGTCGATAGCTCGCTTTGCCATCGGGATTCCCCATCCGTTGCCCACGCCATTCAGCCCATAACCCAGGGGCGTGGCGCCCCCCAGCGCTCTTCCTTTAAGCCTCCTAGGCAAGACCATTCCGAAGAAGTACACCGCCGTGACACAAGCGCCCGCTAGAAACGAAACCAGACTGTAAAATACAGTGCTCGCGTAGATGTGCCCACCCATGCCCTGCCACTCGACCTTGCCCTCTGTCTTGGGCAGCGAAGGCGTGGGAAACCACCGGATGCTGAAACTCAGCGGCAGAGGGTCCCCGATGATCAGCTTCTTGGTCGCTGTACCCGCCATATGGCTCAGCGGACTCGTGCTGTAGGCGATCCCGGAGTCCAAGACGCCGCTGTCGTGGGGGTGTATGTGGTGTTTTGGCGTGCTGTGCAGCAGCACGTTCATATGCGTCGAGATGTGCATGTGGCTGAACTGCAGGGTCCCCGCGAGTGCGAAGACCAGGGGGATATACTCCTGGGCGACGGGCTTCTCATCGACGATCTCAACGTGTGGCGGAGGGCGGGCAGGGAGGCGGCAAGACAGCGGCGCGTCGGAGTGGACGTAGAACTCGAGGAGGTGGAAGAAGGGGTCGCTGATCATGGGTATGGTGCAATTTACTTCGGCCTCGATGCCGTAGTGGAACTCGAGTGGCTTGTTGGTCTCCTCGCAGACTGGAAAAGGGATCCATTGGAGCTCATGGTTCTCTGGGTTCTCGATATGCTCGCCCGTTTCTCTACGCAACGAAGGTGTCAGTCTTGAACTAGCTCTCTCCAAAGCTGTCAAATGCATCCTGATGTTGAAGCCTGGCACTTGCGCGCCACAGCTCCTCCACTCAAGATGAATGCGCGGGACCGCCTGGCGCATCCTCATTTGTGTGCTGAAGCTAGTCAATATGTACTCACGAGCTTCTGTTCATGCATTCGACTGCGATGGGTGCCCCATAGTGGTAGGAGGGCAGCGCCAGCTGGGCGGCGTCCGATGCACTCGCGCTCGTGGTTGCGGCGAGGAGCATCGCCAGCATCAGGCCAAAGAGATGCCGGGAGCAAATGGCGAGAGCCATGTTGATCGCGAATGATGCCGGTTGCCTAGAATTTCAACCTGGACATAATCGCGACGTGGGAGCCGAAAGACTTCTTTGAAGAGGGGGCAAAGCTTGGGAAGTGGACAAATATTCAAGGACCCCCTGAATGCGGAAGAAGAGACGTCAGCCCCGGAAGCACGTCAACTGAGTACTGGCATCTGCGAAGGCGCCCTAGTGGCTGGCCGCCACTGTCAAGCCAAAGCTTGGCGCCCAAGGCGTCGCTGCAGCACTCACAGCTACTGCACCAACAACCAATATGACAACGCTGTATTTGTATGCTACCAATCTTGCCAGCCACGTACATGAGGCTTTCATCGCCGCTTGAACTGTCTTTATGACATGGCTGCAGTGGTCACAGAGACGTGCCAGAAGCTATCTTCGTCGCTCCAAGCTGCGCAACATACTTGAACACGGTGATCTCGATTTGCCCACTCGAATGCCTCTTGCACTCGCTGAGAGAGAGACAGCAATCTCTCATCGTCTTCGTCCACTAATGAGGCCATCTCTTTTGGTTGGCGGCCGGTACACCGAGGGCATGAGCGCCTCCCATATCGATCGTCTAGACAGACGCAGACTTCCACCCTTCGCAATGTTGATGGCCAGCTACTTGTCGATTCGGCTTGCGATAGCAAGCCCTGGTCTAACGAAATTTCTTCGAGGGCCAGGAAACCGATGAAGTAGAAGAGAAACTCTTCCACGGCCGTTTTTTCTTCGTCAATGCATGTTATCTTGGGCCAGTGGAACTTGAGGACCTCCAAAACTGGGGCTTGTCGCAGTATCAATCTTGATACGTATCCGGAAATAGTTGCTCGGTATTCGACAGTACTGCAAGTCGACATTGGGTATATCGATGCTGAGGTGAGGCATGCTAATGCTTTGGGGTATGTCTCCCAACTTTTTCGTTGTCTGGAATTATAAGGCGCCTCATTACAGTCGACCCGAATGTGCACGCTCTCGAGTAAGGGGCAATTTCTTCCTAATGTCAAGATACTATTATGGCTCCAAGAACCTGTCCATCTGTCATTGACGTTGATCAGCTAGGATTATCTCTCACCAAAGAATCCGGGTGCTCTTACTCGTAGCTTCTCAGGTTTGACATATGTTGTTGGAGTCTTTCTATACCCGCAAGATATGAGGCGTCATCACGACCTTGGTCGATGCCGGTGTTGACTCTTCGAGCACCTCGCAACGAACGGACTTGGGCCAGATCCACCTGATGGTTCTTGAGGAACAGAGTAAGGCTGTCATTGCTCCGGAAGAAGCCATCGCTACGATGGTCCCAGACTATCTCGGCCCAGAGGTGTTTTCTGAAAATTCGGTCGAATGCACGGCTGGTAAGGCAGAGCGACCATAGTACTGTGTGGTCGTCTATAAAGGGAGCCAAGTGCTCGACCAATTCTTCGATGTGAGCGAACCTCCAAGCTGGGCTATCCATAGGCCTTCAAGTGCTGGCAGAAGCGTCTCGTTACCGTAGCAAAATGCCAACAGGGCTTAGGATCCTTCGAGCCTCCCCTTGGGTTTTAAGCACACACAGCAGGACAGCCATCGTAGTTGTACATCTTGACAAATATAATCAAGGTTAAGGACCCAGTAACTCTTGCACGCCAAACAAAGGTACCGCAGTTGGGTCCCACACAAAAGGGTTCATCTTATGCATGACAGGCCCGCATAAATTAAGGGACTTTTGTCGTTCGGCTCTGGCGCGCCGAACCCTCGCAAAGCTAACGGGACATCCGTATGCTCGGGTCTGGCGAGTTACACTCGTGGCCAATTCTAGCCTAGGTGCTGCGGATATTGATCTTCTATGTGACCAATGCTCTCTACAGGATGACAGTTGAGCGAGAGCGGCCTTGTGGGTAAGAGCGGGTGACAGACATCCTGTTAGAAGATTGCCCGCGAGCTGGGTGCCAAATGTCCATACTGAAAGGCCGGTATCACCCTCGGTATTGGAGCCGAGCACATGTGAACTGCGTGGATTGGGACGATGGGGTTCCATTGCAGGTTCACATGAGTGCTGTGGCATAAAATTCTCATGTATTGTCCTTTCTAAGTTCTGTCCAATGCTCTGCTCCCCGACGTCCGCTCGATTCGAGCATCTCCGCTCCAAAAGCTGGGCATCTCCAGAGAGGGACCGAGACAAGACCCCTAACCCATGACACGGGTAGGCGGCGGGACCCTGCAGCTAGTGGACAGGGGTGGCGCGTGAACTTTGGATTCGAGTTGAACCATCGCGACGCACCACCCATACTCTTCCCATGCACCCACAAGACCTCCACTGCCTGTACAAGGCGAGGAGTCGATGGAGAGATGGACGACTTCTCTGACGATGACTTCGATGAGCTCAATGTCACGGTTCTCCAAGAGCTGGAGAATAATGCCATCCAGTTCACGCAGGCCCAACATCTCGGCCCCACCCAAGCTGTGAACGATGACGACTATGGGCTCGAGGATGATGATTTGGACGACACTGTTGTCATAGATGAGGCCGCCCAGCTGCCCGTCCGCCACTCGGTCGAGAGGCAATCTCCCGCTCAAGCGCCCTCCCTTGTGCAGGATCATGGCCTGCAACCCACTCGCAGAATACAACAACCACGATGGCAGCAGCATGCGACTGGGCCGGCGCTTTCTCAGTATCAGTCTGCGAGACAACCTTCTTCATCGTCCAGTCGAGCGGTCCCTTCTCGCCCAACGATATCACATCACATGGGACCTCCTCCACAACCTACCGCTAACCGTTTTGCTCCTCGACCATCCGACTCACAGTACTTGCGCTCGCATCCTCCACAACCACGTCCTACCTACCAGCAAAGCCAAGCCTCGCAACAACATCCCGCGGCCTCCCAGCAGAACAGGGATGCACAATTTTCTGCACTCCAAGCTCGTGTAAGAGCTCTTGAGAATGACCTGAATTCGGCTCGTGGGGAAGCGTCTATTGTCCGCTCCAAATACGACAGGTCTGTCGCAGCCCACGAAGCCGAAGTGTCGAAACTCAAGAAGCAAAATGCCGAGGCCTTGGCCAAACAAGAACGCCTAGTTGAGGCTGCGGTGCACGCGGAGAGGGCTGCTGCTACCGAGTTGCAGTTCACACGGCAGGATCTGAGAGAAGAACTACAGAAGTCCAAGAAGAGCCGCAAGGAACCCGTGGAAACAACATTATCAACCCCCAGAAAGAATAAGACGAACAGCTTCAAGAATATTGCAGATGGTTTCGATGATGTGGAAGTGCTACCCAGCCCCTCCAAAGCCCAGGGAGGGTTGAAGGGCAAAGGAAAGAGTGTTGCACTTGCGCCCGGCGAGAGGACTCCGAGCAGGGCCAAGAGGAAACGACCTGCCATTGACAGTCCAGTGACCGCACTGGAGGTGGAAGATGATGCTGTCATGGTCGATGCTGCTTCTGCTACACAGACCGAAGCATCTGGCTCGGGCCTCCGCCCAAATGCTCTTCCGTACGACTTGCTGCGACTTGTCCTAGATCATGGCGCTATCCATGGCCAGCCTTTAACTTTCGATCTTCTTGCCCGATACAGCTTCCCGTCGGATCCTGAACAATCTTTTGCTGGTATCATCTTTCAGAAGCTTCCTTCGCTCGGCGATCCCCATGACCCCGTGCGGTTGCTGATCGATTTCTGCGACATGATTATAGATCTGTGGGATCAATGTCTGCGGGAGAAATACTACGAGCCGATATATGATCTGGTAGCGCTGATCACTTTCATCCTGCAACTAAACACCATATCAGTCGCACCTTATATTACTTCAACTTTGGTCCCTGTTGCACAGACCACAGTGTTCCTGCTAGCTGTTCCACGATTTGAAAGTCAAGACGGTGATTTGGCTTCACGCGCGGATGAGAATATACAGCACCTGGTTCTGAACATCGATACTGAGGGTACATTGCAACTCATGTACCTCGCTGCTCTCGGCTGCACAGACTCTTACCTGCTAGACCCAGAACACCCTTTGGACTTGGGACCAGAGCGGGACTCTCCACAGAGATTGTACTGGAAGCTCATGCAGATTGACTTTGTACTCGTAATGCTTTCACCCAAGCAACCTCGCGACGACTTTCTCGGCATGCTCAGCCTGCTGTGCACGTCTTGTCTTGCAGAGTCTATTGGTCCGATCACCAGCGAGCCGGACCGTGGCCCAGCTTTCGTGGCCCAGGCACTCATAGAGCGCGTTTCCAAGATCATGCACGAGCCTCGGAGCTGGGCCGCCCCTGGCGAGTCGTCGGGCTCGTTTGGGCATCGACAGTGCGTTGTGAGACTGGCGGCTTTGAGGACCCTCATGGCCTTTGCTCAGTCAGGTCTAGGGGCAAAGCAGCTCGCGCTCAGCGAAGTAGCCATACCTAGGCTGGTGAACGTTTTATGCGGAGCGATAGATGCTCTGTATGACATGGACGTCCCAGTGGAATTGATTCAAATTGGTTCTGGAGAAGACGAAGATGAGAAAGACGGTCAAAAGGTGGAACGAGAAAAGCCACCCGCCGAGTCCGAGAACATGGAAGGCGTGGACGCCGGCACCGCTGACCGAACCATTGCTCTGGATGAAGACGACGCTGAGATATCGCTGCCGTCGACGCCACAGTTGCCTTCAACAGCACCCCACGATCCTAGCCCAACTTCTCTCCTCTATACCATTGCATCGTCCGTGATACTCCTACTCCACACACTTGTCACCGATCCGGCCACTTCGGCACACACAGATATGCGTGCCAAGCTGTCGACTTCGCACGGCGCGCCGCAGAAGTATCTGCTTACGCTCTCGCGGCTCAACTACGCCGAAGAAGATTTGGTGCTGGAGGCAGGGATTGACCAGGGCACACTCGATCGGGCAAATGAGCTATTAGATCTCGCAATCACGCCAGACGAGGCAGAGGGGGTAAGACAGGTTTTCGGCGCTTAGTCTCAGATGGCCCACATTGATCGGGATGAGACAACGGAAGGGCTGAATTAAGATGTTACGTGAATGAGATATGAAATGACTAAACAACTGTTACGTTCACAAAGGTGAAGCCGGTACAGTTAAGAGAAACACATTAATGTATAAGTACTACCGGAGACATGTGCAATCTGAAGAGAAACGATACCAAGGCGGTCGGTCACGAGGTCCAAACAGGTCTGATCTGATCCACGCCACCGAGACGAAGAAGATAACATTTGTGTGTGCAGAATGACCGTATTTACAACAGCGTCCCGCTCGTGAAGGCCTATAACACCGCCCAGTACGCTATCCACGATAATGCCAGGGCGGTGCCCTTATGCGACGAACTTGGCCGACCTCGAGGCGAGGTTAGGGCGCTCATTCTGGAGGTCGACCTCTCTGGTGACGAACTTGCCTGCTTTGGCACCTCCAGACCCCTTTGCCCCAGACCCCTTCGCGCCCGATGAAGAAGTAGTAGAGGTAGCATTCTGTTTGGGAGCCGCTGTCTCTCCTCCACCTGCCGCTGGGGCCGGGTTCATTGCCTGGGGTGCCGCAGGCGCAGCAGCGGGCGCGGCCGGAGCCGCCGGGGCCGCCATACCAGCACAGGCAGACATGGCCTGAGATAGAGATGTCAGTACTGGTCCCCTCGGGTCATCGGTACACACTCGGGTCAGGGTCCACTCACAGCGGCCATGTTCTTCATGTTCTGCTGGATGCCGCCCATGAAGTCCATCTGCAGCGTCTGCACGATCTGCATGTTGCCTGGGACGTTGTCGCCACCCTGGGCGGTCAGGTTGTTCGCCAGGCCCAGCTCGGTGAGCTGCGCGTTGGCGACGGTGGCGATGCCGGCGGTGGCCTGGTTCTCGGACGGGGTGATGAGCTGGTTCATCTCGCGGATGGCGATGCCGTTGTTGATGAACTTGAGCAGGTCAGTCCTCGCGGACGTGTACGCCGCCGTGTCCACCGGGTTGGCTGCCAGGATCGTCGCGAGCGAGTTGGCCGTGGTGAGCTCCTGCTGCTGGTCCGCGATGTTGAGCGCGATGCCCTGCGCGAGGATGGTGCCCTGGGCACAGAGGGCGTTCATCGTCCCGCCGGCGGCTCCGGCGCCCGCACCTCCTCCTGCTGCTGGTGCGCCTGATGCCTCAGCTGCGGCAGCGGCGGCCGGGTCGGCCATCACCGGCGTGGCGGGCGCGGGAGCGTTCCTCGCCACCGGAGGCTCTATCATTTCACTCCTGGGCTGGTGAGGGATGATCTGGGCGGCGCCCAGCCCCAGGGACAGGAAGACATTAAGGATAGTTGACGTTGAGGCGTGCATTTCGAGTGTAAGGAATGGTCTGGCCACTGGAACAGGATTGTAAAGCACAGGACCGGCCTGGTATTAGTCGAATGAGTGACACGAATGTTATTAAGAGGCTTGTCCAGACGAGCCTTGCTCGTGAGTAAGTGACGCGGGAGCGACAGCAAGAAAATGTAACTACAGACGGTTCCGGAAACTTATTAGGAGAGAAAAGATGGACGAGGGGAAGCATATGTAGTATTTACACGCCGAATTCCGACGAGACCCGCGCTTGCGCCTGCGCCTCTGATTTCGTCTACTCATTTAGGTTGCGGCCGCGATCATTCCGGGCGACAGGCCGGACAGACGAAATCAGGACGGATGGCAGATACCAGCATCCACACCTGCCTGCTTCGCGATAGGTTCGACTGGCGAAACCAAACGCGAAGCTTATAATCCTCCGCGCGCCCCCTTGCCCGATCGTCTCAAGGGCAGCTAGCCCAACAGTGCTCCTGGCTCAAGCACCCAAGCAGTGGTTCGTCAGTTGGCAATGCCGCTCCCGGTGAGTTCGTGTCGACGTTGTATATGGAGCGAGTCATCCGAAACCCTAAATGACAAGTCCGCCAGTGTCTGTCATGCAAGAGTTGGCTTGTGGTCTGAAGTTCGCATTTTTAAGGCATCATGGAGCGAGGTCGTCTTATAGTTGCGTCTGTGCTCGAGGGCTATCTGGGGCTGAAAGTGTTTTGAACTCTATATGCCGGCCCCACCTTTGTGGACAAGCTCACTTGGCACTGCCTTATGAGCCTCAACTAAACCACTGTAGGACAAACGTTTCATCCTCTGCTTGCCTATACTGAGGAGCTGCACAGTCCAGAAAATTGGCAGCGCCCGGGAAGCACCTTTCCAGTTACGCCCTCGGTCAATGTTCCTGCACGCTTGACCTGAACCGGAGGAAAGCAGCTAGTCTTGACGTGAGAAATTGCTCGAGGTGTTTCCTTGCGAGCCCGCGGAGCTGGCAGCAGCAAACCTCCTGACGTAGGTGTACATTGGCAGACCGATCTGATCCACGTGACTGGCGACTTCTTGCTTCCCAAAGCTTGATCAGGTAGATCAAAGCAACTGCAGTTCGCAGCCGCTGCGTAGATCGGCAGATCTTTTGTGGGTTGCCCGGTTCGCGGACCCTGGACTCTCACACCTCACTGATAGTTTGTCGAGTGGTGTCATGTACTGTGTCAAGGGATGTTTTGATAAGGTGCAGTGACCTTCTCAAATGTCTCCACGAGGGGCTTCCACGACGAATGGAGGGCACCATCACGACGAAGGTTGGCCTCAAGTATGTGTAAGTTTTGCTCGGGCTTTACTCGCTTCAGACTTCTGACGAGTCGCATGTTCCTTAAAGAAGCGGCGAGCTAAGGCAGTATACCTCTATGCGGTGGATTACCCCCACCGGCAAGGCGTCCGTCTGAAGCTGCCTGGCGAGGGGAAGACACTACTAGACTCTTTGCCCAGATTCATAGCGCAGGCGGGAGTCCCTGATTTGACTCAGCCGTCGCTTCCGGGGCGATAGTGTCTTGGTTTGCCTCATACTGCTTCCAGCGATATTCACGCTCGACACCTATCCGCTTCTGGGCAGAGTCGCAGAGCTCCAGATTGCCACAGTGACATTCGGCGCCAGGCCTAAGCCAACGATAAGTAATGCTCCAGCGATCCTCGCGCAGCCGCACAGTCCCGTCGTCGAGAAGATCAGTCTTGCGTTTCTTTATGGAATGAGTCCAGTGCAGCCGCGAGTCTCCAGACATCTTCATTAGGCTGCGAGGCGCCAGATCGACATCAACCCGACGATCTCCCTTTCTGAATTGCATGAATACCGGGGCCCCTATGGACAGGGCATACAGCTGGTCATATGTCGAATGGGTGTCGACGTGAGGCGGAATGCCGGCACCGGGTGGGTAGTGCTGCAGGCAGACTTGCTCTGGGGGACGGCTCTCGTGAGTGGGGATGAGTGGCTTGAGCCAATCTGGAAACTCTTGGAATGGGATGTTCGGGTCAACACCGAAGGTTTTGTAGTCAAAAGTGTAGCCAAAATGGAGAGAGATGCGGCCGGTGCGGTCAGGCCACTCCAGCTGTTCGCGGAAGATGTGGACGAGGTTTTGCTCATGCTCTGGGGTAATGAAATCTTGCTCCAAGAAGATGCCGTGCGGCTCAATGGCTAGTTCCTCCATCTTGGCGAGTACTCCGTCTGGTCCCGACCCTGTGTTCCTTCTGTCTCGCGCCAGGACTGGAATTTTGGAGGTGAGGCATGGTGTGATAGAATCACCAAGGCCTTGACTGTGACTAAAAAAAAATGGCATATCGAGCCATAACCCGAACCCTTCCCTCCCCCACTACGTCGGTTTGTTGAATCCGCCTTCTTTCCAATATTCACTGCTAAAGTATCTGCCTCAGGAAGCTTCTATGGATTGTGACTTGACTGTCAAGCAGGCAACATTTCCAAGTCTCTTGTAACTTAAATAATTATGATCGACTCGAGATAAATTTGCTTGCTTCTAACATACAGTGTAAATGGTGTCTATCAATCAGCCTGAGACCTCAGAACTCTCGGACCTGGCCGCTCGTCGGAAAGGTGGTTCGCAGATCGACAGGTTGACTAAGTTTCCTTAATGGCAAATAAAACGCGTCTCGAGTTTGTGATTGAATGATACGTAATATCAAACAGGCAAATACAGTGAGTGGGTTGGGATATGCCATAAGCCTTGATATTGTCTCTTGGGATTGTCCCCTGGGAAGGGCTATGTTGATTGGCCTGCGGCTTTGGGCTGTATCATCAGCAATGTAATGTCTTTGTGCACTTCAGTACAATACCTAGCCAGATGCATTATCTGTGTAACAACAATATCGTTCTAGAAGGGGGCGTGGAACGCGGATGGCGTTCAATTTGCGAGAAGTGGAAGTGAGACAGCAGCCCTGCTGTGATAACCCATATATGATGCCTCTTTCCGTGCAATCTTCTCGACCTTAGCCACCACATCAGTTGAATCTTGACAGATTTTTCATACACAAAAAAATGACAACGATTGGTGGCCTTTCAAAGTTCTCTTGTACCTTCTGATTCTTTTCTGCACATCGGTTCGTCTCAGAGAGGACCTTGTACGAAATAGTTTCCTTCGTCAGTCAGCCCAGCCATCCCCAAGAGTTTCCCCAAGACGGACTCAACATGAAGATCAATATCTTTCTAGCACCATTCTTGCTACTTGTGGCTCCAGCCTTGTCCAAATCTGTGGTCAGGCCGAGCAGCAGCCGATTGCTCCGCGAGGAAAATGAAGGTGGTGTCATCAACATCCCCTTGACCGACTCGACGAGGAGTGATGGAAAGACGGACCTGCAGTGGTATGCCAAGATATCAGTCGGGACCCCTCCTCAAAATTTGTAAGTCCTCTTGGGACCAACATTGTCCCTGCACAGGCTCAATTTGTAGTATTGACTAATACGCAACCAGCAACGTGCTGCTTGATACCGGCTCACCAGCAATACTTCTTCCGGTAAACAACTGCACCACCTGCGGCCTGCAGAGTCTGTTCGACGCTTCAAAGTCATCGACGTTCTCATGGGCACCTGGATCGTTTGATGACTACCAGTTTGGGAGCAGCGGAGACACCATTCCGGTTTCCGGACCCCAGCGCGCTCATTGCGCCCTTGCCAGGGACACCGTCAGCATACAGGGTTTGAAGGCAAGCACATACGAGTTCCTACTTTGCGATGAGGAAGATCCTTCTTTCAGCGCCCAGCCAGGAATTGATGGGATCTTGGGCTTGCCCATCCAGGCTAATCAAGAAAAAGGACTCGAGTGGGCGCTGTACGAGGCAGGACTGCTCGCCAGTCCCCTTTTTGGACTTTACACGCCACCTGGACAGATCGCCAGCGGCCAGTTGACCTTTGGGGGTCTCGATGATACGAAATATGAAGGGCAAGTGGCTTTCGTTGGCCTGGATGAACTGACGCTTACCAAAGGGTACTGGGTTATGGACATTCAGACAATCTTCATCGATGGGGAGCAGCTCCAGATCAGCAGCAACACCAGCGATGCCAAAATTGGATACCCACGGGCACTGAGTATTCTGGACACAGGCACTGCTTACCTACAGGCGCCTTCTTATCCTATTGCTCGAGACATCTACGCTAGAATCTCGCCCAAGATCTATCAAATCGACTCTATTGGCACTTGGGGAGCTCCGTGTTCAGACATGGAGGCCATCACCTCAGAATTCACGTTCCTGTTCGGATACGACGGAGCAACACAGGCCAACATCACTCTCCCGGGCAAGTCGCTCAATCTTGGCCCTTATCCTGGAAAGGACAGTCTGTGTCAGGCTGCAATCAACAATTACAGGATTCCGCAAATAAACGACGACGGCAGGGGAGTGTGGCTTATTGGATCGCCGCTTTTGAAACAATACTATACTGCTTGGAATGGTCAGGACTTGCAGGTGGGATTCGCCCCTCTGAAGGTGACGCCTGTGAGGGAGCCGCACAATTGCAGGAGAAGGAGAATTGATTGAAGGGAGCCCGGCCTCAAGCTGCAACGGCAAACGTTACCAGAAATAAGATGGCAGGAAAGAAAAAGATAATCTTAATGAACATGCCCATCCCTGACCACAGAACTTTTCATACCTATCCCTGCATTCGTCCGACGCCTATGCTAGTTTATCGGGGAACCTGCAATGCAACGATGTCTATACCCCATTCAAAAGGACATCTCTCATTACCGGCCAGACACAACGTTCAAGACTCCTCCATCCACCGCAATGATCTCTCCGTTCACGTAGTCGTTCCTTGCGAGGTAAAGAACCGTCATGCCCATCTCTTGGTCCCTGCCACCCCTCTCTGCTGGAACATGTCCCTTCTCCTGGATTTTCTCTGCAGGCAACTCGCTCTTTTGCCTATCATCTGAGCTCTTGGCAGTCATCTCTGATGGGAAGTAACCTTATAAACAAAGCATTAGTACAGCTTACTAGTGATGTTGAACTCGCAGTTTCACTAACCTGGGGCAATCGAGTTGACTCTGATCCCAGTTTGCTGAAACTCCGCGGACATGAGCTTAGACAAGTGCACCGTGGCTCCTTTGGCAGCATTGTATGAGAAGTGACCTTGTGCATGCCTCATCAGGCCAGACATGCTCGAGATGGTGATCACACTCGGCTGGAACCGCTCCAGCGGCCCCTTTGGCTGAAGGCTCGCCTGCAGGAGTGGGAGAAACGCCACGGTTGTGAAGTAGACGCTTGTCACGTCAGTCTCGAAGGTACTCTGCCACGCCTCGACGCTCTCATTTTCCCACAGCTTCTTCTTCAGGTCAGAGGCATCTTCCTCCTCGGGCTCGGCCTTCGGTCCTGCGACGCCGGCGTTGCAGACCAGAAGGTTGATGAACTTCTCGCCGTGGGTGGTCTGTAGCTCCTGAACGACCTTCTCGAGGTCCTCCTTCTTGCGGACATCACATGGACCCACAGGGATGATTTTGCCGCCGCTCGAGAAGTTCGGATTGTGTTCCTTGGCAGCTTTCTCGATGGCTTCAGTCCGTCGGCCTGTGATGTAGACCTTGGCACCGTTCGCAGCGAGAGCTTGGGTTGCCATCAGGCCGATTCCCGTGCCACCTCCCGTCACAACACATACCCAGCCCTTTACTGAGAACAATTTTGCGACATCGAACTGGTGTGTTTCCGCCATGTTTGCTGTCTGTTGTCCGTGGCTTTGTTGAAATGTTTGACTTTGAGTAGAAATCAAGGAGTTGGACGATTTGAGAAAGGATCAGGTCTCAAGACAATCTAGGATTGTTTTGATGAATGCTGGCTTCTGATGGTGCGAGGACGAGTCAAAATGTTGATCGCCACCGAGATGGTGAGATTATTGATGACGTAGTGATGCTCGAATCGCCCTGACCATCAGAAGCAACTCGCATTCCACAGTTACGTCAGACACAAAGGTTCTGTTTAATTCCTTTTGCAGACAGATCTGCATTCTTCTTAAAAGCCTTTCAAACAACATCTCCCAAGCTCATCACTCTAATTGATACTCGGAGAAGCCTGTACTAGAATTTGTCTAGCCGCTGACACTTCTCTCGGGCGGGATTGCGCTGCTTGCAGAGGAGCACTATTGCGCGACTTCTATTTGTTGTCTACAAGTTATGGAGGTTTAAAGATAGGCTTTCTTTAATTAGCAGGAACTGCCTTTGGATCTTTCCATCACCAATCCAGGGTGATGCCTGCTTCAAGTGAAACTCTCGGGTCGTCGTGGGCAGCCGGATGGATGACGTTGGCAGAGAATATAGGAATGTAATGATAAACTGCTCTCAAAGAAGTTCTCATGTGTCATAAGAAACTTGAACCCAGTCTATTATAACTGAATGTATCGCTGCTATATGCCCTGTTCGCTGATGTCAGGGAAAGGTTACTTCCTGGCAACCCGGTCAAACTCCTTGGCCTTTCTCTCAAGAACCCACCACAAACCATACATTACATCAGTTATCAAGAACCTGCTCTCCTCGGTATTTTGGGTGGCAATACCCTGCAGCATTCTCAGTCTTGAGAGGACGGCATTGCCCGCGGGTATCTGTCCCATGAATTTCTCCAGTTCCGAGGCTGGTCTCAAAGCACAAAGACCGCGCCGATTATTCCTCTCAATGACTTCGTTGACATGCTGTTCCAAGGGCCTGTTGTCCCCAACAGCAATCGCCTCCTGAGCTTTCAACAAAGTACTTGTGATATCGGCCCCTTGTTGAGTCAAATCATGTGCATTCTTCTCGAGCAGCTCCACAACTCGAGGATTATCAGCGAATTCAACCATATGAATAGCCCAGACTATATTGTAAAGCCGAGTGCGTTGCCGTATCTTGTGCATGATCTCAAGTCGGCCTTCATCAAACGGCTGCTTCGATTTCCTGACCATGAGGCGAAAAATATCCTTCTCTGTTTCAGTAATACGCTTCATGAGCTGGGCCACATATGCATCAGGCCCTTGGTCATGCTTATTAACAATGCTTCTTGACAAATTCGTCTGGCTAGCCTTGTCGAAGGCACCTTGAGTGAGGCTGGGAGGAAGAAGGGTGAAGGTTTTGCCCGTGGGCGGCACTCCGGGGCCAAAGGCTGACGATCCCACTGCATGAATTGAAGTCAGCGAAATGTTGATTTCAAGATCGTCGGTTGAGGCTGTCTCCAAACACGTCTAGAATGGATGGTCCGTTTCTCATAGCCTGTCCACGAGCCAAAGAGATAGTTATTGTGATGTGCAAGATGAAGAACGAGCGTTTTGCTTCTAATATGACAAAGGGCGAAAAAGAGACTGGGAGAATATACTCATGTAACCAATCTCAAACAACACGGCGCCCATCGCTACAGGGGTAATCTTTGAGACAACAGAGGAGCGGATCGGCGGCCGCGCTTGGCTCATGGCCCTCGAGAAGGCGGAGCGGGTAAGTCGTATGAAGGAAACCATCTTGACCGCCTTTCAGTGATGTGCCGTATGGGTGTATGACTCCGTTGAAAGTTGACGTTGACTGAGTCAAGAACAGAGTGGTCGAACCGCCTAGAATGAGAATATTGAACAATAGATGTTTCTATGATTGAGGCTCAGGTTGGTAGTTTCTGCCAGAAACAGACCTTCATCAACACGTAGCTCAAAGGGAAGGATGCACCTTCTCTTTCAGCAATAAAATTTTGAGGTCATGTACAGCGAAATCAACGCAGTCCATGAGGCAGGATGGGACTTAAATGCCCCTTCTATTTCCATGGTCTGGTCATTTCTTGATGCCAACTCTCGGGCTTGCAAAGACTGAGACAACTTGGAACTCATCAGTTCACCTTCAAAGCCATGTTTGCAAATGTCACAAGCTGGAAGCAAGAGGAAAGTAGTCCATAAGGGACTGCTCAGGTGTCGCATCGGTTTCCAATTGAATTTGGAACAGTAATCCGTTATTCAAGAAAATTGATAATGTGCCGGATACATCGGCCGTCAAATACAATGTGCGGCCACTGCGTTCTCAACCCGTTCCCCAACTGAGCAGGTATAATCAGCATCGAGACCTGGAGCTTTACGATTTGTGTATCATTGGAGCCCTCTAGTATATGCATGCAATCCGTTCACCTTGTCGCCTCATTCAAGAATGTCTCCGCTTGCCAATAAATCTTTACCTACTTGTGTATCCTTTAGGTGAGATGCAGCGGCTGTACATGCATAAAACTTGTGGATCACCCATCCACTTGCTCTGTATGTTGGCTGTGAGACGCCCGGGCCATGCAGATGTAACTCCGCGGGTGGAGCGGGGAAATTTGATAAAGAAAACACCAGTGGGAAAATTGAAGACGACCTGATCCGAGACCTAAAATTGACGACAGTCAAGACGCAGTCAGTGCTGTCTGATCGTTTTGTCGTCTGTCGTGCTCTCGTCATGGCGTTCATTGACGAATTCCGTGAGCTCGCGTGGTCCGATATTCCCGGGCGGCTCCTGAACATTCTGGCACTCGTGCTGATTATCCGCTTTGGGCTCTTCTTGTACAATGGTTGGCATATACGGATGAGGTTTCGAAAGCTCCAGGCTGGCGGCATTGTAAGCACACGCACTACACGTATTATTGTTAGCAGATGGCAAGAAGACTAACCCGCTGGCAGGTGATTCCCTCTAAGCACTCGCTCGTATTCGGCCACCTACTACTTCTCAAAGGCATCCGTGACCTCTATCCCAAGGATTCCGCCAGCACCTATGCGACACGGCACATAGTTATGAACTGGCGTGACTTCTTCCCCGAGTCAACTACGTGCCCCTCCGTCATCTACCTGGATTTCTGGCCCTTCAGCAGCGAGCCCGTGGCGATCATAAATGATCCAGCGATGTGTCAGACTGTTACGGCGGATCGCTTTCCTATTCGGCATGAGCAAGGTAAATACCTTGCGAGGACGATGTCTGGCCCTCGAAACCTATTTGCTTTCGATGGAGAAGAACATAAAAAATGGCGCTCGAGGCTCAACCCAGGATTTAGTGCCCGAAATCTCCAGTCCCACATCGCTGGTGGTAAGGTTGTGGATGAAGTTTTGATTTTTGCAGAGCGGCTGAAGAAAAAGGCTGGTATGGATGGACAGCTGGGTCATACTTTTCAATTGTTTCCAATGGCAATTGATCTGACGTTTGATATCATCTGCAGGATTGTTTTGTAAGTGTTCTGTTCCTCAATCAAACAAGGCAAGGAACTTTAGCTGACAAAGGGTTACAGAGACTTCAGTCCAGGCGAGCAACTCAATGGGCCTACTGAGATGCAGGCAGCCTTCCGTGTAATCAGTCAGCATCTCGTGTTCAAGAGTTGGGCAAGTCTTCACAAACGCCTCAATCCTTTCTGGCAGCTCGACCTGTGGAAGAGTCACCGGACTTTGCGACGTGTAGTGCTACCACATATCAAGAAGCATATCGGAGGACATTCCTTGGTGGTAAAGAACTCGGCGTCGCAGAAGACGGTGCTCGACCTAGCTCTCAAAGAACTTGAGGTGGAAAGTCCTGGAGCTGAGACCAGTGATCAATTCATCGAGGACGTGGTAGGACTAACCAAGCAGTTCATTTTTGCAGGCCACGACACCACGGCCATAAACATGTCTTCTGCTTACCACTTCCTCAACAAAAACCCCGATGCACTCACTCGGCTGAGAGACGAGCACAACAGTATATTTGGGTCCGACCCACGTAAGGCCCCTGAAGTACTGCGGCAGTCACCACATCTCTTGAGCTCTCTCCCTTTCACCACGGCCGTGGTGAAAGAGACCTTGCGTCTTTGCCCCGTCGCCGCGAGCGTAAGACAAGGATATCCGGGATATGCCCTTCGAAGCAATGATGGTATGGAGTATCCGATGGATGGCTTTATAGTTGTTACTGGTGTCGCTTGCCTGCAATTCAGCCCAGAAATGTTTGTGAGGCCGACAGAATTCCTTCCGGAGCGGTGGGTTGCCCCCGCGAACGATCCACTGCATATTCAAGACGAGGCAAAGTACGCATGGCGGCCCTTTGAGTGGGGGCCGATGTCTTGCATAGGAATGGAGCTGGCAATGGTGGAGCTGAAGATGGCCCTGTTGCTCACCATTAGGGAGGTAGAGGTGGTGACTGCTTTGGAGGATTGGGATATATTGCAGTAAGCTATGCCCCCTTCCCACTACGCTCTCTGGAGCTAACAGTTGCATGTCCAGTGGTAAGGATACCGAGACGAGACCGACTTTGTTCGGTGACAGGATCTTTCAGGGTGGTGTAGGTTTAGGTCCCCCTACCGAGGGCTTGCCAGTGCGCGTCAGGGCTTTGCGACAAAGTTGAAGCAAGGATGGTTAGGTGAGGACAACTTCCATCATTTCCACCCACTTTCGCTCAAACAGCATCCAAGAATGTATCATAGTCTTTGCTTGCAAATCACTGCATCTATTCAGTCTGTAAAATAGCTTGCAAGTGTGATTTGTCAAATTCCAGACCATTCCGGCCGTAATATGAAGTGTCATTCCCCATAGCCTGCTCCTTCAGACATCCCCAATGGCGGCCACGCCTCCTCAGCTTAGACTAGCAATTCAAGTCTCCATTGATGTTGCCCACACAGTCATCTAGAATCAAAAAAATTCACGTCAATCTCAGTATACACTGATTTTAACATGACAAGGGGACAGGAACAGACGACAGCAGGAATCTTCTTACTGAGGTCCTTTGGTACTCTCCTAGACATGCCAGTATTGTCGTCGCAAGTGCACTCTAGCCACGCGGGCTCACGCACAGCGCTTTGGGTGTAACTGCAGTCCCAGCAGGTATTAAGGTAGTTTTAGTTAGAGCACTACTCGTAGCGGCAGTGTCAGTACCACCTCTAGATGTCAGACACGAGTAGCCGAACACTCACAACGAGCCGGCCCTGGACGTTTCCAATGCAAGCATTCAGATCTAGATGTGAGACGACTGCACCTCGACTGCAGACGGCGCTGATATTTCTATGCTCTTCGCCATAGGAGAAGACACTTTCGCATGTCTTGGTGAAATTACGGTACGAACCAAGGTTCGCCGCCGCAATACCAAAGAGCAGCGTAAGCAAGATGGGAGTCGACATTTTCCACGGAGGTTCTTTTCCACCAGTCGTATGCGGCTCGGTAGATTGAATGCTTGTGTCGATTGAGAAGAAAATGAGCAGTCTGGAGAATTAAAAAAAAAGCCAAGAATGGTGCAGAGTGGGGGGGTACAAGGTTTCGCGTGAAGGCTATGTGATATTGTTTGACTTCCCACGCATACCTTGTCACACTACGTTGTGACACGCTCCTGCGGGAGTGTTTGCTGTCTGCAGGTACGCAGTATAACCTGACAGAGATTCTACACAGCGCACCATTACTATGTACTTACAGCTTCAATGCTCCTATTTGTTACGTGAATTGTGCCTTTCCTATTTGTCCTTGGTGTTCCATCACCGGCACTCTATATTTATGACTGCCGATCCAGCTTCTTTTCAAAAGAAAAATGATAGTGGAGCAAATCACTAGGACTGAACAAGAGCAGTATATAGATTGGTTCAGACTCTACGTGTGTTCAGCTTCACACGCTATGGCGAATGCAACATTACAATTGGCTGTATCGATGGACCGTATTCAACCTGTTTGTCTGGTCCTGAGGGAAGTCACATATAATTTCAATTAAAGGCTACTCCCGTTTAGATTTCCATGTTATATGTAATACATACATGCACATTTTCATCATTCTACTTCACAACTAATACAGACTGGTTCGGCTGGCTGAGTCCCAAAGTGGTGCAAGGCCTTGTGCCCAATCTACAAGGTTGTGAAGCTTCTTGTGCAACCCGAAATCGTTTCAACCATTGCGTACAAGTACGGATTGTAGTTGTTCAGGCAATATCGGCGCATAACACATGGTAGCTAAGGTCATCGTAAGGCTTTCGAGGTGTCTGAGTTGATACTCATGTGCAAGTGGAGCACCGGTAAGCATCACAACCTCCATTGCTGACAAATGTTCGAGTCTGATATTTCCCCTTCTGATGATTATAATATCCTGATCCTTCAGCGAGAAAGAATAAGTAACGGGAAAACGATATGCCGCACAGATCCTCGGAAACGGTGAAAGTCTCAACTCCTAAATTCCCAGAAGGAACATTGAAAGTAAACAAGACGTGTGGGCGAATGGATTGGCATGTTAATCCAAAACACCGGGACCAGGATATTATTCTAGTTGCCTTCATAACATGTGACATGTCCAAAAGGGAATGAAAGCACGATACCAATAGAATGGCACGGTATCTTGTGTATTACTTCATTTTGTCCATCCCGTTCGTGAGCTGGATCAGAGGAGCTAGTTATCTGTCGTAAAAGCGTGCCTGCTACGGAGCTAACTGCTGGGTTCAGGGTTGCGACGAGTGGACCGCTCTGACTGCCCCCAAGAAGCTCTGCTTGTGCAGTAACCCATGGACCCATGATGTGATACGCGACTTTTCGGCCAGCGACTTGTACCCAGACAGTGAGCCCGCTTCAATTTGGTGTTGTAAACCTCGAATTGTGAGACACTACCTGGTATGCTCGTGTGATTGGAAATGATTGCCGCTTGGTAAGGCCGATGACAAAGCTGGCCGTACTGTAACAACGTCCGCCCGCAGGCAGTTACTATGGGCCGTGTCCTGGTCAAAATCCTGTCCGCCCCCCCACAGACTTAAGGCTTGGTGATATCATCAGAGCCGTCCGCCCTCCAAAACCACAGCAGTACAGACACAACCACCAACATACACATACATTGACCCCCAATTGAGTCTACCCTTGCCGGTCACGAAAAGTCTAAATCATCTTCAAGTGATCCACACTCACAATACAATAAAAAATGGCAAAGATGCAAGCCCTCGTCACCCAGGAGAACCACCAGGTCGCCGTTCAGGAGATCGACATCCCAAAGCCGGCCGAGGGAGAGATTCTTGTCAAGGTCTCCTACTGCGCCCAGAACCCTACTGACTGGAAGGCTGCAGCTGGCGCACCTCCAGGCCGAGTTGTGGGCTGCGACTTCGCCGGCACTGTCGCTGATGCCAACGGTTCCTCGTGGCGAGAGGGCCAGCGCGTCGCAGGCTTCGTCCAAGGCACCTCCACCAATGGGATTCCACCAAATCCAATCCGTGGCGTCTTCGCTGAATACTGTGTCATCGAGAGCAGTCTCGTCTACACAATCCCGGACGGTGTCACAGACCAGCAGGCAGCTGTCATCCCGCTGGCCTTTGCGACCGCTGTGCAGGCCATGATCCAGCGCCTGCAGCTGCCTGAGCCATCCAAGCCCGCGAAGACTGCCTTTCCCTTCCTTGTGAATGGTGGCACCAGCTCCGTTGGAAAATATGCTATCCAGCTCGGCAAACTTGCAGGCCTCTTCGTTGTGGCCACGGGCTCCAAGAAGAACCACGAGCTGCTCAAGTCACTGGGCGCCGACGCCGTCGTCGACTACAACGAGGCAGACTGGCCCGAGCAAGTGCGCAAAGTGACACACGATGGTCTGGAGCACGCATTTGACTGTATTGCCGAGAAAGGCACACCTGAGGCCATCGCCAATGCCATGTCTACTACTAAGGGTGGCCATATTGTCGGCCTTCTGCCGTCAAAGCTGGAGCACAACAAGGTCAGGTATGAGAGCACCATCGTTTATACGGTGTTTGAGCGGCCTCTGTCTTACGGCGCATTTGACAACTGTGGAGACGGGCCGACCCCTGGAGACAAGGCAGTCTGGGAGAAGTATCTCAGCATGCTGCCCGATCTGCTCAGCAGCGGCAAGATCAAGCCCAACCGGATTCGTGAGATGGGTGGCTTGAGTGATATTCCGACTGGTTTCAAGGAGCAGAAGGAGGGCAGAGTCAGCGCTGAGAAGCTTGTGTACAAAATCGCACAGGCTGGGCACGCAGTACTGTAAAGTGCATATGGGCCAATAAGAGACTTCCAAAGGAATATTTCATTTTACAATGCTAGACACGAGAGAAATCCAAGGCGTTGGCCATAATCACTTAAGCTTGCCTGTCTTCCGCATCTATGCCTCCTGTGCTTTTACAAAAGAGATACCTGATTGTGGAAGCATCACTCCAGCCTGCATCACAACCCAGATGATAATGAACAACCCGACCCAATGAAGAAGACCTCTGCATATAATGAATCTTTTCACCAATTTCATAGTCTTCTGATCATTCATCCGCGGATACGCTGTCGACGGCAACTTCTTCCCCAGCAACTGACAGATAGGCTCCCAGCCATCCTCCGCCTGAAACTCTAGCACTCCCCTGCCCCTCTTCCTCGCTTCTTCTCTCACCCACTCGTTGTGTTTATCATAAATCTCCTGATCCCGAAATGTCATTCCCCACCTTTCCATGTAAAGGTCGTCTGTGGCCTTCATCATCCTCATCATAGCTCGGTCAGACTTTACGAGAAAGGTCGCGACCCAGAACAGCCACGAATCGAAAAAGCGCAGCCCTTCCGAGAAGCTTCTGTGCCAAGACTCAGCACCGCCGGAGCGCACGTTGAGTATGATCGATGCCTCGGGGTACATCTCCATAAGATCATCCGCGAAGATGATGGAGGGGAAGTCGGCCGTCGCGGCGAAGCCCGCAAACAGATGACTGAGAATCTTACGTCGCTTGGCTGTGTCTTTTTCCAGTGCGGCTGCTGTGACGAGGCGCTGTCTCTCGGCGCTGGGCTGCACGTGCGCCATATGCATGCAGGGTGTGTATCCTAGTGTCTCGAGGGCAGCTTGGAGGGAAGATGTTGCGCATCGTGGGAGCCCAAGGGCCAGTACTTGAGGATGGGTGGAGGAGCGGTCAAGCCCCTGAGTTGAGACTGTCTCGTGAACAAAGCGGACCATGGTAGTCAATCAATTGTATTGAGAAGGATATTGGGGGCTGTTTCTTTTCAGTGATTGTACAAGGTTCGCAGAATCTGGTAGTTTGCACGCTTAAGATTCGTGACAGAAGAGATCGAGTGATGCTGTCGGTGTCCTGGTTTCATCACTCAAGGAAGACAACAACAAGCCGTCAGTATTATAACCTGGCGATACTCCAATAAATCCTTTACACCGGACTTTCCCCTCGGTGATCCATATGATAGTCTCACTCTGACTGATCTTCAAGTTCCTCGGGAAACAACGCCAGCAATTGCTTCTTCCGGCGGCCCTCGGTTAGCAAGACACAAGGTAAGATCCGGCCATGTCTTGCGTTCCCCCAGCACATGGAGTCCGAAAAACATTGGAGGCAGATCGACGGCTGATTTTAGCATTGACCACTCAGACCGCGCCAAGAAGGACCTTGATCGGAAAGAAAACAGAAAATAGGACCCTCGGGCCCGAGGACACCCATTTCAGGAACGTGAAGGAAGCCAAAGGGAACCAGCCGTATGGAGTGATAGGCCTTGCCCTACTGCTGCAAGTCCCTGGCTCCACAGCAGCGAGGAAACTACAAGGATCGGATGAACTGGTCACGCAAAGTATTGCACGGCTTACACACCACAGCCTGATACTACCCCGGAATGCGAACTGGACACATACCTAGTTGAGCCTATAGAATAAGCCGGGAGCAGCATCGTCCATACGAAGGACACGAGCGCGGGGACATCCGGTGAAGTCAGATTAATACGTGTCATGAAATAGGGCCGAGTCCATTACTCACCCGAAGCTCTCGCCGTTGGTGTGAACGCCTCCCTTCACCGTCAAATCTTCCCAGGGGTTGGGAGACGATGTCGAGAGGCACCGACATCCGCCTCCAAGACCATTATAATCCGGTTACAGTAGTAAGCCGACTACCGAGCCGGTTCCGATTACTCAAAACGATTGATGAGACCCAATCAGGCACTGCTTTTTCAGCATGCCGAGATGCGGCTGCGATGCAAGGTGGTGTGGTGTAACCTTTACGTGCATTTCTGTGGCCTTATGCCTTGCAAGTAGAATAGGAAGTCACGAGGTGATCTTTACTTGTGACTACCTGTGCAACTTCAGAGTGGAAACACGGAAATGATGCTGTGTTCAAAGTTCGGTAGGAGGACTCCGGTGTCAGGTCTCCGTGCTCACACAGTAGCAAAGGTCGTCTACGAAATGTCTTCGCCGTGGTGCTTTTTTTTTAGGTATTCCCCAAATTGGTTCAGAGCCTTTGTGGGCTGCCTAGAAGGCCTGCATAAGACAGAGATCCTTGAGCTCGAATTGGCATCTAACGTACGCGCCGGGCCAAGAAGAGCCTTGGGGCCTTGGCTGCATGTTGCAAGCGAAGTACACCGGAGGAGGGGGTGCGCACATTATGGGCTTACCCGGCCTGGTCATGACATCTTTGATCTGGTCATCAAGCGTAGATGCGCTGCTTCGGAAAGCCTTTTCTGTTAGTTGAACAACTCTACTCTTCGTTCGAACATAGGGCCCGACTAGATTGGGAAAGAATTTCCATTACAACCACTGTTCATCAACAAGACCACTTCGAGGTTGCTAAAACAGCCAAACTTGCATTCATGATGGATGGCCTCGCTGAAACCCCTTGTCTTTCATAAATAAGTCTTCCTTAGTTCTGACCACGTCCCTAACACCTTTTCCTCCGGAATTTGGCTTTTGAGTTTGGCTTCTGGCGGAAAGGCTGGTGATTTGGGCTCCTCCTCTTCACATATCTGGTTCGCTGAGGACGAAGCAGGACTCATGTACTGCGATATATGCATGATCTCATTGCTTTGCACAGAAGCCCTTGATTCCTGCGGGAGCCCTTGACACTGCGCTTCGCGCGTTGGGGGAGCTGACACAAGTGACTCGAGTCCCATGCTAGACTCCTGCGATGGTGAGTGAGGAGTACTTGGCTCCTCGTTCAAAGGCTTCGTTACTGGCTTCCCATTTTTTCTTTGGTAGTTAATGGTATAAGCGATCGCCAACCCGATCAGCGTCACCAGGACGATACTTAACCATGTTCCCAGATTGCCGGTTAAATCAAACGCATCGTCCTTACCGAGCGTGTCATGATGTTGACTGTCGTCTCTGCTGGTGCTTGAGTCTGCGCGAATCACCATACCGGGTTTTGCTGCAGTCGAGTCCAGATTTGTGACGATGATTTTCTGTGTATTTGTCGTAGTTTGTACCGTTGCCGTTTCTATTGGATGCTTAGATATACGTTGTGCTGACGGGATCTGTGCTCCATAGTCCGCGAAAACTTCCACATCAGAGCTATTAAGGGCACCAGGGTCGATTCTTCCTTGCGCAAGCGCTATCTTCTCGTTATGCACATCGAAAACTATATATGCGTTGCGCAGAAAGTCCTCCCCAAGAGCGTAGCTGGTCGAGTTTGTTGCATTCGTTACTGAAAATACACAGAGGGGCTCGCCTTGGGTGTTGTTGAGCTGTAAGTCGTGGATTTCCTGCCCGATGACCATTGTCCAAAGATGCATTTTGATCTGAGGCCCATTTGCATCGCTGAAACCGTAGGTAAAAGTATTGGAGCTTTCGGCCAATGCGCATGGAACAACAGGGCAACCGCATGTTTCCATATACTCGGCTCCAACTTCTTCCCATATCGCTTCTGCGATATCTTGGGGGAAAGTTGAAGAACCAACGCCTAATCTTACGGCAACAAGATAAGGTTCGTCATTGTAACTCATCAGTGTCTTGTCCCCAGTCTGGCTGGAAGCCTCCATATGAGACAACAAAATTATTGGCCCCTGGAGTGACAAGGCCGTGTGTACCAGATCAAGGACCTTTAGACGGCCAGAATATTTGCTGTTGTCGACAGCTCCAAAGAAAAGACTCCCACTGTCTGTTTACAGTCAGCTTTGTGGTATTCGAGAACCAATATGTTTGACCAACCTGTGTGTCCTTTCCATCCAGACAGCCATATGCTAAATGCTTCAGTCGCGATGAGACCTTGATCTACTAGAGCTGCGAGCAAGCCTGTGCCTGAGGGCTCGTCAGCTTTGGCAAGTCCCACGCTTAGCACGCCCAGATCGGTGTCGCATTCCGTGGCTAATCTCATCGATAGACTGCCAATGGCAAGATCGCCAAGCTCGAATTCATCTCGAAACAAATGATCGGCAGTCGCATAGTCGGCATTGTTATTTTTGGGGTGCCAAAGAGCTTGTCTGTCAGTCGTATTGAAAGTGGATGACAGGCTTGGATTAACTACCGAGGGGTCAGCATCCCGTCAGCTCACAGCAGACTCCTCCAAGCAGAGAACGATACTACTCACATGCATTCCGTGTAGAGTTGCAGAGCGCATAAGAAGAGGCATTGCTTTGTGGAATATAGATAGCTGCCCCTGCATCGTTCCGCAGCTGTAGATTGACTGTTTGGCCGGGGGTCCCCGCCCTCGCAGTAACATAATACGAGCCTCGAGACCGTTGAACCGTCAAGGGTGCTATAGGGGCATGGCGACGGTGGATGAGAGCCGGCTGTGCTTCCTGGCCTTCCCCTTCAAATGTGGAATAGGTTCCTGATAATGGAACGAGGATCAAGAGGACCAACTCAACCAGCGACGGCATGTTCAGGGGCCCCAATGACGAGGCATTGACGGCTGATTAGCTTGAAAGAGCCTCAGGTATTGCTTGCTGATGGTGGAGACTTTAGAACGTTGTCATATCAGCAGGGGGTAATCGGTCCATCCGGCCTAGTGGTCTTCACAGGATCCAGTGCACTTCAGAACTGGTCAATTGGCCCGGAGGTTCCAGTAGATTTCCTTTCCTCGTCTTCAGGTTGAGCGGTGCGTGTGTCGATGTTTTGTTTGTCTTCAATCGCACGCGATGAAGCCGTAAGCACGCCTGTTAGAAGAAGTCCGAGGAATCCTCCGCCGTAGCCATGACTGTCCGGTCCGAGCTTGACATCTGTCGCAATCGGCCCTGAAGACCAGGGGAAATTTGAGGGAGACAGATAGGGCAGTGCTGATGGCTGCCAGAAACGTCGAAAAGCGGCGCAGTAAACAGGGAACACTGTGGAGATGTGGACGGAGATAGGTCCAAACTTGAAGTCGGAACCTGTAACACCTGCCGGATCTGGATAGGATCCTGTGGGATTTGCCACTACGCGGGTGACAACCAGTCGGACAAGGTGGAAGCACCGACCTATTGGGACAGTCCAGAAGCGGTAGGGGTGATAGATGCAGAAGAGTCTTTCTTACGGAAGTTGGAAACGTCGCCGTTACTAAGTAAGAACAACAGAGCGAGGTTCGTTGGCAAGTTGCTGCCCGTGGCACTCGCAGAAAGGAACCCATACTGGCCTTCTTCCCAGTGGAAGTACACAGAAAAAGTCATACAAGAGGCTCGACAGTAATTGCTCTGATGTTTGAATTAAATATTTGCATTGAAACTCAAATAACGCTATTTCTTATATGCTTATCCTTACGCACGGCACATTCTCCCGTCAGCCGCAACGGTCCAGGCATCGCTTCCAACCGTTTTGAGAGCGTAGAACACGCCCGTAGGGTCCCACCTGCGCTTTATCGCGAGAAGGCGGTCGTAGTTACCGCCGAAGAACTTGTCCTTCCAGCCAGCGATGTTGAAGTCGACCTCGTTGATATAGTTTCCACTGCCGGGGGTAGCTGCCTCAATGGGCGGGATAATATCGTCCGTCATGCGCTTCTGGTCCGCGAGCATTTGATTCCACTCCGCGGGGTCGTTGCTCCAGGCTGTCGAGTACTGCACGTGAATCGATGCTTTGCGGAAGTACGGGTTCACAGCGTTGGAGACCCCAGCAGGGGCGCTGGCGTTGAGGGCCACTCCCGCGGCGAGAACGCTAGCATTATCCGCACCGTAGCGGATGGCGGAGATGTATTTGGCACGCGAGGCTGTGTCCGTGAGGACGTCACGCGGGATGAGGCGGGAGCCGAAATTGTAAGACTCGACCTCAACGTGACCGTAGGGGAGAGGGCCCATCCACTGGTTATAGTGATCACGGTAGCTGGTGAAGTTGGTGGCAGCTATGGAGTATGGGATGGACAGGTTGGCGAGAACATCGAGGAAGGGGCTGAGGATAGCCTGTGCCTCCTCAGCGGTCTTGTTGTACGCTGTCAGCGGGTTGATAGCGAAGACAGAGCTCCCGTATAGGAAGACTACCATAGCACCTTGGTCAGTCATTCCTGGGAGGAGTCCGTGGAAGGCGTCAAGCATTTGCCACCACTTGTCCTGGGTCGTGTAAGAGGCTGCGGTCTGCAGGCCGACACCCCCAATGACAGGCGCCTCGGGGTGGGCTCGAACTGTGACGGATGCGACGACACCGAATGTTCCGGGACCACCGCCGCTGAGGGCCCAGAAAAGGTCGGCATTCTGAGTACGGGAGGCAGTGACAATAGAGCCATTGGCGGTGACAACCTCATACTCAAGAGCCTGATCAGCGGCCATGCCGAAGTTGGTTGTCAGGGCCGAGTGGCCACCGCCTTGAATATATCCGCCAGCGGGACCGACCGTCGGGCACTCTCCACCAACGACGACGAGACCTGCGGACTTCCCGGCTTCGGTAACTTCGTACCCGAGCACACCTGCGCCCATCTTGATAGCTGGGCCATTCCAGAGGTCATCAGACCACGAGGTCACGGTGATCTCCTTGAGCTTGTGGGTCCAGGCAGCGAGCGATCCTGCACCGGTTGATCGACCGAGATGACTAGGTTCACACGGGTCAGCTGGGTGACACAACATAGAGAGGAACAGATAGAGAGGCAGCTTACTCGTGACCAGTGTTTCGGACAAGGAAGCGGATATTGTTGGCATTTGCAAATTTGATCGTCTCCGCGATATCCTGAGCACTGGTAACCTCGACGGCGTAGCTGACATAGTTGCCCAGCTTACACGTCGTGTTGCGGTCTGTGAAAGGATCGCAAGACTGGTTTGCGAAATAGGCCTGCATTACCGATGACGACGAAGGGAAGCTGGTCTCAGGTTAGATGGGTGGCTCATGTACGTGGGAGAGCTTGATCCATGAACTCACTGTGTCTGAGGGAGCACCCAGGCGTCACGCAAAGCCGTGCAAGCGGTCTCGTTGTATGTAGGGTCATGGCATACAGAGCCGATGGGCACGGTGGCGATCAGCTTGCCACCGACAGTGCTGTTGAGGCTGTCCCAGGAACTCGTTGCAGGCCACGAGGCGTCGCCAGGAAGAGAATGACAAGTAGCAGCGTCAGCAGCACGGGTTGGGACAAGCCCGGCGGCGGCGATGGCAGCCATGGCAGTTGCCACAGCAAAGGTAGCAACGGACTTCATGTTGAAAAGAATGTGTAAGCCTTCTGGTAAGGGCAAGGAGACATGGACTGGCCGGGCTGCAGAGACAACTCCTCACAATCCGACGACGTGAAGGGCCATGATGGATGTCTTTATATTGAGGGCCAGCAGCTGTGATACGAGGATCCCGGTGGCGACGGCGAAGGTTCCAACGTCTGGACTGGGCTGTAAGCGATGGGTTGGGAGCAAAAGCGTCACTAATCTCCCTATTAGTGACATCGTCTCCTGTATGGTTTAGGAGTGTCACGGTCTTATACATCCGCATTAGGTTTCTGGTCCGGCGTAGTGTGCCAGAGCGGGCTCATGGGGCCGAGGTGATCTCCCGCAGTCCCTCGCCCGACCAGGGACCGGGGTGCAGGAGCTGACATCCACCGGCACTGCTTAATTCTCTGCCCTGGCCGGAGATTGCCACGAGCTTCGGAGACCTTGATCCGATGCGGAAGCACATGGCACGATAGTTGACAGGCGACAGGACGAATCCTAGATACGGGGAGATGAGCCGCGGGCGTATGTTCCACAGTCATGGTTGAGGGACCGAGGCTATTCGTAGATAAAGCCTTTCCTGCATGGCATACGCTCCATAGGGAGGGTCCTGAAGGATGACAGCGGCTCCGTCCGGGGGGATCTGCGTCAACTGTATCCGGGCCCGACCTATTGTCTCCGACCAGGACGTACGCCGAGGGAGCGAATAGCTCGAAATCATCCATGAAGGCCACCCGGCGCACAGATACAAAAACAGGTAAATGGCATCCATCCATCCGCCTGCATTGCGTATACTATTGACATCGTGATCAGAACAAGAAGCGGCCACATTACCGACCTCGGCTTGGGTATCTCCCATCCCTTCTCGCTATCCTAGTCCTATGGTACCCCTCCTCAGACTGCATAAGCCCTAATATGAAGCCCCTAATGGTCCAACAGGGCGTGTGCTGCGGCAGTCGTATGCCGACAGTTGCGTCGTGGGCGTTGCTCGATATCCATTGACCACTCAGGATTGCAGTGCGTACCTCAACTTGACAATTTTGCAATCTGCTAAGAAGAGAGAAGAGCGTATTTTCTTCTTGGCAGGTTTTGGCCCGACAGAAGCAGGCGTGGCGTAGATAGAGCAATGTAAGAGGCAGCAGTGGGCAGAGAGCATAGTTGGGATGAAGTGAGTGCCGAGAACTCGGGTCGCGAGTGGGTGCACGGTTCCACAGCTGGATGGGAAATGTTATTGCAAGGTTTCGAGCTAAGAACTGCACTGCGACATAGCCACGGGGTATTTTTGGGGTTTGGCAGGTTGAGAAGAGGAGGCGCCATATGATCCCGTCTCCCTGTTGTAAAGGCCTGTGAGGGAGACAATATGGGGAAGCCGCAGGTTGTCTGTAGTATATTATTTTCACCTTGTCAGCTTGCCATCTCGAGGCAGAGGCGGCTCTGATCCCCTCGACCGTTAGATACATCAGGGGTGACCCCAAACCTGCTGCTTACCACTATAGAGTGCACACTCGCGCCATGATTGATAGGGGCCCAGGCACACGGCGGATTCGAAACGGGGTCCGCGTTGGGCGGTTACGGAGACGGTCGCACATCCAATACAAGCAGGCTGCAGGCCAGATGACCTATGACCTGCGCCGACAAAGGCGACAGACAATCTGTTTGCCTGCGCTTAACCATCAACTCCTCACCTAGAATCTTCTCATTTCATCAACATCACCTTCACCATCATCAACCTGTGCTACCTATTTGTCGCCATTTGGGAATTTGAGGCAGGACCCTCTCTCAATCTCAACGCTCGTGTCGACGCCGTCTCACACTCGGGAATTCGACCGCCTGCCGCTGCGACTGCGATTGCGACAAGGAACGGGATCGGTGGCTTTGCTAGGCGAAGATCCAGTACCCAGCCAGGCAGTAGGACGTCATTTGTCGCGGCTTACTGTGGCCCTCCAGCAAGCACTTGTTGCAACTTGCACCCCCCGAGATCCACCGGCAATCACAACGCCGTCGTCATAATCTTTCTTGGATCGTTTTGGCTTTTAATTCCTCTATCCTAGCCGGCCAGCTCGTTATCCTTTCAAGATGACTTGGGAACTCACACGCCGCCGCTTCACCCGTGCGATCAACAGCAAATACGTCTTTGACCGCGTTGTATGTCTCGCCCTGCCTTGTCCTCCTTCCTCGGTGCACTGTCCTCTATGACTCGCTGTCGTCATCTTGATTACATCGCCTAGTGTGCACCCTGCTATTATCCTCCTGCCCTGCTTCTGCATGAAGCGTCTTCAAAACCCACAAACCACCAAGAACCCCTGAAATTAGGTTATCCAACTGACAGTATCTTTCCGTCGTCTACAGCCTCTCCTACATGCCATCATCTTCCTAATCGAGATGACCCTCGTCGCGCGCCTCGTAGCAAGGTACAATGCCTTCTACGCTGAACGACCCGGTATGTGCCAGCTATGCCAACCATCGCCTCGAGCACCGTCCATCAATCGCAAACCTCTGCGCTATCTGGGCAAGATGTTAGCTGCATCGCGAAGGACTCCGTACTGACAATACATAGTTCTCACCATGATGGTGACCAACGCCATCTTGGGAGGCATCGCCGACACCGTCGCACAGTCAATCACTGCCGTCCGCCAGCGCGCCCTTAGGAAGGCACCCGCCTCTCCGGCCTCGAGAGACACAGCTTACGAGCTCGACGTCAAAGACCCATTCACCGAGCGGGAGCTGATCCCCGATTCCAAGATGCTGCCGCCGCCTTTCGACTTCGAGCGCCTGACGAGGTTCATGGCCTACGGTTTTGCCATGGCACCCTTGCAGTTTAAGTGGTTTGGATTCCTGGAGAGGACTTTCCCCATTACCAAGGCCAGTGCTTTCGGGCCTGCCATGAAGAGGGTCGCCATGGACCAGATTATCTTCGCGCCGTTCGGTATGTGTTTTCACCGCTCCACTGGCCCTAAGAGGAGGGTGGTGGCTCCTGAAACTCTAGAGGTGCGACAAACTCGGCGGGGTGCATGGTACTGACTACTCTATAGGTGTCGCCTGTTTCTTCAGCGTCATGACTGTCGCCGAGGGCGGTGGCCGACGTGCTGTCATGTCGAAGCTTCGTGACATGTACGTGCCAACCTTGAAGGCCAACTACGCAGTCTGGCCTGCGGTGCAAGTCATCAACTTCCGTTTGATGCCTGTTCAGTTCCAGCTGGTGAGTACCACACGATTGACTAGCATTGTTTTAATGAAATGTGCAAATCGCTGAACCTCGCCTCTAGCCTTTCGTGTCCACCATCGGTATCGCCTGGACCGCATACCTCTCGCTCACCAATGCTGCGGAGGAGGCAACCCAGCCAAGCCCAGCCGCCCTCGGCCCTTCCAACATCCGCCTGGAGTAGATAGGAAGACGTTCACACGATAAAGACGAAATTTCTCTTGTGGTGCTGCTCTCAATGGTATATTGTACATAGAGTCTGGCTGGTTGGTCTCTTAGGCATAGTGGGCGGCGTTGGTCTGTCTGCGGTTTCAAACACGAGTTGTTTTCCGTACTTCTGTCGTCTGGGATCAATTCAACGGCGTTGGCGGAATACTTTTTCTATACTCGAAAGACAAAAGCATTATAAGCAAAAATGCCCAATATTTCGAACATCTCCTTCACGGAACAGAAAACGTGCGAGTCGGTGTGTTATTCTACAACTCCGTGGCCCCCTAGCAGCCCCGAGATTTGGATGTGAGCTGGACTGGTCGGGGTCGGCTTATCAGGGGCTCGCTCAGAGGCCGAGAACCTTGTTCTGGATGTCGACTGTTTATCCACTCTCGAGATCCTGTCAGAAATGAATTGCATGTTGAAAACACGAGATGCGATAGCTAAAAATTTGCCAAGTCAAACGGTATCGGACCTCCTGAGTCTGACAATTCAACGGCGAGAAATATCGCGCATAGGCATGATCAGGAGAGCTCACGTCACCGGAAGCTCAGAAACTGCCCCTCCAAGCACCCCTCACCCCACCCAACAGCCCTTCAAAACCCATCTCTTCCCTCCCGCATCACTCACCAGGAGACCACCTACTGTCAAGCATAAACCAACACCTACGGACCTGTCTTCCATTAAACAATAACCTTCTACACCCTTCCGAATTCAACACTATTCTTTCTGTCCAATTGATACCCCCATACGCAAATATGTCTCTGTCCAGCAAGCTCTCCATCACTGATGTCGACCTGAAGGGCAAGCGAGTCCTGATCCGGGTAAGTTGTGACTGTTCACGGGGCCGCAGGAAATGGCCCATTGCCTCTTCTGCTGTCGTCTCTCCGATGGTGCTTGCTTCAACTTGACTGCTGGCCCACCACCGACCATGCTGGCTGTCCGAAACTATAACGAGCTCGTTCCGGGAGGAAGCTGCATTCGCCCCGGGGTAGCTTGAATCCTTCTGGGCGGTTTCAAGCACACACCCTAGAACCAGAACCGTGAGCTAACATATTTACTCATGATCTAGGTCGACTTCAATGTTCCCCTGGACGCCGACAAGAAGGTGACCAACAACCAGCGTATCGCCGGTGCCATCCCCACCATCAAGTATGCGGTCGACAACGGCGCCAAGGCTGTGGTGCTGATGTCCCACCTCGGTCGCCCCAATGGAAGCCCCAACCCCAAGTACAGCCTTCAGCCTGTTGTGCCCGAGCTTGAGAAGCTGCTGGGCAAGTCTGTCACCTTCGCTCCTGACTGCGTCGGCCCCGAGGTCGAGGCTATCGTAAACAAAACCGAGGGCGGTGGCGTTGTGCTGCTGGAGAACCTGCGGTTCCACATTGAGGAGGAGGGATCTGCCAAGGACAAGGACGGCAACAAAACCAAGGCAGACAAGGAGAAGGTTGCCGAGTTCCGGAAGGGTCTGACGGCACTGGGAGATGTCTATATCAGTCAGTTAAAAAGGTCCCCACCCGCCTGCGCCAAGTATGAGCACTAACAACAGTTGCAGACGACGCTTTCGGCACCGCTCACCGTGCACACTCTTCCATGGTCGGTGTCGACCTGCCCCAGAAGGCTGCCGGCTTCCTGATGAAGAAGGAGCTGGACTACTTCGCAAAGGCCCTGGAGTCCCCCCAGAGGCCCTTCCTGGCCATCCTGGGTGGCGCCAAGGTCTCTGACAAGATCCAGCTGATCGACAACCTGCTGGACAAGGTCAACACGCTCGTGATTGCCGGTGGCATGGCCTTCACATTCAAGAAGACCCTGGACAACATGTCCATTGGCAACTCTCTGTTCGATGAGGCTGGCGCCAAGACCGTCCCTCAGCTGGTGGAGAAGGCCAAGAAGAACAACGTCAAGGTCGTCCTGCCCGTGGACTTCATCACGGCCGACAAGTTCGACAAGGACGCCAACACTGGCAAGGCCACGGACAAGGAGGGCATCCCAGAGGGCTGGATGGGTCTGGACTGCGGCGCGGAATCCGTCAAGCTGTACAAGGACGCCATTGCCGAGGCCAAGACGATCCTCTGGAACGGCCCCGCTGGTGTGTTTGAGTTTGAGAAGTTCGCCAGCGGCACCAAGGCCACCCTGGACGCTGCGGTGGAAGGTGCCCAGTCTGGCAAGATCGTCATCATCGGTGGTGGTGACACGGCGACCGTCGCGGCCAAGTACGGCGTCGAGGACAAGCTGAGCCACGTGTCAACGGGCGGTGGTGCCAGCTTGGAGCTGCTCGAGGGCAAGGAGCTGCCCGGTGTGACCGCCCTGTCGAGCAAATGAGGGTTTGCTCAGGCTCCAGGGATTCAGGACGGCAAAAAGGCAGGCCGGATTATGGACAAGGCTAGTCTCTAGTTTCACGACCCCCAGGATGAAAACATAATAGAATGTAAAATGCGTCTCACGTTGTTCATGCCTAACGCCGAGCCATGTATGAGATTGTAAACGACCCGGCCTCCAAAGAGCAATATTCATCTTTGGGCCGTCGATGTAATCTATGGTGTCGCCTCCGTCCTCATTGCCCAATACAATCGGAAGAATAATGTCATGCCGAGGGGCTGTTATGACGCACACGTGTCTCTTCCAGACTCTACGACTCTCCTGTAAGCCTTCTCTCGCGCAGCCCGACCACTACGTATTCATCAGCAGCAGCGCCATCACCGCTGCCGCTGCCGTCACCCGCAGTACAGACCCGACCTTCCCCCGAGTCGCTGCCGTGTTCTGAGCTGAGCATCTCCTAGGACCGACTCATCCCGGCCTCGCCATCACTGGTTCCCGAGCCGTTGTCGCCGCGCGTCGCCTGAGGAGGTAGTTGCGCGCGGGGCTCCCGGGTTGTCGTCAGGCTTGTTGCGCGAGGCTCCTATCTCCGGCGCTTGGACTCCTCGACTTTCTTCAGCTCCTCCCTGTAATGTGTAGAGAGTGGTCAGCTAGCTATCCTGTTCGCAAAGCCCAGACTATCTCAGACTAAGAATGCGGTGGACTGGGGGAGGGAGACGCGTAGAGATGGTGGTGTGTATATGTATATGTATATGTGCATGTGTTGGTTGGTAGTGGCGTGACATACTTGAGCTGCTGCGAAAAGTCGTCACTCGTGTCGTCGTCGTCCCAGGACTCCTCCCACAGGTGCTTGGCCTCGCCGCTGTTGGCCGCCTCGGTCTCTTCTACGGACCAGTCTGCAGGACGACGTCAGCAATTCGCACGCTATTAGGTACAATGGAAAGTGTTGTTTCGTACCCTCGACGGGGAAGTCCTCGAACTCGTCGTCCTCCTCAAGAGCAGCGGCTGACTTCTGCTGGGTCTCCTCGGGCTTGGCCTCGGAGGACGTTGGCTTGTCGTCCTTCTTGGGTTGTGATGATGCCATGGCTGTGGATGTTAGATGTGTGGAGTCGTTGATGACCAGGAAGCTCTGTCAAGCTGCGTGTGAGGCGTGTGTGCAGGGGAGGAGGTATGGAGGACGAAGGTGTGGTGTTGGTGTTAGGATGTTGAGAAGGTTGTAGTCTAGATGGGTGGATGGATTGGAGGGGAGCTGCGATCAGAAGCGAAGCTCAATCAATGACTGACTGTCGGCAGGCTCCCAAGGTGCTGATGCCATGCAATCCAATGTGGCGCGTCCTGTGGCTGGAATCGTGCTAGGGAGGGTGCTGTGGGTACGTACCTGGCCTTGCTCCAGAGGCTAGACAGGTACCGTAGCAGCTGAAGTGGGATGTAACATGTAACCTTGGGCTGATAAAAGACAGCCCAGGAGTCAAGTCAGGACTTCGGACCGTCTCCAAAGCCACTGACGGACAACCAAAGCTGCAAGTGTCAGCAAGTGTCTCTGTCTGGGCTGACGGCCCCCGGAGTTACCGGCGTCTCCAGATGGCCGCAGAGGGAATTCTGCCTCGCCCTGGTCGCCTTGGAAGAGTACCCGAAGCTAACACACACCATTCTGGGAAGGCTCATGGAAGGGAATGGGCATGGATGATGGGCCCGAGGCCGAGCGCAGGTTGCGCATACAAAACCGCTCGTCTCTTCTTTCATGCTGACCAACTCGACGTTTCTGCTCCTTCACACTCCGCCTGGACTCTTGTTTCACTCCTGCACCTGCACCAGGCGAGTCAGCCCAGGAAGAGGCTATCGAAGCGGCTGAACTGAGTTGAGAGTTCGTTCGATTGCGGCACTCCAGCCACCATTACATTACACACAAGCCTGCACGCGACACTCACTGCCTCTGTACATATCGGTGTGGTTGGTCTAAGTCACTCGCAGTCACTCGCCCTGGCCGTTGAACGGGGATCGGGTACGTCATCTGGGGCCGGGACGAGGCAATTCCACGCCTTGAGCCTCACGCCGTCCGTCTCTCACTCAACGGCTCGAGATCATATCGTAATTTGGATCCCAGGACCCGGGACCCATTGTCATTGAGAAGGGGGCTCAGCACATTAACCCGAATCCCACATCTCGCTCACGTATCTTGGCTCCCCGGAACGATTGCGAAAGTCTATATTGGAGTTAGCGTCTCCGGGGTTCAATTCCGCACCTCTGACTGTCACATTCGAGGTTCTATAACAGCTCGTTTGACACTTGCACGGCTGCACCCTTGTGTTTCAGGCTCTCTGTGGACGACTTGAACAATCGCATCTCAATTCTCCAAAATTTTACCTCTGCAGGCCAGCATAGAAATTAGGAATCATCCGGAGCAGCTCAACAGACCCTTGGCATCATGAGGTCATGGTTTAAAGGCTCCGGCACGGCTAATGCCTCCAAATTGAGCCTCTCTTCAAGCAAGAATGCCAGCTCCACTCAGGTTGCAGACCCACGCGATGTCGAGGCAGCAGACCTGCAAGATGCCATGGACGCAGCTGCTCGCATCGTTAATGATGACATCGACGGTGCAGAAGCACAACTCAAGGCGCGCAAGGATTCATCCAGCTTCCACCAGCTTGGTCTCGGCATCGCCATCTTTATGAGGTCGATTCTGGGCTTCGAAAAGGAGATCATGCTTGAAGCCAGCAATCGGCTGGCCGAGTGCGAGTCGCGTGCCTGGGCCGACATGAAGAAGGCGCAGAAGCAGGCTGAAGGCGGCGGCGGTTGGTTCAGGGGCGCTGGCACAGCGAACGGCCTGGGGCCCGCGAAGAGCAGCCAGATATATCCGCCGGGGAGCGAGTACCAGCTGGTCAACGCAGAAGCACAACTCATGGGCGCCATAATATCGGTCATGCATGAAAGTCTCACGGAGGGCATCAAGGGCTTTTACAAGCTGCGCAAGGCCTTCGTTGCACTCGATGCCATTATGGAGGCTGAATCGAGAGTCCTGGCTGAGCGGAAAGCCAATGGTGTGGCTCAAGGATCATCGAGTTCTACGAGTGCTCCAAAGAAGGATACAATCGACGAGGACCAGAAGAATAACGAGTCTGACAGCGACCTCGAGTTTGTCGACGCCCCGGAAGATGCTGAAAAGTCTCAAGCACCGGCAGTATATACTGGTCACCTAAAGAGAGTCAACAGTAAATCCGCTCCTGGCTCTGTGCTCGAGAAGGAAATGGGCGACTTGGCTCTGGAGCCCGCCACCACGTCGTTGCCAACATCGAGGCAAGGTTCGCCAGACTCCCAGAATCGAACAGGCTCTCCACAGCGCCGCGCAGTCCGGCAAACCCTCCTCGATCAGGCGGGCCCAGACTCGTCGACTTTCACACACCCAGTCGATATCTTCGTCCACAGCGGTGCAAATATGTGCTTCGGGATTCTGCTACTTATTATTTCTATGGTCCCGCCCGCGTTTTCGAAGCTGCTCTACATTATCGGATTCAAGGGTGACCGCGAACGCGGTGTGCAGATGCTGTGGCAATCAACCAAATTCGACAACGTAAATGGGGGAGTGGCCGGCCTTATGCTGCTGGGGTATTACAACGGAATCCTCGCATTTGCGGACATCCTGCCCTCAGACAAGGATGTTGAGGAGCTTGCAGACGACGGAGAGATCATTGGTTATCCCAAGGAACAGTGCTCCGCCCTCCTACAAAACATGCGAGCACAGTACCCAGAAAGCGGAATGTGGAAAGTTGAGGAGGCCAGAAACCTGGCCAACGCCCAGCGCGTCCCGGAGGCCGTGGCGTTGCTCAAGGCAAACAAAGACTCCAAGATGCGCCAGGTCACGGCACTCAGCAGCTTCGAGCTGTCGACAAACGCCCTGTTCTCCATGGACTGGGTCACCATGCGTGACGGGTTCCTGCGGTGCATCGAGCTGAACGACTGGAGCCACAGCCTGTACTATTTTTTCATCGCGTCGGCGGAGCTCGAACTGTACAGGGACGCGGTCCATGCAGGAGATGCCACAGAGGCCAAGAAGCACAAAAAGGCGGCGGAGGAGTACTTCCGGAAGGCACCAGCGAGCGCCGGCAGGAAGAAGTTCCTCGCAAGACAGATGCCGTTCGAGGTATTCGCGCTGCGCAAGGTCCAGAAGTGGGAGGACCGCGCGAAAGAATACGGCATCGATCTTGCTGACGCAGTTGGCATCTCGCCTGCTGAGGAGATGACGTACTTGTGGTCCGGATCCAAACGTATGTCCAATGATATGTTCGAAAAGGCGCTGGCGTACCTGAGCTGGGACAGATGCACGGCGAGCAAGGAAAACGTAGAGAAGATGAAGGCTATCCCGGATGAAGCGGCCATCAAGGCGGTCGCAGAGTCTGTCATCTTCAGTAATATGGGTCGGTATGACGACGCCAGGGATAGGGTGAAGCCTTACTTAGATCAGGACAGGTGAGATTCACTGCCGCGCATGCGCGTACTTGGGAGACTGATGCTGACTGTTTCCCAAGGACACTCTTCAAAGGCGCCACGAGGGATGACTATACCCTCCCATGCGCACACTACGAGATGGCCGCGGTGGCGTGGAAGGAGGCCTGCGACCCGAAGTGCTGGCCAGCGGGTGCCAAGGAGGCTGACGAGTATAGACGGAAGAAGGTCACGGAGAGCCAGGAGTATTTGGACCACGTCAAGACATGGGAAAGTTTTGTGCTTGATGCCAGAATCGGGATGAGGGTCCAAACCGGCGCGGATAGCATTGCGTGGTTGAAGAAGAAAAAGAACTGGGCGTGATCGGGTATGCTACTTTTGCATGGTATTTGAGAGGTTAGAGCCTTTTTGGATGTTTCATAGACGGCGCATTTCATTAGCATGCGCGAGGATACTGGAGCATGGCGGACTTCTCGGGGTAGGCAAATATGATTAGGCATGTGGCGTTGCGATTAGTTAGGGGGTATCTCGAGGCTATAGAAGAAACAATCTGCCCGCAGGTGTTGAGGCACAGATAAGGAAGCATCTGAGCAATGTGAATGAAAATCTGGTCCCATCGAAAGCAAACGAACGCCCCAGTCCACTCCCTCGTCTTATTCCTTTCATATCGTCTGAACTTCATGTCGTGTACTGTCCTGTTATTTAGTCACTTCCGCTGCTGCGCTTGCCCTTCTTCTTGCCTCCTTTCCTGATATTATCGATGCCGTTCTGGACCAGCGCGGCAGCGTCACTTGCCTTCCTCTCCCCCCTCTCCCGGACCTGGTGCTTCTCGGCCTCACTGCGCACGTCATCCTCGATGTCGCGCCCACCCATGCCCGTCCCACAGCCCCAGTCCAGCACGCCCCAGGCGCCGTAGTTGCCGCTCGACGCCCCGCGGTGGCCGGCGCCGTAGTGCGTCGCGTTGCGCTTCGCGATGCCGCCCATGATGATACCCGGCACGACCGTATACCCAGACATGGTGAGCGTCTCCTCGAGGGTGATGAGCCCCACGAAGAGGAAGTAGACCAGCAGGTGCGGCCGGACAGCCAGCGCCGGCAGGTAGACGGGCGCGAAGCGGTGCAGGAGGAACGGGACCGGGTGGTCGGCCGCCAGGGAGAGGCTGTAGGGGGCGGCGGAGCGCGAGTGGGCGAAGCGCGAGTGCTGCTTGGCGACCCAGCCGCGCGAGGACCTCAGCGGGGCGCGGCGGGTCCAGGCGTGCGCGCTGGAGTGCAGGACCGTCTTGTGGACGTAGTACGTCAGGGCCTCGCGGGAGACGTACAGCCAGCCCAGCTGCTTGACGATGGCCCAGGGCAGCGGGAGGGTGGTGGTGGTCTTGAAGGGGACATGGCCGAACAGGAGGGTCAGGCCGAGGCTGGTGCCGGCCTCGAGGGCCGTCTCGAGCACGACGTTGAGGAGGGCCAGAACGAGCGCGGTGCCGAGGGCGCGGGCGTCGCGCGGGGGCAGGGCGGATGCGCCGCCGTACTTGATGCTCTCGGAAAGGGAGGGTAGGAGGGTGTCGAAGAGGAGGAAGACTAGGGAGGGCACTAGGAAGAAGACCAAGCGGATGGCCAGGGTGCCGAACAGCTCGACGTAGAGGGGGTTGTGGGACAGGACGAGAGTGGACCAGGTCATATAGAAGAAGAGGAGGTTGAGCGAGGTGGACCACGAGGTCAGGCTCCCCCCGAGGAAGACGGATAGGATGGGGAGTGAGAGGAGGATGTCCATCATTTTTGCGGCTGGTGAACCTGGATGTTGAAGAATTGTAGATAGCAGCTGTATTGTATTGTTTTGTATCTACTATACAGCTAGATGATCCAGCATGTGGTCGGTGTTGTCGCGAAAGGGAGCTGTGCCACAACCACAGCCAGATGGGCGTGGAACCGGCCTAGTATACTCACACATCTCCCTTCGAAAACAAGCATCGATTCTAGTTTGCGCCTCAACTCGACGATGACGTGTGGCTGGCTAGGTTCTGTATGCTGCAGACCTCGACGGCCCAGCTTCAGATCCGCTAGGAGCTCGCCCAAATCCAAGTCGATGCTACAGTAGACAAGGCTGTCCAGACATGACTGCCGGGTGCTACAGTGAGATGACGTAGCACCCAGAGCAGGGGCCCATCAACTCCCTGGGGCAGCCCAGGCATCTCCCCCCACTTGGCGAGATTGAGTGCGCGGCCGGTGCCGTAGTCGGCACGACATCTCGGAGATGGAGACGAGCGGCACGATTGTCGAGCAGCCCACAATAATAACCGTGGATACAGTAGCCAGCCGTGCCAGCCAGCCAGGTCCAGGTCAGGGGTCAGGCGCCCTACTCAGCTACTTACTGTATGGTGAAGTTGCAATCGACAAGGTCATACATAGAATATAGTGTATGCGTGCCTGAGTACGGACTAAACATACCCTTCACCAAACGATGAGCTGCCTGCGACGAGCTCGTTGCATACGCAGACCAGATACTCCGTAGATAATGCTTATTGTGCAGTTCACATGATTGTATGTGTATGCGTATGCAGAAGTCCTTACTGACATGAAGCCAAGATGCATTCTGGACAAAGCAAAAACCATATGACATGTGCTCAAGGTTACATAGAGAGGGGCTGAAAAGACTTAAAACAAACACGGCAGTTTATCCCATGGCATCCCATGGCATCCCATGGCACCCCATGGCACCTTACGATCTGTCCTCGTATACTGGGCATGTATGCAGAGGGCCCCCGAGGTGCATTGCTGGCGGTGGAGCTGCTCATCCGGGGCCGAGTCATACAGGACACAAGAGTACGCGGTCTCGAATTCTGGGCTGCCGTCGCGCCGACTGCGACCTCAGCGTGGCAGTTGTGTGAATCGGGCTTGTTCAATCCCTCCCTCGCGCGCAAGAGGACGGTTTCAAGAACTGGCACGACATGGGCGGGCTATCTCATTTGGGGGGGTAGCACCAGCTTCACATTGATTGCATTTATTGCCCGCGATGCTCCCGTCCGACACAAGCTGCCGCGCTATCAGATGGCAGGCAAGGGTGCCGCTGTGTCTGTTAGTGTTGGAGCTCCTATCCCCCAGGCATGATGCTGATTTCGGGCGCGCCGAGAGAGGGCCAGCACCAGCAAAGCCAGGCGAGAACGAAGAAGCCTCCACGGGAAGGGGAAGGGTACATGTGCCACTATCTCTAATGAGGCTGCGCGACCAGGATGCAATGTACAGCATCTATATCCCATACACCCTTGATGATCACTTGGGCACCAAGACACAAATTGCCCGTCTGCCCTCGTCCCGACAATACAAGTACCGTAGACGGTCCCTCCCTCTTGTGCTCCATCTCGGGGCCTCCTGGGCTTATGCGCAGACTGCATCCATTCCCACGTGGGCGCAGGGGCGAGAAGCGAGAAACCAGCAAGGTCTACCTCCTATACACATGTACTGTACTCGCAGTGCAGTGCAGTCCAGTGCATTCCAGTGCAAAACAGAGTCTTGGGTGAGGATCCGGGTTCCACCTGTACCTACCTGCCGTGCGCGCTTGCGAAATTCATCATTATCGAGGGTGATTATGGATTATTGATTTACGACCTTGAACACAGACCTTCGCCCTGAGCTTGGCCACAATACTTTTGTTTCTCCTTTCCCTCTCCTTGCTCCCCTCTCTCTGTCCTTGTCCCTATCCCTGTATTCTTGTTCCCATGTCTTACGTCTCTTGCACCTGAGCCACGCGCTCCTCGTCATCACCAACGCCCACCGCATCGCAACGCATTGCAGCGCATCGCATCGCATCGCACATTGAAGTCCACCCCGATTCCGCGCAGAGACGAAGCGACGTCACACAGCATTGCGGCTACAGCTGGCTCTTCGACCCAAGACATTCTGCGACACCCTACTGAATCGCCAATCCGCGCCTTTTTTTCTTTCGAAACACATCCAACGAGCGTGAACCCTACGCTCTAGCTACTACTAATCAAGACGGGCCAGCACTGCACTAGAACCACCCTAGAACGAGCCGAAGCCATCTGCGCTGCGACTTTACTTCTGCCTTCTTTCGTCCAACGCACAACGGCGGCCAGAAGACAACGGCGCCAGACGCCCTCTTTCTAGAGCCATCTGGGGCAATTCCTGCGAGCGCCAAACATCCGGGTTGCTCGGGTTAGCCCGAAACAGAACAAAACAGCTCCCCCCAAAGGCTTCGTGCAACAAGAGCCTGCGCGGGTCTGCCTCCCGAAACTGCGTCCGAGATCACCGGCGCATCGTCCCGAGGCTGCGTTGCAACCTGCACGGCTAAGACACAATACTCTGCGCTGGACTCGGCACCCATCCGCCCTCCTCATTTGCTCGAATCCGACATTGCAATTTCAAGACACGCCCACACCTGCTTAGTCGATAGTCGGTCCTTTGGCGCCACGCGGAACCTCTTCCGGCCCACAAGCCTCTGTGGTAAGTTGTCCACTCTTTTGACCCGTCAGTCACCTCGAATCCTCTTGGTAGTGCAGGGCAGGCCCAGGAGCACATGGGCTGCAATGCACATTCATGCCGGTAGACGGGCAGACAGGCTGTGTTATGGTCAGGGGAATTGGTGCACCAGCGGGACCCCTACACGCCCAAGATGAGGATTGGCCAATTGCTGCAACCCTCCCACGCAACGCCCGGTGCGCCAATCTGTGCCCCGTACCGCAGCCGCACCGTACGAGGACCTGCAGAGGACAGTGATCCATGCAGGGTCTCACAAAGAGGACCAAAAAGAAACACATACTCATAACCCGTGGAGGGGTCTGCCTGTCAAAGCTGGAAGGGAATCACTGACCTAGAGCTGAGAAGGGCTGACAGGTATCCGAAACCAGGTACGGAATTCGGTGTGCGCCCGGTTCCTGCACCGATTATCATTGCATTATATACCCAGGGTTGGGAATATCTAGGTTTTCGCGCTTGAGAATTATCGAGGGCTGCCTTCGATATTATTAAAGACCTGCGGGCATCCCCCAGCAGATAGTTGGATGCGCCGGGAAACTCGGTCCCTTCGCATACTTGCAGACGTCGAGATCCCCCAAACGAGCCCCGACCCCCTGCAGACAGATCACCATCAAGCAGCTTGATATCCCCATATGCCTGGCTCAGTTGTATCTGCCAAACTTACAGCACAGCAATGCCATCGTCCGATGTTTTGAGCTCTCGAGTCCCCATGCCAGCCACTTGAAACGGACCTTCCAGCTCAATTAGGGCCGGTCGCATCTCAGACGCGCGCCATTGTCGGCGAAGCTGCAGTAGACGGCAGATGGTCTTGAGAGGCTGCGAGTCTTACACGGACCCCTGCCTCGTCGATCCACCTGGGCACCCACCCACACACACACCTTGGGACTGGAGAGAGTGCATTTGTCTGTCGGCCCAGGAACGCAGGAACTGCATGCACCCAACGCACCACACTCTGCATGTCAGATTGCTTGTGCCTGCCCCATCGAGCTTTAGCCCTGAGGACCGCAGGCACATTCGTGCCCCAACGGGAAAGGATTCTTGACGGTCCAGCACAGTTCGACTCTTTTTCCGGCTGTACGGTGGTCTTTCAATTTCGCTGCTCGACCTCGCGTCGGCCGCCCTGCAACAAAGATGGACCGCACCGCTGTCCCCGCAGCACCTCCCTCAATTTCTAGGCACGGCCGTCACTCACGCCGTCGGGCGCCTGAAGGTCCGTCCGCAATGCCTTAGCTGTCTCGCATCTGCATTCCAGCCGTTGTGCATCTTGTCACTGACACAAATCTTATTCCAACTCAGACACCAATCACGCTAATCAATCGGCTATCCGAGCACACGGACGGGACGATTCTGTCGCGCCCGCCTCCCCCGAAGTCATCTCCTCCCTAATAACCAGTCTATCCGTGATATCGCGGCCAGCCAATGCCCATTTCGACCTCCCCCTCGACCTCCTACAAGCCTCCTCACCCGCCAGCCCCAAATCGCCAACCGGACATCGGAACGGTTCCTTCGGTGTCACCTACGGAGCACCCAACCAACCTACCCTCGCCGACTTGCGAGAGGAAGACGCCGCCTTCGACGACCTTGCGGCCCTCCCCCCGACCATCAAGACTGCGAAACCTCCGAGCGGGTTCTCTCCCCTGACAGCGCCCAAGTCGCCCGAACGACGCGAGAGTGGTGGATTGCGGAGCTTTCTCAGTGGGAGGTCCTCCTCGCGCCCGTCGTCGAGAGGCTCATGCGCATCCAAGGATGCTGATGTCCGCAGCATCGGCAATCTTTCTGTCGAGCGCGGATTGTCTCCCGTCTCGTCTCCAGAAGTAAAGAGAAAGCGGTCATACGATAGCTGGGGCAAAAAGTCTACAGTCCGATCTCAAAAGGGATTGATGTATATGAGCTCCAAAGAGCGATTGAGAGATAACGAGGACAGGAAAAGAGCAGCCTCGGGAACCGGGGGAAGTACCAGCGACGGGCTGGATGCGAGCGCCATGGCACGTACGACAAGCCCACGAATCGGTCCATTCCTAGCGGGAACGTCCATCACGGAAGAGCCAGCCTGGAGCATCGACGACCCACTCTCGAAACCAAAAACTGGCGCGGATGGGTCTACTTCGCCCACGCGTCGATCGATACCCCTTAGAGACTCGAGTCTGCAGAAGACAGGCTCAAATGCGAAGCGGTCGTCAGTGCGGAACAGCCGGTCATCGAAACGCGACAGCGATCATGGAGCGATTCCGGAAGAGGACTACTTCGGCAGACCTGACAAGGGGAAGGGAAAGAGTACAGATATACCGCAACAGAGGAACAGCTTCCGGAAAGACCGCGCGAGCTCCAGGGAACCAAGACCAAGTAGGAGAGATCCGGGACCAGAGGGATTTCTAGACCCTTCACGGGCGGCAAAGGCCAAGGGGAGCCAGTTTATGGATCACTATGTCACAGACACCGAAGTCGATATCGACGACGGGGCTCCGTCTCCCAATATTGCGCAAGGAAAAAGACGAGATCGGGAGGTCAGCAGCGATCGGACTAGTCGCAGACGATCTGGTCGGAGCACACCAGAACTGCGCGTAAAACGGAGCAGCTCAAGATTGAAGCGATTGTCCGGTCCTTTGTCGCCACGACCAGATGACAAGCCCCGAGATTCAAATGGCGAATCAGCGGCAGTATCCTACGAGCGGCCACCTTCGGCGGACAGCATTGATGACTCAGTTGAGGCGTACTTGCGCTCGCCGCGTCTGAGCCAGAAGATCCGCCATCCGCAAACAGGCCGGGTGATTAGCTTCAGCGAAGTTGGGGATTCTGAGGGCAGCGCAGTGTTCTGCTGTGTCGGCATGGGCTTGACCAGGTACATCACGGCGTTCTACGATGAGCTCGCGGTAACTCTGAAGCTGCGTTTGATCACCCCTGACCGGCCTGGTGTTGGGGACAGCGAGGCGTACGCAGACGGGAATGCTACGCCTCTGGGCTGGCCTGGTAAGTCGCAATTTTGACCCCTTTTCGGCAATATCCCTCTTCCTCTTCCATCCATCCACATAACGTCGTCTATAGCAAGGCTCTAACGATTGAAAACAGATGATGTGTACGCAATATGCCAAGCCCTCCGAATCACCAAATTCTCCATTCTCGCACACTCTGCGGGTGCGATCTATGCGCTGGCGACAGCTCTTCGAATGCCCCAACACATCCGGGGCCGGATACACTTACTGGCACCATGGATTCCCCCATCGCAGATGTCAGTCTTCGGCGCTTCCGCCCAAACGCCTTTACCGCCTACCAATGCTATACCCACGTCTCAGAGGATATTGCGAGCGCTGCCAACACCGATTCTCAAGGCAGCGAATTCCAGTTTCATGACAGCGACAAGCAGTAGTATCACGAGCAGTCTTCCCAGACAGAAGCGAGCGAAACGAAAGCCGAGCGGTAATAATAAGGACACGTCGGCATCAAGAGCCAGCGATCGGCCGATGCTTGACAAGGAAAATCACAACGGCGGGAAATTATCAGGTGACCATCCCATGCTAACCCGGGAGATGTTTGCCTCCGAGGAAATGGACCAGATCCGCCCACAAGGAGCCAGTCCAACCGGAAACCTATCGCCAATCGCGGCTGCTGCGGCAAACGACACGTTTGGCGGAATCGGCTCCGGGATTGGAGGCAGCAGCGGGAAAGGCCATCGCAACAGCAAACAGGATGCCGTCATTGCAGCCGCTGAGTCCGCGATGGCAGATAAAGAGAGGCAGGAGACCTACGATTCGCGCCTCACGCAGGCCATCTGGGAGCTTGCGACCACGGGCGCCAACCCCGCTGTGGATCTGCTAGTCTGTCTGGAGCGCCGACATACCATCGGCTTCCGTTACGTCGACATCACGAGGCCGGTGGTGATCCACCATGGCAGTCGGGACACGCGCGTGCCCGTCGAAAACGTCAAGTGGCTGGGCAAGACGATGAAGCGGTGCGAAGTGCGGGTCCTCGAGGGCGAGGGTCACGGGCTCATGGCGTCTGCGGGATGCATGGGCGGGATCCTTATGGAGATCTCCAAGGAGTGGGAGGACTGGATGAGGGTCACCGGGGCCACAGCACGCAAGGAAGAGAAGAAAAAGGCCGTGGTGAGGTGAGATGAGCCTTCCGGCCTGTGAGCTCCCCTCTTTTCTATTGAGACCAGCACGCATCGTTTCAACGACCTTGTGCACACGCTCAAGTTGTCACGGCCCATTTTATTACCCAGTCTCCCGATGCAAGGCGCCGGCGAGCGGCGTTGGATTGGGTCTGTTCAGGTCGGATTTCCTTTGTCCTTTAATGATACCGATCTCAGCCTGAGAGTCTCCCTTTCTCCCTTGGTTTCGCACATGCGGGGGTTTATATACTTCATGTTTAAGAGCGTGTGTTTCTCTATATAGCAAGCGCGTTGGGATGCATGAAGGCGGCGAAAAAATACCTTGGGTAGAGTATTCTAATAATCTTGAGCCAGCTGTGGGAGTGTTTGGCTCCACTCAAAATTCAATCTCCGAGATGATATACTGTTGTCGACTTCTCTCGTCACCCCACGGCACAGATAATTTGAACAAACATGGGCATTCTCGACTGCGCTACCAGAGAGCATTGGGAACAGACGATCGAAACGTATCAGATGTGGGTGGTCAAATACTGGTTTATTGCTGTCTATTCGCTTTCAACTGTCATGTTTGAACCAATAATAAAACTATAGACCGCTGAGTAAAAAAAGCCTGACAGATTCTCCACTTGTAACCAGAACAAGGCAATATCCCTCCCCGTCACGCATCGTCCGCCTCCAGAGCAGTGTCTGGGTCCTCGGCTTCCTGGCTTCTCAACAAGGGAGTCGCATCATGCCGCCCGACAAACTGCCCAGTGACGTCCAGCTCGTACTTCTTCCCCGGGACGAGCGGGTCGCTGTAGAGCATCTTGGACGAGAACTCGAAGCGCGTGGTGTCCGGGAAGGACCTAGACCAGTAGAAGCCGAGGCGCTCGTGGTACTTTGCAAAGGTGACGCGGTCCCAGGCGTGGTGCGCCCACCTGTTCCACATATCCCACGCGTCGACGAGGCCCTCCTTCCCGTACATGGGCTGGATGGGCTGCTGCTTCGCTGCCTCCGGGTCGAGCGTGTAGCCGGGGCTGCTCCGCAGCATCGCCGCCCTGACGGGGTCGTCCCACGTCTCGAGGAACGGCTTGAAGAGCGTGTCCACGGTCGTCAGCTGGGTGCTGGTGTGGTGTGCGTTGTAGGCCGACGGCCCCCTCCGTCTCAGGCCGGGCTCCCAGGCTAGCAACAGGTTGTGCCAGTTCGAGGGAAACACCTCTATGGATTCGGTTGAGCCTAGGCAGTTGACGCATCCAGCGCAAGTCGAGAACCAGGATTCGCGGCCCATGCCGATGGAGGTGCAATGAATCGGGTCTATCCAATCAGGGCCTGATGGCAAGAATCTGTGGGCTGAACAGGCTCTTGCGCACTCCTGGCAAAGGTATGAACAATGGTATCCGACGTAGTGGTGGAACGTGAGATGGATACTTGGGAACCTTGGAGGTTCCCAATTCCTCCATGCGGGCTTCGCAGAGATCCCGTTGAGAATGGTGGCGAGAGCTTCGTCCGCGTTAGGGATGTGGCCCATGAAACAAACGACTTTTAGGTTTCTGAACCGCCCAATAAACTTGAGATAGCCAGGGCACCGAGGACCGCGGTCCCAACGTTTTTCGACAATGTCTTTCCACAGCAGACGATTCAGCCTCAGAGTGTTGTGGTGCCACAAGGGGCCCTGGTACGCGTCGATGTAGCCCCAGCTGACCTGGTCACCATGGCACGTAGGAAAAGAGCTGGCATGCCGAGGAAACAAGTGATGGTACCTCGTGCCGAGCGCAAGGCACTTGAAGAGGAAGAACTCGGTGGCGCCCATCATCAACCAGTATGTGCACTCGTGGGAGAAGAAGGCGTCGATGTCGCGGTTGAGCATCCTGCTGACCAGGCGGGCGTTCAGGAGCGACTTGATAGCAGGCTCATTGCGGCCCCATGCATCCTCGGGCTTGCCACGGGCAGCCTCATCCGGCGGCTTGGTCATGTTCTAGTGAGCCAGTGCGCGGTTCTGGAGGTACTTTGTCTTCTCGAAGTAGGACCGTTGATATACCTTCGGACAGAACTTCGGGAACGATGTCCCGTTCCAGATGGACTTGGTGGGAACCAGCTCACGGAGTACCATCTGCCGTAATTCGAAGGGGAGGCTGGCATACGGGAAAGTGCCTCTGTTGATTGGGTCTTCAGGGACATGGCATTTTGGAACATTGGCTTCGACAACAATAGTACTGGGGCTGGCGCCTGATCCCTTACCAGGAGGGTTGATGAAGTCAGCGCGGATTGACTCAGATTGTTTATGTCGTTTCTGTGCGAAACCTTCTCGAGACTGCAGCAAGAAACCAAGACTGTACTTGAGTGAGCTAAAGTTGAATGAGTCCAAATCCTTGGCCGAGCTCTGGTACCCAGCAGTATCGCTAGCGTCGGCGGACAGGTACCTTCTGGTTGATCCCATGCTTTCCTACGCAGAAGAATCGTGGACATCATGGGTCATGCCTTTGGCAGTGTGTTGCGAGCCAAGGTCGGTGTCCAGTGGTGAGAAGCGGTTCGCTGCAAAGCCGTTGCTTTTCATTGTCGCTCGGAAGCTGTTGGAGATGACACGGAGTACTTCGTGGTAGAGGTTGACGGCATTCACAGGCCTATATCAAAGAGAGGCAAGTTCTCTTTAGGAATAATCTGATTTGGGGGGGGGGGGCACATTGTTGACACTAGAGTATGTGCATAGAAAGAGAGTGATTCTGCTCAGTCGTACTTTGGTGGGGACCTTGCTGAGGAAGAACAACCCGGAGGGCATGGAACCAAGGAATAAATGTTCGTTATCATAGACGCACCTTCCGTTCAACTTGGCGGACCTGTGCTCTTGCCTTGGTTACCAATGTGCACGATCTGACAGGAAAGACCGAGAGACCTTGTACGGCAGAGCAATTGTCTCAGCCCTTTATGACTGCGGAGTACCTAACCAGTCCAGTGCCCGTTGGGTGGGCTCAAAGTCACATGGAGTCGCCGGAATGGACTCAGCATTTCGGTTCATAGTCATGTAAACAAATACATCGTCTCCCATTTGTCTCGGTAGTCAACTGGCCAATGAATAGTACAAGCTAAGACACTGGCTTTCTAGTTGGTAAAAGCGTTAACTGTTGTGGTACGGACTGCAGGTCACTGAAATACCAAACATCACCATGTTGATATAGAACCACTCTGTCCTTTGAAACATATAATATAAATCTATGTCGTTTAGCTAGAATCTACTGATCTGCGAAAATCAAAGCGACGCCTCACTATTTTCAAGAACGTTCTTCCAGAAACAACTCTATGATAGAAAGACTTGAGGAAGACTCTGTCAGTTATTGGCTGTAGGGAAGGTCTTGTGGAATGACTGTGGGCCGTACACCCAGGTTGTTCATTCCATCAAGTAGACGGACGGTCGCATCCTGCATATTGAATAGCTCAGCAAATTCGAGACAAACATGCGATTGTATCCCTCATTGAGTTTGCCGGCTCTAGTGGAAAATTTCGAGGTATTCATGTTACTCCTTGCGCATCGCTTCTGCTGAAGGGCCATAACCAGTCTGACTGTCAGCGTCTTGTCCGCCTAGGAAAACAACTCAAACTTCGAAATGGAAGTTGTATTCTTCGGCCAGATATGACGGCTTGTTTGAAAAACCTCGGTGGCGTTTCGTCCCACCGTGTAGTAGCCTCCTCCGATCCGTAGTATGACCGATCACCTCAAGTGCTGGCCACTAGAGGGGACCTAGTTGGTTCTTAATTTGACTGAATACAATGTTTATTTTCTATTGCTATCCACTTTTCTTTGCTTTTTTTCTCAAGTGGCAATATTCGTCTCACAATTATGAAACAACCTCAGGGAGTGAAACCACTTTCTTCACATTGTAATGTGCCCACCGCTGCTGTATTTCAAAAAGATATCTCAAGACATGATAACCGTCGAAATCAAAGACAGCCCAATAGACATCAAAAGCCCACCTTATATTACATTGGAGCCATTACATCAAGTTCATTCGAACAGAGAGTGGTATAGAAGAGGCTTTCATAGATAATATATATTTTGAGCGAGGTGATGCAAGTGTTCATCTTGCTGTTTTGCAGAATATATTTCACAATTCTATGGTATTATATCAGGATGTTGAGTACACAAGACTTAGCTGAAACTTCTGGTTCGATCATATTCTGGAAGCAGCCTCAAACACGTTGTTCGAGTCCTTGGATGAAAACTTACACCTTTGATTAACATAGAAGAATGCAGAATGATGTGAGCACACAGGGTCAATGTTTTCCAACGCGAGGCTCGAACGTGAGGCTGGGCAGGCATAAGACCTTGACAGAAAGGTCCAAAACAGGCTGAAATATCATGAGCAAATCGAGTCCAGGAATCTCGTGAACAGCCACTCTCGCACCTTCGTCTCTCATGAAGTTCACATCGTGCGGACGATAAAATGCAGACATCCCATGTATGTCTTAGTTCATCTGTCACCCAGCCTCGCGAAGATGTGTCGTGATAGATAATGTGTCGGAGATTCACTGCTGTATCACTACTAAGACATCTGCTTCTCACCTCTTCAAAGCACTTTCAATATTCTATCTCTGCCTGCTTTGTGACACTGTTATATATTCAGAGCTTCTTGATTGTGGAGTCCTATCAATCACATGTGTATGCGCAGTCGACTGCTCGAAACGATCGTCGGAAGCCTGGTCGAAGAACTACGATACACATATCAACAGGCTGATAGTTTAAGCCGGAGTAGGAAATGCTTATGTTGGTTCCGTCGTAGTATCCAAATCTTGATAGCTGGCGGATTTCTGCGAACGCGAAGTTCCTTTCGAGAACTTCGCGGTCGCCTTGGTATCTAATTCACAGACCCAGTAGCTCCATTTGGTACTGCCCACGACGCCGTGTGTTTCTGGCCCGGCGAGAGCTTCAAACACCAAACCCTGCGCAGTGCTTTAGTGGAGACCTCCAGCTGAACACTGCTTGGAAACAACTGCATTTGTGAATACTGTACCTCCTTCCCTCAATCCAAACCAGCTCCCAACCAACGAACTCAACCAACAGCCATCATGGAGCAAGGCACGACAATCAAGGAGGACCCAGGAGACACCATCACCACGATGAGTCAAATTACTGATGGGATCATCTCCCCAGCCAGCGGCGCCGCTCGTAGATTCGCCGAAACTTCCGAGCTGATCATCCCAATGGGCAACAATGTGAGTTTTGTCAAGAGCTCGGGAAGCTGGTCTGGATCGCGCAGGCCACATCGAATAATCTCTAACCCATCGTCTCGTGCCTATAGTTTCCCAACGAAGACCTCTACAACCTCTGCCTGGTCAACACGAGATTCAATGCGATCTTCTCACAGCAGCTTTACCGAAACATCGTCCTGAATGAAAAGTTCCTTCAGCCCAACAATCTCGTTTGGAGCCCCAGCAACCGTCGCTTCTGCCACACGAAAACTCTGACCTTCGATGAGACTACCGAAGTCGATGTCTCCCTCATCCCTGGGTACGAGCCCAGCGATGGTGGTCCCTCGCTAGGTCGTCTGCCCGAATGGATTTGCGCCTTGGTTCAGAAGACAGCAACTGGCGTCTTGCGCAATTGCCCAAACTTGCACACCATCAAGTAAGTCTCAGTTAGCAGGAGTGTTGATGTAGGCCCTCTGATTGTCAATTGTACACGCGGCGTTGTTCATCGCTCCACGCGCATCCCACTATTCACCATGATTCTGTTCAAACACCAAACATACCGCAGTCGCTCACCAAGAACATGGCACGCGATTTGGAACACTAGATGGAGCTTCATCTCAATGAACTCAAAGCTAACAATTAAAATAAATAGTCTGGATAGTATTCTCATCACATCTGATCGAGCCGTACTGATCATAAACAATGGCCTGGATGACAGACTGAAGCGTTCCACCCATCAATTACAAACGTTGGCCTTGAGCTTGGACGCTTCCCCGTGCCGCGAGCTCTCTGTGTCCAGTTTCCAGCAGCAAAACCTCAAGTCTCTCTCCCTGGTCAACATACCCACGAGATTCTGGAGGGCGGAGACTGTATGCCGGATTCTGAAGGCGTCCCCTGGACTCCGCTATCTCAGCCTGTCCTATTTGTTTGGTTTCAACCATGCGTGGCACCTTGAGAGACTCTGTGAACTGTACAAGCAGCTTGGAGGCGCCCCTCTCAGCCTGGAAACTCTGATTTTGGGAGAGGGAATTTACCTGCACATCCCAAAGCAGGAACTTTTGTCCGGCACAGGATTGAGTCTGTCATCTTCGGCAACCTATCTTTCCCTCCTGACAAATCCTGCCTCCATACGAGAGATCGGCGTCATTGCAACCAATACACTCGCCTGGGGCACCTTTGATTTATCCTTTCTTCCCAAACTCAAGGAGTTTCGGCTTTCTTCAGGACCTGTCGCCTCCCGTACAATTGACGATTTCTTCGGAACGGTCAAAGCCCGCAATCTTTTGACTCGGGTTCACTTTCACGTTGACGGCTGGTATTTCACTAACTACCCCAATACCAAAGGTTTGTCACACTGAATCAGTTTCCCATTCAATCCTCAAGGTTATGATATATTTCAAGGGAGTATTGAACCTACTTCTTATACGACCTGGGCCTTGTGAACTGTTATACCAGGAAGCACTTTATTGACGAAGCATATAGCCATGATACGGAAAATCTTTGCTCCTCGTGACGAGAACGATGCATCCACCTCCTTGGCTCCAGTAGGCTTTTCCTTCCCCATCAGATTCCCAGAGGAAGACAAATACAAGCGGAGCATTGCTATGCCTTTGCCGACAACTCGTTTTCTCGATATCGCCATCTACTACCCTCGACTTGTTGGATTTGTCACCAAAGGCTTATCTGAGATGGCCGCACTCGAGTTCTTGACCTTGAAAGTCTATGTATACGATGCCAGCCAGTGGGATGGTCGGCAAGAAGTGGAAGGAACTCAGCTGGAGGTTTTGCGAAAGGTGGCCGATGCCTGTCCCAGACTGCGTTACGTACGAATGCAGCTGAGCAACCTCGCCGGCGATTACCAAGCGTTCGACCCGAATACATATCCAGTGCCTCCTGCCATTGATGGTCTCAGCCGGTCATGGAAGATTGATCGCAAGCGCATACCTGGTTCCCGCTCCAGGAGACTCCACCCCTATTCCACCATTCTCGATGCGGAGGCCGACAAGTCGCTGCGCCCGCAGAGCATGTGGAGCGAGCAAGAGAAGAGAGACCAGTATATCACTGAGACGCCACAACTATTGGAATATCACGCGCCTTTGTGGATGAAATAGATTCAGGAGGTCTCAGACAATGTGAGTTTACTTCTGGCCATCCCTCGAGCTGTATTGTGTGCGCACATACAGCATTCAAAGGGAATATGCTCACAATCTAACTGAAGGGGATTGATTCGGAGGTGAGACCGGAAGGAATATGGCCAGCAGAGGGCGTGCCGTACTTGGGCAAGTAATATCGAGAGGAGCACCGAGCATCCTTAATTTTGTGCCTCATGAAGGCACAGGTGGTGATGGACAAAAGGCACAGAAGGGTGGAAAATAGCCTATTGAGCTACGGAATCCGTAGCAACACGAATTGATGATGGCGAGCTTCTGATTTTGACAGATTCAGAGTCACGGAGAGGAGCGGTACCCACGTACATCTAACCTCTGCATTGGCTGTGGCAGGATGAAAGCGAGGGCCAGCTAATCAAGCCTGCTAGCCAAGCCTGCTATCCAAGCCTGCTATCCAAGCCTGCTATCCAAGCCTGCTATCCAAGCCTGCTATCCAAGCCTGCTAATCAAGCCAGGATTCTGAGTGTATGTTTCTGGACCATGTCTATTGTTTATGGCAGACGGGTAACGTAGACTAAGGTTGTCTCCACGATTAGTCTGCCAAGGCATCGGCTGATCAGCCGCTGCCCGGTACTATGACGTCTCATCGTATTTGTCTTGCATAAATGCTGGGGTAAACGCAGAGACGCCTATACGAGAGTATCTGATCCCTGCCCAGGGCTGCCAGGTACGTACTCTTAGCCCTGCGGCGGCCCGTTGAATATTGTAGTTACCTGTCCGGCCCGCCCAAGTAATTATATCAGTCCGGACTGATCAAATGACCTGCTCACCGAGGTCACCCTGCTTCCCGGTATGATACTTCAGAATCTTTTTAGCGGTCAGTTGACACTACCAGTATCTGCACCTCCGAAATCTTCTGGCGCATCTCTCCGACAGAAGTTACGAAGGACCCCAAGACCAACTTTCCGGAGAGTCCGAATGATGCTAGTCATTGTTCATATGACGTGCGTTGACGGAGGCTCAGACGAGCCCGGCAGCGTCCTGGCCAAAATCTCTTCAAGCTGCGGGCAGAGAAACAACATCACGATCGCGGTGGAGGCACTGAAGTAGTCGTCCGGTCGTCGACTGTGATAGTGATCAGCTCCTTGATGGTCATGAAGATCATTTTGTGTCAAGTGCATCCAAGCCTTGAAGTTTCTGGCTATGCGCATCGGCCCGCGGAAAGATTTAGAGTTTTAAAAAGGGGCCAAACTCCTTTATTCGTCACAGGACCATTAAAGCTAAAGTGGAGGGTCGGATAGGAGGTTCGTCCCATCAGCACTGGCAATTGTGGCCCTAGTACCCACAGTTTCCAGAAGGCCTGGAAATAGCACCATAGGGATCGGCGTTTCTGCACCTGCCCGCCTGTAAGGCTCTCGTGTTTGTGGAGACAGCCAGCCATCGCAGGTGGACACCTCCCTGTGACTGCCGCCTTGGCAATTACGGCTACTACCCTACCCCAGCTTTATACTTGAAGGTCAAGCTTGGGGGCTATATAACCTCAACGGTCCGACCTATCGTAGCCACTGGCCCGGCCTGACGCTCCTCTCCTGTCCAACAGCATCCAAAATCTCGTCAATACCACATTGGATCTCGTTCTCACCGACCCAGACACTCGTTCAGCTCTGCACAAAACGCCAACATGGTCTCTATCAAGTCTCTCGCCGTTGCCGCCCTGGCCGCTGCCCCCACCGCCATGGGCTACATCACCAACCTGACGGCCCCCGCCGAGGCCGCCGCCGGAAGCAACATCACGGCGACTCTGCAGACTGCCATCTACTCCCAGAACTGGGTCGATTTTGGTATTATCTGGGGTCTTGCGAAGCCAGAGTACGCCTACGGCGATGCCGTCGGAACTCAGGTTGGTTACACAACTTTGACGTAAGCATACCACACTACATTTTCTGCACTTAGCAGTCTGTTAGCATGTCGAGCCTCGGCTGACCTTTTGTGCTTCACGACAGCGGACGTGAGGGTCTCGAATACCCTTACACGTTCACAGCGGGTGTCTCCATTCCCGAGACTTTCACCGGCGACTACGTCCTGCGTGCTGCTATTCCCTACCTAGTCGGAGTAAGTAATCATCCCTTCGGACTGCCATGTTTGTAGTCCAGGATTATGGCGGCTGACTGGTATCATAGGCATCTGGAGAGGTTGGCTTCACCGTCTTGAGCTCCAACATCACAATCTCGTAGATGGTGCCCGGGGTTTAGATGGCATTGCTGTTGCTCTTGAACTGGAAAAGGGGCCGCGACACCATGGGCCAAGGGCAGAAGATGGTTGGATGCAGAAGGATTTGCATTCGGCTAGCATTAGGGAACCCGAAGTCTCAGTCGCACCTCTCGCAAGATGGGTCGAATAAGATGTTATTTGTCGCCAGAAATGGGTAAATCTATGACACCCTGAACCATACCTGGCGTTCGTATCTGTGGTCATCAACAGTTACAAAAGAATAGCTAGTAATCCAGTCAAGTAGCAGACTCCACCCCATCTGAAAATGCCTCACTTGCCATTCTGTCCACTTCTCGCTTGAGCAAGCTCAGGCGATGGCAACAAAGTGCTGTGAGCCATATGTCAACCTTTGTGCCTTCGTGTCACGTTCATGAGCCTGCTTCTCACTCCCAGTATGTTGTGCCGAGTGGTGCTTAGTCTTCGCGGATTGAGCCGAAACTGATCATATGACGGGGACCATCCATTTCCCACAGAAAAGCTTCGTAAATGAGAGCCATGTCAGTGACCCACAGGTCCTCCTGGTGAGCAGACGCGTCGATTGCCATGAACCCAAGCTGCAGTGTCTCGGCCTGCCCCCCCTCTCCATCGTCCGTTAGGAAATCGTGCATATTAAGGAAAACAAAAAAGATTTTCTCAAGATCGGTGCTCAATCTCAATTGCTTCGCTGCCTTAATCACACGGTGGCTTTCTTGCGGCGTATTCTCTGCCCACAGCTGCTGCGAAACTTTTGAGGCCCTGTACTGTGCCTCATCCGCAGAATCATCGACGATGAGCCGGACGAGGCTCGGGATGGAAGTGATAATGTGTCGGCCGTAACGTCCAAGGTCCAAAATGTCTGTCCTGTCTAAGACTTCTTTAGACAAGCACAGGTTTTGGATCGTAAGACGCCATTGTGAGAGTAGCGGAAGACGACCCTCAGCGTCTGGCTGAATAAATGGTCGCTTGCTGTATATTGTTCTTCCCAACAGCGTTGTGCTTTCGAACAAGAACGTGAGATCATCCAGGCAGATCAATCCACTCTGGCGCTGAAATGGACAACCCCACCAACTACATGAATCTCATCTGTTGCAACCTTCTTCATCTCGCCGCGGGATAGTCGGCAAGCAGAAAGGAGGCCTCGAAGTCCGACCGTCGCCTGCGACATGGTCTTGTCTGGCTTGAGATGCCATTCGAATCGCGGAGGCACATCGTTTGCATTTGTCTGATACCACTCAATCATTCCCTGGAAATTGTAGCGAATTGGTTTGCATTCGTTTGAAATCACCGCCTGGAATTTGTAGGGACGCGGTTTGGCTTCGTTTGAGACGGCTAGCTTCCACACCATGAGCTGTATTTCGACGGGCAGGTCCGAGAAGACAGTGAAGCCCCCTCCTGGTGTTTGTAAAGGCACATTGCCTCCGACCTGTCCAAATCAATTCTTAGACATACTGTGATGAATGGAAGCCGGAGACAGTGGGGAGACCTGAGCTAAGAACTTACAGATGAGGCCGAGTCAAGCTCTGATTGACCCGGGCGGTCGCTCCATAGGAACGGTAGGAGGGATCTCCAGAACATTGTCTAATCCAGTTTGTGGAAGAAGCGAGTGAAAGGCAGTTCAAGATGATGGGTTTTCAAAATAGACCGAAAGATGACCATAGACTACCTTTGCAGGCTTGGAAGCTTTCGCACGTAAAAAAGATCTTTACTGGTGCCCAAAGCTTTCAGAGGTATTCAGATTTTGATTGCGTTCTTCGGGCTCTGAGCTGCAATTTAAGCTAGGTTGATATGATCCAAGAGCCTGCTCCTGTGACTTGTCACGCTTCATTTTATTCACTGCTTTTCACATTGAGACTTCACTTGGAGACCAAGATATGCTGCTCTTGACCGTGCTCCATGGATTCACTTGATAGCGGTTTTTCAATTCGTTATCAATAGACATTCTAGTACATACCGCATTCACGGCTCCATCCAGTACGGCGACATCTGGAAAGCTTAAATCATGTCTTGTGATGTCTTGTGAATTCACTCCTTGATTGAAATGTCGTAACATCATAACAAGAGTGTCCAGATGCTACAGAAATCGTCCTGTCAACATTGGCACTTTGGGCCCCAGCCGGTTTTCCTGGAATTTCAGCACCGATAGAGTGAAAACTGCACAGGCCCTCGTTGCGGCACATAATCCTCGCATGTGTATTGTACATCCAGTCATCTTCTGGTCGGCCTTGTCCGTGATAAGCAATATCTTGCCTCTCAGAGTTTTCCCACTTGACAGTTAGTATATCATCAGCTGAACATTGTCTATTTACCAATGGCATTCGTTGTAGCTATCTACATCACGCTCCTGAGCTCCCGGTATCGATGTTGTTTGTCGAGGCAATCATGCTTCTGTGATTTTTCGCGGTTTGGCTTTGAAATGTTTTCATGTTGAAAACTACTCCTCTGCTCCTCCTTGACCTATGGAAGAAGCGAGAAGTCGTGATCATGAGCCCCCTGGAGATAATCATATCCCTCGTCCATCCACTCAACGCAGGGAACGAGGTCACCCCACTCGATCTTGTCCTGCACAGCTTTCGGTAACTTCATCTTCAATTCACTTCTATACCAACAAGCGAATTGAACCGTGACTAGCATCACCCTAGGTTCATCAGTCCGGTTCGGCATACCAGCGTGCCAGAGGCGAAAGTCCCGGATGATAAGTGACCCCTTTGGCAGGCTCGGCTGGACAGGAGGGCACGACTTCCTCCGCTGTCTCTGCAGACTCGGCCGGATCTGGTACGCTTCTGGGTCGAGCACATTGACATCCGTGTCGAATTGGGATCCCAGCCAGACCTCCGTCGAGCCGTTCTCCGGGGTGACGTCCACGAGATTGATATTGACGCAGTACCCAAACGGCACTTTAGGGAAATCAAAGTCCACGTCGATGTGTGGCGGCTGGCGACCTGTAGCTTTGAATGCTGTATTTGCGCTGTAGAAACGTAGTGTCGGGCGAGGGCCGAGCATACACTGGATCACGTCGGTAGCCCATGGGTTGGCGATGACGTCTTGGAAGATATAACCGTCCTTGAGGACAGGTTCCTGCTGAATGTTGCCTGTGTTCTGGCCGAAGTTGCGATGCGTGCTGGGCCTCGAGTACAAGTCTTTGGCTTCTGGTACCATTCGCGCATTCAGTTTGTCCAGGTGGTCGACGTTGACGGCGTTCTTGAGCACTACGATACCATCCCGGTGTAGCGCCTCGACGGCGGCTTGGAGGTTGTGCGAGCCTATCTTCTTGGTTCGAAGCTCTTCGGGAGTCAGCTCAATGAGCTTGACTTCAGATGGTGAGGAGCTCGACATTTTGGTCGTCACTTGAGGGCGAGCCCTAGAGGAAATACGATGCAAACTAGATCTTGTCGCCTTGTCGAGTGACGCCACCGGAGCTCTTATCAAGCGGGGACCCGGCTCCGGTCCCCACTCACGACTGGCCTTCCGTTCCGGCACGGTCAGTGTACCCGGCTTTGATGTGCGTTGTTGCCATATTGGTAGATTCCAAGTGGACTAGCGTAAATATAAATACCAGAGAACAGCAACATGAATTCATCCTTGCATCCCGGGTTCGCCTTCCCAATGATCTGCTGGCACTCTGTCTGGCGACTATACCTCGCCTCTTCTTTTCAAAGCATTTCTACCCAGTCATGGATGTCGCTCCATTGATGCACTAACTCTGCATATGAGGGCGGGACAAGTTCTCAGCGAATCCAGACATTCAAGTCTGCCGGAGTTCCCCAAGACACTTGAGATGTGAAGACGGCCAGCCACACTAGACTTGCCCACAACATAAGGATTCGCCAGCTTCACCACACCACCTTACCATGGGTAATACTCCGAGGTACAGATGGGCATGGTGACACGAAGATGACTACATGTCTAGCGAGGTCGGCCGACGGCAGTCAATTCTGCCCTATCTTGGATTGGCTTCGCTGGTGCGACCTTGCCCGCTTCGGAGTCCGGTCATACGAACGACCCCAACAAGGCGTGAGGGCAAACCTTAATTGACTTCAACCTCCAATCCATCCATCATCTCCTCGCGGTTGCCCAGACGAGGTCGACTCAAGCACCGATCTTATACCCCGCTCCGTACTTATATGTTGACGCTGATTATTGAGTGACTTCTTCTGGTCCAGCCGTCTTATTGACAACTACAGTCGTACATTCAATCCTCTTTGTCACTATGTCATCCTCTTCCCCGGCCCGTCCGCCCACGGAGAACCAAATCTCCTCGAACCCGGGTGTCCAGGTACAAGTCACGACTCACAACAGTGAGGGCAAAGCTGTAGTCAAGTCTACCACACCCGTGAAGGTATGCATATATCTCAACATTCTAATGGGAGCGGTGTCCCTGCCCGCGCCGCAGCCCACGACCCCATCCCCTGGCTTCCCATCCTGTCTCTCACTATGTATTGACTGAGGCATCACACAACGCCAGTGGGTGCGGTACGACGATGATCAGCTTGCCATGTCAGTCCTGTACACGACCCAGTTCCCTCCAGACCTCAACAACGAGGCCGACATCCAGCTCCACGAGGACCGCGTGGCCAAAGGCCCCGAGGCGACGGGGCTGGCGCTCAAGGGAGGCACAGTGCTGCGCTACGTGGAATTCTCACCGGGATACACGGTACGTCTAAATCCTACTGCCCCCCGCCCCCGGAACAAACCTAACAACCCGTCTTCTGACTCCTCTGTCCGTCAATAGTGCATGATGCACCGCACGCAGAGCCTAGACTACGGAATCGTCATGGAGGGCAGCGTGGTCGCGGTCCTGGACAGCGGCGAGGAGCACCCCATGAACAAGGGCGACATCATGGTCCAGCGGGCGACGATGCACGCGTGGAAGAACCCCAGCGAAACAGAGTGGGCGCGCATGCTCTTCTGCCTGCAGGATTGCAAGCCTCTGTTCGTTGGAGAGGAGAGGTTTAAGGAGGCTGGAGTCGGAGATAGTCTCCCGCCATCTGGGAATGATGATTAAATAGAACGAGATCACCCTACCACCAAATTGAGAGACTGATCAGTTCACATGAATTGGTATTTGGCATTTCGCGGTCACAAATCTCGTTCAAAAGCAGGCAGGGAAGGGACATCGTGATCAAAGTTCCACACAAATGGTATTGATTCGGAGGCTTCGAGCCGGAAATCAAATCTTGCTGCAAGACCGACACCGGCCCGGGTGAGTTCGGAATAAGTAATAAGAAATTATCAGCAAGAAATTAACAGCATGTCCATGGCATGTCTGGATGGCTCGCTCGACTCTGTGTGCATATCCATCCTCCCACGCTAATGTTGGCTATGTGGTGTTGGCAGGTTGTAAATCTGCGAAGAGTTGTACAAAAGGATCGTGGGAGTAAAAAAAGGGCCCGCTCTTGAATGTGTAAAAAAGAGAATAGAAAAGAGAGAAAAAAATGAATGTCGTCCAAAGATCTCATCTCGTAGCGCCAATCTTTTAGTCGTGACCAAAATTGAGGGTTGGTAATGTCCTGTCACCTCCCGAATTCATAAATAACGCCTGCACCTGCGATCTTGCCTACCAGGTGGTCCAGAGATTTCCTTTGGCGCCGGTGCGCAGCTCGTAAAGTTCTCTCAATATGCCTGACCAGGCACTGGCTTCCTTTGGACCGCTCCTTGTGGCGGACCTTGAGGAGGATTTTGCGGTGGACCATCAAGGCTGGGTCGGTATTCCTGCTGCATACCAGACGGTCCAGGAGGACTTGGTCGCCTGCTCGTGCCACTTGGGGATTGAGATCGCTGCCCACCCGGCGACTGAGGTCGCTGCCCTGCTGGTGACTGAGGTCGCTGCCCTGCTGGTGACTGAGGTCGTTGCCCTGCTGGTGACTGGGGGCGGGGTCCTGGTCCCATCTGCGGTCCCATGGGACGAGGAGGACCTGGACGGCCGGGAGGGCCCATCGGAGGGCCCATCGGCCGCATAGGTCCAGGGCCTCGAGCTCCAGGTGCAAGCGGATGAGGTGGACCGCCAGGAGGACCCATCGGTCGGTTACCGGGGGGATAATTAGGGCCGGGACCACGTTGACTGCTCACGGAAGGACCTCGTGGTCGTCCCTGGGGGTTGACTGGTGGTCCTCGGGGACCTTGCTGAGGTGGCCTGGGCTTGACAGGACGGGTAGACAGACAAGTTCGGGGGACAACTCCTTGTTGAGATCGATCAAGACGGATGCAGAGTGCCTGCGTCTCGTTAGCTTATATCGTCAATTGTATACTCCACGTGACTTACCCAGCCGTCGTCATACTCGTGTAACAGCCTCACGACTTGACCAACGCGCAGTTCCATCTCGTCATCCATAGTGGGCTTGAAGTCGAGCTGGACACGATGGACTGCTGAGTCTGCCGGTCCACCTGCCGCAGCTATCGCAGCAGCGCCAGCTGACGGTTCTTGCGCCTGGCCAGATTCTACCTCATGGACGCTGAACTCAGTGCCCGCCGGACTTGGGGGCACAGGTCCAAGCTTCGGTGGCAGAGTCAAGTCGAGGGGCGCCGGAGTATTGTCTTTTCGAACGGATTGCTTGCGTTGAAGGCCAGCAGCGGCTGCGCCGCCGGCAACTGCTCCGGCTGCCCCGGCAGCTGCCGCCGCCGATACAGAGGTAGCTTCGGGCACAGCAGGCGTTGGGGCCGTGTTACCAGCAGGATTCATTTGCAAAGGCGCAGGAACAGCACCAGCGGGAAGACCTTGTTGAGGGGGCTGCGGAGAGAGCGGCGGAGAGTGTGTGACAATCGGAGCAAGAACCGCAGAATCGGTCGTGATAGCAGAAGCTCGGGGAGCAGGTGCGAGGCCAGGTGTGAACGTGGGCGATGGAATCATGCTAGCCTCGCTGATCGGCGTCATAGGGCTGGCAGGGTGTCGAGGCGTAGCAGGAGGCTCTTCCTGAATTGTCTCCGCATGGTTTCCAAAGGGGTTATGCGCATTCTGGCTGTCACCGGTCATGGGCCGTTCCCAGGCACTGGCACCTGGAGCCCGCTTCATCGTCGGGCTGGTGACCATGGCGATATTCTGCTGGGGCCCCTTGCTGGCTCGCTTTTCCGCTGCGGCCGGAGCACCAAGGAACAGCTGGGTCATTGGCCGTAAACTGAGGCGAGGGGGTTTCGCTGGAGTCGGAGGGGCACGAGCATGATCTCCAAATGGGCCGTTGAGCTTCTCGTCATCGGCCAAACGTTGCTCCTCGCGCATCTGTTTCTTGCGCTTGGCGATCATAAAATACACCAAGCCAAGGACGACAAAGATACCAGCGAGGACACCAATCGCGATGCCAGCCTTCGTCGCAGCATCGCTTGAACCTGAACCTGAGCTGGACGAGCCCGACTGAGTGGCTGATGCGGCCGAGGCATCAGTGGCGCCGGCAGCCGTTGATGACTTCAAGGTGCTGGTCGAACTTGCGGTTTCGCTAGCCAAAGCCAGCGCGCCTCCGGAACTCGCCTCAGATACCGTGGACGCTATGATGGCAGTGGGCAGAGCCGAGGACGAATTATCATCGTCACTGGCGATCCTGGTGGTGGTGCTGCTGCTGCTGCTGCTGCTGCTCAAGGGTGTACCCTTGGCGACAGGAGCATCTACAGTCTGCCTCGCAGTGGTCTCAGCCGGTGTGGGAGTTGCTTCCTCGTCTCCCTCAGTCGCCGTTATCGTCTGCTGAACAACTTGGGTGATGGTCGCACGTTCAAGAGTCGTCAATACACCGCCGAGCCAGCCCTCTGGGGTCTTTGTCTCGTAGACTGTCACGACCCGCTTGCGTAGAGTTAACACGCCGCCTTCATCATTGCCGGGGGCGTTGTTCTGATCCAAGTCAAGATCCAAGTCGACATCCCTCGCATCATTGCGTCCCCGCCTATGGACATGACTGCGTTTGATAGACATGTTGATTAGTCGTTTGCCGATTCGGTTCCCTCGCAAACTCCAAACCAAACGCAATAAAGGCCGCACAATGAGGCCTATCTCATAAATACGGCTTGATTACTTGCTCCGCTGTGGCTCATTAGATGTTGGTACTTTGCTCGCTCCTGGTCCTGAAAAGTAAATGATTGTTTGTTGACTGGAGGCGTCGCGTGGAATTTGCGCAGAGGAATGGGTAGTGAAATTATCTTGCACAGGTGTGAACGGGCACAGTTGACGGGATCCGGGTCCAGGCAGGATTATGATTATCGACTTGGGCGCAACCGAAAATGAATGACAGCAGCCTGAGCTTGCTTGGGGTCCACGAGTGACGAGGTCGAGCCAGTTTCTGCGTGGCAAGGTAAGTGAAAGTATGCCAAATGAGGGAACGAAAGACAGTCAAGTCTTTCTCTCGCCAGCTTGCGAACAGACGGTGCGGGTTGGTGAGGCGCCGCTGGGAAGGAGTGGTCAAGCCTGCAGAGGAGGTCTAAAAAGAGAGACGGGAGGAAGGAAGGAGGGAAGGTAGAAAGAGGCTGTGCGTCGCAGCGTGTGAGTGAGTTAGTGTTGGTGAGCGTGAGCATGGGAGTGGGAGTGGGAGTGAGCAAGGGTGTGGGCGAGCGATGTGCACCTGCAGCTACGCCTGCACCTTGCCTTGCGCCTGCAGGCTTGGGTTGGGCCCGAGCTGGGCTGGGCTGGGGGAAGGGGGGCCCTTGGGAAGAGTTGGTGTGGGTCGGTCAAGGTTGGGAGGGACCACGGGCGCACAAGCTCTCTCTGTCTCTCCTCTCTCTCACTCTCTCGAGGTGACTGGGGACTGGGGACTGGGGTTCTAAGGTTTTCTTCCCAGGCAACACGATTTACCGGTGCCCAGGATGCAGCTTGCTGACAATGGACGCTCATCGTGTCGACCGGGCACTTTGGCACTACCTAGCCATTGTCATGTTGTTTCGTGTCGTACCGTTGGCTAGAACTAAACTGCTCTGGGCCACGGCGCAGATCTACACTACTCTGTAAAACGGGCGATTTTAGTCCAGGGGTCTGCGTTCGTCTCGTTCCTTATTTGCCGGGCCGAAGGGCGAACGCAGCAGGCGGTGGCCCAAGAAAGTCCCGAGGGACGCCTCTCTTTGTTTGAATCCTTGCAGGCTCCCACTAAACATCCATTCTCCTAGGGAGGCGTCGTCATCAGCACTGATCGGTTTAGGCCTTGAGGGCGGGCATCTGCGGCCTCCTCGGGAGATCAGATCAACAGATCAAAATGACGAGACCTCCCTAAGGCTGGCGGGCTACCACGGTACGTGGGTGCGCGCCGGTAGGTGCTCGAGTCTCGAGGCGAGGCGAGGTGAGGTGAGGTCGACTCAGAACAAACGTGGCAGGCGTGGGCACAGGGCACAGGGCACAGGGCAGTGAGTGGATCGACATTCACCCATGGCCCAAGGGTTGCCAGGACCAGGGCAATTGCCCGGGGCCTTATTACCGCACGCGCCAAGCTCCTTCCATTCCTTCCCATGTCCTCGCTGACCCGCCCCACTCTCCCAGGCACGCCCTGCCGCCCATTGGCTGGGGCCTTCCAGCCCCGTCACGCACTTGCCCGAAGCGAGATTTGTTTCCAGCAGGGGCCACATCCTGCCTCCGGCTTTGATTGGCAGGCTGGGGTAATTTTTGGAAGCTGCAGGCCGGCTCCCTGTGCCTCGCACTTGGCCTGTTCATCTGGTCTTTGCCGTTTCTCGGCTTCTCTGCTGGCACCTGGCACCTGGCACCTGGCTTTTTCTCGTTGGTGAAAGTTTAACACTGATCTCCCGAGTGGATTCCCATTTGAGGACGCAAATCACACCCTCGCAATTTTCATGCGAAACGGGCTGAATTGGCTTCCGAACATGCCTCTGCATTGTCGCATCGTTGCGATGTAATCTGACAGAATATGACAACGATGCTCTCGTGTCCATCTTCTGGGGCTATTCGGGGGGTCGACAAACGACACAGGAACTAAATGTTGGCCAGCTTCAGCCTCATGCAGCATTCCTGTTGACGTGGTACCCTACTAGCCTTCCCATTCACCAGTCTGTCGATCCGTCCTCCGCCGTCTCAGTCCCAGACCCCACGACCAGCAGCAGCAGCCGCCCTTTAGCCAGCCTTGGGACCCGTCGATCCTCATCAGCACCAGTCTCGCCATCGCCGCCCCCGCCCGCCTGATGGTGAGATTGGCCAAAGCCACTGAGATCGCTCACTTCGCACAAGGGCTGGCTCCGTTCCGCCCACACAGCTTGCGCGGAAATCTCCTCTCCCCCCCAGCCGATAACAACGCCATTCGCGCTCATGCCGATGAGCCGTTTGATTCCAGTCATGCGACAGGTGACGAGCCACCTGCCCGCACCGCAAATGAAGCAATCTTTATCTCGATTTCGTCGGTCCACACGGGGATTTTTCACCGCACTGACTGTGGGGTCTCGCTACAATTCGCTGCGTACCATCGTAGACTCTAGTGGGGGCCGAGCCACCGTGACAGCGCGGGTCCCCCGGGAGAGTCGTGTCATGGCCCCGGACGTGGAGCTAATACTGCTAGCAGTCTCTCTCTCGTGGCGGTTTCTGACTGCCCTCATCAGTGTCTGCAGAGGAGGGTCTCCTGGTCACAGCGTCGAAGCTACGTTTCACAACAGCGGTAACTTATTTCTCGCTGGCGGGCCCTTTCATTCCACGTGATGCTGTTTCCGCTTCAGGCTATTTGATGCGGGCAGAGATAAGATATCATAGAACTGTCTCTATGATATTATGGCGGGTTCTACAACCCCTGCCATCACTATCGATGCAAATTTTCCTATCCTAACGCCTGGCAAATGCAATTCTTGAAGCTCATGGAGAACCCCACTGTTGGCTCCCTCATCTTCTACAACAGGATTTGGACCATCCGGTCTTTCCTAGGAGGCTGGCTCGCTCGAATCCAGGTCCACATCCAAATCTGAGTCTGGATCTTGGCCCGCATCCTGAGTTTCTTTCGAGGCGTTATAGGCGGCTAACAAGATACTCATCTGCATCAACTGCTGGGCATTCTATCCCCAGCGTTGCTGTTGATTGTTCTGAGCCTGCCCGCCGTAGTAGTTGGGGTACTGGTAATTTTGCGCCGAAGCCGGAGGGGTTGGGCCACTGCTGGGTGGGTATTGCCCAGGCACGCTGTACCCTCCAGCTGGTGGCATATAACTCGCGTGCTGCGGTGGTCGTTGCTGCTGCGGCGGCGACCAGTTTGGCGGAGGGGCGGGAGGGAAGGGGAATGGGTTGCCTTGGGCCGGGCTCCAGCTTGGCATCGGGTAACTAGGAGCTGGGGCAGCAGGAGTAGTGGAAGATGCAGGCGCTCCTCCGAACTGGGGCAGTGGCGGTATTGGGAATGGCCACTGGCCTGGTGCAGGTGCTGGGACCACAGGGAAGGGGGGCGGCGGTTGGTGAGGGTTCGGAGGTTGTGGGTGTGGCGGTTGCTGTGGACGACTGTTGTGCCCTTGGCCACCTCCCCGGCCTCGTCCTTGGAAACCTCTTCCTCGGCCACGGCCTCTAGAATCTCCACGCCGGCCACCGTGCTGGCCTCCCCTGTTGCCGCCATTCATGGTCGGGAAAGCCGGCACTCCTGGGGGTGGCGGAGGTGGCAGGCCCATGCCAAAGTTCGAGGGCCGCGGTAGCTTGTGATATGAGCCATCTTCATCCTCACCGTAGTTGAGGTTCGAATCGCCCACGGTAGAAGGTGCGTGCGAGCCACGGTCATCGCCCCTATTGGTTTTGCCCTTGCCGCCACGCTTGCGGTTCTTCTTCTCCCTTTTGTGAGCTTGCTCTTGCTCGTCGTCTGAGTACTCCATCTCGTCTGGTCCGACTTCCTCATCGTGTAGATTACTGGCGTCAGATCCCTTTTCTTGCCTGAGCTGTGAAGGGAAAACGAAATTTGCGTGGGACTTGGAGTACCAGACCTGGGCACCTCTCTCCAGGCTGGCTCCCTTCGCTTCGTCCTCTGAACGAAACTTGAGAATGTACATAGGTTTGTGCACAGTTGCGATGGTGTCATGGATGACTCCAAGCACGGTGCGATCCTCTTTGCATAGGACCGAGCCGCGGTCGAGAATTGTGACAGCAGCCCCAACTTGAAGTGCCTCGATGACGGCTTGAGTGCCCTCAACGATATGTTGGACGGTTCCAAGAGGGGCAATGACATCTTCTGGGCTCAGGTTGATATGGGGTGTTGGTTCAGGCTCATCGGGGAGCTCATTCTTAGTGCGCACCCCGGCGGCCTGTTTCGCAGCCCTCGTACCGTCCATTTCATCATCGCTTCCACCGTCTGCTTCCATTAGCAACCGTGCCGTCTCCTCAACACCAAGCAGCTTAGATTCGTCTACGTCTGAGTCGTCGTCGTCGTCGTCGTCGTCGGAGCTGTCGTCGGAACTTGAGGATTCATAGGGTGAGGAGTCCACCTCCCACTCAGGATTAGCATCGGCTGCGCCCTCAGCCAGCGTCGTGTTGGCAGGTTCGGTATGCCCGTTGCTGAGAGCCTCGGGGCCGGCTTTCTCTTCATCTTGCTCCTCAGTCTTTGATGCTGGGCCAAGAAGTCCGTCGAGCGCAGCTTCAAGTGCGTGCGTAACACTAGGCGAGGCGGGTGCTGATTCACCTTCCACTTTTGTTGAGTGTACCTGGAGATCCTCATCTGGGCCTTTCACAGGTGTTTCCTGCGTCTGTGGACCTGGTTTTGCTTCGTTGTTGCTTGCCGGAGCTTCGCCCTCAGCAGAGTGATGATCTTCCATCTTCTCGTCCTCTTTCGCGGCCACCCCGCTCTCCTGCTGGACAGTAGTCGAGTTGAGCGGCCTTGACTCCGAGCCATCCATGACTGTATCCACTTTCTCAACAGTTTGCTCTTGTTCTTGTGCGACTGGCTCATGGCCCTCAGTCATCTCTGTGTCGGTGCTCTCTTGGACAATTGTGGTGGCGCTTGGCTTTTCGGGTTCGACGCTCGATGTTGTCGCCGTGTTGTCTGTCTGTAGCTGGCCGAGGCCAGGGATGTTGAATGGTTGATCCATAGTGACCCTGGTTCCAACAGAGGTGGCATGCAGTGTGGGACGAGAAAATCTGCCCAGGTGTGCTCTAGTGGTGATTTTCGAGTCCCTTTGTTGGATTCAGCACTCGACACAGGGAGCGACCTCGCACTTATAGCTTGGTGGCAATGTCATTCAATCCTGCGCCCGGTGGAGGATAGAGGACATCAGAAAGATTGAAAAATAGCAGGACAAGCAGGACCGAGGTTTGAGTGTGGGACGGGAAGAAAAAAAAAGAACCAAAGCTCAATCTCGAACTTTTCGGTTATCTTTTTTCTGGGTCCTTATCGATAAAGCAAGGTGGGATGGGATGGGACTTAATGGGATTGAGGTGACGTCTGTTGGTCATGCAGCTAATTGGGTGGGCCCGCTGTAGGTACACCATCAGGTACCCACAGTCAGTGCATCCCGTCCCGACAAAGCTCTCAACAGCACAGATTCACAACCTCGCCACAATCACTACCCACCGTCTGGTGTCACACCTCAGCTGTACCTGTATTGTCACTGTTTTTCTGCCAAGTACAAGATGCCTCCCAAGGCCGCCCAAAGGAGGGAATTTGTCCATCCTGAGGCTTCACATGCTCGAAAAATGTAGGTCACTATGGACCAAGCTTTGGCTGAGGTGTCCTGAGTGGTGTGGTGCAACGCCAGCGCTGACAGACAGCTCCTCTAGAAAACCAAGCCTTTTTGCAGTAGAACCCATCCACGTGTTCTACCTATTCTTAGCAGCCAACTTGGTCTCGGCTCTATTTAATCCAATCCAAGACTGCGATGAGACCTTCAACTTCTTGGAACCCACCCACTATCTAACTCATGGCTACGGCCTGCAAACATGGGAATGGTCACCTACCTATGGCATTAGGGACTGGCTCTATGTCCTCCCTCATGCTGTAGTTGCGGGCTTGAGGCGCTTGCTGCCACAAGCCACGAAGGTGAGATGCTTCAATCTAGCAAATCGTATGTGATCAATACTGACAATCTTGGGATAGCTCGGGGGATTCTACTTCATACGTTACGCCCTCGCCTTGGCTTGTGCACTATGCCAAACTCTGCTTTACCGTGTGATCAGTCTCACGGTTCATCCCAGAATCGGCGTCTTCTTCGCACTGGCATTGGTGCTTAGTCCTGGAAACTTCCATGCAAGTACTGCATATCTTCCTTCAAGCTTCACCATGTATACAGGCATGTTGGGAGCTGCCGCCTTCATGGACTGGACAGGAGGGCTCAAAACGGCCGCGGGTATAGCCTGGTTTGCGGCTGGCGGTATTATCGGCTGGCCTTTTGCCATGGCTCTTGCGGCTCCATTCCTCTTTGAGGAGGCTCTGCTTGCCGTAGCCGCCCTTGGTAATCTGGACCAGTTCTTGGTCGCAGTGCGACGGGTCAGTCGAGGTGTTCTTGCCGCGGTCGGTATTCTTGTGAGTATCCCTAGGTGAATCAGCCAATATCTGTCTAACCACGCTAGGCCGTCGATTCATTGGTCAACTCTTATTTCTATAGAGTGTGGGGCATCGTTGTCTCATGGAACATTGTCAAGTACAACGTCTTCTCTAAAGGCGGCGGCCCCGAGCTATATGGGACTGAGCCCTGGACATTCTACTTCAAAAACCTGGCGCTCAACTTCAACTTGTGGTTCTTGTTGGCTTTAGTCGCATTGCCGCTCTTTCTCCTCCAAAAGATCATCGCTCCCAGTGGCCGCGCGTTTTCTTCCTCGCTGCGGGCTATCGTCTTCCTCTCGCCATTCTACCTTTGGTTCACCATCTTCACCCTGCAACCTCACAAGGAAGAGCGCTTCATGTACCCTGCCTACCCCTTCCTGGCCCTCAACGCGGCTGTATCAGCTCACATTATTCTCACTGCTGTCGGCCACGTCAGCAAGAACACGGCGATTGGCAAAATTCCTGCATCGGTCAGACTTGTCTTCACCGTGGTCCTCCCTTTCTTGCTTGTTGTATCCTTGTACCTCCTGCGAGTCATTGGTATCTACTCAGCGTATGGCGCACCATTGTCGCTTTACGATCCTCTCGGTGCTGGCACTCTGGGTGGAGACGCTGACCTCGTCGGTGGCCGGGGCGACTTTGTGTGTTTCGGAAAAGAGTGGTATCGCTTCCCCTCTTCTTTCTTCCTGCCGCGAGACATGGAGGCCAAATTCATCCAATCTGAGTTTCGAGGTCTCCTTCCTGGAGAATTCAAGAAAAGCAGTCTGCTCGAAGGCTTCAGCGGCACCTATGTGCTTCCCAGCGGCATGAACGACCAAAACAAGGAAGACCCGGGCAAGTACACCAGCATCGAGCAATGCAAGTTCCTTGTGGATACCCACTACCCCTTGAATACAGAGAAGGGTATAGGTTTGCCTCCCAATGAACCCGACTACATCGCCGATACAGCGAATTGGGAGGTAGTGAAGTGCATACCTTTCCTGGATGCTGGAAACACTGCTCTTGTGCCTAGGATGATATGGATCCCTAGCTGGAGTTGGATTCCGGAAAAGTACCAAAGGAAGTGGGGCGAGCATTGCTTGCTCCAGAAGCGAGCGTAGTTTGGAAAATGTCAAAGCTACATGTGCAAACAAAAGTTTTCTTGGAGACATCGAGACAGATAGAGAGCCGATTAGGCAGGCAAGCACATTGAAGAATACTACCAAGAAACACAGTCAATTTCTTGTTCATGATCAAATTTCTGGATCAGCCCGTGGATGCAGTATAGCTCAGACCGAGACAATGTAAGAAAAGGACAAAGCCGTGCCGAAAAATTACAACACTGGCCCGATGTCTCTATCATTCAATTATTCGCCGTTGCACCATTGTAATAGTGAATCTACAAATTAGGATCATTAGTTGGACAGCCCGCTGGCATGTCAAATTGAGTTTACTCGTCAGAGTGTAACTCACCGTCTGGTCTGCACACCCTGCGGGTGTCTGATAAGCGTAGGCCCCAGTGTTGATGAATAGTGCTTGATTCTGGCACACCAACCAGGCTGCTACATTCTGCCTCTGCAGGCCAGGCGCAGACCAGGTGACCGCGTCTCCCTGAAACGCGAACGTCCCGAAGCTGTTCTGAGTCGTGTTGAAGGACGTCGCCAAGGTCCTGGGGGGGCTCGCCAGGTCCGCCGGCTTCTCAACGTGCAGGTACAGAGTGCCGGTGTAATCGACTAGCTGCCCGTTAACGATATTGTACTGGCCGGCTGTGGTGTAATCATTGAGGGTGGCGGTGCCGGCCTGATTGGCTGGGATGGTCTGTAAATATTTGTGGTAATTGGGCGATGCGACTGCCCGGATCCAGTATTGTCCTGGTTGGAGTGTCGTTGGTGTTGGAGCCCGGGGCTGAACTCGGTCAGGCTGTGGAGCGGCGCTCGCTGAAGCCAGCAGGCCAAAGGAGAGCATAGTCTTGAACAGCATGATTGTTAAGTGCTTGCTCGTAGATAGTACTGTCCTAGCAACTGCAAATTAGCGAGATTGTCGAATTTTCTTTTCGTTGCGTCAAAATTGCGGATAATGAGTCTTATAATCAAGACAAAGCTGGGGTTCTCTTCGGGGGAAGACGCTCCGAAAATTTGTACCTGGCCCAGAGTAAGACATGTTAATTAACGTCAAGCAATGGGAAGATCCGCGGCTCTTCACTGCGGCCCGAAACGCCCGTCATTTAGACCTCACCTCTATTAAATCAAGTAGTAAGTGCTCTAAGGAAACGTCGTTGTGTTCCGAGGTCCCAAAGTCTTCGGACAGCCCGATCGGTGGCGTTACTGTCCAAAGTCTATCGATACACACAATATTTAACCAAGGCACTATTTGAATAATATGGAAGGTAAACTCATCCACCGCTAAGCAAGATATCACTGTTTCCCCTTCTCGTAGCCCGCTCGCTTGGAATAATTTTCTCAAACTTGTTCGACGGAACCGCCACTCGGGTAACAATCACGTCTCCACAGACTGATCATTCGAGCTGTTAATAAAGCGCAGCTGATTAATGCATTGAATCGATTGCCTTACGCAACCATATCAGATTATTCTGCCACCTTGGGTGACTATCCAACACGGCGGTCATCACCCAGCACTGCCACGATCTATTAGCTCCTAAAACTTGCTGATCTCGTTCGAGAAGTCTTCTGATATCAAATCAATAATTGTAGACGATTGAAACAAAAGCTCGCGGCTGGTGGGTTTATAAGGATATTGAGCCATGACTTGGACCGCAATCTGGATGCGTTTGCTTTGAATGTAATAATTCTCCTTACAGCTCGATCCTGCCCGTAACGTTGGTACCAAAGTTTTGGTGTACACAGTCCGAATATATGTGTTTCAGTTCTTTGGATAAGTCGGGCTTCGCAACAGGACTGTAGTATCAAGAGACAAAAGACTTGATGTGGATGGAGGCTTGCGCGTAAGGCCTTTCTCCTCACGTCTTTGGTCACACAACGTTGAACAAGATGCGCAGTTTGCGGAACATCCTACAAGATTAAGGATTAGAATACAATCGATGACGCATATCCAAATCGTTTCGAGTGTTTCCACTCCTACTCGAGATACGGTGGGGACCAAATTACCCAGCTGGACCAACTGTGATGCTTCTGCGAGAAGCTCGCTGATGTTAGCACCTCAGAGCTTCCAACACTTCGGAAAGAAATTTTAGATGAAACTTGCTTGACTTTTTCCAAAAGACGTCAGCTGGATACAGAATTGGCAAGCTTGGATTCACACTCAAGCATTTTGTGAAGGTGAAGTTCAATCACCACTCATCAGGGACTGACCTAAGCCAAATAGAGCAATCCAAATACTTGGTTGTTCTATGGCCTCGCTACATCTTGCGACAACAAATTTGATCAAAAGCTTGTGCAAGTCACCCACATTCAAAGGCATCTCCCAAAGCTACTGCTCGTGGAAATTCTGCCCACAAAAGCTCTACGCGTCAACTAACACCCACGCGTCAAATATCCTTCAGGAGCCGTCACAATCAACCAGATGCAAAAACCTTTGATCTCTCCAGCAATGATGCTCCTAATGGTTCTTTTGTCCACGATCGCTGTGGTAGCCTCTCTCGGCCTGCCTGCGACAAACGCAGCAATGTCGTCCAGCTCACCATACCCATTCCCCCTCGAACAGATCGACGCCAACACCGCCAGTCCCAACTCCATCACCGTTCGCGGAAACGAGATGAAAGTTGGTTCGCCGTGCCACGGAGTTGAAGGACAATGGTACTGCATGACCCAGACTTTCCAACGATGCGCCTCGGGACAGTGGAGTGTGGTGATGGACACCTCTTGGGGCACTGTTTGCGAGCCTGCCGGTTTCAGTTACGACTTCCAGCCCGCCTTCGCAAGCTGGTTCCCACCAGCGGATTCGACGCAGACAATTACTTGCATAGCGACAGCTACGGCAACAGGTGGTCCGACGGTCGCGCCAGGAACGGGCACTTCTGATGCAGCAAGGGCTGGAAAAGCAGCACCACGATCCGCAGCTCGCGCGCTAGTCTTTGGCCTGGCGAGTGCTATTTCTTGGTTGCTGGTAATGTGAGAAAGAAGAAACGGTGCTGTCGCAGAGAAGTCGGGTCTCATTAGATACGGGCAGATGATCTGGGACGCTTCGACTTAAGCAGGACGCTTTCAGGCATGACAGGAAGCTACGAAGGGCAACGGATCCGAACAGTTTTCTTTCAGTCTACAAGGTTTAGAGTGACCTGATCGAATGCCTAATGTGGAATGAGGGTATTTGAAAATCTTTGAAAGACGAGACTTTCGAGAGATTTCATTATGAAAAGGCGTGGAACTTTGTGACTTACTTACCTTGTCCGTGATGATAGGATTGCTATTCTTGCGGTATGAAATTGCTCCGATTGTGCTGTGTAACAATTATGTCGTCTTCCACACTAAATGCCTTGCGGCAATAAAAACAATCACTGGAGAGACCATAGGTCTGCCGGAATGATTATGGGATAGGAAATCTTATTATGTACTACATGAGACCGTCTATTTACTGCAGCCCATATGGCAGTGTGCACCACTTTCTGGGTACTAAGCACTGCCACTCGCCACAGCACTCAGATCTGTATCCAGCACGGCCACGCTCAACTGTGGCAGGCTGAACTCAAACGCTCCACTCGCGCCCGAGGTCAGCTCCTGTGTCGTGGTGTTCACAATGTTCACACCAGTCAATGGATCGTTGTACGCAAAAGGATCGTCGATACTGTTTGTCAACACGGTCAGCGATGCCTTGGTACCCGGTGCAACGCCCTCGAACTGCACGGATACAGGAATATCGCTGCCATCCGTGGTGTTGTACACGGCGCCTTTCCACACGAGTGCGCCATTCCTAGCTTCATCCGTGCCGGCACCCCAGTAAAGAGGTCCATAGGTTGAATTGCTCGTGGTGGGCAGTGTGTCGCTGATGGGATGGTGCGCGAAGAGACTCCAACAGTACCACGTCACGGCACGGGTAGTCTGCTTCGGGTCCGCAGTGAACTGGATGAGCGTAATTGGCCATTGGAATCTGTTCTCGTTCTTGAGCACGGGGGCGTAGAAGGTGCCCGGAATTCGATCCGAATTGCGCTCGTACCCAAGCAGAGAGATGGCTTCGCCGACTGCACCGATCCACCATGGGTATTTGTACAGCGGACCATTCCAGCGGGGAGGCGTGGCACCATTCACGTGGGTTGCGGCTACCTCGCCAACGATGTGGCCGATGTCGTTGTCGAAACGGTCAAACTCGAACACAAGCTCATCTGGCTCGCGATATGGGTGGTAGTCCCCGATGGCACCGGGAGTCTCGGTGAAGTTAAGCCCTTCCTCGAGGTTTGGCCCCACAGTTTCGCCCTCGGGTGCTGGATCGCTCGTAGCAGCGCTAGCGATGACCTGGATCTCGGGATACGCGGCCGTGATGGCATCGAAAAACAGCTTGAAACGGTACTCCTTGTATGACTCCCACCCGCCGGGATATCCAGCTAGCCAGTCCTCGTTGCCTACCTCCACATAGTTGAGTTCAAAGGGCTCGGGATGACCGAGCTCTGCACGGCGCGCGCCCCAGGTTGAGTCTGCTGGCCCACGCACGAACTCGATCTCGTTTAGAGCATCATCGATGAAAGGCTGTAGGTCTTGTTCAGGCGTGACATCCCCATTGAGTGCCAGGCCGGCCCAGACGCCGAGCACTAAAGACATATCAGTATGAGTCTGTGTAATTTCATCTTATGTCCGGCGCAGCAAAGTCTTACCTATTTGTAGGCCCATGTCCTCAGCCCATTCGAGATATTCCAAAAGACCAAGACCATGTGTTTGTTGATATCCCCACACACCTTGGAAGCCAGGACGGTCCTTAAGCGGACCTAGAGAATCTTTCCAGTCCCAATGGGTACCATTCGTGAGGCCTTCGAGCATGTTGCCACCCGGAAAGCGTAGGAAGGTCTACGTTCATTAGAGCTAAGGACAGCAGAAAGGAAGGGAGGAAGTGGTGACCTACAGGGTTCAAGTCCGCAAGAGCTTGTGCAATGTCGACTCGCAGCCCATTCTTCCTGTCCTTATACGTCGGCGGGAAGAGACTGATAAGGTTGAAGTCCAGTGCACCGCTTTGCACAGAATCCACGTCAAAAGTGATCGAGAAGGTGTTGTTGCTGCTTGGAGCATCACTCTCGGGCACAATCTCGAACTCGTGTTCAGTCCACTCATTTTCGACGGATTTGGACGCAACCTCAACTGATCCGAAAACATCATCTGTCAGGTTGGCCCTCAGTGATGCAGTGAAGGAGCCGTTGTAGGCTCCCTTAACCCAAAAGGATCCCGTGTACTTTTGCTGACTGACAGCAATTCCCCAGTACCCATCGTTCTTGAAGCCGATTTTGCCCGTGCTGTTGCTGCCCGCCGCAACCCTCAGAGATGCCGGCAAAGCCTCTGAGAGAGGGGTGTCCAAGAACTCGATGCTGAAGTTTGCGCCATTGACAGGGAAGTAGTGTGCCGTGGAGACCGGAAACTCAGGGCTGTACTGGAACGCACGATTCTGGATAAGCTCGGCATATATGCCACCATCACCGGAGTTGTTGATATCCTGAGTCAGTGTTAGAAGAAGCCCAACAGCCGTATGCGCGAGGAACTCACCTCGTGCAGAAAGCCGTATCCATACGGATGTCCGAACTTCCCGGTCACATTGCCTCCCGAGGATTGAACAAGCACATCAACAGCAACTGCAGAAGTAATGCAGCTAGCAGCGGCAAGAGCCCGCTTGAAGAAAACCATTTTGCCACACGAATTGGCCGCTGACAATAGGGGCTGGCCTCAACACCATACATTGTGTTACTTGTCGTTCTCTAAGGTCTTTATATATATCATCTTGTTCTTGTCTTTCAGTATTTACTCAGCACCCTGGCTGCAGCTTGTCCGTCAACTGGTGCGCGTAGATGTGATCTCCACAGGTTCGGGCTTTCTTTGAGGCGCGGCGGGTAACGCGAAGAGCTGCAGGCATTACTTTCCAAGCGTGGATGTATGCCAAGCTTACGAGTGTGTGTGTTGTCAGCCATTGGTGGGAGTCGGGCATGCTTGGGTCATAGACATTCTTGGGTGTTAGTGCCAATTTCTCAAGCGGAGAAATTGCTGCGGGCTGTTTGTTCCTGAGGGCCTCGTCAAGCATTATAATAGTGCAGACCAGGCGTTGTGCCCCGGCCTTTGAACGGCCGAGTTGTTGTGCCTGCATGCTTGATTTCGGGCGACAGGGGATAGACCGACCGATGGCGGAGAACCCTGTCTACAGAATTGCGTCAGGCGTACCCCCTGCCATCTTGTAATAAGCAATCTCACGATGCAGGTACTCCATCGGCTCACTATACTTTCGCCAAGACAACGGCGCCGGGTGAATATACTACCCCCCGCATATTGCTGCAATATGTGCGCAGGCCGCCCACAGGTTCGACCAGCGCGTCGGTAAGCTCTCTCTTTCACCTTCAAACATTGTACGTTACACCATAAAAGTGGCTATGGTTGTAAACAGGCAGTTCTTGGAAAACTAGACCACTAATTACTGCTGCTTCCCGCATGTGACGAGAATTTCCTGCCGAGACGAAGCGAATGTTGGAAAGCAGAGACAAAAGAAAGACTCCCTCCCTCGGCATTTCACTTTGCGTGATTCGTAATTTAGTATTTTCAGAAGGTCCTAGATCAGATGTCTGGCGCAAACTCCTGTCATCAGGCATCCGAGCGTTCCGTTCAGCCCTTGGCTCCCTTGATGTACTTTCTTTCTCACCAGCAAAGTGGCAAGAATGATGGCAAACATTGTCTAGGGACTGAAAATGTGTTTTGGAATGCAATTCGAGTGGGGCGGTATTCGTGTTGGTAACATAGTCATCATGTCTACTTTAAATAGATCGTGCGCCTGGACGTTGCTAAAGACCTACTCTCGTCCGAATACACCTCTCCTTCCATAATTCCGTGGGCGTAGCAACATCCCACAAAGTCAAATTCATCACTTTTTCCTTCTTCATTTGACCTGATCGTGAATGGCATTCGTCCTCCATCAAAAACCCAAACCTCATCCCCGGGCGCAGTTTCTAGGTGTCCCAGGCCCATCATTCCGCTTGTCGTGACGAAAAACACCTGATTAGAGACATATTTGTCCCATAAAGATAGATCGCCAACATATCCTTGTCCTGTCCTAATGAATTCTGAGATCATTTGCAGATCCTCTGCAGTTGGTGTTCTTACAACCCATAACTCACCGTTGCGGATCCGGTCACCTACCAAGAGTCTGTAGAAGGCCTCTTCAAATTTCTCCCGCGATAGCCCATCCTTCAGCGTGTCGTTTTGGATCCGAGCCATTTCCATCCATGTTTGCAGAGCCTCAACAACTTTGTCATCCGGGCAGTTACCCAGCAGGGTTGTTGAGCTTGTCAGCTCGATAGTGTCAACCATGACGCCTCTCAGGCCCAGTTTACTCGCACGATGATCCCCAGACACTTCAGCAGCATCCAGAAGAGCTTTCCTATCAAGCTCTCGACCGGCACAAGCATTATATGTGTCGTATCCCCAATATCGATAGAACGTGTCAACCATGTACGGTATCTCACAGTCCATGTCAATTGCCCACCGCGCTACGCCCTCCGTTCCCAGCCCCTTCGGCGCCCGCGGTTCATTACACAGGGGCATTAACCCTTCGTCGTCCAAGATCATATCCAACGTGAAGGAGTTGTACACCTGCACCGCGGTCGTCTCATAGTTACACCGGTCCGTATGCGGCAGCTCCATGCCTTCTGGCAGCAAGCCCAGCAGGCCGAAAATTTTGTCTCTCTGATCAGTGGCCTTTCTGCCTCTCCATTTCATGGCTGTGAGGATCGGGGGATCGCGTTGCCCGTGTGCGATGTTGATCCAAATAACATTACAGAATAGCCAGCCCATCACTCTGTCGATATTGGCTGTAGGATTGTACCAGCGAAGTTGCAAAAGGGCGTCTGGTGCGCCGGTGCCAGTCCAGACGCGGCTGCACTTGGCAAGTGTATCCCAGGGTATGTGGAGCGGACCCCAGAGGAACGTCTTGTGGGATGGTAGAATAACCTCTTGGACAGTCCATATACGTTTCCACCACTCGTGCTCATCTACACCAATGGACGCCAAGGCTCTGACTGGGCCCTGGGCCAAGGATGCAGACTCGATGCAAGGAGGGACAGAGAGTTCGGGATTGATCATCCAGTTAAGGATACCGATTGCTGCTTCTGCGTCTGCAAGAGAGACGTTTGCATCGATCTCGTCCATCCAGATGAGACATTGGCTGCAGTTGGAGTAGATCTCGCGCATCAGACGTACTTGCATAGCCTTTTCTTCCATGTCCTCTTGGTCGATACAAAGCTGATCGATCCAGACAGACCTGACTTCATTCGCAAGTCGCAAGCGGCGCAGGACAGCATATAGATTGGCCGTAACAAGGGTCGACTTGTCGGCTACGGTGATAGAGATCGTGCTGTCGGGGTCGCCCCAGCGGTATGATATAGCCTCGTAGATTGGCTTATCAGCGAGGGCCTCGACGTGGATGTCGCATCGAATAGGCCCATCCACTCCATCACTGCCGGATGGGAGAATGTCTAGGATCCGTATCTTGTCGGCAAGAAACATTTTGTTATCCGCGATGGATAATGCTGTAGGCACACTACTATGCCTTCGGTGAATTCTTGCAAGCGAATTTTCCTCGTCGGTTGACGCGTGGTTGAATTGACAAGGATTGGAGCTGACTGCATATGTAGCGCGCTGTCTTCCCACTTGGCTCCTGTCAGTATGGGGTGGGTAACATGGTAGACTAGTAGCTGGCAGGGGATACCCTAAACCCATATCTTGATCCAAATCTCGAAGAAGCGGAATATTGATTCTCTGGCCGTGTGTTTCCAACCAAGTTTCCATATATTTTCTCTTTAGGCACTGATCTCTACAACACGAACTTCTGAACTAGGCACACAGAGGGCTGGGCTTTAAGAGATAGCGATTTGGAGGCCGCATTGCGGTTTTGATGCCGATTCAATTCATTCTTAGCGTGGATTTTATACATGCTTCACCTCCTGTCACTGTTAGTGAACAGACAATACCGCATCCAGTATAAAGTGCAGACACAAATTAGTAGGCGCAGGTCTCCTCTCAAGTAGATCTCCGTACAAAAGTCATAGCACCTCCCCAATTGGCCATCCGTTCACAGTTGTCACATTCGAGACTTCATTCTTGCTCTCGAACCTGAGTGTGAAGTCTAAAAGTCTGCATGCAGTCGGTTGGTTGCCACTGGGTGTGGAGAAATTGAGATTTGGATGCTCGCAGAACAGGCATATAGCTCACAGGGGCATGAAAAGTCGACATCAACAGCACTGCCTGCACATCAGACATCTAGCCCTTCAAAAATGACCTCCTGTGGGATAGTCACTTGTGGTATAAGACAGCCTCCTATGGGGGAGTACAATCTGCGGTGGAACAGTCACACAACAATCAAGAAATAACCTATAAATAGTTAGAGTTGTACGGCATTGTTGTACTGTGGAATATGTATTTAGTGAACAATTCCGGCCCCTGTGAGCTGTCATGCTGTTCGATCCTCCCGCCCCACCTCGGCGCTTGAAAATGCAGGACGCGATGATCCTCCTGCGTGCGGATACCCACAGCAGCCAGGTTTCACATTGGGCCGCAGCGAGCCAAGAGGCTCGCCAGGCAGATGTCGCACTTGCAAGGCGTTGAAGGATGGATCACAGAATGACTACAAACGGGTAGGACACCCCCGGCGCAAGGAGCAATTGATTTCCTCATACTCTATCATTTTGCAGTACATAGTCTCAGATGCGGTACAAGATGTGGCAGCGCTCCTCGGGCTTGGGTTCCCTTGCCGTCCTCTCACTCTCGTTTTGCATCCGCCGGTGCGCAGGGGCTCTCCAGGTCACGACAAACATCACTGGGTCTGAGATTGATTTTAAGGAGCGCCTCCTGATCGAATGGTCGGGGGATAGTCAGAGCTCCCACGACGTGGGGGTGCAGGAGCAGTCAGCGAGTGAGAATGGAAGCTTTGTGATGCTCAGCGGTAAGTTCAGGGAAGGGACATCTGGTCCTGCATGGCTATATGTGAGAAAGCCAAGCGCTGACATTTATTACTTGCAGGTGGTAATACAGATAGCTCGTTAGCCTGGGATTTTGGGTATGACTTCGATGTTGGGACGTATGCGTTCGTGGTCCGGACGACAGGCTCAGACGATGGAGAGGCACAGTCGAATCTCTATACGCTCCTCGACCCGCATCTTGTGAGTCATTCACAGTCAGAACCCTCGCTTAGGGGAACACGTGAAGCTGTGTCATGAAATGGCACTGATCATCAGCGTTGTCCAGACAACATCCACGGCATCATCGACTGCAACATCTTCTCCTTCATCTTCATCAACACAATCGACATCAGTTGCATCGACTTCCGCCTCGACGCCGGCACCAACGACAGCAGTCAGCAGCACTTCAGGAGACGATGCAGGCCTCAGCACAGGCGCAGCCATTGGCATCGGCGTTGGGGTCGGCGTGACCGCCGTCGTCCTGCTCGGCATTCTGCTGGTGTGGATGTACCGCAAGGGCAAGAAGGCCGCCAGCAACACGAATAAGGATCCCGAGCCGGACAGCTGGACTGACATAAATCATTACGCTACGGGCACGGCGCCGCCTGGGTTCGTGCCGAATCGTGGACCTGAGGCCGCAGCCAGTGAGAGTCGCGACTACTATGCTGAGCTTCAAAACACGCCGGTGTACAGCGAAATTGGTGGCGCCCAGAGGTCAGAGCTTCATTCTGACATCGTGACGAAGGCCGAGCTCCCGTCCGACCCTGAAGTCGATAGGGCCGGGGGCCGTCGCTGGTGATGTGCAGTAGTTGAAAATGTTGATCGGTTGCAATTTACTTACTTGCCCAATAATCAGTGCTGAGATTGTGTAACAAGCACTGAGATGCCATAATCAAGTCTTGTGGAGGTCCGTTGGGGATCGCACGCCACATACTTCTTGCAGGACCCCAAGCTTACGCGGAGTTCGAAGACGCTGTTTAAATACTCTCGGTCAGCTCGATGTTTTTCACGTTCTTTTCGAGCGCTCCCGTCTGAGTATGCGCATCTTTCACTCCTCTCAATTGGCAACTTGATAACTCAGCACTATCACGATGTCTGACACCAACAACTCAGCGGAAATCGAAGAAACAGATGCAAGGGGCCTTGCTGAGCTCAGTCATCCTATGAATTATACCAACTTAGCTTTCGAGGAGCAGAAGCCGGCAAACGCGGAAGAACGCCAAGCCTACCTGTACGACCGGAAAATCATAGAAGATCTCATCAGCGAGTACAATTATAGAGTTGATGCTAGCTTGGCTAAAACTCCCAACTACGGGGCTCTAGACAAGCTTTTCACCCACGACGCGGAGGTGACTTTCCCTCGCGGAAAATACCAGGGTAATGCAGGCTTGGGAGAATGGCTTATGTCGCCATTCTCCGCACTTCACCGGATGGCTGTGAGTGAGAGTTGGTGTCTGGCATGGTGATCAATGATTGACCCTCGCTGTCAGCACTTGTCCTCCAACCACAGTGTCAAGTTCGAGTCCAGCACTATAGCTCATGGACGCTCTGCATGGCAGTCTACGGCAGGACTGCATGCGACCGATATTACCAAGGTATTCTTCTCGGGTGGCTTTTATTACTGGTCATTTCGCAAAGTGGCTGAAGAATGGAGGATCTCATTCCTCCTTCTAGACATGAATTGGAGACATGGGGACATTCCTAGCAAACCAGCGAAGTGAGTTTACGATTTGACCGTGTTGGAAGTCCTTCTCAACTTTATTCCAAGACCGAGCTTTTCAGCTAGTCGCAAATCTGAGTATCCTAGAATGTGTCTGTCGATTACTTTGATCGCCGTCAACTTGTCAGAACTCTTGTCTCCTCCATGTGTACCTTCCTCCTGGATGTCATTTAGTCGACTACCCACTTGACGAGCTCAGCCATCCAAAGCCAGCCCGAGAGCAGAGGAATCACCGCCAGCACAATCCACCAGATCTCGACTGTGATCTGCCGCCTCATCCAGCGCCTCCAGGCGGTTCTCCAGTCCCGTCGATATGCGCACTGGGGAGTCTGATGAACCAGACACCCGAGCCCAGGCCGAGACTCGCATTCGACGTGCTCCCGACGTCTCTGCATGAGGAGACTACTTCACATGTCAGAAATCCTCGAACCGATCTTTCCATTGCTGCGACTGTGGGAGACCACGCGGGGGGGCTAGGGGGGACGGTACTGACGTTACACTGCCCCTGCAGAATTCCAGGTCGGTACGCAGGTTGCACTTGCGGTCATTGGGGCAGTCAAGGTGTAGCATCCGCCGCTCCATGAGCCATGCTACCTTGAGGCGGACGCCGGTGTCGACCAGGTCGTAGAAGTAGCGGCTGGTGTGCTTCAGGGACAGCGCATCGGGATAGGTAAGCTCCTTGCTGATGAGAAGATGGATCTCTGTCGGCAGACGCATGAAGGTGGTCTCTAGTCTGCTTGTCGAGGCCTCGGCGCTCTGGCCGGCGGCGACCAACGCGTTAGGACCCAAGTCCGTGGGCTTGGAGGACGGGACGGAGCGACGGCCCCGCAGCAGTGCAGCCATGGCGTGCCCGGTTTCAGACCGAGGAGATGGTGAAGTAATTTAATTTATAGGAAGACGAAAAGAGACTTGATGATTTGTAGTCACAGTCTTATTGCGGACGATGAATAGACATTGAAGGAGTGGCCTAGTGTCCCAAGATAAACTTGGATGAAATGTGGTTGCCTGGGGAAAGGACAGACATGCGCAATGCGCGGCCGCGTATATTTACCACGCCTTTGGCTTCAGAGGCACGGAGCAACGAGTTCAAAAGGCTAGCCCACAGAAAATGTTGTTGCATAGCAGGCATAGAAATACAAAGTGTTCAACTCGATTTACAGGACTGCAAATGCCTCTTTCCAAGGTCTCGACAGGTCGAGAGCCATCGCCTACGCATTGGCATATCTGATTTGTTTGATGAATTAACCAGTTAGACTTTCTGATCAAAAGGCAGTTCAGTCGAGGGCCCTAGACAGCCTGACAGGCCATTCATGACTAGTTGTCACTGCGACTTGACGTGGGTTGAAATCTATTTAAAGTCACGGCAAGTAGCAACGAACACGTTAGTTGCCAGACGCGCGTTGAATCACTGTGTAGAAGGCATTAGGCACCTGTAGTCTCCCACTGGTGCCCACGTGCTCCCGCTCCATTAGCGCGCAGTGCTGCGGGGATGGGGAGGCAACCGTTTCGTCTCGCGCGTGCCCGACCACTACTGTATCGTGCCAAAAGTCATGACGCAGCCTGGATCAGGTCCATGATGCGTTCTGATGCGATAAGAGGCATGAAACACAACTACGGTCGCCGTCATGGCGTCTGACACCGGCAGCGAGTTCGACCTCTCGCTGGAAGATGAACAGTTGCTAGCCTCTCTCGCTGAAGATACCGCGCTCAAGGCAGCCGATGTCTCTGCTGTCTCCCGCGATGCGGCGAGCAGCCTTCACGGCAGCTCGCAGGGCAGGGCCGCCTTGGTTGGGATCGCCCGAACCAAGAGCGTCAACGCCTTTGTCCACAAGACCCAGCCGCAGTCTACGCCGTCAGTTGTCCCGGCTGACGATATCAAATACCCGCATCGTAGGTGCAGCGCCATTCCCCGCACTATTGTGGCCACCACAATCCTGACTGACCTGCAAGAATCCAGTCACTCAAGTCTTGACTAGCTTAGAACAAGAGAGATCTCGCGAACAGTCCTTGCCTTTGGCTCATGATGTCCCTGACACTAGATCGCCTCTCCTCCGATTTCGAACCTTTCCCCGAAAACCACTCTCTGTGTCCGATCTGACCGCTGGAGCATGGTGCGAGCTCCAATACGAATACACTTTAACGCGGCTACCGGGTGGGAAGAAGACGCGGACGACAGCGATGAAAGAAGGCAGCAAGCTTCACCAGAAACTTGAAGACGAAGTGCACACCACAGTACAGATCGAGATAGTAACGAAGGAGGACGCTTTCGGCCTGAAAATCTGGAACATCATACAAGGCTTGAGGACACTGCGGGATACTGGTTTGACAAGAGAACTCGAGGTCTGGGGCCTGGTCGACGGAAATGTCGTCAACGGTCTAATCGACTTTCTGAGCTACGAGAATCCAAGCCCAGAGTTCGAAGAAGAATGGCTGGGCAGCCAAGCCGGCGCCGAGGAAAAGTCGCAGCACAAGATTACAAACTTCTTCCCGTCGGATCGGCCCGAGGGATCTCAGTTGAAGAACGTCCGCAAAGTCTACCTGACGGATGTTAAGACACGGGGTGTTAAGAGCATGCCAAAAGGTGCGGCGCTGAGGCCGACCAAGGTACAGCTCTATCTCTACCATCGTTTTTTGTCGGATATGGCATCAGATAAAGTCAATTTCTTGCAAGTGTTCAGGAGATATTGCTTGGATGTGGATGCGCCCTTCTCCGATGCTTTCCTCGCACAGATTGGCGAGTTACACGACGACTTGTTTCACGATTCCAGCTCCATCCTGTCTTCGGCCACAGCTCCACCGCAGGATTTGGACATGAATGATCTCCTGAAGTATCGCACGCTGCAGGAGCTCGTACCATTGCTCAGGGACGAGCTCAAGTTGACCTTCCCCGCCGGTTCCGATAGCCTGGGCAGCGTGGTGACTGTGGACTATCGGTTACGTGGTCAAGAAGGCGAACGCATCGGGACCAACATTGTTGCTGTCGATTCTGTTGTTCTGGACCAGTATCTGGGTGATTACATGCAGTGGTGGAGGGGCGAGAGAGCGGCCATAGGGGTCGAGATCGAAGAGGCGTACAAATGCTCCTACTGCGAATTTGCTGAAATATGCTCGTGGAGGGAAGAGATCGACAAGGAGAACCTGAGGAGGGCCCAGGAGAAGAGGAGCGCGCAGAGGGAGGGCAAGGTCGACGCTGACGGCAAGAGAAAGTCAGGGTCTAAGTCTCCCAAGACAAGGAGGCGGAAGGACAGCCCTATGGCTGAAGTCGCGGAATGATCACGAAGTGAGTCCGCTCTCATATGGCAGCTAGCTCAATATCGCCCGAGGCGGGTGTCGGCGCCATTAAGTGCAATCACTCTACATGCGATCATTTCTTAGGTATTGAGAAAGTCCCTGAGGTCAATACAAACGTCGAAGATTTTGCGATTTAATCATCAGGCGAGCATAGCACCAGGGTTGATTTGAATGTACACAACGAAATAGATACTCCGTCCCTTGCAGGACGGAAACCTCGGCATCCTGTCCCCGGCGTTATGCGTGATTTCCCAGATCAGAGGCGGCCGTCCGAAAAGGGAACCGAAAATGAGAGCCTGTGTACCCCGAACCCCAGCCGACAAGTTCCGGTGTGTCTTGCGTCAGTCTCTGGGTGGCGGTACCATGTTAATCAAGCTGATGGGCGGGAGTGACAGCGGAGAGCCCGCTGCTATTTTTGAGGCTGAGCACAAGGCTTAGCCAGCTAGCGGGGCGTTCCTGGACAACTGCAGCGGCTGGGCAGGGAATCTCCCGGGGCGTCCATGAGTTTCTTCCAGGATTTCTTTAGAAAACCTCACCACATCGACGGATTTGTCGTCTCCCTCCATCTTCACCAATTTTCTTTGTTCTGGTTTTCAGTATTCGTAGAGCCTACGGGCGTTTCTTGTCTGCCAGATTTACTTGATTTCATACGTTCGCTCATTTAACCTTTGCTTTCGCGCCGGCAGGATGCCAATACATGGGATCAGTGCATCGCAACTGATCGCTGCAGGGAAGGAATACTACGAAAAGATAAAGTGAGTGAGACATTCAGCAGGCATGTCATTTTTGTCTCTAAGGTTGCTGTTCATGGACGAGTCCATGTCGAATGGGTACCAGCGAGAGGCCGATAGTAAGGGCATCGGCACATCGGAGCTGACTTCTCCCCCGCAGGAAACACGGCGAAGTTAAGGAGGACAAAAAGGCGCTGCTCAAGCTCATCCGCTCAAAACTCAACGGTAACCACACCGTCTCCGAGCTAGACGAGCCCCTAGAGTACAACTCGAGATGCAAGACATCAGCCGTTCTTGTCGTCACGTCCGCCATCGACATTAATGGCATTCAGGTCACTAAGCTGGCGTCCAAGCTCTTGATGAAGAGTGCCGGCTTGTCACTGGACAGCCTCTCGCACTGGGCCCTTGTGGCCGTTAGCAGAGGCGAAGGAACGTGTTACCTCTACGACCTTATGAGTGATCAAATGCTGCCCACGACCAAAATAATGAAGAATTACCGTATGCATGCCCATTTTCTTGGTCTTGGAAACCCCTCTAGAACCGCTCAGTGTTGCCTTGGGCCCCAAGACAGGCAGCTAACATGTCCCCAGCGAGATGTTTTCCCGTTACCGAGGAGATGGTACAGTCCTGGACGGGTGCGAGTTACATAGGAGAGACGACACGGAAACACGAAGAGATCTTGGAAATCGGTAAGTCGGCATCATGTAGAGCCATCACTACGGACTGACTGCCCTCAAGGGCTGAAATGTGTGTGGACGAGTGCGTGACTGACCGCCCTTTCAGCGTCCCGATATATTTCCGAACATCCACGATACAACCTGTTTGAGGCCAACTGCCAGAACCTAGCCGAGGCGCTTGTCATGGAACTTTGCAACGGCAAAGTCATCAGCCAGTCCAACCTCGGAGAAGAGGTTAAGATGCTGTCGACGAGAATGTCATCGGCGCTGCTGATGAAGATGTCCCTAGACCGTAACGCACTGCGGGAGCTAAAATCGGATATTAAGACAGCAGGAGACCGCCTGATTGCATCCAAAGGATCGAAAGCAGTACATGAATGATACCCAAACCAATCATCTTCCAACGACAAGCCCCGTACCCAGGTACGGCATCGTGCCACCATACAGTGATGGTAAAATGGGATGCTGAAATGAATGGGCGAATCGGGTGTAGGATCCGGTACGCTGGGTCCTTGGACCTTTTAGCCTCTCCTATTGATGACTGACTTCATCAAAGATCCGTAAAACTGGATTCCCGTTTTGCCACACCTTGTTGCTCCGAGCAACTCTCCACCTTCCAGTCAAATCACGATGTTTCCCGACCACAGGAAGCTCAGAAGCCAGAAAACCACCAGAAGCGTGACTGACGGGCTCGAGAGGCTTGGCACAACGAACTTCAGAGTTCTAAAGTCTGTTCAGCGGGAGTGGTGACTTCGGATGGAATGTGTGGACGCCTTCAGATCGCATGGCCTCTGATCTCCCAGGGGCTGGCTACAGGCGGTAGTAAAGGTCGAATTGGGCACAGCCTTGTTATTCAGCCCCGCTGATCAGGCACGCGGGTGTACTAGTCCCTTGATAGGCAAAGAAAGGGTTTGTTGCCATATCACAGCAAGGGATAGAGAGGAGAAAACCAAGCTCGCCCAACTCGAAAGACTCAGGCAACTGGCCTAAGAGTGTTGCCCTGAGGGCTTATACCCGCTTCCTCGGAGGGCCGCAGCTTTGTCTGCCTGATATTTTGCGAACTTGATTATCACGAAAGGTCTCGAGAAGCTCGACTTACTACAGTCTTTCAGGTATCCCATTTTGTGTGGGAAAGTCGTGTCGGGCAGGGCACAGGATGAGGTTAGGTAGATTCCAGCTCAATGATAGCATGTTGAAACGGATTGCAATTTTCTGGCTTCACAATCTGTCTTGCTTCCCAGCTTCAGGTCTTCTGAGCCCGCGCTACTCCAGTTGATCACCCAAAGCATCACCAAGCTTGCAAAACAGTCAATTGGGAGACCCCACTTCTCCCAACAAGGACCGCCCAACACCGTGCCTTGAACAACAGCACATCGTTAAGCTGAGGTCTCTTCTTTTGTATTTTGTAGCCCATTCTGAACATTCGATTTGTCCGCGCAGAAATTCTTCTGGACGAAACTGTTTAATCCACTGCCTCCTTGCAGGTGTACCTATCAAGCAACTTCTCGTCGACCTTTGGGTTGGTAAGTCTAACGGCGCGATGCCCATATCCATCTCTTTCCCAGTCCCAAGGTTACGATCAATCTCTCGGCAAAATTCCCATCGTATTCACGCTACCGCCTAGAATTGCAATGTTTGTCCCAATCTTCCCCAAACACATCATCATCGCCTCTCTAGCAAGACGTGTTGCATGGCAAACCATGAAACCTCTCGCGTCCGTTGAACTCCTTCCCGTTCGAATGCCTCTACTGACTTTGTAATTGCTGCAGTCAACTGGTCTCCACAGACTTCTTATTCCAGCAAGCTGCCCTGCCTGCCTTTTGATACGAAGTTGGCCCGCTGCACGTCCTCCAAGTCATGTAACATAGCGACAACGTAGGAGACAGTCTTCAGGATGCCTTCCAAACCTCAGTTCGCTCTCTGCGATCAGAACGCCGGCATCTTCGCGGAGATTTGCCGCAAGAACAGCATCACCCACTGTTGGCTCCAATGGAAGTTTGAGCTTGCCGTCCTCAACCAAACAACCTCACCTCTCACGATCGACACCAAGAGTGATCCACTCTGCGACCTCAAGAGCGGGGTGAACAAGGTCATCTTCACCATCGACTTCGATCAGAAGAACCCCAACGTGATCAACTACGTGAAGTTCAGCGAGTCCTACGACGACTGCGAAAAGAAGCATTTCATCGTGACCCGCACATCGATCGACCACGTCCACGAGGACACCGGATGCAATTTATGGTTGGAGGTTCCCGCCCATGCTCTCCACGAGGACATCGGTGCCGTGGTGAGCCTGTGGAAGGTCGAAATCTGCTGCGATGGCTGGAAGGATTTCCTCCCTGCTTGCCCTGTCACCCAGCTCGAGAAGGCGCACCGTGTCGTCTCCGCAGAGAACGTTGGTTGGCTGAAGAAGCAGCTGATGCAAAGAGAGGGCCTTCTCATTTACAAGGACAGGGAGTTGGCCACGAAGGCAAGGGACATCGAGAATCTCACGACGCAGATCAGTGAGCTGAGCATGCAGCTGGCCGAAGTGGAGCAGGAGCTGGAAGACAATCTAGTGCGCGATCTCGTTCCTGCTGGCAAGCGCAAAATACTCACCCCAAAGAGCCGTGTTCGTAAGGTCCCGAGAACGGCACCTGCCAAGTCGCTCGCTACGCGTGCCAGTGAGATTTTGCAGACGCCCACGAAGCGGTCAAGGTTCGTTCTGGAGGAAGATGAGCACGACGACCCATTCGGCTTATGAAAAGAATTAGCTGCCTCTTCCTCAATTAGTTGGTTTCGAGATGGTCGGTGAGGTTATTGAGTATCAGCACTGCTCACATTTGTCTGGTCTGTCAGAATCATTGACCTTGAATACTGAGTGTCAGGCATCGCCCATGTGGCGAGGCACAATCAATGCTGAATTGGGCACTCGCTGCTAGGTGGATCAAGCATCAAGACTCTTCGGCGGCACACAACAATGGAACAGAGAATAAATACAAGCTTATGGACGTGAAATCTTGTGGTGAGAATTTTCGTAACTGTCACTGGCTACTGCTTATGGCCAAGGTGCTGTCCAAAGATTGATGTGAAAACAGACTGTGTGCAAGATACTCTTTGTGTAGTCTTATTGTTGAAACTCATCATGAATTCGTGGGACTTGTAATTCTTTATTAATTAAAATGTTTCAGAGATCGAAGTATTTACTGCAACCAATCTCCACACTCACTATCCTTGTCTTCAACTGTTCCAGGAGATGAGCTCTTTTGCCCAACCTTCCTCCAACACCATTGCAGTTGGTTTATTATACTATTTTACGTCATCATGGATGGGTTTCAAGCACCGTTTCTACGGGCAATTTGTATCTGCAAGCAACCTAGACTCAGCCCCTGGCCATTAGTCACCTCAAGCTCCAGGAACAGATATGGAAACACTCAGAGGGGAGACTGAAGAGGGGTGGAAAAAAAAGACCCTAACCCAGAACTTGAGGTTGAGGTCGCAGCTGCCTTTTTTGGTTGCTACGGAATGACACGTCCATCTTCGTCCTTTCTTCGACATCAAAGAGATCCTACAACTATTTCAGACTCTCAAATTGAATCCGAAAAGCCTCATAAAGGTCAAGACGTTCACTTGGGAGCTGTCAGAACGACCTCTCTTCCCCGATTCCCTCGGAACAGGCGTTCAATTCTCTCTCAAAGCTCCTAGCATTGTGCCGTGCGCCACCACAGGCCAAACCTACAGCCAACATGAAGTTCACTGCTGAGCCCGGCATGCAATACGCATACTGCGGAACAAATGACGGCGTCTCGCTTGCTTACCAGACTTCTCTGCCTCTTGAGGACATTCCTGATGCCGGACCCGGATCGCTAGCCGACCCCCGTCGACAGTCATGTATCCTCCTCATGCATGGCTTCAGCGGCTCCTCAAAGTACTTCACCCGCAACTTCGCCGCCCTCTCAGAGAAGCACTGGGTAGTTGCTCCCGACATGCGTGGCCACGGTGCCTCGGGACGGACTAAGGGGGGCTACCACGTTGCAAGGCTCGCTGCTGACTTGCGGACGATCGTCGAGTCTCTCCGCCAGGGTCACGGGAATATCAAGATTGTACCTGTGGGATGCTCTATCGGCGCTGCTGTGTTGTGGACTTATGTCGAGCTCTTCGGCGACAGTGATTTTGCCGGGTTTGTCTTCGCAGACCAGGCTCCACTGCAGGACCGTTCGGCTTTCGATAACTGGGACGCTACCAAATCCCACCTAGGTTGTTATAATGAGGCCACCATGCTGGGTGCACAGCGCGCGTGGATAGAGACCCCAGAAGCGGCACATAAAGGTCTCGTCAGCGAGTGTCTTGGCTATCGCTTCTCACCAGAGGAAAGCGATCAGGTCAGCCCCAAGGCCGCCGCAGAAGACGAGGCCTTTTTCACAGGCATCAGCGGCCTGTGCGATGGGGAGTGGCTCGCCAGACTTTTGGCCGACCATACAAGGTATGATCATCGGGAGGCTATCGAGCTTATTAGCAAGCCTACACTTGTCTTGGCTGGACGCCGAACGGGTTGTTTCCCTCTGGAGGGTTTGAAGGAGACTGTTGAGAGGGTGAAGAAGGGAAGTGGGCGACCAGAGCTGGCAAAGTGGTCTGTCTTCGACAGCGGCCATTGGATGTTCTATGAGGAGCCGGAGCGATTTCATAAGGAGATTACTGAATTCGTATCCGAGTGCTGAGCAACCAGTAAGCATACCATACGCTGAAGACAGTACCCCCCAGCTAGTTGGAGCGCCACGCCCTTGCCCTGGGTTAAAAACAGCTTTAAATCAGACGATTCGGCAGCTTGAAAAGAAGCTGTAACCCACACGTTTCCAAGCAGAATGATAAGCATTTGCAGCCTGTCAGCCGCTGGTGATACAGCCCATACACATGCAGTCTCGTGTGCTCTTTAGCATTACCTTGTTTATCTCTCTTAACATCGTTTGCCCGGTATAAAGTGTTTTTGAATACGGCCCACCACATGTTTAGGGTACACATTACACCTGAGATTAGAGAATAGTGTATTAAGTGGTAAAATACTTTTAAACAATTCAATGGCTTCGTCATGAGTTGTAGTGTCAGCCCCGCCAGGAGGTCGAACCAGCGGATACCGTCTGTTCCAAGTCCCAATCTGTCCTCTCAGAGGACGAATCATAAAAGTCCGGGCTTGTCAATGACCGCTGATGGCCAGTGTCCGAGATATAATGTTGCCTCCTGATAGAGGAGTCGTCAAGAAACGCCCCAACTGCCATCCCCCGTGATGCAGAAAGTGACCGTGTGCGTGCCTTCGGCGGCGGCAGCGGTGTGTAATGTGGAGCATCACGGTTTGCGATGGCAAGCCTTCTGCTTTCAGGGGGGAGCTCACTAAGATGAATAGCAGGCGCGGAATACGCTGACCCTCCCTGCGTGGAACTCTCATCTTCCAGTTGAAAATTATCCAGCGCCCCAGCATGGGAGCCGCCCACCGATCCAGACTCCACGTCCTTGCTCGACCGGCCAGCAGTCCAGCTGTCGTGGCCAGTCGTCTCCAAGTCAGGCTTTTGAAGTTTTCCCCTACTTCTCTCCTGTCCAATGGTCAGAGGCGCTGGCTGCTGGCCAAGATATTCGTTGCGTCGAAGTGAGAACCACTGCGGCATCCACTGATTCAGAAGAGGCTTGAGAGTAACTGCACATGCGCACACAATTGCACCATGCACTTCAATTGATGTCCAGTAAACGAGGTCGGTGCTGTCATAGGAGAAATCGATTGACGGATGATTCTCAGTTTCAAGGAGCTGCAGCAGCCGAACAATGGACACGATGCAAACGCTGTGTCAATTTTTAGAATCAGGCCCAGCTCTTCTTAATGGGAAAGTGGGAAGCTTCACTCACAAGAATCCCAGCGAGAATATCAAGAACAGCATCCATTTCTGCCGCCTAGGCATTCGAAGCGTCGGTAGAACGGGCAGCGGTAACGCAAATATAATGAAGTCCGTCGACATGTGGAGGCCCCTAGTTTGAAGTCATTACGAGTCCAAATCGGGGTAGCACTTTCTGCTAAGAGGATTTTTGGAGTTTTACGGGACGTTTAAACTAGCAATTAGAAATGAAGGATCAGAGAGAAGAAGAAGTTACTAACACACTCGCCCACCACATGCTCTGAGGCTGACAGTAGGCCTGTTCGCGGAGGCTGTAGACCCAGTATGCCTCCAGAGGTACGCATGCGGTGAAAACAATGCAAAGCATCCATAAAGTCGCTATGACTACCCCAGCGAGAACTATCCTGCCTGCGACTCGAATCCAATGGTAGGAGAAAAGGCTGAGATACAGCAACACCATCGAGACCTTGGAAAAGCCTAGAGAAAGCGTGTAGAACAAAACGCCATACCATGCTGCCTGTTGGAATCTAGTCAGTGGATCCATGCCGCCAATGCGAGTGTCTCTGAATATTGCACAGATAGGGCTCACCCGCTGGAACGGTATCAAGCTCCCCAACCAGTCATAGTCGTAGACATGCCTCCCCATTCCCCTCTGAGTTTGTTCTATGGCACTCGCAGTTACGCCACAGGAGAAGAACCATGATGCAAAAATGAACCAGTCTGACCAGCCTATAACGCTGATAATTCTGGTCCTAGTGTAGAAGCGCAGGGCGACAAAGATAGCCGCAATTACCCAGGTTACAACCGCGCACACTATAACGTTGGGGACAAAGGAATCATGAGGCAAGGTCGATGGATCTGGCAGTGGTGGATACGACCCCTCAGTCGTCATCGCGATACGGTGACTTTGAGATCAAAAGGTGACAAAAAGGTCTGAACTTCGTGTGTTGATCGCTGCAGGAGATTTTTGGTGCTTCCATGGCATGGCTTTGGGGATTCTTCAGACTGGGAAGCAGGAGCGACCCCATTTTTACTCGAGCCGCTAGAATCATGCCAGCCTTGAATGGTGTCGTACATGGGGATATAGCAGAACCGGGGGTTTCAAGTTATTGATCGGTTCGTCCCATCTGGAGATCCCTGGTCGAGTACGACCCGGGTGATCTTCCAACACGGCTAGATGCACCAGCACGGTTTCCCCAGATTTCATGCGCTGTGATGGGAAACTTGATTGAATTATCTAATTCTTTTGTAGCCGAGTAGCAAGAAGTTTGGTTAGGTGTGGCACACCTGGACCGGGACTAAAATCTGACAGGCAGGACGGCCCGTCAAGGCGATCCGTATGGGTACTCCTCTAGAATTGTCTGTCAATGTTAAGCAGCAATATCAGGGTTCTTAAGGGCATTGAAACCGGAAGTGGAGGGAATTGAACGGAACTCATTGAAAGATTGAGGCTCCTCCGTTTCCTGAACACGTTCCGAGTCCGCAAAATGTAAGAGAAATAACGCATTGACGCAAGCGGTACGCAATACGTCTGGTGTAATACCCAGCTAGATGGTCCTAATAAACTTCTGACCCTGGGTTTGGGCGAAGGGCCTCGAACTCTGGCACGAGTCTGGCCATTGCAGAACACGCTCGCAACGTCACACTGGGGCTACCATGACAAGGGAACGTCCAGAGCCTCGATCGAATCCCTTTGGAGTATTTTATCATGGCACCGATCGCTAGACTGGGCCCCTTGTTCTCTGGTGAGCCCTATACCAATTGAGGGCACCGGTAAAGGCGTGTTGGCTACATTGGGTAGGTCAAAGCGCAGATCCATGGCAGACCCAGTGCACAGTAAAGATTAAAAATGATGGGAGCTCACAGGTCTATACTGTAGTATAGATTGGGCCGATGCAAAAGCTTTTCCTCGGAACCGAAGTGCAAGGCCGAAAGGATCTGCGTTGGCTGTCTGCAGCTTTCCATATGCGAGTGAGACATCGGCCCGTGCTGGTTGGGCCATGACCGGCAGGAGACTACGCGGTGGGGTTTCGCATTTGTTGCGTTGGTAATTCTTCCATACAGTAGGTCTCGCATCCACAGACGGGTCTCCTGCATATTCACGTGCCGCAAGTGCAAGAAGTAGCCACGAATGGCTGCAGTGGCGCGGCGCCTTCGAGACGCATGAAGGCTGTGATGCCGCAGAGTGGAGAAGATGGCGCTGCAATTTGAAGAGGAGTCGAATGGGACTGCAAAGATCAGCTTCAAATTCGATCAGCATGCATGCATCAGGAAAGTTCCAAAATCATTCGCGTGGTAGTATACAGGCTGAATTGGCCATGGACAGCACTAAGTTGCTCCTCAAATCGGAGCGAGTGAATCCGTCGTCAGTGGCTCAACCGACTAGTCAATCAAGGCCCACGAGTCCTTCCCCGCGTTTCAATGCATCTTCACGTCTTCGCTACCGAATCTCGTTGTTGAATTGCCTTGGTGCCTTTTTCAATGAGCCAGGCTGCAAGGAAAGAGTGAAACCAACGTCCAACGAAACCCTCCAACAGCGTCGGTTTCTCGTTCGCGTTCCGCCACAGCCACGTCTCGTTGATAAAGACGATGGCGTCGGTACTGCCCCGTTCCGCAGGCTCAATCGCCGCCACAATGATGCCATCGGATCTCGGGCCTGTGTAGCCCTCAGCTGGACTCAGTCTCATCTCCACACGCTCGTCGCAAGGGCCAGTGCCTCGGTACTGCACCGTGTATACGCCATCAACACGCTGATTCACTTCCTTGAAATCCATCGCGTTGATGTAATCGGCCTCAAAGGTCTCCCCGACGCTATCAGGAAGCATCTTGCGGATGAGATACGCTTGAGGTGTGCAAGTGAAGGCGACCATTGTGCCTCGGACGTAGCGCGTAAGCAACTCGTCCAGACCCTCGCCTGGCGAGCGTAGCTCAGACAACGCCACCGGCTTCGAGACCACACGCTCGTTCCATAGAACGTAATCGGTGGTCTCATTCGTCGAGACGGACTGGGGTAATGACATTGGGAACGCAGGCTCAGAGGCTGATGCGGTCTGCGTCTTTGCTTTCCTCGACTTGCCTCCTCCTCGCCCACACTGTTGAGCCGCGCAACTCTCGACATTGAGCATCACCGATCGTCTCAATAGGAGAAGATACACGGTAGGTACTGCCACCGCAACGACTGCCACCGCCTGTCGTGGTGAGATGTTGGGGAACATTGTGGAATGAGATGTGAGGGCAGGCCAACTATAATCACCTAGAAAGTCTTCCTACCGACATGTGTTTGGCATGAAATGGCAATACGACGTCCCAAATGTCTTCCAGGAGCGGGAGAGCTAGCCTTAGCTCCCGTGTCTCGTGAGCGCGCCCGGGGTAGCCCGGAGTGAGACCACCGCTCGACCTCCGTGGTCAGCGGATATCCAGAACCAATCTTGGATATGAATCACTATTTCCACCACCCCTGTATTGCGGTCCTTTGGCGCAATGGTAGCGCGGTTAGTTTTCTCTTCACTGTGTTACGACCGTTCAAAATTCTAACGTACGATAGTTACTTTCCGGTGGTAAAGGTTCACGGTTCGAGTCCGTGGAGGATCGACTTTTGCCCCCAAAGGCTATAAGAATCTGATAATTTTAGTGAATTTGTCCGGCTTGACAAGAATTTGATGTTTTGGCCCACATTGACACAGTCCCTAGTGGAATGAATGCTTGACTTCGATCTGTTCATCAATCTAGCCAAAATCTCCGTCATGGAAACCGTTGATATGCTCTGTTTCGTTCGTCAGGACGGGCTTCCGAGAACTAGCTAAAAGATAGATACGCGCATATTCTTCAAGTCTACCCTCGTCTTTGCTGTGCCGGCCTCCATAATCAAACACTGTTCTCCCTGTACCACTCCGCTTAGTGAATATATTGCTGTCCCTGAGATCACAAGTTGGTGTAATGACCGCTTCCATGGATCGTGGCCTGCGCCTGACCATAGCCTGTCTGTCCTTGAAGGTCACGAACGGCATCGTCCCGGTATGGCAGCGAGGACGTTTGAGAGTGAGAAATGTGCTGCTGTATTGACACTCCTGTATGCTGTGTAGGATAGAAATCCTGTGGCGTGGGGGGATATCCTCCGGGACGTTCCTGCAAATTAGGAGATGCCTGAGGGGGCGGGTAGAAGCCAGGTTGCTTCTGTCGTGGCGTGTGGTAGCCTGCCTGCTGATTCTGAGAGAAGCCGGCCGACTCAGGTGCACTTCTGATACCCAACGCAGGCTGGGACGGTGTCGGTTGGGGGCTGGCCCCTCTCTGTTCGTACGGACCTTGGGCTCGGCTCGGCGTATTTTGGACACTTAGCCTGGAGTACAGAGCACTGCCTTGTGCGGCCTCATTTCCGCGCTGTGTGAAGGTGCGTTCGTTGAAGTCGTCGTTCCGAGCCTCGAACTGTTTCGCTCTATCACCATCTGATGCAGTCAGGATAGAATACCTGTATCTGTCGTAAAGAACTGTAGCCTTCTGGACTTCTTGGAAATGACACTTGCGCAGTTGTACTGCTCTTCCAGCTTTCCCTTCCGCATCAAAATGTGCCAGCGATGATGCAATAGAGAAAGCATTGCGAATCTGTCGCCCGTTCCAACGACCAAGCTCTTCGGTGTGGCTCTTCCAGTGGTCCTCTGCAAAATCAATGATTTCTTCCTCGAAAATGTCCATTTGCGTTGTACCCAAGGCTTGAGAACGTTCTCGCTCTATCTCGTTCAACTGATTTATGTTCAGCCGAAATATGCCCTTAACTTGCTCGAGGGTAAGCGCATCGTATCGCAAATTGAGATGTACACGAGACTTGACAGCCTCGTCAAGGTAACCGGGAAGATTGGTGGTCAGGAAGAGAATTCCGTTGTAATATTCCAACATGCGAAGGAATACTAAAATGAGGACCAGTTCAGCTACATGTTCCGAGTGTCAAGACATATTCGACACAAATCGAGGCTTACCTGAGACGAGAGCGTTCCTTTGCAGATCTGATCCATGCGTACGGCGACTAATGAAGACATCTGCCTCATCTAACAGAAGCACACAATCCCACAAATGAGCGAGGCGAAAAATTCCATTCAGGGATTTTTCCACACTTTCAGGCGTGAGACCCAGGTCACCGCAAGTGATGGGAAAGAGAGGTTTTCCCCATTTCTGGGCGACCGCCTCCGCTGTCGCCGTCTTACCAACACCCGGGACTCCGTGAAGGAGAAGCACAAGGCCCTTGCCTTTACCCCGGATGATGTCTTGAGTGCCCAATCCTTTTCCGCCTTTCTCGATGTCTCTGCTTTTGAAATGGGCACTGACAATAGACTGTATGAGCCTCTTGTGTAAGTGATCGATTTCAAGTTTGTCGAATGCGTTGTCCCTGGCTGTTACAGCCATTTGATCAAGAAAATTCAAGTCGAGTAGTACAAATTTTCGCTCCCACAAGGCATAGCCAATGATGCGCCTTGGGAGGAGAGCAATGTCTTCGCCTTCTGGCTCCGTCCTCCGACGATCGTCCTCCGCCTTGGGTCTCAAGTATTTGTGGTCCTTCATGAACTCTTGATATTCGTAATCGTGCATTCCATCACTCGAGAATATATCTATATCTCGTACACGCAATTTCTCCTTGCGATCTTTGTCGGACCACACGATGTGTCTGTCTTCAGTTGGCCCGTACCTCGTACGAATGTCGAGAGAGCTACTTCCAGAAAAGATCGAGGGCTTCCACCATGGACTTTGGTTGAGACCTTCGTGGAAATCGACAATGATCTCGCTATTGATATGCTCAGGTGTCCTTGTGAAATCGCCAGAGGTATTTGGCATTGGTAGTCCCTGTGGATCGTGTAACAGAGTCCAGCCGCTATACGCACCATGGCGGTTGTGAATACTCGCTAGGAATTTTCTGCCTATGACTTTAGCCTGATCCAAGATTTGAGCTGCGTTAGCTGCAAATCTTAAAGGGTATGCTGCCAACGCAGTCAAGTTTCGTTCATCATCGTAGGGTCTCAGCTGGAACTCTTTCTCGACAGCACCGAACTCTGTGCCATCGAAATCGATGTAATGACAAAAGAGGTTCACCGAACTAGTAACGCCGAATTTTCCTTCGTCACCTGGTATATGGACGCCATGTATTCTCCAGATGGTTTGTCTTGTGGCTACGTCGTGGTCTTCCCAGGCGCTGGTTTGGCGCCTCTGTTCATTCTGCTTGTCTTGATTTTCCTTCTTGTCTTGCTTCTGCGAAGAATCCTTCTGCCTCGGCGTATATAGTAGCTCGCCAACTCGAAAGACGTACCAAAGGTCTTCAAAGCGAACCTTGGGAGGTTTCTTGGGGTCGATATTCTCGAATTCTTGGTAGAATGGGAGGATGTCTTTGTCAACAAACTCAACGTAACAACGGATCTGTTCCAGCGCACCTGGCAGCTGAGCAATATACTCCGTGGTGAGCTCCTCAGTTTCCACCGTGGGCATCGGGGACCTGCTACGTGACCTGCTGCGTGACCTCGCTGGAGCATCAAGACGTGCCACCTCGTTCTCGGTCGTGGAATGCTCGGAAGATTCTGCCGGGATCTCAGAGGCTGTTGAGCTTTGTTCAGGTTTGGCTTCCGTTGGGTGACGAAGCAGATATTCTTCGATCTTTTCCAATTCCACTTTCGCTTTCGATTGGAGAAGAATGAAAGCCCGGAAAGGTCTCTTAAACGTCTTCACATCGGCATCCCACCAGGCGGCTTCCTTGCCCAGAAGCATCCTTAAGAATGAGAGGATAGCGGAAGACTGAATCCGCACCTGCTGAATCCAGGGTTTGCGAGTTGATGATGCTTCCGGGGTAACCTCTTCCGTCTCGGGTTTTGGCGCCTTTTCCCCGCGTTTCTTCTTCTCCTGATTGATCTCGTCTTGAAGATCAGGCCCAGAAACAAGAACCTCAATGGCATAGTTTTCATGCTCATCGGAAAAGCGATTCATGAAGTTTTCCCAGTCGTACTCCCGCACCTTCGCTTCTAAGACTGCTGGTGGCCTCATCCAAGTCCTCGAAATGCTGGACGCTGAAGATACGGAACGGGACCTGAATGGAAAGGGTGGTTGCGGTGGTGGCCGGTAGTGGATTGGCCAGGTCGACTGAACAGGTGGCATAGAAAACCTGGAGCACAATGATTTGACCGAAGCAGCAATCTCATTGATTCCTTGGTTCATCTGGTCCATTGTTTGGTGAAGCTCTTTGCCACCTGGCAAGAGGCCATCCTGGTCCTCCCCTGACAGGACATCATTTCGGTGCTCCAGGTCGACTTTCTGCTCACTCGACAATTCGGCGGGCACTGGACTTTTGGAGGAAGACGTTGCGGTCTCAATCGCTCCAGGTCCAATAGCCTCATTCGACTCGCTGCCGTTGGGGGCTGGCATGAAGGCAAGGGGCATCTCGGTTGCCCCCGTGCTGTTCGCAGCCGTATCGGCCATCTTGAAGTTTTCGGTGATACAAGAGAAGGGTTGCAAAGGGCGTCACTTAGCAAGCTGTCGCAGCAGGGTAGGAGACGGCAAATACTTTCCAAAGACTGGCGAAAGAATCGGAAAATCCGATGGAAGTGAGGAGAAATAAAATGCTGAATTCCAGAGAGTGGTGAGACGAGACCCCAGAGCCGCATGGTGGTTACATCTTGCACTCTGTTGTTACATTGATTTCAATGTTTGCAGGTTCATCTCACACTGCTGGCTGCAGTGCATCGGAAGCTGAGCCTGCAAGCATAACTACGTCCAATCATTCAAATCGCAAATTGGTAAACAACAGGGATATAAGGCAAAAATGCTGTTCTGGTCTCAAGGGCTGACACTACAGGTATTCCATTGGGTAGCCGAGGAACCAACACGCATAATATGTAGCCGCTAAATGAAGTGCGGGCGCCTATCTTTCCACCCTCCGGACGAAGAACTCGAAAGAGCAGAAGAGAGGAGGGGTAAGATCTGTGGCTTTCGCACCGTGATGCCGAGGCAGTTGCTCTAGGTAATTCGAAGATAGGCTCATCCGGAAAGGACCATTATTGGGCAGTTGGCTGGAGCAGTTGAAGCTGACATCGATTTGGATTCCAGGTGACAGGCAACACCTCACCCTGCGCACGCCCCACATCTACCATGATGAGAAGACTTGGACCGCAGAGTATGCCTCCTGGGCTTGAGAACACCTTGAACGACGCGAGAGAAGTCACCATCTTCGCACAATTCCAGTCGTCTTCGGCCATCAAAGACATTTTACCCGGTTGCGAGGTGAAAACTGAGTATCAAGTTGAGAAATGTTCTTGGAGAATCAGATCGGTCGAGTGAGTCTTCCCCTGCTGTCGGAACCTTACAGCGCATCCGGTTTGACTTTCGCACTTTGTCTTACTAAGGTTCTAAATGCGGATTTGCGAGTTGACTCGATATTTCGTCGCAGTTATGTGAATCAATTCCTGGCCCTGCAAGATGAGAAGACAGATGCGTCAAAGGGCTTTCAATCATGGAACGAGGTTCTGGAGCTTATACACGACGCCGAGGATAGGTATGTCTTGAGGGGGGAAGGCAGTTGGGTTCGCCGAAATATGCGACGCGACGACGTTGCCGCTGTCTTAAAGGACTTGACCGAGTTGATCCCCGAGGAATATGGTTTGGGTGTCCTTCGCGGAGGGCTATCGATGCTGTTCACAGTAAGTCCACAGTCACTCATTACCGAAAACCCAAAGTTGTCCGACCGCATATTGCTTTCGTAGCTAACAGCCCACAGGCATGGCGTGACAGAATAAAAAACCGCGAGAAGATTTTCGGTGCTCTAAGTAATATACCCACAGTTCTCTGTATTGCCTTTCAGAAATGGCGTTTCTTCCAATCTGATACGCAGCTCTGGAACGCCATTAAACAATTGTATGACGACTCTATCGATGCGATACGCTCCCTCATCGAAATCTTAGTACCCAGCGACGACTCATTGGCAGGCTCATGGAGAAGGCGGCTCACCAAGATGATTCCTGAGCGTGAGGCAAGAATGATCGAGCAAATTCTCCAGACTGTCAATTTTGCCGTGAGAAATGTGGAAAATCACATTGATAGACTCGATCGCACCCGGGCCGCGGAGACGCACTTCCATGCCCAGAATATGGACTTAAAAGCCGGTCAAATTCAAAAGACTTTGAAGGGCACGAATGAGCTTGTGGCCGCGGGCAACACACGCACCCAAGAAACCATTCGAGACGAGCGGAAGCACATGGAGAAATTTCTTGAGTCGAAGCTTGATGACCTAAAGCAAGAGGTCAAGAAAGAGATGATGGGAGGGCGCGATTTAGTTCCTTCCCAGCATATGGAATACATGGAAATGGTGGAGAACATCCACACGTTCTTGTATCGTCTAGCTGGTGAAGAAAGATACAAGAGAGGTGAGAAGACCATTGATGCTTTCCAGGCTACTGTGCTGACATCCCGGACAGGTTTACAACCTGAGATTGAAGTCCTTGAGCCCATTTCCCAGCAACGTGCTACGATTCTCCCTGCCGAGCGGCTTATTGAGCTCATGAAAGTCCATTCACTTTCCCCCTACCAAGATCGCGACGCTGTTCTCCGCAAAGGTCACACCATGTCGCCAGTTTTCCTAGGCCGTGGCCGCTATCTTCTCACAGCACCTCGTTTCCGGAATTTCTTATCCACATCGTCTTCCGATTTCCTCCTTGTCGATGGTCACTGTCGAGATGGGTGTGATGGCAGAGTCTCACCTATCTCGGTCTTCTGCGCCTCACTTGCTGCGACCCTGGCACATGATCCAACATTCATGGCTCTTCACTTTTTTGCGGGTCAGCACAGCTTCTTTGACGACGATCCTGCGAGGGGCCCGCGGGGCCTTTTGCGTAGCCTCATATGCCAAGTCTTGTCGTACCCAAGTCAGCCAGCACCTTGCCTGGACTGGGTTCACGATCAAGCCATGCAAGATGTCGCCGATGGCAAGATTGTTGCGTTGTGCTGGATCTTGAAGGAGTTGTTGAAACGAGTTGTGAATGTGCAAACTATACTCTGCATCGTGGACAACATCTCGGACTTTGAGAGGAAGTATGAAGGCTGGGACAATGATCTGGACACTGTGTTTGACTGGCTCCGCATGGTGCCCAACGAGATGAGCCCCGGTATCAACTTCAAGCTACTAATGACAAGCGCCGGGAAGAGTACGCAATTGGTGTGGAGGACGGATCCGTCGGAGCGGTTGTCTTTGGTAGCGGGAAATGTGATAAGTGCCGGGAAGTCTGAGTGGGCAATCGCCCGGGATATTGGGAACTCTGTTCCTTCATATAACACATATTAATAAGATGAACTTGAATACTGCTTAAAATGGCCCGGCAGCCTAGACAGAATATGGGTTCGAGGGTAAGCGTAGCTAGTCTTGTTGCTCCGTCGAACGCAACCGCCAGTGCAACCTTGCGATGGTGATCGCGGAAGGAACAGCCAGTCCGGGCTGGATTTCTTCTAGGAGGCGACGAAGGGTTCTTTCCGTGATGATTCTCTCTCAGTTGCAGCATATTCGCACAGGTAGGAGATGCAAAACACACAGCAACCCTCCCTACGGAACAAAACAGACAGACATACGCACTCAAGACATCATGCATTTTCCATCCACCACGCTTGTCGCAGCCATGGCCGTGGCTACACTCATCGATCCCATCCACGCTGAACAAGGACTTTCCGGCGGACTGCGGAATTGGTGTTGTTGCAATGACGGCTGCAGGACACGTTCGCTTCTCTGTTGTAGATGTTTGTGCCTACGCGGAGGACTTAGCCTCGAAACCAATATCAGTCATTCGTGCTGACTTTTTGGATACTGCAGACAAATTGCCGATGCCTACTCGACTGATACCCAGCTCAGCTCCAGACGCAGAATCGCCCGGCGACCAAGTTGCTGCTTCAGAATCTCCCAGATGTTGCTGCGACACCAAATGCGGCAATGAGCTCGGTAGCTGCTGCAGAAGTTCGTCTTCTCATCATGATGGACCGTATTTGCGGTGATAAGTGCTACTTGAAATTTTTCTGACACAGCGACCGGCTCTGACCCAGTCGCCGAGCCTGAGTCCACAATTGGTCCTGCAACAACTCAAGGCAGTGCCGACAACATTGGCGTTTTGATCGATTTCCTTTAGTCTGAGACGTGGACATTCGACCAAGAGAAATAAGCGTGGTTAGATCTTGCTCGGTACCTGTCTCAGAAAGACTGATTCTGGCATCATGAAATGGCCGTCCAAGACCTGAGTAATGCGATATTCGTGGCGATGAGAAGATTCTGCGCAATGGAGGAACATTCATTATCCCGGGAGTTCAAGCCCACAGGGACCGATCGCAGCGGCCTGGAATAGCTTAATGGCATGATTTCACGTTCACAGTGAAGCAATTTGTTCTACGTTATGTGAATACTGGCAAGGAGACGGCACAGAGTCCTAGCGTAATTGAGACTGACAGATTGTTTTTGGAATCCCGGTTTCTTTGACAGAAAGGGATGTCTGCGAGTAGTTCGAGATGTAGTGGGCTGAGCCGTGGAAAGGTCTCTCTGACCTCCGAATCAGTTGGCAATAGGGCATCCCTACTGCGTGCCGTCCATGTAGATGTAACCACCTCAGCATGTTCTGCGACGCTAATGCTTCGACTCCTGCGATGCACATAAATGGAGCCTCATAGCAAATGATTCGCAGTCGGTCTCTTGCTGAATGCTTTTGGATTTCCTGCCAGGTCTTTATGTATTGTACACTTGGCCTCTATTTCGTTTGCACCTCTGATGACGCACTCAATGCTGCAGATGAGGTTGCATTTTGGCCCTTCTCGTGCTCCCTTATTTGCTTGGTCCAGCTGGTCTCGAATCAGTACTCTGGAACTCCCATCTATACTGAGGCGGGGACAACATAAACAGAACACATACTATCGGCTTGGGTAGAATCGGCCTGGTTCTGGCATCTTGTGTCTGAATTCGCGATCCGCGCTGAGCCTCCAAGTGAGAGCTGTGAACCCCAGAATCACGGCTCCGAAGACAGCAGTGTTCACCTTCCAATTGGACGGTTGGGTGTACCAGCCACCTGCTGGTGACCAGACGTGCTTGGGATAGCTACCGGCAAGGTGTCAGTCTCGCATTTCGCATGGATGGGTGACGGGCGCTGTCGAATCGAAGGGGGGCTCGTTGGGAGCGGGCTACTAACGGAACTCTGGGACCACCACCCTGTCAAGCTGTCAGCATGAAGCAATCAAAGAAGGCCAGTCTGGGATACTCACCATTGTGACCTGTCTCTCTTTGTCAATTGGGAAAGATGGGTTAAGTGTGACGATAATGTCTGCGGGCGACGAGAGCTTGACTTGAGGTCAGTCAATCAGCTTGTCGCGGATTGGCTAGACGTCGTTGGTTTCTCTGCCGGCCGGGAGAGGGCACCGACGGGACCGCGTCGATGGGCAGTCTAACCGTAGGCAATTATGTCAGCGAAAACTCGACGCAGCGGTTAGCTAACATTGACCGGGGTGTCTCCCAGAGCTCACACGAGCGCCATGCGCAGACGCCTCTGATAGTGCGTCTGAGCTCACCATTTTTTTCGCAACGGCTGCTCGCTCTGCTCCACGCGACGGCCATCCACACGACCACCACGACCACGACCACCTCCCATGACGACGATCCCCCCGCGTTCCACGTCCAAGTAAAGGTGCTGTATCCCAATTGAGTGGCCTGGGAGCACAGCCTGCACATTTTCTCCCCATGAAGAGGTTAAGGTTGGAAAAATGGTCCGGGCACCTGCTCACAGCTCGCCCGGGGGCTGCATCAAGATGCCTCTCGTCACAGTCTCGAGCACAAATCTCTAGACCCCAGCAGCTCGCCTCTTCACCAAGATGCCAATCGACAGCAGCGGCAAGAGATGTTGAGGCTGAGATCAGGCAGGGGCAACTCGAGCCAAGCGAGCCCATATCCACCGACCAATTCTCCACGAGTGCGACGGCTGATCCGCCGCTGTGGCCTTCAATATCCAACCAAGAACCCATAGGGCCGGTGCCCTCTCCGCTACCCCGGGATGCCCTCAAATCCGCCAAGCTGGCCGCTCTGCATGCTCGGCTGTCCCTTTCCGACAGGATTCCCGTCCAGACTCTCGCGCGCACACTCGTCGACGCCTCCGCCGACCCAGCGCCGCTGTTCAACAACTCCAACCTCGCCTTCCTGGGCCAAACGCTCATCAGCTACCATACCTCCGAGCTTCTCATGTGCCGTTTCCCGAGACTACCTATGCAGATCCTACATGCAGCAATGAAGACATACAGTGGCGACAAGACCCTCTACCATGTCGCACGGTCTTGGGGTATCGAGAGCGCCGCCGCGCCGGGCAGTGAGGTCGACCCGGGCTTGTTGCAATTCTCGCTTGACAAGGAGCGGACATCCAATACCAAGTGGGGCTTTGCGAGAGCCGAGACTGTCTGGGGCCCAACGAAGGGCCAAAGGTTCCGAAGGGGTATCTCGAGCAGGGTGGTCCTGGACGACGACTTTGGTGACATGGTTGTTGACCTGAGAAACGCGGAGCCAGAGCTGGAGACCGAGGCTGAGACGAGCGAGGAAGCCGAAATCGACCTTCCGGTGGAGCGACAATTGACCTTGGGCGATCCAAACGAGAAAATGAACAAGGCGTATAACATCCACGCGACATTCGTGCGCGCCGTTGTGGGGGCAATCTATACGCACTGCGGAAGAGAGACTGCGCGGTCATTCATCAAGGCGCACATACTCTCACGGCATTTCGATCTGCAGCAGCTATTCTCCTTCCGACATCCCACAAGAGAACTATCCCGCCTCTGCGCCAGGGAGGAGTTCGACCCGCCGGTGGCAAGACTGTTGTCCGAAACCGGACGGCTGTCCAGGACACCGGTGTTTGTGGTCGGCATTTTCAGCGGGAACGACAAGCTGGGAGAGGGGGCAGCGGCATCCCTGGATCATGCCCGCCTCAAGGCTGCGATGAACGCCCTCAAGGCGTGGTATCTCTACAGCCCTGGCGAGGACGTGCGGGTGCCGAGTGATATGCTGGTGGATGGGGCCAAGCCATGGGAGCCGGTATATGTCGACGTCGGCGAAGTGGTATGAGCCAGCTGGTTTAAATGATTTGGTCGAGCCAACGAAAATCTCAGGTCAAGTGGGTAGGGCGGGCGGCATCAGCGGCGTACTATAGACTCGAAAAATGTACGAAGAGCCCTTAGTGACGGTCAAGGACCCCTGGGAGCTGGCCCAGGCGTGGTTCGTGGCTACTCGCCTCTCACTCCTTCGGGAGTTGTATATTCTGTTTTAAACAATAAAACGCCGAAATCAAGAGTAAGAGTACTGGAGGACGCAAGTTCTCCACCTGGCCCCTGTTAAAATCGCGCTGCGCCCTACCCAAAACAAAAACCACTGTGTAGTCTAAGAACAACTGTTAGTATTGACCAAGATGAGGCTGTGTTGATGCTCTACGAGATTCAATTACTATATTATACTGCCGGGGTATCTTGTACACCTTAGGAAAGCCTCCACCTGAATTTTACACACCATTCCAGCCAATTCAGCTGAAATGATCACCCTCTCCCAACTTGCCATCAACACCAAGCTGAACCCTACGCCTCCTTCTCTCTGACTTCTCCTTGCCCTCCCTCTCGAGCCTCATCCTCTTCCTCCTCTCGTAGACCGCCTTGACCGTCTTGCGTATCTTCTCTCTGCCCTCGTCATAGTTCGCCCTAGCCAGCTCCACCACCTTGTCGATCTGCTCCGGCGTATACACAAAATTCCAGGTGCTCATGTAATCGCTCGTTCCAGGGTCCACACCCTCGACTTTGTCGTTCTTGAGGAAGGGCAGGTAGACCACCGCGATGCCGGCGTCGGGCTCCTGGAGGTGCCAAGCCGTGGTGTCGTCAAGCGCCTTCGAAGGTGGCGGCGGCTCGGAGGAGCGTTCCTGAGTGGTGCCAACCCACACGGTGCAGTAACCCAGCTCCCCGGACTCGGCCTCCCCCTTCTCGAACTTGTGCGTGCCCTCTGCTTCCTCCGGCCCGAAACCAGCTTTGCGGCGGCGTGCAGCTTGATCGGCCTTGGCCTCGTTGAGCTTGGCCTCTGCTTCTGCAGTCGAGGCGGCTTCGGCATCCCGCAATTCTTTCGCGACCTTCGTGTTTGGCTCACCTGGCTTCGGCCAGCCTACTCCGATGGGCCATCCCTTGATCCCGCGCTGCCGTGCGTACCCATCCGCTACGGAGAGCCAATTGTCCGTCTTGACATCCGCGGAGGCGTCAAATGCGATGAGGATGTCAACATCACGGCCCGGTCGCAGAAGTGGGTATATTGGTAGGTTGTTCGACATCCCGGCGTCCATTAGCTGCAAGTACTCATTTTTATAGATACTTGTGGGTGTTGTGCGCGGGAGTTGGCCTTCCATTCCATATGTAAAATTTGGCAGCATGGCCGGGTCAAAGGGGTGGACTTTGCTCAGGTCTTCGTTGTGCCCGGAGATCATCTCGTCGATCGTTGAGAAGCCCGTCAAGCTCCGAACTAGGGGACGGACCTCGCGGTAGTAGTGGCTGAGAGTGGCACAGAAGGCGCTCCCGAAGATACCCATTAGGAGTGGCATACGAGCTTCGGGTAGATGGAAGCCCTCTTCGGGAGGGACGTCTCGGCCGCCTTTGAACTTCCGCCCAATGGCCCAGGTTGGAATTCCTGCGGAGAATTCTTCACAGAAAGTCTCGTAAGGCGTGATCTCAAACCATTGAAACCAGGCTTCCTTAGCAGCCTCTTCTTTCTCTTGTTCGGTTGGGTGGCCGGTCCCATCGGCCGCGCTGGTAATATTCGGAATCTCGTGTCGGACTGCCGTATATATGGGAAATGGATTTTGCCCATATTTGATGTTCTGCCTCTGGTTCGACAACTTGAAATCCCTAGCGTCCACGCCCAACTCGCCCTTGGGAACGAGGAGTCTCGCTGCCAAAAGTGTGCCGTATATGTCAACAAGACCGAAGTCTGCGTTGGGGTCTCCCCTAAGCTTCTCTACGAGACCGCTCAGTAGGTATCTGTTCGTGGGCGCTGATGCCAGCGATGAGAATGCCACCGGCGGGTACGCAATATGGACACCGATTCTTGCCTTGAGATGGTCCAAGACGCGGCTCAGACTGCCCTGTGAAAAAGTCGAATGGAACAAGGCCTGCAGCCAGCATGAACCACTCACGCCAGAGGTGTACGTAACACAATCGAAAAGGCCGTCCTCTGCCGTTGCGATCATGCTCCCAGTGCCTGCAACCAAAGCCCGCAAGCCGCCGCCGGAGCCGCACATTGCGATCGTAGGCACATCATCCTCGTGTACCTCCCCCTCGTCCAGTTCCAAATACTTCGCCAGGGCCACCGTGACAATTCTCTTCCTCCGAGCCAGAAACTCTTTCTCCTCGTCGCACAAATCGTTTGACACGCGCACCTTGGCGGAATACCGTATCTCAGGGTTGATCTCGGGATCGTGAGCTTCCTTCCAAATCTCATCGGCCAAAGATCCAGGGGCCATGGACAATTCTCCCTGAAGTTTCCTGATATACCCCGGGATGAACTTCGACCATTCGGGTAGAAGGAAGTCGATCACCTTGTCCGAGACCGCGCGCCATTCCTGGTCTGTGATGACACTGAAATTTTGGAAAGCTGTGGTGAAATCATACCAAGCTCCAGATTCCTCGCTTTGAGCCGCCTGGTTGTTATGGCCGTTGTCCTTTGGCTGGTCCTCCTTGGTGGTGTCCTCCTTAGCGGTGGAAGCTTCGTCGTGTGTGGCCGGGCTGACCTGGCTTGCCGTTGGTTGGAGTTCTTGAAAGGCATCTGACGGATAAAGGGACCAGATCAGTACGGCGGTGATAGAGATGATGGCGGGTAAGGTGCGCTTCGGTTTACGTTGCTTGGTGCCGGATGAGAAGAAGCCATGTCGGAGTTGTTGATGTCCATGAGGGCTGGCTTGTTGACGCGTGACAGTCGCCCTTTTGGAAGTCCATTGGTGCAGCCGGGTCGGACGGCGATGGATCGATTGACAAGTGCGACTGGTCTGCAATGAAGCCCTGTGTATTGCTTGTCGAGGGAACCTCATTGCGTTGCGGGTGTGAGGCCAAAATACCTCGCCCAATCGAAGGAATTAGATGGTCGGCCAGGTGAGTGTTCCCATAAGCCACGCGTGAACAATCATGTCAGTCAGGAATGACGGATCAGACTCAATGTCGAGAAAATTTGCGCATCAATGGGCCGATCTCAAAAAGCATAGCTTGGAGTCTATGAATTGATGCTGCTGATCCGCACTATTTGCAGATGTGCAAGGCCATCGCGAAGGTGAGGTGAGAGTGATATCATGTCTTCCCCGGTGGCGGGAAACAGGTTCGTGGAGCACTAACGCCTAGAAGATTCCTCCCGCTTCAAGCTGGTGCCGCCATACCAAGCTTTAGGTGTGGTAAATTTTTCGACGCTCGAAGATAGTAGCCTACAGTGGACTACATTGTCTACCGCGAACACATTACCAATGAAGCATGGAATTGTATTTCTCTGGAATGTGTTCGTCATCGTAAGTTTCTTTTATTACGTACCCCGGTACTCGTGTACCCAGGTAGTGAATGAGTGAGTGATGAGACCATTCCCTCAGCATCGCCGCGACAGGGCAGTACTACACGAAGCTAAGCCAACCCGCCGACTTTAAGATTTCGTTGTTCCCGCAAATTCAAATAAATTGATATCCGATATATATGCAGCAGCCATGGACGGTTCCCACAAACCTGTACTTTGTACATCAAGCACGTTGGGACAAATTTGCCCCAAGAGTGCCTGGGCATCTGCGCGTGCTGCGTACTGAGATCCACAAGTTCAGATGGGATCTGTAACCAGTGATACTCCGGATCGGTGTTTGCGAGGCAACGTGGAGAGGCTGTATGGCCCCAAGCAATGGTTTCACAAGCCTACGTGAGTGGGCGGTGCTCAAAGTCGGTGACGTGTTCGACAACAGGGACAACAATCAAGGAGATGACATTCACTGCTGCTGTTTTTTGCTGCGAGTAGCAAGCCATCTGATCTTTGCGTGCAGAAGCTTTGCCGTGACATTACAGAGATGGGTTGAGTTTGTGCGCCGCGAGGATCGCCGCGAGGATCACACAATGTTTGGTGTTTTGCGATTGAGAACAGACGAATCCACGTGCTCCTCCACCGACTGCTGCGGCGGACGGATTCCTTCCTGGAGGGCTGGAGGGCTGGAGGGATCAACAGCGCCGACGGCAGACAGAGTTCAAGGCAATGCAAGAGACAAACGGCTTGGAGATGAAATGCTTCAACGTAGACGGCCTGATGTGGATCTGCGTGCACGAAACGGCATCCTAATCAGAGGCGTGGAGCCAATTGAGAGCACCATCTTAGATTGGACCCCCTGCCCGTCACCCTGGGCGTGGGACAACCCCTGCCCCCTCCCCTAGTGCTAACGAGTGAACCGACCTAACGAACGGTTGACCCTCTGGGGGGCCCCGTCCTAACTCCACCTTGGGACAGATTGCCCATCAGCGGGCGAGAGAGCTGGGCCCTCGTTTCCCTCTGTTACGGGACTGCTGATTCCTGTCTGTCGTATGGCCCTGGGCTGCCGCTGTATTGCTCTCTACCTACCCAAGGTACTCTGCCACCCGCACCCAGACCCAGACCCGCACCATCACCTGCACTTGCACATCTGCACGCAGCAAGCAAGCACGAGCCCCCTTTTCTACAGCTCCCTGCACGGGCCAACTGTCACCCGGTGGGAAAGTACCCTTTTGCCCAAATTTCCTACAGCCCCTTTGCAATCACCTCAACCTTCTCCCAAATCTGCCCATTCTCCGTGCCGTGCAGACTTTCACGACACGACAATTCTCCTTCATCTTCTCATCTCGTCCTATTTCGTAGTATTCTTTTGACGCCAACGGCCATCGCTCTCTCCCACCTTCACGAAGGCCCTTTCCCCTCCGCGCACCTCTAGCCTCGACCCGACTCGACCAGAGCTGTGTGTCCCTTCCTGGTATGTCGCTTTCCCCGTCTTCCCTCCCTGCCTCCCTCGTCAATGCATGCGTCGTAGAAGGCAGCCTCTCTGCTCCTGCTCCTGCGCTCGTCACCACCTGTACCCAGACTTGGGCGCATCGTCTTGCATCTTGCTCGATACGATTCTCTCTTCTGCGTACCCCCATAGCACTGAATAATTGATATACTTTCCGAGTTCATCGGTGAATCTTGGCGGCCCGGGTCATTGGGTCTCCAGCTCCCTACTCCTGACGACGGGAATGCTAACACTTTTCCTCCCCGGCCATAGTCACTCGTTCCTTCCCTCCTTTTTCGACCTCAGCCAATTCTTCATTCACAATGGGTAAGCGCAAACAACTTCCTGCCTCGAAGGGTAATAGCAATTTGGGGAGCCAAGCAAGAATCAATCCTGGACTCGGCACGACGACCAACCCTCGCCTCGACCACCTCGTTCACGGCGCGTCAAGCTTCCGGCCACTGCGAGCTTCTCGACCGCCCACTCAACCTCCATCATCGGCAGTTTCTCGTGCGACATCAATTGAGATTGTCCCTGAAATGCCATTGTGGTGGTCGATCGGAACCTGGGAGAGAGACGAGGCAGCCAGCAACTGCATTGCCAATGCACCATGCCTTTCGACCTGATTCATCCGAACAAGACACGCTCGCGCAGTGTCCAACTGGACAACTTCATCACAAGCACCAAGCGGACACCAGCGTCTCCGCCACCGGTTATTGCCACCAGATCCAGTAGCCTTGCGCATCGCGAAAACGAACGGCCAGCTCCCAACTATCGGAGCATGTTAGATGTCGAGACTCCCCCGAAGATCGCCCCATTGAGAGCCATGTGCTTGGACGAGCTCCATCGAGAGATCTTGCCGCTGTCTGAGTGTCAGGCTCCTTGATTCTGCTGCACTGGCTCCCAACAATTGCTTCCTCTCGAGACTCCAATCATGGCGATTACGACGGGACGATTTACTGACACATCTTTTGTGTAGCTTCCAACGGCGCCCCAGTCACCACCCCTCCCGAGCTTCCCATCGGCAAGCCCTCCTCTCCCATTGCGGATTTGGGTGCAGCAGAATATGAGCAGAATCCTAACCTCAAGCCTACAGTCTCATCTGGCGTGATTGAGAACAAGAACATTGTGCGCAGGAAGCTGACGGGCTACGTTGGCTTTGCCAATCTTCCCAACCAATGGCACCGCAAGAGTGTTCGCAAGGGCTTCAACTTCAACGTTATGGTTGTTGGTGAGTACCCATATAACCCCAACATGCTTCTGGTCGATCACCTCTGACACTCGACTTCAGGCGAGTCTGGTCTCGGAAAGTCAACTCTTGTCAACACTCTCTTCAACACTTCCCTGTACCCGCCCAAGGAGCGCAAGGGACCCAGTCTCGACATCCTCCCCAAGACTGTCACCATCCAGTCCATTAGCGCAGATATTGAGGAAGCGGGTGTTCGCCTGCGCCTGACTGTTGTTGATACCCCTGGCTTCGGTGACTTCGTCAACAATGACGAGTCCTGGCGGCCAATCACGGATAACATCGAGCAGCGTTTCGATGCTTACCTCGATGCCGAGAACAAGGTCAACCGGATGAACATCGTGGACAACCGCATTCATGCATGTGTCTTCTTCATCCAGCCCACTGGCCACTCGCTGAAGCCTCTCGACATCGAGGTCATGAAGCGTCTCCACACCAAGGTCAACCTTATTCCCGTCATCGCCAAGTCTGATACCCTGACAGACGAGGAGATTACCGCTTTCAAGGCGAGGGTAAGTTTTCTAGCATTGATTCCTTGGCACAGTTTCTAACATCTCGACAGGTCCTGGCAGACATCAAGCACCACAACGTGCAGATCTTCGAAGGCCCTCGTTACGAGCTCGATGACGAGGAGACCATTGCCGAGAACAACGAGATAATGTCCAAGGTTCCTTTCGCTGTCGTTGGTGCCACCGGTGAGATCACAAACGCCGACGGGCGCAAGGTGCGCGGTCGCCAGTATCCATGGGGTGTCATCGAGGTCGACAATGAGGAGCACTGCGACTTCGTCAAGCTCCGACAGATGCTCATCCGAACACACATGGAAGAGCTCAAGGAGCACACCAACAATCTTCTCTACGAGAACTACCGAACGGACAAGCTCATCCAGATGGGTGTGTCACAAGACCCAAGCGTCTTCAAGGAGGTCAACCCCGCCGTCAAGCAGGAGGAGGAGCGTTCCCTCCACGAGCAGAAGCTCGCCAAGATGGAAGCCGAGATGAAGATGGTCTTCCAACAAAAGGTTGCCGAGAAGGAGTCAAAGCTGAAGCAAAGCGAAGAGGAGCTGTACGCCAGGCACCGAGAAATGAAGGAGCAACTGGAGCGTCAACGACTGGAGCTCGAGGAGAAGAAGTCGAGAGTCGAGAGCGGCCGGCCGATCGAAAAAGAAGGCAAGAGGAAGGGATTCTCCCTTCGATAAGCCTCGACTCACTGAGCGCCTTTCTTCTACGATCCACGCCTGCATACGCCTTATGCCCATGCACTACCAGCCTGCCGCTTGTTTCCAATTTCGTCTTCACTGTCACCATTTTAATCACGTCCTACCTAATCCTCGAAAAGTCCTCCATGGTTCAGCTAATCGAAATGGTCCCTTGGAGCGTGGCAAAATGGCACCTCGGCCGGAGACCAGGATTACCTACTTTGGAGAAAGACGGCGTGTCGCATCTGACCGACTCTCTTCAACTCTGCTCGGGGTTCCTAGACCTTCTGCGATATACACTTTGGCTTGAAGGTCCTTGAGCATAGGCCTCTGCGATTTCCAAAACAGCCTAGAGTACATTTCTACACCCCATCGGACCAGGAGCTGGTTTTGGTAATGCACGGCTTCCTGGTGCAAGCGTACACACAGCGCTGGCTTTTTCTTCTTCGCAACCACCCACGTGTCGGCTCGACATTTCGAAATACGACTTTCTATAATTTATGACGGACGCTGAGACCCCTCCTTGCCATAGGGGACCAGTCCACTTTCGCTGGTGACCCACGACCAACACTTCGGGGAACTTCCTTCTTTCTTCTCGGCGAGGCGTCTTTATGACCCCTCAGAAGTTCTGACGGCCGGTTGTGGGATGCGCGACGACGTGTGACGGAGAGCAGCGGTTGTGATACCTAATCATGGAGGATGAGGCCGGATGGGTGGACGGTTGAGCCGTGGGCGTAGATGTCTTGTGGATGCATCCTGTATCTCAAAGACCGGTTTTTGTTTGGAATCTGGGATCGCATTTGACGGCTTTACTCTACTAACATACCCCCTCATGCCCCTGATTCTCCCAAGCACGTCTTTCCTCGTTTTATTTTTCCCCGGCCCGCTTTGAGTGTCGAGTACTACTGTATTTTCCTTGTCGTCGCCCTGCAGCTCTTCTCTAGTTTAGTGGTTCTGATCAGAAAATGATGGATTTCCATCACAGCTTTTTGCGTTTCCTCATGGCATGTGCAACGTTCTTTTAGTGCGGAGCAGACACGAAACAGGATCCCCAGTGTGCCTCAGATCGTCGTCAAATAGCCTGTGACCAATACTGCTACTTTGGATTGCAAAAGACTAGCGACGCCATTGAACAGTTCAAAGTGACAATTTGCCCTGATGTCTGATGCGGGGGTACTCACGTAGTTGCGGAGGCTTCGTACAAGGCTTTTGTCTTATATCACGTATGGAGTTTGGCGAGGAGAACGGTAGCATCCGGATGTAACAGGCGAGTTCATGAAGTGGTGTTACAATTGCCTCTGTTGTACATCTCATCTATGTCTAGCCGTCCGGCACATAAATACCCGATTTGGACATGTTATATACAAGGCAGGTCACCCAAACAATCCACCGCTGTCATGCTCGCCTCTCAACTACCCTCAGCCTGTACAAAGCCCGCTTTCTTTATCTCCTCCTCAGGTACCAGTTGAAGGCCAGCTGCATGACGTGCGGCGGGAACGGCGTCGGCACCTCGGCGTACTTCTGCCGAGCCACCGGGTGCCGCAGGTACACGGCCGCGCAAATGTTCTGGTTGACCTCGAGGTAGCGCGGGATGAAGGCGAAGGCGCCCATGAAGCGCCGCGGCTCCCAGGGCGTGAGGTACGGCTTGGACAGGTCCTCGGGGTTGTCCTCCCACTCCTTGACCAGCCTGTTCATCCGCGAGACCTCCTCACGCGACATGACGTAGTCTGCACGCGCCTTCGCCGCGGGCTTCTTCTTGTCCTCCTGCTCCTCCTTCTGTGGCCCTTCCGTGGCCTTGGCGACCTCGTCGGGGGTGAACGCCCCCGACTGCTCCGCTTTCTGGGCGATTGTGGGGTCGGCGACGGACAGGTCTCGAAGCATGGCATTGATCTCTTCCATGACCGTCTTGTCGGATGCGACCTCTGCCTCGCCCCCGTCACGGCCTGCCTTTGAGAGCGCCGCGCGGGACATCTTGATGAAGTTACGGAATTTGCGCTTCTTCTTGACCTGCAAGTCGCCCTTCTGCTGCTCGAGGATTTCCTTGGCCTGCTTCGACAGGAACCTCAACACGCGGGGGATATTGCCTGGTGCGTTTGGCTGAGCCTCGGTAGGGGTTGCGCCTTCTTTATATGCTTCATTCTTTGCGAGTCTTGCCTCGAGTGCATCGAGGTCTGGTGTCCTATCCTCGGGGGCTACTTCGTCGACTTCGCCTTCGCCCTCGCCCTCGGCGGCAGCCTCTTCACCTTCAGCTTCTTCTTCACCTGCCGCCTCTTCTGAAGATGCGGCAGCCTTGCGGCTTTTCTTGGGAACCTTGGGTGGTGGCGGTGGCTTCTTCTTGCCAGTCGCGAGAAGTACGAATTCGGGGTTGATTTGGAACATGTCACCGGGGTTAAGGAGGTAGCTTGGATGTGTCATCTACACAGCTTGTGGTTAGGCGGCCGCGTCTAACGAAAGGGAAAAGAGACCTGTTGAGCACATACCACTTGGCCGTTGACTTTGACCGCACCATGAACGACAAACTGCCTCGCTTGTCGCGTACTGCTAGCAAATAAAGCTCTGAAAATTGCCACGTCGATCCTCCTCTCCAGCGGAGCGTAGGCCATATTCATGTACGGGGTCTGGCCCTTGAACTGTTGCAGGTTTGTCTCCTTCCGGGAGATGTCCCGACTTTGTTCGAGCTCAACCAGGTCCAGGTCGGGCTTCGCAGGGAAGCCGGCCTTGGCTCTCTTGTTGATGACCTGGCCGCGCTCATGCCAGGGCGTGACGTCCTCGAAACTGGGCTTGTCCTTTCCGGAACCCCTACCTGCGGCCTGCTCGGAGCCGTCGTTGTGGGCCATGTAGACGGGGTCCATGTTGACGACGGAGAGCATGCGGCGGTTGAACATGCGCTCCCACTTGCGCTCCTTGATATGCTCGCCGTGGTAGGCACGCGTCAGGGCCTTTGCGTTCCATTTCTGCTGGAAAAAGGTCCTCTGGATGTAGTTTGGTATTGTTCGTTCAACCTTGGACAGGTTGTAGAGGTTGTACTTGTTCCATGTTTGGCGGACTTTCTACTCAATAGAATGCCATTGGTCAGCCGGGCTGGAGTGGACGGAAAGACATGGCCATCACAAGGTACGTCTTCGAGAGGGGTGGGATAGTATCGCGAAATGAGACGATATAGGATGGAGACTGATGGAAGTGCTTACCCCCCGTCTCAAACTGTGGAACTTTAATGTCCTTCTCAACTTCATTCTGATCTGTGGAGGGAGTCGAGCAGGCCAGACTAGACTCGGGATACAAGGCAATTGGACGAGTCGAGTTGGCCGGGTCCGTGACGATGTCGGGCTGCGACAATGGTCAATGAATGAATGGGGCTCGAACTCTGCTGTGTGGTCTCTCTATGCCGTCGTCGCGACTCTCCAAAATTTTAGGACAGTCGGCTGCTCTGGCTCGTCACACTAACCCGTTGGGGCGACAAGCTTGGAGCTCCACAATGGGACACTGAATGGCTGCAGGGCAGCCGCCCGTGTGGGCGGGCTAGCTGTGGGGTACCCAGGTACCTGCACCTTGGCGGCTCTGGTCTACTGGCTTTTTTATCACAGCTCTTATCGGCCCAGAAAAAGTTCAGCAGTTCGCCTCGAACTCGCCTTCTTTTTATTTTCCCCATCATTCCTCTCCATCCACCAGAGCAGTCTGACTCCTTCTGCTGTTCTGAGGCCAATCACCATCACCCTAACTCGACATCTACCCAGGGAATATTGTGCAGTCCCAGGTCTCTTGTCGCTAGGTCATCTTCCTTTTCCAGGTCGACCATTGTACCTTGTACCCCGCCGCCGCAAGACTCACCTCGGCGGAGAGTCACACTCTCCTTGCGCTGCCCACCTACTTCCACACCCTCTGTTCAATTTCTCCAGCTCTGCGCGCTCCTGTTCATCTCCTCCATATTCTATTCAAAAGCTCACTGCCGAAGATATGGCCGACCCAACTACCAAAGTCGAGGCAACCGAGCCTGAGGTGTCTGCGCCTGCCGTTGAGTCGACCACCGCGGCCCCTTCCACTGCCGAGATCACCAAGGACGAGCCCGTCAATACTGAGCAGACCGAGGAGGCTGTGGCGACCGAGAAAAATGGAGATACTGCCGTGAAGAGTAACGATGTCAAGGAGGACAAGGACGTCGCGACTCTCAATACCCGGGCGCACGACCACCACCGCGACAGCAACAATCGCAAATACGATCCTTCTATTCTGACCGTTACGGATGACCCCCACTTGATCCGTGTCCAGGTATAAACACTGTTCCAAGATATTGAGGCCGCAGACAGCCCTTGCTAATAAATGCTCAGGTCGAGTTCTACTTTGGAGACAACAACCTGCCCCAGGACAAGTTCATGTGGAATCTGACTGGAGGATTCGACAACAACCCTGTCCCTCTCAAGAAGATCTGCTCATTCGGCCGCATGCATCGCTTCCAACCCTATGAGGCTGTCGTTAAGGCTCTGCGTGACAGTCAATTCTTGGTCATCTCAGGTGATGAGGGCAGCGAGACGGTCGCTCGCAAAGTTCCCTACAAATCTTCCAAGCCTGGCGACAAGTTCCCAGTTTCAGTCTATGTCAAGGGCTTTGGCGACGAGAAACCATCGACCCAATTCGACATCGAGGCCTTCTTTGCCAAATTCGGCCCAGTCAACGCCATTCGACTCCGCCGAACTGATGATCACCTTTTCAAGGGTTCCGTCTTTGCTGAATTTGATACGGAGGAGGACGCAAAAGCTTTCTTGGCCCTTGACCCCCCGCCCAAGTGGGAGGGTCAAGATCTGAAGATCATGTCTAAGCGGGCCTACGTTGACGAAAAGAAAGAGCTGATCGATGAGGGCAAACTTGAGCCCAGCAAGAGCAAAGCTCCCCGAACCTTCTGGGAGGGAGTGGACCTTGGCCGTGGACGCGGAGGACAGCACTTCAGGGGCGACAAGGATGACTGGAAGGCACGCAAGGACCACGACCGCAGGAACAACAACCGTGGTGGTAGGGGCGGGCGTGGAGGCCGAGGACGTGGTGGTCGAGGACGCGGAGGTCGTGACTTCGACCGCGGTAACAGGCGCGATCGGGACGAGGCCCGTGAAGACCGCAAGGATTCTGCCGAGGGCACCAAGTCTGGCTCGCCTAATGGTAAGCGTTCTCGCGAGGACGATGGCGCCGCCGCTCAGGAGCCCCCAGCCAAGAAGGTCGACACCAAGGCGGAGGCTTGAAGGAGTCTAGAATTTGGAGAGGAAGAGCTGCTCATATCCTGAGTGATACCCGGATCGATATCTTCGGCATTTGGAACGGTTTTATTCGCACTCTCGGGGCTGCGAACACAAAACGGTGGACGGGATCGGCGTTAAATGGACGGTTGCTTTGAGTTATTGTTCATCAGGACGGAAATTTCCAGTTCCTTCAAATGATCATGATCCAGACCTGGTCGTTGGCGATTTGACGGCTTGAAATCCGCTTGAAAGCCATCAGAGACTTGCCTGGGTGCATCATGTCTGTAAAGGCGTAGGCTACATCGAGCAGCATTACTAAAATGAAAAAGATTTCAACTAGATTCCAAGATCCTGCAACAAACAGTGGTGACCATCATGTGACGCGAACTGGCAACAAGCCCCCGTCCTCTTGTGTACTTCCGAGAAATCTACCAGTAGGTTAAAGCGGACTACGAATTTCATGGAATAGGATACCATTTCTCTCGTGCTGGGTCCACGTGGGTGCCTGCGGTCATACGAAAAACGTGCTGCTGTAGGGTGAATGGCCGTGCGATTGAAACGCCCTGGACACCTTTTTTCAGTCCCGGCACTGCCTCAAGGCATGAGTCCCCAAGGCAATGTTCTTTGTGCAACATTGCAAGTATGTCTCTTGTTTCCACTCTCCTCAAGCAACCAAAACTTAGATTTGTATCTTACTGTGCGCGTGTGCCGCAGCTTTGTTCTCCTCGAGACACATGCCGAGGAGTCAAAACAAGCACTTTCGTCTCAAGCCCCTACAGTTGACGACTTGCCTTGCGATTTTTTGTTGATTCATGTTGAACAGGTATTGGAGATCCCGCACGTAGTGGAGGCGCCTTAATTTTGTCCAGCAGCCTGACGGGAGTCTCGGTTTCGTGGTTCTGCAACCCGATGGGCCGAAGTGTGTTCGTCAGCTTCTGCTTTATGCCAACTTTCACTACCGCGTCATGATTAGACTACGAGCTGTATCATCTCCACATAGAATCACCTGGTTGTTTTTTTGCGAGAGTTGTTATTTAGCTTAGAGCTGCCACGATCAGGGTGTCTAAGATGTAATTACGGATGATTTGAAGTGGGAGTGTTCTGGCCGGCGAAGCTCTGGGGAACTTGATGTGCGTGAAGCTTGTCCGTGGGCTCGTTCGCGACCTGGCACTCTGCTGAGGTTAGACACAGTATTTACGGTCAGAAAAAATGCGTAAGGAGTACATGGATGGTACTCAGGAATACGAGCGTCTTCGCGTCACCGCACAATTGAGCTGCTGTTCGAAACTTTCTCGCTTTACAACCGCATCCTTATTAGCATCATCGCCGTACGTGGGTACTGCGACGTATGAATCTCGTCACTGATGTCTCCAAGCTACTTCTGCGCGTAAACTTTCTGCCGGCGGTTCCTATCTTAACCCACAGAACGCTTCTCGGTCATTTTTCATTTGCCGTAAAGCCCCATACGTTGCTTTAAATATCTTTAAAGACTTTGTGCTGGTGATATTAATACGTTCAAGACTTCGGACGTCATTCTCCAAACCATCACCACCTCCCTTAGTTGTCCCTGGCACATCTTGCTGATCGGCAGTTCCTGTCATTCTTTCATGCTTGTCTGTGGGGTTCCAGGATGATTTAACGTTATGGGATATGAGCCATAAGATGATCAAAACTGCCAAATCTTTCTGGCCAGGCACAATCAACCTGTCGAGAATTGTTTCCTTTCTCCAAAGCTGGGCCTCGACGATTCATGATCGAGTTGTCACAAGCAAGAATGATATCCGTGAAAAGATGATCCCTGAGATATGGCCAAGGGTTCCTCGATTCTGTATCAAGAATGCCAAAGCCTGACACAAGAGCAAATATTTGCTCTTTCAACCAGCGGCACAGCATACGAGCAGGTCGCAGTGGAGATAATATCTATGTTTCCAAGAACCGCCAGGTTATGGATATCACTTGAAGTCTCTGATTTGCGCAGGTTGGTAGTGTTTCTACGGATAACACAAGATCATGAATTAAGTCGAATAATTTGTTTAATGTAGTTATTAAGGGAAGTATCTTGGTTGCCTTAGGCTTTTATACCCAGTTATAGCTCTTTTTAAAAAATTATGAGTCAATTGACCCAGCAAAACAAGTGAAATGCTCTACTCTGGGGGTAATTCCGTGCCCGCTCACATGTAGCAGTATTCCAATCACAAGTCGCTTTTGGCAGCTCAAACGTCCAACTGTCTCTGTCCAGCTCGACTGGGTTCACCGCACTAGAGTCACCAACACAACGTGCAGACGAGTCACTTTAGCACAATTGAACCTTCTTAATTAGCTTTATCATCAGTTGCAAGAAGTCCCAGGGGAGAGGGGCGCAATAGAGTGTTCATGTCCACTTTGACATTGCTAGTAAAAGCCGTGAGTAAGTACACGAAATGTGCCTCCCCATAAATATGTGTATGCCACACACTCAGCTGCTGTTTTTTTAGTAGTCGTACTCATTTACAGAAGATCAAGAGCTTCGAGTCCACATCAAATACTCAACTGATGAAACCCAAAGCATGTCTGAGGCATACAGCCAGGCGGCAAGTATGTCAAGGACTGGCACTCCACGGCCTTTCTACGCTACGTTACACATGGCTAACCCAGGAACAATAGGACTTCTTGTCCGGAGTTTTGACACACTAATTAACTCCAACGGCGACTAGTAAGTGTCTTAAGCCCGGCCATTAAGTCCAGTTCATGTCATTGCTTTCAAGCCCGGTGCGCTTTCGGCACGCGGTGAAGACCGAAGCCGAGTGTCCCAGCCTGGTATACTACGAAGTGGATGAACTGTCAGGCATCTCATTTGTTACAATATCTTCCGTCTGCGCTAGTTGTGCGATCTGCGTTTGCGTTACCCACTTTGTTGGTTCCCTATAAGGGGTTAGTGAAAAGAATTTGTGCGAATCGGCACCGACAAGTGTGGATTTCGGGAGTCGGCAATGAGACCGCTCGTGGATGTGCTCGTGTTGAGGCTTTGCCAAACGACAGTCTTCGCTTGCTGCCCCTTTCCTTTTTAACTGTAACGAAAGAACTACGATGGCTGCATGAATTTCGTCTGGAAACTGCGGTCTTGTATGTTCTTTCTCTAGCCACTGAAGGCAAGCCAATTACTTCAACAAGGTCACTTCTTGGCGCTTGCTTCACTTATTCCGGTATATACATCTCAACACTTTTTGCTAGCTGCAAACGGTGTCCTGGAGCACCTACCCCGATTTCCGTCTTCAATACTCCCAAGTGCAATGAGCAAGTCCAACGAATTCGGGACTGGCTCCTCGTCACCGCCGCCACAATCAGCTGTGAATGATGAGACAGAGGCACAGGACTTTGGAAACCTGAATTCTGAGCATCAAAATTGTGATCACTTGCAGCACGAATCATCAGTTACGGATTCCAGGTACCTCAAACATGATGATGATGAGATCGAGGTGGAAAAGCCAAAACCTTCTACGGACGATGATTCTTCAAGCGCCTCCGGATCGATATCTGAACGATCGAGCAGGTTTGAATTTGGGCGTCGCCCCGAGGTGACAAGAACAATCAGCGATGTCCGGGACGGGATTGAAAGCCGACACGATGTCGAGGCTGCGTCACCACTTGAGAAGCAGCCCACCCCGCGACACCTAGCAGACCCGAACCTCGTGACCTGGAGCAACGATGATCCAGAGAATCCAAAAACATGGTCAATGAAACAGAAATGGGCAGCGGTGTCCGTCGTCTCAACTTTCACCTTAATCAGCCCCGTCTCGTCGACCATGACAGCGCCAGCCTTGAACTCCATTGCCAACGAGCTCAATATCACAAATGAGTTTGAGAAGCAACTCTCACTCTCGATCTTCGTCCTTGGTAAGGTTTAAGCAATGCAGGACGGGAAAATTTATCAGTAGCTAATACACTCCACAGCATATGCGATTGGCCCTCTCCTTCTCGGGCCACTGAGCGAGCTTTTTGGCCGTGTCATCGTCCTTCAGCTTGCTAACCTCTTCTACCTCTTCTTCAATCTCGGATGTGGTCTGTGTCACACAAAAGTTCAACTCATAGTATTCCGGTTCCTTTCTGGATTTGGTGGATCTGCGCCCCTAGCAATCGGCGGCGGGGTTCTTTCAGATCTGTTTACGGCTGAGCAGCGTGGAAAGGCCATGAGTATCTATAGTCTCGCACCTCTTCTTGGCCCTGCAATTGGTCCTATTGCAGGAGCATTCATATCTGAAAACACATCCTGGAGGTGGATCTTCTACGCTACAACCATAGCGGATGCCGTGATCCAATGTTCAGGGCTCTTCTTTCTGCGAGAGACTTACGCTCCAGTATTGCTGCGTTGGCGCAAGGAGAAGCTCATCAAAGAGACAGGCAACACTCAGCTCTACACTGACTTCGATAGCCCGGACAAGACTGTTTCGAGAACTTTAGCCACAGCCTTCGTGAGACCCTTCCGCATGCTGTTCACTCAGCCTATCATCCAGGTCCTCGCTCTCTATATGATGTATCTTTACGGCCTGATGTACCTCATCTTGTCTACTTTTCCAGGTCTCTGGGCATCATATGGCATGAGCACTGGAATCGGTGGGCTGAACTACATAGCCCTCGGGCTTGGCTTCTTTCTTGGAGCTCAGATCTGTGCTCCCATCCAGGACCGCATTTATGCTCGACTTAAAAAGCACTATAATGTGTCCGTGGGCCGACCGGAGTTCCGTATTCCCATGATGATACCAGGGGCCATCATGATGCCCGTTGGGCTGATAATCTACGGCTGGACTGCCCAATATCGTGTTCATTGGATTGGCCCTGATATCGGGGTTGTACTGTTGTCCGGGGGAGTCATCATTGGCTTTCAGGCAATCCAGGGGTTTCTGGTGGATTCCTACACGCGATACGCTGCAAGTGCCGTGGCTGCGGCAACGGTTCTGAGGAGTCTGGCTGGGTTTGGGTTTCCGCTATTCGCCCCAAGCCTTTATGCTAAGCTTGACTATGGCTGGGGAAATACCATGCTTGCTTTCGTCGGTGTTGCGATTGGATGGCCTGGGCCTATCTTGTTGTGGAAGTATGGAGAGAAATTGAGGGCGAATTCTACCTTTGCGGCTGGGCCAAGATGATGGAAGCCATGCACAATTACGATATCAATGAAAATTATTTTAAAAAGGATAGAAAACGAAGAATCCGTGCATGACTTGAGAAATAATATGTTTGGGCCTCACAAGCCATGCGGCTTCATCCAAGTTCAGGCCAGAACACGATACATTAATGAATCTGGAATTTGGCACCTCGAGATGGCACAGCGACCTTTTGAAGGCCATTGATGCTTTTAATGTATTTACCTGTCTATAATCCTGAAGGTTTACGACACAGCCATCCACTACGAACAACCTTCCCCTGCCATCCCATGGACGCCGCCAGTAGCAATGTAGGAACAACTTCCCACGGCCCCTTCACTGGGAGAGTTCTGTGTTGGCTGGAGTGTAATATTCTGCATGTCAATGTTGTAACACGGATGTCTGTTTGAACATGAGACCGATGTCGTGCGATTGCTGTTCGATGAATCAAGCCAGCCTGTGAAGTTGACGTAGGCGATATTCGAAATTAGCATGTTCGAAGTCCCTGCAAAAGAGCCTGCTCACACACATGTTGTCAGACCTCTAGACTGGGAGATATTGGAACGAACGATTTATCCAGTGCAGCATGACCACGTACCATTGTTGCCAGAGCTTTCGGAGATAGAAGGGCCAGCGGCCGCACCCTCGACGTGAAAGTTCTCGAAGAGAATATTTTGTACGACACCCCTAATAGTCAGTTCCAGTAAGATTGTTCCCTTAAAGGCTCAACTTGGTGTTTACTTACCAACCTCCACCCCTCGGCAGGTAATTGCTCTCATATGAATCTTGCGGAACCAGCTCACCAACCCAGGTCTTGATGTATGCCGAGTTGTGCATGTCATCGTTGTTGGTAAGAATTCTAGCATCTTTTACAACAACGTTCATTACTGAGCTGTTTTCGAGGTACTGGCCAAGGCTTCCGATCGCGACGCCATTGCCACCATGCACGGTCACCTAAGAGGGAGAGCAATGCCAGGTCAGTAGGTAATGCCATTGAAGCGCTTAACGGGAGACATACGTTCTGGATAAAAATGTTGTACGACCGGGGCTTGATAGCAATAGCGTCGTCTCCACCTTGGTACACAAAATTTGTAAGTCTAATGTTGTAAGCGTCCATCGTATCGAATCCGTCTGTATGTAAAGTTTAAGTCAGCCTATCATGTTCGTATGCAACCCAACTCCGTGGCTGAACTTATTTTGCACCCAATTATCTCCCTAAGTAAAGTTTTTCCGTATTAGTACTTTTCAATAAAGTTTGAGTTGAATCTTGCATATGCCACACTCAAGGCTACTCCCGCGACTATGAATAAAGTTGCGTTACCCGTTTCCAGGTAAAAATATGTTTCGGGTGTAAAAATAACCATGATGCGGCTCCCCGGAGTAAGATCGGCGGAAACCCTTGTCGTTAAAGAACAGGAGGTTGGAAGCAAAAGGGGAAACTCACGAAGGCTGCATCAAGGGCTGTGTTATTAACATAAATGTCGTCGAACCACATCGATGTCCCGTTCATTATATTGATGGACCAAAGTGGGCTCTGAACCACGGAAACTGCGTGATACTCTTAGTCTGGTTGAGAGCTATGCACCCGATTTATATTCAACTTACAGTGCTCAACAAGAACATCGGATACGTTCCAGAAAACAAAGGGCATAGGTCTCCCAGGCTGCGTATCACCTGCCTCGGCGGTATACCACGTGTTACCACTACCGTTGATCTTGCCTGTGCCGTAGCCATTTATGCTTATCCTCTCTCCAGATATGATGAAACCAGCGGCGTGGTTCTGGAAGGCTATTGGGTAGGAGTTTGAGCGCCAATAGTCCAGATCGTCCGAAAACTGCAAGTTAGTTAGTGTGAGCACAGCTCGATCCACGACCTGAATCCATAATTGTCATCTCCTGAACTTGAGCAATATTGACCACATACCAGCCATGTTCCTTTCCAGTCAATCGTGACGTCGTAGATTACCGGATTTAATTTTGTTGCAATGTAGAAAGTGGAGTTTTCGGGGAAAACGACTGTTCCGCCGTTGTTGCAGTCTTGAAAAGCGTTCAATATCTGAGGGACATCGTCTATGTTATTTCCGTTTGGAACGAGCGTGCAAGTTTTGCCTGAGCTTGCTGGGCTGCGAGGAGGGTTCATAGGCAAAATAGCACTTGCTGCTAGTGCTCCGGAGCTGAGGCCGAGGAGGCTCAGAAGGACAGTGCTCGACGTGCACATCATGTTGGCGATTGTGGAAAAGATGAGATCGTCCCGTGAGAAAGCATATATTGATCTGTACTGGAAATGAATTGATTTTATATATTTACTACTATCTTCGTATGGAGTATGACGCAAATGAAAGCTGCCGAAATAACTGTTCAGCGTTCCTAGGCCTGAAATCCTTGCCAATCTGTGGAGTATGAATCGCAAGTTAGTCTTTGAATCAGTGGCCTAGTAAGGTCTGAAATGCCATGATTGGAGGCAAAAATTCAAGAGCTGGTGAGGTGAAGCTGAACATTGGGCGAGTGCCAGGGGTCTGTCGCCGGATCTACAGGGCTTTTCGCGTGACGCATGCGGGGAAGCAGGGGAGGCCGGGAGAAGCTTTAGAGTTCTCGCTCTATTGCCAGCCGAAAAAGCTTCTTCGTGCTAGGACGAACCCTATGTTTTGACTCGATCGTCCCATCTCCCCGATAATGACATGCCGATCCCTGTCCTATCTATGCTCAAACCGCGGCGGCCGCTTCTCCAAAAACGCTGTCAGCCCCTCTCTGCAGTCATGAGTACTGAACGTCGAGTAGTACAGTGCCTTCTCGTGAACCATGCCAGCTTCAAGATGCGAGTTCTCGGCTGATTATTGCGTGTATTAGCGAGCACTCTTACAGTCAGTCGGCACAATGCGTGGCATTCTCACCTGTCAAGACAGCCTGCTTCGCAGACGCAACGACCGTTGCGGATAGGGCTGCGATACGCCTGGCGAGCTTGATTGCTTCGTCCTGGACCTGTTCCTTCGGGAACACTTTGTTCACAAGTCCAAGACGCTCGAACTCAACGCCAGTTACCGAGTCACCCGTCAGAATAAGTTCCATGGCCTGGATGTTCGTGTCAGTCAACAGCTTCGCACAGCGCGCAACTGAGTGCATGGAAATTTACCCTGTGTTTGCCTAAGGCTCGAGCAAACCTCTGAGTCCCTCCAGCACCAGGAATAGTGCCGATTGTTATTTCTGGGAGTCCAAATTTGGCACTTTCTTCAGCGTATATGATGTCGCACTGGTCGCCTCCGTTGTCAGCTGGGTCTTCGATGTTCCGGGATCCCACGTTCGCTACTTACTGCTAGAGCAACTTCGCATCCGCCTCCAAGCTGCGGCCTAGTAAGTATATCACTTGTACTCGAGGAAGCCACTTTTTACTGACAGCGAAGCCAACCACAGCAGCGATAGAGGGCTTCGAGAAGCGGGCAAAGGCATCTGTGAGGTCCTTGAGGAAGTTTCTCTGGTGTGCCTCGGCCGTCGAGATTTGAATCAGCTCCTTGAGGTCCATGCCGGCTGCTCGTTGCTCGCGGGTCAGCTTTGTCTGGCTTATTTCTTGTCTGTCGTCAGGACTACTCGCCACAGAACGGACCACCACCCGGGCTACCCGTCACGACCAGCGCACGAATGTCCTTCCGTGCGTCCAGGTAACCCAACGCTGCAACCATGCTATCGATCATGGCCTGAGTGAAGGCATTGCGTTTCTGCGGGCGGTTGAGTTGCAGAACCGCCACGCCGTCGTCATCGGCCAGCACCTTGATGTGCTCTGTCGAGACGTCGACGATATCTTGCATCAGATTTTTGGCCATGTTGATGTCAGTGATTTGTCAAGGGCAAATTTGAAATGCAGAGGGCAGCCTGGGCAACTAGTTGCCCTTTTCAACGAGGCCAACGAGGCACGACAGCGCAGAAGTGGCAGGACTGTTATGCAATTTCAGAATCAGGTATACTCGTCCGAATGCAACCGAGCAGAGGCGCTGGACCCACACGAGTACAGCAAGATGCACATGCGCGGTATCCGCTTTCGTGTGAAGGGCAGCATAATTGCCTACTTGAGTATGTAGTATAGGTGATATCAGCGCTTGCTTTTTTCCCTCCTTGGCCAGCTACGCAATGCTGGCTGCATATGCGCAGAGGGTGCCGGCATTTTGTTGCGTCAACACACATGCAGCTTTCGACAGACAACAATGGCCGTGTCGTTGCAGGTTATCAGTCAGATAATAAGACGTTGAATCGGGCAGGAGGAAGTTAAGCACGGGTGGGGAGCGCAAGCTCAGTGTTGCTTAGGGCCGACGTTGGCCAAAAGCTTATTTGACAACTGGACACGTTAAACCCGTATCAGAGCCTGACAGCGAAGATCACATCCGACGGCACTATGCACGTGCAGGGGACAGGCTGTGACTCTAGACGCCTCCAACTTCCGCAGTTGCTGGATCTGGATCTTGGCGTCGAACTCCCAAGCCGCCATGCCTCGACTTTGCACGCGAGACGCGATGGCCTGGCTGAATGACAAACGTCTTACCAACAAGATCCCCAGCCCCCCAGCCCTGACAAACGACCGCCAGGGTGACCAAGGAAATCCTGGAATTTTCTTATTCATCCTGCAGCGCAGCGTCTCAGCGCGTCTGCCAACCGCTGGGCAATATCCAGATGCACCGTGACCGAGTCTCCCGCGTCTTCCGTCTTCCGTTCCGCATATGCACCACACTCCACTCGCCTCGCGGCAACCTGCTCTGCTTGCTGGCCCTGAACCCTGAACCACCACTGCTGCCCCGTCATTCCCGGATGGCCTCGATGCCTCGATGCCTCGATGCCATCGCGATGGCCTCAGGGGTCCCTCTTGGCTGCTGCCCCTCTCGGTCACAACCATGGTCCACCAAGAGCCTGAGACCGCATACATGTGCTGTGACGACAGCCTCGAGGCCAATCTGCCTCGTCAATCGCCTGCCCCCACAATTACATGCAACAGTCTTGCATCGCATTCCGACTTCGCTTCCTTCCACATATCGCCAGTATGTTGGTGATCTCTGGGACCCAATTTCCGGCCCACTGCCCATATCACGGGGCTTACCGGGTTCCAAGTTCCTAAACCATCTTCTTCGTCCGCCCAGCCTACCAACAGCCGCACTTGCCACTCCCCTGCATTGTCTGGGTCGATGCAACCGAGAGCATGTTGTTTCTTCTTCTGTCCTTCCATCCTTCTTTCTGGGATACTACTTCTCCAGCTGAAGCCTGCGTACAGGTCGCAGGCATCCTGCAGGGCACCGCCTCGATCACACAAAGGCGTCATAGGCTTCGAGTATGAGTATACATAGAGCGACGAGTGATGTCAACAGCAGACCACCATACGCAGGGCCAGCTATCTGCATACGCACCTCGAGGCTGCATACACCGATGCCACACCATGTGACAGTGGGCCATACGAGGGAATTCATGAGTCCTCGGTGGACCAGAAGATCGTCTATGTGCTGCCCGATATCGTCAGGACCGCAGAGTGACCCTCGTGGGATCCGGTTTCCTTCTGCGAGTAGAGGCCCACCTGCGTGTGGGTGATGCCTGCCCCATGTTTCGTTTCAACCCTGGCTTCACTTTTGCTTCCATGGGCCCGCCCGACTTACAGGTCGTGATCCACTCGGCTCAAGAGCCCGCCTTGCATGTGGCTAGCCTTGGGTGGACCCTGGACGAGCTCCTTCTGCCCCGCATAGTGGCCAGATCGGAGGTTTCGCCTTCCAGGGACCTGATCAATAAATTTCCAGCCTCCGCGATGTGCTTATGTCCTGGAACGGGTATTTCCTCCGCGGAGAGCGAATTTCCATCTCTGTTGTTACTTGCTCGTAGAGGCAATACAGCTCTTAACTCCCACTCAACTTTTCATAGCCCAGTCAGTTTTAAATTTGTATATCTTTTGCTTATAAAAGAGTATTCTTTTAATAAATTCTATAAAATTTTTATTTTTAAATAATAATTTTTATTTACTTAATAAAAATTATTATTTAAATAAGAAAAGAATGTTTTTAATTTAAACTTAGAAAATTATCTTTTATAAATTATCGGTAATGTAAGTTGAATTCACTCTTTAATCCCTAACCCTCTCCCACATTATATAACCTACCTTTTTTTTTTTTTACTTACTCGAGGTGGGAATGTCCCTGCGACATAAACTATCAATGTGACACTCCTGGCTTCTTCGCGCGATTACCTTGCTGCCGGGCAACGCGCAAGTCATTCCAATCGAACATTGCGAATCTGTAGAGCCTTGTTCAACGTCGATCTCATGCAAGGCATGGAGAGCCCTGCTTCGGTATCAAGCTGCAGTGCGACATGGACCGGGACAAGCTACTAAGAGAGGTGAAGACAACGACTGACACTGCGACCTTCCTCCTACCTTCTTAGTGATCGTGGGGGCATTGGGAACGTGTCCTTAGGGCCATAGGGTCCAGCTGCATGTACATGTGCAATAGCCTCGAGATGTGGTGGAGCATTAAGGTTGTTCGAGACTCTGCAGCTGGCGCCGTCATCCGTCCCGGCATGTGAAGTTGGAGTCTGCGAAACCGATCGGCAGGCACAAGTTTTTAACATTCACAATGCTGATTAATAATTTTATACAAAAGACTTACCAGGAAAAATCGTTGTTTTTTTTTTCTGAAAAGAAAGAGGGAAAGAACAGTAATAATAATATAATAATAATGTTTACTTTTTAGATTTTAAATACTAAAAGAATTATAGCTATTTTATTTATTTATTAAATTTAATTATTAATTTAACTTTCTTTTTTTATTTCACGTGTATAGAGCAATTCGATAAGATACGTATTATTCAAAAGTTTAAAATATTACTTACGTGGTATTTTATCATATGCACGTATGTGGGTAACACACCCTACCTATACGCTGATGGCAGCCTACACCTTAAGTGGAATGTCCCTAGTCCATGGTATGCACCGTAACTGTCACAATGCTTGCCATACAAGCGAGGCAAGGCTTTGGGTGCCACTTTTTGTGCCAAGTTGTAGCGCCATCGTTAAGGTGATGTAGTAACATGCAACTCCAAGCACGAAAACAAGCTTGTTCAGATCACAAGCTTGTGATCTCAGTGGAGCTTCCCTCCTGCCACTGGTGGGCTCGAGGGCAGGGGCGGCGGAAGGAACTTCTCCAGCTGTATGGAGTCTACCGTGGCCAAATATACGGATTGGGAAAGTCAAGCGCTATATAAGACGTAGGCATAGCCCGCTGTCGAGAGCAACAAGCTTCCTGGAGGATTCCAAGGACTCCCTGGTGTCTGCTCTTAGACAGTTGCAACTCATTGTTACATACCAAAGTTTTCTTCACGAGAAAATACTGAGACTTCGTCCGGGCAGCTCCCTGCTTGAGACCTCTCGACTTTGACGAAAGCTTATCCCCTTCTTGCTGCTACACATTGTCCCATCATGTCATTCCACTCGATCTCATCCCTATCCGAGGGGGACCAGCTCCTCTTCAATAAGTACGGAAAGGGACAGACTATCCCCCTCCCTCACTACACTATCACAGACGCTTTTCAAGCAACTGCTTCTGCGCATCCATATGCCACCGCCGTTCGCGAGTGTTTTGACTCTGAGAGGACGTTGACATATGGTGAGCTTGATGAGCGTTCCAACGCCATAGCGAACTACCTCGTTCAAAATCATGGCGTGGGCCCCGGTCAGAGGGTGGTCTGCGTTTATTCGCGATCTATCGAGATGTGCGCATTCATCCTCGGTGTCTTGAAGTCGGGAGCGCAGTACGTTCCGATAGACGGCGCTGTGATGGTGGAGGCCAGTCTGAAGCAGTAAGCACAAATTTGCTGTTCTTTGAGCCTGAAATTATCTAGGAGTTCGAAATTGTTTCTAACGTTCTCGCAGTGTTATTTATGACTCAGGGGCAACTGTTGTGCTTTGTCTCTCCACCTTCAAGGACAAAGTTGAGAGGAGCATGCCAGATGGAAGCACAACGGCAATTGTCGCTTTCGACGCTGTAGATACCATCTGGACGACTGGAAACACGCAAAGGCTGAACGTTAACATTCAGCCGCAAGATGGAGCCTATGTTATTTACACGTATGTTTGTTCTAACTGTCAATCTTGAATTCCAGCACAAAAATTAACATCACGGCATTAGATCTGGCACGACCGGGAAGCCAAAGGGCGTGGACTGCAGCCACATGAACCTCTGCAACACTCTGCTCAATGAGCCGGGCAAGCTTGGTATCACTATTGGCACCGAGGTTGCTTGCGTGCTGATGCTGAGTTTTGACTTGTGTGCCTGGGAGATTATTGCAACCTTAATGAACGGAGGCACCTTGAATCTACGAGGACCTTCCCGTCGAGGAGGCGATAGCGACGTTTGGAACTCATGCCTCGGACGCGTTGATGTTGTTATCAGTACGCCAACTGGGGCTCAAAAATACTTCCCAAAGCGGGCCCAATTCCCAAATATTAAGACCATCGTCGTGGGAGGAGAGCCTTGCCCAGTCTCATTGGCGGAGGAATGGTGAGTGCTGTTTTCCCCCTCTTTCCTTGTTCCCCTGCTATTTGGATCTGAGCCTGTCTCATGGACTGTTTTGCGGAAACCACCACTTTCAGCCCGCCGAATTAGAGAATGTTTCATTGACACATATGAACAGGTCTCCTCATGTCAATTTTTACAACATCTGCGGGCCTACTGAAATTACAATCCTCAATACTGCTCAACTTCACCAGCCCAACACAAAGCTCACGATCGGCAAGCCAATCCCAAACACAAATGTGTACATCTTGGACGACAATCTGGATCCCGTGCGGATCGGAGAAATTGGTCTCATGTGGGTCGGAGGACTCAGCGTTTCCAGAGGATATGTCAACTTGCCGGATCTCACGGCGCAGAGGTACCAGCCTGATAAGTTCGCGATGGACGGCAGCAGGATGTTCAACACCGGAGACCTGGGTCGGTGGCTGGGAAACGGCGAGCTCGAACCTCTGGGCCGCAGGGATGACCAAGTAAAGATCAAGGGCTTCCGTGTGGAGCTCGACGGTGTATCTGCCACTATCGAATCCTTCCCAGGCGTCGAGAAGGCAGCTGCGATCAAGATTGGGGAGGTGCTTTGGGGATTCTACAGTGCAGGTGCCAAGGTGGACGAGATCGCGCTCAAGGCTCATCTTGCGACGCGCCTCAATCACTATGCACTGCCCTCCAAACTTGTTCATATGACAACTATGCCGATGACTCCCGGTGGCAAGATCGACAAGAGGACCCTCAAAGAACTTGGTGCTGCCAACGAAGTCGAGGTCACCAAGCCGGCTCAGGACCTACCAACACCACCACCCACAGTCTATTCCCAGGAGACAACTGTGGGCCTGTACAAGCCCGAAATCGTGGAAAAGAGCGTCGGAAGCGGCTCGATCACGGAGATGGAGAGCGTCAACGAGAAGGAGATCGAGCTGCCAAACAAGCACGGCATCCACGGCGGAAGATGGGTGCGTCACAAGGCCCTGTCTGCGTACAGGAAGCTGTTCATCATCATCTTCAGCATCAACCTCATTGGCTTCATCGTCATGCTCGTCAACGCGCCGAGCGAGGGGTTACCAGTCAACAATCTCGCCACAGCAGTAGCCGCGAACCTTCTTGCGTCGGTGCTCTTCCGCCAGGAATACGTCGTCAACTTTGTCTTCTGGTTTGCGACTCGCTGCCCGACATCTGCGCCGCTCTGGATCCGCCGCCACCTCGCTCGTTGCTACCACATGGGTGGCATCCACTCAGGCGCTGCGGTTACCGCCACCCTCTGGTGGGTCATTTTCGCTGTGCAGTCGACGATCTACTTTGTCCAAGATAGCAAGGTGTACCCGATCAACGACGCCACTGTAGGACTTACTTTCACCATCCTGATCCTCCTCAACGTCATCCTCGTGATGGCGTACCCCACGATCCGGCCCAAGTTCCACGACCAATTCGAGTGGACTCATCGATTCGCGGGTTGGACGACCCTTGCCCTCGTGTGGGCGCACATCATCGTCTCGACGGCTTCTCTCACGCCTGCGGACGCTCCACTGGGCGACGCCCTCCTGCGGAGCCCTGCGATCTGGCTCGTCACACTGACCACGCTGTCCATTGCTCTGCCCTGGATTCGATTGCGCAAGGTCAATGTGGTTGTCGAGCCACTGTCAAAGCACGCAGTCCGGCTGTACTTTGACTTCTGCACCCCGCCTCCTGGCAGGGCCGTCCGCATTACGGATAGCCCCATGAGGGAGTGGCACGCGTTCGCGACAGTCACCGAGCCCGGGAAGGAAGGATTCAGCATCGTTGTCTCACGAGCTGGTGACTGGACTGGCCGCACGATCGAGAATCCGCCCACGCGAATCTGGACTCGAGGTATTCCGGCCTCTGGAGTCCTACGTATGGCGCCGCTTTTCAACAAGATTGTACTCGTTGCTACAGGATCAGGCATTGGGCCTTGCTTGCCAGTTATCATGGGTATGTCTTCAACTCTTTAATCATTTTGTTTGAAATGCTAACGTGGATGAATTTGACAGCCAAGAAAGTTCCTTGCAGAATCTTCTGGTCCACTCCCGCCCCGGAAAAGACGTTCGGAAGGAAGATCATCGACGCAATCTACGACTCGGACCCCGAGGCAGTGATCTGGAACACGCGCGAGCAAGGGCGGCCGAACATGGCGCTCGAGGCGTACAAGCTCTACAAATCAAGTGATGCGGAGTGTGTCTGCATCATCAGCAACGGGCCTGTTACCTCCAAGTTGGTGTATGACCTCGAGACGCGGGGCGTGCCAGCTTTTGGCCCAATTTGGGATTCATGAGTGTGCTGTGCCCTGAGATTTGACCACTAATTTGTGTGCCCCTCGCTTATATCCCAATTTCCTGCCCAACGACTAATTCCCTTGGATGGATTTGATTTGTTTCACATCATGTATCTATTCATCTCCGTGTCGCACTCTTTGGGGACGAGACGTGATTTCACGGCTTGTACGTACCTATCCGCTGGCAGATACAAAATTATGGTTGGGGTTCCTTCTTTTTCCTTTTGCGCACGTATGATTTCAGCTAGAATGCTTGATAAATGATAGAACTCCTTACTCTTCCAACATTCCACGGTCGAATGCGCTTATCCATCGTTTGTACCACTTTGCAGCTTATCTCTCTGCACATGCGCAATGTCTAGGGTATTGGAGCCCCAGGTGCAGTGACCAACTAATCGTCTCGGTCGCACAGGCATTTAGGGTCAATCTCTGATAACAAACATTAATTGTCAATCTATTCAGCGAATATCTTTTTGAAACCCACATTTTGTAGAGTCGGAGGCTGTCAGTTGTGAGCTGCAGTGCAATCACTCATGGAATAGCAATAGTTTGCGGGGTTACAATTGGAACTGATAGTATACTGTGGTATAGTAGACTATATAGATAGTGGCGAAAACCTCGATGCAGATAGTCTACTGCTTCGAAGACTTGTGACAGACATTAGTCCCCACCTGGACCAGCTGCCAGGGAGAGTACATTGGACACTTGGTTATTTTGGATTTAACTGAAACACAACTAGGGCAGAACTTGTATTTCTGGCATGTTCTTCGGTTCAGTTTTAGAGGAGTTTACAAACAGACTGTCTCTAGGTTGCTTCTCACATGATATCTAGACTATATACCCAGGGGGGATGCGTATAGTCTCGAGCGGTCATTCCAAGCGCTCCACAGCACTAATGGAAAGTATCAGCAATTAGAACCAACGTTCAGGTACGAGATCCAATCCATATAAGGGAAAATATATGAGTCAATCACATTGTCCAATATAATTTGTCATTATTTACCCTCAACATCGCAAGTGAATGAAGCGAAGGCGTTGTCTGGCGTCAGAATTCATGCCTCGGGTTAAACCCTGGCTTTCTGACCTTCACCAGGTGGCAGGACCCCCACACTTGTGGTTGAGCCAGTGACATGGTCGGGATTTCATAGCGACAGATTGGAATGCGGGCGGGATCAACAGCCGGGACCGGGGCCCCACAACGCGCGATGAGGCGGATCGATTCATGCAAGTCCACTCAGGTCATCAATTCTGACCTTATCTCACACGCCCACCACCTCTTATCAAACTACTACATGCCCATGTACATTGAAGAAAAGCAAGTGGCCTACCTGAGCCAGAGACTGAGCCGATTCACACTTGCCTAAAAAGGCTGTCCCACTTAGTGCGCGGCCACTTGCTGCACACGGTCACATCGCGGTCATTCGAGGCGGTGTTTCTTGCTCGTCCCCCACGCCTCGCCGCTCGTCCCGTCGAACGTCACACGTCTGCTTCGTCCTGGTCGGCGGCTGGCTCGCGATCCTGTTCCCTAGCAGCAGCAGCACTCCAGATGTGAACGGACTGGACGCCATAGACTACTCGCCACTTATAGTTCTCGTCGCGATTCCAGCAACATTTGATCCACTGTGCCATACCTGCGCTGGCACTCTTCGCCCAGGATCTCGTCGTTGATCTGATCAATCAAAGCCTTTCCCCCTTATCGCCAATCAGGCCAGGGCTCCCACGCTCCTCAGTCCGCCCTTCCCTACCCTTGGGACTCGGCCACGCGCGATACAGATACAGTGCTTGCAGATAGCCCCTCTTTTCCCGCCTTTCACGCTCCGTGCTCAGATCACACGTCCCCTTCCGGCCTCCTCTTGCTGCCTCCGGTATTCTCACGAGGTCTCACCTGATCCGATCCGGGTGGGTCGGATGCTGACTGATGCCGGTGCCGGTGCCGTGCCACCGTCCCCAGAACCTCGTTACCAGGCCAGGCCGTCTCCGCCCTTGAGTTGCGACCCACAATCATCCTCTGCCACGCATCTTTGAACCGGCTGGCTTGCTTGAAGCTGGGCTCCGGGCTCTGAGATCCCGTCATGGAGCCTCAAACCCCCCAGTTGTCTCTTCAGCCGCAAGCTTCAGCGCCCTCCCCGGAGTCCGCCCCACCTCCGCCGGCCAAAAAGAAGTCAAGGAGCAGGAATGACCCGGCTAACCAGAAGCGCCGCTGTGTCAGTACGGCCTGTATCGCATGTCGAAAGAGGAAGTCCAAATGCGATGGTGCCCTCCCCTCCTGTGCCGCCTGCGCCAGTGTCTATGAGACCGAATGTGTGTACGACCCAAATTCCGATCACAGGAGAAAAGGCGTCTACCGCGAGAAGATCGACAGCGCAAAGGCCAGAAACTCAACCCTACAAATCCTTATCGAGGCCATTCTCAACGCCGCGGAGGAGGATGTGCCCGAGATCGTGAGGAGGATCCGTACCTGCGACAGCCTGGATAACGTGGCCGAGGCTATCCTGCAGGAAGACTTTACTAACAAGAACAACGACGACACTCAATTCGATGACCAGTACACTACGGACCAACCGATCGAAGGGGAGAGAGACCTGGCTCGGAAAATGGGGGAGCTCAGGATAGAGAACGGCACTATCCGCTTTATCGGCGGGACATCGCACCTCATTTACCAAGGCGACCCGCAAGAAACGCCAGCTGAACCCGAATCCCTCAGCCTCTTGTCAAACGAGGACCCTGTCACGAGCTGGTCCGAAGTGACCAAGGATAGGCATCTGGTCGTACACCTGATGAATATGTACTGGAATTGGCACTACCCATACTTCACGACTATCTCACGCAAGCTGTTTTGGCGAGACTTCCTGAGGGGCAAGCCACGAGTTTTGCCAAAGGGGACCATATACTGCTCACCCCTTTTGGTGAACGCCATGCTGGCACTGGGCTGTCACTTCACAGATGTACCTGGAGCTTACGCTGTACCGGGAGACAATCGCACCAAAGGAGACCACTTTTTTGCCGCGGCAAAAAAGCTCATCATCGACAATGACGAGTATGAAAAGCCAAAGCTAGTCACTGTCCAGGCATTAGCGTTGATGTCCGTACGCGAGGCAGGTTGTGGACGAGAGGCAAAGGGTTGGGTCTATAGCGGAATGAGTTTCCGCATGGCACAGGACATAGGCCTCAACCTCGATACTGGAGCGATCGCTGCTGAAAATGGACAGATCAGTGCTGAAGAGATCGATGCGCGAAGGATAACATTCTGGGGCTGCTTTCTCTTTGACAAATGCTGGTCCAACTACCTCGGTCGGCTGCCACAACTACCCAAGAATTCCTACAACGTCCCCAAATATAGTGTCTTCCCGGATGAGGACGGCGGTATTTGGTCTCCCTACGCGGACGGTGGATTCGATCAAACCCTGAGCCAGCCAGCTCGGACCCGAGCCGTTGGCCTCCAGCTATCAAAACTATGTGAGATTAGCAGTGACTTGCTAATCTTCTTCTACCATCCGAATCACATCGGCAGGTCAAGCGGGAAGTCGGTCGAGCTGAAGAAGCTGAGCGAGCTGCATAGGCGGCTGGAAGACTGGCGCAAGGAATTACCACAGGAGTTTGAGCCCAAGGATGGCCAACTACCAAATGTGATATTGATGCAGTGAGTGTTCCAGTTTCATTTGCCGATGCCTTTACTGATTCCAAATCTGTAGCATGTTTTATCATCTGCAGTATATCCACCTCTTCAGGCCATTCTTGAAGTACAATCCTGCCGCGTCCCCACTGCCGCCGCACGTCTCTCCGCGGCGCATCTGCACGGCCAACGCTGGTTTCATCTCCAAGCTCATGAGGCTATACAAGAAGCTATACAACCTCAGGCAGATATGTAACATCGCAGTATACATGGTCCACTCGGCCTGCACTATACACCTTCTCAACCTGCCTGAGAAGACCGCCAAGAGAGATATCATTCATGGCGTGAAACACCTAGAGGAGATAGCCGAGGACTGGTTGTGTGCCAGACGATCGCTCAGCATCATCAGCGTCCTTGCCAGGAAATGGAATTGCGAGCTGCCAGATGAGGCTGCCGCAATTCTTCAAAGAACCGATGAGAAGTACGGCTACTTGGGAACTGGGGACGTGCCATCGCCGAGCCAGCCCATAATCCCATCCGTCACACCCTCGCCTCCAGCATTCCCCCAATCACCCGTCCAGATCAAGAGCAGTCCGGCCCGTCATGACCCTCAGACAGGGGCATCACACCTGGGGCAGGACACAAGTGCAGGCATGTCACCAGACCTCATGTCAACTATGGGGATTGGCTCGATAGCACCGGACAGCATGCAAGGCCGCCAGGGTCCGACATCCGCCTCGGTCGACCCTGCCAGTAACCCCGCTCTCGCTTTCAATAGCTCCTGGACGATGCCCGGCGTCAGCGCGCCGGCCATGCCACGATACCACCAGTCCTACGCCCCAGTGCAGATAGGCACCAGCGGGCCGTCGACCCAGAGCTCGCGGACGGCGACGCGCAACGCGACGCCGAATTCAGTTTACGCCATCGACGGACAGGACTGGTTCCTGAAGGACGGCATCAACTGGCAACAGAACTTTGAGGGCTGGGGCATGGCTAGCCCGACGACCAACAGTAACATCGCCGCAAATAATAACAACACCACAGCTGGGGCCGGGGCCGGCGTGCCGGGGAATGATGTCTTCATGTTTAAGGGCCTTCAGGGGGCCGATCTGGACATGGGGGATACGTGGGATTTTGACAGCTCGATGACGAATCTTGATCAGATCCCTGGGTTGGACTGATTTTCGTGCGCTTATAGGGCTTTTGGTGTGCTGCTTTGTCGAATCTGAAGTGTCGTTCTGATACCGGAGGCTGGTTCTGTTCTTGGATAAGGGGTTGGACTTGGCGGTAAAAAGTAAGGCGCTGGCACATACTGGAATGGATATACCTGGTCATATAACTACAACAGAGCTTCGTCTAACACGATTGTACGCGCGCGCGAAGATACGCACATTGCTTGTAATGCTGAATCTACCTGGTGTGGTTGCCTGGCTACATACACACAACCAGCCGTCATGCTATAACACCCCATGCAACACCCACATCCCAGCCCTCAGTAAAGACAGCGCTGTCATCGCGCCTCGCCATTGCCGGCCTCGGCCTCCTCCATCTCCCTCAGCGCCGCCCGGAACACCTCGGCCTCGGCCACCATCTCCTCCATGCTCCTGGGCTCCCTCTGCGAGTCCTCGATGCGGTCGAACCTGCCGCCGGCGACGGGCCGGCGGCCCAAGGCCCGGTCCCACAGCGCGCCGCCGACGTTGCCCTGCTCGTCCGCCATGCGCTCGTACAGCTCGTCGCCCGCCGTGTCGCCGGCCTTGGAGCTCAGCCCCCGGATGCGCGGGATGATGTGCACGTGCACGTGCGCCACCGTCTGCCCGGCCTCGGGCCCGTCCTGCACCGCGAGGTTGAAGGAGCCGCCTGGTGGTGGTGGTTGTGAAGCCTCCTGCCCTGCGGCTGATGATGATGATGATGATGAGACTGCGGCTGGGGCGGCCGACCGCTGCTGCTGCTGCTCGTCGGGGAAGTAGTGGCGTGCCAGCATGCGCTGCACCCTCTGCACGGTCGCGAACAGGTCCGTCACCTCGGGCAACGACAGGTCCGTCAGGCGCTTGTGGGGCCGCGACGGGCACACCAGCACATGGCCCGGAAGCAGCGGCTTGATGTTGACCAGGGCGAAGGAGTGTGGCGTTGTGAGGAAGACCTGGGTTTCGTGTCAGCAGGTAGTCATTCCATGATCTCCAGGACATGATGTGGCCGCGAATGTTGGTGGTGCGACTCACCTGGGAGGTCACCTCGAAAGGCCCAAACGATATCTTCTTGGCTGTGGGATCCGAGCTCATCTTCGCTTTTGCAATGTGTTGAGAAATTGTGCTGCCGGGCTGTTTCCACACGCACTTGAACATCCTTTAATAAATCTGAGAGCAGGATGGCATGTTCTCTTATATATGGTGTGACAGCAGGCGTGACGGGATCGAGCAGGAGTCGCTCAATACTCACTGTGGCTAGACTCGACATTTGATAGCTTGGTGGTGGTTGCCGCTAACCGGTTGAAATGACCAGCGTGTGCAGCACCGTCACAGCCCTGGAAAACAGTGGGTTCCACTACTGAGTTTGCCTGCATGTCACAGCGGGCCTGAATTTGCAAGGTTTCTCATGCAATTGTTCTCATGAATTTACAGTTTCTACAATATATTTGAATATTTATATCATACTTAAGGAAACGAATCGTTAGTGCTTCGTGGCACACATGGCCACTCTTGTCTATCTCTATCCGTGGACACCGGCCGTAAGGTTGGTATAAACAAACACGATGCAGTTACAAGTGGATGGTGCATATATCACATCAACCGAGTATAGGGAACAACCCGGAGTGGCAAAGTTATATGGCCAAGCCATAAAGACGCGTGCATCCCAATCCTCTAGATCTGAGGCACAACCTCATCGTCGGTTAAAGTGTCTTCTCGGTGGGGGTTGGGCCGAGTAGGCCTCTCATCCTCGACCTCATCATCCTTCGTCATAAATACTGCCACCTAGCAGTCAGCATCACTCCTTCAAGATAGAATGGAGAAGTTGGTATAAATGCACTCACCATGAGGCTTCACGAACATGGCCAACAGAAGTGTGAAGGTGAATATCCCAGTAATAAGAACAAACACAGCCTGCGGGAAGCTCTTCACCGTCGCTGCATACAGACCATTGAATATTATCGGGCCGACGATTCTGGACAGCGCGTGAAGCAGACCAATTGCTCCGAGCAACTGTCCTATCCTCTCCGCGGGGACGTGCTTGGACAAAGCGGCCTGGATGGTCGCGGAGCCCACCCCGCCAAAGGCGGTGATTACACCGCAGAGAATAAAGAGCGCCTCAGTACGCACAAATATGTATCCAGCCACACCGATGATATCTGACACGATTGCAATGCGCAAAAGCCAAACATCTAGGCCATCAGCGCCAGCACTGTGTTCTGCGATGGCACCTGATTCTCTGCGCCGCTTTTGTGCCGGACGCGTCCGAAAGATGTAATTGATGATGGGCAGTATACTCAGCAGTACGGCGACACGGACCAAGGAGACGAGCGAAATGAACCGTGAGGTCTCGAAATTGCCCCAGTGGAAAATAAATTCGCTGTACAACAGGGTTACCTGGCCCGAGCTCATGGCAGCGCCGAGGATGACCGTGTCGATGGTGGCGAGGAGTATCAGGTTCCGTTGGACGGCCTTGTTCCTGAGACCTTTTGGAGCCAAGACCTTGAGCGGCTCCAAGGGGTTGGCTGAACGGACCGAGGCGACCGCATTTGCGTATTTGGGCGATGCGAGCCATGACCAGAACCAGGAAGTTGCGCCCTCTGCACTCGCCAAGTAATATGATGCCCATTCCCGTGTGCGCTGGTCACGCTTCTCTTGGTCGACGCGGTGTTTTTCACGGGCCACAACCTGCCGTCGTTTTGACACTGACTCAGGCAGGATGAAGATGACGCATATGATGAAAACCAGGTGGCATCCGAGACTGACGTAGAAAAGGGAGAGTAAGGAGCCAGTCCATTTCACGAAGTAGCCCGCGATGAGGGGCCCAAAAGCCAGGCCGCTGAAGAGGCACGCGTGAACATATCCAATAGCCACGCCACGCTTCGACGGAGGTGTGCAGTCGCTCGTATATGAATGGCTGAGTACAGAGCCGGCCGTGAAAGAACCAGCTAGGCCGTCGAAAATGACCCCCAAGATGAGCCACCTGTAGTGGATGACGTCCGGGAACCTGGCCGTGAAGATGGTCACAAGTTCGCCAAGGACCCCGCCGGCAGAAGTCAGGGCCAGCAATTTCTTCCGGCCGTAGCGGTCTGACAAGGAGCCTATCTTGGGCGTGGTGTAGGCGCTGAGGACCCCAACAATAACGTTCAAGATCAGCATGAATGTCGCCACATTTTGCTGAACCTCAGCGATGGCGCATTGTGGGTTGTCACCACCGAGTACTATGGGGGTTACGATGAAAGTGGGATCCGCAACAGCCTGCTCAGCAAAGTAGCGCTCGCAGACAAGGGCGATGATACTGTTGAGCATTAGAACGCAGTTGCAGAGGACAGAAGGGTGAGAGAACGGCCTACAGGTTGAGCTTTGGCACTACGGATCCGCCAAATGCCAAGGTGAAGAGGGCATATGGAGGGAGAAGCCAGTAAACCTTGAGAAAGTCAGGGTCAGCGCGCCGGGTTGTTAAAATTCAGCTCTACCGTCCGGAAGACATACAGAGGGCCGCTTGTGCCAGGGAAGGCCGGCGAATTCCTCATAACCGTCCCAGCTATCTTTTCCTGGTGGCGGATTGTCGTCCTCTGATCCCGCGTATGAACTTGCGGCGCCGGTTCCCAGCAGAGACGTGCTCTCATCGGGCGCCACCAGTCTCTCTTCGTCGTCCCGCGTCGTCGAGAGAGAGTACGCATCGTCCGCCAACGAGTCTCGGCGCATTCCGTCCGCCATGGTTCCTGTCTGGCCGTAGCTCTCTGGCTTTGAGCTGAGGTGCAAGTGGTTCCAGTGGTGTTCGCGCACCGAAAACTCTCTCCGTTCCGCAGGAAGCGGTTCCGGCGGCTGAGCAAAATTGACGACTCAAGTCACCGTGAAGTCGCAAACGCGGTGTGGCTATGTCTTGGGACACGAACACGAAATCCGGTCGTCACTATACCAGGTGGCGGAGTTCGGATTACACGCAAGGGGTGATAATAGCGTGAGTCCGGCGGTCCGCAATGCTCTCCATCACCTATTGTTGACGTAGATTCAAGTTAGGGGGAAACAAACAGACATGAAGGGAGGGCCGCTGGGGGAGCGGACATAAATGTTGAGCCAGGGAAGGGCAGTGAAGAGGTGGTGAGCGAGTCAACGTGCAGATGCCGGAGTGCTGGCGAGCCCAGACTGTTTTGAAGCAAGACAAGCTCCCACTGCTTTATCTGATAAGCGTGGGGACTCTTACGGGGGACTGCCAGCACTCTCTGGGCTGGAGGCGATCTGGAGCAAATCCGATGGGCCCCATGGCATGGGAAACGTGGACAGCGCTCGTTGCTTTGTAGGGTAGCAAACGTGCGCTAAGACGGAGGTTTCAAGACGGGGGTCCAGACGTCGGGGGTCAGGGCAGATACCCGCCCGTTTGTCATACTCCGTCTCCAGCAAGGCGTGCAAGGTTCCCGAGCAGTTGGTAAAGCACGGTAAAGGCACCGAGCGATGCAAAGCGACGGTGGACCGTTACGGCCGTTTACCAACTTTGATCTACTCATTGGTCTAATACTATCTAAGCAGGTCGTTAGTTTTCCACTACGTGTCTAAGTGCGAGGGACGGACAAGTACGACATCCTGATGGACGGTCATCTCTTGCCCAGCAGCAATTGCGACAGCTGATGACGCACTCATGTTGCTGTCTCGCATAATCAATCTCTGATTTCTAAGCCCCATCAGGAAGACTGCGAGACCACTTGCCCTGTCGGATATCGGTCACCGGCCTAATGTTGGGTGCGCTCTGCCCAGTCAGGATGACAGCCACACTTCGTCCGAGCTGCATCCCGCCCCTATCGATGGTCTTCCTCCCCCTCCATCCTCTCGCCGTCCCCACGCGCCGCCAAACCCAGCGAAGCTTTGGGCCAATCCCAACTGCACGGTGCGCTAGCCCGCAGTTCGGGAAACGGAAGCTTGTTGCAAGGCACAATGAATCATTATGCAGCATGCTGTGTGATGGTGCGGAATTGATGTATACGTACCTCACACCTCGGGTTTGACGGCCTCTGCCAACCTCCGTTCTCAGATGGCACAAACTCAAAGGCCCATCCAGCTGGTGCTCGTCGCGGCCCGTCCACAGAGCTGTAGGGACCGGCTCTCTCCCCGCGCAAGGTGATCCTGTACTCCCGAGCCGCATGATATTGAAACACTCCATGTGTACGACAGCCATCAAGCTTTTCTCTGGTCTGCAGGTTGATAGGCTGGATTTGGTTCTAGATTCTCATCGTCCTCCCAAAAAGAGGACCTAACCGCGATACAGTTCAAATATCTTCGACCTTAGCTGCGGGGGGATAAAGGTCTAGTCTCTGTCTGAGTTCCTGGCGTAGAAGTTAGGCTGGAGTTGCAACCCAAATTTACATAACGCCAACGACGACGATTCGAGCTGTTGAGAACACCTGGCATAGGGTGATGAGGAAAAATAATGCGATCACCGTAACTTGTCAACATCGGCTCACACCAGGCGAACAGGAAACGCAAGAATTGACGTTTAGAGTGCATTGGTCTGTAATTTCTGGGTACGACCAAGTGCGTATCTTTCAAAGCGACTGTCCAGCATCGGATAAAAGTGCTGAGGTCTTGCAGCGGCCATCTGTGCATTCCTGAACCTGGTCTTGGCAGTGAAGGATATCAAATGGACATCTGAGTTGGGACGAGCATCACGTGGGCAGCAATGCGAAGACGCATTGCCTTATGGGTGACGGCCCATTCGTAATTGTGTGTACATGTATGTACTCGCTACCCGAAATAGATCTAATAACCTTGGACCTCCCGTTTCACAGCCATTTTTGCCGATTGACACTGGTTTTTTGCTTTCGCGTTCTCCTGGCCCTGAACTCCATGAATATAAGACCAAACCATTATAGTACATATAGTCATAAGACGTCTCATACCGTCTGTCACAATTACGCCGGCACCCTGCCTTCTCCGGCGAAGAACTTCTTGCTCTCCAAGCACCGCTCACTCTTGCATCCGGGACACCTCAGGCCCATCTGTAGGGAGCAGGTGATACCGCTGTCAAGGTGTTTCTTTGCGATATCTGCTAGACCCTTGATGAATGTCGGATTGCCGTTCAGACTTTCGGCGCGCTTGACGGTCTCCGGGTGGCCCGAATCACCAATTACTTCTTGGTCCAGCTCATATAATGTCTCGATGTGGTCAGACGTGAAAGCAATCGGAATAAGTACCAGGTCCTTTTGACCTTTGTGCACGAACTCCTCGACCGAGGTGGCCGTCTGAGGACCCAGCCAGGCGGATGGGCCAACCTGGGATTGCCAACAGAGCCGGTAAGGGTTCGAAAAGCCGAGTCTTTGTTGAACGGCGTAGACAGTTGCTGCTACTTCGGCAGGATATGGATCACCTGTGATGTTTAAACGGGTCAGCTTAAGCTCCCACCCGACGTGAAGGGTGAGTGGACTAACCTCTGTTGACAACCGACATAGGCAAGCTGTGCGCAGAGTAGAGCAACACGACCTGGTTCCGTCTTTCCTCGGGGTACTCCTTTAGCTTGGCTTCGATGTTCTGCGCAAAGGCTTCCACCAGTCCCGGATGTACCGGCCACCTGTCAATGACACTCCACTCTATGGCCCCCTGACTGTTCTTTTCGAGTCTGTTCCGCCACTTCCAAAGCTCATTGATTGAGCTTCCGGTGGTAGAGCACGAGTATTGCGGGTATTGTGTGAACGCGACAGCACGACCGCCCTTCCCATTGCCGAAACCGTCTGCTAGAAGCTTGTTATACATCTCCTCGGTCAACGGGTTTGCATAGCGGAAGGCGGTGTACGGCTTGTGTGGTGCTGTCTCGGGAGAAATTTCGTCAAGGATCTTGCACATCTCGGCGTTTTGATATTCAGACCACTTTCGGATCGGGGAACCACCACCGATGGCAGCATACTGTTTCTGTATCTTGGGAGTGCGCCGGTTTGAGATCAAGGGCCCGAGGTAGTTCTGTAGTCTTCCCAACGGGATTAAGTCTCCGTCGGCCTGTGGGAGGCATCCATCTAGTCAGCTATCGGCATGCAATGTGAATAGTTCCTCCTTGTGGGCGCACATACGAATAAACGGCTTAAGAAGTCCCCAACCTCGTCTGTGGTTGACGGACCGCCCATATTCATGAAAACCATGGCTGTAGGTCCCTTTGATCCGGCTGAATTCTGCGTCACTGGGGGGTTGTGTATCGAGGCCAGACATCTTGCAGACTGTCCGGCGCTCTTTGGCAGGATGAGTGGCGATGCAGTCTGTCGCGAGAGGCTCTTGGAGAGCCCGGCCACGGACTGTCGTAAAGCCATGGCGGCGGCGGCAGCTTCGGTCGGGTGGTGGAACGTTCACAGGATATTTGGAGACTGCAATTCAGGCAAAGACCAGGTAGTCGAGTCTGTATGGACAGAGAGCGCGGATGAAGGGCAATTGCAACGTGTGCTGAAAGGTGACTAGAATTCCACGATCTCCAACTCGCCCCAAGTTCCTGCTGATCCTGAGCTCTGGGCCAGCAATTGATGACGGGTATGTCATTCAGAGCCCCACAGTGGAGGCAAGCTCAAACACCCTGGTCATGCAACAGACCCATGTACATGTGTACCCAGGCGTCTTAGGCTCTGTCCAGCATGGAAGGCGTAGCCAGTACAAAAGGCTGACTGGAGCTGCAGCTTCCCGAATTGCAAGCCTGTTCATTGGATGCAGCTCCCTTGCACCTACCTAGGTACCTACCTAAGCTAGGTGTTGTAGGTACTTAGGTACCTCTATCGAGTCCCTTCTAGAGAGGCGTCTGCCTAGCTGCGCGTGCCAGACGCGGTGGGTGCCTGGTAATGGAACCGAGGTGAACAATTACCTTAGACGTCCCAAAGAAGTCGTTTCTGCCCTTAATTCAAGCCGGATTCCAACTTTGATCAAACAATGTCTTGATATCGGCCAAAAACAGCGAGGAAACATGGCCTGGAATCCTGACGAGAACGAGCGGCGGGCTGAAGAGGACGATGGCGAGGAAGAGCTTGGCGAGAATGTAAGTGCACCCGACGGTTCCTATCGTCACATCTGCAAGGCTAACAACCAAGCAGGACTACAAGGCGCAGAAGGATGCTGTCATATTCGCCATCGACATCAGCGAGTCAATGTTGGAAAAGCCACCTGTTGGCCCTGACTCCAAAAAAGATGACGGAGACAGCATTGTTATGGCAGCGTTGAAGAGCGCGTCCCAGCTCATGCAACAGCGCATTATTGCGCAGCCCAAGGACATGATGGGCATTCTCTTCTTTGGCACAGAGAAGACCAAGGTCCGTGACCTGCCTGATGACGAGCGAGCGCCCTTCCCAAACTGCTACCTTCACATCGACCTCGACGTGCCTTCTGCAGATGTCGTAAGGGATCTGAAGGATATGGCCGAGACTGGCGAGGATCCCGACGGCATTTTCAAGCCCGCGAAGGAGAAGGCTTCCATCGCTCACATGCTGAACTGTGCGAACCAAGCCCTCATGACAAACGCGCCAAATTTTGGGTCGCGGAGGTTGTTCATTGTCACAGACAAAGATGATCCGTACGGGGGAGACAAGCAGGAGCGTGAAAAAGCGGCTGTGCGCGCCAAAGATTTGTTCGACCTAGGAGTTACCATCGAGCTATTTCCTGTCACTCGCCAGGGACAGAACTTTGATTTAGACAAATTCTACACTGTAAGTCCTCCATGTGCAGACCAAGAATGCCACCCCACATATTCATGCTGACATTCCCAGGACATCATATATCGTGATCCTTACGCCGCAACAGATCCCGACAACCCAGATGAGATCAAAACTCTCAAAACTGGGGACGGGATTTCTTTGCTCAACTCCCTGGTTTCCAGCATAAACGCCAAACAGACTCCTAAGCGTGCCTACTTCTCCAAGATGCCCCTCCACCTTGCTCCAGGATTGACAATATCTGTCAATGGCTATCTCATCCTTCATAAGCAAACCATTCAACGAAGCTGTTACATATGGGTGAACGGTAATGACCTGCAGATTGCCCAAGGTAAAGTCATCAAGACGGAGGATGGCTCTATGCGGACGGTCGAGAAGGGGGAGCTCAAGAAAGCATACAACTTTGGCAGCGGCGGTGACTATGTCTACTTCAAGCCTGAGGAGCTAGAGCAGATCAGGCATTTTGAGGCCAAATGTTTGCGTATCATCGGCTTCAAACCGCGCTCGATGCTTCCTCCGTGGGCTGCAGTCAAGAAATCTGCCTTCATCTTCCCCACCGAGGCAGATGTTGTCGGCTCAACGCGGGTCTTCTCTGCACTCTGGCGCAAGTTACTTGACAGCAAGAAAATGGCTATCGCATGGTACATCGCGCGAAAAAACGCTGTGCCCCAAATCGTCGCCATCCTTCCGTCTAAGAAGCCTTCGGATGAAGAATCTGGGACACAGTCTCTGCCCGCGGGTCTCTGGATATACCCTCTTCCATTCGTGGATGACCTGCGAGACCTCACGCCTCTGAAAACCCAGCCGGTCGTCACAGCGACCAATGAAATGATCGACCAGATGCGAATCATCGTGGAAAACCTTCAGATGCCCAAGGGCGTGTACGACCCCTCAAAACATCCTAACCCTGCTCTTCAATGGCACTACAAGGTTCTACAGAACATAGCGCTCGACGAAAGCGTCAAATCGGAAAAGAAGTCTGACCTCACGGTACCCAAGTACAAGCAGATCAACAAGCGAGTTGGTCAGTACCAGGTCGAACTTAAGGAGATGATCAAGGCGGAAGCTGCCAATGTTCAGCAGCAGTTGGCCATCAAACGAGAGGCCGAGGCAGAGGCAGATGAGGATGAGCGTCCCAAGAAGAGGAGCAAAGTTGCGCCAAAGAAAGCGGCTGCTCCTTCTGGTGGCATAAGTCTTACGGAATTGAAGGAGGCAATTGATGATGACTCGCTGCGTAAGAAGACGGTGGCTGAACTGAGAGCGATATGTGCCGAAAAAGAGTTGGGTGTTACAACAGGCAAGAAGAAAGCGGATCTGTTGGAACTGGTTGAAGAGTGGGTTGAGGGTCAGACGCTATGATTGGGGGAGCTCCATTATGGCTGCCTTGCTCACTTCATAACGGGAACTTCTTGTGTCTGAGGCATTCTTCAATCCCTTGACGGAAATGGTCATATTGCTCAAGCATCAGTCTGAGTGTCCTACTCAGTATATTTGCCCAGGCTGGCCCGAAGTAGTGGTGCAATGAGGAGGCGGCCTGCACGATGATCCCGCCGTTGGGGATAGAGACATTGGGGAAAGCTACCGCATCCGGGGAAAAGGTACCCGAGCTCATCACCAATGCACCTCAGCCCCTCGCGAGCGAGGCACGTTGCCTGTTTCGCTCAAACTAACCGTGAAATATGCACAATACGACCTCATATTACAGGCCGACTATGTTACCGCCATGCACTCCGCACTGCCCGCAAGGTCGAGTGACGAAAAGAGGCGGTGGGAGAATGCTGGCCTTGAACGGTATTTTTGAGTGCGGCTAAGGTAGAATGGCAATAACAAAGTACGTGAAAGATTTCAACCATCGTGTGTTCTCTCATTATTCGTTCTTGTGCCGTCCAATCCTCCTGTGCTAGGCCAGCCTCCTGGATCGTGGTAAATCGCCAGCCTCAGACACATATCAACAATGAATCGGATGCTTCTCCAAACCTTTCTGAGCGCTTATGCTGCTGCTCAGTCCGCCACCTCTAGCGCTGATGGCACCGCCGTTGCGAGCTCTGCAGCCTCTATAACGACTTCGCTCGAGCTCACTGTGGATGGTAAGACAGTTCGGTCTTCTCCTGGTGATACAAGTCTAACAATATCAATAGACCTCTGGGACATCGCAGTCGGTCCTGTGTCCAGTGCCAATATTACCACCACTGTCGAGGCCACTCCAGTCCCCTCGAGCTCGCTGGTCCCGCCGCCTTTCCTTGCTTCGTATAGCTTCCCCACGGGGCGGCAGATACCTGAAGCCACGGAAAATGTGTCATGGAGCTTCCCCAAGGATTTTATGCTGGGTGTCGCAGGTGCAGCGTTCCAGGTCGAGGGCGCTGCAAAGGCCGAAGGACGAGGACCGAGTGTTTGGGACAAGTTAACGCGAGTGCCTGGTTATACAGCCGAGAACCAAACCGGTGATATTACGGATAACCATTACTTTCTCTATAAGCAGGGTGAGTGACCGGGGGCCGTCATCTAGTGTCGGTTGAGAGAAGATCCACTGATGTAAGGAGCAGATATCGCCCGTCTCGCAGCTATGGGAATTAACACCTACTCTTTCTCCATCTCTTGGTCTCGGATCTACCCGTTCGGAGCTGGACCTATCAACCAGGCGGGAATCGATCACTATAATGATCTGATCAACACCTGTATCGAATATAACATAACTCCTGTGGCGACCTTATACCACTGGGATACGCCCCTCTTCCTGCAAGACAAGTATGGCGGCTGGCTTTCAGAAGATATTGTGGCCGACTTTGTTGCGTACGCCAAAACCTGCTACGAAGCTTTTGGTGACCGTGTGAGCAATTGGTATACTTTGAATGAACCTATCGTGTTCTGTAATCAGTGTGAGTCCATAAAATTCCCAATCAAGAACGAAGAGCCGTCCTATGCTCACAGCATTCCAGATCCCTTACCAGCACAATATTTCAAGAATTTCACTATTCCTTTCAAGCAACAGCCGTACTTCTGCGGCCGCAACGTTCTTCTCGCTCATTCACAAGCGTACCATCTGGGCAAGCAGGTGCTGGGCAACGACACGCTCATCTCGTACAAGAACAATGGCGGCTACAAGATTCCATTGACCAACTCATCAGAAGATGCCGAGGCCGTGCAGAGAGCCTATGACTTCAATGAGGGCTGGTTCGCCGATCCGGTGTTTCTGACCGGAACGTGGCCCGACTCCCTGAACGAGTACGTCTCCACGTTCCTGGAGCCATTTACAGACGACGAAAAGGCCCTGATCAAAGGCTCTACGGATCTGTTCGCGCACGACGCGTACACGTCGCAGTTCTACTTTGCGCCCGACGACGGCATCGAGTCGTGCCTGGCCAACGAGACGAACCCGCTGTGGCCGGGGTGCTTCAACACCAGCTACACGTACAGCGCGACTTCGGAGGGCGGATGGCTAATCGGCGCGGCGGCGGACCCGCTTGCACCGTGGTTGCACAAGGCCACCGACTGGGTGCCGGCGCTGCTGCACTACATCACCGACAAGTGGCAGCCGCCAGAGGGCCGCATCGTAGTTAGTGAGTTTGGGTTTGCGGAGCCGTTCGAGGTGTACAAGACGCTGCTACCGGATATCCTCACGGACCAGATTCGCTCCGACTACTATCGAGACTACATGGAGGGTATCCTAATCGGGCTGAGTGAGGGCCTCAACATCTTGGGAAGCCTCGCGTGGAGCTGTACGTACAATCCTTCTCCCGTTACGATTGCCCGTCCGTCCTTTATTAGAATCTTCCAGAATGCATCCATTCGGGCTCCGTGGCAGGTGACTAACGCATACTAGTTGTGGACAACCTAGAGTGGTCGAGTGGCTTTCAAGTTAGGTTTGGGATCCAACACGTGGATTTCGAGAGCAAGGCGTTGGATCGGTACTACAAGGCGTCGTTCTTTCAATATGTTGATGTGTACAAGCGGTACGTTGAGAAATAGAACTCTTGCTTGAACATGGATTTGATTTGGTGATGATGGGACAATTCAGACACAGCTCTTCTGCACTGAGCACCAAGTAGTGTGGAGATAATGCCTCTTCGTGAGCAACTTCCTCAGTCTGAATCTTATGGAAGTGTCGAGGTTCGGCAGCCCTGACACTCCTAAGTACCCTGGTACCCAAGCAGCTGCCAGAAGGTCGTTGGTGTGTAGGGCTGCTCTTTCCAGCAACCAAGTGTGGGGGAACAGGGGAGCTCTTGCAGGGATTCACCTGCTCCATCTGCAATCCGCGCTAGACAACCAATTGCTCCCCCGGGCCTGCTCCGCGCGCTGTGTCTATCCCAGGAGCGGAGCAGTGCCGTGCAGCCGCAGTGACTGCCGCGCATATGGAAACGCGGGACACCCTTTCGTTATTTTGTTCTTCCTACCAACCTGCACTCCACCACCGTTCGGGTACGCATAGCCAACCTCGCCTGGGCTACAGACCAGGCCGACGGCCTGCGCAAACCTCACTCGCCATTGGGCAATCGACAGCGAGGCGCGGCGAGGCGAGGCTGTCTGTGCCATGCGCGGGTGCTGAACCTCAATTTCACCCGCGGCCGCAACGATGGACGCCTTCCTCCTCGACGCGCCCGACGCGAACCACGCCTGCGCCTCGGTCGAAGATTTGGCCCTCCAGCTGGCCAGCCTCCGCGGAACGAAGGCCACAGACACAAAGGCCGAGCACATCTCAGCGACCTTCGAGTTCAGGTCCACCGTCGTCTTCAAGGTTCCCGAAAGCGAGAATGATGCCGCCGACCCAGCCCAGAACCCCGACCAGCCATTGGGAGGGACCCCTGGCGCCGTGCCCACCGCGCCCATAAATGGCAACGCTGCTGCGATAACGCGCGAGATCCGAGCGAACGATACCTTAATGAACCAGCCCTCTGATGATCCGGCTCTTCAGAAACTCGTCGCCAAGCACATCATCGCATCCTTGGGCAGTGTGGATGGCAGCTCGTGGACTGTTCGCTCCGTCTCCAGGAAACCGTCGGGCTGGACGTTCACATACCTCTGCAGGAACTCGACCCAGGCGTGGATGCGACAAAATTGCAAGCACTCTGCAAAATTACGGATAGCTGAGTCCAGTGGGAAGGACGGCCAGGATCCTGTCAACTTATGTAAGAGGAGGCTAGGATATCTTTTAAGACTGCGCTTGGGTTGAATAGCTGGCTAACTGAGGGTGCAGCACGGCCTGCCTTCGACTGTCGTGGCTCGGTCACCATAGCCTTTGTCAAGAGCAATCGCATGATCACCGTCAAACTCGAGCACACTCCTCTGCACAAGACAGTGGCAGAACTCGCGGAGCTTTTCAAGCCTCCACCTCCCCTCCCTAGAGCGGAGGCTGCCAGACGGAAGGATGGAGAACGCAGAAAGAGAAAGAGCCAAGCCGACGGTGTTGATGCTCCAGAGGAGAGCCCGAAGAAGAGAAAGAAGAAGGACGCGAGCACCGGAGGGCAGGTGGCAGATGGTGAACAAGTCCCCAAGCCGAAGAAGCCACGGGCATCCAGAGCAAAGAAACTTCAAAATGTCGTTGCACAGCCCCAGGAAGACGTTCAAAACAGCGCCTTACTCAACATTTCGCCGCTTGAGACAGCCCGCCGCCAGGACGAGGCCAGTAAGAAGCTTCGCGATAACGGCGTAGATCCAGCCACGCTCTCCTCTGAGCAGTTCAACATCTTCGCCAACCAGTCACCCGACCTGCAGATGGAGTCTCTGGCGATGCTTGTTAAGTACGGTGCAGAAAGATTGCGGATCGTGCATCCGAACAGGGACGACGCACCGCAGTCAGGCAGCCCGGATTTGGCGAACGGCGATGCTTCGAATGCCTCGGCGAAGAAGAAGACATCGCGGAAGAAAGCCCCTCGCGAAGACGGCGTGCCAAAAGTGAAGAAGACACGGGGCAGCTGTCAGGCTTGCAGGGCAAAGAAGATCAAGGCGAGTGTACATCCCATTACTGTTGCACGCGGCCATGCTGACTCTATATAGTGCTCTAAAGCGAAGCCAGAGTGCCAGGAGTGTGTTAGGGCAGGAATTGCATGCTATTTTCCACCACCACAGAAACGCAAGCCGGTCGAGGCCAAGTCTGCAGAGGTGGCCGAGGACGAGCCAGAAGAACCTGAGGCCGCGCCTCTACCAGTCTCTATGCCAGAACCAATGCCAGACCATGCGCCTGCTCCGGAACCTGTGCCAGAGGCTGCACCAGAAGAAGAAGAAGCTTCAGACCTTGGCTCACCAGGCTTCGATACTTCCCATCCTCCTGCTCCTGAGGTGATGTCACACCCAGCAGAGACAACGGGGTTCACGGTGGTATCGCAAGATGTGTCTCAGGATTTATATCATCCAGCCCCAACTGGTCTCTCTTACCCTCAAGGCGTGGGCGTGCCTGAGGACATGTCCACCAGTACCGATTACTTCCAAGCGCAATCCACATCGAACGGAATTGCCTATCCCCAGCAACCACAGCAAACATCCCATGTGGCCTACACCGATACAGTTTCAGCGCCCCGCCAGCATGTGCCGGAGCCAGAGCCGGTGCCGGCGCCGGTGCATCCTGTTCAAGAGCCATCACAGACAAGCCATCCGAAGTCGTCACGGCCTGGCACTCGCCGCAGCTTGCCATCTGGTTCTAGTCAAAATCAGAACGACTATGCCAGCTCTACAGATGCGGCACCTGTGACCTCTTCATGGCAAGCGACCAATTTACCCGCAAATGCTGGTCAGGCGTATTCGGAGGCTCAGATTGCTAGTCAGAGTGCCCCGGCGAGGCCGAATAGAAGTATGCACTCAGCGGCACCACCTGCCTACGATACCTCGGCACACGACACTATCCAAGCTGCGACGACATTAACCCAGGCGGCTCTCCAGCGGAAACCCCACGCATCACCAACCACTAGGACTTCATCGCCATTCCAGAACCCGACACAAGCGGCAAAGGTTGCCAGGGCCAAATCGAGACAGAGCCAGAGGTCACAAAGCCGCCAGACAGCGTCGCCCTTCCAGCAGTCTACTACGGCACAACTTCCTCAAGGAGGTGCTGCTTCCTCTCTCTACAACGCCCCTCCATCCACAGAGTCCAGTAACCTGCCTAGTTACGATCAATACTCCCGCTACAGTACCACGCCGGCTCAGGCACCCACGACAAGCTCAAGGGTGGCTTACGAGCCATATTCGCAACAAGCTGCATCTAATACCTCGACCGCGTCCTATCCAGGTTACGATGCCTATGCTTCTAGGTCACAGACTTCCAACACGCCACTTGCAAATACTGTGACACAAAGCGCATCGACTGCCGCACCCAGCTCTAAGAATTGGGCCAGCAGCAGTGGCAGGCGAAGTAGCAATTCCTACAGCTCTAACAAGGCTACAACCTCGTCGACGTCAGCCTACAGTGTGCCTGCGTCCTCCGCGCAACAGCAGTCCACGGCCATGCAGTCATTTAATGTCCGACCGCAGTCAACGGCTCCGACTCAGTCGAGGACAACTGGTAACACATCTGCCTCCTTCACTCAACAGCCGCGGCGGCGGCAGCAGCAGCAGCAGCAGCAGCAGCAGCAACCGGCCTACAGCTCCTATCCTTCCCAACCGCACCCAAATACCGACCAGCAGCAGCAGCAGCAGCAGCAGCAGCAGCAAGACTGGTACGGGTTCGGGTCCGCCAACAACGCGGCGTCCAACTATGGGTCGGGATCGTACAGCCAGCACAGGCCGATGAACCTCGCTGGTAACAACTACACGAGCATGAATGATCAGGAGGCTCTGTATGAGATGTTGCGAAACAACCCACGTCATTAAATACCTTTTGAGATACTTCAGCAACACCCTTTTGTTGTGGCTGCTCTTGGAACCTGACGATCAGCCTCGAGCTGAAGGGATGGCATTGTGATTTCAGGAGCAGCTTTGTCTGAGGGGATTGTAGAGTCTGAGTTGATATTATTTGCATGGAACGATGATGAGACTGGACGAAAATTACCCCCCCCCCCCTCCCCCAAGAATTAGATACCCCGTCCATGAGAGTAGAGGACACGACAGGCCGGCGGGCTGTCAGGTCAAGATAGTCAGTTTCCTTGGCCCTTGAACAGAGGCCAGACTCATCTATCTGAATGAACATATTGTTCAATTGTCACCAATGTGCAAGACCTACGTTTCAAATGAGCAGTGGCGCCGCCATTTGGTTGGTTCACCATACCGGATTTCACATATCCGACCGGGCCTCTCAAGGCTCGTGATGGAAGGAAGGAGTTCTGGAATCTCGACGCATGCCGCACCGGCCGCCTACAGCTCGCTCTGCACTCCAAGCAGCAGCCAGCCCCTTGCCCGTCACGGGCTGCCGACACCAGCGGCGCGACCATCGTCGTGGCAAGCCCGTAATTGTCGGACCTAATGCAGACGTCGCTGGCAGGCTGCGATGGAAGGGCAAGACGCCCCAAGTACACGAGTCCCTTCCACCCGTCACAAGACTCCCGGCCTCCTTGCACACGCTTTGCTTCAGCCGGTGCGCGTGAGAAGTGGCTAGGCATACCTTGCGGCGCGTCGAACTCTGCTCGCGGTCCAGGCCCTCCCGCCCGCTGCCTGCGACGACCGCGAGGGCCTCGCCGCGGTCCTTGTCGTCGGCTCAGTGAATATGCTATGTGGCTATTGTTTGCCGCGTGCTTTCTCGAGTGGTGAAACGCCGCGTCAGTATTCTAGAGCGTCTTGCACCGAGGTTGTTTCGTATGCACGATATGCCACTTCTGGGGGCGAGAAATATATCCTCGGCCTGTCAGCTCGGGCTGGTGAAACACACAGCTGTCAAGGAGTCGAGACAAGCACGTAGTGGTTTCGGGGCTGGGCCGGACGCCCGGGGAAGCATCATGAAGAGAGAAAGAGCTTCTGCTGAGCCGGTTACACTTGGTTTCGCGAACGTTGTTGGCTCGAGACATGCTATAGGTAATATATCGGTGACACGTCGCGCAACCCCCCGGGGTGGCAAGTCGGGCGCATGAAACCAGGCGTGAGGACCACGTCCCGGGGGGGGGGGGGGCGGAGAGACGAATAAACGCACACTTTAGGCTAATAAGAATGCTGTTGATGATCAGCCATGGTGTGGCGTGGTAAAATGCTTCCCTCGAAGGAAAACCGGGGCACCAACCGTGTCCAAGAGATCGTCTTCCAAGGGTGCAGCCAGCCAAGTCACTTTGTTTGTACCTCATGCTTTAAAAGAACTTTGGCTTTTCAGGGACAACGGTAGTCAGTGACCGGCCTGATTTGGCATTCCCAACTCACATATCCCCGACACAGAACTTACGGAGCAGCGGGCCAAGTGATTTCTTAACCCGGGGTAGGGGCCAAAGACAACCACATCCAGGTTCCCCCCTCCCCCGGACAAGGCCCCGCCCGCCGCCGAGCCCACCGGCTCGGTAGGCAGCCCACCTGCCATTCGTTCGGGCCCGGGGTAGCGGCGCATTTTAGCCCCGGAAACATTCTGTGCCGTGCGGCACAATTTCAGATTTAAGGTTTTTTCTCATCTCTTTGAAGCCACAAATTTTCCTAATACGGTTCTTGAGCTTCCTGCCCAAGCGTGCTTGGTGGATAGGCTCCCGGCCTGGTTTTGCTGGGGCTGTCTGCGGTGAAAGGCCACCCCTGCTCAGCTGGAGCAGCACTCACTTTTTTCAGTCGCGGTTGTTTCGTTTCCTTTCGCGGCCGGAGGCAGCCGTCGACTGACTGGACTACGACTGTTTGCTTTCATGGCACGGTGGAGCTTAAGACCCTGCGCGTCGCGGCCATGCTGGGGTCAGCTCACCTGTGTTCGTTTAAAGTTTCTCTCTGTAGGCGCCCTGTTTATGTTCAGGCGACGAACGGTTTCTCGCGCGCTTGTGTCTGCACGGTAGTAGCTTGAAGATGGTGTGGACCCCCGCATCGGCCCAGTGGGTGCCCTGCCCTCTGAGGGTCTCAGATCTTGGGTGGGATTGGTGATTGTGGATGGCGTGGGAAGCTGTGAGCGCTCTATCATTTTCGTATCCGCCGAGGTGGGCGGGAAAGTCGTCGTTGTTGTTGGGGGTGGTGGGGGGGAGGGCACATGATCTACACACTCGCCAGATGGTGTGGTGGTGGACTTCGTACTCGAGAGCGCTAATGCCGGCGGGATCTCTTGACCAGCGAGCCCGGGGATTGCCTCGCGGGAAACTCGTCTCTCCCTCAATGAACGTGTCAGGGAGGCAAAACGATGGGAAGCACGTCCAGCCTCCCTCTCAGCCGCTGGGGATTCCTGGCGCGGCCGTTTAGTCTTAAACTTTGCTCAAGTGGTGACACCTTGATGCGCTGCACCATGCATCCCATCCCAATCCAGCCTGATGCAGACCGATCGTCAAGCCGCCAGTGCCTTCTTTTTTGTCGCTCCTGTTGAAGACAACATTTCCGATGTTGCCCGCTGTGGACCGAGCCAGCCATCGATATTTCTCGGACAGGCGGATCACCGTGGCACAATGATTTCGGCGGTCACGTTCTGAAGATACTCGCGTCGTTGCGGTTCCTCGCTGATCGACCCGGAGGAGTCGGCTGCAATCCGATCCGCATCCACAACAAAGACATCCACGACCTCGTGATTACGCAACCCCACAAACCAAATAGTCGCTCTGCATGTTTGTGGTAGAAGGCCAATGCCTCCACCGGCAAGCAAGGCTTGTTGGGTGGTGAAATGGATCCGCTTGGTTCAAGACGCTTCAGCAGTAACTGTCGTCCAACCTTACGCGTTGAAAATAAAAGGCCCTCCTCCACAATGCGTAACGGACCACAGCGTATCAGGCGAGGCCTTGCAGGACGGACGTCTCGCTTGAGCATTCCGCAGACGGGGCAACCGGCTACGCTGCAGGTCTGCAAAGTGATTCCGGCCGAGGAGTCACAGATGTGAGCCGGCCCTCAAGGTCGACCGGTCAGAGAAGAGGGAGACCGGTAGCGTGTCACATGTTTTGAATCGAGGGGCTCCGAGGGCAGGTTTTTCTTCAAACGTTTTTCTTTTTTTCTTTCAACGACGTTTCCTCGAAACGACGGCACTTGGAAGCAGCGACTAGGATAGCCTTGCAATGTTGATGCTCGAACAAGGAAGTCATATGCAATATCGTCCCAATTGCTGTTGGAGCTCCAAGTTCGTGCCACATACCGCCATGGCACGTCCAAGGGCATGAAATCGGTCAATTGTTCAGGACAGGGAAAGTCGACGTTCGACATCGGACCTGAGGGCAGTAGGGCGGCAAGGAGGCTCCTTGCGCATAACGGATGGCCCTGGGAGCCCCAACCCCCCACCCCACGTTGGGATTTACAGCATAGATTGTAGATATTGACCGCCACAACAAAGAAAAACTGCGCAACAATCTACAAAGTACGCCTCGAAACTGAGTGGCAGACTCGTCGGCGTCAACGCGGATTTGTTCCATAACAGAGCATGCCGTAATCAGCCGCCTCCTGCGGCTCTTCAGCGTGCACGATCTCGTGCAGCGGCGGCGTATCTGTGCTCGTACGTAGTCGCGAATGCTGTAGTTGACTGGTCGTACCTGGTTCGGTGCTGCGCAGGGAATCAGGGCCGAGCTCGTACGGGTTTACGGTAAGCCGCAATCAGTGCCCCCAAGACAGGAGTGGATCTCGGCCAAATGGTAAGAGTGGCGAGTGGGCCGCACGGCAGTTGCGGCAAGCCCAGCATGCGTGGTGGGTGGCCATGATGGTGCCATGGTGCCATGTCGGACGCGTGTGACGTCTCCAGCAGCAGACTCGGGCTTCTGTGTACGATGTACGACCCGGTGCGAACCGCTGGAGCAGTCCCGCTGTCATGGAGCGGAATCGTGGCGGTCCTTGAGGCTCGCCTGGCCTGGAAAAGTGGGTGGGTGTGTGGGTAGGCGAGTGTGCTGTCGACGGTGTGTGCGAGACCCAAAAAAGTCAATTCGGGCCCCCGGAAACCTGGCAATTGGCTGTTGCGAGGCTGACCGCCCCGGTCTCATCACGGCAGCGAGTCATCAACACGAAGACAACCCCGGGCGGAGTCGTGCTTCGTCCCTTCTATTTTGGCAAGTAACATGTCAGAACACACAAGTCTGGCGACGGTGACACGGACGACACAAAGCAATGGCGACACCTTGGGCCCATGAGACGGGGAATACGTGCACATAGAATTGGAGGAGGGTGATTCGTAGTGTAGTGTCAGGCTGTGTGGTTGCCCTGTTGTGTTGGTGTTGACCTTATCTTGCGTTGTGTTGCGTTGTATTGTGCCGTGTCGTGTCGTGTGGTCGTGTGGTCGTGCTGTGCTTCTTGTCTGTACACATGTCCTTGTCGCCGTGGCTCCCGAGATCAAAGTCAAAGAGTCCCCTTCATTTCACCGAGATGTCCACGGATGCCCACCGTCGGGGGGGAGCAGTCTATTGCAGTCTATTGCGGTTTATGTTGATAGGGAGGTAGCAGTGGGCTTTGGGCGCTTGGCTCTAACAGGCTGGTCTGGCTGGGTGGGCCTGGGCCGTGGTGTATTTGGGTATTTGTGAGGGTATATCTGGATTCTGGAGGCGGCGCGACTCACATACGAAGGCACCAATCTCTCTTACAGCCCCGACGGCCAACTCAGGCGGAGGCAGACAGAGGAGGAAGCGATTGGGGGGTCACTGGGGGTGTTCGGCCCACACTGCTGTGCCCGCCAGGTAAGTGACGACATGACAGGGGCCAGGCGAGAAGGCGAGCAGGGATCCGTGGCAATCAAACTGCAGCGGGCAATCTCGACGAGCGGCGATCTGATCTGTGCGCCCATCTCCTTCATTCCATGTCCATGTCTTGTCAAGTCCATGTCAAGTCCATGTCTGCTACGACGCCCTCGTCCTCGTCCCTGGTCCCTGCTCTGCCTGCTCTCATTACCGACGAGGCTCCGTTGTGTGTGTATACTACTGTAGCTGCCGTTGCCGTTACGGGGTAGCATTCATGGGACCCATGAGGGCAATTTGCTGGAGAGAGCCAATGGTACCGAGAGTCGGGTGCTAAGCCTCGACAGCGTCGCCGTGCACGCTGCATAGGGAAAACTAGAGGAAGACAAAGAAGAAAAGCAGCTATTGATAAGAAAAAAATGTCATAGAGCAGACGCTATAGACAGGCCCGTCGTCTATGCCCTGAAGCTCCGACCAAGCTGTCACCTCTATCTGTCACCCCTGCAGCCATGCCGTCGTCCTGCCCATCTCGTCCAAGGTTCTTCTCCTCTCACCGAGCAGGGTCAAGCCAAAAAAACATCGCATATTAGAAGAAGATGGAAGAAGACAGCAAGCATCAGATAGAATGCGAAGGAAAGACGGCAGTGGGGATCAAGGTGGAGGGCACGGGAAGGGAACGTGGCCCTCCTTTGTGGTAATATTAAGGGCGGCCCCCTGTTCCTGTCCACGGCCAACTGAAATTCCCAGCTATTATTATAGACTCGAGAGCACCCACCACTGACACTGACAGCTTGCTTTGCTATCGCGGCCAAACCAAACCCAACCCAACCCCCTGGGTATCCTGGCACCCAAGGTCAAGGTTCATGGCCCGAGGTACTCAGGTACCCAGGTACCCAGGTGGCCCACATGCACATGCAAGCTGCACCGCAGTAGTGGCTGTCGGAAGGTCGAACTGTCTCTGAGAAGCTGGATGCCGCGCTAGCCAACCCACAAGCCAGTCGGGTCGTCGGTAGCAAAAACAAATCCAGATCCAAGAGAGGAAGGCAGCGCGCTCTGGCTCTCACGCTCACTCGCCCACCCGGCCACTCGCCCCAAGCAAGCAAGCAAGAATCACAAGCACAGCATGTGCTGATGATGATGATGATGTTGATGATGATCCAATGCTGCATGCGTCTGCATAGTGCTGTATGCTGGGGAGAATTGATTGTAGTGGCCAATCCGTTTGTAATAATTCCACCGTGCGGTCACAGTTGCCTCTCTGCCACCCACCCATCTCATCCACCCCCCTTGGCTGTGATTATGTTTAGCTCATGACAGGACGGGACAAAAAGTTCGCGCGCCCATGCCTACGTAGTACGTGGTACATACAGTACACAATCCTGTGCAGCTCCATCCAAGCTCTTCTGCTCTCGTCCTGTTTTGCTCTGCTCTGCTCCGATGCTTGCTGCAGTGTCCCCTCTTCCCAACCTCATCCGTTTGGGTCTCCATTTTCCTAATTCTGCAGCTATCGCGCCCGGTTTAGCACCGTCTGCTTCGCTTTGCTCATCCATTCGTTAGATCTAGTCTCTTGAACCTCCATCTCTCCACTTCCAAGTCTCACCTGGGGCTGCCTGTCTTGCCTTCCTGCCTTGTCACCTTGTCTCTCGCTTCGCTTGGCTTCTGCACTGCTTTAGACCCTGGCTCCCACTACCGAGGACTAGGGCAATCTCTTTTCGACTTTTCCTGATTCTATCCGTCCATTCCATCTCCGGCCTTTCCATCTTTCTACTCCTCCTCGTCCTCATCTTCCTCATCCTCCTCCTACCACGCCTCCCACCTTACCCACCTACCTCCCTCCCCCTCCTCATCTCCCGCCGTGCTGCTCCTCCTCTTAATTGCGCCAGGAGCTTGCCTCTGGACCCGAATCAACATCGTCTCCAGGTTCTCACCCACAGTTCGCCCGTCGTGCGAGTTGTTTCGTGGCCTTGCTCGAGTCACAGGCGTGTCGCTGGGCTTCTTCGCCGTCCTCGCGAAGGCTATAAGCTCTCTGGATACGTAGCCTTCTTCTCGGTTGCTACTCGATTCTTGGGACACCTGCCTTGCACGCTTTTGTGCCCCATCCTGCGATATTGTGCTGCCGCCTGTGTTTTGCACAAGCCACGCACCATCGCCCTTGACTCGGATCGACGCTCCACCACCGTCCATCAATTTGCTGGGAGGAGCCTCTTGGGATGGCAGGGACGGAGAATTACCTTATACGCTGCTGAACATATTTATGCTACTGAATGGGCCTCAATTGATCTCCGATTGTTGATCTGATCAACACCCCGTACCCAACTGGAAAGGTCAGTTGCTACTCCACTCGCCGCGTCCGTCGCCGCACCTAGTTGCGAGTCCATCGACTTGCAAGTCTTAACCTGGCCATATTTTCAACACCATTCGATGCCTCATGCTGACCCTGTTGTACAAGCAGGCTTCTTGTTGAAAAGGTCCAGTGTTCGACTTTAAGGCAATTCCTTGCCGCCATGTACAGACACGCTTGCTCCGGGGCCATCGTCGCCCTGGCCACAGTGTTTTTGGGCTCTGCCTATGCAGATCCAACTTACGAATTTGCGTATTGTGCCAGCTCCAACACAGCAACAACATCGGCGACTACCTCGATCTACCAGTCTCAGGGCCTCTGCTACGGCACATGCAACGATGAGGGCTATGCTTTTGCCGTGTTGCAGGACAGCGACTGTTGGTGCTCGAACACAGTTCCCAGTTCTGATGACCAGGTATCGACAAGCAACTGGTGAGTATGCGACGTTTACCTTGCATGAGACATCATACTAACAGTGAATTTAGTGAAACATCCTGCCCAGGTTATCCAAGTGACTATTGCGGTGGTGATGGCACATACGGCTACATTGCCCTGAGTGCCTCGCCTTCCAGCACAGCTGGAGGTAGCTCGAAAACCACTTCGTCCACCTCGAAAACAACATCCACATCTGTAAGTTGGCCTCCATGTGCGCCGCAAATTTCATCAGTGGACCCCTTTAATTCTACTTTTTGCCACATCCGTTTCTCCTTCTCTCAGAGTGGGCTGGTTGTGGTGTACACGGTCGCTTAACGACTCTGGGATTCAGGCACTGGCGATAACAACCGCTACTGAGATCCACACGGAGACTGAGACTGAGACTGTGCAGGCCTCAGTAACCACAACCTCTACCACTGAGAGTACATCTCTGTCTTCCACTTCGCTTACCAGTGTCAAGTCTTCTATAACTTCCACGTCTACTACGTCTACTACCGATTCCGAGACCAGTGTATGCGCTCTTCCTTTCTTTTTTGGCGCTCGGTCACCAATTTTCAATCTTGAAATGTGTCATGTGGTGTTGTTTCTTATATGCTTTGCTTGTACAACCATATCTTTTTATACATTGGCTAACTTGTTTGCCAGTCAACAACATCCAAAACCACCACGTCGAGCGAGAAAACTACCAGCGCAGGAACACCAACAACCATTACAGCAGTCCAAACGGTAACGAGCGAGGGCAGTATCATTATTCAGACAGTCACGACTGTCTCCACGCCAGCGGCTCAATCGGACAGCTCAGGCCTAGGCAAAGGGGCAGTCGCAGGCCTGACCGTGGGAATTCTTGCCGCGGTGGCCGCCTTTATCTTCGGGGCATTCATGTTCCGCCGACACAAGAGGAAGCTGCGAGAGGAAGAGGAGCCAATGACAGCCGCTTCTATGGCGCACCGGCGCGGCAGTTCCGCAGGAATCATGTCAAAGACGGGCACGATGTCTAGCATAGGCTATGGGATGACGATGGATGAGGAGGGTAGTTACAGCTCCCCGAGCAGGAGACTGAGCATGAAGCCCTTGGATCCTCGGCTCGACCCCAAGGTGGGACTGTACCGCACCGCAAGCCACGACAGCTTCAATACGATCCGCGACGACCAGGACTACTCGCGAAGAGTGCATCAGCCTCCGAGGGCATTCCGCGTCACAAATCCCGATCCCGAGGACGACTAATATGAGAGCTATGATCTTTTCTCAGCAGATCACGCTCTCTAGATTCTCGGGACGTCTCACGACACACACGAATTCTCTTGGTGGCCGTATTTATCGACTTCGAGTTCCAACACCGGCGTTGTACATGTGGAAATACCAGGGCGGCGTTTATTTTTTTTATGGGAATCTCTGGGGGGCCTGGATAAGGTTGTGTTGGGTTTTTGCTGCGTCATAAAACGGGTCATTGCATGCAGTCTGCTAGTTCGGTCCTGCCGGGTAAGGCGCGAACAACAGCTGCCATTTCTACTACTTCTAGTGTCTACTATCTACAGCCAGGACTGAATCCGACAACATGGTCGGTCACTCGACGAGCAACGGAAAAGCCGAACATGTGTACAATAGATCGCGCTCACATCGGACCGACTCCCACGACGAAAAAGAAGGGCACCTGTGCAGCACCCAGGGTCGAAGACTGGGGCTGGTCACAGAGGACTTTAATTCGAGGGATTGTACATAGGACGGAGAGGCGTGAACCAAATCACACAAAAATTACTGTGTACTAGATTTCAGTACTCATCAGAATTCAGCGATACAAATTGAAGAATTCGAACAAACAGCTACCCACTCTCAGTGGCCCCGGCCGCGCACATCCTTGAGCAATGGAGCCTGTCTAGACAAGTCATAGAACACTGAAAATGAGACGCGCAATCGAACACGAACGGCAACCACCGACACCCGCCCCCACCCCTGAACTAACTCGTTCTCGACGGATGATGATCACCACCAGCCTTCCCAGGAACAGCTTTGCCCCCAGAGCCTCCAAAACCTAATATGCACGCCGTCAGGGGTGGGTCAGCACAGAGATTCAAAGTGCACCCTCCATCGACGCTTCCGGAAAACGAGTTTAATTCCCAGCGACGGGTCGAAATGGGCGCCCGGCCAGCCTTCGGCTCCCGACCGGTAGGACACAACGCACAAAGACGTGTTGATCCCACTCTCGCACAGTCGGAGATAAGCGCCCTAGCGCGTGAAAATGAGAATGAGAAAATATTGGCCCGCGCCCATGAGATCATTGGGCAGCTGTGGCGCCCGTCAAGCCGAACCCGAGCACCCGGGGATGTGTGTGAGAGCTCTCCTGTCAATGTCAAGGCTGGGGGCCGTGTTCCCTCTCCCGCCTGATGCTTCTTTGTTGCCCTTACTGCTTTTCGTAATTAACGTAGGCTGGATTTGGTCTGACGGCTGACCTGTCCGGGCCGTGGGTGCGGCGGGCAAGTGTGCGGGTTTGGGTTTGGGCCTCGTCCGGATTGGGATTGTGTTTTTTTTTTTTTCTCTCCCTATCCCCTTCCTGTCTCTCTCTCTCCCACCGGCGCCGAACGAATCCGCGGGAAGGGCCCCGTTTCAAGATGTTTTAGGGCCGCTTGTGGCTAGCATTCCTTGCGCAGATCTGCGCGATCGGCGCCCGGTGATTGGGCCGGGTTTGTCCTGCTCGTGCAGATACCACACATATTTGGCTTGGGGTGCCACCCTTAGCGAGGCGCCGCACCTGGTGGCTTCACATGTAATTATATATTAGATTTCTCCCAGGTCATTTGGATATCGAAAGCGGCGTTTCTTCCCCCCCACACGATCGAGATCGATGATGGCGACGCGTTTGCTGTATTGCGCGAATTTTGTGTTGCCGCGTATTATAGCATTAGAACTGAAGTGATTTGATCAATGAATACATCTCTCGTCACGTAGAGATTCAGCGTGAAGCCAGCCCTAACAGAGATCTGTCCCAGGCCCTCGGGGTCGTGACAGGGTGGTACAGACGTGAACGATGTCCACACATGGGCTCTAGAGGTAAACAGTGACGTTTGACCAGTGTGCTCTGGATTTCGTGCTCGTCAAACCTCAGCCCAGCTGGAGCAACGGCTCATCCGACGGGACGGTGCAGGCAGCGACGACGTGGTGGTGTTGTGTTTTTGTCGCACACGAAGTCTTAGCCGAATTTGCGGTGCCGATTTTCAATTGGGAGAGCTTCAACGGGCCCTAGGAGGGAGCCGCGTCTTCGCGTGTACCGTTTTGAACCCCACAGGCTCACGTATTTTCGACATCTGACCGACAAATATTGTGGTCTTTGCTTGCGGTAGTCAAATCCTCAGGATGAAACTCTCATGAGATTCCTGGATATTCGTCGTCTCCCATCTGCTTTGTGGAGTCTGGGCTTTCCAGCGCGTTGCCTCAGAGCAGGATGGCATCCAATGAAGGTAACGAGCCTGGGGTTAATTGGTAGCTGACACGCTCTACTTCGGCGGCGCGTCCTGGTTCACAGAAGTTCTCCCTTGCTCTATGTCTGGCCTTAGTCATTCATGTCCAACACCATTGATTCCGTACCTGCATCGTCTTCATGTCTCAATTGCCGACTGACAGTATGATGCCTGGACAGGAGCTCTCCTGCACAAGTTAAATACAACTACATGTACTTAGCATGTGGGTAGACGAACAGCATCGTGGCTATCATGCTACTCCAGACTGGCTTATTTGTTAGAGAAAGCTATATGATCCCAGTTGTATTCTCATCGAAACCATCCTCCGAAGGACAGCTTGCTTCGGACGGAAGAAATATAAGAGACTTTTCCTCATAAGTATGTTCCATGCCTTTAAATATATATATATGCTTCTATCCCAATCATGTAAAAACCTCTATGTGTATGTTAGTGAGGTATCCAGCCCCTGAACAAATGCCCTCAACCCGTCAACCACAGGTTTCTCGCCAATATGGCATCCACCAGCCTCTGGCCCGGGAAGTCTCCCATAATAACCCCAGTCTTCCCCTGCTGGCCCACCTTGCCACTCTTCTCAATGAAACGGGCCGTCCGATCATTCATACCCACAATCATCGAGCCGTTCACAGCCTCGAGCGGCCCCGCCGCCGCCTCGATGGGCGTGACCCCGACGCTTGCGCTGAGGTGGCTGAGGAACAGCACGTCCGAGCCGGGCGGGCTCGCGGCCGCCGCCTCCAGGTTCGCCCGGATCGCCTCCCACTTGTCCTCGAGGTGGCCGCGATCTACTATGATCCACAGATCCTCGAGGCTGATGTGCGGTGACGTCCACGGCACGCCGTAGCTCCCCGAGACGGACGGGAATTCTTGCAGGACGATGATCCGGCCGCGCAGCTGCTCCATGATCGGCAGCAGGGGCTTGGTCGGCGTCGACGAGCTGGGCCAGGGAAGTAGCAGATGCTCCGTGCTCCCCGGCTCGGTCCGTGAGTTCCCGAGGCGGTAATAGTTAAAAGCCTCCTCAAACGTGGTGTTATACGCCGTGGTGTCGGCTTCTTCGTCGTCCTCGAAGATTCCCTCGGCCCTCCTGCGCACTGGCGGTCCTTCTTGCTTTAGTCTCATGATAATGCCTTCTGTCGGATGCTGGTCCAGGAAGTCATAGAGCGTGAGCAATACGTCCTCCAGCGTGTAGCCCGTGTACACCTGCGCGTGGAATATGCCAATCACAGGTGCCGCCTCCTCCCCGCCGGTCGTCTCATCGATCACCAGACGCCCTCTGATGTCGAAATACCGCAGCCCTGCCCTAAGCTGTGTCTTCAGGTCATGGTTTTGACACTGGTATACCGTGTTGTTGACCAGGTCGAAGGTCTCCGTGTCGTGTGTCCCAGGTATTGACAGGTCGGCCAGGCTGGTCTGGTCCGGAATGCTCGCCATCCATTCAGGATTGACCGATCGGTCCAGATCAAATGAGAATGACGACGTGTAATTGTGATATGATGGGGCTTGTTCTGGCGCGAATCCCATGATGGTCCGAAGAGACGAACTGGTCAGCTGTAGAATGAGGTAGAGGCAGACCATCGCAAGGACCACCAGGATGACGACGCTCGTGCGACTTCTCCTTGCCTGCGGGGTGTACATGATGAAAATGTAGACAGAGGGTTCTCGGTATATATGGACAAGGGGCGAGATGAGGTGGGAAAACAGGTTCTCGGGAGTCTCGGCGCGGGCATTCAAATGGTAAGAGCAGCCATCTCAAAGTCAATCTATGCTGGCTTGGTAGTCGCCCGCTTATACTAGTCTAGCAGTTGTCTTTTCGGACTCGGGGAAACGAACTGTCTGATTGCGTCTTCTCATCACCAGGGCGCAGTGGTGAGTGCTTCAAGACAGCCAGGTCAAGGTGATGTGATGCGAGCTCCAAGTTTAAGGGGTGATGTAGAGCGGACGCACGGACCACCATTGGCAGCATCATCCGCCTGCATTTCCAAGCCCACATGAGCCGAAAGCAGGTAAAATACCTGCTCACTTTCGCATCGAGGCTGAACCTACCTGTGGGAATTTGAGACAATCGTTGACAGTCTTGTACCTGCTGATTGTGTTAAGGAAAATTTGAGTAAAATGGCACATCTCCATGATGCTCGAAAAGACACGGAAAAGCATTCACATGGCAGGGGCAAATGGCCATGGGAGAGATCAATCATCAAGGGTATCCTTTACAATAAGTAGTATTGATATTAGAAAAAAGTGGTATCATAACCCCATCGCCACGGTCTAATGAATCCAGAATAACAATATCGGTTGAAATGGAAAACCGGGTATATGTCGAGAATTGAAATCAAAAGCCGTGCCCATCAGTCAAGATACTGACGCATTATTGAGATCGTGAATCTTGGCCGTCGTACAACACGTCGTACAACCCATCCGGAACACCGTCCTGACCACTGCGCTCCACGCTCCGTTTTTTTTCTCCGCCCAATCCAGACATCACCTTCGCCCTCATAGCCTGATGTAGTGCCAGATAGGCGCGATTAGTAGATGATCTTCTCCTCCCAAACAGGCGGCCTCGCGCCATCCTGATCCCACTCGAGCTTGTTCTTGTCGTTTAGTTCACAACCCTCGTCGGTGATCGGGATCACCTTGCCCGTGTGCGCAACCTCTTGGGCCGACACGCCGGCCTTGTCGCGTGGAATCCAAAGCAACGGGGGCTGAGACGTGACAACAGATGGAAGATACGCCTCAGCCTCCAACTTCTCTGTCAGGCCAAAGTTAATGTCACGCTCCGGCAAGTATGACCGGAGTGTGAAGTAGTCGGCGTAAATCCAGGGCTTGAAGAACTTGATGATGAAATTGCCCTTCTTTGGCTGGCCGCCCGGAGAGTGCTAATGTCTGGGTTAGTGACCATATACTTGCGGGGAAAGATTGTGTAGGGCCACGAGTTCCTGGAGTACTCACTGTAGGAGAGCCCGAACCGTTGGCCACGGCTTTCTCGTTGCTCACTGTCGCTTCCAAGCCTGCTCGGCGTTGCTCTTCCTCAGCCATGAGGCTCTGGGGAAGATTATACAGAAGTGGGTCCAGAGCCTGGTTGAGACTGAGATGGAAGAGTACTGTGAAGACGAGGAAGGCGATCATGAGCACCAGGGGCCCAATGGCGACGGAGGCGCCAAAAAGACCGATTAAGCAGAGCTCACTCAAGTAGACGCCAACGAACAGCTGCTTCAGCGCTCGGGGGTAGATGAGACCTCGTGTGTCAACCTGAGTGTCCGTAACAAAGAGAACGTTGTAGCGCCAAGCAAAATAGAACAAGGCCATCCCAATAGTGGCCCAGCCTAGGACCAGTGGAGCAATTGCTGCGTATGTGATGGCAATCACTGTGATGTTGGTATATACGGGCAAGGTGCTTCCCCAGGAAATCGCGCTGAGATTTGCCCACTTGTTGTAGAGGGCGCGAGGGGTGCCGGCAATGAATCTGTAAAGAATGTTGAAGATGACAAAGCCAACCACTTGAGAAATGACGCTCGAAGCAATAGTTAGTCCCTGAACAATGAAGTAAGAAATGTAGAAGTTGGACGCCTTGGGAAGACTGTTTGCCAAGATCGTAGTGACGCTCGCTGGGTTCTCCTGAATCTGTTTACCCACCGCCGAAGCAGAAGAAGTGACCGTCGTGATCAAGAAGACCTGGATAACCTGGAATGCGAAATACGAGTTTTGAGTAAACAGCTCGATCCGCGAGTACGAAGGCTCTCCCGACAGCTTCGCGCAAAGTCGCATGACGATGGGAACCAACGACATGAGAATTGCGAGTGCGACAGAGGGGAGGAGGCCGGTGACCACACCCATAATGATATCCGGGATGTCTTTTAGCCATGTCAAGAAGGACAATGTCTCGAGGTACTGGATGTTGCTGATGATACCGACGACACCGACAGGAATAGCCCAGAAGATGATCATTACGGTAATGAACGCGAGGACAGCATACCGGCGAACCAGCTTTTGCCACCAGGACACGGACAAAGAGCTCCAGACAACGTCCTTCGGGGTGATACCGATGTAGGAAGGAGACATTGTGAGGCCTGTGTGATGGGCGAGGACTTGGTAAGCCGTCTCAGCTTCGGCCTGGCTCTTGAATTCGATGAAAACAGCAGGGATTTTCTTGTTGCCACCAGAGCGATATTTGGCTTGCGCTGCCTCTGTCTCGGGGATAAGCCTGGCAAGCTCGGAGCGGCACCAGTCGATAGTGTCGACCTTCTTGCCAATCAACCCCAGGGGTCCAGTGCGATGCGAAGGTCGCTTCTTGGCAGGGACCCATCTGCTGGCGACGCTCCCGGACTCGGCGTCCAGTGGAGGGTGAGCATTCTCCTCCGGTGCGCCCTTGGTGGCCTTGATGCGCTCCTTGTTGGCGAGCTTGATGAGCTTGACCTCGGCCTTCTCCAACTTGAACGCTACCTTGTCCCGCTCCTCGACGAGCTTCTCGACTTCCTTGATATCGCTGTTGATCCAGATGTGCTTGACTGAGTTGCCGAAGATCTTGCGCATTACTCTCTCCTCCAAAAAGTCATCGGGAACCGAAGTGAAAAGGACGGTCCTCGACGACACGCGGTTAGCGTAGAATGGGCTGATGAGGAAAGCTTGGCGGAGATTGATGTAGTATACACATTCACGAAAGATCAAGTACATGACGAAGCCGTAGTAGGCCCAAGCGACAAAGGTGTGCGCATAGTAGCGGTTGCCTTGGGTTTTAGGGTCGATATTCGAATACGAAAGAACGTCGAGCTGTGCCGAGGTACCACCACCGGTAATATTGACCGGAAAGAGGACGGGCCAAGTAATGCAGCATCCCACGAAGCAGAGGATAACCGTCATCTACAGCCGCCGTCGTCAGTTACAGGCGCGCACTTGGTACTGAGGAATTGACAAGATAGCATAATACGTACGCGGATGAAGCGCAGATACAGGTAGGAGTCCAGAGACTGGGTCTGGAGAGCGAGGCTGTCGGGGATCTTCCAGAAACGGACGATCCAGTTTAAGAAGCCGCCTGGTAGTGCAGGTGTGCGCTCATTCTCGCGGAGGCTGCCTATGTAGGAGCGAGGGGCATAGAAGCGCCTGTGGCTCTTCCGCAGAATGAGGAAGATGAGGAAATAGACCCCGGCGGTGACGGCGACTGGTACCAGGGTCGATACCATGCCCGACAGGGACGCCGGCGGGGTATCGAGGGCGGTGCCTTGGTTACTCATGTTGAGAGCACTGCCGACGATGTTGTCGGGATCGAAATCCCCAAAGGGGTCGTTCTCTGCCATCGTGTTAATTTTGGCGATTTCAGTATTGATGGTGTTGTTGGATGTCAAGAAGAATCGCGAATGTTTACCTTGGGGCTGAAAAGCCTCGAGCGCTGCAGGACAGCAGCGACTTCAAGAATGAAAGACAGGCAAGTAAGCCGAAGACGTGTGTGAACGTGGCAGGTTGGACTCAAGCCGGCCAAAAGACCCGTTCAAGGGCCGCGAAGGGGGGCCGGTTTTGTATCGGCGGCGTGTCAGAAGCCGGGCGTGTATTGGAGTAGAGGATGGGAGGCCGTCGCCGTGACCAGCTGCAGGTGAAAAAGGTCGGAGGGCTCGAGGTCGGAGCGGCCGCGGGTGGTTTTGGGCAGGCCTCACCCCCGACAAGCTACAGTCTACCAGGTGTGAGAATTAAGCTCGAGAGGTGCTGAGTGGTGGTGTGTGGTAGGGTGATAGCGAGAGGAAATTGTCGTCCGATAGACGACGGGGCGGGAGGCCTTTTGGCGAGTACATGTACTCGCAGTCCAGTCCAGCCTAGTGATGTAGCAATAAAAAGAAGGATAAGGGCGTTGGAATTTGAGTGGTTGGCCTGGGCCAATGCAAGCTGGGCAAGCTGGGATTGGCTATGACGACGTCGCGTCGTTCAAGCTCCAGGGAACTAGCAGAATGCACACAGCATCTAATGTGCTAAGGTTCCTGCTCTGCTGATCCCTGCCAAGCTGGATCAGAAACAGCCGTGAGCCAGGCGGGAAGTTGCAGCGCAAGTGTGCTTCTGTCGTCTGATGTTAACGTAGCAGAGCAGCATGAGAGCATGAGAGCAGGAGGGCAGGAAAGCAGGAAAGCTGGCCTCTGGCAGGAGGGGAGGTGGCCAGGAATTGGAACTGGAATTGGAAGCTTCCAAGGTTGGCTGGGCTGGGTTGGGTTGGCAGACCAAGTCCCGGGCAAGGGCACGCAGCCTGCATGTGCCCTTCCCAGATTGACGGGCAACAAGTTGATGGAATCGTCAAACTAGCATCTCACTCTCGGCACCTGGCACCCAGGGTGGGCCTCCTGTGTCCCATTCCTGCCAACCCAGGGTCTTCCTCGCCCAGTCCCTTGCTCTACTGTCACTCCTACCCTTTCGCTTCTGTCGATCGAGGGGCCATGCACCTTTCGACGGTAAAACATATGACACCATTGTGCAGCTTCTTGCCTCCATCACTCGAACCTGACTTTGGCTGCAAGGGCAGGGCAGGGCAGAGCAGAGTAGAGCAGACAAGAGTCGAAAGGGCATACCATTGCATTGCATCGCATCGCATCACATCACATCAGAATTACCCTGGCCGTGCGCTCCAATGCCATGCCAAGCACAGCTTTTTTCCTGGTTCCATCCACCCCCATCTCGTGTTGCCCCTGCTGCCCTGCGAGAAAGACATGATCATTTTTGACCTGATACCTGCGGTGACTCTGCGGTGCCTCTACGGTGCCACGCTGGCCGCTCCCGACTCCAGGAATCACAGGAAATAATCGCAAAGGGACAGTTGCGGGGCCAACGTCCCGCTATCAATACCACCGTCAAGGACTGGAACGAGTCAATGACAGGCCCAACTTAGCACACAGCAGAGCATCACCAGTGGCCAAGCGGTGTCGCGTCTGACAGGGTGTCTGCTTCTTCTCAGTCTCAGTCTACTACTAGCCATTGCTCCGGTGGGCGACTTCCGCGCTTCACCATCGCTGGTCTGTCTTGGAGAGCCGCATATGCCATTGACACGCCCGCGCCAGTAGACGCCAACACAATCAATGATGTAGGCGGCGCACCAAATCCAAGCGCACGCTCCTCAGAGAGCTTCGTGAGCTGGGTGCTGGCGAAATAAAGCTTCTAAAGCTCAGCTTGGGCCCAAGTAGCAGATTAGCATCCAAGCATCTCAGTCGCATGTGACCGTCTCTCCAACCCAACTTGTCGGGCCTGGAACTCCCACCAGCACAGCAAAACGATCATGGCTTCATTGCCAACAGGCTAGCCACTGGAGGCCACCCTCTTCCGAAACCTCGTTGTGCCACACATGGATCCTGTAACATGAATCAATGCAGTATTTGTGTTGTTTGGGCGGAACAGGGCACCTCAATGGTGGCCAGGCCCAATCTGTCGGCCGCAAAATTCGAACAGCCCACTGGCCTGCTGGCACTTCGGCGCTTCCTCGAGGAAACTCTTCAGCTGCCGGGTAACGCCGTCGGTGGCGGTAATCGGTGCCCATCTGCTGCCACCGATCAGGGCAGCTCAGCCACGACCGGTCCCGGCCCCACTGAAAACCAACTCTATTTGGGCTTTGGCACCCGCAAGGAGCTTTGAACTATCGTCAATCGGCCCCTCCAATTTCACCACGCTTGCCCGCATTCGACAAGCTGCTCGCGAACAAGCTTAGAGCATCACAAACCTTTGATGCTGTCTGTACCTGCGAGAGGCCTCGCAATGTTTGGTTTCAGCTGCATCAATTCCGCTTGGGTTGCTCTCCTGTATTCAACCAAGCCCAATGGGTGCAAGTTCATTCCTGACGCGCGCTGAAAAATATTTGTTCTGCGAAATATGGCCGCGTGCCAACCGCCGCGCGTCGCAAGCGGCTACAGGAAAACGCAGCCCCCAAATTTCAAATGGTATTGTGTGGTAATTGCTGGCGTTGCACGTCTAATTGGCCTGATAGGTATGAAATCCCTGTTGTGGTCCATCCATCGATCAGTACCAAGATCATGCTCCCATGGACCTTGCTACTTAATATCGACCTGGCTTACACAATTCCTTCTTGGCGTCTGGCACTGGTGACATTGACTGAAGCTGGTCGTCACGTGCAGGGACGACAACTTCAGAGGCCTCTCCAGGGACGTCTCTCCACGTTTGCAACTCACAAGAATGACCTGTTGCTCTCACCTCCAAGTTTCCACGCCGGCATAGTGTCCCAAGCCCAAGCCGATTGAGTCGACTCATGCTTCCACAGGCTTTAAGCAATCTCTGCGCTACCATCCCGCTGGTTCTGGGTATTGCGACGCAGCAACTGTCACAACGTCCTCAGTTGCTCGTTTACCGCCCAATTCGATGCACCACGTTTTCAGGAACTTGGGCATGAGATCAAGTGATGTCTATTCCCGTGGACCCTTAGAGATTGTTTTCTTCGACTATTAGGACTACCTAAGGGTTCGTATCGGATGCTTTACGTATTGCTTTGTTTGTGGAGAGTATTGAGCTGGTTATAGTAGCCTTCCTACGCGGAATCTACTCTTTTCATGACCAATACCTCCAAGTCGCCCTGGGAACAGCTAGTGGGCAGCAGCCGATACCAGTAGTCAACGTCAGAATATTTGTCCTCGAAGCCAAGCTTATTGATGGAGCTTTCCAATGCTCTTAGGAGTCGGTCCATCTGAAGGAAGAGCACTTCACTCACTTTCCCCGGGGAGGCTCCCTCCTGGGGCTTGGGGGGGTGGGGGGGGGGGGATGGGCAGGTGCTTGCTTCACCATGTTCTCAACTTTGATCCGGCTTTTGGCAGACATACATGGTGGCTGATGAATTGCTAGTTAAGATTTCAAGTTGATTTGAGCCCCAAAACTGAGCCCTCCTTGATGGGGCCCAACTTGGCTGTTCAGTGAGGCCATGTCGTTCGCTGTATCGGATGCAGCTTCTCAAGTGCAGGGGCTGAAAGTACGCTTCACGGCCTTTGGACTTCGTCACACATAGCATTAAATTATTGACTCAGCAGCGGGTTGGTCCTGGTGTTGCAGTGTATGGACAGCAACGTGCCGGTTTGAGACGTCACAGCCTCTTTATGCCCCTCGAGCTTGGTAATTGATTCGCCTCTGAGGCCTCTTGACTAGAAGTTTGACGATGTCAGGACAAGTCTCCACATGGAACTTTTTGCAGTCACGGCTAAGTTGAAAGCGTGGTCAGTAGCACCAAGGACTGCCAGCTTGAAATTTAGTCCTGATGGCAGCTTACTTTCAAATTTTCCATCTTTGAGCTCTATTGTCTCTGAGCAATGTGACGCCATCAGATATCCTGATCGACAAAGATGCATATTTTGGGGGTGGGAAGTCGCATCTGGCCACTCGTATTACACTATTTCAGACCCACCGTTGACTCTGGGGGCCTACAGTGGGGGCCAGCTATAAGTGAACGTGGACCCATCGACAATGAGCTCAGCGTGCGTTGTGCGGATTGTGATCCTCTCTTCATCTAGTTACTCTGTCGACAAATAAAGCTGTAGATACCGAGACACAAGCTTCTGTAATTCGTGGACAAGAATTCGTTCCGGTTGGGTATTCAGCCACATGCCATGTGTCAACAACAACAATCTTGCTGTCAGATTCTACAAGCTGCATCATGGGAGATGATGATAACAATACTGTACCTCGACCCGGCTGTCCTGGTGCCTGCAATATTGCCAGGAAGTCCAGTCAGAACTATTGTAAGGGTCAAAGCTAGCACCTGCCTCCATAACACCCAACCAGAGATGTACTCATACCGAGATGACGACTGAATCCATTCGTTTCCAGCAAATTCCAACGCATCCTCAGGTCCGGGTCCGGTCAATGAGAAAAGTGGAATGGTCCAGAAGGGGAAGTTGGGCGTTCCCGCCATTGTCATCAAAATAGGCGGCACCCTTTCCGGCGGTGGAATGGTTGGGCTGAACAATGAAAACAGAGTCCCTGGCAGCCGGCTGCGTAAGATCTGTCCAGACAAAAGAGACTGACCTCAGTGTCTGCTTTTCTTTTCGTGCCTTCACCGAGAATCTTCTTTGCGAGTCCCATCTTGATCTTCCTGTCTGCCAGTCTCTGAGGGAGCCATAGATATTCAGAACAGACTTCCATCTACAGATCAATATTGTCAGCACAGGACTCCCGTCAAGATGGCCGACGACAATCCAGCCGCTTCGAACGACCCAAACATTCACCAGGCCGGCTATTACCCTGCCACGGATCACTCGATCCCATACCAGTCACAATGGTCTCGGATCCACGACGACGAAGCGACCAAGGCGACATTGCGGCACTTGGGGTGTAACTACATGGGCACAGAGGGTTGTCCGCCAACCCTCATAGCGCTGAAGCGGCACGCGCAGTCCCTGGCCATTCTCATTGCTCACCTCAGCCCGAGCGTGAGGACTGGGAAAGTCGACGGAAACCCGATCTTCGATGGGAGACAGCCTGCGCAGGCTGATGGAAATGGCCTCCTTTCTTACGGCCAAACCGTGAATGGGCGACTCGAACTGAACGATGCTTTTGACTGGCTCGCAGACCTGTCACAACCGTACAACAATGATGACCCTAATCACCACAAGCCACTCAACATCCTTTCCAATGAGGTCGCCGGTCGGCACGAAGTCCTGGGCACTGACTTCCACTGCCCGCTTACCCGAGTCACACCGCGCGAGAAGCAAGAGCAGCGGGGCAACCCATACCAGGCGGACGTCTCCCGGACGCCATACGCCAACCACCACCTGCTGGCCATGCACGCGAACGCTTGCCTGGAGCACCTAGACCACGAGTTCAGCGCCACGGGCGGCATCCTAAGCCTGATCCCCGAGGAGGGCCGGGGCGCCAACACGGAAGAGCTCAAGGCGGCACAGAATTCACTGCTTGGCCAGCTGCTCCTGTACGTGCAGAGCCTGGCGCTGCGCAACCACGAACAGGACATGACCAACGCGAAGCTGACGGACGCGTTGGCGGGCGAGGCGGTGGTGCCGATGCAGCACCTGTCGGTGCTCGGGCCGGACGGGCGGTCGGGGCGAGAGATCGCGTACCCGCAGGACCGCTGGGTGCTGGTCAACGCGGGCGACGACGTGTGGGCGCACCTGCACGACGCGCTGGACCGCGAGGAGTCGGCGCTCGAGGCCAGGGAGCAGGCGTGGACGGAGGGCGACGAGGGCGTGGGCGGGGACAGCGTGTGGCGCAACGAGCGCAACGACGACCGCCACGCGCGCGGCGTCGTGGTGGTGGACTGCGGCACGCGGTTCTACCGGCTGCAGGGCCAGGGCCGCAGCACCATCTTCGTGCTGCCGGCCTTCACGAGCTGCCCGGCCACCGAGTGGAGCCGGAGCATGGACCGGTACAGCAAGGCCACGGTCGTCGGCACGGTGGCGGCCAGGAGCCTGCCGCGGACGACCAACTACGAGAAGAGGTGGAACACCCGGTACGCGGACGCGGATAGGAGGGGGGCTGACCACCAGCAGCTCCGGGTCAAGAGCCAACGCGATGAGGCTACCATCAGCAACATAAGGGCTGAGCTAGACAGGCAGCTGATCGCGCAACGGAATATGGCTGAGCAGCTTTCCCAGTACACGAACCGCGCACCTGGCGAAGGCGAAGCAAATAACCGCGACCTCATTGTGTCTCTTAACACACAGATCGCGAACCTGCAACAGGCAGCGCAACAACCACACCATTCTCCTCCGGCTCCGGGTTCGCATATTGGTACTCCCGCGACGCACTTTTCTACTCCCGCATCGCATTTTGCTACTCCACCTACGCAGTTTGCTACTGGCGCTGGCAGTGCTGGCAGTGCTGGCAGCGGCGGGGATGCCGCGATGAGTGGAGCGAACGGGCCATAGTAATCAGTGCCGAAGGTACAGCATGATGGTTTTTGTTTTCAAATTAACCGTGGGGATTTTGAAACGGGAACGTGGTCTGGGAAGGTATAAATTGGCCCAGCTTTGTCTGGTTGTTCGGTCTCTGGGGATACTTTTGTTGACTGTGCCTGTGTGCCGTACAGTAATGTATCTTTGCTGTGTGAGTGCAGTACTTCGTACAACAATCTCGTCTCTTTTGTCCTTTGCATGAGAAATTGGAGGCTGTGTACCAGACCAAGGTTTCGAGGATACTGTCAGCATGTGAGACTGACTGGATGAATGTATGGATTGGCCAGTGACACTGCGCGCCGTCGCCGTGCCAACGCCGTGCCGAGCACCGTGGTCAACACGGCGGACATTACTATGTGTGTACTATGTATGCAGGTTGCACGCTTCCAGCCACCGATTACGCCAGCCTCAACACACCATTGGCCCAGGCCCAGCTCGCCCTCGGCAATCAGGATATTGATCCCCCATCATGTGCCCGTAAACCTGTTGACGGACAATGAGACTGAACTTGACTAGACTACCTTGCCTGAGAGGGAAATTACAAACTTACCAGCCTCTCGGACCTCGACCCCTCCATATTGTCCGTCTTCTGCCGTTGACCAGTCGTAAAACCAGCAACGCTCCCTCCCACCCCAGTCCACGTTACCAGACCCTGCCAATCCGCATCTTTTTGTTGCTTTTCAGCACTGCTAGTTCCCGTGACAATTCCTCATGCCAACTCATCCTTTATTGTGAAGATCAATGCTGAGTTGAGCCCGTTGAGCTTTCCCCTGTCGTTTCGTCCTGTTGTGTCCTGTTCTGCTTGATATTGGGAGGCTGGGCGGCCCCATATCCATACTGCGGGTCTGGTCTTCACTCACAGCGAACAATGAATTGAATTGATCAACACGAGATCTGCAGGCTGCGAGTGCCACTCAACCCTGCGACCGCAGAGCAAGCAACCAAGCATGGCAGGCCACCAGGCCAGGCCCGTGTCTTCTTACACGGCGTCAGTTGCTACCCGGGTTAAACAACGAGAATGCGGCCCGCCGCGGACGCATTCCACGGCCAACATCTTCATGCTCACGGTTGGCTTGCTGCTCATGATGCACACATCCCGAGCATCCGCCTCCGAGACATCGCTCCTCCCGTACATTCCAACCAACATCCTCGTCCCAGGGTCCACCGCCGGGGTCGCCTACGGCCGGGAGACTGGCAACGCCAACAGCACCGCGTACATTTTTAGTCCTAACGATAGTGGCTCCGTCGATCTGCTGGCCGTGGACATATCATCCGCCCTGGCCGCTTCCTCTGTTGCCAACAACGCCGAGACCTTGACACATGGACTGCCTTTCCTCATAGCAAGTACCAACTCAACAGCCTTCACACCCACGCTCACATCGGACGGCTCCATCATCGCCTACGCAGGCGATTGCAGTTCAGACTCCAGCTCATCCTTATGGGTGTACAACACCACCACCTCGCATCAGGCATCATGGGTTGAGCACTCTGTCACCATCAACGGCGGTGCCACCGGGCCATTCTTCCTGGGGGGCGGCTTCTCCTTCTCAGAGACAATATCGCCCAGTCTGTCCCAGCCTCTGATCTATGCCTACGGCGGGCAATGCCCCAACGAGACCCTCGGCAACACCTGGACCTCGGCCGCGCAATACTCCAACTCAATGGTCCGCCTATCGGCCTCCACGGGGTCCTCTTCCGGGTTGACTTACACCGCAAACCCGCTGTCCCTCAAGTCCCAGCCCATAGCTGAGGCAGGCTTCAGCCTGACCCCGCTCCCGCCGGCGACGTCCAACATCTCAGGGACGGTCACGCAGAGCATCAACAGTGTCGTCCTGGGCGGCCACACCCAGACTGCCTTTGTGAACATGTCGACGGCCGCGGTGTGGAGCCTGCCGGAGGAGAGCTGGAGCTTCATTGCCATCTCCGGACCGTCGGCCTCGTCCTCGAGCGACCTTTCGGAGCTTGCCAAACACGACGAGGAGGTTACCGAGGTGCAGCCGCGGTCGGGTCATACCGCCGTCCTCAACGAGGCCGGGACCGCCCTGGTCGTCCTTGGTGGGTGGGTGGGAAACACGAGCCAGGCGGCGCAGCCGCAGCTGGCTGTTCTGCAGATGAGCGGTAGTGAGTTCGGAGAGTGGACATGGTCTGTGCCTGATGACCAGCCTCTGAGCTCTGGAGAGGGGATTTACGGCCATGGTGCTGCCTTGTTGCCTGGCAATGTCATGATGGTATCCGGTGGTTACGCCATCACATCTGGATCTTCAGGTTCAGGGCTGGGCAAAAGGGACAGCATTGGTGTTGCGGGCGGACAGCTTCAAATGTTCTTCAACTTGACAAGCCTCACCTGGAGCGATTCGTACACGAACCCGACATCTGTGTCCACTGGCTCACAAAGCGGCACCGCGCCGTCGTCATCGCCATATAAACTTGGTCTCGGCTTGGGCTTGGGATTCGGTATCCCAGTTTTACTTCTCGTGCTGGCCATATGCTTCTTCTGCTGGAGGCGAAGGCAGCGCCTGCGCCACCAGACACGCGACGAGCACATCCGAAACTTGACCACTGGCACAGCCTTCATCACGTCCGATGAGATGCTTGAGCACGAGAACGTGTACCCCTGGGGTCCGCGAAGTGCGGCACGATGGTACACGGGCGGACACGACCCGTATCTGCGTGATCAGGGAAGTTCACCAGGATACGAAAATCTGCGTGCCCCTAGACACGATTCTGATGATCCCATGGCCGTCGAGTCACCCGGTAACTACAGAAGGGACATCCGCCGTAGGCCAGTGCCAAGGGTAGCAAGGGGTCTGTATCAACCCACCGGTATTTCCGGTACGGATGATGTTATGAGCCCAGGTGCAATTCATCCTATCTTTGAAGACGAGGAAGATGAGATAGCCATGGCTGGTGCCATGGCTCCAGACAAGGACGAAGAGAATGACGAGGACCCGTTCACCACCCCGGTCCCTTCACCAACAAAGGCAGGCCCCAGTCTGGCGAGCCCGATTGTCTTTGTAGCATCTCAGGCGATGGTGGGTTCCGGGCCAACTAGTCCAACAGAGAGCACACCGCGTGCTCGACCCCAGCACCCAGAAGTACAAGACTGGGTGAGCGACATCGACGCATCAGACGCCTTGATCACAGCTCGCCTACAGCCTCACAACACCACGTTCCGCAACTCGGGCAAGATCTCTCCGACGAGGCGGCCTTCGGTGCGTGTGTCCGAAGACGATACTACCGGCGGTGCTCGAACGGACAGCAACCTGTCCGAGTCCAATCGCAGCACCTTCAGCTTCGTTTTTAACCGGTCAGACTCGCTGCGCGCTGGGGCGGGCATGTTGGCCATTAGCAAGTCTCGGAATGATCAGGAAAGGGCTGGCACCTCCCACTCGGACAAGAGCAATAGCAGCAACAGCAACACCACGCAGGACAGTTTCATGACGGCCAAGTCGATCACGGCACTCCAGTCCGAGGGGCCTGGACTGCTACTGGGCCGGCCGAGGCCGATATCAGACATTGAGGACCTCGGCCACTTGTCAGATGATGATCCGCTAGCCCCTGGGAGTCCAAGCAAGAGCAAGCCACCGCGCAGGAGCTGGTTTGGGAGCCTGAAGAGAGTGTTCAGCGCAGGCGCTGGCAGCGGTAGTTCGAACGGCAGTTCGAGTAGGACTGAGAGCCCGACCCACGGGCAAAGCAGCGACTACGATGGGCTTGGTCTGGGCAGCCTAGGCCTCGGTGGTGTTGGGCTGTTACAAAAGCGGAAGCAAGGGAGATTGGCATGGGATGAGGCCGGGGCATCTGCGAGTGGTGCCGGCCAAGGCGCTGGCGAGGGTTGGGAGGAAGAAGACTGGGACATCGAGAGAGCGGTCGAGAAGAGGTTGGTGCAGGTGATGTTCAGTGTCCCCAAGGACAGGTTGCGCGTCGTTAATGCCGATAACGCGGATCTCGTGTCCCTGGAGGAGTCCGTGGTCTTTGTGGATCCGGAGAAGGACGGCCTTCCAATCGCGGACACTAATGCCCCTGGAAAAGAGAAGGAAAAGGAGACGGCGCACAACGAGGAGCCCGAAGAACAGGAGGATGTCGCGGATGTCGCCAGTGTCGCTAGCCAGACTGAAGAAGCGAGCAGGGCAAGACGCGAGAGGATACAGCAAGGAAAACAGCCGGAGAGACCTCTCTTGCTGCTCAAAGTACCTCAGGCCCCGGCAAGCGATACTTCAGAGGATTCCAGACGGAGAAGCATCTCGCCCGTTGTCAGGACGGCGGAACAAGTCCGGTACGAGAGACCTAGGACGCGCGTGCTCGACATGGTAGAGAGCTTCGAGAGCAGGAGTAAGAGTTCAAGTCCTGAGAGGAGGCAATGAGGCACGGATGACTGGTACTTTGGGTACCATGTGGCTGTTCATTTTCCTGTACAATGAAATTTTACGAAGCGATGGGATTTGTGTTGCGAACAGGGTCATGAAGAGCCAGGGCAGCCCTCAAGGGCAAGGGCAAAGGCAAGGTGGGCTGGTTTCGCAGCAACAAGGAGCTCAGGAGTCTTGGGAAGCATTTTTGGATAGGAACGGTCGTTTGGATCGGAGCGTGGCATAGAGCCAGCTCCTGCTTGAGGAATATGAATTGATAATACTGCACTGCAGCCTGTGGCAGTTTCTCCGAACAAGCTGGTGGCTGTTTCCACAACCGATGGTTTCACTGACTGTGATTGTGATCATGTTCAGAAGGATTCACCCGTGTGACCAGGCCTCGAGGTTTGCTTGCATGGTGGTTGCCTGTGATTTGGATAGCCTGTCGAGATGAAAATGCCAGCTAACTTGGAACCTCACCCCCGCTCCAATCAACCCGAACCCCCTGCACCTGGTCACCTCTCTCCCTAGAAACATTGACCGACAGCACTGGGATCATTTCCACCTACACCTGACCTCCTTGTTTGCAAATCGACGAAGCCGTTCATTCATTACTTGAAAGAAACCTTTAAGCAGCAAAGCAAGGTCTTCATCGAACCACGGCCCGCAACCATCATGGATAACTTCAAGAATCTCAACCTGGGGTCGACCTTCAGGTAAGCCCGCATCTTCAAGCGTACCTATGCGATAGGAGCTCTGGCAGCTGACGACGACCTCCTTGACAGTGGGTTTGGGAGCACTGTCGGCAACTTTGGGTCGCAGTTCACCCCCTTCGCCTCCCGCACCTTCCAGTCGACCAAGGAGATGCTTGGTCAGACAGACGACAAGGTCAGTAGAGTCGACAGCGTTACGATACCGTGATTCACATGCTGACGATCAGCCCCCTGGTATTAGACCCAGCTCCCACCCGACTACATCGACCTGGAGAAGCGTGTCGACGCCCTGAAGCAGGTCCACCAGAAGATGCTGGCTGTGACGTGAGTATAGTGATCCAGCTTCCGGGTATCTAGTGGCTCTTGTCATCGTCGCGCTGACACTCCTCCCTTATCAGTAACCAGTACTCAAAGGAAGCCTACGACTACCCAGCCAATATAAGCGAGACATTCAACGACCTCGGTCGCACCGTCAGCGAGAAGGTCACTCTCCTTTCCTCCGCCTCGTCGCCCGCCGAGGCCCAGGCCGCGCTTACTGCCCCTCCTTCCGCGAAGCCCCAGCCCAAGACGTTCGCCCATGCCATCGCCCGCGCCTCTCTGGCTAGCAGCCAGCTCCTGCATCAGCAACATACCGGAACCGGCGATGACCCGCTTGCAGCCGCCCTTGAGAAGTTTGCCCTGGCCGAGGAGCGAGTCGGCGAGGCCAGACTCGCCCAGGATGCGCAGATCCAAAGCCGCTTCCTCGCGGGATGGAACACCACGCTGAACACCAACATCATGTTCGCGACGCGCGCGCGCAAGGGAGTCGAGAAGTCGCGCCTGACGCTGGATGCTGCCAAGGGGAAGGCCAAGGGAAACACATGGAAAATTCCCGTGCCGGCTGTCGCCGCTGCCCAGAGCCCTAGAGCTGAGACGCACGAGGAGGCCGAGATCAGCCCTGAGGCGCAGGAGGAGATTGAGAAGGCCGAGGATGAATTTGTCACACAAACCGAGGAAGCTGTTGGTGTGATGAAGAATGTGAGTCGCATCAGAGCCCGGAACTAGATATTGGCCGTTCGATGACTGACTGTAAACGCAGGTCCTTGATACACCTGAGCCACTCCGCAACCTTGCCGAGCTCATCTCCGCCCAGATGGAGTACCACAAGAAGGCCTACGAGATCCTCAGCGAGCTTGCGCCTACTATCGAGGGTCTGCAGGTCGAGCAGGAGGCAAGTCGCGCCTCGGGTTACTCGCTGCCCTGAAGCACCTACTAACTCGAGTTGGATGTCAATAGGCTAGCTACCGAAAGAGCCGTGAGAGCACCTCTTAAGAGGTGTCTGCTGGAGAAAGCTACGGGATGCTTGGACTGCAAGAGAGTGCGTGGGTCAAGGGGGGTAAAGGGGCATCTCAGGAGAGCCGCTTCGCGTAGAGGAGGTTGTGTAGGTGTATGGAGGATATCCAGAGTTTGAGCAAGAGGGCAGGTCTCCTGACTGCGATCGATGATTTCCCCATTATGGAGGCTTTTCTTATGATATCTGGCCGGTAGAATTTCAGGTTTATGGGCGAGCCTTCCTCAGGATTGTCGCATTCTTCAATTGTCATTCTGTGTTCTTCGCGACCTGATTGATAGCAATCCTTCCAGAATACGAGCTGATTTCTACTTTTGGTGAGAGCAAGGAAAGCTTGACGATATGTTTTGCCTCTGGCTTGCGCCAGTCAGACATGTGAGACTTTGGCTAGGTGGCCCGTGCACTCGAATTTAGCTGGAGCTCGAGTGACGCTGCTACCTAGGTTGCATTTGCTGCCGCTTTGAATGGGTTGCAGCATCAGTCGCATCTTCGTAACCTGTACAACTTTCTCGATGCGGTAGCGACCGACTTTTCCTAATTTCCACCTTAATATCTCCAAAATGGTCAGCTTTTCTACTCTGGATCTTTGCACTCACGCTTGCTAACATTCGAGGCCTTCGCAGCTACCGCTCGGTCTCCTTAACGCGGCCCAAGGGCACCCCATGCTCGTCGAGCTGAAGAACGGCGAGACACTCAACGGCCACCTTGTCAACTGCGACACGTGGATGAACCTGACGCTGAAGGAGGTGGTCCAGACGAGTCCTGTATGTCCTCGCAGCTGCGCCACACACCACTACGATCTACATCGCTCAGGCGGAAGGGCTGACCTAGTTGCATTGTTCTAGGAAGGCGACAGATTCACACGGTTACCGGAGGCATACGTGAAGGGGAACAACGTACGTCTCACCAAGTGTTTGCGCTCCTAGGCGGTGGGGCAGGGAGCTGACAAAAGCTGTGTCGCGCAGATCAAATACCTCCGCGTCCCCGACGAGATTATCGACATCGTGAAGGAGCAACAAGCGAACCACCAGAGTGGTTTCCGCGGAGGAAGAGGTGGCCAGAACAGAGGCGACCACGGCGGAAGGGGCGGAGATCGGGGTGGTCGTGGGAGGGGCCAAGGACGTGGGCGGGGAAGGGGGAGGGGATAGAGGCAAGCACCATGGTGTGAGACGTTCACGAATGACATACACACAATGATACCCCTTTCCGGACAGTCCCTCGATTTTGAGCGGCAAGGATCAGTAAATTGCATGCATAATTGCTTCCTGTCCGAGTGGGTTGAAGCAGAGCCGCGTCAGAGGAGAGAGCTGGCCAGCTCAAGGAACCTCCGTCACGACCAGGATTTTGGCGAGTGCCGCAGCGGCCGAGCTTGGCTGTAGGCGGTCGGTCCACAAGCACTTCACCGGGAACTATGGGGACTATAGGGACTCAATCAATTGCCCTGTCTTGAATGTTTGAGTGATTTCTCGCTGGTTGTATATCGACTTGGCACGTGATAGCGTGAAGCTCTTATCGGCGATAGCTACTCCAAGGCTGGAGCTTCGTATCTCCCATGCGAAATTTGGCAGACCTCCCATTCCGTCACGGCAAGTCAATGTCTGGCGCGAAAATTACCATTGACGGGCTGTGGCGATGCCTGTGTCCTTCGGTTGACGCCGCAGTGCTCGGGCGCGTCACAACAGCCTACAGTCGGGCCCAAGCAAGGTCATCGGCGTCTGTCTCCCTCCGAGCTGCTTCTCGGCCGCGCTGCCTACACACCACGGATCACCGTCGCGAGAATGGCGCAAATTCGGGGCAAGATGTTTTCGCCTCTCTTGCCGGTGCAGTCCATGAAAATAAGGCGTTGAAGAACCAAACTGCCCCCGACTGGCTTGAGCAGCCGGTGCACACTGAGCAGTCTCCCGAAAATACGGCCTCGAGTCCGAGAGACGAAGCCGAGTCTCGAAAAGACAGCTCATCTCAGCCTTTGGTTCAATCACAATTGAGCGACAAGACTTCTACAAAATCCGGAACCCTGGATGCATCTAATAAAGCCTTGGAAAGCCAAGGCAGCCCGACCGAGATGGTACAGCGACTCCTCTGGGGCAAACGACTCAACGAAGACATCCCGCACGCGACGCCCGAAGAGATCTATGAAGCGCTGCGCCAATTGAGGAGCTCGGGAAGGCCGAAACACAGGAGAATCACAGCAGCACTGGTCAGACACTTGCTAGCATCCGGAACACCGCCGGACACTTTCATCTACGAGACTCTGCTCATGGCGCACGCGGCCATAGACGGGTCTGCGGACGCCGTGAAGGGACTGTTGCGGGAGATGCGGCACAAGACATTGCCTTGGTCGTCGACGGCGTACCATGCCGCCCTACAGGTACGTTGGCCGTGGCCTGAGACGATTCGTCCGACTAACACATGGCTCTAATACTAGGCTTTGGCTATACACCCTGACTACCTTCTTCGCAGCACTGTCATAAGAGAGATGAGAGAACGATGGCTGGAGATCAGCCCCCAGGGCCACCAGCACATTGCCATCGGGCTACTGCGAGACGAGCAATATGAGCTCGCGCTAGAGGAGCTGCACGAGACGTTCGAAAAGGGCATACCTATCGAGGGCTGGGTGTACGACATATTTATCTACGTTTTTGGACAGATGGAGTTTCTCGATGATGCCCTGCGGATAGTGCGCCATAGACTTGATAGCGGCAACGAGATACCGGTCAACATCTGGTACTTCCTGCTTGATGTGTGCAGCAAAGGTCAGAACATCGAGGCAACGAGGTACATCTGGAACCGTGCTGTCCAGCAAGGGATCGTCAATCCATCGGATGGCGTTGCCCTGAATGTGCTTAACATGGCCGCGGTCTACGGAGACACAGAGCTATGCACGCCGGTCATCGAGTACCTGTCATCAAGGGGCACAAGACTGAACCGGCATCACTACGAGGCTTTGATCGACGCGTATGCGGCCCAAGGGAATGTTGAAAAGGCTCTCGAGGTCTACTGCATTATGCACGCCGCCGGCGTCGAGGTCAACCATTCCAGCACCGGCTCCCTCGCCTTCACGTTGGCCCGCGACCCTTCCCTCATTGACAAGGCCATCCAAGCCATGTCCGAGCTGCAAGGGAAGCATTATGTGCCCATCACCGTTTTCAACACTGTGCTGAATGAGATTGTCAAGTCCGACGTGGAACAGCCTGATGACGCGTTTGCCAAGGCGCTGGGCCTATATCGACGGATCCGAGAGTTCGTTCCCGACGGACCGAATTGGGAAACCTTCAGAAATCTACTATGGAAGTGCACCCGGCCAGAGCTCGCGCAGTTCTTTGCAGGAGAGATGGTCCACTTCGATATTCAGCCAAACTTGATCATCAAAAAGCATTTGTACAGGATTCACGTCGAGTTTGACGGGCCGAGCTATCGGGCGAAAGACTATTTCTTCAAAGTTGCGCCGCATTTCAAGGATGGAAAGGATCTGTCGCGGGGACTGCGAAAGGCGGAGGTCATGAACCTATCCGTAAAGCTCGTCAAGAGACTGATTGGTGAACGAGACCCAGAGGCATGGCGTATATTGGAAATTTGCAAGAAGAACGGCCTGGAGCAGGTGACGATCGATGCACTGCGTGCGGAGGTCGAGGCTGGGACCATTGACGGGGCTGATGCTGCCACGCGGAATGAAACCGTCGACCAGGACGCAGCTTGGGGGCCAAGGGATGGTTCGCAGCCATCAGCCTGAATTGGGACAGGCAAGAAGGCACCATGCACCTTCACGGTTACCATCGAGGAAAGCAGGGCACCACAGGCCGAGAGAAGACGATTCAAGGGACTTGAGACTTTGTATCAACTCCGAGGGTCCAAGAAGACACCGACACGGCAGCAAGATGCAGAGCTCAATCCATTTGGATCTGGGGCATTCGCAGGGGTCGCTTCCCGCGAAGCGTTTCTGCAAGTTCGATAGCGGGCTTCTTCCAGTAAGTCCCGTGGTTCCCGTCAGTGATACTGGCCTAGTCGCCATTCGCGTCGAACGTGCGACGGAAAAGGTCCACCTGGAGACGGGTCAGGCACGTTCCAATGGGAAGATATGTCTCCAACCTTGCCCGTTAGTATTTCTCGCTTGATGTTTTGTATCTGAAGACAGGAAATCCAAGACGGCCGCCACATGGCAGTTTCTCGCACTTCCTCTGTCCCTGTAGCAATTTGGGACAGCCTAGACTATAATATAGACAAATTCCAACTTCGGACTAGGCCTCTCCAGCCTTAGCACCCAGCGGAATTAAGGTTTTCGGATCCAACGTGTATTTCAAACCCCTCGGCTTCACATACCAACAACGCAACCGGCTCGGCCCATTGTCCAGGTAGGCAGTCTTGGTATACACATGCGACGGTAACGTCGGGACGCAAGCCGTCAAGATTGCGGGGAGTTCACGGCGGCTTCTAGGCCGGATATTTGTTCACCCCCGCACCATGCTGCAAAGAGATCGTCGTGTTCACGACATTGGCGGAAGAAATCAATACGACATTCTTAGTCTCGCATGCTATTGTCAAGAGATCCGAACAAAAGAAGGTTCAACATCATGTACATCATCGTGGCCCAATGGCACGGTGCAAGGGCCATTGGACATCTCATTGTATGGTATAAATAGGCTGTAGATGCCACCGTGATGTCCGGCCATTATGATTTAAAAGACGAGGCCGATGTCAGAAGGCGAATCTCTCAACGCCAAACAACCCAATGCATGTGAAGTTCTTCAGCCTCATTTGGCTGTCCGTTTTCACACTGGCAGCCCAAGGCCAGTCCCAGCAGGCGGCTTCAGCGAATAAGACGTTTCACAACCCGATTCTCCCGGGATGGAACTCGGATCCTAGCTGCACGTTCGTGAAGGAATGGGGAAACACTTTCTTTTGCACTGTCTCTTCCTTCTTAGCCTTTCCGGGTGTCCCGGTCTATGCCAGCAAAGACCTAGTCAACTGGAAACTTGCGAGCAACGCCCTGACACGGCCTGAACAATTACCGGAACTATCCAGGAACTCGGGACAAAATGAAGGAATATGGGCGTCGACTATTAGATACCACAAAGGCACCTTCTACCTCATCACGTCTTACGTGTCTTGGTACGAAGGATGGGGGCCCAAGATCTTGCTGTTTACCACGACTGACCCTTTCGATGATGCCTCCTGGACTGGCCCTCTACACGTTGAGAATCCCGCCAACGATATCGATCCAGATATTTTCTGGGATGGGGGCAAGGTCTACATGTCAGTCGCGGCGGGCATCTGGGTCAGCGAGATCGATCTTTCCACAGGCACAGCAACTGAGCCCTCCAAAGTCTGGAACGGAACCGGCGATCGCAACCCTGAAGGGCCTCACTTCTATCACAAGGACGATTACTACTACCTGCTAATCGGCGAGGGTGGTACGGAGACTAACCATTCTGTCACTATTTCTCGAGCGAAACAGTTCGAAGGCCCATTTGAGGGGGCACCGCAGAACCCGTTCCTAACAGCTAAAAATACTAACAGGTATTTCCAAACTGTTGGACACGCAGATTTGTTCCAAGATGCCTCGGGAAACTGGTGGGGGGTCGCATTAGCCACCAGGTCCGGCCCCGAGTGGGAGATCTATCCAATGGGCCGCGAGACGGTGCTCTTTGCAGTCAACTGGAAAGAGAATCAGTGGCCGATCCTGGATCCTGTGTTCGGCACAATGACTGGGCCACTGCCGCCGACGAACAAACGCATCCCTGGAGACGGCCACTGGATCGATGACCCAGATGTCGTTGACTTTGTGCCGGGCTCGGGTATCCCAAGGCACTTCCTCTTCTGGCGTCCTCCCAAGACCTCACTCTTCGCCGTCTCGCCAAAGGGGCACTCCAACACGCTCCAGATATCCCCTTCGCCAGTCAACCTGTCTGCTACGCCTGAATTCCAGCCGGCTGAGGATGGCCTCGGGTTCATCGCTCGCAAGCAGAGCGCAACCCTGTTCAATTACACCGTTGACGTGTCGTTCAAGCCCGAGGTTGAAGAGGAGGAAGCAGGCATCTCAGTCTTTCTGACACAAGTTCAGCACATCGACTTGGGGATCGTCAATCTCGCATCTCGCAACGGGACGAACTCGACCTTAGCTTTCAGGTTCCGTGTGGAGGCGTCCGGGAAACCCAACATTACTGTTCCCGAGACGATAATCGTTCCTGTCCCGAGGGCCTGGCGACCGGAGAAGATCCGTCTGTCAGTTTCTGCTGTCAGCGATTCGCTGTACGTCTTCGGCGCGGCGCCGGCCTCAAGCCCAGGAGAGTACCGAGAAATTGGGTCTGCGAGCGCCTTGATTGTCTCTGGAGGCACCGGGCCATTCACAGGTGAGCGTACCTGGCGTAAAAGTAGAGGCATTGACCTGAAACGTACTGAAATCACCATGCAGGTACCATCGTTGGCGCATATGCTACTAACAACGGCGGCAAGGGGAAGACGCCGGCATTTTTCAGCAGGTGGAGATATACTCCTCTCGCGCAAAAGATTGACGATGATACTTTTATTTCAGCTGAATAACCAGCACACATTAATTTCTTATAAGAACATAAAGAAAATCTTATCATTCAAGTCCTTGGTGCCCTATCTACTTTTCCCACGCCAATGCATAAGGAGAAGTGTACTTAAGTACATCATCGCAGGATACGATACAACACTGAGCAGTAACGTCAAAAGATATTGGGGCCTGCATAATTCTTGACTTGAATCATCGCCACAGTGCTCGACGAATTATGAACAACATAGATGATCAGTGGAAGTTGGTTTGACACACCTAACTGAATTCGTCCGCCATTGTTTCAGACACTCAACACCAGAACTATAGTTGTTCTTTCCAGAGGGAAAACTTTCAATTATAATTGAAAAGATGTTTAGGCAGTACTTTTAAATGATCTACAAGACGAGTGTTACATGCAGAGAGTGCCGTAGATTGTATTTCCGATGTCGTATTCTTCACAGCGCCCTGAACTGAAACTGTACAGACGGACCGTCTCCATCACCAGCAAAGCGGTCCAACAACTGGAACTCTCCCGGGCACTCCCGTCCCTCCTTTGCGTTCCCTCTTCCACCACCGAGATTGTTACCTGGTTCCTGGCGCATGTCAATGAGCCAGATTAGTCGAGCCAGAATGAGGGTCACTTCTTGCTTCTTGCATGGCCAGGTGGTGGCCCAGACAAGTGAAGCGGCCCTGTCCAAAGAGTGTAAATGCTGCCGCCTGTCCAACGCCCGCTTGGAGCCCCTCGCCACCCTGGGCCACGGGAACCCAGCGCTCGGGTCTGTACGCGAGGGGGTCGTCAAAGTACTCGGGCCGGCGGTTGAGGCTCCAGAAGGGGACACCAAGCTCCATCCCCTCAGGGAAGGACATGCCGTCAAGCACCATGCCGCCTGGCCCAGCGACACGGGGGGAGATCCCGGGTAACCCGGGATAACCTGAGGCATGTAAACTTCGAAGTATTATGATAAAGATAGGAAGGCACACACGGTGCAAAATGGGACAAGGGACTTCAAACATTACATTAGCGCAAGCATGTCCAAGCATCATCTGCTTCCCTGTGACCTCTGCTCATTCAGCTCTTGGCTGGCCATCAACCTCACTCTGGACTCGGAATGCAAAGTGGCCGTTCAGGGATGAGAGAGAACTCATTTGGCTTGAAGAGCCAGTGGTGAATCCGTGTGAGTGAGCAAGGCTCGGAAGAAGACGTGAAAACGAGGACATGTCCATAACAGCTAGACACACAAGGATTGAATTGATACTCTCGCCCCTGGTCTTCATCGTCAACAACATGTGAGTGAGAAGAGTGATAAAAACCATTTGGTACTGCTGATTAACCTCAATGGCACGTCTTACCAAGGAACCTTTCATGGATGTGGCGAGAGAGGCGTCACGTAGGTCGGCAATGAAATTCCTCGCATTGCAACGTTTGCTTTAAGATGAGAATGAGACTTGTATTGAAAGCTTCCTGGGCTATCTCAGAATGAAAAACGAAGAGGCTAAAGTGATGGGCCTTGGGAGACAGAAAAACTATAATGCAATGGACGACTTCAAGATTTGGCCTGCTAGGGTATTCAAATGCAGATGGATGGCTATGGACGAGATAATGCTAATCTAGGCCAGATGACTCACACTCATCATTGTATAAAATAAAGCGGTCGACGACCGATAGAGTTACACAGATTATATCCGGCATTTACAGGCACGTTGCCTTCGGGGATCTATCGACAAGGCAGACGTTTCTGCAAGCCTCCACAAGGCCGATTGCAAACTCCGATTTCCAATCTCCATTATGACGCATCGGCCAGGCCAGCCAATGAGACCCCCTTCCAACCTGACGGGAGCTACTGGCTGCTGATAAATGCGCCTAAACGCCGCTTGCATCCGGGAGACTTCACGCCAAGAGCAGCGCTAGACAGACTAGTAAGTGAGGGTTACTAATCGCGCCGGTCTCTCGAGGTCGATTTGTCCTGAAACAGATAGACCGATCTACTTGTCCTGCAGCGAATCCCACTTAATCCAGGGTCCAGATAATCAGATCTGATTCGGAGAACTTTTGACATCCTTCGGACTGTAGCTATCATGCCAGGGTAATCCCCGACACACCACGACTATGATCAGGGGAGACTAAACTTATATCATTGACATGCTGGCGATTAGGGCGTTTTCTTCCAGCTAGTTTATCTCCGCTTGGTAATCTTGCAACGAAAGTTGGCCCGTCGACGTTGGAAAACACACGCGAATATGTTTAATTCCGTCAGCAAAATCAAGTCTTAGTCTGGATCACAGCTTTGTAACATCTATACCATATCTGACACCATTGTTCCCATTAAGCCTGACATAGGACAATGTATAAGTATGATGGCTCCTTCATCTTGCTTGAGGTTGATATCCCATCATCATCATCACCTCCTCTTCCAACAACCACAAGTAATCCCATAACCCAACAGAAACCCAACAGAGCCTTACTTGCTTTGTTCGTGGCATCACTTCAAGTCGGAGCACTATCAGCAACTCGCTTGCAGATCTCTTTTATAAGTCTAGTTCGATTTTTCGGCCGTAGGCGCGTACAACATGCCGTCACTGGTACGAGACTCTGCCCTTGGCGGGATTATCCGTCTCGTTACCCACAACAGGTACTTGAAGTACCCAGAGGAGAAACCCGACTTTCAGTTACCCGAACCATGGATACAATTGATGAACAACGAGGAGCCTAGCCAGCCAGCCACGTTTGACAGCGTGCCATCCTCATCTTCAGAGTCGTCAGTGTCCGATGACGAAGAAAAGCAAACAGAAAGGAGGGAAGAAGACCCCCAGCCCTATGAGAAACCTGGCGAAAGATCACGTCTGGGCCTCCAGCGGACCAAGAGCCGAGAAGAGACTACACCTTACACCGCGGATCGGCTCGAGGTTGATGAGAGGCACGAGCTCGAGAAGTCAAGATCCATACCTATTGTGCCGCGCAAGACGAAAGATGGTGCCATACTCGTAGACTGGTACTATTCTGACGACCCCGAGAACCCTCAGAACTGGTCCAATGCCCGCCGTGCTGCTGTGACAACTATTATCTGCCTCTACACCTTCGTGGTGTACATGTCGTCAGCTATCTACACCACATCCGAGGAAGGTATCATGGAGGAGTTCGGCGTGGGCAAGACCGAGGCCGCACTGGGTCTCTCGCTGTTCGTGCTCGGCTACGGAACTGGCCCTCTGATCTTCAGCCCCCTCTCTGAGCTCCCAGCCATCGGCCGTAACCCGATCTATGTCATCACAATGTTCCTGTACACCATCATCTCGATCCCAACCGCCCTCGTCCAGAACTACCCTGGCCTGATGGTCCTCCGCTTCTTGCAGGGCTTCTTCGGGTCTCCATGCCTGGCCTCTGGCGGCGCTTCGGTCGGAGACATGTACTCGCTCATGTCGCTCCCATACGCCATGATCGCCTGGGTCAGCGCGGCATACTGCGGCCCGGCCCTGGGCCCGCTGCTCTCGGGTTACTCGGTCCCGATCATGGGCTGGAGGTGGTCCCTCCTCGAGGTGATCTGGGCCGCCTCGCCGATGTTCCTGGCCATGTTCCTCTTCCTGCCGGAGACGAGCACGCCCACCATCCTGCTGAGGCGCGCGCAGCGCCTCCGCAAGCTCACCGGCAACGACCGCTTCATGAGCCAGAGCGAGATCGACCAGCGCAACCTCAAGACGTCGGCGGTGCTGGTGGACGCGCTGATCAAGCCGCTCGAGATCACGCTCAAGGACCCGGCCATCCTGTTCGTGCAGATCTACACCGCCATCATATACGGCATCTACTACAGCTTCTTCGAGGTCTTCCCGCTCGTCTACCCCGTCTACTATGACATGACGGCTGGGCAGATCGGCCTGGTGTTCCTGTGCATTCTTGTCGCCTGCCTTATTGGTATTGCCATCTACATTAGCTATATTTACTTTTACATGAACCCCAGGATCAAGGCCAAAGGCTGGCCCGTCCAGGAGAGCCGCCTCGTCCCCGCGCTCGCTGCCGCCTTCGGGCCCACCGTCGGCCTGTTCATCTTTGCGTGGACCGCCGCGCCGCAGTTCCCCTGGATCGCGCCCACGATTGGTATCACACTCTATGGCGCTACTGTCTTTGTGGTGATGCAATGCATCTTTGTCTACGTTCCGATCAGCTACCCGCAGTACGCCGCCAGTCTTTTCGCGGGGAACGACTTCTTCCGCAGCGCCTTGGCGTGTGGCAGTATCTTGTTCGCTGGGCCCCTTTATGGGAACCTGGGTGTTGCGCGGGGCACTAGCCTGCTGGGTGGCCTGAGTACGATCGGCATCATCGGTATCTTCTTGCTCTACATCTACGGTGGCAGGCTGAGGGCCATGAGCAAGTTCGCTGTATCTTCTTCGGAGTAGTTGCTGGATTTGGCGGGATAATAAAAGATGGAGTCTTGTTCTAGAGAACTGGTGTTCGAGGGAATGGTAGCCGGGATGAGCGTTGTTTTTTGAGTTCGAATAGAATAGAGTGCCTAAATTATTGTGCGACAGACCACTAGCCTGCGATAATTGGTAATATACATCAATCATTTACTGAGAAAACGTTACACCCTGAAAATATCCTCGTGCACATATTCAGAATGAGACAGGCAAGGCAGGGCTGACGTCGTGCATCTTATACTATGCAATGCGTCCTTCTGATGAGTCGCGGTAACAATATAAATAATTAGAGTCTCGCCTTGTCGCCCCAACAACCTTGTCTGTCTAATAGGGACCCAAGCCTTCCCACTTCACCGCCGTCTATAACCCAGAACGAATCCAAAAAAGGAAGACCGCAATCCAGATCTAAACCCCCATTTACCCTCAATGAACGCCTGAACTCTCTATGCTGTCTAATTCATCTAACAGGCATCCCGTGTCGCCGCGGCGACGACCGAACTGTACCAACAGCCCCTCTTCCAAACCCCCAAAATAAAATCAATCCTCGAGGGCATCTTTGCTCTTAACCTCTTTCTCCCTCTGGATGGACTGGTGACGGATAACAAAAAGAGTGAGAACGAAGCCAACCACGCAAGCTCCCAACGTAACCAGATAAGCCGAGCGGTAGCACTGCAGCCCCTCCACGCATGAGCGCTCGCCATTGGGACCGACCACGCTGTGGTGATCAAATACGACTCCATAAAAGAGGTTGAAGATGTTGCCGGAAACGACCGGGCTCATGGTCATGAGGCCCCAATTTTGAGAGAGACCGTGTATGCCAAAGCTCTCTGCAACAATGGAAGGGAATACGCCAAAGAGGAATCCGTAGCCGAGACCCGAGAGGCCAGAAACGAATCCCAGCAGGTTTGGGTTGACCATATCCAAGGCGCACACCTGGGCGATGGTGAAGATGAATCCCGCGACGACAAGACACCAGACGCGGCTTGCGTGAAGCACTTTCACAAGGAAATCGGAGCCAACACCTGGTGAATGTGGTTAGATTACTGAGAAGAAACAATGGTCCATGATTTCAGGGCTAGAGGGACTTACCGCTTAACAGACGGCCGGAGAAACTGCAAACAGAGAGGATCGATACGTGAAGCTGTTGTCGTTTGAGCAGAGATTCGTTGCTCACAGAATCATCGTAGTGCTGCCACAATGCTTGCACACTGTGCCCGATGTTGCTGTTTTGCCGTGTAAGTTTCGTGCGCGGAAATCCTGCCTTAAAGGGCAGCAAAGCTTGCGTATACTCACTTGATTGTCATCAGGCCAATGCCAGCCAGAATGCCCATGATGGCGAAGAATTGCCAGAACTCGAGATTACGTAGAATCTCCCAGCCACGGATATCTACCAAATGAGACCGATCCATATCAACGTTCTGCACATAAACCTCGCCTGCCACCGAGGAGCCCTTGGAAGAAACAAGTGAAGAGGTTTCGTCGGAATCGTCCGCCTCGGCGACGATTGTAGATGAAGCTGCCGTCGTGAGCGTGGACGATTCGCCGTCTCCGGTCCGACCACTGGTCAAGTCATAGGGGTGCTTCGGCGCTGAGGCCGCGATTCCGGCTTCTTGATCCGCTTGGTTCGTGGGTAAGGTGGACGTGCTAGTAGAGGGGAAAGTGCGGGAGGACCTACCAGGCTCGACAAAGGGAGCATCTGATCGAACCTTGCCCTCGTCCTCGTCGGCAGCCACGGATTGGTAGCTGCCGTGGTGTGGGATTACACGGAGGAACCAGAAACCGAGGAAGGTCATGCCAGACGTGCCATAAGCCAGGAGCATCAAAAAGTCGCCCGTATCTCCCGGGAAGAGGAAGCCGCCTATTAGCGAGAAGAAGAATGCGCTCAACCCAAATGCAGCCAAGGGAAAGGCCGTCGCCGTTCCCCTGTGATGCGGCCAGTTCAAGGCAGACGTCTTGACAGCCGCGGCGAAGGCCGTGCAGCCACCAAGACCGGACAGGAACGAGTAGAGGCACATGAGGGCGACAGAGCCGGAACCTTTATCGTATGCCAGGTGTAGTGGGAAGTACCCCAAGGCCAGCATGATGGACCCGAGGAGGACGGCCGGGCGGGGTCCCTTCGCGTCGACGAGAATTCCAACGGGCATCCCAAAGGCGTACATGCCGAGGTTTCCAGCGAGGCCGATGAGGTTGCTCTGGGTTGTTGAGTATTTGAGGCGGTCGGCGAATTGAGGGGCCCATGCCGAGTAGACATACTGTGTGCGGGAGCGGCAGAAGAATTAGCGATCTGTCGCCTGCCTTGATTTGCCTGTGGCTCGACGTGCCACGACATTGCGGGACTTTCAGATATACAAGGCGTGGGCCTGGGATCTGGGTGCACTCACGTTGCTTCCACAGGCCAGGGACACAAAGGTCGCTGCCACGCTCGAGATGATGCGGGCGCGGTGCAGCTGCTGCCGGTCCTTCATGTTGGCCATGGTTGCTGATTGTGTCAGGACGGGCTGTTTGCAGTCATCAATGCTGTATTTATGGATGGTCCGAGGTCGTGTTCTGGAACATCAGGGAGAGAAGGTGGAAAGACAAAAGCATGAGGAAAGAATGAGTGTTGTGTTCTGGGTTGGGAGGGAAAAGGGCCCGGAATTATCACGGATGTTCTTGGGCAAAGGTGGGAGATAGGTAGACTACGTGTTGCTGATGATTAAAGTGGCCCCTGTAGTTTCCAAGGGCATGGCGCCGGATTTCGATAGGCGATTGACTGATAGCCATGCAGCTCCCAGGATTGCGAGCTGCTTGACAGCCCAGGCCTGATAGCTCGGCGTCTTACCACAGTACCGAGATACTATGCACAGGAGGTAGACGGGAGCCAGTCACGCCAGTCGATAGGCGACAGGAAGTGGGGCGGGCTGCCGTGTTAGGCTTGCCGGGTAGCCGTGGGCCGGTTCCACCCCTGGTGCATCCCGCTATATAAAGAAGATGAGGATATTCTGACACTGTTTTGTTCTTGGTCCTCGAAATCAGGCTGCAGTTGCTCATCTTATACACGGCACATTACAAATTTTGAGCTAATGCCAACCCTCCACCAAGACAACAGAAGGGCCACGGTGAGATCAACAAAGACGTCCAGGGCCAATTGATCCGTCGCAATTTGTATGCAGGTCCGCCCGTCCCGGCAAAGAGATCTCAGGAACCCGTTGGCGCCTGTAAGGTGGTGATGCAGCGACAAGGGTCTCGGGGAATGGGGGGTGGGGAGGAGGCCTGGCGTGGCCTGGCGTGGCCTGGAAGGGTAACTCTGACTGTTGCAGAATGGCGTGAATGGGTGGCATTGCATGTCTGCACGTTGTGTACGTAATCTGGAGGACGTGGAGGACGTGGCTCGTGAGCAGCTACGTATGACTGGTCCCTGCTCCACGTGATTTTGCTCGGCGTCATGGAGACATCCTTGGAAGCTTCCTTGCTCCGGTCTGCCTGCCACGCCGCCCAGTTGCTCGGACTCTCAAACATCAACAACAACGCCCCTAGCAGCACTCCAACCACCCACCCGCGACGACATCGACAGGCCCACGTCTGCGACCAGCGTCGAACGCACCTCTAATTCCTGCACAAACGACCTGGAATACCTGCCAGCTCCGGCGCCTCAGATACGAACACTGCCGGTGGTGCAACCCGGTCCCCCAATCCCAGGATGGGTGCTTTACTCTCTCTTCCGCTCCTGGCCCTGCCCAGCGCAGGCACTGTAGGTCTTGACCGTCAACAATCTCTCGAGCCACATGAGAAGTAGCTGATCATTTGCTTTTGTGCTCTCTAGCTCGTGTCCTTCGCTGCCAGTTGCTGTGGCGCGGCAACTTGCTCCATGGTGTGCAGCGCCTGCGGCAAGTGCGGCAACAGGTGAGTTGTGATACACCCCTCCCCTTCCCTTGAGCGGTCCTGCCTATACTGTCACGACAGCTCGGCTAACTCAATAACACAAGTGTCGCTACTCGTATCGCTTATGCCCTTATCCTCCTCGTCAACTCGATCCTATCGTGGATAATGCTCACGCCATGGGCCATCAAAAACCTCCAGAAGCTCACGCTCGATTACGTCCAAATTACTTGCCCCTCCGGTCAATGTTACGGATGGCTTGCGGTACACAGAATAAACTTTGCCTTGGGCCTGTTCCACCTTATTTTCGCCGGTCTGATGGTCGGTGTCACCTCGTCTAAAAATCCCCGAGCCGCTCTGCAGAATGGTTACTGGGGACCCAAGGTCATTGCCTGGTTGGCCTTCATTGTCCTGTCTTTCCTGATCCCGGACCCCTTCTTCGTCTTCTGGGGCAACTACGTGTCATTTTTTGCCGCCATGCTGTTCCTCATCCTGGGTCTCATCCTGCTGGTCGACCTGGCACATACCTGGGCCGAATACTGCCTCGAGCAGATCGAGAACACCGATTCGGGCGCATGGAGATTCGTCCTCATCGGGTCCACGCTGGGCATGTACATCGGCTCCCTCGCGATGAGCATCGTTCAGTACATATTCTTTGCGAGCAGCGGCTGCTCGATGAACCAGGCCGTCATCACCATCAACCTCCTGCTGTGGATCGCTATCTCGGCAATCTCTGTGCACCCAGCCGTCCAGGAGGTCAATCCCAAGGCTGGCCTAGCGCAGTCAGCTATGGTCGCCATCTACTGCTCCTACTTGACCATGTCGGCAGTCTCGATGGAGCCCGATGACGATGGATCCAAACATTGCAACCCCTTTGCTTTCTCCCAGGGCACGCGAACCACAACAATCGTTCTCGGTGCCGTCGTTACAATGCTCACCGTTGCTTACACTACAACCAGGGCAGCTACTCAAAGCCTTGGCTTGGGTAACAACAGGGGTGCTATCCGCCTACCAGACGAAGACGAGCATGATCTGGTCACTACCCAGCCCAGTGCGCGCCGAGAGATGCGCGCCGAGGCGCTGCGAAGGGCGGTGGAGGAGGGAAGTCTACCGGCCGATGCACTCTTGTCAGATGATGATGAGGACGGCTCGAGTGGCGACAACTCGGCGCATGATGACGAGCGCGGCAGCACTCAGTACAACTACGCCGTGTTCCACATCATATTTTTCCTTGCGACAGCGTGGGTTGCCACACTGATCACACAGGGCTATGACGACCAGAAGGAAGACGACTTCGCCACCGTCGGACGTACCTATTGGGCTAGTTGGGTCAAAATCATCAGCTCTTGGATCTGCTATGCAATGTATGTCTGGACGCTGATCGCGCCGATCGTCCTGCCAGACCGATTTGAGGCTTAGAGAATGCAACATCACGCATTTTTCAAATGAGCGTTCCTCCACACTACAAGAAGATTGGCACTGCATGCGCTCTTGGACACATTGTTTTGAGAAATGTCCTGGAAGTGGATTATTCTGTACAAGTACGACTCCTTTCACCGATAATCAAACCATGAAAATAAAAGAAGGATCTGTTGCAAACGGACGCTGTTTGTTCCACCTGTCCAGTGCTCAGGATTCTCCGGAAAAACTCACCTATGAATTTGGCTCGATCGCGAGGCGGCTACCCGCTGGTGTCATTTACCTAGAGCTTTGAATCACAGCACCCCTCCAACGCCTGTCGAAGCAAGCGAGTCCAACGCGTGCCGTGTCCGGTGAGGCTGAGGAACCCACAACAAGATCCGGCAAGCTCGCGGGAAGGGGCATTATGCACTGGGTACGCTATCCATCCGTCATCGGTACGCAAAACATCGGCGAGGTTCTGGATCAGTCTGAGGCGTTGCTGCTAAAGATGGCCTGGCCAACTGCGCCGTTTCGTTTCCTTCAAGCCGGATTTTTGTTTGCTTTTCTCGCTCATGCAGAACTTCGGAGTATACCACATGGTACTACGTGACATTTCATAAAACAAGATGGCAGAGTGGAAAGCCGCGGCATGCGCATGAGTTATGAGCGAGGCAGGTGATGAGAGAGGGAGGAGCGGTGAGGGCCGTCCCCTCCCTTCCGCCCGTCTCTTAACATTTCCGCTCGCTTGCCTCGCTGCCGGATCCGTGGTGGATGGCTGTTAATCTCGGACTAGCAATCCTGGGAATCCGAGAGTCGAGACTCGAGGACGAACGGCGGGCGGGCGGGGAGACGGCAAGACCTCGCGAGGACTCGATGGAAAATCTAAAAATGGAAAGGCGCAGGAGAGTTGGAATCCGCTCTCGTGGTTGAAACATCCCTCCTCGTGTCTATAACACTCTCGTCGCCTACCCTTAACCCCCACTTCTACTGGACCTCGGGTTTTCATACATATCAAACCGCCGCAAACACAGTCATCCACGAGTGTCATGCAGGATGATCTGCACGAGGAGTCTTGACAGAAGAGCCACGCATTTAGGATGCAGTCTCGAATCAGCTGGTGGAGCCGTCGTCTCTGCAGTACCACACACTTCGCTACCTCGTGGATGGCTCGATGTCCTGCTTTCCTGGAACCATGCTGTCGATCGATCCTGTGGTGGGGGCTGGTCGACTAGGAGAAAGCCACAAGACGGCTCTTGCTCCCAGCTCGCTCCCTCAAGTGTCCGCTCATATGCCGGCCCGACAGGCGACGCAGCGAGAGACGGGCGGCGGCTGGTGGTCCACGCCCTCGGTCAATCTCATTCCAGACCGCGCGACCGTGTGTGCCCCAACGATAGAGTGGCCAAGGACGGAAACTCGCAGCCCGCGTGTTTCCCATGATGTGGCAGTTTTGTCATTCACAGAAAATTAGCTTTTGGAGGTTTTCTATTTGCCCCCATACACTTACTGTATGAGGACGCACCTTGACACACCAATTCATCGCATGATATCCACTGAATGAGGCTGTCATATTTCGTGTTTGACCATGAGCATGATGGTTCGTGCACATCTGTCTACGTGACCATCGCGTTTATCCTGAGTAAACCCTCCTTTCGCCTGCAAACAGGTGAGCCTGTGCCGTCCCTGTGCTCCCTTTTGAGCCACGTACATGACAAGTCTCAGCTCTAAGTCGACCGGTGTACTGGCTCCCCACGCTGCCTTTCCTTTTTCCCCTTTTATTTTCTCCAGCACTAGCGAAAGGCGTTGCGAGCGAAAGGGCACGAGTCTCAGGTGTATTAAGGGGCACGGCAGGGAGAGAGGGCAAGTGCAAACGGAGCCAACGTCGTCGTCAACAAAGCCGACGGTACCCTAGGCGGCACCTGCATACTCGGAGGCGCCTCCCAAGAGCCTGAGGGTGTGCTATCGCGGCAAGAATTAAGAAAGAGCCTGTCGGCAATTCGGATCCATGCTCGTCTTTGCCCACACCTAGAGCCAATTGCGTCTGGCCTGTCTGCCCATGCGGGAGGGAGTGGGATGGCTCGTAATTGGGTGTTTTGCGCTTGTTCGACTCTGGCCAGGCCCCCAGGGTTTCCAGAACGGGATCTTCGACGTCCGCCAGTGGTGAAGACGCACGAGAGGCTAGTGTCGTCGAAAGGTGTGGTTGCACAGGTGCTCCGGTGCGAGATAGAGAGATGCTATCACAACTCAATCGTGAAGATGAATACATCCCCTATACAAACAATCCGCGCGGAAATGTTATGACACCCGCTTGTCACTCCTGGGGACCCAGCCTATTTTGCTTTATGCGCATGCGCGGGTCAGCGTGGCTATCGCCTACTGCGCAATGGTTACACGATTTGCATTCATATCATATTCCGGTCTCTGCTTCCCCTTCGTGGGGTTGCCCATCGAGACGTCAGTCGCAACCCGGTGAGAATCGAAATATGCGATAAGCCTTTTGCAGCTCTGTTCTGGAGTAGAGCGTCTTGACCGAGGGCCAAAAGCGTCAGCAGAACAACCAGCCGGTGCGCATCCTCATCATGGCCTGGGTACATAAAAGGGAGGGCCGACGACCACGGACAACGGAGACGGGGACGCTTTTTCGATCAGGTCCTCGAAGTGTGTTTTCCCCTCTTGTTGATTGCTTGAGTCTTTGAAACCCCGTCTTCTCTACAAGTGAGAAAACTCAACCGAGACACCTTCAAACTGTGCCCCCTCTGTCTCACTTTCTGGAGTCCTCGGCCTATCCCCAAAACTATCGATACCCACTGCGCGGAGATGTCTCACGACACCAAACCACGCAAGGCCAAGTCCTCCGGACAGAAGTCCAGGCAAGACCCCTCTTAATCTCCTTGAACCAATTCCGTGGCTCTGACGGCTTCCGAAATAGCCAGCCGACCAAGACCGAGTCTGTACGAGATAATCCATCGCCGATGCTCTGGCTTTGGGAGGTTACATACGCGAGGGATAAAACGCCCTTTCCCGAGTGGAACGTGTTGCCACAGGTCCCCGAGGTACGAAGAGTCTCTTCCACCTGATCAATGCTCGTCCGTTGACAATCATATAGGCCGCGGATCAGGAACGCCCGAAGATGTGAAACGAGGCGAGGCGTGTTTCTGCAAATTGTTCGCTTTGCAGATGTTCATTCGTTGCCGAACCTGCGCATGTCATCCATTTCACAGTGTCTCGATAGGTTGATGCGTTTGTTTTGAGAAATGAAATGCTTTCTTGGTTGAAGCCCAGTGACTGTGCACCAAAATCACCCTTTTTTTGGAGTATCAAAATGCCTTGTGAAATGCGCCCTGACGCCAAATCCTGTGATCTTCCTTCTATTTCGCCCAAACCTACGCACTTGTCTGCTCGGCAGCGTCCGCGTTATTGGCTGCGTGGAAACCGTCCAACGTTATGTTCACGGCACCAGCTTGCACCAGCTATCACAACGTTAGAAAAACGAGCTCGGCTTCGGGATGTTACAACTTTTTGGAGGCCTTACCGCGCGTGACAGATCGTCAATCAAATCGTTGACATCCTCGATACCGACACAAAGTCGTATTATGTCCTCAGGCATCTGCCTCTCTGCCCTGGTCTTGGGATCGATGCTAGCATGGCTCATCCGGCAGGGCATGCTGATCAAGCTGTTGACGCAACCGAAGCTGACACTGATTCCCCACAGCCTTGCGGCCTCGACAATTCTTTCCGAAATGGTCACATCGCCGGTCTCGAAGGACAGGACGGCGCCTGCGCCGCGAGACATGGTCCAGTGGAGGTCGTACTGCGGGTGGGACTTGAGGCCCGGGTATCTCACTTTGAAGCCGTGTGACTCGAGGAACTCGGCTATGGCCTGCGCATTTGACTGCTGCTTTTCCATGCGGATAGCCAGAGTCTTGATGCCTCTCATCAACAGTGATGAGTCGTCGGGGGAGAGGCCACAGCCAGTCGAGTTGATCATGAAGTACATCTTGTCTCCCAGCGCAGAGTCGTTGCAGGCGATAACCCCAGCCATGATGTCGTGGTGACCCGAGAGGTACTTGGTTCCAGACTCGTAGACAACATCAACACCAAGTTCCAGGGGGTTGCAGAGCATGGGAGACAACATGGTGTTGTCAGCCACAACCAGAGCTTTGCCGTTGAAGTCGTGTGTCATCTTGGAGATTGCTGGTATGTCGACAATCTTGATCAAGGGGTTTGTTGGGGTTTCGAGAAGGACCATGGCGGTCTTGTTGGACAATACTTGTTTGACCTTGTCGACGTTGGTGGTGTCGACGTGGTGTACGACGATGCCCATGTTGGAAGACAGGTAGGTAAGCAAGCGGTTGGTACCGCCGTACAGGTCATTACCAGTTATGACCTCGTCACCGGGCCTCAGAAGACGGGTGATGACATCCAGGGCGCCCATGCCAGAGCCAACAGCCAGGGCGCGCGTGGCGTTCATGATCTTGGCCAGGTGGCGCTCGAGGTGTGTGCGGGTGGGATTGCCGGAGCGCGTGTAGTCATACTCGCCGTTGGGGTTTGCGGCGGACTGCTTGAAGGTGGCTGAGCGGTAGATGGGGAAGCTGGAGGAGCCATACTGATCTTTGCTGTCGGTGTAAACGAGCTCTGTGGCAAGGGCGTAGCGGCGCCGGCCATTGGCGGGACTCGACGGAGCCGGCGAGGGCGGCAGGTTGTTGCCGTCAAGGTCGACCTTTTGGAAGATCTTCTTGGCAGCGCTGCCACTTGCTGAAGTTGGGGTTGACATTGTGAGTGGAAGGTTTAGGCCTGGAGTTGGTGACTCAATGGCTGGAGGAGGGCAGGTGAAGAGTCACGGCACGCAGACTCGATGCGGGGTGGATTGGTGGCGGATAATGAATTGACGAGCCGGCCCGGTTCAAGGCTTGAAGGGTGTCGGTCCTCTCCTCTGGTAGGGTGCAATTGAGGCTGTTTTCGAATGTCTTGAACCCAATAAACAAGCCAGGATAGAGTCTTGTCGGGTCGGTGTGAAGAGGGAGAGGTGAGAAATGGTCAGAGATGGAGCAGCTCGCCCCAAGGTCTGAAATCCGGGGTACTCGGTATGTGGTAGGATGTCGGTCGAGGTATCGGTACATGGGCCGACGGGCGGTGCGACTCTGCAGTCTGGAGGCGGCTCTTCTGGCAGCCGATACCGGGAGAAGCTCGGCGTCGTGCATAAGCGGGAAAAGGCACGCGAATTGCGCTGCGGTTTGGCACTTTTGAGGCCGGATGACGTGATCGCGCTAGCCCGGAGATATGGAAATGCCCATGTACTGTGACTTCTCACCAATGCACTCCTGCTAGAATATTGAACCAGAGCAGTGTGCGCAGTACACGCAGTCATATGTGCACCTGTCGCAATCAGCGATTCATCATTTCTTGCGGTGTATACATTCAAGTCGAGTTCGTTAATGTCTACGGCGTCGCACTATGCTGGCGTCCCAAGACGTTGAGCGGCAGTGGCCTCGCGTTATCAAGTCGGTGGGTCGTACAAGCAACAAAGATAATGCCATGTTTGACTCCACGAATCGTTTCAATGCCGTGATTACCTTGCGTCTATCGCCAGGCAGTGGAGGGATACAAATGGAGGCCGCGTTATCGAAATGGTGAGCTTCAAAGTCTACATACATATATAATCTATCACCTACATACATCAACTCATATTATACGAGCGCAGAGTAGTACGGTCATATTGAGACTGCAGAGTCGACATGATGGGTGATAAGCGTGATAAGGCTATTATATCAACGCCATATTAAAATACATTGGTTACAACCCGTTGTGACACAGCTCACACGGATCCCAGACAGTAGTGTACAACTTGCACCGCACAGGGCCCTAGGGAGAACCTCCCGCAACATGTCTCCTACAAGATAGACTCCCGAGGGATGATAGCCTTCCACGGAACGGTAACGTATATGATTGGATTCCAAAGGATGACTATAGCCTAGCCTTTTAATACAAATAGTACAATCTTCTATATTCTGCAAAATAATCAGGGTGCTTGTCTCGGCAGGAAAGACTTGGTTTAAACTTTGAAGACCATTGCAGATCCATTTTTCCCACGACCCAAAATGTTGATCATATAGCTTCCTGAACCTCTTCTGGTGAACCGGAAACTAGAAAAAAGAACAGTGGACGACCACGGGATCGAACCGTGTACCTCGCGCATGAAGAACTACTCTTCAGAAGAGAAGATTGATGCTAAGCGCGCGCTCTACCATTTGAGCTAGACGCCCTTGAAGATCTGCATTAAATGAGGCATTATGTTCGCAGGATGGAAAGTGGAGAGATGGCGTGGAAATTTTGCCATGGGACAATGGTGGTGGATTTGGTTTGGCGAGGGTGGGGTCCGATTCGGTTTGATTGGGCAGCATTGAGTCGGTGCTCATTACATAATTTTGACAGGGGCAACCTAGTGTTTGCAGGTGGTGGTCATAGCAGGAGCTCAGGGGTAGTAGGGACGCAGTAGGGACGCAGCACGGACGCAGGACGCAAGCTCCCTGCAACTCCGTACTCCGTCCGTACCGGCTTGCATTGAATCTCTGTCGTGCCGTTACTTGGCCGTGACAGTCTCCAACAACATCCTAATCGCTTATGTGCTGGCGTCATTTTCGCATTATCGCAGGCTCCCACCTTTGCCCTTTTTGAAACTTCGTTGCCTGACTGCTTGCTGCCACCAGCCCACGCATTGCTCTGCGGTGTTCATCTACTTAGACTACAGTATACATATACCTGTGCTGGTACGTGGGCTCATACCTCCTGTCCCTGCCTGCACACCGATCCCAAGATAAAAAGGCCAGGTCCACACACACACACACACACACACACACACACACAGCAGCTCCAGCTCCAGTCTCCAGCTCAATCAACCTCCAGATCCGACCCCTGAGTGCCGCAGATACACGCCCTGCTAACTGTAACGCAATGTAATGCAGCTGTTTTGCATCTGAACATCTATACTTCGTCCGATTAGAGCCCACCGACCCAGCTACAAGCTCAGGTATATCTAGGTCCCGCAAGTACTCGCGACCGCCTCTCCCCAGCCAAAAGATACCCACTAGCTTCTCGAACACCTAATAAGGCCACGGGTTGCCACTGCCTTGGAGTCTCCAACACCATGGCTCAAGTTAACAACATGCACAACCTCACCACCTTGATCAAGCGGTACGCTCCTCCAAATCCAATCCCACAACCTTCCACCACTCCAACCTCTCTCTCTCGCCCACAAATCGCACACACGTACCGCCCACACATCCACACACACACACATACACATCACGATGGCCCCTGTCGTCGTCTCCTCCGACACAAATCAACGGGTCACTAACCTGCTGCACAGGCTCGAGGCCGCCACCTCGCGCCTCGAGGACATTGCCTCCTCAACCATCGAAATCCCCCAGGCCGTGCCCGCCCTCAAAGAGACCCTCGCCTCGCCTCCTCCCACCTCCAAGGCCATACCCGATGCGCCCTCCCATGCGCCCTCGGCCTCCGACGAGCCTCTGCCCGATTCGATCGAGGACTTCGATGCCTTCCTCAAGTCATCCGTCGAGAACTACTCCAAGCTCAGCCAGGCCATTGGTGGACTCATCGCTGAGCAAGCTGCCAAGGTCGTCCATGGCTTCCAGGAGGAGCGCAAGTTCCTCTTGATAACAACAAAGGCCAAGAAGCCCAACATGAGCAACGGCGATGACATGGCTGCGTACCAGACACTTCTCAAGCCCATCAACGAGTCCCTCATGGCTGTTGTGAATATTAAGGAATCAAACAGAGGCTCACCCGTCTCTAACGAGCTCAATGCGGTCGCTGAAGGCATCATGATGTTGGCCTGGGTGACGGATGAGGGCAAGCCGCACAAGCATGTTGACAACACGCTGGGGTCTGCACAGTACTATGGTAACCGAGTGATTAAGGACAACAAGGAAAAGAACCCCCAGCAGGTCGCATGGATACAAGCCTTCCACCAGATCTTCAAAGACCTGAGCGAATATATCAAACAGTACTTCCCCTCTGGTATCCCATGGAACGCTCAGGGCGCACCTGTCCAGGAGGTGGTCAAGGCAGCTTCCACTTCTGCGGCGCCGGCTTCTGCGCCAGCACCTCCTCCACCAGCCGCCGGCGGCCCCCCGCCACCTCCGCCACCAGGGCCCCCACCAGTCCTCCAGATCAACGAAAAGAAGGAAGCTCCCAAGGCGGCAGGTGGTCTTGACGCGGTGTTCTCAGAACTCAACAAGGGTGAGGCTGTCACCGCGGGCCTGCGCAAGGTGGATAGGTCCCAAATGACGCACAAGAACCCCTCGCTGCGCGCCAGCAGCACGGTTTCCGACACCAGGGGTAAGAGCCCTGCGCCAGGGAAGAAGCCGAAGCCAGAAAGCATGCGGGCGAAGAAGCCGCCGGTCAAGACCTTCGAGGGCAACAAGTGGACGATCGAGAACTTCGAGAAGGAGGCGAATCCTATCGAGATCGAGGCCTCGCTGTCGCACTCGGTCCTGATCAGCAGATGCAACAACACGACGATCATTGTCAAGGGCAAGGCCAACGCCGTGTCGATCGACAACTCAAACCGGCTCAACCTGATTGTGGACACCCTAGTGTCCTCCGTCGACGTGGTCAAGTCCCAGAACTTTGCGCTGCAAGTACTGGGCACAATCCCTACCGTCATGATGGACTCTATTGATGGCGCCCAGATCTACTTCAGCAAGGATAGCACGGCTACCAAGATCATCCACTCCAAGTCTGCGGGCATCAACCTCAACGTTATCTCTGGGCCGGACGAGGATTACATCGAGGTTCCCTTGCCCGGACAGATCAGCTCGTACTACGACCCGGAGAAGCAGGCGCTTGTGGATGAGATTGTGTCTCATGCTGGTTAGACATGTATGTTGCGGAGTCTAGGCAGCTGGAATCTGTCAAGTGGCTCGCGACTGCGAGTGGTGATGAGCCTGTGGGGAGAGAAAGGAGAAATGGGGGGCTTATTGGTGCTGGGACAACAGCCCAGTATGCTTTCACATGCGTCCTGATTTATACGCCAAAGATTTCTTGTATCCTAGCATTGTTCCACCTACGGGGCAGCCTGTTCAAGGGAGCGTTTCGAAGCATTGTCAAAGGGGTCCATGGCAGTGCTCCAATACACACCGCGATTTTTGCGTACTACTTGCCCAGGAATGTGTTGCTATACCTGTAGCATGTGGTGTGTCTTTAATCGAGTTGCTTTTCCGCTGTCAAGCGTGATGACCGACTGCTGTAGTCGAGAGCTTCTGGCAGCAGCTGTTACAGAAGAAAGATTAGGTTAGAAACTGTGCTCAATGCCCTGTCTCTTGCACAACTACTTGCTATCCATGGCGCAAGGATAGCTTGATTACATCCAACGAAATGAGGGTATCGCTGATCTCATAAAAAAATCTAATATTCTTGCGTCCATACATGCATGCTTCACTTCTCTAGTATACAGGTCAAATTCTCCACCCAAGCTAGACTGTAGCAGAGCCCGCTAGGCAACGACAGCCCGTGAGCTTGCAGGACAGGTACCTGTGCCCACACGGTCTATATAAAGAGGTAGCCCAGAAAAACATTGGAACGTGACTTTTTTGAGCGCAAGTCGAGATCACATCTATGTTCCATGTTCGTCCCTCCTTCACTAACCCGACAAAGCTACCGCTCTGTCCTCGCTTTTCACCTTTTTGACTTTCCGTTGGAACACGGCCAGCTGAGCCGAGCCTTTACAGCTTGGCCTTGGGCGCCTCGATGGTCGGCACCAGCAGGTCGCGCATGTCACCGGCCGCCTCGTTGAGATAGAAGCTCATCTTCTGGCTGCCGAGGCCCTTGGAGACGATGTTGAAGTTGATGCTGTTGATGACGTGGTTAGCACTGTTCATTTCTCAACGCGTTGCGCCTCTCGAAGGGACGTACCTGTTCTCGTTGATCATGTAGGCGATGCCGAAGCCGGCGTCGATGACCTGGCTCCACCCGTACCCGTTGAAGAACTCGGAGCTCAGCTGCGACGTCGACAGGTACCACGAGCTGCTGTAGCTGTAGGCGGGGTCCTTGTAGATCTCGGGCACCTCCTCGCCGGGGGCGAGCAGCTTCTTGAGGCCGAAAAGGTGGCGGTCCACGCCCTTGCCGTCGCTCGCGGCGCTGATGTACTCGAGGTGGCCGTCGATGGCCTTGCGGAACAGCTCGACCTTGGTCTTGTCGTCGGCGCTGTGGTCCGCCATGGCGTTGCACCATGCGACGCTGGCGTCCGAGACGGACCGGCACGTCTCGGTGCGGCCCTGCTGGAACCGCCGTGTCGCCGCGCTCTCGTACGTGGGCCGGTTCTTGCCGTACATCTTGTGGTAGGCCAGCTGGATGATCATCTGGACGTAGGCGTCGGGCGAGCACTTGAACTTCTTGATCAGCCCCTTGCCGTAGCCCTGATAGGCCTGGACGGCAAGCTCGTGCTGCCCGATTACCGAGTTGAAGTCGGTTACCGCACGGTCGATTTCCTTCTGGACGTCCTCGTTGACCTTGAACCTAACCAGGGACGGCTCGGGAACGTTCGAGCGCACGCCGGTCGCGCCGAGGTCGATCTTGTTGTTGAAAATGACGTCGTTCACATAGTCGTTCAGCCTGTGTGTTGGTGTGCCATCCATCATGCTGTGCTCGCCCATGAAGCCTGAAGTGCCGTTGTCGTTGATGATAAATTGTAGAGGCTTGTCGAACCAGCGGTTCTGTCCATCGCCGTGCCAGTAGCTGTGGGCGCGCTCTTCAAGAGTCACAGGGGCGGCATCGTCGAGACACACGACGAACGAGGCCGACTCGATGGTCTCGAGGGCGGCTTTGTTGCTAGGGTCGGCGTTCAACAGCACTTCCCTGGCCTCGGTAGCCACGTCGCGGTTCTCAGAGGTCAGAGCACCGAGGGCGGGGCCGCGTGAAACAGCCAGCGCGTAGACCCGTCGGAACTGCGCCTCGAGCTCGGCTGTGTTGAGTTGCTTCCCGTCGACCTCGTGGACGACCTTGTAGATGTTGTTCTTGCGGATGGCAATCAGGTGCTTGTGGTCCTTGGGGTCGAATTTGACGGGGTAGTCGGCTGGCTTGGCGGGCACCCTGCTGGCGTTGAACATCCACTGGTAGCTGTCCATGCAGATGGGCAGCTTCTTCATGTATTCTGGCTCCAGAGTGCCTTCGTCGACAGCCTTCTTGAAGCTCAGGACCGCGGTGCTGATAGCCGCAGCACGCTTGACAGGGTCACGACGTTGGCGGTCATCGCGGTGGGAATAGAAGTAGCTGACGTAGGGGACCACAGGATCGCGGTAGGAAAGATATGCTGCGTCGTTCCACCACTCATAGATCCAGTTCTTGTGCTTGGGGTGCTCGCGACGGGCAAGCAGCTTGGCCTGCAGCTTTGAGCCGATGCCGTCGGGCTTCACGAATTCTGCCACTGCCTTCTTGCTCTGCTCGAACTCCCCTGGGCTGAGTAGTGGGTGGATAGACTTCAGGTAGCGGGCGGCTGTCTCGTCGAGGCTGGGCACGGGCAAACGGGGCAGCGAGTCCTGGAAGCGGAGCATGGGGCCCTTGGACTTGTCCTCGACGTAACCTGTTGCGCCCCTTGTATCAGTGGCCTGCTGGCTGCTGGAGGAGGAGTCTCTCCAAGAGGGTGAGGGTGTGACATGTTCTGCCCGCGCACGACTGACCTTGAGGCAATGAGCTGTTGGCTCGTCGACTGGCTGGCGCCATGGCTGCTGCTGCTATCTGTAGGGAGGAGGAAGTAGGTGAGCGGGCATGTCTCGGCCAGGGTCGGAAGACACGAATTAAAGAGAAGTTGGCGTGGGGCGACAAACCAGTGGAGTCGTCCGACTAGAGAGGTAGGATATGCTGCTGCTACTACTGCGTAGAGCGCGCAAAGGTTGGGACCGAAGTTCAGTCCTTGCAAAAGCAGCCAACATCACCAATGGCTTGTGAAAGAGAACACAGGCACAGAGGCTCTACGGTAGTGCAGAAGAGGTGGCACAGGAGAGCAGGTGACTGCTCGGCGACAAGAAGTATCTAGTGACCGGCCAGGCCGTGGTGTGTCGGTGACTAGGCGTGGGTATGTTCGGCAGTGTAGGGGTTGCCCTCTCTGGAGTAACCGGCGATGGTGTGTGGTTGTGGGTATGCGCAACGCCGAAGCCGAGGTATTATGGAAGAGCCGTGCTATAGATAGATGGGTACTAAGGTAGGCAACGCGGTACAGTATGAAACTACGTAGTACGCTTGATCCGCCGCCAACGTCACCGCACAGCTTTTGATTGTTGCAGCAGTGGCAGCAGTGGTTCGATAGGCTCTGTGTTCTGGGGCTCAATGAGAACTGCATGTATAGTGGGAAGTGTAGGTCTGACATGTGGTAGAGGGAGCGAGGCGTGGTTATAAAGGTCAGGTAGAGTACATCTCCCCTCCTGCTCCTCCCCTCATCCCCTCGTCCCCTCTTGGCCCGTTCCCAGTCTGCCCATCTCGCCTGTCTCGCCTGTCTCACCTTTCCACTTGTAGCCGAGCCCACATACCTCGTGCACAGAGTAGTACCACATCGCACGCAGCACTAGCAAGATCGCAAGGGGCTGGGGCTGGGCCAAGGCCTCTGCAGATTTCCCCAGACTGAAAGACTGACTTGCTCTGCCCCCGCGCAAACCGTCCGTCCGCTCCGCCCACCTCCGTCGAGCCGAGGTTGGGCAGGGATAAAAACTGGGGACGCCGTCCCATCCCCCGCGACAGATAACATACCAATACCCACATCCCATGCGCTCTAGTTTGTTAGATCATTATCCTTCAGCCGCCGAGGCCGGGGGCCGTATACTGCGACAATCTATTGAGGGATAAGCTAAGGCGACATGGACGGTCATTTGACGCCTCTCGGATTTATTATTTCAATCCAACAGACGGGTCCCACGCGACACGTCCGTCCGTATGAGGGCTTTGCCGTCCACCGGGCGGCCTTCCCCAGCAACAATCCACGTCATTCTTCACATGCCAGGAAAATGTCCTGAATCAGGTCCTGTTGTTTATTTTTTCTTCTTTTCTTTTTCGGTGCAGACACAGAAAGCCATGTACTGTCACAGCCTGAAGAAGGTCTTCAGAAAGGGCAGACCGGTCTCAAAATTTGCTTTGAGCAGGCGAAAGGCACTGGCTTGACAGACAGGGCCTTGGAGGCATTGAGCACGCATTCCAGCCCCGTCAGCCAAGAAGATTACCATGTACTCCAGTATTTACTGTCCTCCGCGTTTCCGGGACGGTCGAATGGGGAGCCGTCCTGGGTGCGACCACCGACATACAGCACTCACCTGCAGGCTGCAACTCAGTGCTTATATGCAAGCCAAGTCTTCGAATCGTCCATTGCATTAAGGTCTCTATCTGTCGAGGCTAACATTTCGACCTCTTGTTTCTCATCCTGGACAACCAAGACAGCTTTTTAGTACAGTAATCATGCCCATCTCAAAGCCGGAATAAAAGGAAATGTTGGAATGCGATTCCTCGCATCGCCGACCCACTTGACGCCTCTCCCATACGTCCATGAAACCCAATCAGACTCGGGGTAAAAGTAGAGTAAAAACAACAGTCATGTAGGTGAGTATCTTCGCGTCTCAGCCCCAGGGTGATTGCAAATAGCCTGCGTTGGGCAGACCATAGCTAGCCGGGACATTCTAGGCCTCGTAGCTCTTGATCTGGCCCCCGCTGCTCAACGGCTGCACGCCGCCGCCCACCGCCGTGGCCTGGAGGTTCAGTCTCTCGCCGTCCATCACCACGTCCTGCGCCATCCGGGCACCCTGCTCGCCGCCCGCCAGGGCTGCTGCCTTGAGCTCGTCCTGCACGCTGCGCACCCGCTTCTTGAACGCCAGCCGGTCGAGGAACAGCTGCTGTCGGCCCCGCTCCAGCTCGCGCCGCTCTTCTTGGAGGATGGCCTCCATCTCATTGAAGAACTTCATCTTGAGCTCCATCTTTTGCAGGGTGATGTTGACGGCCGCTGACACGATCCGCGTCATCTCGCGCTCCTCGTGGGAGGCCAGGCCGTCAGCGCGGGCCCCAATCGTCGCCAGAGGGATGTTTGCAAGTGCCGTAGTCTTTGTCGTAGTCGTGGTCGTCGTTGTCGTGGTAGTCGTGGTCTCGTGCTGGATGTCGACCTCCATCGAGTCACCCTCCTTCTCCTTGCCCTTGCCTTTGCCATCGGCCTGCTCCTCGAGCGCACCACTCGACTCAAGCTTGCCCCGAAGATGTTGCCGCAGCTCCTCCGCCGACTTCCCAGCGGCAGCGGCAGCACTTGCAGGGTCTGCTAGGCTGGCCAGGAATGCCACAACCGACATGACGGGGTTGTCTGCCTGGCTGAACGGCAGTTGCCCGCCTTGGCTCCCCAGCATCGACACCCCAACAGGCGCCGCGAGCGAGTTTTCTGACTCCAGGTACTTGTCCTCGATGTCAAGCTGCAAGAATTGCAGAACACACTCCTCACGCGTCCTGGTTCCGACGTGGTCCGCAATCTCATTCCAGTCGTCGTCAAACCTCTCCAGGCCCTCCAGCAGCCGTAACAGTTCAGAGTCGGTCCATGGCGCGTCTCTGTCGAGCGTTGTTGAGTAAGTGGGGTTCTCCATCCTCTGGTAGTTGGTGGCCAACTGGTTCCCTGGGAATCGGCCATCGACAAAGCAGCTCGGGCAGATGTCAGTGCTCTTCTTGCTGTTTGACGCTGAATCAACGAAGTTGTTGTGGTAGTAGATTCGGGTGCAGTCAGCGCCGCAGGTCTGGCAGTTAACCTTGGCGATGGGCGCCTTGGTAAGCTCATCAGAGGACGTGCTTGACACGCCATTTGTCGCGGGACCATCACCATTAGTCTTGCCTTCGCTCTTGTTGAGTTTGGCGCCCTTGGCATTGGCCTCATAAATATTACGGCCAACTTCTAGGTTCAGCTCACTCTTGGGAACTGGACCAGCCTTGGCCTTGGCTTCAGTATCCGCATTGGCTTTTCCTTGAGCGACAATCGGGTCTGCTGCTGGCTGCCACGGTTGCAGACCTCTGGGAGTGTCACAGATGATTCTGAAGTGACCAGTAAAAGGCGGACCAGTTGGAGACGGCCGGTGGTCCGGGTCGACCTATTGAAGAGTCAGTATTTCTCCAAGCTCTAATTCCACGTCCCAAGCATACCTGATAGTTGATCAGGCCCCATTGCTCAAGGAAGGAATGAACCCTCATGATGGCGCACACGTCGCCAGCAAGGTTCCTCCTGCAGGCCGTGACGGTGAGGTACTCGGCAGGATTGAGTCGATAAGTGTTGATCATAAAATCCCGGTAGTCCTTGTAGACGGACGGAGTCTTGCTTCGATTGCGGTTGTTGAAGAATTCTGGCAGAGCCTTGCGCTCGGTGGTGTGAATGACATTCATGTCGAACCAGGTGCTGTAGCTGGGCAGGATAATGGAGTGCTTCTGGGAGATGAGATGTTCGCGCGCTGCATTCTCGATCGCCTCCTTCGTCTTTCCGACAGTGGCCTCGCCGTTGGCCTCGCCATCCTTGGGTTGCTCTCCTTTCGATTCGCCCTCGGCATCGACCATGTCCTCGTCCTGGGCCGCGACATTGTCGGGGGCCGGGGCCTCGGGGGCATCGAGAGGGTTGTCCGAGGATACTCCTGGTGCGGGTGTGGTGCTGTCTTGTTTAATGGCTGGCTCAGTGGATGTGGTCTCACCCATTTGGACATCTGTGATGAGATATGTTTAGTAACGCGCGAGGGTGGATGGATGGCTGGCGCAACGATGCAGGACTTTGAAACTCACCTTCGCTGGGGTTTACATCTGCCAGAGGTGGTTGCGCGAGGATCGGATTGCTGCCGGGCGATGCGCCATTGGCAGGGGTGCCGTAGCTGACATTCTCCTCCTCCATGGTGATGATGGAGGTCGAGGCTGGGGTTGGGGGTTGGCTTTTGCTGCAGATGCAAATGCAGAACTGGGTGGGAGTCAACTAGCGCCAATTGCAACTCTAATACAGAAGTCAAGGCGCTGAGGGATCCAATTTGGAGCGAGCGTTCACAGTCGCAGAGGCTGCAGCTGCTGTTCAGAGTCAACTGCGTGGCAGGGAGGGGTCAGGCGCCGTGTTGATGATGATGGGTTGCCGTCGCGAAAGATGGGTCCCCGTGCTGGACTGCGCTCTTGGATGGGATGAGCAGTGTCGCGTTGGAGGATCAAATTTGGGCGCGACAGCCTAGCAGCAAAAGCACGGGCCATTCCAAAAAGTGGCAGCCTCAGGCAAGAACCCGCCCAGCTCGGCAGTGGCTGACAGGAGCAAAGCAGACGCCTGCGTACCTGTGTACCTGTGTACCTATGTACCTGCTCACCTGTGATGCTAGAGCAAACCCCTGCTCTCCTTAGGGACTCCTGCTCCCTGCACCAGCCGGTCACGGAGGGCCGAGGTCAGTGTCGGATGGCCCGTCGCCAGCCGATTGAGTGACGGTTTCGACTTGCCCGTGCCGCCCTCATCACCCATCTAGCCGTTTCCTGTTTCCCGATTCCCATCCTCTCTCTGTGCCGCACTCCAGGTGACGGAGGCCATCACAGATTCTTACAAGATGCTCTGCACGGCACGAAGAATAGCAGCCCACCAGCTGCGGGGCAGAATCGCGCAGCCCACCTCATCCCCCGTCGCATTCTTCAGCCCCGCCGCCCTCCGCCGGCTGGCCTCGACGCTCGCCGTCCTCGAGCAGAGGGAAGGCAAGCTGAACCATGGCTCCCTGAGCGCCATTTCAGCAGCACAGAAGGTCGGTGGCCCAGTCCATGGCTTCGTGGCCGGCAGCAGCATCAAGGCTGTAGCAGAGGAGGCCGCCACCGCAGAGGGCGTAGAGAAGATAATTGCGGTAGACAACGGCGCTTATGACAAGGTACGTTGACCCTCAAGCTGGCAATGAAAGAAACAGAGGAGGTTCTACGGGGCCGTTTCTCATTTGAAGGCAATACGAAGATAATGTACTGATCAACTGCAACTCTAAACAACAGGGTCTCCCCGAGAACTTCGCCGACCTGCTTGTCGAGAACATCAAGAAAGGAGGCTATACACATGTCATCGCCGGCCACACAGCATTCGGCAAGAACTTGCTGCCGCGCGTGGCTGCCCTCCTCGACTCACAGCAGATCTCTGACATCACATCCGTCGAGAGCGAGAACACCTTCGTGCGCCCCATCTACGCCGGCAACGCCATCGCGACTGTCGAGTCGACAGACCCCATCAAGGTCATCACCATCCGCGGCACCGCCTTCGCGCCCGCCGAGCTCGGCAAGGGCTCCGCGGCCGTCGAAGACGGCGTCGACCCCAAGGCCGCCAGCCCCACCGAGTGGGTGTCCGAGGACCTCGCCAAGTCCGACAGGCCCGACCTGGCGACAGCGGGCAAGGTCGTGTCGGGCGGCCGGGGCCTCAAGTCCAAGGAGGAGTTCGACAAGGTGATGCAGCCATTGGCCGACACTCTCGGTGCTGCCATCGGTGCTTCTCGTGCGGCTGTGGACAGTGGGTACGCAGACAACAGCCTGCAGGTTGGACAGACCGGCAAGGTGGTCGCGCCGCAGCTGTACATGGCTGTCGGCATCTCTGGGGCTATCCAGCATCTGGCTGGCATGAAGGACAGCAAGGTGATTGCTGCGATCAACAAGGACGCAGATGCGCCCATCTTCCAGGTTGCTGATGTCGGACTTGTGGGTGACCTCTTCGAAAAGGTCCCTGAGCTGACGGAGAAGCTGAAGAAATAGAGGTATTTTTAGTGTAATCCATATACATATATATATATATGAACCTGGGCGCCGTGGAATGGCCGTGAAACACTTTTCTGGTCGCTTTGTGAGCACAGTAGACGGGTTATGCCATGGATGAGAAGGGCACTTTCAGCATGTCGCCCGTCGTCGTGAACTTGTCCCTCTCCTTGCCCTTCAGCTGGCCTCGATCCCGTTCCGCCTTGTCAATGGCCAACCAGCCCTCCCAGTCAACGGCGGCATTAGCAACACTCCTGCCCGTCTCGCTCTGCACCCCTTCCCACCCAGCACTGACGGCGCTTCTCGCATCTGCCACCCCGGCGTCGCTAAGGAACTGCTTGCCACCCTTCCAGTCCTCCGCTATTGCCTCCGCCGTCGCGAACGCGTCCTCCATGGTACTGGCGATGACCCCGGTGGGGCCGCGCTTCACCCAGCCCGCGCAGTAAAGCCCCGGGAACAAATCTGCTTGGTCGGATCCTGCGTGGGCGGGCGCGGCAGTACTACGCAACACACGGCCCCCGGATAGGTCATTCCCGATGATGCCGCGACGCGCGTCAAAGGCGACGCCCAGGGTTTCGAACTCGGGGAGGGCCACAGACTTGTAGCCTATCGAGCGGAAAACCAGCGGGGACGCCAGCGTCGTGGTCTCCCCGGTGCCAGCGGCGGGTGTGCTGGGGTCGAAAGGGTCCGGTAACAGCGAGGTCCGCTCGAACGTTGTGCTCCCGACGCCCGCCGGGTCAGCTGGGTCTGGGTGGAACTCAGTCGGCGAGAGGCAGAAGTCTAAGGCCCAGGACTTGGAGGCTGAAGAGTGCGGTGTCTTGGAGCCCTTGAGGAGGACCTCGGTGAGGCGCTTGCGCGCGCGGGGCAGGGTCTTCAGGTCAGCTGGGATGAGCGAGCGGTCGATGGGGTCGGCCGACACGCCGGGTAGGTTCATCAGCTCGCGGACCTCCTTGATGGTGAAGGCGGCCTGCATGGGCCCACGCCTCCCGGCGATGCGGACCCTCTTGACCTGGCTCTTGGACAGCGCCTCCAGGGCGTAGTCGGCCATGTCCGTGCTCCGCAGCTTGTCCACATCCTCGAGCAGGGCCCGGGCGACGTCGATGGCAACGTTGCCCTGGCCGATGATGACGGCCTCGCTTTGGGAGAGGTCCGGGTTCAGGCCGGCGAACTCGGGCAGCCCGTTGTACCAGCCCACAAACTCGCGGGCCGAGTAGATGCGCTTAAGGGTCGACTCGCCTGGTATGCCGAGTGTCCTGTCCTTGGCTGCGCCGTATGCAAACAGAACAGCATCGTAGTGGCGCAGCAGCGTTGTCAGGGGGAGCGATTGGCCATCTGGGTGGAAAGGTTTGTGGCCAATAGAGACGTTGCCGACAAATGTGAAGTTGGGAGACGAGGCAACTTCAGTAAATTTGTCTTGACAGTTCTGCGCAGTAATGGGTCAGAGAGGAACTTATCAAGAGCTGGACCATGTATGATACAAGCCGTTCAGAACACAAAATGCGGGCGTCGAGTGAGGCTGGACAAGGATTGTGAGATGGAACAGTGAGAGTGAGAAGAACAAGAAGAACACACCTTGACATCGGGATGGTCAGGGGCCACACCAAACCTGACCAGACCGAACGGCACAGGCAGGGCCTCGTACATGTCAACCTTTGCGCGGTCGATCAGAGACATGACGCGGTAAGAGGTGTAGAAGCCGGCGGGGCCGGAGCCGACGACGGCCATGCGGAAGGGCCGGTCATGCCGGGAGGCAGAAGAAGATGAGTAGGAGCATGAGAGGAGACGGGGGAGAGGCTGTGATTTACGGCGATGGAGTGTCTTGCAGCGGACCGCGAGGCCAGAAGCCGCCGACCTGGCGATGGGGAGAGGCATGATGTCAAGGGCCTGGGGGTGGTGAGATGCAAGGAGGGCCTAAGCCATGTTTAATTAATTTATCGTGAAGGCTGCCCGAGAAAAAGCGGACTGAGATGCTGCTGATCATCGGCGGTAGATCCGGATTTCTTCGGCTTTTTTTTTCTCGGCTCGGGTCCGATAGTCGCTGCTGTAGTGTAGCTGGCCCTGGATCCGCCGATCTAGTCTGCCGTCTTCATACTGAGTACACCACGACAACAGTCATAAGCAACATACAGTAAGACAAAGCAGAGCTGCTCTTGTGCAAACCCTCATCGCAGCAGTCAGAGGCAGTGTGACGCGGGGGGTGACGGGCCGTGCCGCATTGGATTCGCTGCGTTGCTGTGCCAATCGGGGGGTTCCTTGCAGGTAAACAAGCGGACCCGCCCCTCCCCCAGCCCACCTTGGTATCCAGCCTCTTGATTTATGTACGATATGAGCATTGATTCAATGGGGTTGGCTTCCAGCATTGGGTTGCAGGAAACAGTCTAATCAGTCTACACAGTAATTACTGCATTTCATCTCCTTCTTCTGCCTGATGTTATCCGACATTCCAGTCGCTATCGCTCCCATCCATAGTCTTTAGTTGGAGTCTGGTGTCTGTCTGTCTCACTCATTCTCTCCCCGTCGTCCTCCAGTCAGTCAGTCAGTCATCATGAGTGGAGGTAACCAGCCCTACATGTACGACAAGTTCGACAGGTTCGACGATGACCGCTTCCCGACCTCTTCTTTTGATCCCAAGGCCGTCACCCGGGCCAGCTGGGAGCCAAAGCCAGTCAAGTCCAAGCATGAGGGGCCACTTGTGTCTTTCAATCGCCACCCAGAGTAAGCATCGCTGCACCCAACCCACCGCACACGATCGTGCAAGTGGATCGCCTGCGTGCGTGTCTCCCAACAACAATCCACAGCTGCTGACCCCAGATCTTCACGCGTAGCGCACATGAGATTCGTGGGCCACGTTCACCGTTCAGGACCTTCGGGCCTGCCACAAAATGGTGGATCAAGTGGATGAGAATACTGCAGCTGGCCTTCCGCGTGCTCGAGATGATCGCCGCGGCTGGCATTCTCTTCTTCATGATCGTCATTACTGAGGTCAGCCCCTTGACCGCGTGGGTCATGAGGATCACCGTACGTGCAATCCACCCCCAGCACATTGTCTCTGCCTGATACCGCCAACTACAAATACTGATACAAGCCAATGCCAACACACAGGCCGGCGCAGTTCTGATTCACTGTGTCTACGGCATCTTCCATCTTGCGCGCCCGGCCGGGGCGAGGCCCCCCGGGTCCTCTGCCGGCTACCAGATATTCTCCGCCATATCTGACCTCACCGCGCTCCCTCTCTACGCCTTTGGTGCTCTGTCTGTACACAACTCGAGTACTGAGTGGGCGACCCTGCTCAACCCACAGACCCTCATGGACTATTTCCTGCCTTCCCTGTACTACACCCTCGTCGGCGGCGGGGCCTTGCACTTCTTGTCGCTATGCATCAGCCTCTGGCTGGCCCTCAAGTTCAGGCAGATCGTCAGGATGCCCCCTGACTGCAACCCCCTCGAGGACAACCTGACTTCCAGACAGCACAAGAGGAACAAGTCGTCCATGGCAACAGCCACCACCTTCGTCACAGAGAACGAGAAGCGTCTGTCGACCCCTCTCGACGGCCGCCGGTACTCTGGTATCCCGGATGATGACCTCAGCCGCCCGCCCTCTATTCCCTTCCACGCCACTCGCTCCAGCCCACGCAGTTCCTTCGGCTCAGCCGATTTCCCTGCGAGGCAGTACCAGATCACACCCGGGAACTCACCCAAGAACTCGCCTCGGAACTCAGCCACTGCAGAGGATTTCAAAAGAATGTCCGGCGTGCCATCATCGCCTCACTCCAGCAAGCCCGCCCCGCCACCTCACCGGAGCCCCTGGCGCGGCTCTTATTCTTCCTATGCTGAGGTTCCCACACGTGATATCGTTCCGGACTCACCTAGGAGCTATGGTCATCAGTCCAGACCTAGCACCGGCACCGTAGCCTCTCACCATCCTACCATCACAAACGCACCGGACACTGCTCCACTACCAAGGCCCGCGCGGTTCACCGAGTCCTGGTTACCTACGGACTCGCTGATCAACCGCACGCAGGAGCGTAACCGCGCCATAAACGCTGCCGAGAGGGCGGCCGAGAAGAGAAAGACGGTGCTAGGCTACGAGTCCCTGAGCCACCCATATTACGACACGCGTGATTCAGACTCCGAGTCCGATTACGAGAATGACAGGACTGGCGGCGGGCGAGGCTACCGGGGCCTAATGAGCCCGGGCGCGGACGAATTCGACGAGAACGACGGCGACCTGGGGTCCGGGCATCCGAACCCGCTGCGGTCCAACCCGTCGCTCGCGAACGTGGCCCAGTTCGCAGGGAAGCAGGGCCGCAACCCCAACAGCACCCCGATCATCCGGAAATCATCCGCCCTGTCCGAGATCGACCTCAACGACCGGCGGGTAAGCGGCAGCAACAACAACAGGCAGGCGGGCAAGACCGCCGGCGACATCACGGACGAGAAGCCGTCGCGCAGCTACGGCGGGCTCAAGGCCAGCCTCAGCAAGCGCTACACGTGGGCCGGGGCGCGCAACCGCAACAGCTCCATCCAGCCCGAGTCAGACTTCTACTCAAAGCCGTACGGTGAGCTCAAGTCTGCGACGCCGCCCGTCATCATCGGCAGCGACAGGCAGGTCTCGTCAGGCAACGACTTGGACCTGAGCGGTGCGGGTGGTGGTGAGGCTGCACAGAGATACTTCTCCTTCGGGAAGAGGAATGTGAGCGGGAAGGTTGCAGAAGAGGGCCGGGGAATCGGCTGGGCTAGATAATGGGATTTCATTATACTTACGGAGGATATATAGGGCAAGGTCAGCCATTTTTGGAGGCCGTATGGTCCCTGGCACATCGTTTGGAAATCGGGTTGGGCAGGTAATGTTGTTGATGAATGATTTATGAGCGTGGGCAAATGTGTAAATGTGTAAATAGCAATTTTGGGATGGGAATACCTCGGGTTGGATTTAGGGTAGCAGGGTCATATGTAGGCAAGAATATGACACAACGGAATAGGTTCATCAAACTTTGCCATGATCGTCACTTATGAAAAAACCGCCCAAAACAAAAGAATGCCGATTAGCAGCTATTAAATACGGAAAGAATACCGAATGTCCAACGCCATGCGATGCTACAACGCTCACAGTATCTGACTCAAGGGAAATAGAGCGCCTCTGCTAGGTTACAACATGCTCCAACAACAATAGCCCATTGCAACCCGTCCACAGCACAGCTAAGATCCTTTCATAGGGTATTTAACCGGGGAACTGAACGCCGATGCGAGCACATATACAGGGTGAGCCTCATGCACGCTCAGTCAAGCCTCTCCGTTAAAGACTTCAACACGCGAGAGTAGAACTTGGCCGCGTGGGCCCGGGGGAAAGAAATCTCCTCGACGAGATACTCAGGGAGCATCTCGATCAGCTGACTGTCCCGGCGCTCGTCCAGCTGCGGTTTGTACATGAACTCGGCCTCGTCCGTATTCTCGTCCGAGTTCTCGTTCGCAATGGCCAGCTTGAAATGTAGTGCTAGAGAGAGACCATGGTTAGCGTCCGGTGATATTACTCTCCTGAAAGTAGGGCTGTACTCACTCCCGTTCCTACCCGTCTGGATACAATCATACACATCCTCCGGGCCGTCGCGCTTGATGCCTGTCACCACCAGCCCCGTCAGGTCGCTGTACAGGTTCTCCTTCATCTTGGCTGTCTGAGTGGCCTGGAGCTGGGCTTGCACCTGGGCCTGGTCTATGCCTCGGCCGCCCATCGCGCTGGGCTTCATTGCGCTACCCGGGACCCGCACCGACGCAGCCTGGGCCGTGGCTGTGGCTGTTGCCTCGGCGGCTCGTGCAGCATTCAGTTTCGTGGTGAGAGACTTGATTTCCGTCTTGGCTTCGGACAGCGTCGTTGTTATTCCCGCAATCTGGGTCTGCAGCGTGTCGACTTTGGCTTCACTGGCCTCGAACTGCTGCTGAGACTTTTGCCCTTCCTTGGCTAGTTGCCTCTGAGTTGCGAGATCGGCCTTGAGGCTTTTGATGAGCTCATTGGAAGCTAAATGCGTTGTCAGCAGCATGTTCTCCGGGTTTGAACAGAACTTTTGATCCAATGGCACGCACCCTGAGTCTTCTCATCGCTCTGCTTTTTGAGCTGATCGAAGTTCTTCTCCGCTTCTACAACCGCCACATTGCGCAGCTCTCTGTATCTCAGCTCCAATGCCTCATACTTCTTCTCAAGGTCCGCAAGATGTCGCCTGGTTGATGGATCGCTCTCAATCAATGATGAGCTGGCTGATCGCTTAGTCGCGCTGAGTGGGATGTGATATGAATTGAGACGCTGCGCGGATGGCGGTGCACTGAAACGCGAGAATGTAGGGAGATCTTCCACCTGGTCTTGCTCCTCAGCCGTGTCGATGTCCATTCCGCCGTCCACCTGAGTCTCCGGGATTTCGGACGGAGCATCAAGTCTGGCAGCAGCGGCAGCCTTTCGCCCTCGTTTCGCGGCTGCAGGCTCGGTCTTTTTCTGCACCGAGTCGGGCACCACGGTATCCTTCTTTGGGCGGCCGCGGCCACCCTTGGTCTTCGCAGGTTCATCACTGTGCGGCGGTGTTGCCAGTACGTCGTCTGCGTCGTCCTCCTGTTCGTCCTCGACTGCCTTCTTAGCCTTGCGGCCTCTTGTCGCCTTTGCTGGTGCATTTGTCGCCTTTTCTGCAAGCGCCTGCCTCTCTACCTCCTCCTCCAGCGCTGCGGCGGCCTTTGCCCCAACGCGACGCGTCTTAGTCTTGGGCTCGGGCTTCGTGACCTTGTTGGCAGGCGCGCGACCTCGACCCTTCTTTGCTGCAGGCATATTTCCTGCTGTCTTTAGCGCGCTGGGTTGTACGTTGAAGCGTGAATCCAAGTCCGAGTCCGAATCCGCCAAGTCGAGCAAGGTGGACTGTTTAATCCGTGGCATCTAAACCAGAACGCGTCGCCTCGATCACTCGGTTTCGTGCTTTGGACAATTGGAGTCGACGACGGCAATTGCCTTTTGGGAGGTCGAATGTTCAAATAGTCGATAGAGGACTGTGGAGAGTTGATTGAGCAATTGGGAAATCCAGGAGGATTGATTGACGGCGGCGAATGTCGCAGTTTCGATTGGGTTGAGATGTCGAGCCGAGCTTGCCAGGGAAAGTAAACAAGCGATGCAGGCCCTGTTGTCTGCTGAGCTGTGCCAGCGCAACGGGTGGGTAGGCGTGCAGTAAGGTGGGGGACCGCAGACCACGCTAGCTAGCGCCACCCTGGGCGACGTAACTTTCGCCTTTGATGGACCCCAACCTACAATATACATACAATAAACTCGACCACTTCCCTAAGACATCACAATTCCCGCCTCGCTATTGCTGTCATACTGTCTTTCACTTTTCTTTTATTTCCCACCCTTTTTCGCAGCTCGCCAGCGCCGCATACATTCCATGAGCGGAATCTTGTCCAGCTTAGCTATGGGCGACCGCAGAGCCCGGACGTCTGACGCCGTCCTGAATATCGTCACTGCTGGTGCACTTGTACGTTGTCTGCATTCTTCTGTGTTGCTTTGACTTGGCTTGAAAATGCCACCATGACACTGCCCGCGCACACTTCGCAGACTGGGACTAATATTAACCGCAGGCCTTCGTCTCCTACTTCTTCGTCAAAAATCTCCTGTCGTCATTCGCAAACACCCTCGCCGACCCAGAGAAGGAAAAGCACGAGCAAGCCAGAATAAAAGCGCAAGCGAACCTGTCCCGGTTACGGCGAAATAGGAACAACGAAGATGGAACGGACGGCACAGACTCGAGCGGTTCGCGAAAGGGGCCACGTATCGAGGACATTCAACTGAACGAGTACGAGGCCATGGTCGCACTCGAGGTCGTCGCCCCAGAGGACATCCCAGTCGGGTTTGATGACATCGGCGGCCTGGAGGATATCATTGAGGAGCTCAAGGAATCCGTCATCTATCCGCTAACAATGCCGCACCTATACTCACACGCCGCGCCGTTGCTTTCTGCGCCGTCAGGGGTGCTGCTCTACGGCCCTCCTGGTTGTGGCAAGACAATGCTTGCGAAGGCGGTGGCGCATGAGAGCGGTGCCTCCTTCATCAACCTTCACATATCGACGCTGACGGAGAAATGGTACGGAGACTCCAACAAGCTGGTCAGGGCCGTATTCTCCCTGGCGCGAAAGCTGGAGCCGGCAATCATCTTCATCGACGAGATCGACGCGGTGCTGGGGACGCGGAGGAGCAACGAGCACGAGGCGAGCGGAATGGTCAAGGCTGAGTTCATGACGCTCTGGGACGGCTTGACATCCTCGAATGCAGCGGGAGTCCCGTCTAGGATATGCGTGCTCGGCGCGACGAATCGCATACATGACATTGATGAGGCCATCCTGCGAAGGATGCCGAAGAAGTTCCCGGTCCCACTTCCAGACAAGGATCAACGACGTCGCATACTGCAGCTAGTCTTACAGGGCACGAAGCGCGACCCGTCGTTCGAGCTGGAGTACATAGCGAAGGTCACGGCAGGCATGTCGGGCAGCGACATCAAGGAGGCCTGCAGAGACGCGGCCATGATCCCGATGCGGGAATCTATTCGAGAGCATCGAGCTTCGGGCCACTCGATGTCTGGTATCAGTCCCGATCGGATAAGAGGCCTAAAGACGGAAGACTTCTTCGGCAGGAAAGGGGGTGGCCAGATTCTGATGCAAAACCACGAGCGCCACTCGTCGCAAAGGGCGGCTGCTGCTGCTGCTTCCAAATCCTCGAGCGACGAGTATGAGGATATCGAGGAGCAGGTTGGTGAAGCTCCAGATTGAGCAGTACGTATAACGGTTTTAATGTAAACACGAAAAAACCATAGAGCATCCGACACAACTTGGAAGGAAACCTCAGAGGAAAGCTGGTTGGCAAGGAAAGCAGTATGGCGCTTGGATGGGATTTTCTCGACTCCGTGGATACATCTGTAGACTTCTAGCATGTTACTTCCAGGGTAATAGTCCCGAGGCTCCTGGAAACCCAATGTTACTTGGTCAACTCCTTGCTTCTGGCATCTCTTGAGTCATCGTGTGCGATTCGGATTTCCACTAACCCCGAACGGAAGGCGAGCATCACATGAGATATCAAATCCTTCCGGAACAGGACGGCACGGGTTGACCCCCACTGCATCATGGAGAAAATCTGTTCATTGAATGAGATGTTCCTCATCACTTGCACCCGAGAGTGCCGAGCATCGGGTGCAATTGACGATTGCACCTTCACCCACGAGATAATCACATATGGATTCTTCCCATGGAAGTCTCAAGGCTCTGTGTGCGAATGAAAGCTGCGGCTTGGGTCCACATCGAGTCACTCACTGCGCGGCTCAAAGAGTATCAGGGACTTGGGCATTGACGCCGTGGTGCTTGGAGAATTCGGTCCTCATGATCCATTCCTAAAAGATACCTAAGAGTCATAAACGACGTTGCTACAGGTATCGATCATCAAGCCCTACTGCTATATAATAAAGTAAAGGCAAAAACGTAAAAACTCGTTTAACACCAAACCACCCCTTTCCTCGGGAAGGGGCCAAAGCCCTTTTTCTCCCGAAAAGCATGACATTCATGCTCCAGTCCTCGTGAACAACGTCCAATCGCGTATATGGGTATAATGTCGGGAATATCTCCACCATTGAAGAGAAACATATGAAAAGGCGCCACAGGTGGCGTGGCTGGCATCCAAAGTGCCAGATCTGAAGATCGAATCGAATCTCAAAAGCGGCAGGCTTGGGACCACCACATAAAACAATAAACACTAAACACTGGTCCGCGGTAGAGGGCCAATGTTGGGGAGGCGGATGTGCAGGTACAGCCGTCGTCGATAGAACAAAAAAGGGGCTGCAAGTTCGTATGTGGTAAATAGGCACGGGTCGAAAGTAAAAAGGCGAAAAGGACCAGCAGCGTCGAATGAATAGGCAAGAAGATCGCGGAGCATTTTATGCCCGCCCAGAGGTGATGATGAGTTGCGAGGTTTATGCGCAATGAAGTTGGGTGGGAACCTCAGCGTATCGAAGGCCGGAAAGGCGCTGCCTCGAGAATCTGCGTTCCGGTGATATATTGACAGTAAAGACAGCTGCTGGGATGAATTGAAGAAAGTTACTTGTTGCTTAGAGATAGAAGACCGAAGATGATGCCGTCTAGTACAGCATTGCGGCGGCGACGAAAGCTATGACGAAGCCGGCAAAAGCTGCTTGGCCCTGGTCAGGATTCGTTGCGTCGCTCTTGGATGAAGTTTCTGCAGGCGCAGCTTCGGTCGTAGCCTCCGCCAATTCGGCTGCAGACGTGACAGCTGTCAAAGAGTGCGTACTGCTTCCCTTGCCGCTCTCCTGGAATATACCACCGCGCATCGTGGCCGATGAGGCGAAGGTAGTCTTGGAGCTAAGCGTGGACGACGGGGTGGAGCTGCTGGAAGCAGTGCTGCTAGAAATTGAGGACGAGCTGCTCGACGAGGTAGATGAGCTGCTACTCGTGCTTGAAGTTTCCGAGATCTCAGGTGGCGTTGAACTGGAGGTGGTGGCCACGGCGACCATGGCCTTCTTTGGTGCCTGAGATGTGGTGGCAGGCTTGACGGAAGACGAGCTTGGTGCATCGCTTGTCGCGTCGCCTGTCGAGCCATCGGTATTGAAGACGACAATGTTTGCAGTGGCTCCCTTCGGGACTGTCACCACACAAAAGTCCGCACCGCCCGCGCCAGAAGTCGCTGTGGCGCTCCTGACGATTCCGAACCCATCAGAGCTGGGATCTATGGCACAAGGGAGGCCGTTACAATTCCCGTCACACTCGATCTTGAGACCGAAGGAGGGCTTGACACCGTGGAAAGAATCAGTGTAAATGGGATTGTAACCGAGCTTGACGAATGTGTTACCATTCGAGTCCTGGTTGGCTCCAGCGACATAGGGCGACCAGTTTCCAATGGCTTGTGAACTCGTTCCCCAGACACAGGCTTCTTCCGTTGAGCGACCGGGAGGGTTGATGTAGAAGTGCGAGGCGGTTGAATCCCAGTAAGAAGGTCCGGGCACAGCAATGGTCGCGCTGTCCGTCACGCCCGTGGGAATCAACATAGCTTCGTTTCCGGGAAGCACGGTCTGACAGAACGCGACCACCTTGCCACACTTGTTGACAGCCTTAACGGATCCAACGCCTTGAACACAGTACGGCTCGTCCGGAAATGGCTTGACGATGGAGCCAGACTTGTCACAGAATAGCCCTCCGTCCATGGACTCAGGGTACACATATGTCGTACCCTGTTTCCATTGATTCATGACCATTCCCGGTTCGCAAGCGAAAGGGCAATATGAGCCCGCGGTACACTCCTGATCAGGGCTCAAGGCCCAGCCCCTGTTCGATGAGCCCGGAGTGATGGTCACGAGACCAGCTTCGCCTTCGGGAAAGGCGCATTGGCCCGATCTGTTGACGAGCCGGCCGCGCGGCTTGAGTAACTCGAGTTCTGAAGCATCGTGTTCGCTGTGAGTGTGGTTCTTGCTGTAATGCTCGTGAGCGCGACGGTGAGCGGCTGTTGCGGAGGCCGGCTGGGCGGCCAAGAATAGCACGGCCGAGCCCAGTGCGGCCGTAAGTGCTGCTTTGTGCATGGGTGACGACGTGAAGAGAAAAATGAACGTTGTGTAAGGATCGTGAGTAGCTGAACGCTACTGAGAGAGCTTAGAGCTGACTCTTGGGGCCAAGTTTCGTCGTGATGGGCAAGGTCGTTCGTAAGTGGTGTCTTAGAGTTTGACAGTCATGTGGTGTTGGTGTTGTTGTTCCAGTCCGTGAGGCATTACAGTCGCATTCCTCAGAAAACAGCAGTCAACACACCGCAGTCCAGCCACTGAGTCGATTCGCGATCCAACCGGCGTCTACCAAAGGAATGAATTTCTGCTGAAGAGCAGGAGAAAACAGCAAAGCGAGTGAGGCTTGGTAACGAACGTGTGGGCTTTGAAAAGAATTGCCCGAGTAGCGCGCACGAAGCTGGGGGAAACGAAATGAGCGAGGCAGTTGGTGAAGAGGCGGGCGAGCCGGAGGGGGGTCCCGGGGGGGAAGAAGGAGGACAATGACCCACAGCCGCGATTCTATTGACAAGGTACATAAAGGAAGTAGCCGAAAAGGGATCTTTGGCCCCCTGCAGGAGCTGCAAGAGACGGGGTGGTGCCACCGGGATCACGTCTTTGCTGCTGTCGTATCCTCCACACTTGGCTTCTTTTAGGTTATTGCTGTGGGCCTGTCAAACCGTGCCTCGACCAGTCGGCGCCCACTGTTGCGCATTCTGGACCCGACGTGCCTGGAGCGCGCGATTTGCCTCGAACCCAATCGAGACGTCAATCCGGGCGCCAGGCACCGCCAGCCAGACACTGCGCGGTCAGCACACACGCAGGCGCAAACGCAAGGCACGCATGGGAGATTAGATGATCAATGTTGTGGCGAATCAGGCACTCTGCCATTTGCAGATAGCCTCAATGGCTGACTACCCCTTCGGGCCTAGCAGCACACAAGTCAGGAACGCAGACCCGGCGGCTGCAAGGTACACCAATGACAGGCCTTGCGCAAAATGAGATGACATGGAGTGGTCAACATGATGGTGGTGAAGTCGTTGATCACGATTTAATTGCTCCCTTCGTGGCGACGATGGTCCTGGCGATGCTGGATTGCAAAGCCACGAGGCGGCTCGTCGTCGATGGAAGCGCAATGACTTCATATTGTCTGAGGGCATCGCGATTGCACGAGTAAGGCAGTGAGTCTCTCAACAAGTGAATCGGTCAGGTTCCGGCGCGGCCGTGATCCGCAATAGACCCGTCGCCAAGACCCCTTCTCACGTTCCATGAGAATAGGAATGGGAGTGGAGATGAGCCTTGTCGCGATGCGCGAGTTGAGTCTACAAACTGTAATGTTGTTCCTCAGATCGCGGAAGGAATATTCCGTAGAAGCAAAAAAGCAAGACAATGACGAACTTGTCTGGAAGGACTAGAGTTCCTCTTTCGTCGCTGGCGGGAGGGTTTAGGGGGTGCCCGATGTCAGCTGATCCCGCAGTATTGCAAGCTTTTGATGCCTTGCTGGCTGAAATGCCAATCATTTTGTGGACAAAAGAAATCAACCTGCGATATGATAGGTCAGCGCGTGCTGGAAGGTACAGGACATACCATTTGGGACTCAGCCTTGCCACAAGACGCTGGCAGACCCACGTCAAACAGCCTCCCACATCGACTGGCCACAGGAACAGACAACTCGTTCTCGTAAATCTTTGATGTGGGTATATATAACATCTCATTTTACCGCTCCCAGATGCGAAACCTCAGACAAAAGTCCCCTTGAACGTGACGTAGTTCCTCAGCATCTTGTTCACTTGCCATCAAGAATAACCTGGTGGCATCTTCACCCAGGCCGGCACTTCGTTGATGTCGATACCATCCTCCACCATCTTGTCAGCTACTACTCGGACGACTGCTGGCCATCCTGCAGCAAGCGGTCCACCGGCCTTTTTTGCTCCCATCACGGCGAATCTGCCGCTCGAGTGGGCCAGAAAACCGTTCATTAACCCCTGAGCGATTAGTGCCACGATCACGCCTTCGACTTCTTTGTCCGTAACCTGTAAGTTTCCCCAGAACAAGCCCTCACTGGGTTTCAAATTCCTTTGCTTTCCGCCTGACGGCGGCATCAGTGCAGACGAGGCATCGGCAGCGCTGTTAGTCACGGCCATCATAAAAATGTTATTCGTTTGCAACTGACGTTTGGGCTGCTGCTGAGTTCGTGCTGGCACATAGCCTTCGAGGCGTTTCTGGACATATGCAGCGGCGACGTACACGTCCGCTAAATTGAGAGTCGGCGCTGCGCGTGATGCTGGCGGCGGGGCTTCGTAGGTAAGGAGAAAGCATCGCCTGATGAAAGAGCGCCACACGATTGGGCGCAAGCGGAAGGTGAGGGTGAAAAGCAGGCCTTTCTGGTATAACCAGCGCTCATTGGCCGCTATTGCTTGCTGGAAAGCAATAAAGTTCCCTTTGCGGATGGAGGCCATTATGGGGAGGAACACAGCAGCAAGAGTCGCTGCCTCAGGCCTGGCGAGGAGAACCTCACTGGGGAACCGCCCGAGCATAATGTTGGATGGGATGAGGTAGGTGAGAATGAGTCTTCGGTGGCGTTGGAGAGCTGGTGGGGTTTGCAGGTAGGCCTCCTCAAGACACAGCGACGCGCGCACGAAGTTGTCGCAGTCGAAGTTGAACCTTCCGAGGTAGTAGAGGAACGTAACCCGCTGTGCAGCCGGATATAGTTGCAGTGGTGGTCCGCTCGCGGATACGTTAAGCAACAGCTGTGCTGCAAGGCGAGATTTACCACACTTCGAGGAGCATGTATATCAGCGATGTGACCAGGCCCGGGGGTCTACCTGTCTTGTGTCAACTCACTGTGAAGAGAAGTTTCAGGACGAGGTTGGCAAATATGTAAACTCCGACTTTCTTGCCCTCCGGTCTTGCAAATCTGGTACTTGATCTGTCCGTAAGACATGAGGTGAAGATTTTCTGGATGATGTCGGCAGACTGCTCGACCATGGACTTGCTATCTTCGCCCCCAGCAACAGACCTCTGCCCTTGCATCAGCTCAGGGCGCCGGTGAAGCATCATGACGACTTTAGAAAGTGCCTCGGAGAGCGATATGCTGGTCTGAAACATGATGCTTCCATACTGTGGGTGTGATAGCGCAGTAGCACAAGATCTATCAGTGGTCAGCCAGGCCGAGGAATAAGTGGTGGAGCAAAGGTAGGAGGAGCGCACGTCAACAACCCTGACAGCGATTCTTGGACACTCAACAAGTCGTCGAAATCCGCATCCCTCCAATATAGCAGATAATCCTTGACGAAGGTAACGAAGCTGGGCCATGGTGATCCAGTACCATCCGGAGGGTCATCGATTTCGGGTAGTGACTTCTCAACCAACTTTTCGAGGTTGCTGTTTACACCCAGGCTTTGCCTCAACTCGTCACGGAGCTGCATATAGGCGTGGCTTGTTGAACCCGGCTCAACCTGCAGCCAGGCGTCGAGACTGTCACCGTTCAGCGCAACCACATGATCCTTGATTGAGGATAGGAATTGTGTGATCAAAGAAGGCATCGTCGCATTGATTTCACTGCGAACAATGCAAGATGAGGGCAAGTCAAGACATGGCCCAATGTGCAGGAAGGATAGAGCCGTCTCGCTTGGACCCTGCGTGACCAGTCACTGCCAGTGAGATGGAAGGGGCTTGGCTTACTTAAGCAGAGTGGGGCATTCCTCATCTATTCACCTGCTGTGAATGTGCATTCATCGAGTTCTCATCCCATATTCTATGGAAAGTAATGATTTATGTTTCAAACTTGTGGTAATTGAGTGTGATGGAAAGACCCCAATTGGAAGGTCTTGAAAGTTTCCATTGTGAATCCAGTCAACGATGAGTCGTTGGTCCCATGCCTTAGTAGAACTGCAGGCAGGCCTGAAGTAATTACTTATCCTGAACTGAAGAAAAGTCCTCATCCGAATTGACTTTAATATGCTGAGTTCTCGGGAAATTCTCAGTAGGTGGTAAAAATCAGTCCCTGAACAGATTGAAATCACTCTTCCAGAACATAGGGGAACGACTAAGACCGTCTACAAACATACCTATTTGGCAACGCAGTTGACACTTTTGAAAGCACTATGATGTGATGTTTAGTCAGAGTGCAATTTTGTCTTCATTTCTGGGCTCTCTATATTCAACTTTTGTATTTAAGGAAACACGAACTTAACGGTGACAACGCTGTTTCCATAGGAAAATACAGCTTGCAGAGATGGGCCGGTACCCAAGTGAAGATCTACTGAAAACCTGTCCAAGCTAATACAGCCAGAGAATAGAAGTTCACTCTTCTGAGCTCTTCATAGCTATGAAAGATCGAACAGCCGTCTTTTTGAATCGAATCCATGCTATTTCAGGCTTGTTTGATGAAAATGACACACTGTGACTTTAGCGAGGGGACAGCAATTCTGAAGGAATCTACAATGATGAGAAAAAGCCCAATAGTACATAGAAACAACCTGAAACATTTGTCGTTATTAAGATATACACAGTGATTCATGCTGTAAAATTCTACTTATTGCAGGTCCTCAGATTAGATTTGGACATTAGTATTATATGAGTCCACGCGCAAGATACTTTTCGGGCCAATATTGCAAAGGACGCAGTTTCAGTACGAGGTGTACTGGTCTATAAACTAAGTCTCAACCTCCGATAAGCCTGGTTTGGACAATCAAGTATTCGACCGTTTCATGTCATTCAGTTGCAAGGTGTCCACTTCCCTCTCCAACTCCAATGCTAGATAATAGAAGCCTTTGCACAAAGGAGCCATCGAGTAACGTATTTTCCCTCCCTTGTTTTATCCTTCCTACTTGTCGCTGCCAGTCGGTTATCCTATTCTCCGCGAACCTTTGCGTAATCTCTAGGTCTTTAGAAGAGTCGAACCTCTAGTTACGGAAATGGGGGAGTGGATGGGCTCAAATCAACTAAACACCGATTTTCGCCTCTGCTACCATTCAATATTCCCCTTCTCAATAAGGAACATGGAAAGATAAGTTGAACAAGACTGTTGTACTGAGGTTTCTGCTATATGAGTAAAGGGCTTGATGAAAATCACGTGTAGGGAATAGCTATACGGCGGCCGCTGAAGGGAAAAGACATGTGGTGACAAACTCAAGCGGTGACGAGTGATGTGTCTGAGATAATACATTTAGTTAATATCCTAGCTTCGTAGTACTTGCATCAGTGGCCATAGAACCTCCTGTGGAATCGCCAAGGGCTGGTATGCCCTCTTATACGGACTCGATGCGTTGCACGACAACCGCTGTGGCTGCACCACCCCCGTTGCAGATCGCTGCAACACCGTACTCACCAGGCTTGAGCTGATGAAGTAAAGTCGTCAGGATCCTTGAACCCGAACTACCTAGAGCATGGCCTAGGGAGATGGCACCGCCTAGTGGGTTGACCTTAGCTCCCTGAAGTCCAAGAATCTATGCTCGAGTTAGCTCAGAAATCCGATATAGCTTCAAACTTTGTGGCACCAGTGTCGAGGCCAAAACAGAAAGACTGAAGTGGAACTGAGGCAAATGTACCTTTTCATTGGCCTTGATGACGGCTGCGAAGGCCTCATTGAACTCCCAGATGGCCACCTGGTCCTTCGTTATGCCAGCCCTCTCAAGAGCGATGGGAACCGCCTTGGCCGGCGCAACAGGAAAGTCAATTGGATCCGTTGCAGCATCAGCAGACCCGCATATCCTCGCCAGGACTCTTGAGCCAGATCCGAACTCCTGTGCAATGGCCTTGCTGCCAAGTACCAAGGCACTTGCACCGTCATTGAGTGTCGAGGCATTCGCAGCTGTGACTGTGCCAGTTCCGTCTCTGATGAATGCAGGCTTCAAAGTTGGGATCTTTTCAAGCTTGATGTCCTTGTAACCTTCGTCCGTATCGATAATGGTTTCGCCCTTCCTCCCCTTGACAGTGACCGGCACAATCTCGTCGGCAAATGCGTTGGCATTCCAGGCGGCTTGCGCCCGTTCGTAGGACTGAATGGCATACTGGTCCTGATCCTCCCTGGTGAGCTCGTATTTCTTTGCTGTGTTCTCAGCACAATTTCCCATGTGTATCTGGTCATAGACATCTGTGAGACCGTCCTTGATCAGGCCATCCTCCATCTTAACATGGCCAAAGGCCGGCAGCGAGCTTGCCCGCGGCACGTAGTAGGGCACTTGTGACATGTTTTCCATACCGCCCGCAACCTGTGCCTCTGCAAGGCCGAGCTGGATGTTTTGCGCAGCGAACACAACCGATTTCAGACCCGACGCGCAGACCTTGTTAATGGTGACGGCCTCGACGCTGGGTGGGAGACCCGCGAATACGGCGGCCTGTCTTGCGGGACTCTGGCCAACCGAGGCCTGCAGAACGTTTCCCATGTAAACGTCTGTGATCTTGGAAATTGGCACGCCGGACTTGTCGATGGCAGACTTGATAGCTACCGCACCGAGCTTTGGTGCTGGAACGGTGAGGAAGGCGCCATTGAACTACAATCATTCGTCAATTCGACTCTTTATTTGCAAAATATAGACAGAGAAGACCAGACAGACTTTAGCAGTCGGCGTTCTGGAAGCACTCAGAATATAGGCGTCTCTTATTTCTTGTTGAAGAGCTGTCCTCGCCGAGAAAGCGCGTACGGAAGCGGTTCGGCATGTGACAGCACTGCTCCTGAGAGCCGGTCGGAGGCTGGATAGAGTCATGGTGCCCAGTTGTAGTGCACGGAAGGGTGAGGCAATGCTGGAAAATCACTACAAAACGCGTGGAACGAAAGAGAGAGATATTGAATGTGCACTTGATAATTCAACTCTCGGAAGCTGGGGGAAGCAGGGGAATGAGATCATCCTCGGCATGTGAGCTTCCTGGGGAAAGGGTCCACGGGTATGTACGGGGGACCAACTGCAGTACACCCCTTGAGCCTCCACTAGCCGCCGCCACCATTCCGATGGGCCGTTGGATGCTCAGCATGCTGTAGCTTACATAGCACTGGATTCGTCCTGACCATGTCCACCAGTAGCAATGGCTAGGGCAGCCGCAGATTACTGGCCATGGCGACTGGCGCCAGCTAAGTATGATTGACTTGACTGGGAAAAATAACAAAATCCGAGAAGTTGAGGCTGGATGTTGCTTTGTCATAAGCAGAGGGAAAGCGGAAGCAGCACTGTCGATTGATTGGTGCCCACTGACCGGACGAGCAGGTAGCGAGGTATCTCCCCACCCACTCTAGCTCCCAGGGTTGTGTCTTGTCTCTCTCACCTTGGGACTATCGATATCGATATCGGCAAGCACGGTGGGATCGTCCCAGCTCATCACACCTCTTCCCCAGAGCATTTACCCAACAGCTGAATCACATGAGGACCATCAACGCGAATTGACATAGTATTGAAACCTACAACCTCTCTCTTGCAACCTGTCACCACCCATCACCAGTCTCACGAGTCGCTACCCTTTGCTAGAATGTCGACGGCAGCCAGGCGTCGTTTGATGCGTGACTTCAAGGTTGGTAGCAAATGTCTACCCGCCACCCGCCACCCAGCACAGCATCACGGTCACTGACACCTCCGCCTTCTACAGCGCATGCAAACAGATCCTCCAGCAGGCGTCTCTGCGTCTCCAGTACCTGATAATGTCATGACTTGGAACGCAGTCATTATCGGCCCAGCCGACACCCCCTTTGAGGACGGCACCTTTCGACTCGTCATGCATTTCGAAGAGCAGTACCCCAACAAGCCGCCTTCGGTCAAGTTCATCAGCCAGATGTTCCATCCCAACGTATACGCCACCGGCGAGCTGTGCCTGGATATCCTCCAAAATCGGTGGAGCCCGACGTACGATGTTGCTGCGGTGCTGACAAGCATCCAGAGGTGAGTAGAGACAGGACGACGGCGACAAGCCACAGCTTCCAGTACGGATCGCGACTAACTGCCAGTCTTACAGTCTACTTAACGACCCGAATACTGGATCGCCTGCGAATGTCGAGGCGTCCAACCTTTACAAGGACAACCGCAAAGAATACACCAAGAGGGTCCGCGAGACTGTCGAGAAGAGCTGGGAGGAGTGAAATGTTCGCGAAGAGGGAAGGGCACATGATCAGATGAGATCAGTGACAAAAGCTGGGGGAACCTATGGTCACCATCTTGGCGCAGGCGTTTGAAATGCTGTCACGAGTACTTAGACCTGTTTTCCTTCATCAACAAGGGGAGTTTGGCGTATCCGGGTTCTACAAATTGGCGCTGCCAGGTCTACTTCATACCAGCTCCAGGGGCATTTGAGCAACTGGGCATCTTCGTCCTAGTATTCTTCAGTTCCTCCGTGAGCGGGCTGGATACCTCCGATACAAGGATGCCTGTCGGGGAGGGGGTTATGTGCATCGCGTATTCTTTGATATGTAGTCATCGATTTGAATCATCCAAGTTTCCAAGGAAGAGCTTATTGCTGAGGCCACTGGCGACGACTAGGTTGGCGCTGGTTTGACCATCCACCTAGGTCTCACTCAGCGTGTCTTGCATGGCGACAGGGATGTTGATGTGTTAGGTGACCGTTAAGCCACAAAGTCACCTGCGTGGGTCTGTAAGTTGGAGAACAAGTAGCCAAAGCATGCCGCATACAGTATCTACATCTGTCCAAAGCCGGAAAAGCAACTGTGTCCCGTGGGCCGTACGCAGTTGCTGGCACACCAGCTTGACAACGGGACATGCAGACGCTGTGCTGTAGGTTTGAACAAGCATCTGTAGCATCCCTAAAGACTGGCCTGCGTCCTGGCCCGCGTCCTGGCCCGCGTCCATCTGCACATGCGTCTGCAGCTGCTCGCGTGTGAGTGTCTGTCTATACGCTGTGATTGTGCTTGTGCCTGGCTAGCCGGTAGAGTGACGAGGTATCGGTACGGCAAGGCCTAGCGCATGAACCTCTCAAATTTGGGTACCACTTTGGTAACACCGCCTGCACCACATGCACGCTTAGCGCGTCATTCTGGTGACTCGAACGGCCCTGGACGACCAGTGGAGGGGGAATGGGGGGCTGCTCCTCCAACAAACAACCAAACCCAAGGTTTCCCCAAAGGCCGCCCCTTGTTTTTTTGTTGTTCCCCTGGACTGACACGCACCGTCCCTTGTCTTGATGAGGCTGCTGCTTCCGCTGCTGGACTGTTTGCCTGGCCAGATCATCACAGCCGTTACTGGTTGAAGGGGGCTCGACAAAGCAGCACCCACCGACCTCGCTTTTTCCTCGCCCTCCAAACCTTGCAGAATTCCCCCACTATTATTGCTCGATTGAGGGAGACCTCACCGACTGACTGCTGCGACGGCAGGGCCGCCAACTTGGCCACTTCTACTCTCACTCCCACTCCCACACACCCTCTGCTCCAACCTGCGGGCTTCCGCATACCTTGGTTGATGAGATAGATCATAGCACTCCTGAGCGCACCATCTCAAGCGCCACAATGTCGAGTGGGAACACCATCAAGGTCGTGGCCCGGTTCAGGCCCCAGAACCGGGTCGAGAATGAGTCGGGCGGCCAGCCTATTGTCAAGTTTGAGGGCGATGACAGTCTCACAATCGATGTATGTCCTCCAAGTGCCGTTTGCACATGACGATCACACATATTTCTATCACCAACCTCGATGTTCGTGTGTACGGGATCGCCCAGCAGCTAACCGCCATGCTCTCTAATAGTCCAAGGAAGCCCAAGGCTCCTTCACCTTTGACCGCGTCTTCAACATGCAATGCAAGCAGTCTGATATCTTCGACTACTCGATTCGTCCGACTGTTGACGACCTCCTGAACGGTTACAATGGAACAGTCTTCGCATACGGTCAGACCGGTGCCGGAAAGTCCTACACCATGATGGGGTCGAGCATCGACGACGAGGACGGCCGGGGTGTCATCCCACGTATCGTTGACTGCATCTTCGCGAGCATCATGTCCAGCCCAAGCACGATAGAATACACCGTTCGGGTCAGTTACATGGAGATCTACATGGAGAGAATCCGGGATCTGATGGCGCCTCAAAACGACAACCTACCTGTTCACGAGGAAAAGAACCGCGGCGTCTACGTCAAGGGTCTTCTAGAAATCTATGTTTCGAGCGTGCAGGAAGTTTTTGAGGTCATGCGAAGAGGTGGCAACGCCCGTGCAGTCGCAGCAACCAACATGAACCAGGAATCTTCCCGGTCGCACTCCATCTTTGTCATCACGGTTACGCAGAAGAATGTCGAGACGGGGTCAGCAAAGAGTGGTCAGCTATTCTTGGTCGATCTGGCAGGTAGCGAGAAGGTGGGCAAGACTGGAGCCAGTGGGCAGACGTTGGAAGAAGCCAAGAAGATCAACAAGAGTTTGAGTGCCCTGGGAATGGTCATCAACTCCTTGACGGACGGCAAATCATCACATGTGCCATACCGTGACTCTAAACTCACTCGTATCTTGCAAGAGTCTTTGGGTGGTAACAGTCGGACAACTTTGATCATCAACTGCTCGCCGAGTAGTTACAACGATGCCGAAACTCTCAGCACCCTGCGCTTTGGTATGCGGGCCAAGTCGATCAAGAACAAGGCCAAGGTCAATGCTGAGTTGAGTCCTGTGGAACTGAAGCAACTACTTGGAAAGGCCAAGACGCAGATCACGACGTTTGAGAATTACATTGTAAGCTTGGAAGGCGAGGTTCAACAATGGCGAGCAGGGGAGCAGGTCCCGAAGGATAAATGGGTACCCTCGTTGTCTGCGGATGGTACGACCAAATCACTGCCGGCCAGGCCGTCCACTCCTTCTAGACTCATTTCAGAGTCTCGTGCGGAGACGCCCGTCGCATCCGAACGGGCCGGAACACCTTCCATACCCATGGACAAGGACGAGCGCGAGGAGTTCTTACGCCGGGAGAATGAGCTCCAGGATCAGCTTTCTGAGAAGGAAACGCTAGCTGTCACGGCCGAGAAGGCACTGCGCGAGGCTAAGGAGGAGCTAGGCCTTCTCAAGGACCATGACAGCAAGGTCAGCAAGGACAACGATAAGCTGAACAGCGAAGTGAATGAAGTCAAGATGCAGCTGGAGAGGCTCAGTTTCGAGGGCAAGGAGGCTCAGATCACCATGGATGCTCTCAAGGAAGCCAACACTGAGCTCACAGCCGAGCTTGACGAAGTGAAACAGCAGCTTATGGACGCGAAGATGGGCGCAAAGGAGAGCGGAGCCGTTCTTGACGAGAAGGAGAAGAAGAAAGCGGAGAAGATGGCCCAGATGATGGCTGGTTTCGATCTTGGCAGCGACATTTTCAGTGACAACGAACAGTCCATTGCCGAGGCCATCAAGCAGCTCGACAAGTTCGAAGAGATTAGTTCGGGAGGCGATACAATCCCGACAGAGGATCTCAAGGCTCTTCGAGAGAAGCTTGTTGCGACGCAAGGCATCGTGCGGCAGGCCGAGTTGTCCCTCTACAGCTCGTCACCAAGCAGCTCTGATGCCAAGCGCCGTGCTGAACTTGAGGCCCGCCTCGACAGTCTTCAACAAGAATATGAAGATCTGCTGGCGCGTAACCTCGGCGAAGGTGATGCCGAGGAGATCAAGGCTCGGCTTGAGCAGGCTTACGCTTCCAAGCAGGGTACCCAGATGGAGCTTGTGGACGAGCTCAAGGCCGATATCACCAAGACGGCCTCCGAAAATGAGCGCCTAAGGGTTCTCATTGAGGATCTCCAGCGCCAAGTCAAGGCCGGCACCGCGGCGCCGATGGACAACGGCAAGACTGTCGCGCAGCAGATGGCAGAGTTCGACGTTATGAAGAAGTCGCTGATGCGCGACCTTCAGAACAGGTGCGAGCGCGTCGTCGAGCTCGAGATCTCCTTGGACGAGACACGGGAGCAGTATAACAACGTCTTGCGATCGTCCAATAACCGCGCTCAGCAGAAGAAGATGGCGTTCTTGGAGCGCAACCTGGAGCAGCTGACACAGGTGCAGCGGCAGCTCGTGGAGCAGAATTCAAGCCTGAAGAAGGAGGTCGCTATTGCAGAGAGGAAACTCATTGCGAGGAACGAGCGCATCCAGAGTCTGGAGAGCCTCCTCCAAGATAGCCAGGAGAAGATGGCACAGGCGAACCACAAGTATGTATTGAACAACCGTTTCTCTCGAATCACCTTGCTAATTGTTGTATCATTAGGTTTGAGGTCCAACTTGCCTCCGTCAAGGAGCGTCTGGAGGCCGCCAAGGCGGGCAGCACCCGCGGCCTGAACTCGCCTACCGGCGCCGGAGGATTCAGCTTCGCCGGCGCGGGCAGCAGAATCGCCAAGCCACTGCGTGGCGGCGGCGGAGATGCCCCCTCCAATCCAACCATCCAGAACCTCCAGGACAATGCCAACAAGCGATCGAGCTGGTTCTTCCAGAAGGGCTAAGGCATTTCGCGGGGAATTTGTCGTTGCTGGCGCAAGAACGAAGAATTAGAAGAAACGACATCAATGAAGAGCCTGGGCGAGATACAGGTATCTCCCCCAGCCTACGAGTCAGCCAGAAGGATACAAAGAACTATACCCCTCTCCAGATGTTTGTTGCCTTTTCCCTTTGTCCAGTATAACACCACACAAGTCAGCCATTCATAGAGGAAGAAGATCGAACCAGGAGTTTTGCCATGTTGGGAATCGAAGTGGCTCGCTTGGACTATCCCGGTCACTACAGGGCAAGGCTCGCGCTTGGGAGGCTTTTTGTTCTGGTCTGTCCGCTTTGGACAAGGCGATGAGAGGAGGAATTTCAGGGCAATATAGGTGATGTGTCGACGAGAAACACGGCCACTTTTGTCGTTGGCCTTGGTTCTGCATCGCGAGGAGCGAAATCCATCCTTTAGCGTCTATTATGTATTGCACGTGCTCATGTGTAGCCATGACAAGTCGGAACGCAAAGATTATGATACACGACATTGGCCAACAGTGCAAGACTTCCCAGGTTATCAGTGTGATGATCAAAATTGATTTGTTTTTGAGATGTCCTCAGATCCAAGCATTCCATTGAAACAGGACTAGAAGAGTGTGTGGTGTGCGAGAAGTTAGTGCCTGGAATTAATGACATGGCCGCCAAAACTCCCCAATCACGCCGTTAACAAAACATGCATCGCTTCCGCACATAGTTAAATTCAGTGTAATGACCGAACCTTTGGTTGGTGACCAAAGCCAGAGCCTCGCAAGACCATCTGTGGCTGTGATACCAAGTTCCCCCGCTGCCCCTCAACCGCCTCATTGGAAAACCTACTCTCTAGTTGGAGTCAACAGGCTTGCTCGCCTTAATCATCATCATAAATTCCGGCACGACGATTGCGATCACCACCATGTAGACGCAGAAGGTCACGAGGAGGACCTTGCCAATGAGCTTGTACAGACGGATCCAGCTCTGGCGCGAGAAGGTCATCCAGGCATCCTTGAAGTTGACGTAGCCCTTGCCGCCGACGACCGGGGGCTCGACCTTGCCAGCGAAGGACCTGTCGAAGGCGAGGATCGGGTTCTCGTCCGGCGGCAGCAGGCTGGCCTGCACGCGGACCAAGACGACCTGAGCGGGGATGACGAGGAACACCATGGCCGCCACGACGATGATGACGATGAGGAGGGACTTCCAGACGGCGTCGCCCTGGTACTCGGGCACCTGGGTGGGGTTGCGAACGTCCCAGCGGGCCAGGCCCAGGACGATTGACAGGCCGAAGGGCAGGTAGGCGACGAGCTGGGTGGCGGCCCAGTAGGCGATGATGGGGACGACGGTGGCCTCGAAGGTCTTGCCGAAGGGCGGCAGGCGCTGGTAGAAGCGCTGGGAGGAGGGCGCGGAGATGACGATGTGGGTCCAAGCGGTGGAGAGCTGGACGGTCACGAGGGTGGCCAGCAGGACGCCGACGGAGCGAGGCACGAAGGGGATGCCGGAGAAGATGAGCCCGCAGGTGCCCGAGGCGAGGGACAGGACGAAGGCGCAGGGGAGGCCGCGGAAATTGGCGGTCCAGCCGGCGGTGGTGAGCAGGAGGCGGTTGATGCGGCGGAGCGACTCGGTGACGAGGACGGGCTCCTGGTCCACCTTGATGGGCCGGTCGTTGAGCGGCGCGCTGTCCTCGGCGACGGAGTCGGTGTCGTCGTTCAGGTCGACGGGCTCGTACGGCGGTGGCTCGGGGTCCTCGATCATGGCGAGGGTCGGGTAGATGTGAGACAGGGTGTAGCCGATGTAGAGGAAGACGGGGAAGAAGACCAGGAAGTCGGCGAAGAAGACGAGCCATGCCCAGCCGGGCAGCTCGTTCATGTTTCCTTTGCCATCGCCAATGTAGGCCTCGCGCATCTCCAGCGCCCTCTTCATGACCGGGCCACCGTACGTGGCAACCTGGCTCATCATTTTGATGGCGTTTCTGCTTGCGAGACGGGCAGAAACAAAGTCGATGTGAAATTGGAAAACAAATCCAATGACAACAGTGTGAGTGAGAGGAAGAAATGCGAGATACACAAGAAGCAGTGCAGGGCAGGGGCGATTCCTTTATTGCAGTGGTTTGGCGGAGAGGGATTCCGAGCAGACCGGTCGACAGGCAGGGGTCAGCGTCAGGCAGCTGTGGTGATTTACATGATGTACAGCCCCACCACGCCGCGAGGTTGCAGGATCCCCGGGGCCCCCTGGCCAATGGGTGGGCTGCCCCAGTCGCCCCCGTACCGCAGCGATCATGCCTTCTCCCTGCTTGGCTTCTTCCTTCGCCTCTCGGTAACTGGATGTGGTGGAATGTGGTGGATGGGATTTGGAACTACGATGAGGTGAGCTACGCAGCCTACAGCCACCCGTTCCTTGACACGACACGTTGAATCTTGGTCGGGAGTCGGGGGAACTGTGGCTCGCGGTCGAACGCTGATTGCGTTAGCAACATGATATAATCTTACTACAGGCCCGAGATTACTCGGCTGTGGTGGATTGTGCTGGGCCTGAAATTGGGATCTGAAATCCTACATCCATAATGGCAGACACGTTTTGACAGCAACATCGGATCATATGGGCACTGACAGCGAAGGCCAAGAAACACAGACGTGCTACTAATGGTGCCTAGCCAGATAGTCTACGTCGCAGTATCGAGTCTAGTCTGCATGATGGGCGACGCGGCTCAAGCTGTCAGGCTGTCAGGCTGTCAGGCTGGCAGTCTGTTCGCTGTGGCTGTCGAGGCATCCGAGCCCACCGCAGCGGGGCCGAAATAAGGCTGCAGGGATCGCGTGCTGTACCTGAGCAAAATCCCCAATCTACTGCGTACACATCTCATACCACCGAATAGAATATGGACCCATGTAAGCTCGCTGCGTCGATTTCTACCGTGTGGGAGTAGTACTCTATATAAAGGACTGCTGTCGTCTTTCTCCGCTAGCGCATGGTCCAGTCTTAAACGGCTTGCCGAGACACGGCCGTGAAACTCACTACACCGAGACAGAATGTCACATTTACCCGTAGCTTGTGTAGGATGGACAAGGACATTGACTCTTCCACTAAACTTGCTCTGATTGATATTATAGCCTGTAACGATATTGACGTAGACTGTACCGAGTGTCATTCCTCAACACCTCATGTGAACCCATATTCAAGATCACCACCGAAAACGCCATGCTACCATTGATGCCCATCCCTCGAAGCATGCTTTGCATCCGTTCCCAAGACCGAAACTCCAGAATGACTGTTAAGAAAACCCTTTAGAAAAGCTTCAAGCCTGACACCTTGCTCATCCTGGTCCCGTTCAGCATGGCACGCGACTTCTTCGGCCTCGCCTGCAGCCGTCTGAATGCCTCCTGGATGTGCCTCGCCTCGACCGGCGTCCTGCCCTCGCTCGGCGGGTCGAACAGGCCCTGGTGCAGCTTCCTCTTCTTGGTCCCGCTGGCGTTCTCGCCTCCTGTCCTCTCCCTCCACAGGTCCTCCTGCTCCTTGATCCTGAGCGCTTCCTCCGTCAGCGTCTGTACCATCTCGAAGGTCAGGAAACCGAGGATGTCCACTATGTCGTCCGACGGCTTGCTGTCCGTCACGATGCCGAATCCAGCCCACTCCCTGAACCGCTTGCCCTTGCGGTACGTGAACGAGGCCTGGCGATACTCGGACCACGTCACGTACTCCTCCTTGGTCATGGCCTTGGTGCGCTCGTCGGCCTTGCGCAGCCGCTGCAGCGTGATGTAGTTCATTTCCTCTTCCTCCTCGTCCTCCTCGTCCTCCCTCTCGGGGACCTCCTGGCTGTAGAAGCTGCTCGGCTCCCACGGCAGCCCCACCTTGGCCTTCTTGTTCTTCTTGGCCGCTTCGTCCACGGGGCCCGCGCCGGGCATCACGCCTGCGCCCATCGCCGGGTCCTCAGCGGCGCCAATGTCGGCCTCTCCGCCCTTGTCCTCTGAGTCCTTGACATTCTTGCGCACGTCCTTCCACGACAGGAACGTCCGCAGCCGCGACACCTTGGGCGCGTCGTCGCGGATCTGGAAGATCAGGTCGTTGATAGTGATTGACCTTGATCCGCGGCGAGCGGCTAGCTCCGTGCAGGCGCGCAGGATCTCAATGACCTGCTGACGGACAATCTCCTCGATTATGCCCATAGTCTCAATCGAGGGCTCACCCGTCTCGCCCGAGACGTACATCATCTGTTGGATCTCCTGGCGGTATTTGTATTGTTTGCCATCTTTGTCGGCCATGTTGAATATATGGATGATTATTTGTGATTTTATGAGAGCTGAGTGATAATGATATGGCTGTTTGGTACAGTTCAAGTTGTCGCGATTGAATGTAGATGGGTAAGTCGAAACATCCATCGGCTCCAAGGAGTTGGGGCACCTTGGATGCGCAGCGGACGCACGGACCTTGACCGTAATCGCTAAGGTAGCGACTTGGCTTTAAGCAGTGCTCGTGTAAGCTAAAATCCCCTGGTGCACTTCAGGAGGTGCGTCTCAGTTAACCACCAGTTATATGGACTGTGATCAGGCAATTGTAGCTGTCAAAAATTGTTATTTGTTTACGCGCTCATCTCAGGGCTTCCATCACATTCCCTCCATCGAAATGCGGACCTTTCCACCCCCAGGCGACGATGTAGTGGCCAGCCAACAACTGCCACTCCTCCACCTCATCCAGACCCTCCAGCCCGTCCACTCTCTCCTTCTCTTCCTCTGATACCCACTGGCCCCAGATGCTATCCACAGTCTTTTGCCTGACTTCCTTGAAACCCGCATCTCTGAGTCGCTGCTCCTGATCCCGAGGCTGTTTATACACCTCCAAGGTAGGCATCCTTATCCTCCTCGCCGCCAGGTTCGAAGCCATCTGCCGGCCGAACGCATCGTCTGGCTTCACAGGCTCGTAGATGACCAGGCCTAGGTCAGGGATCCTATGGGTGAAGCGCTTGATCACACTCCTGGCTTCGGCTGTTTCAAGGTAGCAGAGACAGCACTCTGATATCAGCAACGTTGGCACATCGGTCCGCAAGCCTTTGAGCTTGCTGAGAAGAGGATCGTCCTCGCCGTCATCCCCGGCGAGGTCTCGCAGATCCAATCCATGACACCAGTACTGGTTTCCTTCACCCTCAGGGGTACTTCGCCAAGATGCAGACGCTGCCCCGTCGTCAGTTGGCACCGGTCCTGGCAAGACACTCCTCAGCGCCGGAGTCGCCTGGACTATCATCCGCTTGCGTGAGCTGATGGAAGGAAAGTCGACTTCATGGTAGATCAGTCCGCGCCGACGTCTTTGCGAGGAGAACAGGCGAAAGCAGCGCGTGTCCGTGCCGGCGCCCAAAGAGACGATCTGTCGAAACTGCAGCGGCTCGTTTGCGCCAAAGTCAGGCCCGAGAAAGGCGTTGATGAGTCGGTCCAAGGCAGTCGTTCTGGTGTATGTGCCTCTGTTGATAATGGGTAGTCTCCGGCTTGGTTGCTGGCCCTGGACAAAAAATTGCGCGAATTGGTCATCCAAGTATCCCAGTTCCACAGCGCTCAGGCGCATCACAGCTGCGTCGGTGTCGGTCCCCTGGATGGTGGCATCCTGCTGGGCCTGGCCGGAAGCTCCTGCACCCTGATGGCCGCCCCGGCCTCGGTTTCGACCTCGTAGTCCACGACTTGAGCCTCGTAGTGAAAGTAGATTCGGGATAGAAGGCGCTTGCATATTCGGTGGTTGAGACATGGGGAATGTCTGATCCCGAGAAGTGTATCTCAGGCACGTCCGGGTTCTGAAGCCTCGACTCCCTGACGGAAGTGGGAGAAGTGAACCTAGCTAGGTACCTGGATAGTTACATTTCATACCCGTTACGATGTAACACCCCACCAGGAGAGCTGGAGCTCCCTGGAGCTGTGCTTGTAGAACTGTAGCACTTAGGCACCTATGTAAGCCAGGCGCAACCCCGCATGAAAGCGACAGCCCCGCCACGACGGGAAGGCAGCCTTTAAACAACGTCCACCCTTCAACTTCATGCCAGCAGCCGATAGGGACATTTTGGATACAGCGTGCAGTCCTGCACATCACCTCTCTCTCCCTTCAAATTCTTCATACCAGAGAAACAGTACTTCTTTTTGAGTAGAACAGCCGGCTTCGCTTTCCTTTCAACGTTCATATAGCTCCTGTCACGATGGCTCCAACAACGTCATCCCTTGTGGTCAGCCAACCATTCCCTCTGACTGAGAGGTCCCCTTGCAGGATCTAATCATCATCGTATAGACCAAAATCAAAGTCCAGCTGAAGCTGTCCATAGCACGCCTGCGCATGGTCCAAAAGCGCGACGAAGCCGTGACCAAGACCCAAAGAAGGGACATGGCGAAGCTCCTCGAAGTCGGCAAGATTGACTCTGCTCAGATCCGCGTTGAGAACATCATCCGAAGCGATATCACCACCGAGCTACACGAGATACTCGAACTCTACTGCGAGCTGTTGCTCGCACGCGCTGGACTGTTGGATGGGCCGACTTGCGACCCAGGCCTAGAGGAGGCGATCAAGAGCGTCCTTTACGCGGCACCAAAGACAGAGATCAAGGAGCTACACACCGTGCGATCACTCCTTGCTGAAAAGTACGGGAAGCAATTTGTGCTAGACGCCATGGAGAACAAGGACGGCAAAGTCAATGAGAAGGTGGTTAAGAAGCTGAGCGTGACGCCGCCAAGACCGGAGCTCGTTCAAGGTTATCTAGAGGAGATTGCCAAGGCATATGGCGTTAATTGGCCCAAGAAGGATCTGGGAGAGGCACCACCGAACTTTCTCGACGATGACGATGACGATCCAAGCGGTGGAGGCCAGCAGAAAAACTTGGAGGCACCGCTGATTGCAGAGGACGCATCTTCCGAAAACGCTGCGCAGGAGGAGCTGAGTAAAGCGACACCACCGAAAAGTTTTGGTCCGAACAGTCCCTTGAGGGTAGCACCCTCAAGCCCATCGACGGAGAATCCACGGCCGAAGGTGACACTGAACAAGCTAGAGCTCACGCCAAACAAGAAGATGGAGGCTGCGAAGGCCGTTCCAAAACCAGCAGCAAAGAAGGAGGACCTGAGTAGCGGGATACCAGACGTGGACGAGTTGTCGAAGAGGTTTGCGGCTCTAAAGAGGTAGTGGTTGGATGGCCCTAGGTTGATGTTCGTCTATCGTGGAAGTAAGAGCGCATAATTGTCGGCGTCTTAGGATGACAAGTCTTTATGCTGTCAGGTCATGGGAGCTTCTCCCTGGTTATTACGGGAACCCCCTGGAACATAGCTCAGACTTCGTGCTCTTGCGATATGGGCGTGCCTGTGCCAGAGCGACAGGGACTGGAATTTGAAGTATCGGCGAGCGTATATGCAGGTAGGACTGCCCACAAAGGCGTGTCCCGAAGCTTCCTCAGGGGAGCCAATTTTTGAAGGCTCTGGCACAATTGGTGAACTGGTAACTGGTAGCTGATGATTGTCAGATGGCGACGCTTGAAGCTCCATATGTTTTCTAGCCTTCTTGGTGGTTTTGTAAGCCCTGAAAAGCTGGAGGCTTGCTGCGCGAGGAAAATCTGTGAGCAGTTGGCCTTCACAAACAATATCTTTGCCTAGGCCTAGGTCTCGTCCCTCCGCCCGCACCTTCCCAACTCCTTTTCCTCACCTGCCACCCGCGTCACTACTTAGGTAGCTTTCTCCCAGTACTTGTGTACTTGCAGGTGCATCTGATCAAAGATCTATATCACCCCAGCTTTGTTTTGTTTTGATCCATTCTAATTGTGAGCGTTCGGCCTGGCGCGCATTGGATACACGTCAAAACTCACCGCCAAATTCACATACTCTTGAACCTCGATCTTTACCCCCTACCTGTCTATTTTTGACCACAAGAAGCACAGCACAATGCAGCAAGCCGAAATGGAGCAGGAAGGCTCAAACGGCTTGAGACCAGATGCCCTTCGTGGCATCAGTCTCCAAGAACTGGACAAACGCAGCCAGGGCCATAAAGACTTGGTCAACATTTATCTCGGCTGGCTGCAGGAACACTTGAACGATTGGGACTTGTCAGATTCCGCCGTGTTCCGACCGCAAATTAAGTCGTGGTATGCTTCGCTTCGCTTCCATGGTTACGATGACCAGCACATTCGTAATGCGTTCTCTGCCTGGATGTCAAACCAAATTCAAAGCGATGCCAGCAGCGCAAGAAGATTGCTGGTAGCTCAGGAAGAATTACTTGGAAATTTGGGAATCAACCAGGAAACGGAAACAACAAGAGATCTTGGGACGGGTCAGGGAACGGCCGGTGTGATCACGAAAAGGGAGAAGAAGATCATCGACGTCTCGTCTGGTGAAGATGACAGCGATGTGGAGTTTTTGGGGTGGAAGCGGCCGGACAACATGCGCAACACTTCCAAGAACGCAAGACAAACCGCTCCTCCGCTCACCGGAGCCAACAAAGAGGATCAGCGTCTGCAAGGGACCGAGAATCGTGGACCTAACGACCGATTGAAAGAGAGCAGGACGCGAAAGATAACGGCCAGTCATAATCCCAGCGGAACACCCCCCAAGAATTATGTATGTGATCGATGCGGTGAAAAAGGTAAGGCTAATGTTCCTCTCCGTTTGTGGCCTTTGTATATTGATCAAGTGAGTCGAACAGGCCATTTCAAGGAGAATTGTCCCACGAACCTCGATCCGAGCTATGATCAGAAACCAGTCGGTGGTTACCAGTGCTATTGCTGCGGTGCGAGAGAAAAGCATTTGACAACTCTCTGTCCCTACAATGAGAATCCAAACTCAGTGACACAGCAGCGAATTAGAGCTGGCGTCGCGCTCAGCGAGCCATCCTCACCACCACACGGAGCTGACCATTACCGCCCAGCAAACAGTCAGTCGCGCAAGGCAAAGAACAAATCATCTAGAAGCATGGATGGCCCGTCCACCTATGAGAGCCAACGTGTCCCGAAGTATCTCGTCGATGCCGATGATCATCGCATGGATCCGGCACGTCGCGCCCTAATGGAACGTGGCGATCGTGTTCGCTCGCCCTCTCGGCCCGATGATCGACTAGAAAGCCACGGGGGAAACCACTACTCACCACCTCGAGAGAAGCGTGGAAGAAAGCCCAGCATGGAAGTTCCAGAGCGCAGGCGACAGACCAAGCGATCTCGACGTTGGCGCGAAAGGCATCGCAGTAGCTCTCGATCCAGTCGGAGCGAGCGTGGAGGTTCTGCTGAGCTACTGCCACGCGGCCGGACTCAGAATAGTGACGATGGCCGTCTTTCCTACTGGGACGACGGCTACAACGATGCCAAAATATCGAGCTCGCTTTCCTCAAAGAGAAGCAGGCATACAGTGACTTCCGCACATGAGGCTTCAGAGAGTCTAGAGGCTGATATACAGCGGTTGTTTCCGTCAGCTGATGCTGCTTGGGTCTCTGATATGGCAGGCTTTGACGTGGATGATTTTCTCCGCGAATTGGGCGATTGCATGATTCCCACATCCACAATTCAAAACGAGGAACATGCACAAGTGAAAATGGGTATCTTTGATGAGGAAGATGGAGGTCAGGCTTTGCCTACGGTCAGATTGCCTCAGGTGCAAGAGTCTCGTTCGGATACGAAGATGTCCGTTGATGAGGACTAGTATCGATCGACGCTCGGTGATAAATCTTGCGGGGATGACAATGAGGTGGGCGGCCGGTACGGTGATAGCGACTTTCATAAGGGTGAGAATGGAAGCTCTTCTCGTATTGACGTTAGCGAGATCGTCGTCAAGTTGCCAGAAGGGGCTCGCACAGCACTGTCCATGGACAAATTCAGCTCGCAATTGAAGTTCAACTCGACTCGCACAGATGATCTGAACCCACCCGACATGGATGCGCAGATCAGGGAGGGCGAGAGCGACAAGTTCCCGGAAGGCACCTCGCCCAATACTGGTGATGTTGTTGGCGAAGAAGGGAATTTGCTGCTGGACGGGTAAATACCGGCTGAGATTCTGTCCGAGTCTGGGTCTCCCATCTCAGCACTAATCGGCCTCAGAGTCGAATATATAGTCAGCGTGCTCGCGCCTCGGCGGTTTTGGAAGACCCCGGGACAGAATGACCTTGTTTGTCAGCCAATGTCTTTCCATGCTTCCGGAAAGTTGAGAGGAGATTCGACTATCGGGGCCTGAGGATTTGAGCAAGAGGAAAAGAAGCGGCCAGAGATATGCCGTGAGTTCTTAAAACAGATTAAGGGCGCGGAGAAGTCACCGGGTGGACCTCGCAGAACAACTGTGGTGTCATCGGCTGTGTCCAGGAACCAGGCGCGAACAAGGTCCGGGTTGCCCGGCACTCGACCATCGGCAGTCGACCAAGCATAAGTCGCCTCGACATGAGGCTTCCGGATATCTGACCCAGAAGAGGGAAACTTAAATTGCGAGGGCGCAATATTTGCACTTGAAGTTGGCACGCGCAAATCAGCGCCATCTGTTGAAGGCACTTTTTATCAACAGGGGTTGCGGCCAATATCAATGAATCTCGCTATTGTAGAACAGATACAGAGAAATAAAAAGGAGTCTTCTAGTTCTGACTCCGGACTGATCCATAGGTGGCTAGAAGTGCCGTGCCTTCCCAGTAACTCCATACGCCTCGCCCAAAGCCAGAGAGTATTTAAGTCGGCCCATTACTGCCATTCTCTGCTTCTGTTCTGATGCCTTTCCACGCACTCCTTCGGCCTTTCAATTGAATTGGTTCAACAAAACATCGCAGCTACTCGAGCTTGTCCAAGTGCTCCAGCCTCGTCAACACGACCTGCTTGCTCGTCTCCTCGATCTCGCCTGCCAGGAAGACCTCGTCGAGGATGGCGTAGACCTTGTAGAAGTTGAAGACCAAGTCAAGCTCGCAGACGTTGCCGAAGAAGGCGTCGAGGACCTCGACGAAGAAATGGATGGCTTCGAGGAACGCGAGCTCGTTGTCGTTGGTGTCGACGCAGGCGCAGAAGAAGAGGCCGGCGTAGCGCCGGTAGACGATCTTGTTGTTGCGGAACTCGACAAAGTTGGACTGGTACTTTTGGTCGCGAGGTGCTACAAGACGGTGGACCTGGTGGGAGGTATCAGAGTCGAAGAGTGCGCGCAGTCAGGGGGTGTAGGGAAGGGATGGAGAGGGTGCTTACCTCGCCCTTAAGCTTGATCTTCTCATCGTCGCTGTATGGCGCGTACCACTTGGCCAGCCGGGTCTTGCCCCTGAATCCCGCTGGTCAGCCATCATGCACCTCGAGTCCGACTACGGGCAGGGCGGCGACTCACTGGCGGTTTTGTATGAGTATGAATGACAACATCTCGGGCGGTTCGGCGCAGCTCAAGATGATGTTGCGACGTTGAAGCTTCGGGGTTTGGGCGATGCGGCTCCGTGTCGGGACATTCTAGCGTGGGTACCACTCAACGGCCAGCGGCCCCTGAGCTTGGCAGAGACCGAGGCAGCCCTTGGGGCCCGGGGCGAATTGCGTCGACCGAACCTCGCTATGCGGGTACCTGCCCATGCACACCGGCCATACATGTAGATCTTATACTTTTGAGTTTCTGGGGCTGCAGGACAGTCCCTTCTTCTGTTGCACGCTTTGAAGGTGTTCTGACAATCCAGGTTTCTACATATGTATGCTGCCATTCAGCTCACCACTATCTCGCGTATGCAGTGCATGTTACTGTGCACCGTGGGATGTTTCCGTGCGACCCGTGGGCTGTGGAGTAGTGCTGATTGATCGGTGGAAATCGATGTTCAATTTGGGAGGCTCCTGAATCGCGAATTCGACGGTGACGCGCATTGCAAGCCTTACCCTGCGCATCCCTGCGCGGTCTGCTGTGCTGACCCAGGGCCTGGGTACTTGGGTACCTGGGGGGTATGTCGCTCTGCCACTCAGGCGGCCTGGAATGGTAGGTAGTCTACATAGCGCCCGGCCATCCAGGTTCCCAGCCCCTGCATGCAGTGACTGGCTGCATCTGCTGCCATGCAGCGGACTCCAACATTGCGCTCATTTGAAATCCCCGAGCTGACAACACTGTCTTTTTTTCCTGTCCTCGAGGCTCACCAGAGTTTGGAGTTCGGTTTCTGTCGGACCTTTGCGCAGTATTTGTTCTCTCTCATCAGGTGCAGGAGAGCCATGGAAGAACGAGGATCCAACTACTAGACTGTCCGCAGCTCCACGAGTCACCCACTCCCTCTCCCGCTCCCTCTCTGGCTTACACCACGACTCCAAGCTCCCAAGCTCCCAGGCTCGGCTTACAACTTCGACACCGTCCGCAGCCCACACGACGGGTGTAGCTGAGCTACACACGACAGAGCGCACCATGGCGCGCTTTCCCAGGTTCAGGTTTCTGGCCTTGGCCGTCATCTTCCACCTGATATACATATACTCCATATTTGACATCTATTTTGTCAGCCCCGTCGTTTCCGGCATGCGCTTGTTCGAGGTCGAGCGCCCAGTCCCCAGCAAGGCGCCCGCGGATAGATTGGTCCTCTTTGTTGGTAAGCTTCTCGTCCTTCCCTTCCAAAGACTTCTTAATGACGTTCAATCGCGACTGACCCTGTCTCTTAACCAGGTGACGGTCTGCGTGCCGACAAAGCCTTGCAGTCGCATCCCGAGCCCTACCCCGAGTCCGACGCAGACCTTGAGCCGCGGCCCTTGGCGCCCTTCTTGAGATCGCGCATCCTGGAGCATGGAACCTTCGGTGTCTCCCACACGCGCGTGCCCACCGAGTCGAGACCTGGACACGTGGCGCTCATTGCCGGCTTGTACGAGGATGTCTCTGCTGTGACCACAGGTTGGAAGTTGAACCCGGTCGACTTTGATAGTGTCTTCAATCGCAGTCAACACACCTGGAGCTGGGGCAGCCCGGATATTCTGCCCATGTTCGAGCATGGTGCCGTCCCGGGGCGGGTCGATGCGTACACGTACGGGGCCGAGGCCGAGGATTTCTCTCAGGACGCAGTCCACCTGGACCTGTGGGTTTTTGACCGCGTCAAGGAATTGTTTGAAGAGGCAGCCCAGAACAAGACACTAAGGGCAGCTCTGAAGGAAGACAAAATCGTCTTCTTTCTACACCTGCTCGGGCTGGACACCACGGGTCACTCCCACCGACCATATTCGAAGGAGTACCTGCACAACATTAAGGTCGTTGACCAGGGAGTCAAGGAAATTACAGAGGTGATTGATAGGTTTTACAACGACGACAGGACTGCATATGTGTTCACTGCGGATCACGGTATGAGTGACTGGGGCAGTCATGGAGACGGTCATCCGGATAATACACGGACCCCCCTGATCGCATGGGGCTCAGGAGTTGCAAAGCCAGAGATTCACCCTGGAACCATTGCGCCAGGCCATGATGATTACTCCTCCGATTGGGGCCTCGATGAGGTTAGAAGGCACGACGTTTCCCAGGCGGACGTTGCTGCGCTGATGGCATATCTCTCCGGTGTCGCGTATCCTGCGAACTCGGTCGGAGAGCTACCCCTGCCATATCTTGCCGCAGACATCAGTGAGAAGGCTGAGTCACTCCTGGTCAACGCGCAGGGCATCCTCGAGATGTACAGGGTCAAGGAGGAAAGTAAGAAAGCGTCCGAGCTAAGGTATCAGCCTTACCGGCCCCTGAGCGAGCTTGAACACACCTCCGAGGAACGCGTTGCTGCGATCCGCAATCTCATCAAAGACGGAAAATACGAGGAAGCCATTGAGGAAACAGAGACCCTGATCCAGCTTGGGCTTCAGGGTCTGAGATATCTCCAGACTTACGATTGGCTCTTCTTGCGAGCCCTCATCACCATTGGTTACATTGGATGGATGGTGTACGCTCTTGCCACTGTTGTCAACCTACACGTCCTACAAGGAACAGTCGAGCCGTCGAGAGATTCAATATCGACGGCAGTCTCCTCCGCGGTATATGTGCTGATGGCTGCGTCTTTTATCGCTTCCAAGTCGCCGGTCACCTACTACGCGTATGCCTTCTTCCCAGTTTTCTTCTGGGAAGAGGCATATGCCCGCCGCGAAAGTCTCATTCGAGGAGCCAAGATTGTCTTTGGCAACACACGTCCAGTCTCTCTCTTGTTCGGCAGTGCGGCTTATGTGGGAATCATCATCTCATTGGCTGTGGGCTACATACACCGCGAGGTCTTGACCGTGCTGTTCGTCGTGGCAGCTTTCTGGCCCCTTGCCTCGGGTGTCTCGTTTGTGAGGAGTCGTCTCCCTCTTTCGCTGATCTGGGCCGCGTCGTGCCTGTCCATGGGCAGCTTCACACTCCTGCCTCCTGCCATGAAAGAGGAAAATCTCAACACCATTGTACTAGGCGGAGCGCTCATGGTTGCAATCGGTATACTATACCTTGTATTCGAAGAGAAGATCCTGTCCGACTTCACAACAACAGTGTCGAAAACAAAGTCAGCCAGGAAAGAAATATCGCGGACTCTTGTTGGTATCCAAGTGGGCTTGGTTGCCCTAGCTGTCGTTGTCACCCGATCGAGCGTGGTCTCTCTGCAGGCAAAGCAAGGACTGCCTCGTGGTAACCAGGTTGTCGGATGGCTTGTTTTAAGTAAGTCACGCGAACATAGGCTGATTCTTAACTGCCAAAACTAACCTCGCATTTCCCCCACAGTCATCTCGCTCCTCATGCCTTTGGCATATCGATTAGAGTCCAACAACAATTACTTGCACCGGCTTGTCGTCATTTTCCTCACCTGCGCCCCGACTTTTGTCATCTTCACCATCTCCTACGAGGGGCTGTTTTATGTCTCGTTCTGGGTCACACTTGTGGCCTGGGTGAGGTTGGAGTATGAAGTTTACACCAATTCGACTTCCCAGGTCGACGTGGTCGTCGAAAGCAAATCGGGCGATGAATCGACGGAGACAAAGCAGGTCCCCGATAGACTACCTAATCCCTACCGTCCACTGTCACTGGCTGACGCCCGCGTGGCCTTATTCTTCTTCGTCTTCCTGCAATCCGCCTTCTTCTCCACCGGTAATGTCGCCTCGGTATCCTCGTTCAGCCTCGAGAGTGTTTGTCGGCTCATCCCAATCTTCGATCCTTTTTCACAAGGTGTACTGCTGATCCTGAAACTCATGATACCCTTTGCGTTGGTGTCGGCCAACCTCGGCATACTGAACAAGAGGATAGGAGTGGCGCCCTCGGCACTGTTCATGGTGGTGATGGCCATCAGCGATATCTTGACCCTGTACTTCTTCTGGGTTGTCAAGGACGAGGGCTCATGGTTGGAAATTGGAAGCACGATATCCCATTTCGTCATTGCGAGTCTGCTGAGCGTGTTTGTAGCGGCATTGGAGGGCGTATCGGCTTGGTTCATCAGCGGTGTTGAGATGGACGTCCTCGGAGTATCGGGGAACAAAGCCATGAATGGGACATTGGTGAATAAAACCAAGGCCAATGGGACGGAGACCGGCGCGGGAGGTGGAACGGGAACGAAAGCGGCGACAGGGGTTAAGGGGAAGTCATGATGTTCCAAGACCATGCTCCCGGCACGGTCTCTTCACCTGGATCCTCGCATCTGACACCAAGTGGAATAACAACAAGACACTGACATGGGCAGTTGCGATATTCAGAGCGGCCCTTTCGCCGTTTCCTCCAGAACACTTTCCAAGCGTTCGCTGTGGAAGATAAGCAGGCATACATGCAAGCTCACGAAGCTGCAAGTCCGATCGCCCCACAGAGCATGGCCAGAACGGTGTCTAATTCTGTGAAGCGCTTGCACTCAGCGGGCGCAGGCTGGGCCAACCCCAATGCTATCAGTCGCTCTACCAGCGCCTGGAACACAAAAGACACCAATTGAGGACCGGGGTTTGCCCCTTAATGCGAGCTCCTGCAAATATCTGTACAATGATAATTCAAACCATTCCGCAGTACAAGGTCCGCGCTGCTCATGACTTACCGGCAGACGAACACGAGGGTATCGTGCCAGCCAACAACACTTGAGTACCACTCTCATCTCCCGGCACCGCCCTAGAGGGCCTGGATGCGACGCCTACGCATCTTAAAAAGTAGACAGACGCCGTGCTTCGACTTCGTATAGATCCAGTTCAATATTGAAGGTGCAGCACCTGTGATAATGCTTGTCCTGATACCCTGCCACTGTGCGTAGCCGCACACAGTATCAGCGGGCACACTATACGGCACCACAGTTCCTGAATTTCACTAGGCCTTTAAGAGTAAAGCCTGCGGCGGGAAGACCTCACCAGCAAACATCGCCCCATCGCTTAGCGATAGAGGTGTACGCGAACCGTATCTTGTAATTTTTAATCGAGTTTCAAGGGTAGGATGCTTGTTCGATACTGGACCCATCGTTCGTGCTATGTACGATTTTGGATGCTATCCGAGGCCCCGAGCATACGTTCTACCCAGAAACAGACACAGCGGGCAGGTCGAATCTCAATTGCGGCGCAGTTCAAGGGATAGGGGGTGGGCCCAAAACGGCTATTAACACTCGATCGGGCAAACACCATGTTGAATGCGACTAGGTGAGTGATGGGTCACCACTTGAACCTCAGGTGAAGACCTCGGATCATGGCCGACTTTTGTGCAAATATGAAGGCGCCATTCTGCTATTCGGTTGTTCTTTCACGTCCGTCTTCAGCTTCTGTCTCTCTGCAGATGCCACGGTGAATCTCGAAGGCACTCAGTCGATCGTTCAGTCTTGGGCCATAGTCACTCTTTTTTTTTAATACCCTGTCTGGGCATTTCAATCGTTAATCGACACTCTTTTTTGCAGCATCTTGCTTCTGGTTATACAGCGTCCTTCCTTGTCTATATTTTTGTAGCATAATACTCTAATCCTTAGTTCACCATGTTCACCATCAAACCAACACTCTCGTCCTTGCTGGCCCTCGGGGCTGTCCACGGTGCCTCGGCCCTGGACGCAGCAGGATGGAGAAATCAGAGCATCTACCAAGTCATCACAGATCGCTTCGCTAGGGCGGACGGCACAGCACCACTCTGCGATGCGTCCCTAGGTACTGCTTGCGGTGGTACATGGAAAGGCATCACCAACCAACTCGACTACATCCAGAACTTGGGAGCAACCGCGGTATGGATCTCGCCTATTGTCAAGAATGTGGAGGGCACGTTTGGCTTGTCTGGCGACGCTTACCATGGTTTCTGGGCTGAGGATATTTACTCCATCAACGAGCACTTTGGTACTGAAGCCGACCTGAAGGAGCTCGCCGACTCCCTACATGCTCGGGGCATGTACCTTATGGTCGACATCGCCCCGAACCACGTGGGCTTGACCACGTCTGCCGGCAACTATTCCAACTTCACTCCTTTTAACAAGGCCGAGTACTTCCACGACAAGTGCAGCATCCAATGGAACAACCGCAAGTCCGAGCAGCTCTGCTGGCTCGAGGGCCTGCCTGATCTGCGCACTGAAGATGCCAACGTCCGCAAGATCTATGCCGAGTGGATCAAGGACCTCGTTGCCAACTATTCCATCGACGGCCTCCGCATTGACACAGCGCTTGAAATTGAGCCTGAATTCTGGACCGACGGCGGCGTCAAGGAGGCGGCCGGCGTATTCCTCTTGGCCGAAATCAACCACAGCGCTCCTGAGACCCTCGCCCCTTACCAACAATATCTTGACGGGTACATGGACTATAGCAGCTGGAACTGGTACACAGACGCCTTTGAGGCAACCAATGCCGATTTCTCGACGCTTTTCGAGGGCACCAACAAGCTCGCGACGATGACCGACATCGACCCCTCCCTCTTCGGCTCGTTCCTCGAGAACCACGACCAGGTGCGCTTCCCCTACCGCAACGGGGACGTGGCGCTGGCCAAGAACGCCATCACCATTTCTATGCTACGTGACGGTATTCCTATTGTCTATTACGGACAGGAGCAGCACTACGCCGGTGGCAACGTGCCCACCAACCGCGAGGCGCTCTGGCTGGGCGTCGGTTACGACATCTACTCTGAGCTGTACGGCTGGATACAGCAGACCAACAAGATCCGCGCACACGCCGCACAAGCCAATGCCAATTTCCTGACGGAGGAGCGGACCACGGCGATCTTCTACGATGCGGACAGCACTGGCAACAGCAGCAGCGTGATCGCCTTTCGCAAGGGCCAGATGGTTTCCATGTACACCAACGGGGGCGCCGACGCCGCCACCAACGTCTCTTACGCGCTGGGCTCGGCCGTCACGGACTACGAGGTCGGCGCGGAGCTGGTCGACGTGCTCAACTGCGAGTCGTTCACGATCGACAGCGACGGGCGCCTCAACGTGCAGATGCCGGCGGGCGGCCTGCCGCGGGTGTTCCTGCCCGTGGCGCAGGCCGATGGCCTCTGCAACAACGTCGGCACGCCTGTGTCTGACGCTGCCGAGAAGGTTTCCGTGGACAAAAACATGGGAAGCAACAAGCGTTCGGTGCCTTTTGTGACGACGAGGACTGTCCTGGGAAACTGAGAGAGGGGTGATGGAGCGACTTCACTGTATATACGAACATATGGGAATTTATAATGTGGATGGATACGAGGAATAGTCTCCTGGTAATGAAGAGAAGAAACGATACTCTGTACTCTGACCTGAGTTTTGAATCGAGCATAGCAATGTCCCTGTGAATGGAATATCGAAACTGCTGAGGTTATGACTGCGTGCAATATACTTGAAAGCGTGTGCGCCGACACGTCTTACTTCACTTGGACCATTCTGCGACTTCCGAACGGCAAGTCAAAGAGCATTGGGTTTGCTATTTCATCCAAATGACCACATCTCCCGGGAAATATAGGATGCCCAGGGCTTGGGGCCTAGCTGTCAAGCCTCCGTGTTGACGTCGAATCGCAAGCAAGACGCATCAGCCTCGCCCGCGCTGGACCTCGGCATCTCCAGGATGGGAGCTCCAGGCCGCCCAGTGCCTGCCCGCCAACAACATAGCTCCCGAGCTTCACATGTTGACTCTTTGCGCCTTTTCCGTCAGCCTCGCGCCCGGGACCCGGGGCAGGGGTGGGGCCGGGGGATGGCAGCGCAGGCGGTACGGTATTTCCCGCGCTTGCGCGCGCGCAACGACGTGGCTGACGGCTTGGGTTGCTGGCTAGGCGAGCTTGTTGTCTGGGGTGCATTGCATGGGTCGTCATAGGCCTATTCTTGTCATTGCTGCGGGGAGGGTAGATCTCTGTTCCTTTACGGAGAAGCTTGAGAGGGCGTGGAGGGCGTTGGAATGTTTGCGCGGAAGAAGCAAGCAGGAAAGCTCTTCGGCGGCCCTGAGAAATTGCCCCATTGGGCAGGCCATGCGTCGTTTCTCTGCGGTCTCTCTCCATGCCGGCACGCTGGGGCAGTTCAAATTCTAGACAACTCACTGCTGTATGCCTGCGAGGGGCCATGGGAATTCTCAGACAATGGTTGTGGTTTCAAATAGTCTGTATGAGGTGTCCCTTTGTGCTCCCTGGACTTGTGTGCTACTGATTGTCTGTGAGGGCATTTCTGGTTATCCTCGGGGCACCAAGACGTTGGTGTAAGGCCTGGAGCGAGGGGCTGTGAGAGCCCATAGGCACGCGAGCAATGGTACGTATCTTTTCCCCGGAATTTCCAAGGATTCCCCAGAAAACGATCTTTGGTCTGGACCGCTATTGTAGAGGATCTTGGCTCTAAGCTCCCGCAGGAGTGTGTGGCTCACCATTAGTGTTGTCGGGGAAGTATACTTTGCTCCGTCCGTGTAGCACAAGCGGTGCACGTATGACCTGATCGAGCACCTTTTGGCTTGCAGGAAGTGGTGGGAACGAGGACACAAGGACGCGAGATGGGCCCTATACTGGTTAGCTGTCGGAGTCTATCCTGGCCCGTCTGGTATATCCTCACGACGAGAGACCATGATGTTAATGAAATGGCGATAGGCCAGCGGCCACACACCTCAGGGACCTCTATCCGAGGATGTACGATATAGGAGTGCGGAGTGGCGCACTGGACGGGCAATGCCGGGCGATGGGTAGGAGACATCGGAAGGATCAGCCACTGCACGGACAGATGTCCGCATGCGTTGCTCATGCGAGGAACGACGTTGATAAATAGGAGCGGGAGGCTGGGCAAACTCTGATCAGCTCGTATGTGGTCAAGGGCAACCTTGGGAGGCAGCTCATCGATGATGTTATAGCTGTTGGTGTTGTTGATTTTGTGTGCTGTGACACTCACACTGACCCTGTGGACGGCAAGAGAGACATTCCATCATCGTCATCATCATTATCATTATCAGAGGACATGGCTCAATTCCTTATTTCCGTCCGTCTCATTTGTTGACCAAGCTGTGAAGCACATGGTATTGCAAACGAGTTTTCCCACCGCCTGGCCTTAAATTTGGCCTTCTTCCTGCTTGACCGACCTGCATTTGGTTGACAAAAGCGCTAGCCACGATTGGAGGAGCTATTGGACTGCAGCACCCAGGTACACTGGGTACTTGCAGCTAACAGTAACAGTAACAGTCCAGCACAGCAACCAGCACCAGCACCAGACTGGAATTGCGGAGGCCCTGGTTCATCTAAAAATCCCGACTTTTGAAACGTTCGATCTGCCCAGCCCAAGCCCAGTTGGAAGGGACAAGCACAGGCGCTGCCCTACCGGTGCGGCTACAGCACTGCCCTTGCCCTGTGTTCTGTGTTCAGGATCCAGCGCGACCAAACATCCGCAGCGCATGCGCCTGGCCACCAACTCGTGCTGGTCATTCATTTCAAGGGTCGACGTGCCCCCCAAAACGCTTTGCCCGGTGCGCCCGACCGCCCAACCGAGGACTGCAATTGTAACCATTCCACTCGACTCGACTCGACTCAATCCAGCCAGCCCAATTCAAGCTGGACTGTCCCGACCCGACCGGAGCACAACCCGTTGCGCCAGAGATGGCCTTTAGCCGACGACTTGTCTGAGCCGGCCACCTTCATTTGATCGCGTCGAGAGCGCCACAAGACGTCGTTCCCAAGACGCCCTGGGGACATGGACCAGCCATCCCTCGAGCTGCTGCAGCAGCAACAGCAGCAGGCGACGCCCAACCAGCAACGGCCTCAGTCCCAGACCCAGTCCCAGACTCAGTCACCGCCTGCGAACCAAGATGGGAACAGCAGCAGCGCTACGCCGACCGCATCCGGGGGAGGAGGAGGAGGTGGAGGAGGAGCCAAGGCCAGCGCCGCGGCGGCCGCGGCAGCGAATGCGCTGAGCTTCAGGAGGTGAGGAGTCCATACAAGACAGGCCGAGACGAGGTTGAGCTCCAGCTCGCGCCTTGTGTGGGCAATGAAGGATTCCGCTGACTCGCCGTGCTTTGACCAAAGACAACGAGCATCTCGGGCTTGTGAGGTGAGTCGTTGGTTCTAATTTTGTCTTGTTTGGGAGATCCCTCTTCTCGTCCTCTCCGCCCACTCGTTTGCCAGCCGACCGATTACATTGCAGCTCCTCGGCTCAGGTGGGCTGTTCTGCATGCCTCGGTAACTCTGTCTGTATCCCACCTCCGCCGGCTGACGAGGTGCAGCCCCTCGCGCACGCGACACAAGAACACCATTGCCATGCCTCTTCGTTCTGCTTTTGTCATCAGAATGTGTAGCTAATTGACAATTTTGCCAATATAGACTTGTCATGCGTACGTCAATTCCATCGTCAACAAATCTGCCCTGGAACAAGCTACCCAGTCCCCCGACAGCCGAGGTCCAGATCCCAAGCTCGAGATAGCTTCGCGACAGACCAGCCCTCCCCCCCTCTCCCCGCACCATCCGAGGACGACAATACCAGTGTTTCCACGCGTTTGCCAGCCCCAAGACAACTGACTGACAATGTTTGTTAAACAGGAGGAAAGTACGCTGCGATGCTGCCTCCTTGGGCATACCTTGCACCAACTGCGTCGCCTTCCAAATCGAGTGCAAAATCCCAACGCCCAAGAGGAAAAAGACCCAGACCGCTTCCACGACCAAAGACTCGGATAGGTACATTACGCGATCAATCTCGCAGCGCCCTTGCCTCCTATCCATTCGGCAGCGTGCATGCTAACCAGTTCTATCCAGTGAACGAGGCGATGGCCCAGAGGAACAGTCTCCCCGTCCCGTCACAGGGACGGCCACGTTCAACACTAGGCCACCCGCCGTATATCACACTTCAGAAGGTACACCAACGACCACCATGACGGCGGCACAAACCCACAAGGAGGAGATCGACAACAATACTTATGTAAACCTAGTCATGAAACCAAAGTTCATCCGTGCCCCCATCACCGAAGCCGGCCGTGTTGCCTATCTTGGGGAGTCGTCCAACCTGACCCTGCTCGTCAACGACCGACAAGGAGCCGCGGATGTCGTCCACTACCCCCTGCCCGAGAACGTCCGAGGATCCAGGGCAAGGCTGACTGAACTGGACAACGTCGAGATCGATATCCTCCACCAGCGTGGTGCCTTCTTGCTCCCGCCCCGCTCGCTGTGCGATGAGCTGATCGACTCCTACTTCAAATGGATTCATCCCATCGTGCCTGTCATCAATCGTACCAGATTCATGAGACAATACGGGGACCCAAAAAACCCGCCCTCGCTGTTACTCCTCCAAGCTATCCTGCTAGCCGGGTCGCGTGTCTGCAACAACCCACAGCTCATGGACGCAAATGGGTCCACAACCCCTGCTGCACTGACTTTCTACAAAAGGGCCAAGGCACTGTACGATGCCAGCTACGAAGATGACAGGGTGACAATCGTGCAGTCGCTGCTGCTCATGGGATGGTATTGGGAAGGCCCCGAGGATGTCACCAAGAATGTTTTCTACTGGAGTCGTGTCGCCACAATCGTCGCTCAGGGGTCCGGCATGCATCGCAGTGTCGAGGGCTCGCAGCTCAGCAGGGCCGATAAGAGACTCTGGAAGAGGATCTGGTGGACGCTTTTTACTCGAGACCGATCCGTCGCCGTGGCCCTCGGGCGGCCTGTTCACATCAACCTGGATGATTCAGATGTGGAGATGTTGACAGAAGACGATTTCATTGAAGACGAAGACGGCCGACCGAGCGAGTACCCCGTGGACCCGATCCACGTCCATTTCTTCCTTCAGTATGTCAAGCTCTGCGAGATCATGGGCCTGGTGCTATCACAACAGTACTCGGTTGCGGCCAAAGGACGTCAACGAAATCCCATCGATCTCACCCACAGCGACATGGCACTGGCCGACTGGCTCCAGAATTGCCCCAAAGTGGTCTACTGGGAAATGCCGCGGCACCACTTTTGGTCTGCCTTGCTCCATTCAAATTATTATACGACGCTCTGTTTGCTACACCGCGCACACATGCCTCCGGGCGGAGGCTCCTCTCGCTTTCCCGAGGATGCGGCTTATCCTTCGAGGAATATTGCTTTCCAGGCGGCCGCCATGATCACGTCGATCATAGAAAATCTTTCTGCTCATGAGGAGCTTCGTTATTGCCCAGCGTTTATTGTTTATAGTTTATTTTCGGCTCTTATCATGCATGTGTACCAGATGCGATCACCTATTCCGTCCATTCAGCAGGTTACCCAGGACCGGATTAGGACCTGCATGGTGGCCTTGAAGGATGTTTCCCGAGTGTGGCTAGTCGGCAAGATGGTCTCCACGCTCTTCGAGGCCATTCTCGGCAACAGGACCCTTGAGGAGAGACTTCAGAAGGCGGCGGGAAAGCGACATAGCAAATTCCAGAGGAGCATGCAGCAACTAGAGCAACATGCTCACGATCAGCAGCAGCAACATCACCAACAACAAATGAGGGAGTCAGCAAAGCGAAAGTATGATGACATGGCTATCGACTTCAGCGTCTCCACGCCAACTCCCCAAGAATCGTATGAACGCTCACGGCCTCAGACACCGAGTCAAGCCACGAAGAATGAGCATGGTCATTCAATGGCCCCACCCCAGATCACATCGCCTGGCGGCACCAGGCAGAGCAACATGGACGCCTTCATGGGCGGGACGGCGTCGCGACCGCAGACCAGACCGCCGACTCCGTTCAATCCGTCTTTCTCTGTACCGACAACCCCTCCAGACCTGTATCTTGTGACGCGAAATTCGCCAAATCTGTCGCAAGCAGTTTGGGAGAACTTCCAGCCGGACCAGCTCTTCCCTGAAAGTGCAAGCATGCCTCTTTTCCCACACCTTTCTCCTTCGCAGACCCATCAAAATTTGGATCCCAACCTGATGCCACAGATGCAACAGGGCAGACCGGCACAGCAAGCCCCGACCATGCAATTTGGCGGTCATCAACATCAGCAAGGCATGCCGAATAGTACGAGTAAGGGCAGTAGTCCCGTGCAGCAGCACACCCAAAGTTTCTTGCAACCTGGTCTCGCTGGATTCCCGGGCCAGCAAAGTGGACCAGGTCAACAGCAACAGACGCAAAATACCATGTGGAACACTGGTTTCGATTCAACCCTGCCTGACGGACAGAGTCCCGACAGCTGGAGTACGGGTAGCGCGCAGGGAGCGCCGGTCCCAAGCACTTTGAACGTGGAAGACTGGTGAGTTGTTCCTTCTTGCAGTTTCGCCGTTGTCGCATGGGCTGCATATCACTAACTTTTATCCCCTCAGGCTTCAATTCTTTGGCATCAACGGTGATCAAGTCAGCCAACTCAATTTTGATATGCCGTCGATGACATAGACCGAAACGGGGCGGGTGTTAGCGATTACTGTTAGCGTATTGCTTCTGGACGATGGAAGTGAGAGAACCGGCCCACAACTTTTGTTCTCACGAATCTGGCTCATCATGATTACCTGTTGCATATTGCTTAGACATGATGGCTAGCTAGCTCGCTCCAGTAATGCAGAAATACTTATGGCGGCACCAAGAAAGCTCTCAGAGAAACTTGGGCTGATCTAAATACCTTGGCACCTAAAGCCTGATTCCCGAACTTGATACATTCTGAAGAAAATCATTTGCGCCTATGCCTGTGCTGCAGGCTCACTGCCTCATCCTGCTCACGTACCCGGCCCAGTCCGTTGTCCGTCCCCCAACGCCATCGCCGTGGTCGCCTTCTGCCCATCCCTTCTCGTCCCACGCAGTCCCCAGGGCACATAGGTGCCTCATCGTAGGCCGCCCGTGTGGGCAGTTCCAGGGCTTCTCCATGTCCCCCATGTGCCGGACGACCTTCTCCATCTGCCTGTGCGACAGCGCCTTGCCGATCATGACGCTGCTCCGGCACGCACGCATCGCGAACATCTTCCTCACCTTGGACGGCCGGGGGATGTGCCTCCTGGGTGCAGCAGTGCTGCCGCTGTGGTGGCCAACGTTGCCGTCGCCGTCGCCGTTACCATCGTCACGGACAGGAGGAGGCGACGACGTGGTTGTAGGGCTGTCGCCCAGCAGCGAGATCAGCTCCTCGAGGTCGGCGAGCGAGAAGGTCGTCTCCCGGCTGAGCGGCAGGCTGAGGAGCTGGCACCGCGACCCGACGGGCTCGTCGCCCGACGTGTCGGCCTCGACCTGGAAACCGTTTGCCTCGAGGGCTGCGTGGTTCTCGATGACGATCTCCTCCTCGATGGCCGTGAGTTCGAGCGGCTTGGGCCTTACGAGGCGCTGCGACTGGACTATCGTCGTGGCCTGCAGGCGCTCGAAGTTGAACTTCTCGTCCGACGCGTGCTGGTCGATGATGAAGAGCTCGTCGTCGTCCCTCGGCCCGTCTGCCCGGGCGCTCGCTGTGGCGCAGCTGGGTGCTGAGGTGCCAGGTCGGACTCCAAGGATGAAGCCGAGGTTGAATTGTCCTACGATCTTCATCCTAGAGAAGTCGCCTTTGTGGATAGTGAGGGACAATTTGTCTTCTGCGACCTGTGTCCCAGCTTCAAGACCAGTGTCCAAGTCCTCAGAGTCGTGATCTTTCCTTGCTGGGGCGTATCCACGTCTCTGGGCGTCGAAGAAGACTAGACGCTTCTGGAGCCACTCCTCATCGACAGTAAGCCGCTGCAGAAGGGCCTGTGTGGAATGTTTGTTCTTTCCACCTCCTTTTAGGAATGTCTGAGTCCGCTTTTGATTTTCTTCGCTGGCTTCATGACCAACCTCTTCGGCAGCAGTGGGGCTTTTCTGCGGTTCCAATTTTTCCCGGGCTTTTGCCTCCTCCTCATTAATATACTCTCCATCGTCTTCGTCTAGCACTTCCGCCGCCTCTTCAACAGCAGGCGATGCTGAGGTCTCGTCGTACTCCTCCTCCTGTTCCACGAATAATGCAGAGGATGCCGACGACTCGCTGTCGCTATCGACGACCTTCTCTTGGTCTGGTACAGCTTCTGCGTCAGAAAAATGGTCGTCCTCGCTTCTTTCTTCATCCTCGTCTACGTCTTCCACCTCTTCCGCATCTCCCTCGTCGTCGTCCTCGACGCTCTCCGAGTCCTCAGTGTGTAGGCCTTCCCTCTCTCTTGACGTCCGCGAAGCAGAAGCCGCAGAAAACATTTGTGTTAGGCGCCCACCAAAAGAAGGCAGAGGTGCTGCAGCTTTTGGGGCTTCTGCCGCCTTCTGCGGGACGTCGAGCTGCACAGCTGCCTCGTCTACTCTTATCCTCTTTGCAGGTGTACCAATGACGCTTGTCACCGAGTGGTCTCCGATTGTGATGGTTGCGACCTCCTGAGATGACCGCTTCGGAGGCCTTGGGGCGGAGACACTGAGCGGTGCAGTATCTATGGGTTTGGTTGGTTTTGCAATAGCGGGAATGGACAGCTCATCAGGTGCTCCATAATATGGCGGCTCGTCTCGAAGGGACTCGGGGAGAAAGGAGCGCTTCATCCGGGACAAACGGGTAATAAATGCATCGTCGCCGTCACCAGTTTCTGCTGCAGAGACCCGTACGTTCGTTGACTCCGACTGTACCTGTTCATCAGGCTTACTGGAAGTCCCCGACACGTCCAGTTCCCCATTTCTTGGCACCGTCTCATTCATATCCTCAGTAGCAGTCTCGTTGAGACTGAGCGTGGCGGCCTTCTTTGGCTCCGGACTGGCCTCCTCCTGAGAAGCCAACTTCTTGTCCAACCAGCGCGTCATCGAGTTCATCTGTGCATCTCTCGAAAGGGCCTTGGCAGAAGCCAGATTCTTGATCCGTAGGGCTCCTGAGGTATCCTCCTCGTCTTCCGACACATCGGGACCATCATCCTCCTGAGCATGAGCAGCCGCAACTTTATCGGGCGCAGCGGACGACGTTTCTGTCGAGCCTCCCTCAGAGCCATTTGTATCCTCCCGCGTCACAGTCGATTTCTTGAAAGGCGGAAGCTTAGATGTCGCAACCTGTGACACGGGAACTGTGTACTCTTGTTTCTCAAAGAGTTCAATTAGGGATTCCCGGAGGTTGTCCAACATGCGCCCCTGGTCGTGCAAGAGGATGGTTCTCTTGTCCGGGCTGACGTTGACATCGTAGAGGTGTGTATCCAGCTGTATGTCGGCGAATATGAACGGCGACTGTGACGAGTTGTACGACCTATACACCTCATTGAAGACTTTGGCGAATTGGGGCAGCCCACAGGGCCGACTATTGACGTAAAACATTTGTCGGTCCGGAGTCTGCCTCCCTTCACCGTGCACTGGCCGTGATATATGACCTCGAACCATGATCTCGTGGGTGCCGCCGTCACCCTGTGTACTCCATTTTTGGGTTAAGCCAGTTGTGGGCTCCAGGTCAAGTTTCAAGTCCAGGACAACTAAGCCGGCCATTGTCTTGGCCCCAAAGACATTGATGATGTTTTCTCTGGTACTCTTGTTTCCCTTTGTAGAGAAAAGAACGATTCGCTTGCCCTTGTTCGGCTGTTGGGAAACCGTAAACTTGACCCCAGTCTGGATACAGGCATACTGATTGAGAAGGCTGATCACCTTGCCCCATTCACGCTTAATGTTCCGTTCCAGCTCCCTGCGCCGTACCGGCAGATTCTGGAAAAGATTTTCGACGGAGACGGTTGTGCCCTTCTGAGCAGCAACCACGCTGGTAGACTTGAGCTTGCCCGAAGTCTCAAAGTCGAGTTTGGATCCTTTGGGAGCCTCGGACTGAAGACAAGTGACAACGGTGAACTTTGACAGGGCACAGAGGGAGGACAGGGCCTCGCCACGGAAGCCGAAGGTCTCCAATGTGCTCAGGTCAGAGTAGGTGGACAGCTTTGAAGTGTAATGTTTCAAAGCCAGAGTCTGGTGGTTCTCGGGCGAAATGCCTGTGCCGTTGTCCTGGACCTCAATCAAGTCGAGGCCCTGGTTCTTAAACCGGACATCTGTTTACAGGAGTCTCTCAGCATCATAATATCCACTCACGTGGGGTGAGTGCTAGCCAGAAAGTCATACCGATGCTCGTTGCGCCAGCGTCAAGACCATTTTCGACTAGCTCTTTTGCGACGGAACACAAGTCGATGATAACCTGACCAGACTGTATTTGGTGGACCTTGAAAGGGGAGCAGAAAATTATCAGCTGTCAGCTGCAGTAATGAGAATAGTGCAACTTACAGAGGTGGCCTCGATGGCCTTGATGGTCGCCATCGTCCACGATGCGCGGCCTTCTCAGCCTGCAGGCTTCAGAGGATGACGACCCAGACAGCAGCGGGTCACCTCGGTCATCCCTTAGCAGATTTACAGTGAGTTGCAGAAGACGCTGTCAGACCCATGAGAGAAAATATGCTGAAAAAACCCAAGATGCATTAGGACTATGAAAGTTGTCGCCTTCATTGCAGCCTGCCGACAGCATCTCGCGGCCGGACGAGGAGCACGCGTCGAATCGCGTCTGTGCTTACATAAGCGATAGGTTCGGGCCCCCTGCTGCCTCAACGAGATGGATTGTGTGAGCTTTACATGATCAGCATACTACCCAGGTACAGCAAGCCAATTCCTATGTTCTGCTTTGCGTGGTAGTAATGGAAATTTGGTAAATCACATGTACATGTGAGATTGTGTGTAGCATCTCGTATCGAGTATCGAGCGGCGACGGCATCGATGTTCCAATGCATGCGCCTGACGTTGTGCAGCAGCATCCATCCCTCCAAATACGCGTCTCGCGGCTGCAGCAGCTCGTATGAACCTTGGAAGAGCAGAGCTAGCTGGCGAGCAAGCTGTGTGGCCAGTCAGCCAGTCTTGCGTAATTCTGGCAGAGGTGCTCAAACGCCGAACAAACTAACTTCTGCAAGCTGCAGTGCAACCCACCTAGTTTGGTCGTTAATTAGCCCCGGCCTGGGACTACCATGTAGGAAATGCGACGCCGCTACTGCAATGACCGCAGCCATTCATTATTGACAGTCTTTGGGTTCCATTGCCGCTCTGGAAATCCCAAGCTCGCTCCCGCTAGCCCAACTGCCCATTCGATTGCCAATGGGCACGTGCAGTGTCAGAGAGTGTGTCGTGATGTGTGTGGTGTTGTGTTGGGACATGGGACATGGGACATGGGCAACGGGAAGTGGGAAACGGAAAGTTGGGACGGGCGCACAAAGCTGCGGCATCAGGGGGTGGACTCGGTCTGTCGGGCGCGGCCGTCGACCTTGTTTCGAAACCATTCCCATCTCCATCCTCCAACAAGGCGGCTGGGCTGGCACCTGGCTTGGCTTGGCCTGCACCTAGGCTGCTGCTAGAGATATGAAGCTCCTGCTGCCATCTCTCTGATAAGCATGGGTATGCCAGGCAATGAATGACGTTATCGCCTGGGCAGAGCTGGCATGGGCGAAAGCGCCGTTGGTTGTTCACCATCGTGGGATCCTGCAGCACTGACGCCGCTATGCCTAGGTCGACTTCCAAATGTCCCACCACGAGCGTCTAGACAGCTCGAGTACGGATCTAAGAATGTTCTGCGACGCCAGGACGCATGCGGAGGGGTTGGGAGTGGATTGAACATTGGTGTTCCACCTCGATGGAACGGCGCAGCACCAATTGGGACGCTAGAACGAGGCCGTCTCTTCTCTCCCTCGATCTTGTCGCTCACCGAGCAGCAAACATGATGCTTGCTTACACCTGCAGGCGGACCGAGAGATCTGTGTTGCGACCATGTTTCCGTTGGGGACTGCAGCATCAACGGACAATTAGTCGGCAACCATAGTCTACAGGAGTCTAGCCTGGCCCTCGTAATACAATCTGCCGAGTGCATACCTGTAATTTCATCGACATTGTGCTGTCTGTCTGCCTCCATGTCGGCTGGCATCGACGATTCCCATGGTACTGCAACCTTACTCAACGGCCAGCAGAGAGGGTGGTCGTAGGAAGTACCTGGTCACGCTGGTCTACTGTAGGTGCCTGGGTAGCGACCATCGTCCTTGGAACCTTGGTTGGAATATTGGAGCCAGCCAGGGCCCACATCCGCGCGAGTGTGTGTGTTGTAGGCACTCTGTATTTGCCCGTCAGCCCGTCAGCCCGCGGGCCCGTTTAATAACAATACTGCACTGTCCAAAACATTGCTTACCTACCTAGGTACTTCATATACAGGGAGCCGTGGTCTGGCGAGTCCAGATGCCCTGTTGCCCTCATCTCCCAGTCTCCCAACAGCCTTGCCAGCCCTCCATCCCGGCCATGAGATAATTTATCCAAGATCAAAGAAGGATCCATGAATCTCCAAGCCTCCCGAGGTCTCCTGGACCCGTCCCAAGCACCACCACTCAGCACCACTCAGAACTCCTCTAACCCCCCACGCCGGATCTCCCAGGCGCACGGGGCAGCCAAGTCCAGGCGCCGCTGGTGCTCCCGCCCAGCACCAGGCCGCCTCCGTCCAGCCAACCACCACCGTTTCCCCCTGCCCCCCTGCCACCCTGCCCACTGGACCTGGGGGTCCCTCACTCTTAGGTTTTCCGTCTAGCGTGTGAAACTTCCCTCTGTCTCTCTTTCCTGCCCGTGTTTCTGTCTCCTCGACCGACCTCTCCGGCCCTCACCCACCACCCCTCCCCTCCCGCTCCCACGATATCGCTCGAAACACGGCCGACGACGGCAGAAGCGCCATCGACCGTCGTGGGAATGCAGAGGCGGTCTTCTGGCTCGGACGACGGTGACGATTTGCAACCCCAATTGCAAAATCATCTGCCTGTCAATGCCGCCGCCAGCCCAAGCAACAATAGCTCCCTCGCCCTCGCCCTCGGTTCCAGTCTCGATGTCCCGCCCACTGCACAGGCTACCTCCGCCCAAACACACGGGAGGGCCCCGAGTCATCAGCCGCCCAGGAACTCTGACAGCAGGCGCACCAGCTTCGACCTCCGCTCCCATTCCGCCCGCAGCCGCCGCTCGGGCAACTTCTCTTCCTGGAAACCTGCCACTGCGCAGAACGGGGCGACCATGGAGAAGGCCCCTCTCGCCTTGTCCGTTGAGCCTTCAGCTGTGCCAGTCATGGCCTCGAAGAGCGACGAAGACTCAGAAGGTGTCGACAAGTCGCCAGACTCGAAGGGCCTGCGCCGTCTACGGTCTCGAAGTCCCTGGGCACTTGGTCTCCTGACCCTCCTGATATCGATGACCGGTCTTGCCTTCCTCGCGACAATACTCAACTCAAGCACGACACGATGTCTCGACGCCAAGGGCTGCATAATGTCCTATATGCGGCCGGCCTACGTCAAACTGAGCGACTTCGACACCGAGCACACCAGATTCGGCAGCAAGTACTCGCTCTATTTCTACAGGGAACTCGAGGTGGACGAAGAGGTCAAGGTCTGTTGGCTACAATGGCTCTCGCCCTGATCTTCTCGCACTCGCGCCGGTGGACTGACAACAATCCTAGTTACGAGGCACCCCCGTCCTTTTCATACCCGGGAACGCTGGAAGCTACAAGCAGGTGCGGCCGCTCGCCGCCGAAGCTGCCAACTACTTCCACGACACGCTCCAGCATAACCCGGCAACCCTTCGAAGTGGCGTGCGCGATCTCGACTTTTTCACTGTCGACTTTAACGAGGATTTTACGGCCTTCCACGGTCAGACGATGGTCGACCAGGCCGAGTACTTGAACGAGGCCATCCGCTACATATTGTCGCTTTACCTGGATCCGCGCATGACAAGTCGTGATTCGGATTTGCCCGATCCAACCTCGGTCATCATCGTGGGCCACTCAATGGGCGGCATTGTGGCTCGCACTATGCTCGTAATGCCTAATTACCAGGCTCATTCTATCAACACCATCATAACCATGTCCGCGCCGCATTCGAGACCTCCCGTCTCCTTCGACAGCGAAATTGTCAAGGTGTATGACGAGATCAACGACTACTGGAGGAAGGCATACTCCCAGAAATGGGCGAATAACAATCCGCTATGGCATGTCACTCTCATTTCTATCGCCGGTGGGAGCCTGGATACTGTGGTGCCTTCAGATTACGCCAGCCTGGAATCCATCGTGCCCGATACACATGGTTTTACTGTGTTTACCTCCACCATTCCGACCGTGTGGACGAGTATGGACCATCAGGCGATTCTCTGGTGTGACCAACATCGCAAAGTTGTAATCCGGGCGTTGTATGACGTTGTTGATGCGCATCGCCCTTCGCAAACAAAGCCCCGGGCTCAGCGCATGAGCGTATTCAAGAAGCACTTCCTCACTGGCCTGGAGGAAAATGCGGAGAAGTCCGTCTTGTTCAGGGATCACAGCACTTTACTTACCCTGGAGGATGATTCGCACGATATCGTGCCTCAAGCAGACCGCTTGATACTCCGAGGCTTAGGGAATCAGGGCAGACCACAAGCGCATCTGGTTCCGATTCCGCCCCTTGGTTCATCGCCGAGCCGCTTCACTCTGTTGACCGATCAGAGGCTGGACAGCGCCGGAGAATCGGGGAAACTGGAGGTTCTGCTCTGCAGTGTGCACACTCTGCAGCCGGGCCAAGCGGGAATGATGCTGCCATGGAAGATGGATTTATCATCAGGAGAGAGCCGGAGCTCGACCAGGCTAGCCTGCAAGAACGCTGCTTCCGACGTTGTACAACTACCTGCGTCGACCAGATTCACGCAGCAGCCATTTCCCCCTGCCGGCTCCAGGGCGGTAACACCGTTCTCTTTCCTCCAGTATGACCTCGACGACATTGCAGATCACCAGTTCGTTGCTGTTGTAGACAAGGGCATCACTTCCTCGGGTTTTGTGCTTGCAGAGTTCAGTGAAATCGCGGACTCTTACCGAACCCGTCACATCAGCCTACGGCGGATGCTCGCATTTGGCATGAATTTCCGACTACCAGCTCGCAGGCCTACTGTGACAGAGATCAAGATACCGTCCATCCAGTCCAGTCTGCTCGCCTACAGCTTAGAGCTTAGTGAGCAGTCATGTGGGAAGAACAAGGAGCTATTCGCGCCGTTAGTTCGACAGTATCTTACAGAGCCGTACGAGTCCAAGTTTTTTGTGAATGCCAGGCATGCCAGTATTAGCATGCATGGCGTTGCGCCATTCAATCCTCCACCGATGAAAAGGAAATCGAACGAAGACGGTCTAAGCTTCCAATTTTGGACGGACCCGACATGCGAGTCAAGCGTCAATGTTCGCCTGACTGTCGATGCTCTGGGCAGCATGGGAAAGCTCTACATGCGCTATCGGACCGCGTTCGCGGCCTTCCCGCTGCTGGTTGTCGCCTTGGTAGTGCGCAAGCAGTTCCGGGTGTATGATAGCCAGGGAATCTTCATTCCTTTCAATGAGAGCTTAGACTTGTGTCTGCGACGGTCTATCCCCTTGATCCTCGCGTCCTTGACGCTCCTCTCCCTTTCGATGGATACCTCCGGAGCTCATGGCACAGCAAGCTACTGGCCCTTCAGAAATGCGACAGTCGGAGTCGACTTTCGGCAAAATGACCTCCTTGCAGGCACACAAGATCCCTTCTTCTGGTTCATGATACCTTTGATTGGGATTGTTTGCGTCGGTGTCTGTGCAGTACTTAATTACATGGTGCTGGCTATCATATCGATACTTAGCACTCTATACGGTTGGATGAGTTTCCGCCCAGCGTGGGTTCGCTACGATGACAGGCGTCGAGCCATGCCCCATGGCTTCATGCCATCTTCGCCACGGCGACGACTGATTACGACGGCCATCCTGCTGTTCTTGGTCACGACCTTTATACCCTACCAGTTCGCATATCTGGTGGCCTGTCTGGTACAACTCATTACTGCGGTGCGGGCCCACCGTATCGCCTGTGAAATGCCATCCAACGCGAACCGCAGCTTTTACAACTATGCTCATGCTATTTTCACCCTGATGCTCTGGGTGCTTCCTATTAATATACCCATCCTAGTCGTCTGGATACGCAACCTGACGGTACACTGGTTCACACCATTCTCCTCCCACCACAACGTCATGTCGATCATGCCATTCATTGTCCTGGTTGAAACTTTCACAGCGGGCAAGATGGTTCCGAGGGTTACCAGTCGACTGAGACATGTCACCAGCGTCCTGATATTTGGCGTGGCAGTTTACGCCGCGATTTATGGTGTCTCGTACGGCTACATGATTCATCACCTCGTCAACCTCGTCGCAGCCTGGCTCGCTGTGGTACATTCGACATCCGACTCGTGGTCCCTCGCGGGATGGAGCGCTCTATTCGAGGGCAACCCCGAGACACGAAAGGGAGGCAAGACTCCTTAGGAGGAAACTTCGTGAGCTTCTCGACACCTCAATCGGTACTGTATCAGTGCGTACTCGATCATCAGCATCTTGACGCTTGCAAAACATCTCAACACTCTCCTTCTGCAGGGCGGCATCCTGGGTCCATATTCATACAAATCATTACGCGGCGTTAGGTTGCATTTACAGGTGACGGCACATGGCGGTCTGGGCGGCTGTGCTCACGGGAACATGGCTTTTGGGGTTTAGGGGTTTTAATCGCCAGGTTCCTGGGGCTGGAACCGAAACTAATGCTCTGCTTCTGCTTCTTCTGTTCACTTTTTACGACTGTACCCGAGGCCGGTTCTGTCGTGGCGGGATGATTATAACCCATGATTCTATGCACTCCACCAAAGTGCTCTTACGAAACGGAACGGAAGAGGACGCAGGATGGATATATACCTTTTGGCTCAACGATAGACCTTTTTGGCACCTCACACACCCGGCCTGGAATAGAATGGACTTGGAATCGGCAATGCATAGCTGGCAGGCTACCGAGTCCCTTGGTGAGGCGAAAGACGGCTGGATTGGCTATGTACACTTCTGGATGAAAGAATCCTATTGTCGCTATTGCACGGGTTGGTAGAGCATAAGCTCAGGCAGCGCAGCGCCTGAGCACGTTCTAATGAAAATACAGAGTACAAAGTATGAGAGAAGTGCAAACAACCGTCGATTCCCCCGTAGATGCCCCTAGACGAATGAGGGCAGTGACTATATCTATGAGTGAGGGCTGCCAGTGACTAGACCGCTAGTGAGAACATCCATATCCGGTTCTTGCATGCAAATGGAGTCGCAGTATTCCTTCGACGAAGTCCCCTTCAGACATACAAACAATGAATGTTGTGCTGACTAAGCTTGGCCTGTGCCTTTACCGAACAACCAACCTCCTTCGGGAGTGAGATGAGAAGCAACACCAAAGACAGTCCCCAGTCGTTGTGTTCGTTTCATTCAATCGACTTATCTCAGCTGGAAGCCTTCAACTGCCAGCCGTGGACTTTCTTGAGGGCATAGGTTTCGCATGGCAGCAGCCGGGGCCGGGACTGCGGCTAGCCCCAGGGCGGCTCGCCAAGTCCACGTTGGTCGCTCAGATGGTCGCGTCTACACAACCCAAGAGATCACCTCCAAGAGGAAGACGGCCGCAAACCAGATTGGGGAGCCGATCCCCGAGGACTGGTCCCAGATCGCGGATGCTGAGAGTCGGGGCAAGATGATTCAATGGAAGGTAGTGATAGGAACTGGCCTGTCAGAAGAGCTGGCCTGGCCCAAGGGTGAGTTGGCGTGGCAAGCCTCACGATACGCTCGGGTTGATGAACCAACGACTAACACAGACTGCCAGACTCTCAATATCAGCTGCTATTCCCGGAAAGTTACTGCCTAAGATGGCACAACTCTGGCGGCCCAAAGAAAGAGGCCTGTATCTACGGTCATCCGCAGGACTGCTCAGAAGAGTTCCTATACAAGCATCCACACGAGTTCATCCCACACGTTTTGTGGCTTCTCAGCGACTCTCAAGACCACAAGGACTGCCCTTGCCAGCCATGCCATATCGCAACAGGCAGGAAGTGGCCTCAGTCTCTCAAGGCCAAGTACGAGAAAAAGGCAGCGGCTTTGGCAGCACCAGGCCCGGAGACAAAACCCAAGAAAGCTGCGACAAAATCTGCCGCAGCGAAGAAGAAGGCTGCGGCAGCCACTCCGGTCTCCCAGACCTCCACTCCAGAAGTCACGAACAAGGCACTGAAGGAGCCCGCCGTGCCTCCAAAGACAGCAAAGAAATCTGCTACCCCTAAGACATCGGCCCCAGCCACGGCTCCAGCACCGGTCACGGCCCCAGCACCAGTCTCAGCCCCAGCCCCGGCCCCAGCCCCGTCTGTGCAGCCAGCGCCCGCGAATGCCGCACCGCATCCATCAATCAACAATGAACCGACCTTGTTCCGCCGCGGTGAGATGGTGTGGTTCCAGCAGGGGCCAGCATGGAGGATCGGGGTCATCAGACAAGTCGGCACAGGGCAGATACCCGGCTACGCCGTTATACCCCTTGCGCACTCTGTTCTCAACTTAGCGGATGTGCCAAAGCAGCAACAGGAAATGCGGCCATTTCTCACCTTCAGCGTGCCAGCCATTTCGCTTCCAGATTTGCAGCACAAGACCTTCCCCCAGGTCGACTGGCAAGCTCTCCTGCAAATGAATGCCCAACGGCCCGAGTTCATCGGCCTTGAGGCGTCTAAGATGGCGGCACTAGAAATCGACGGCTCTTGGTCAACATTCAACCGGCTGAACATGGGCCCCAAGCAGCCTCCCAATAAGACTATGTACGGCGGAGTCTTCCTGGGTGCCGAGATGATCCGCCTGGGAGACCCGATCCGCCACAGGGAGAAGAGCCACGGCATAATGGAAGTAACCGAAATTACCGTAACGACAGCCACCTCCGTGCCCAACCCAGCCGACCCACCGAACACGATGCCGGCGACGACATACACGCTCAGCTTCCGCGGCATCGAGTACGAGGCGTCGCTTGTCGCCGAGAAGGCGGCCCTCGGGCCGCAGCCCCAGGGCGCCATCTTCGTCAGGGACAGCGCGTTCCGCACCGCCGCGGCCAAGGCGACGGGCGCCAAGCAGAAGTGCGTGTGGACGATACAGTCGTGGGACACGGTCTGGGCGGAGCGGGATGTCGGCGGCAGGCTGTACGTCACGAACGAGCTCATCGGCGTGACGCAGGGGCCCCAGGCCGCCGAGACGGCCGTCACGACGGGCGCGTTTAGCGAGGCGACCGCGTACCTGAACAACCGGATGCAGAACGCGGCCTCTAAGGACTTTGGAAGGAAGATCAACCGCCGCACGACAGTCGGGTCTGCGGTTGCGCCGGGACAGCCTTTGATATTTGGGGAGGGCGTTATTGAGGACGGTGTAGAGTAGGGCGTTCCGGTGGTTGGACTGTAGCTTGTGTTATCGCTTTGGGCGCCTTTTGGGAATGATTGGTATTCTTAACGGGTAATCTTGAGCTAGTAAATTGTGTGGAGAGTCAGATGTCAAGTAATGCGGTGAAGCCAAAAGCTACTACAATCGATCATAAGCACGACTGTGTTGGTACATGTATTGGAGTATCAATAAGAGTCCTGGTTTGGTTGTTTGGCCCTCGAAAACGACACCCTTCACACGTCTTGCATCCCAATTCACTGCGCCCCTCGACCTATTTGGAAAGCATATAGACAGCCCGATTTGCTCTGCCACCAACCGGAGCACCTCCCACACTGTTACCAAATAGCTCAGTGGTGAGTTGAGGTGACTCCGACCGGAGGGTCGTCCGTTCGGCCTGAGCCCGGCAGAAAAAATCCCCAGGAAGTATCCATGGAATGCCCAGAGGACAGTACGCTCGGTGAGGCGGAAGTTCCCTCTGGCCAGTACATTGGCACTGGAAGAAAGAGTAAACCCCACAACGGCACCGCAAAAATAAAAACACACAGATGGGGTTTTCCGCCTACAAAGGTTCTTTTTGGTCCTTCTGCTTATTTGCAACTCGCTGTTACCCAGTATTTGTAGTTCTGGAATTTCACAAACGTGGTTTCGGTTTTCGCAAGTCGACAGCACAGCCCAAGAGGGGCCGTGCGAAACACTTCAATAGCATCTAGTTGAATGCCTGGTATGCCTGGGCCAGAGCCGAAGACAGACTATGGCTGCTGTCAGCCAAGTCATATCTAGATCTAGGACAAAACTTGCCACTCGCAGACTGGCTCGGAGCGCGGGATGGTACGGTGGCTGTCAAAGTCCCTCTCCCCATCGCCACGTGGCGTCGATAACTTATGTAGCCACGCGGATGGAGCAGGCCCTTCAGCCAGAAAAAGCTTCGCGTCCCTCGAGACAAGAGCTGGACGCCAGGGGCCAGGGGCACAAGAACACCGAGGCTGATCACTTGCACTGCTCGCGTCGTACAGCGCCTAATACCAGCTGTTACACGAGGCCGCCGGCCTTGCGTGCCGAGCTGGGCAAGAGCATATCTGCGGCTGAAGTTCACAATGGGTCAATAAGAGCGGGTCCTGTGTATCGAGTGATCAACACTTTAGTTGTCCATGGAGTCAATTTCTTTGCCCTTCATGTTGGTCCCAATATTGTTGGTGAAGGAATGAGAAAAGAAGACGCTACTTTGTACCCATAAATGCCAACCGGGTATATGCTATAAGAATCATGAATAAACGAATCGCTTTTCCCATCTCATCGTCCCGCCTAAGGGGTCTGGTGTTGTATGTGGTCGCCATGCTCAGCATCCCTAGGGTCCGCGACTCAACACACAATATGCTGCCAGGAGGTCATTTCAAATTCCCCGTGATAGCTTGACCGTCCTGCTTTCCCCGGACAGGCGTTCTCCGAGATCGTGCCCAAACCTCTCAGAAATAGTATCTCAGACCCGACAGGCCCAATTCATCCCTCCCTCCTCAGAAAATGCTACCATAAGCCATGACTTATTGTCAGGCGAGGTTCATCGCAGCCAACTTCTCCTGTACGCTTCTGAGAACTTCGGGGTCCGGTTTTGGCTCGACCTTTTGCGGTCTCAGCCGCTGGCAGTCGTTGCACTTTTCGTGCGCGCATCTGAAGCAAGTCTCGCCGTCTTGGGCTCCTGGGGGAAACTTCTCGTAGCATTCGTGGCATTTGTAGTGAGGTATCGATTTCGCGCCAAATTCATCGCCAGGGTAACCATAGGGGTATTTGTCCTTTTTGGGTCTGAGTTCCCATGGGTTAGCATCCATCATGCACCTCGTACTAAAACATGTGAGAGAAACTGGTAAGACTCACGGGTCTCGCGGGCAATCTGTGCATCGCGCGTGATTGCACTTTGGACAGCTCAGCTTTCCACCCTGGAAAGAAGTGTCCAATCCGTCGAATTCAAGACATTGGCAGCAGGTCCTCCTAACGCGCTGCCGAACCTTCTTGTACACCAGTTCTTGGCCGCCGGCCTTCCCAGGCCTTCTAAGAACGACTTTCTCGTTGGGGTTGAAGTTCCAGTCTGGCACGATCATTGCATTCGCTGTGCGTTCTCTCAGAATTCGGTCCCTGGCCTCTCGACTGGCTTCCAACTCTGCCTCGGATCGCTTGGGCGGGTAATAACTGCATTGACTGCAAGCGGTGTGCTTGCAGCTGTCGCAGATGCCGGACTGGTTTAGTCCGTGGCCGCATTGGTGACAACTCCGATGTACACGCATGCGGATCGGTTTGTTGACGCGAAGGACATGACCCTCCATTGGGTACCAGGTATGAGGGTCCATGTCGAGACCGAAGCGTTCCGAGAGTAGCTGTGCTCGTTCGCTGTATACCTGTGCCCGGGGGATGCGTTCCCCTTCGAAGACGGCTTGACCATCCTCCGTCTGGGGAGGAGCGCTTGCCGTTGGCACATGGGTGGTTTCGCTGCTCAAAATCAGTTATTATGCCTGTCCAGAGGGAAGAAGTACAGATCAGACGGAGAGGAAAGAGCGTTCCCGACTGGCAAGCATGGAATAGAGATAAAGCAATGACATACGTGGTAGCTGGTACGGCGGTCGGCTCAGTAGAAGGGCCAGCGACAGGCTCCGCAGGTACAGTTGCAGAAGTTGTAGGTAAGTGTGACGTTCGTTTCGCGGGTTCCGTCTTTCTCAAGACAGTCTTCATCCTCAGTAGGAGCTTCTTCCCCACGTTCTTCACTCTTTCCTCCCGACCCTCGGCGGGCGTCCCTCTCACGTTCGAAGCCATATCGACAGATCCACCGGCTTCTTCTGCCTTTGATTGGTCCAAGAATCGTTATCTTGGTGTTGCTGAGAAAGATATCGGTTGTGATATCTTATATCATATCGCCCAGGTCCAAAGAGAATCGAGGCGATGTGAAGATCCAGGCCGAGCAGTTATGAGAGGAGGTGGATGAGAATGAGTCTTGGGACCTTTGAGCTGACGACAGAAATCGGTATGCCCGAAAATTTCCAAGGAAAGAGAGCAACCGGCGAAGATATCAATTGGGACTTGGACGGGCCGACCAAAGCAAAATCCAAGGCCGACGGGCTGTGATTGCAAGCTAAGGTGTGACGAAACAACTCTGATCAGCGTACCAGACGGCAGCAGACCAGATGAACAATGCCAGGGCGCTTCTCAGGCCAATGCAAGCCCTCCAGCCGTGGGATGTCGTCCCCAATTGCCGACACGCCAGGTGCCCAAAACTCTGGTTCGAAATCCTCGTAGCTCGCAATGCGACAGCTTCACTCCAACCGGGTGGCAAGGTTCCTTCGCATTGATCTCCCCTATTCAGAGGTCTGAGCAAACGGACAGGGGTTGGCCAGGGCCTAGATGACGGTAATTGTCGAGGTGTCCCGGGTCTTGTCGTGCTTTTTGTGAGAAATAGTGAAGCGTACGTGTTCTGGGGCGAGAAGTTGAATATCTGGGCTTTGGAGGCGGCAATAAAGAGAATGGAGCAAGAATATGTAAGAAAGACGAATGAGGGAGGAGATTGGCGAGAGCGGTTAGAGGCTGAGGGAGGGATGGAGACGGAGATGGAGGGATGCAGGAGACGCATGTATCCAGCCCCCCGGGTCTAGCGAGCAAGAGACCAGACAACCGCAGCTCGAGGTGGATCGACTAGCAGCCGCACCAAGCAAAACGTTAAACAGGAACCCTGCAGACAAAATTGCATGCAGCCAGTCGTCCCAGGGGGCCCAGTCTGCCAGTCCGAGTCTGTGGTTCGAGCACCTGTTCACGGTCGAGTTGAGAATGACTATTGGTAACCATTCCGTGAGGACGGATGTCCATGCCGTTTACAGAAGATGCATCGTGATCAGTCGACACACGGCGTACTGCAGGCAGTGAACCTATGCATCAAATCACCCGCCTGAGTGATCAGCAAGAGCAGACGGCAGACGGCAGGAGAACGGGGCCACCACCAAAAGCGGTTGTTCTACTGTGTAACAGCAGCAAGGTTCCAAGGTCTGGTGTCCTGGCCTGGGAGACACGTGTTTGGAGTCAAGCGTCAAGCGAGTGAAGGACGGAGCATTACGAAGGGTCCGGGACTGTGATTATCACAAGGGAAAACCGAGACAGAGGGACGGGGACGGCCAGTGAGCGAGCGAGCACGCCAGCGGGTGAGAGCTGGTGTTGCATGCTGTGCTGCATCAACTTGGACTCGGGAGGGGAGGATATCGTCACTGTCACGCCAGACTTGCAGGGCGGCCCAAGGAGCGACAATACCGTACATGGAAGGCCATGCCAGCGCCTCGAGGTGATTGGCAGAGGTACCTGTACCTACATGGCGTGCCTAGCCTGTGCCTTTGGCCGGGAAACGAGGTGCCAGCTTTTGCCAGCTAATGCCCAGCTCTGCCAGCCCTTCCAGCCCCAGCCCTTCCAACCAGGCCCAGCCTGACCTGGGAAACGGGCACCCGGGCTGCCGGCTCAAACCTTGGAGCGCTGATGGGGCACCCTGGGTGCTGGAAGTTTGCTGAAGTGTCAGAGTTCCAGAGTGCCTGCCCGCCCTGGGGACATCGAAGTATGGTTCCAAGCACCCGTGGGCCTGGGCAGATGCTGATCCGCGGCTGCAGGGATCCGATCTGGACGGAAGTGCCCCGGGCATGCCCAGGCCTGGGATGACAAGCAGTCAGCAATCAGTCCCCATCTGCCCATCCCTCCCACATCCCTTCCCCCCAGCTGCCATTCGCGGCCCCGGCAGATTGGTCACGCTGTTTCTGATCTCCAGTTCCAGCTCCAGCTCCCGCTCCAACTCCAACTCCGGCGAGGGTTGGCTGGCTGTTGATGGCTGATCAAGAAGCGAGGTTGCACAGCGTGTACAAGACTACCACCAACTCTTCCGCCTGCCTAGGTAGGCAAGTGTCAAGTGTGGAAGCACTGACTTCTGTGTATCCTCTCCCCTCTTCTCCTCCAGGGCCAGGGCGGAGGCCTTCTTGGAAACGAAACACGTGGTGCCCATTGTTCTTCGAAACCCGTCTCCCACCGCATTGTCTTCAAGGTGAAAGCCTCGATCCGCTAACTTGAGACCAGTCGACGCCTCGTTCAGTCTGGCTGTTCTGGGCGGGCAGCGAGGATCAAGACATTGGCCAGACCGTGGCGCTTGTCCCGGATTGGGAGAGGTCCTCAGCGCCAGGTACTTTTAACAACCCATCCCATGGCCTGCGGACGGAGTACGGCACAGCAGCCCACCACCGATTATCTCCCTCCCCCATCTGCTTGACATCTGCTAAGAAGCTTCGTAACGTTACGCAGCACAAGTCTGGCCTGGTCTGGTCTTGGCAAGTTTGTGGTGTCCGAACCCACAGCCGCCCTCGCCCTCCCCTCACCACGCAATAAACCTAATTGTTCCCATGGTACTGTGCTTTGCTGTGCTGTGGTGTGCTGGGATTGCATTGCCTTTGTTGTCGTTCCCAACATCAGGCATCACCTCGGTTCCACCGTCCAACAATATCTCGTGAGCCAACCAACATTTCCCGCCCACTTGGGTGCGCGCCCCAGAGGGTCGGGTCGTGCATTGTCGGATCTGGGCAAGCCATTTCACACCATCTACGCCTGGAACGAAACTGGACAGGCAACCTTGCTGGCAGCCCCAGGTGGTTTACTTTCCAGAAGCACCGGTTTCGTCCAAAGAATGCAGCGCTAGAACGGGTATTCGACAGCCAGTGAAGCCGCTAGACCGTAGTTAGCTGAGGTGGTGCAGGTCGTCCGTCCCGTGGTCTGCTTCAAGCAATAGTTGGGAGGGGGTCTGGAATGCTCAGGAGTAACCACGCTGCTGGGTCCTGGGTATCCACCACCGGCCAGCATGACAACGACAATTCTCCGCAACGAACTCAATTGCCAATCGCATTGCCATCACCAGCAACGGCTGCAGCAGCCAGTCAGTCCCTTCCAACAACAACGACGGAACCTTCGGGTCCATACGCGTCTCCTAGGGGCAACAACCTTCACATGGCACCCGCACGCGGCCGAACCAACGTTGAGAGCTTGATTAGAGTTCCATCGCATAGGCTGTCACACGCTGCGACGCGGGAGCCCAACCACTGGAGAGAAGTCCACCAGTCCACCCACGCCTGCGTGTGAGAGTCTGTACAAGTCCGGAGTACCGGTACCGTTCCGGACTGTGACCCACCCGCCCACCTGCCTGCCTACCTCGAGATTAACCAGCGGCCTGGGCTTCCTAAAATCTTGACTCATGCTGTCCATGAACGTCCCGGCACACTGGCACCGAGTCCTGACTCGCGCGAGTCGAGATGGCGTGTCTTGGCGTAACCTTGGACTTGTTTCTGTCCCATGTGTACACCGCTACGCTGCGGCTCCGCGATTGGGCTTTGTCGGACTCGGATCCGGATGACGCGTTGGGACAGTGTCATGGCCCATCGGGCAGCTTGCCTGACACACAAATGCAAGCGGCACTTGCATTGCGAGCGGCCGCGGGTTTGTATTCTCCCTCTCCCTGTGTACCGGGGGAGTGGGAGCTCATGACCCACAGATACACGGCCCCCCAGGCCCCCCTTGGTGATCACCCCACTCGGACGGGCCAGCACAAATGGGGCTGTCCCGCACGGTGAGTGAGTGAGCTGTCAACGGACCAGCACCAGCACCAGCCCGACCAGTTTCATGGACCCGCTTGCTGTGCTGTGCTATGTTAGGATATGCAGTTGAATCCTGCAACGGGCTGGAAGTGAAAAAGAAAAGATCAAAAGTTCAGGAGAGCTGTCACATCCCTCCCCCACCGTTTGCCGGCTGGCTATTCCGCCAGCCTGGAACAGAGCCCACTCAGGTTTGCGGCGCAGGAGCGGCACGTACCGCAGTGCTGGGCTCAGCTATCCCGACCACCCGGAAGCGACGATCCTTGGCTGCGAGACCCGAGGGTCTGGGAGAGCACCCGCTCATTGGCCATTTCCGGGCAGTCAGCACTCAAAACCCCTATGAGGATCACTGATGACGGCCGATCCTTCACTGAAGCTGATTTGCTTTGCTGCATCAGGATGCTTCTTGCCGCCACTTAATTCTCGTGCCGGTCAACCGTGATGGGCTCCATCTCGTGGCGCTGCGGATGGAGGGGGGGATCTCCTGTCAAGCACGGCATGTCTCTGCAATCGACCGACGCCGTTGCCTGCGCCGTTGCCTGCGGTCAACGCCAAACTCGGTGCCGCTTTCCGGGCCTCACGCTGCCTCTGTCTGTCTCTCCACTAAAACCCTTCTATTCTGGAAATTTGTATCTCTACATGCAGGACATGTCATAACGACCCACATCAGTCCGACATGTCCGGCGATGATCTGCTGATCAGTTTTAGGCTGAATATGCTAAGCGCTCAATTTGGGGGCGCTTCACATTTAGGGGTCGCCAAGGGGGCTGTGAGCGGCTCCACGACCGTGGGACGCGGCTGTCATGTCAGCATGTACGCGACATAGTGAAGGCGACGAAGATGTGCTCCTGCTAAATTGCCCAGGCATTCTGCGAGTACGATGATTGACAGAGGATTGCTGCTTTTGTCAGAGCACTGACGGAGTTTTGGCATCTCTCGGACACCCGTAACACGAGTCCTCAGGCGTGTACGTGGTGCGGCAGTTGGCCGCAAATCTGTAGTCCAAACATGGACACATGAGCCCAAAGTTTCGCTGTTTCGCAAAGGCAGCCGGCCTCATCCTGCAACTTCCACGCTGTGATCGCCCAGCTGGACGGAATGAAGCTGGTTTGCTCGTACCGCCAGCGTCCCGGTAATACAGCTACCACTGGACTGCGT